GGGTGGTAAGGAACGTGGCACCGCAAAACCACCCCACGCGTGCAGAGAGCGATTTCAAGTCAATGGTCCTTGACCTGAAAGTCAGTGTCTCGCAATGAGACCTAAAGGGGGGTGGGGGGGTGCGAAACTTACCTTTGTGCAGACTAAGGGTGATGGGTACACCGTGTGGCCTCATTACATACCGAGGGATGATTACACAGAGGATAAGCAAGAAGAACGATGTGACGTTGATCATCCTCGAGCCAGAGTTCAGACTCTCGCCGTGGGAAAAGGAGAAGCTGTAATTAGTGTAGTGTTTCTCTGCAAAGTTACAGTCTCCCCATTTCAGAACAGGATATACACTGGGGTAAGCACGAAGAGCGACTCGATGCCCATGATCCTGGACAGAGAAGCCGGTGCAGCACGGTGAGGCTCTTTGGGACAGAGCACTGATTACCACACGAACACTTAAAGCAAGAACAGAATCACCGGCACTGCAACCGCAGCAGTCGTGATCGACCCCCAGGTCACCAAGACTCAAGATGGTAGCGACACCTCCGCAACTTCATGGGGCGGATCCAGCAACAATGAAAGCGTTCAACAAAGCTGTCCAGCCGGCTCAAGCGACGATAAGAGCAAGTGTTCGACCATCGAAAGCGTCGATCCTCAGCGCATCAATCTCAGTCTCTCAGCCATCTCTCCTTGTGAGAGCCATCCATCACCAATCACTATCAGCAAAACTCCAGCTTTTCTTCCCCCTCATCGGAGATATTATGCTCCGGTCAAGGCACTCGAGACAGGTACCCGAACCAGCCACACTCCTGAATTCGTTCCACCTCATCGCAGAGGTTTGACTCGCATCAGAACCCCCAAGACTGGTTCTGAAGGTGGTACCAGGTGAACCTTTGGGCCCTGCCCGCGCCAGAATTCACCTCTCAACAGACATAGACGATCCCTTCGAGAACCGATGAAGCAAAATTGCAATAGCGATGACGAACAGGCCAACAACAAGATTCATATTACGCCGGGACACGAACTCAAGGAACGACCTTACTCTCTCCCGCAGGCGAACCGAAATCCAAGGGCTTAGTGGAAGATGATTCTTTGTTCTACCCGAAGCGAGGGAGACAAAGAGCAGAGAACAGGAGACATGTGCGCTCGGAAAGAAGACTTCCAAAATACAATGCTTTTCTTTTCTGACTCGAAATGGTGAGAACGATGGAAAAAGACGATCGACCCGGTCTTGAAGGAAGAACGACAGCTTTTGGAGTCATTCAGTTCATGTAGCACCTACCGACAGACTCTTCTCTGACAAATCATTGATGTACCATTATGTCTCGTCGCGAACATGTCGGTCTGGTTACACTGACCGCACGTTTCTCAGAGAAGCTTTCCGCACATTACTGTCTTGACCCAGAAGTGTCACCAACTCGCAGGTCGAACGAGTCGAAAGTAGTAATCGTACCGTTTTACAATCCATCCAACCAGGAAGTCACTTCGCCCTTCGCACTATCAGATCTCTATAGAGTAGTCTACGAGAATTGGAGCTTGTATGCCACCTAGTTCCAAGCAACAATCATCATCAGGCATGCAGTCTCTTGGGCCGAAGTCTTGCTGTTACGACTTTAAGATCCGGAGCATTGATCAAAGAGCTAACGCGCATATTTCGCCAGGATGAAAGTCGTGAGTCCTTGGGCGTTTCTCGTCCATTTCGCTCTAGTAATTCAGGCTTTTATCTTCGTCTTGACTCCTTGACATAACGACCGAGCACGACACGAACTAGTTTTGTGCTTTCTTTGAGGGGTCAATTCCCGCCATGATCATGATCGACTTCCTTGTGATGGTGATAGAGTAGATACACAGGTCCGTAGCGCTGGGATCATTCATCGTGGCTCTCCTCTCTATGGATCCTCAGGATCAATAGTTGTCAGAACGACAAGTTATACAAAGCTACAATGACCTCTCTGTCCTTTGTCGCTAACAGTCTTTCTAGTCTTACAAGGTTTTCATAGCGAAAGCCAGGACCCTTCACGTCAACCAGACGTCTCCAGCTTCGAACGGAAGAACGAGACTTTAAAGCAGTAGCTCGACCTCGTCCAGCCGTTCTGCGCGCCAGCTGAAACCCTACGCCAGTCCTCCTGTGGTCAGAAAAGTTCAAAATGATCCGCCATCACCCATATCTCGTCGTTGATTCGATGCGGTTGCCGCGGGCATATCATCCTGCCCGTACAGTGTACGAATCGACGTCTGAAGATTAGACTCTGGCAATAATTATATGGGAAACACAAGCAGTACTATGGCCATTTGCGCAAGTCGACAGAGAGCTAATCGCTCTTCTAATAAACATGTAGTGACTGGACTTTTCGTATGTCTGCAAAGACCAAGATAGCTTGTTTGAAACTGGGAGAAACATATCACCACACCACCAACACTCATCCTCGCACGGATGCGAAGACTGTTCTGGGAGTTCTCCCGCCTGCAGTCCATTGTGAATCTAGGCAACCTGGACAACATCAAGGCCAGTTCATGGCTGTATCTCTCATCACTCGAGGTACCCCGACCTAAGAGACAAACATAAGAAGCACCTGACCACGAATGAGCAAGCTACCAAGGAGGTGCTTGCCCGTCAACATGACAAAGACCCCAGCTCTCGACTTGGAGCTTTGGCGGCGTCGCTTAAGGTTCCGATGGCACGGCACGGTCATTGGGTAGAATCAATTTTATATAGAGAGGTATTGGTCTTCCGCCTTTTGACGCTCCGGAAAAATCATGATGCTTTCGAATCCTGAGGACCTTTTCGCAACGTAATCAGTCTGACCACGAATATTTTTTCCATCCACTACTGAAATGGCGACCATTGAGCCACTTTGCTCGCCATAAGTCGTTGGTATATCTGTCGAAGAAGGCCATGAATGTAACGGCTACAGCTTGAGGGCTACTTTTGAAGGGGGTTTCCGCTTGGCTAATTTGGAGGAGTTTGTGCATACTTTGCATAGAATCGAGGCATCGCGGGCGTAGGACTCTCAGAGAATATTCGTCCCACGTACCACACAGCACACCACTGGCCATCGACCTCTGCTACTCAACTTCAGGAAGCGCCCCATAGTCCAGCAGACCAATTTGGGCTTCCCTGCTCTTTGGTCAGCATGCATCATGCCCTCTTCCCGGTCTCGATCTGGTAAGCACCACCTAAGTATCCTTGACAGGAATATCCTAGAACGTTTCTAGCATCTCTAGAGAGATCCAGGACTTACTTAGCCTTTTATAAAGCAGTCTCCGATCGCAGCCGTCCCAAGATCATGCAAGAATAGTGCTAGAAGGTCCCGCAGATATCTAGACAGCGACGTTCCCTCGACAGATATATGCTCAAAGCTCATCAACGCTTGTCCAGAGTCCTTAAACGGGCCATTGACCCGAAAGACGATATAGGCAGCTCCGCCTCTCTTAGACTCGAGCTAGACAACGGTGGTCGCCCAAGAACAGCGTCCGTGTAAATAAGCCGAAAATGAGAGCAAGACTGCAACCATCACAAGCGTCATTCGCTAGCACATCGATCTCAGCGCCTCCAGCATCTCTCTACCTGGAAGATCGCTCATGATCAGCAAACAAGGCCTCGGCCTACGGTGTCATAGTTGTGGGGCCGAATTGACTCCACAGTGTTGACCCTCATTCTGACCCTTATCTGGATATAACCTAGTTCAACGGAGATACCAGAGTCTTTGGCAACTCTATTGAGATGCCAGGAAGCCAGGGTCATACCGGCTACAGGAGTCGGTCCGTGTGTCGATTCACAGAGAAGTGTTCAGAGTTGTGCGCTTTTATGCGAGACTTTAAACAAAACTCTATGGAGATGTATATGGATACTAAGAGTTCTGGTGTCTCAAGTCCATAGAGTTGACTATCTATCCCAACTTGAAAGGAGTTTCAAGCTGGATATCATGGATACGCTGAATGCAACTCCACACATCCCTGTCGTGAACTTGTTGGTGCATCTTCGGTGCCGTGATTTAATAACACAATTCCAGCCGAAGCCACAAGAACGAGATGGTGAACGCTAGGTGTAGGTCATCCCGAGACAAGACTCTATTCGCCTAATCACCACGGTGATTGTAGGCCTGTACTAGAGATTGTTTGATGGCTTGGACTAGAGCAAGAACTTTCTCTTCTTGTAGTCGCCCGCACATGACCTGAAGTCCTACGGGAAGTCCTTGACTATGATCTCCAGAGACTAGTATCACTCTGTCAGTTTTGAACTTGCGTGGAGCGCGACGAACATGACTGACATTTATTCGGCTCAATGTCAAGCACAGATCCCCGACCTGTCACTGGGAAAGTGCAAGATGTATGGTCCAGCGCATTGGCTACCGCCGTGTATCCTATTTCGGTCGGTAAGCATAGTGACGGAAAGTGACGACTTTCTCAACTCTCACCGAAGTATCGATCTGTTCCTTCTTGGGTAGTAGCATGTGGCGACACAGGCATTATCACTCCATCTACTGCTCGACCAGAGGCGGTCTTAGCACCCATGGCTAACCAATACTTCATGTAAGAACGCTTGTATCCTTGAAGCTCTTCACAAAGTTTCCAGAAATCCTCAGTTGGCAATGAGCCCGAGTCTGTTTGATGATACCATTCCTTGAGTTGATCGACTGGTGGTTCTCCGCTAGCATCGATTGCGTCGCGAATACACTTGGCGGAGGTTGAACCGAATAGTTGAAACTGAATGGATATCAGATCATCGTATGTTCGTTGCGACTTAAGTGAATCAGGCTTACTAGAATCTCAGTGGCAATCTTGTGTGATGGCGGCTTCCACTCAACGATCTGTGCACGGTCAGGAAAATCCTTCCGTATGCCACATGAAGACAGGAGAAGGGCATTGACTCACCTCGTGACCGCAAAGCTTCAAAGCTTGTTCCGTGGTCGTAAGAGCCTGCTTGGTCGGAAGATCGGGGATCAAATGACCGTCATCCTTCATCATTGCGAATACAAGCCTACCACTCATAGGTGTCGCGCGCTGATGGACGGCGTCAAGTTTTTCCTGCCGCCAGGGCATCTCGAGAACATCACAATTTGATGACCACGGAGCAGAATCTAGGAGCAGCTTGATGACATGTTGAATGGACTGAGGGTCTCGAGAGATCAGACCGATCGAGCCGGAGCCGACAGGTAATCCTGGTAGCTGTTCGTCCATCAATGTATACCCACCCACTGAATTGGCATTCTGATACGTACTACACTTTCGATACCATCTGATGGCAGTCTTCCCTCGGAGAGTTTCATCCCATACAGCCCACAAAACGCAGCAGGGATGCGAGTCGATCCAGCTGGTCGCGATCAGCAATCAAAGATAGAGCGGGAAGCGATTGATTTGTCTTGCCCATGTCGGTGGCCAGGCCTAATGGCGAGCCTCTGAGTGCGATTAAAGCGCCTTCACCTGTTGATCTCATCAGAGTTGCCTTTCGTTAGCACTGACGGACTTACCACCACACGCCCCTCCAGCAGAAAAATTGCTGTTGTAAGGATTGACCGTCGAGCCGACGATGTTATTCGTGGTCTCACCGAGCTTTGGATCATTAGCTAACATTGTAATGGGTGACAATCATTCACACTACCATCATGCTCATGGGTACGTTGGTCTTGCAGAACACTACAGCACCAAGATGACGCAGCTTTTGCACCACAGTGCCCTCATCCTCAACCTTCTTGAAAGATCCGAGCCAACTGACGAAACCGCATGCGCTCTCGAGACCTCCGATATCGTATCGATCCATAACACTTATGGGTAGTCCATGTAACGGTCCCATTACACAACCATTGAGTCGCCAATAAGCATCCAGGTTTCGCGCATGCTCACAAGCGCTTACGAAGTTGGTCTCGCTCAAACAATTTACCTAGCAGCCCCTGCGTCAGTGGAGTGCTGGCTCAAAGAATATCCAGACAGGTCATTCTCACCAGCTGATGAGCTACTGCTGCACGGTGACAATGGGCAGACATGACTTCGAAAGAGGTCATTTCGCCTGTCGCAATCGAGGTCAGAATATCCGCCACATCGCTCTGTGTGATCAGTCTCTCGTTGTAACTGAGTTCGGCCGAGACAAGGCCCGACACGTCAAGACACGTAGCGGCGTCGGCGATTCTGGACGCGGGCAGTCGCCATTCTGGTGGTATCGAGTTTCGCAGTGCTTCTTGCTTGCGACGCGAAATCTCGATCCAAGACATTGAGATATCTTGCTGGTGCTATTTCCGACAACTTCTCAGCTCGAGAGTTCTAAAGACTCATTCAGAAGAACCTTGAGAGCTCGGACTTCCGGTTCCCGAGCTCTCTTCTTGAGCTTCCGCCAAGCCTGAGATTGGAGATGCGCCTGCGGAAATGCTAATAAAGAATACTGTTCTCACGTCACATCCTCTCTGGGTCACTACTAGATTGACTATTGTGTTTATCTTATATACAAAAACCATCATCAAATCTTGCATGCAGGTGCAGAAAAGCCTACAGACCACCTCACTGTACCCATGATTACTACTAGAAGACAGAATGACACGCCGACACTCACAATACCATAACGATAGGCATGGCTCGTGCGCAAACCCTTCAGTTCCAATGCCCAAGTGCTTACAGTAGTCAAGCAGCCACAAAATCCATCCTGGATTCCTTGCAAGACCGCACATCCAATCAGACCTCCACCTACACTTCTACTACTGCCAGGCAGCGTTACATGCTGAAGCGCGTAGCACATACCTAAGACAAGGGTCCCCATGGTATTTGCTATGAATGTACCAAGTGGAAAACTCTTGCTCTTCCCATTAAGCTGTAAGGATAGCCAGAATCGAACGAAGCAGCCCACGGGTGCAAACACCAGAGCGAACAAGACTTGACTTCTCCAAGTCTCTTTCGTGCTACCGAATCGATCAGGTGGGAGAATTGCCATGATGATTGCTCCAATCCAGACGCCCCAGCCAAGGATGGAGGCAAGAACGTCTAGATATTTCTCCATATTGATGCTCGATACAGAGTCGGCGAACGGATGCAGAAATGTGGCCATATGCGCTCCAAAGGAGAGCGCGCCAAGACAGGTTGTGATTTCCACTATCAGCACGCCGAGTACAGCCATGACGCTGTATCCACCTGAGCGTGCTTCGGGAGTTGATGTCACGATCATTGACGAGATCGACGCGGTGTTGAGGTCATTGGACAAAGCGAGAAATACATCTCGAATGAATGAAGAGAAAGATGTGAAGGATCCACAAAACCCGACCGTCACGCCTATATACGCAGGGATCGTTGCCTTCGCTGCCAAGAATGATTCACTGATGGCTTTTATGTCTGGCTCGGACGACCCCTCCTCTTTCGACGTGCGAGTCGACTCGCGCGGTATCTTTGCGTTCGCCCAGTGTTTCCTGAATAATAGTCTATCCTCTCGAATGAATCCCATCACGAAGCTGCCCCCAATGTTGGCCCACAGCTCCGTGTTCGGTATTGGCGCCCCTGGATATCGTGTAAGTGCTTGTAATCCCAGCCTGGCAAGTGTACCAAGTATCGAACACAGGACCAGATGCGACCAGACTTTGAACTTGATAAATCGATCCGGATCTCCAGCTGAACTCCGAGCGGCACTATGCTCCCAACGTGTGTCCGTCCCTGGAGGTCGACCATGGAGTTTTTCTTCGTCTTCTCCCTCGCGCTCATCCTCCAGATTGCTGTGTCTGTAATTTGAACCCTCTTCTGGATTTTGTTCGGGGGCTGGGCCGGCGAGCTCGTCCAAATTCTCGTAACCGGCGTCTCGTTCATGGATTGTTTCGCTAGCCAAAGCCTCGCCTGTAGTGTCGTTGGGCTCTTCGGTTCTTTGTACAGCCTCTGGTGCAGAATTCTCATCAAGGTTCGGATACATTTTGTCTTCGCTGGTTTGTGTTGATTGTCAAAGAGCAAATCAAGAGTAGCGCAAAACTTGGAATTCAACCATCCTTGAGCAATATCTAATTGAAGTATGGCGACTCCTGATTTACCGATGTCAGCCGAGAAGATCGTGGCGGCCGCGTGAGCCGAAGCCAAAAACGGCTTGCTGCAAGTGCCTCCGTCGAAGCCGAAACTACTCTTGACATGTTTATTCGCTCTACGTCATCCGGGCCAAACCAATGCACGCCCGCAGGATTGACAAGGCACTGTTCCTTGTGGAACAGCTTCTCAAGCTAGATCTGCATCCCACGCGATAATGAGGGGAGGAGAGAATTATTACGTCGGCAATTGAGAAAGACAATTTATGCTTTCATCTTCGAGTCTTGATGCGCTTCGCTTGTCGGGAGGCCCCCTGGAGTTCCATGGTTTCGAGAGTATGTCTTTGCTATAAACCAGACTTCTTGACCTGTGGACAGGATCATCCTCCACGTTGCCCGCTTCACCACAGACCGCGAGCTGAATGATGCGCAAAATCCGCGCGCACATGATTTCTGAGGAGACAGTTACTCTTTGCCTCTGTCCTCGAGGAATCGTCGTCTGTAAAGAGACGCCTTGTCTTGGTTCTGAACTGGGGGGGGAGCAGACACTTCGGTAAGACCAGCCTGCGAGTCTGGTTTGGCGATCGACGAGTCATGCTTGTTACTTTCAGTAAACACCAATCAAGAAAGCGGAGACGCACGCTGACTTTGACACTACTGCTGACTTTCCTCGTGATGCCTTTGAAGAAAGATGAGAGTCCACAAGGCATAGTGATGGGCGCAGTGGGCGTAGAACTAAACGCACTAGTGATTTTGTCGGCGAAATATCATACAGGATGGTGTTTACGATAGACAGAGCGCCAATGCGGTCTTATAACAATCTCGTACGCAGCTTGGAGGCGAAATGATGAGATTCAGCAGTTTGGTAATAGATAGGACAGATGCAAAATGATGACCGGATCGGCGCTGACGGAAAGTGCGGAAACGCTAATGAGTCTGATTCGTCCAGGTCTCTCAGACTTCGCCTTAACCGGCACACATTCTCTATAGGGACGAGAAACTCGAGATCGCCTACTGCCATGACACTGGACTTATTATGCCGAGGTGCATGTCTTTACCGGAAGATATATGTCAAAAGAGATACGCTTGATCGTTGGCCGATTTCCCGGCACGCCACAGGCATGGGCGGCTCTCGCGGTTAACGGAGAAGGCGTGCAGATAGTGCTCGACTCGTGTCCCAGTCAATCGATTCCATGAGCGCGTCCATGTTCTGGCACTGGAGGTAAAGCTCTTCGATCGACGGCGGCAGCATCGTGCCGGCCCCCGGCTCGATCGAATCCATCATCAATTCTGGAAAATCGTTCGTATCCTCGACGGTAATCTGTAGCGAGTCTGATGTTTCTCTCGTGAACCCTGCAGAGAGTTGGAATGGCACAAGAGAGTCGTTAGACTGAGACACAATCATCTGATCGTAGGGAACACTAGTTCCAAGGGTAGTTCCCAGCTCGTTCGCTGATAGTCCAGAGCTGCGGTCCGAAAATGTCGGACCAAGATCAGATGTATAGTTGTTGACTAACGGCAATCCGGTCGAGTTGGGGAGATGAGATATCATGCTTTGCCTGTGAGAGACAGTTGACTGATCGGTACGCCGTCGCTTGTTGCTGAACACAATTTGACCTGACTCTCTTGCTGAAGGCAAAAGATTGTTGTCACTCCAAGGAGGTGCGTACTTGTCGAGGACGGCATTCAGGTCGAAGTTTTCATCCTGTGTGACAGGCAATTGCTGTGTCTCGGGTCCTCTGGCATCGTCATCGTCTGTACCATTGTCTCGCTTGGTAGACAGGGATGCTTCAAGGTCTTTTATCTTGGCAGACATGCTTTTGATGGCATCGACTAGACGTGTTTGCTGCGCTTCCAGTGTAGACGCCTGCGCCGCCGTCAAGGGCCCTTTCAAGCGCTTCTTCGCTTCTGCGAAATTGAACACGCATACTATATTTCGCGCCCGGCAGCGACCACATGGGTTCTGACCATTACACTAAACAGTCATGAGTAAAAGAAGCTGGGGCGCCGGACACGTGGTGCGCTACCTTTATCTTTCGCGCGCGACATTCGTCACATGCACTCTGGACACGAGCAGGACCGCGAAGATGTTTTGGTGTCGAGTCGGTCGTATGCGCAAGCTCTTGACCCGGGTCTGTAACTTGCGGCGCTGGCTTCTGTTGGCGTAATTTTGGAACAATGAGGAACATGCTCTCAGTGCATATCGAAAGACTAGACCAGCGGCAGGAAGTGTTGACGTGGTAGTTTCACTCGAGCTGAGTCAGCAGCAGCTGCACTCCCCCGCATCCCAGCATTTCAGTCTGCGACCAACCACAGCGCTTCCATCTTCTAGACTTGTCCAGACTACTCGTTGGGAAGTGGTAGCATCAAACACGGGGCTTTTACTTTGCCGTTTACTACCGCCTTCAGCAGAGAAGCAAGTCGCTCTTATGAGTATCAGATATACACAGTTTCTTAACTGTCAATAGCGCAGCACATTCATATGAGGCCCACGCGTCGCGATGCGACTATAGAGCCTGTGAGATAAATTGTGTAATCAACCATTTCAACATGATCGCTTTTTAACGAATACTATGCTACATCAATCAATTATCTGCATGCTACGCTTCATCCTTGGATAATTTCCTCTCTAGCGACTTTTGAGCTCTTTCAACCCTTCGTTGTGTATATTCCACCTCAAACTTAGCAGCGCACGGCGCGAACAACAGCTTCCCAGTAAACGCTCCTTTGATCGTATTGAAGCTCACAAGAATCCACAGCAGAGTGACGAAGATGGAGAGGATGGTCGCCAGCACGCGAAACACGAGGCTGGGCAACTCTTTCGCCAGCGTCGCCGTCGCGACCGTGTAGACACCCAGAGGGAAGGTAAATCCCCACCAGCCCATGTTGAACGGAAAGCGAGATCGTGAGATACTCGCCACCGCAAAGAACAGCCACAGTAAGCCAAATCCCCAAAGCACGAGAGCGATAGCAAATCCGAGCGTGTAAAAGATTGGTCCGGACTGGGGTATCAATGACCCAGTCGCGGGCAGGATCTTGTTCGCAACCTTTCCAAGCTGCATGAGCGCGAAACTTCCTTGGCCGATGGGTCCAAGAGGTAGAAAGACCGATACGATCACCTCTCGCGGCGGAAGACTGTGCATAGTTAAACGCTGTAGGTAGATGACGAGAACCATCATCGCAAGCAAGAAACCCATCCCCCAGATGATATAAGATATCACCATCGTCCAGAGGGCGTACTGATTGTTGGTCAACACCTCTGCTACAACTCCCCCGGTAGCGGCCGCGACGATGGGAGAGACGACTGGCAGTAGCCACGCAGCCGTCATCGTCTTGAGTTCACCTCCGTGCTCGTACATGATGAGGAACGGAAGACCCATGCAGATGGCGATCGAAAGAACAGCGTCAAACCACCACAACGACCATGCCAGGATGGTGACCCAGTGACCCCAAACTGGAACGCAAACAAAAACAATCATATTGATAATGGTTGCAAGACCCATAGGTACCGTACCTGTCGCTTATTAGTGTTCGATGCTACGTGGCAGAAAAGTTTCGACCCAACCTAAAAACAGAGATTGAACAGGGTGCCGAAGCATTGCTTTGAAGAGCCCAGTGAAGTAGACGTATCGCACGACACTGATGGTCGTAAAAATGATGAAAAGAAGAATGTTCAGACAGAAGATGACGACCGATATCCAATACAGCCAGCGGCCATTATATGGCAGATTGTGAAGTAGGATAGAGACGATGCCCGTGCCCATGTTGACCGAAAACCACGACGGCGTGAAATTGAGTGCGACTCTTCTCCACCCTCTCTGATTCTTTGCATGTGTGCTTTGAGCTAGTTCTTCTCCAGCGTGTTGTGCTTCGTGGCAGCTTTGTCCAGGCGTATTCGCTCCGGGAGTTTGACATTCTGCAAATGTTGCCGAGGGATCCATATTGTAATTGCTCAGATGAGTGAAGCAGGATGCGAACTGATTGGATATTTATCTGATTCTATAAGCCTGCAGGATAAGGTTGCGGGGCACACGGATTGGAAGCGAAAATTGATCTTGAGCGCCCGTCCGTTCTAGCCGGGTGGACGATCGCATTAACAAATTGGTTTCATCCGGGGTTTCCGAATTCCGACCTGGGGAAGTGTTATCATTCACATCATGACTGGTCGTTCATCTACATACCACGTGTCTAGATGCTGTTATCATTTGTCTTTCTGATGGTGACGTGTGGAACATTCATGTCGTAGTATGCATAGCTCTATAACGATACTAGTTCGATAAGTTGTTATAGCTAATGATTCTTTGATAGGTAAAGCGGGTTGAAGATTGTGGGGTTAAGCTTTTGCAGAAGATAACAATACAGTTCGCTCGAAATTGAGGATGGTTCAATCACTACATATCACATTCACTGCAGGCTGCATCTAGATCATTCGCGCCTTACGAAGATTTGCCCCAGCATACTGGAACGACACTTTCTTGTCGCTAAGCTCATCCTCAATATTCATTCACCTGTTGTATTTCGCGACACGCTCTCTACGACACGGAGCGCCAGATTTCAGATGGCCAGTTCGAAGACCAACGGTCAAGTCGGCGATGAAGGCATCAGTAGGTTAACCAGAGCGATATGAAACAAAGACAGACCAGTCGTTAGTACAGGCTTGATCATATCAGTCGACAGTTTAACACGAGATGCTTGATACCTACGCTGCTATAGCCTTAAATATGGTTCTAATCTGATTAATTTCGAGTAGCAAACTGTTACACGCGCTGTATTCCTTGGCAATCTTGATTCTCCCGATATGAGTCGCAGATAGGTCATTGCCAACTAGCCTAACAGAACAGTCCTTGTTGAGTTCGGTAAAAGATCCCCAATCGTCTTGGCCGAAATGGTCTTGTAGCAGTGTAATTGGATACGACTCCGTTAAGGATCGATACAGCTGCGCCAATTTAGGTGGCTGCAATTGTTCGGAGGTTGCAGTCTTGTAGCCGATGTCGTAACAGCCGTCTCGGAATCAGGACTGCGACGCTAGGTCGATGCCAATAGAGATGCAACCCGTATCACCGGCTCAGTCAATACCCTCGGTTAACAGGTCGAGAGCCCCATTTGGGTGGTAGATGGGTGGAACGAAGCCACCTTCGTGTCCAATGCCGATGCACATTTTTCCGACTTAGCGAAGGTGACATATTTAAGTGAGGCGTAAGTCTCGGCAGCGAGTTGAACAGCTTTAGTCATTAACCATGTTCCGACAGGCGCGACCATGAACTCCTGAGATGCCATAAAGTTACCGGAATGGTCTCCACCATTAAGCACATTGAAGAAGGGGACAAGAGGATTGTAGTTGTTCTCGGTAGTCCGGCTTCGGCGGCAGCGAATTCATATAATAGAACATATCTGGCAGCTGCTCCTAATTTTGCCAAAGCCGTGCTGATACTGGGTATGCATTAATTCCATATTTTGCTCGCCCTTTATGCCATCGAGCTTGATCATAGGCTCATCGATCTTTTCGCGAGATCCGTCGCTGGATCGGGTCCAGATTTGGTTATGGCAGGATCCAGGACGCTGTTGACATTGTCAATGACTTGGTTGAGTCGTCAACATCTCGAAGCTCCACGGCTTCATAGTCGCTTTTCGAGGCTCCAGAAGGGACGAGTGACGCGAAAGTTCTTTCTGACGTGGTACGCGTGTTTGAACAGTCGGATTGCACCGCGAAGTTAAACTTTGCGTCGCTAAAATGGACTTGAGTTGCATGATTGACAAGTTGCTTTGACGTGATGTGAAAGGGATGGTGGGTCTGATCTATAAATCGCTACACAGATGCAATTTTGCTGGAAGGACGTCAACATGATGATAGCTTGCCATCGATTGAGCACAAGCACCAAGTGAAAATTCTTTGGTCTTGCGGATAATGGTAGATGTGAATCCAAGTAGGTTACGTGGTCGATGATTCTGCATGTTAATTCTAGCAAAAGCCATCGTGTCAGATGCTGGCTTCTACACCAAAAGGGGTACCCGCTCTTAGCAAGTCATCTGGTACTATAATCGACACATCCATGATATTTAGAGAGAAGACTTGTCCTATATAGAGAATTGTCATGGGCCGACATCGGGATGATCCCTTGAGCACTGCATAAGAACGACTAGCGCGAAACATGTGCTCTGTGTGACTTGATGATGAATGGCTGATGGCATTGCGATGGCAGCGTGAAGCCTACGATACTTCCACCGTGCCTTCTGCCGCGGATGAGTGCCAATATATCTAGTCGCTGGTGTCGGTGATGGAGTAGCTTACCAGAACCGAGTGGAAGCCAAGGACAAAGAGATCACAACTCGGGCTCGCGGACGAGCAAGTCGAGCACCTCTCGTCGTGCCCCGACGACGTCACCACCAAACACACCCAAGCAGTCAAGGATCTTACTTTGCATAAAGCACAATGGAAGAACGAATGGGAAAGCTCCAACATTTTTCTACATCCACGTCGTAAGTCCTGGGCAAGCGGGGTAATCAGGTTCATGGGATTTATCCGGGTTCCAACAGTTCAGAAGCAGTGTTCGCGTGCGGCCAAATGCTTTGGTAAGAAACTGGAGAAGGGTAGCTAGAGATTGTGCAAGCGACAGAGGGATCACGGACCCGGTTGACTCTGTCCTTGCCACATAGAATATGGTTCTCAAAGCGATTTTGGCCATACGTGACACCAAACAGAGACTCGGTTATGGATAATTGTCGAAGAGATGCTGCTAGTCGCTGCTCGTAAACCAAAAGGCTTGCGTATGAGTCACCGAGGGTTACATGCGAGATACGCAGTGTCAGTACCAAACAACGACAGTCGATGATGAAAAGTAGAATGATGTTGCAACGACTAAACACTTTCGCCTCTTGCATGATCCTTAGTGGTTCTCCTCAGCCTTGTAGCCGCTCTCGCCAGGGCGGTCAATAGCCTTGAACTGATCTTCTGTGACACCCTTGCCCATGGCAGCAGTACTCGACACACCACCCGAAACCATCTTGAGCAACTCATCGACGTAATTGGCTCCAGACCATTTCTGATGCTTGAGGACTTCAACGCCATTCTATGATATATGTTAGCATGATTCTCGTCAAATCTGTAAAGAATAAGGGGAATTGCTTACCTCTTGCTCCTTGCTCTGAATAGTCTCGCCATAAGCTCTCATACCACGAGCAGCATAATCCTTGCTGAAAGAGTCCGAGATCAAAGCAGTCTGATGCAAACCAGCAAGAGTGATAAACTGCCAGCAGTAACCAAGCTTGGCCAATCTCTGGATATAAGTCTCTTGCTCGGAAGTGGACATGGCAGTCTGCCAGTTGAAAGAGGGAGAAAGGTTGTAGGCGAGCTTTTGCTCGGGCCAGACGGCGTGGACGCCGGTGGCGAACTCTTCGGCTTGCTTGTAGTCGGGGAGCTTGGACTCCATCCATATCATGTCGCAGTAGGGTGCGTAGGCAATGGCGCGGTTGATGGCGGTTTGACAGCCGCCGCGGTAGCGGTAGTAGCCTTCGCGTGTGCGGGCGGACTCCCAGTCGAAGTGAACATCGACACCGGTGAGAGCCTTTGCGATAGCGCGGGACTCGGCATTGCTCTTGCCCTTGGCTTGCACGGCGAATTGAGCGATAAGCTCGGCCTTGTTGACGTGAACGCCAGCGTTGATGGTGTCGACGACAGCTTCGGAGAAGAGCTTGAGGTGGGCTTGCTCGGTCCACTTGTCTTCAATGGCTTGCAACTCGTCACCAGACTTTCCTGCTGCCTCAGCGGCACCCATAAGCTCGCTGAGGGGTTGGAGAGCGGGATTTGTTGCGCCGACGATGAAGGCGTGGTCGCGGGGGTCGATGGTAGATGTGATCAAAGTTGCGGCTTCGGAGTCTGTACGAGCGACGGCGAGGAGATCACTACCCATGATATCTGCTTGTGCACGAATGGCAACGAGGCGGTTGATGTGCTCGCTAATAGGTACAAGGACCTTGCCAGCCATGTGACCACACTTCTTCGTTCCGGGAGCCTGATCCTCAATGTGGATACCAGCAGCGCCCTTCTCGACGAACAATTTTGTAAGCTTCATGACGGCTGTGAGGCCGCCGTGACCCGTGTCGGCATCGGCAACGATGGGACGGAGGAAGTCGGTGTTTGCGAGCTTCTTGCGCTCGGAAGCAGGAGTGGAAAGTCTCTCGTGGCGTTGCTTGCGGTCATGGAAAAGCTGAGCCATGAAGAGATGTTGTACCTTATCGGGGACAGTGGTGTAGGGGTAATCGGCAAGATCGGGACCGGGCTCGTCGGTCGAGGAGGCGGTCGAAGAACTTTGCCAGCCGGACACATAAACGGTGTCGAGGTACTTGGCCATTTGGGTAACCATGACAGGGTCGAGACAACCATAGGTGAAACTAGCATCTTTTTCCTGTGATATTGTCAGTGTTTGAAGCTTGCAATCTATGGCCAGCTCGGCTTACGGCAAATCTCTTCTCGACAATGTCCCACAACTTTTTTGAAAGAACATTACCAGGGTGCTGGATGTTCAAGTTTCCGCGCTTGTTCGCAATCTGCTCAGCGGTGAAAGGGCGTTTAGTGTATCTCCAGCGAGGTGAAGACCACCATTGCTTGATAGCGGCAACTTCATCCTGGTACTGCTGCTCCTCGGCATCAAGAGAAGAAGACATGTCGGGAAGAATGTCCTTAACGTGACCCAAGATGCTCTTGAGTCTTTCGGCCAGCTTGGCGGTAGTGTAGTGTAATGGAGACTGGTGTGGTGCGAGTTTACAATCGATTCAGGATATACGTTTAGCGAAAGAAATTCCAGGAACAGATGGGACACAGGACTGATGATTGAGGCACAAAGGCGGGGAGACAAGACCTCATATATACCGTCCTACACAGAGCTCGAGAGTTCAGATTGACTTACCGGTACTGATGAGAGTAAATAGCGTCACAGGCCAATCAGAAACATGGCCGGGACCAATCGGATCAGTGGCTGATATGGTAGACTCGAACGTTTGTAGCAAAAGGCAGGTCTTGGACCGAGGTGAGAGCTCCTTCTCTGCGAGTTTGACCATGACGATACGCCGAGCGGTTGTGACTCGACGTTGAATCCCTTCATCCGAGGCTTTGGAGAAAGCATGATGGCCTGGGCCAAGCTTCTGGGGAAGAGCACATGAAAGTCATCGTGACTCTGGGGAACTTGATGCCGAACGTTGTCCGAGCGATGATCGATCGAGCTCTGCATGAAATACAAATATCTGCCTCTGCGTTTCCGAGAGTCGTGCTTAGTATACTCTGCTATACGTTAAGCAAAGTAGCCGATTCTGTCTACAGCATGTCTATAGTTGAAAGGCTCTGCGACTCTAGCTTGTTCAATTCAACTTGCTCGTGTGTCGCAAAAGTGAAAAACACAACCGACCGTTCTCTTGCATAATCTTGCCGCTCTCTACAGAGACTTCAGACCCTGGCACGTTCATGGCCGAGGCTGACTCCCCTGCTAGCATCAAATAGGTCAGGTACCGAAAGCGTCATGTTCTCGTGTACATGATTGACTCATCCCGAGTTCTTCTCGGGGCACACTCGGGCAAGATTTGATGTTGCCGGTCGCGACATGGACCTTCCAAAGTGATCATCTAGACTTTCTGTTTGACGCTCAATTGACATGCAAATCATGCGTTGTGTGACTGCGATGTGGGAAAAATGGTCGAAGATGAACGAAGCGGCTTTGCGCTACCAGGTCGAGAGACCATCATGTCATGCTTCAAGTCCTAGAACATGACCGATTAAGTCAAATCTGTGCATTTAAGGCAGGTCTTACTGCTTCTTGGCTGAAGACGATAGGTACAAAGGGTATCAGAATATACACGAGGATGCTCCAGAGCAAGCTCAAATCTTGGAGGTTCTGGTGCCAGCCTTCAAGCTGCCCTCGCCAGCGAGGTTTTCAGAAATGAACCTAACGGCTTCGACCTTCATCTTCGCACTGTACTCATGGCCTGCAGTCTCATCCACAATGTCCTCGAGCACAATGCCCTGGTCACTGAACCAGCCGTCCTTCTTGTCAAGTCCGCTCTTCATCCAGTCCAGGAAGGGGGCGCTGCAAGTGTATGGTACGAGCTTGTCCTTTCCGCCGGACAGACACAAAATGTGCTTGCCTCCCAGCTTTTCCTTGATCAGGGGTCGCAAAGTCTTTTTCTGGTCGTCGGTTGGTTGAAGCTTGTCTCCCACAAGGAATGACTTGGGGTCCCATCTGTCGGTGGCATCGCACAAGCCTTGGGGATAGTCTGTCGAGCCGAGGAAGACCTTGCCCTCTGATGATGTCCATGTTGAGAGTTTCGACTTCTTTGCGCGGTCCGCCATCAGGAACTTGTAGTCTGGACAGCCAATGACGACAACTGCAGTGGTGATGCGAGGGTCGTGCAAGATGCATTGCCAGGTTGAGTGGCCACCAAGTGAGATGCCGAGGACAAGGTGCTTTGTGATGCTTCTTGAGGAGTCGGGGAAGACGTATGAGGACAGGAAGTCTATCAGCATCGAAGTGTCTTGCGCGGTGCCGTCTGTTCCAGTAGAGTCAGCATTGCGAGATGGGCCGATTTGAGAAACATGGAACGAACGGAAGATGGAGAACATGTCTTGAGCATGCGTAGGGTTGCCCTTCTTCCAGCTCTCATTTGCCAGAGCATTAACCTCTCGCGTGCCGTGGTTACGCTGATCAAAAGAGACGGCGATGAGGCCCTTTGACCTCGAAGCTGATCGGCCATTCCAGTCGTGAATCGAGGCAGCTGCGATAGGAGCCATGATAGACTGGACTTGCAGACGAGGGTGAAGAAGCCATAATACTGCGACTTCCTTTGCTGACGATGCAAGCTCGTCGATTCCGTACACTGTTGTATGTACGCCGGCAATTGTGTAGCTTTTGGATGACACAGGCGTGGGGTCCGACGAGTTATCGGCAAGTGGATTGGGGGTCGCCATCTTCTTTATACTCCTTGGATAACAGATTTCGACACCAAGGCAAAGAGCGATCGTGTTGTTGCTAAAAGCTCTCGTCGCTCCTGCCGCGGTAGACTTGGTCGGGGATAAAACCGGACTTAGCGCACTTAGCACCCGCGTCACCTCGGCGCACGTTCGCGTTCGCCGGCAAGAGATGGAAGCTGTGTCTAATTGCTCTCCGTCATATAATTCCACCCATGCTGTCGGTTCCCTCCTCACCAAGCCGGCCATAGCAGGGCCCGTCTCTATTCAGCCGGCGGAAGAAAGTAACGTATACGGCTACACTTCACATGCCAGTAGTCTCTACAATTTGACCGAGCGTGTCGCTCAAAGACGTGACGGCAATGACACAGATTTGCTTGTTATCAGCCGGCATCGGCCTGTTTCCAGAATTCTGCGGGGTTGTCGCGCGATGACTGGTGAATTTATTTGAACACAAGAGAGGAGTCCAGTGTCCCTCCTTCTCACAAGCTGCTGCACCTTCCCTTTTCCCGAGGTATCTTTTTTTGCTTTCCTTCCCTTTCCGTATCAGCGACCATGAGCGCCTCTTTCCGTCCTGCTGCTGCCCGTAGCCTTTTGCAACAATCTGCCAACGCTGCCGTACGACCTCAATTCATTTCCAGACCCGCTTTCGCTGCAATTGAACAGAGACGAAGGATGGCTGCATTCAACAAGATCAAGGTCAAGAACCCTGTCGTCGAGCTTGATGGTGATGAAATGACGCGCATCATCTGGCAAGACATCAAGGACAAGTTCATCCACCCTTATCTCGACATCGACCTCAAGTACTACGATCTGGGTCTCCCATACAGAGATGAGACCAACGACCAGGTCACCATTGATGCTGCCGAGGCCATCAAGAAGTACTCTGTTGGTGTCAAGTGCGCCACCATCACTCCCGATGAGGCTCGTGTCAAGGAGTTCAACCTGAAGAAGAGTGAGTAGTCCCGTGGATGAGCTTCTAGGAATGCCCCCAATCTGACAAGACCAGTGTGGTTGTCTCCCAATGGCACCATCAGAAACGCTCTCGGCGGAACAGTCTTCCGTGAGCCTATCGTCATTCCTCGCATCCCCCGTCTCGTACCCGGCTGGAAGAAGCCCATCATTATCGGTCGTCACGCTTTCGGTGACCAGTACCGCGCCAAGGACCTTGTCATCAAGGGTGAGGGTACCCTCAAGATGGTCTTTACCCCCAAGGGCGGCGAGCCCGAGGAAATCGAGGTCTTCAACTTCCAGAAGCACCACGAGGGAGGTGTTGCTCAGACTCAATACAACACTGCCGAAAGTATCGCCGGTTTTGCACACGCCAGTTTCAAGCTCGCCATCGACAAGAAGCTGCCCCTGTACATGAGCACAAAAAACACCATTCTTAAGAAGTACGACGGTAGATTCAAGGACATCTTCGAGGAGATCTACCAAAAGGAGTACAAGTCCGAGTTCGAGAAGGCTGGCATCTGGTACGAGCACCGTTTGATCGACGACATGGTCGCCCAGATGATCAAGAGTGAGGGTGGTTACATCATGGCCTTGAAGAGTGAGTTGGTCCGAGTCCACTACTTGAACGTGACACTGACAGCAAACAGACTACGACGGTGACGTCCAATCCGACATTGTCGCCCAAGGATTCGGCAGTCTTGGTTTGATGACTTCAGTCCTCATCACCCCTGATGGCAAGACCTTCGAGTCCGAGGCCGCTCACGGCACTGTCACCCGTCACTTCCGCGAGCACCAGAAGGGCAATGCCACTTCTACTAACCCTATTGCTTCCATCTTCGCCTGGACTCGTGGTCTTGCCAAGCGTGGTGAACTCGACGGTACACCCGAGGTTACCAAGTTTGCCGAATCGCTCGAGGAGGCTTGCGTTCACGTTGTCAACGAGCAAGGCATCATGACCAAGGATCTCGCTCTTGCATGTGGAAAGAAGGGCAAGGGCGACTACGTCACCACTGGCGCATACCTCGACGCTGTTGAGAAGCGCATGAAGACTGTCCTCCAGGCCAAGCTGTAGATATAATTTTCGCCTTTTACGACTTTTGAAGACTTGAGATAGATACCAGGATACTGATATGATGTTTGCATTGCACAAAGATGCTCGGATTTACATGCACTTGCCACATGTGATTAGCCACGAGATGCGGATTAGGCTGGGCGAGTAGGTTGTACCACAAGCAAGTATCCGAGACAAGGTTACAGGATAGGACGAATGAGCATGGTGCGGGGTACAGAGCATATGAACCAAGCCTCAATATAAATGTAACAACACTTCCTCGTGAGCAAGGCGCCTCGTGGGCAGGCAGCTGGTTTATATACAGAGCCTGCGCGACCCTGACTGCATGAGAGTAAAACAGTCCCCTGAGTTCTGGTCCATCTGATTGCGTTTTCGGACGCTGCAGCAATGCTTGACTGGCCAAGCAAAGTCCTCCAAAATTTGGTCATTGTTGTTTGCCAGCCATGCTCACCATTCGAGTCACCGCGGGCCTTTGAATGGACGAGGGAGATGTGCTGGAGGTGGACCCGGGCAATGAACTTTCATGACGGCGAACGCAGCGGAGCCCTCCGAAGGAAAAGCAAACGACAAAGCAGTGTCATGCGACAGAGCAGCGGTGTGGAGAGAAAGAGATTTGCATGAGTACTCGAGTCCACACTCTCGGCCAAGCTCTCTACACAGGCTCTCCTGCATATACGATTACAAGATTCAGGACGACAGTTCGAGTTCATCGAGGCTCTCGCGACTCTTCAGCTCGAGTGTTTCGGCAGATTCGAAGTCACCGCTTTGATCAGCGTCAGGTCTTTTTGACAGTCGAGTGACGTCGGCGGGTTCGCAGCTTCCCCAGAAAAGTTCAAACCTCATCACGTCAAGGCTTCCTGCTTTGAAAGCGCTGAGCTGAGAAGATCTACGTGGACTGGTGGGTACCGCCTTTTTCCGTCCTCATCACTGCCTCTACTCATCCTCTTGCATCTCAATTCATATCACAAGCGCCTCTTTTGAACAACAAGCAGAGCCGGCTGACCTAATTTACCTGTCGCTTTCACAGCCGCGATAAGCACACAGCCCGATCTCGTCCCGCATCTGCCCATCGACAGCTGCATATTTCTCCCAACTCATCACATCACGATAACATCACACACGACCGCTTCACAACCTAAACCAATGAGCTCACCTCCAGCCCACAGCGGCGACAAGAAGGCATTCGCCGGCAATGGCGATAACAACACTAGACAGCGCGTCGGCTCACTCGCCGCCGTCAATGCCGACTCTCTGGCCCAGGCTAGCTTGAAGGGCCCGACTCTGAAGTCTGGTGCTGACGCTGGCGCTGGCACCGGTGCTGCTCCGTCGCAACTCCCCATCCATCCACGCAAGTCGTCGGGTGCAGCTACAGATCTCGACCCTTACTCGGCTTCGCACATCTACTATGGCGCCTCGCACAACAAGAGAAACGTGGCCAAGGCCCGTACCTACTCGGCTGTGAGTCTTGTGCACATGAATGCTTGTGAAGACCGACTGAGGCTGACATGATTTTGACACAGGTTGATCCCGGCGCTCGTGCAAACATTGTCCAGCAGATGGAGATGAATTCTGCTCACCGCCGCTTGAGTCACGGTAAGTTCTGATGACATGGATTACTAGACATGGTCCAAAGCTGATGCACTCCTCAGACGAACACGGAGACCAACCCCGCCGTTACCTCATTAATGTCGTCGACACGCTCGAGGCTCTGCTCTCGCGTGAAGACTCGGACAACAATCAACAGATCACGGTCGAGGACGTCGGTCCCAAGACCATTCAGCTGGGTACTGCTGGTTCAGGAGGCTACAAGACTTTTGATATTCGCGGCACATACATGCTTTCCAACCTTTTGCAGGAGTTGACCTTGGCCAAGGAGCACGGTCGTAAGCAGATTGTCTTGGACGAGGCTCGTCTCAGCGAGAACCCTGTCAACCGCTTGTGCCGTCTTGTCAAGGACTTCTTCTGGCCCAACCTGACCCGCCGTATCGATGGCTCAAACATTGCTCAGGTTGGCAAGGATGCAAAGGACTGGACCGACAACCCTCGCCCTCGTATCTACGTCCCTCGTGGTGCCCCCGAGCAGCACCAATACTACAGCCGTATCGCTCGCGAACATCCCGATATGAACTTGGATGTCGTGTGGCTGGCTCAGCACCCCGACAACGAAGAGTACGTTCGTGACTTGAACGAAGCTCCCGGTCTTCTCGCCCTGGAGATGGAAAGAGTTGCCGACACACCTGCAGGCGAGCCCGACTTCAAGGGTTTGCCCTTTATTGTTCCTGGCGGACGCTTCAACGAGCTCTACGGTTGGGACAGTTACATGACTGCTCTTGGTCTGCTCATCCACGACCGCGAGGATCTCGCAAAGAACATGGTTAAGCACTTCTGCTTCGAAATCAAGCACTACGGCAAGATCCTCAACGCAAACAGATCTTACTACCTTTGCCGAACTCAGCCTCCTTTCTTGACTGACATGGCTCTTCGCGTCTTTGACCGCATCAAGGATCAGCCTGACGCACGCGAGTTCCTCAAGATCTCCATCCTTGCCGCTATCAAGGAATACCACAGTGTCTGGACCGCCGCTCCTCGTTACGATCCCAAAACTGGTCTCTCATGTTACCGTCCCGGTGGTCTGGGTGTCCCACCGGAGACTGAGGCCTCTCACTTCGTCCATGTGCTCGAGCCTTACTGCAAAAAGCACAACATGACTTTCAAGGAGTTTGTTCACGCTTACAACTACGGTCATGTCTACGAGCCCGAGCTCGACACATACTTCCTTCACGATCGCGCTGTTCGTGAGTCTGGCCACGACACTTCTTACCGTCTCGAGGGTTCGGCCGCTCACCTCGCAACTGTCGATCTCAACTCGCTTCTCTACAAGTACGAGACTGATATTGCTCGTACCATCCGCAACTACTTTGGTGACAGCCTTGCTGTTCCTGCTGAGTTCTGTGTCGGAGACCAGGCACCTGGTCACGTCGAGACGTCAGCTACCTGGGACCGTCGTGCCAAGCGTCGCAAGCAGACCATGGACAAGCTCATGTGGGATGAGGAGAAGGGCATGTTCTTCGACTACAATATTGTCAAGAACGAGCACACTGGATACGAGTCTGCCACAACCTTCTGGGCCATGTGGGCTGGTGCTTGCACTCCTCGTCAAGCCGCTCTTCTGGTCGAGAAGGCTCTTCCTCTCTTTGAAGAGCTCGGTGGTCTTGCTGCCGGAACCGAAAGATCTCGTGGTAAGGTCGGTCTCAGCCGTCCCAACCGTCAATGGGACTACCCCTTCGGATGGGCTCCTCAGCAGATCCTCGCCTGGACTGGTCTAGTGAGATTCGGCTACGAGGATGAGGCCAAGAGACTGGCTTACCGCTGGGTGTACATGGTCACCAAGGCTTTTGTTGACTTCAACGGTGTTGTCGTTGAAAAGTACGATGTCTGCCACCCTGCTCATCCTCACAAGGTTGCTGCAGAGTACGGCAACCAGGGTAGTGACTTCAAGGGTGTTGCCAAGGAAGGGTGAGTCTAACATGATCGATGAAGGTCGGAATCCATTGCTAACAATTGTCAGATTCGGATGGGTTAACGCCAGTTACGTCTACGGTGTGGCTCTACTCGATGCCCACATGCGACGTGCCGTCGGTGCTCTCACTCCTTGGGAGACTTACGCAAAGGCTACTACGCTGCCTTGATCGTCTTGAAGATGTTCTACAAAGCGTCAATAACGAAGTGCCCGACCAGCCACGATTGATGAAGAACGAGATGTAGTCATATGCACGAAAGAAGAGGAAGTGCGTCGCGAACGGATTAGAGTAGAAGAAGGCGTGCATATCGTTCCCAAGACCCTGAAGTATTCTTGGATTCTTATACATATGGAAGCGACACCTACAAGAGGTTTTATCAGGGTGTTACTCGGCAGTCAATGCAACAGGCATACGTAGTTGGCATTGACGGAGAGAAGCCCATACCTGAAACCTAGGACATTACCTCGAATTGAACTTTTATTACACCTAATCTTTTCTTCGCTTGTTCGTGGTGTTTGTCAGCTTGATCGTGTGTACTTTCGTCGAGTTTCAAGTGTCTTGCGACGTGTCTTGTGTTGGTATCAGAAATGTCGTCAATAGAATCTGTATTTCTGGCTTGTGTCTTGCTTCATCAGTAATGTCAGTTATGACGTTTTGCAGAATGTGGTATGGATGTCGGAAATGGTGTCTCAAACGTCTGGGAAGGAGTGAGCTTTCCGCGTAAAAAGATTGTCAAGACACATATTGTCACTTTCCACGACAACCCATGACACCGTAGCCCTAATAATCTTCTTGATCACTCTAACAGATGATGGGAAGGGTTCAGCCATGTCAGTATGCGAATGACAGTTGTGGGAAAGTTGATAATCCATGTCGCCGACTTTTATAATTGATGGTTTCGGGGATCACCCTGGTTTTGATATTGGACCCTTGGATTCCCACCCGCTGGATGGATCTGTAGATAAGATAAGATGAGGAAAAAGTCGTGCCGTCATAGCCGGAGCAGCATCTTATCCGGGGGAGAAAGTGCGGAAACTTGCCGTGAATCGGTTTTCTGTGACATGCTTCTGTTTCTTGCAGCTTGTAAAGGGGATCGACAAGAGATAGATGGGATTTGACAGCTCTAGAAGGTTCAAGGGTCTTATGTATCTTATGTCCATAAGGTAGAGTTATAAAAAAAAGGTGCGAAACAGAAGTACTTTTGTCAAAAATAGGGAGCGCATGCAACTTCCTTTTTTTGTTCCCAAGCCACGGATACGGGGCCGTCTCCCAATTAAGAAGATTCGCCGCTGATTCTCGGGCAACTTTACCTGTGTGGATTGAGCGAGTTCCTTTCGTTTCCCGAATATGACTCTTTTTCTTTTTTTGCTCTTTCTTTCCATTGACTCATTGTTTCCTTTTCCATTTGGTTCGTTGTTTTCCTGGCAGTGGTACCTGTGGGAGTGATATCTCGAGCGCAATTGACGAACATATCGCGACGAAGGTATTGCGACTTTACTGTGCTTGGACAGGCTTCTGGAACAAGCTCCGACATCGCGACGAGATTACATAGGGGATTACGGACTTCTTCTCACAACACTGGACTCTGGAGGTCAAGGGAAAGAGCTTGGGAGTCATTGAGGAGTACGAAGACTGCGATTGAGGATTGAACACTGACGGAACAGACACGTCATATTGCGACCAAATCCATTCGCGGCGCGCACACGAGCGAACTTGAGCGTACTGGAAGCACGAAAAAGAAAGGGAAATACCAAGGATCCCCGCAGACCGGCTTGCATGACCACGGCTATCACGATAGACCAGATTGACGGCGAAGAACAGGGGTTTATACACAATCTAGAAGGGAACTAGAAAGAGAAGAGGACAAAGTCACACATATCCCAACACCATCACAATGGTCGAAGAACAAGAAAAGCCTTCACCCCAAGGCTCAACACCCTCCACACACTCGCACACCTCAGACAGCGACTCGATCCACGAAACCCGCTCAATTCGGCAAAACGACCAAGCCAATCGCCTCCAACTCGTCCGCAGTTATGCATCAGGCTACTCGGGCTACGTCCCAGAAACAGAATACGCAGACATAACACTCAAACACACGGCCACCGGTGCAACCCTAGGATCAGTAGCCACAAACGACCCAAACTTTGAAGTCGACTGGACAAACGACGATCCTGAAAACCCGAGGAATTGGAGTATGGCTTATAAAGCTTTTGTCGTGTTTGCCATGAGTTACTCCACGACGGTTACTGTGCTTTTCTCGACAAGCTATACTGTGACGGTGAGGAAATTAGAGTCGGTCTTTGACGTGGACCACCTCACCGCCCTCCTTGGCCTGACAATCTACCTCATCGGCATGGCAGCCGGCTCCACCGTGCTCGCCCCTCTCTCGGAAATGTACGGCAGAAGACCAGTGTACATTTTCTCCACCGCCGTCTTTGTTATCCTAATTTTGCCTTGCGCCTTGGCGCAGAACATCGAGAGTATTTTGGTACCGAGATTCTTTGCTGCATTTGCGGCGGCGAGTTTGGTCAGCAATGCTCCTGGCAGTATCAATGACATTGTGGTGGAAGAGTATAGGGCATTGGCGTTTAGTATTTGGAGTATTGGGCCTTTGAATGGGCCAGTTGTTGGACCTATCATTGGAGGGTTTACTTTTCAGTATTTGGGTTGGCGATGGTGAGTTTTTGCTCTACAAGTTCTGAATGTTGAAAAGGGGGAATGTACTGACGGAACTTACAGGACTAATTGGCTGGTTATGATTTTGGCTGGTGTGGCATTTGCTTTTGTGGCCATTGTCAAGGAGACGTATGGGCCGGCGCTCTTGAGGAAGAGAGCGGCAAAGATGAGAAAAGAGACGGGAGATGAGAGGTGGTGGAGTAGATTTGATGACAAGAAGGCCTTCTTCCCTTTGCTCAAGGTAAATTTGAGTAGACCGTTTGTCTTGATGGTTACGGAACCCATCTGGTAAGTCTTTCCTCCTTCTTCTTTTGCTTCTCTCCTCATCCTTCTTGCCGCAAGATGAGACAGAGCAAAGGCGGATCTGATCAAACTGAGAATGGTGCAGTCTTGCTGACATGAGAGAAAAACAGCATCTTCTGGGACGTCTACGTCGCCATCGTCTACGGCACACTCTACCTCTCATTCGTCGCCTACCCCATAGTATTCCAACAAGAACGCGGCTGGTCCCCGGGCCTCGGCGGCCTCGCCTTTTGCGGCATCGGCATCGGAAACCTCTGCACAATCCTGCTCGAACCCGCCTGCCGCCGCCTCATAAACTCGCACAAACCCGACCCCTCGACAGGAGAAATCCCCCCGGAAGCAATGGTCTCTGTAATCTGCATCGCAGCGGTAAGTCTAGCAAGCGGAGAACTCTGGTTCGCTTGGACTTGCACACCAGATGTCCATTGGATTGTCCCCATTCTCGCCGGTATCCCTTTCGGTGCAGGCAATGCCGGGGTTTTTATTTATAGCAATAATTACCTCGTGCATTCGTACTCTGTGTATGCGGCTTCTGCACTTGCTGGAAATGCGGTGTTGCGCAGTATCATGGGTGCTGTGTTGCCTCTAGCCGGTCCGGCCATGTATTCCGCTCTTGGCTCCAATTGGGCTGGCTGTACACTTGGCCTTGTCGAAATGGCTTGTGTACCCATCCCTGTGGTGTTTTATCTCTATGGCAAGAAGATTAGGAGTAAAAGCGCGTTGATCAAGAGTATGCAAGAGGACAAGAGACGGGCGGATGAGAAGAAGGAAAAGTTTCAGAGGAGAAAGGAGAGAGAGGCTATCAAGAGAGGGGATGCGGAAGCTAGTATTGGAGCAATGGCAAAGACTGGCGCTGAAGTTGCGGAAGGTAGAGACATGGAGAAGGGGATTTAGGACATGGGGTTGTAGCAGAGCACAAAGAAACGTAAGATAGGTCGTAGAAAAACAGTCTTAAGCCATCCATTCCAAGCGACCCATTCTCCCCCGGCGTGATATTCTGCGAGTACAAGAATGTCCAAGACAAGGGTCCTCTAGTTCAGAAAGGCTCTGGCAAATTTCCCTCCCCATGATGTTTTGGACTGATGGGCAGAGGCATATCAGTCTTTGGGGATTGTCAAGATCGCTCACACAATAGCGCCTTGCTTCATGCTAGTAAGTGGTGCGTATATATGGGAGTCAGAGTCAGCACAGTTATATCCGGCCCGGATCCAGGACAGATCTAGAGTCAGAGTTAGGGAAAATTGTCGCCAGCAAAGCGCTCATACTTTGAAAATATGTTGTCTTGTCCCTGGGGGCTTTTCTTGACGATTGGCGAATTTGCCAAATCTCAGACTACAAGCAAGATCCAAGGCTCACGGTCCTTTGAGGAGTCACTTAGTGTCAGCGACTCGACGACCTTCTCGCGGCCCTTCGCATAGGCGTGTTCAAGAAAGACGCAAGCCTCGCCTTTCTCAATGCAAGAAATGCAGACCTGTGGAAATCGTGGTCGGTACCTTCTTGGCACACCATCCTCTTTCTCGCGCAATTCTCGCAGACTTTCTTGATCTTTCAACTGTCAACGTACTATCTACCATAGGGAGTGAGACACCAAGAGGAACAGATCACAGCTTTACAGTACCTGCTTTAGCCTTGGCTTGACAGCATACTTCGACCCAAGAGTCTTGTATTCGATTCGCGAGAATGTCAGGGTCATAAACAGGCAAGACGTTATCATAACGAATCCTTGACTGATAGCATACAGATGGACTTTTATGCACTTCCGACACACAGCGAATTCTGTCTCCTCACACCTGTCTATACGTGTATCTTCGAGGCTGAGCGTCGACGGCTTGATCCAGAATGTGGCAAGTTCGAATGTCTGAAGGCACATCATTGCCGGTCTACATGGTGTAGGTGACGGTTCTGTCAAAAGAATCAGTCTCGCTCAGGATGGCTGGACATATAGGTCCTTGTTAAGCCGATGAGATCCTCGGGCTGAATCTCGCAGGGCGTTTGTATTACCTACGAGACGCAGAAAATGTTCCATGGGCTTATCGTGACAGGGATTTCCTGTCTGCCGAATTTGCCAGGGATGTTGAGAACGAAAATCGGTGGATCCCTCATCTTCTGGTTGTACACGCGTAGATGATCCGGTTGTATATATAACACAGCCATACCCAAGACAGAGATATGGACTTATTCGCTCACTAGAGCTCAAGTCAGAAAAGACGCCGCTAATCGATCGAATATCTGTTATGGCTGACATGACTAGCTCGGACTGTGTATTTTGCGATGTCGAGGTTCGAATAGCCAACGGCTCTGCAATATGACGCAAGCTTTTCGTTTGCTTCGCGGCTATCTTGTGTTGTGCATCCTTGTTTGAAGATTCGGCCGCTTCAGTCACTGTGGCAATCTCAAAGTTCGGAATAGCTTCAGACTGGGATCAAGTAGCGTGATGCCACAAAGTCTGGCCGCGAAAGGAGTCATGTCTCCCTCCATCAAGAGCGGAACCTGTGCTTTGACGACACGACATGGGCTGATCCCGAGGCACCGCTCGTGAGAATGGCGAAGTTGCTAAGTTCTCAGACGGCAATGCTAGTGCGAGAGACTTCTGACCCGAGGCTCTAGCAAACATTGACTTGGTATAAGCACTGTCACTGAGACGTGAGATCGGTATTTCGTGACGACCATCTGCTAGGAAGGAAGGAGAGAGACAGAATTGTATAACCAAGCTAACGCTGAACGCTCGGACTGTGTAGAAAATGGCCAAGGAAATCTCGAGGTGCGCCTCATATTCTTTGTGTCGGAAAATCGAAATTGTCATGCCGATTTCCTACATTCCAGGGACTCGAGAGTATGGACAAAGAGAACCAGAAGCCGAGCTTTGGCGACGCTCACTCAAGAGCCACAAATGGCACACTGGGTCCCGTTCTGTGAAGAACAGGAACCCTGTCGACGGTGATGACAGTCTTAGATTTTCTCTACTCGACGTACTCGGCGGAAGTTACGGAGCGATAAAATAAGAACGGGCAGCGGAAGGAATTGACGGCGAATTACAAAGATAATGCGAGTCTTTTGCTTTTTACTACTCTGGAAAATTCACAGTCAGACAGAATGCCAGGAACGTTTTCGCAACACTGTCGCTTGTTTGCGCAACCGGTGCAGGTATCCTTGATTGATCTGCCATAAAGCCTTCTGAATCGGTCTCCAGAGATAGAATACCGTACTTGTGTCGACGAAGGCAACAAGCTGTGCCTAAAGCGACACTGCAAAGTCAAATCGACCAACGAGATGAGAAAAAGGAGCTTCTATGCCTTGATCAGTCGACACGACAGCGACAAGGATTCGTCTGGTCAAGTTGAAATTGACTAGTATAATATGATGAGTGGTTATGGAGGCGTTGAAGTAGTTGGGAAGTCCAGTAATAGAACGAGGGGAAGTGCTGCTATAGCCAGGGAAGCTCGATTAGGAGTTGAAGTATGCGATGATCATATCAACTCAAATGATGTTCTTGAGATTGTGGTCGCGAGGCACGTAGTGTATGTGTTGCTTGTGGGATTTCGGTAGTCAATAATCTGGGCAAGACCGCGTCCCACATCCAAGACCCCATTTGACAACCTTGACGGGATTGAGGGACTAGTCTGAGATGTGACTGCACTCAAGCCAGGTAAAGTCTTAGGGGCGCGGTCTTGTCACGAACGAAGTTGTTGATGTAGAAGCGATAGTACTATCATTGCGTTAGGATCGTGAAAATGTCGCGCTAAGATGGTACTAACCTTGTCTCCCTCAAGCGAGGAGGAGTCCTCAGAGACGGCCATCTTAGCCATCCTTCACACGTGAATGCCGATTCTCCTCTCCGTCAGGAGTCTGGGTATCGGGGTTCAATGAGGACATTCGCAAAGATGTCACATAGCCCTCTGTATGCAACGCCAGCGATCGGATCGTCACGGAGGCTGTTCTGAGAACCAGGAATCGGTAACTCGATAGGGCTCATCTTAAGCACGAGTTTGAAGACCTCTTCTAGCCGTATAACGACTGACGAACCGCTACGTCTGTGAATCGACGGCATGTCGAGATATTCAAGGAAGATTGATGCCGGTGCCTCGTATTGTTATATCGGTTCCTCATGTCCTTGATGACACTTCCACATGGGAACGCTGGCGGCGCTGTTGTGACTGTTTCCGTGCCTGGTAGGACTGTTGCCGTGGTGGTGTTGCTTCGATATAATATATCGATACCTCTGACCCTGTGCACCCCGTTGAACTAGCCAGGATTGACGAAGTTAAACGGCCTGCTGCTGAGGGGCGGCTTGCGCGACTCTGCGGTGAGGACCAACGCGCCTGCGTGGCATGTTCTGAATTGACGAAAATGAGGTCAACGCAACAGCCACATGTATCTAACCCAATGTAATCCACCAGTCCCAGTTTCATTCTTTTGCTCTGCGCCCACACTTTGTAGAAGGAGTTGAACTGCCGGATCGACTTTGTATCCTTCATTGGAGATCTTCTCAGGCAAGCCAGCAAGGAATGACCCTACGGGTCTGATCTTCCGCTTTTGTCTTTTCTGCTGCGCTTACTGGGACAATGCACCAGACTAGGTCGGAGCAGGTGCCGTATATATATAGTCAAAGTTGGAAGACGACTAGTTTGGCGTGTCCCGATCTCGAGAAGGCTAGATCACGGTGACAATCGCTGACTATGTTATCCAGAGCAGAAGCGTCGCTCGAGATCACGGAGGGTGTTCGGTGAGCAGCAGTTTTACAGCGAGTCCAGTTTGCGCGATCACATAAGTCATCCTCAGGCCGTAGTGGTTCAGAGAATCGTATCTGTTTGTGTCTCTATCGATGGCGCAGTCGCAACACAAACGATCCACACTGAGAGCGCGCAATCTCAAGATAATCGCATCAGTGACACAGTTTGCTTGACTTTGTCAAAGTTGCCAGGTTCTTGCTTACGTCTCTCTTGCAATACCTGGTCGTTGGTGAGAGAGCCTGGGAACGTGCTTCTGGGGCGGACAGGTGAGGAAGGACTCTTGCCTCACTGATGATCACCGTGGAGAGCTGGAGGATGAATGTGCTCAGGTCATCAAACTCATGGAGCTCACCACGTCTAAGCACGATGTGGTCACCATAATGCTTCGATGCACTCAAGGACTGTTTGTGACCATGGGCATTTCTTCGAGCTACAGGATCCTGATGAAGAGGAGGTGCGGGTAAAACAGAGCACTAGGTCAGAGCAGGTGCCGTACATATATGCATAGCCAGGTTTGGAAGATGCTTGATCCGGCGACTTTCGATTATGAGGTGGCTTCGGTATAGTGACAACTAACGCTTACTGGAAATGCCTCGCTAAGGGTTCAAATCAGAGCAGAAGTCTCTCTTGGGTCCATGGAAGGAACTCGACAAGCAGCAGCCATGTAGCGAACCCAGGTCGACAGGTTGGGAAAGTTCCGAGAATGGCCAGAATCGAGTGATGGCTTCGAGTGTTGGTGGAAATGGGAAGATCACTTTGGTGAATCGCAGCTGAGACTCGAAGACTGGAGAGGTAACGAGTGTCGATGTGCCCATAGAAGAAGTCCTCGCGAGAGAAGATCTCGGTGATAAGGCCAGGAGCTTAAAAAAGTTCTCCGAAGTAAAAGCCAGGATTCACCTGCACGCTTAACATTGAAGAGGACGACAAGCATGTTTGTAGCGGAGTACGGATTTTGGAACGTGTAGAGTTAGGAGGCAAGCCTCGTGACAATTCGCGAAGCGGAGCATGACCGAGACAATATCTAGAGCGATCATCTGATTGGTGGGATCGCCCGTAGGCCAGCTCCACAAGGTGAGACGAGATCCGTGAGTGTGGGTGATCTGGTCTCTGGTGGCACCAGTGGAGCGGCCGGGCCACCGAACACCGGGGGTAGCAGACAGCGCATTCCAGCTGATCGAGTTGCCATCACAGAGATGGTACCAGCGGTGCGCTGATCGGTGTAGCTGCTACTGGTCACCCGGTGGCGCATGCGGGCGCGGTTGTCTTGACCGGCGCTGACGGCCAAAGTGGGAGGACCGGTGGGGTCGAAGGGCATGGGAACCGGGGCGACGATGACACGCAGCCCACCAGCGTAACCGGCCATACCGACCAGTCTGGTTTGGGGCCAAGCGCCGGGACGCTGGATCTGTTGAGGAGCGGCACCTCCGGCTCCGGTAGGGGGGAGGACCGGCTGCATCAGTCTGCTGAGGAGCGGGACGAGCGGTCGAAGAGCGACTGATAGGCTTAGGGCCAGGACCGATTGGGCGGTGTGGGGGAGACCGGTGCCAAAGTTGGGAGGGGGAATGGGAGCGGTGCTGCTGGTCTGACCGGGAGGGGTGTGGCTGGTTAGTCTGACTCCGACCATAAGTTCGCGAATGTGGTTGTGATAGTTTTGAGAGGTGAGCCAGCTCCATGAGTTGTACGCTCCTTAGCTCGCAGTCGACGTGAGCGACTTTGAGGTTGTGAGCTTGCCAATAGCGGCAAAGACGCAGAGGTCTTGCGCTCTATTCCAGTAGTCGCGTTCGTCCTTTAGTATAGCCCAGAGCAACACTAGGTTTGGCAAGGCTGCTAGGAGCTGCGATGCTGTTCTTCCAGTCGAATCGGGGAAGTAGATTCTGGGCTCGCGGAGAGAGGAACAGGACCACGAAGTATCCAAGCGATGATGTGTTTTGTGTTGACTGTCTCAGGTGGCGCGTCGAGTCAAGTGTATTATACAATAAAGTCATGGCTGGTATCCTCCTATCCTCCGTTGCGGGCGAGGTCTTCGAGCATCTTTCCGAAACCTCCCATATCATACCCCTCGCCCTCAGAATCATCGTCGATAACAACGGGGTCTCCAGCTGTAGCGCCATCCTCCTGAACTTTGATAGTCTGCTCAGCGGAGGTGCCAGGACGGATGGCAGTGGCCACATCGGCGCCCCGAAGCTGAGGGTTAGGGTCGAGAAGACGGGCGCCAGAAACAGACACGACGTAGCGGACCCAGTCTTGGAGGAACACACGAGGAAGGGTGGTCATCGTTGAAGGGATGTTCTGTAATGCCAGCCGTGCGTATGTTACTCTGAGGACCTCTTGCAAACTGGTTTGATCTTCTGGCAGTCTTGTAACGCAAGTTCGGGAACTCTTTGAGGATGAGATAGACACCAGTGAAGAACTCATGTTGACGTGTATGCCTTCACCAACTGTCGATGGAGCCCATAGGATTCTTTGGATGACGAGGACGTTCCTGGGTAGTGTGACAATCGTTTTGGGACTTCGTAGGGCAAGCAGCCAGAAGTCCAGTATACAGGAAGAATATCAACAGCCGAAACAGACATGATAAACACCAGTACTGAGATCGAGAAGTCGGTCAGTATCTCACAACTCTTACATGTTGATCTTCGGCATCTTGGACCGAAGATTGAGGGTGGCGAATCTGAGTGCCGTGCTTGGAGGATGACAACTCAACTCTGCCCTTGAACGGCGGTTCCGGTCTCTAGATAGTTTTGATACTTGTTCTCGAGCGCCTGGGGACGATTGGACGAGATAAGGAACCTGGAGGCGAATGTCTGCACGAACCATCTTGTAAAGTCGCTTGTACATGGAAATGGGACAGTGACTGCGAAAGGTTGCGTGAAGCATGCGGCAGGAGCCAGAGATATTGACGGAGTTGGTGGCAGGGGCCGGAGCCTTGGTACGGTAAGTGCGAGGCAATAGCGGCGCGGACGGCAGTGGCGATTGGCCGCTAGAGTCGATCGAATATGAGGGTTGTAAGTTGCTCTGTGGCGGCGACGGCTACGGTGACGACGGCGACTATCGTCGAAAACTGCCGGTCCTGACCATCTCTCGAGGAGTTGTCGGGAGAAGTCACTTCTGAGTCGATAGATGAGATATATACCATGCATGAGTTGGCCTGTGCGCAATCTCTAGTCGCAGTTGTTGAAAGCGTGCAGAAACATTCTCTAGGCGAAGCTGCCACATCTCGGGATTGACGAGATAGAAGAAAGAGCTTCCGCGGGCCTCGCAGTTGAGAAGACGCAGTTGCGGAAGAGGGAACTCACCGTTGCGGCCGTCGAATGCGTATAAGATGCAGTCGAAGAATCACATCTTTATACCTTGGGCATCAAGTCGGGCGACCGCAGGATAGAAATTCGCCCATGTAGTGTTGCGAGTAGGGTCCCTATAGCTGATGAACTGGTTCTGCTCAAAGACGTGTATATATAAGCCAGACAATGGCTGTGCTGAAGCTGATAGGTGCGACAACGAATCTGGTCGAAGGCGCATCTTGGATCCATGGCTGAAGGTGGAGAGTTGCACTTGGCAGCATTTTACACAGAGGCAGCTGGTCGCGGGAGCTGTGAGGTTGTAGATGATGACAGAGGGGCGCGGGAAGCGACTGATCATGATGCTACGACAGGATACAGTCGACGTTGAGTCCCTTGACAAATCTCAGGTGTGTAGCGATTGTTTGGGCACTCGGCTGTTCTTCGAACAAGGCTGGACATGCAAAAATGTCTCCAGAGGATAAAGTGACATGATCTTATCAAGAATGATGAGAGAGAGGTCGTCGATGATTGGTGACGACCTGCCTGTCATCCACCGTGACGGAATCTGAACAGAGAGCACAGATCTCGCAATGGAGCTGAGACTCAATTCTAGTACTTGTTGGCGAGGACGCGACGTGGCGGTGCTCATCATTACCCCAGTCGAAATTGTTGACATCAAACTTTCTCGGGGCGTACGCCAGGTACTCCCATCGAGTGCTGGCCGCGTCGATGGGGAGTTGTACTCCTAGAGGAACCGGATCGTTCTTCTTGAAGTGTTCATAATACACTCAATGAAACTATCGCACGTAACCAGTTAGTGAAAGTTGAACCGCAACAAGAGTTTCTTGCTCTTAGACTTACTGGTTGAGGTTGCTTAGCCTGCCTTCGCGCAGGTCCTGAGATTTCAGAGTTGGCTGCTCCTGTGTAAAGCGTGCCTGATTGATGCTGCAAGGGTCGATGCCGATTCTTTTTCCAAACTTCACGGCCTGATGCAGTAGCAACAGGTAACCGGTATATATAGATAGGATGATGAAGGTACAGTTGTCGATGATGCTTGAGTCGATAAGAACAGTGATGAGAGCAGACATGGCGAGTGCTGTATGGAGCCAATCCATGACGAGGAAGCGACGATGGGAAGACAGCAACGATGACATGTTCGAGTAGCACAAACTCCGCAAGCAACTAATGGATGAGATACTGAAAATGCAAAGGAAAATCCTGACAGTAAAGAATGAGCTGATGAGATAATTAGAATGACTTTGCAATGATCCTGCCAGTGAGTAGATGACAGCCCATTTATATGTCCAAACCTCAGCTGTCGTCCCCCGCACTCAAAGCGTCGAGAGTTTGCTTCCTATTTTACAGATTAGCCAACGCTTTCTTGGGGATTCCACGACTGCCACTTTTACCTGCGACACAAAGACAAGTGATGGGCAGAGGCAAGCATCAGCCATCTTGCTGAATGGGACGCCATGCTCTCGGAACAAAAGGGCCCAGAGGAACTCAGCAATTGTTGCTTTGTGTGGCTTTCTTGCCAATTTAGCATGTTGATGTAGTGGGAGTTTGGAAGAGAGGCCAACACACAGCTCTGTTGGCTAGCGTGGCAAGCAATCCTGAAGAAGTATCGGCAACTAGACGCCCTCCAAGGAACTGTCATCAAACAAGCATAACGAAGTTCGTGAAGCAAAAGAGTATGGGTCATGGAGAGAAAGATGGCAGAAATTGTGATTTGAGATTCCGCTGATTGTCTTCAGCTCCAAAGCTTGGCATCTCCAAAGCAAACAGTGGCTCTTTTCCCTGCATATGCAAGCTCATATCTCAAAGACAGGCTCCACATCCTTCCACTCCCCCTTGTCTCTACACTCCCAATACCCATTTTTGCCGCCCATCAAGCGCCAAACTTCTTCATCTCCTTCATCTCCCTTGGCAAGTTCAAAGAACCTGGGCTTCCACTCCACACCATGACTTTCCAATACCTTTCTTCTAGCTCTTTGCCTTTCTTCAAGTCTTGCCTTGAGTGCTTCCGCTTCATCTGTTTTGCCGTCTTCGAGAGCGCGTTGATCGGGGCGAAGACGAGAGTCTGTGGGTGAAATTGCTTTCTTGTCGGAATCGTCCAGCTGGTTTAGGCAGGCTGTGAAGGAGGTGTAGCCGTAGACTTTGGGGGCGTTGGGGACGAGAGGGCCGGCTGACCAGATCACTTCGCCGGTGTCTGCTCTTGAAAGACCTTCTGTCCATTTACCTGTGAGTGTAGGACGAAGAGGTGAAGATGATGATGCATCATAGAATTGTGTCGTGACTTCTTCACTGCGACCAGAGAAAATACCACCGGCTTTGAACGTCGCGACGGCTTTTGCTCCAGTAGTTTCGTTGATGATAGTCATGCTCTCGACAGGCTCGACATACTTCTCACCAGCAATGACATTGCGGAGGAAACAAGTTGCCAGCGTCCAAGAGAATTTCTCGCCATTCACATTGTGCAGAACAAGTCTAATCTTGCCTTCTGTATTCAGCTCAGCACTCTTACCCCAAAACTTTTGAGTAGGCTGTTGAGATTGAGACATTGACCATGCTGCGTCAAGAGCGTCTGCTTGGAAAGCCATGCGGACTGGGCGATGGCAGACCTTCTCGGAAACGAAGCGGAAGCCAAGATCTGAGCGGATGAGTTCGTAGGTTTCGCCAAGCATAGGATTGAATGGTTTGCGAATGGCTCTCTCCTTGACACGATTGCTGGCGAAGTTTGAGATGGCAAAGGCGGCTACATAGACGAGACGATCGAGAGCATTGTCTGGTGAGGGAAGAGCTGAGGCTTTGTGTAGTAAATCCACAGACTCGAAAGGCTCGGCGAGGCGCTGAAGGGCTGATAGTGGCTCGTTTGCAGTGACAGGCATGCTGACTGTGCTGAGATCCTTTCCAGCATTTTTTCTGAGGAAGCCAATGAGAGATGGAGGAGGTTGTTTAGGTGGAGAGATGGTGGCGCGGTAGGTGATCTTTGGCAGAGGCGTGGTTAACGGTGTGGGTTTAGCAGGGAATAGAGAAGTCTGGCCAGGTGCTGCAGCCGTGTCATTTGAGGTGATTGTGGTATCTCCCGCATCACTACTGGTATCCGAGTCGCCAGCATTGGAGGCAATATCCTGGAATTCTGAGCTGCTTTCTCTTGAAGCTTCACTTGATCTCCTGATGGACAAGAGCTGAGAAGGAACGTCCTCGGCATCGAAGAATTCTTGTGACGAGACCGAGTCGATGGACAAGCGAGAGGCAGCGGGAGCGAGCAGATTCGGATTGATGGGCATGCGACGTGCTTTTGACTCTGCAAGGAGAGCGGAGAAGTCGTTGACCACACTGTCCAGATCGCGAAGAAGAGCCAGACATCTTTCGTGTGTATCTTGCATAGTGATGGAGGCGGTCTGAGGTTGCTTGATTGAGCATTTGGGAGTGGGAGAAGTGACGGGTGAGACAGAGGCGTCAGGGACTACAAGCTGTTGGCCTGAAGTTTTGCGTTTGAAGTTGACAGGTGAGGCATTGGTGCTGGCAGAACTGGGCTTGCGCTTCCAGAAAGGTAGTCTCTCGGACGAGGTGGTGACAGAAGCTGAGTCGGCTTCCGAGAAGAAGGGGTTTGCTCCAGACTCGACAGATGATGCACTGGGGGAAGCGGCACTGATAGAAGGTGACGTCTTGACATCAGTATCTTGGGCGAGTCGTCGCAAAGCGTCGCGTGAGCCAGAAATCCTGCTGACAATTTCCTCGGCACGCTCCCACTCGACCGACGTGACGGCATCTAAAGCACCTGGGAAGTGGCTCCTGCCTTGGTTGTAGACAGCCGGAGTCGAGGGTCCGGAGACGGCAGTAGCAGAAGCACGTTCAAGAGCCTCCCTCCACGCCTCGAAATCTTTCTGGTTGCTAGCTCTGAGATGCCAGACCTCAGCACCAGAATCGACAGAGAACTCGCGAGTCTTGGAATCTGCACCAACAGCAACAAGCGACAGAGGCACAGCGCCACGCAAGGCCGAAGCATGACTGTTGCGATAGTATGACAGCGTGCCTGACGTAAAGTCGAGGGAGAAGAATCGACGAGCATAGCCTTGACCCTTCTTTCTGCGTCGCTTGCCCAGAGTGCCGCTGTGAATGTCGTGCGGCGCAAGCGAGCCATGAAACGACTGCCTCTGCCCCTTTGCAGCTTGTGTGACTTCCAGCTCTTTTCCCAGCGACTCGACAGACGCTCCTGGCGAAGGCGCAATACGTGGGCTAGACTTGAGATTCGGCGTACTCGGTTGCGCTTTGAGTTGGGCTCTGGACTTCGGTGGTGCGTTGGTGGGATGTGTCATGAGGACCAGAGTCGCCGTCTTGGACACAGTCTTGCTGAAGGTGTTGTCAAAGACCAAGCCGTACATGCCTCCCTGGCCAGGCGCGACATCGTAAGTGCCCACTCTGACCTGATCCGCCTCGCAGTTGCCAACCCACTCGACACAGCGCAAGCCAATGTTATGTAGCTTCTCCATGACGGTGCTGGCCTCATGCTTGGCTACCGATCCTCTTCTCTTCTTTCCATCGTTCACGGGTTCGTCGTTGCTGTGGGAGCTCGGCGGGGGTTCGAGAGTCGCAGAGGACGACGTGGGCATCCCAGGAGCGAGCCCATTCTTGGTGCCAGGGTGTTTGAAGATGCCAAAGTTGATGCTTTTCTTGTGAGGTTGAACGCTCCATCCGATCGAGTGGCCTTCGTTGACGTGCACCCAGCGCACGATGTAGCTCTGCGTTGTTGATTCTTGTCAGCTCTCGTTATACACTTTCGGTTCGGTCCGGGCTTGACCGCATACACGTCAGAGGGACAGCGGGGCTGGAAAACTCACCCTCGAATGAATCTGCAGATTCTCCATCTTCCTTCCTCAAAGTATCCAGAATATCAAAGTCGCAGCATCGGAAAGGGTAGGTGTTATTAGGGAGACCGGTCGCTTACGAGAAGCTTGGGACCAAGAAATGGCAGGGAGGAAAGCTGAAGTTATGTCGGCTTCTTTGGAAGCTAAACGGAGGGTCCAAAACACAACGGCCCTTTTTGAAGTCCCGACTGTCCGGATCTTACGATTCCCGACTCCGAGTTGGAAACTGTTGCGAAAAACTTGCTTCAGCTTTCTCTTCTCGAGAAGTTCTTGCGAGAGCGAAAAAGCTTTATATGGTGATATGCTGGGCAGTGCTTTGCGATCGATACCTGTTCATAGGAGAACACGCGGCCGTATCCAGATACGCCGCTTGTTGTGCTGTTCCTGTTTTGGTGCCCCCTACCCCACATTCGCAGAAACGTTTTGTGACGACGCCAAGGAACCCTCAGTTCTTGCTCAATTCAGCTCTTCTGTGCACAATTTGTGCAAGCTGTGCACCCTGCACCTTCCAGCCACCTTAGGCATCAGCTTTTCTAGCCTTGCATGTCACACCGATTGATCTGACTAGCCACCGCCTCATCACTGATATTGATAGTGATTGTTGGCAAAGACTCATAGATCGATTCATACTTGGAAGCTGGAGCTGGGACGCGCGGACATCGTTATCAGCCTTACCGGTCAGCGATAGGCTGAAGATGGATACGCTTGCGATACGGTGTAAGAGGTGGTGGAAGAGGTTGGTGAGATGGGCCAACACAACCCTTGTGATACGACAACGATTGCGATGTCAATGATACGGGTGCCGCTGTAGCAGGTGGGTCTTATGGATGATCGTGATTTCGTACTCTATAATCTATATCTATGCTCGGCTCTTGTGGCTGTGTCTTCCATCTACGCCAGTCCATCCATGCTCCCTCTATGTTCCATCCATGCAATGATTACTTGACATCTCTATTCTTGTAAATCTGTTCCTCTCCAACACGGTCAACATGTTGGGCATGAGGGTCAGCCTTGTACTCCTCAGCAACAGCCAACTCGACATCCTTTCGACGCTGCTCGGGAGTGATGGCTCCAAACAGAATGTCCATATCTTCCAGACTGCGGCCTGTGGTTTCCTTAAGGAAGATCAAGACGAAAACTCCCATCGCCGTACAGAAACATCCGAACATAATGAATGTACGCCAGCCAATGCTGTTGATGGCCGCAGGCGTGACCTTCGTAACGACGAAGTTGAACAGCCACTGGGTTGCAGAAGCAAGGCCGACACCGTAAGCTCTGAGTCTTGTGGGGAATATCTCCGCGACATAGACCCAAGGCACAGGGCCCCAAGAAGCAGAGTAGCCAATAACGTACAGGTAGATCATCACGACCATAGCAATAGAAGAGGAGCTCACAGAGGCAGCATCTGGATTGGGCGGGAAAAAGACGAGGACAGCGCCGATTATGAACATCATTGCAGCCATCCACCATGCTCCTGCGACAAGTGGCCACTTGCGACCGAAGCGCTCGATACCGATGATCAGAAAGATACCGGTGGTGATGACTTTGACGGTGCCGTAAATACCAGTGGCGAAGAGGGAGGTGCTAGAGCCAGTCAAGCCAACCTTATTCCTGAAGTCAGCGAAAGTCATGACATGCACAAATAATAACACATACCGATGCAAAGATTTGAGGCGCGTAATATCCAATAGAGTTTGTACCTGACCACTGTTGCCAGAACATGATACAGAAAGCAAGACCGAACCGCTCGCGATAACCAGGCTTCAGACACTCCTTCCAGCTGAGTCCTTCGGTAGCCAAGAATTCTTCTTCCACCGAAGCACGAATCTCAGCAAGCTCCTGGAGGACTTCCGGATCGTCGGTGGGAACGCAACGGATATATGCCAAAGAAGCAAGAGCCTCATCATGACAATCATTCTTTGCCAACCAGCGGGGCGACTCCTTCAAGAACCAAAGTCCGCAGAACATGATGCCAGAAGGGACGAGTTGAAGAGCGACAGGAACGCGCCACTGCATTGTTGTAGGCGCCATGTTACGCTTCACGCCATAGCAGAGCCAGTAACTGAACATGACACCCAGAACGAGGAACTCCTGAAAGAGACCAGAAATGCGACCACGGACGTTAGGTGGGCAGTTTTCGGAGACGAAGACAGGTGTGATAGCGCTCATGCCACCAATACCCAGGCCAGCGATGACGCGACCACCATACATTGTACCAATAGCATGCGAAGCTCCAGTCTGTACAGCAGCGCCGATCATGAAGACGACACTGAAGATCATGAGAGAGTAGCGGCGACCAAGACGTTCGTTCAACCAGGGAGCAGAGAGAGCACCGAAGAAGCATCCAGCGGTAAGTAGCGATACCACATTGGACGAGATTTCTGCGTTTTTACTGCTTGAGAACCCAGAGGTGGAGGCGGCCATGCCAAAATCGTGCTTGAAGCTCTCAAGTTCCAGGACGGATCCCATGACTCCAGTGTCGTAACCGAAAAGGAAAGAGCCCTGCGATGGGGGTTAGAGTGTTGTCGAGAAATCGTGATGGCAAGTTACTCGCCATGTAGGCCACCAAAGTCAAGAGGTAGACCCTGCGATTCTTGAAGAAAGCGTTCGCCATATTGTGCCAAGTTGTTTCGTCGAAGACTCTGCGGAGCCAGAGAGATGGAAGGAGGGAAAGAGAGGTGCGACTCAAGGGGAGCGAGACATCTTTAAACCATGGCGAGGTTGCCGAACGTCCCACTAAGTCCGTTGAGGGCTAACTTACCAATCCATGGGTAAAGCGTGCAGGCCGACGACATGTCCAGACCTCCATGTCTCCTCCACAGTTTCTCTCTTCTCAGAAGCGGAGAAACGCCCATGGAGAATTTCCCGTCTGTTGTGTGGGTCTCTTTTCCATTCTTTCTCCAGATCTGCGAGTGGAGACCATTTTTCCGTCAAAGAGGTCCGTGTGGAGAAGATAGCAAAGACCGAGAATCAAGTCTCTGTCGGCCGATAAAGATTACTGCTGTCGGACTGGCTAGAGACATCGAGCGCCTTCTCAGAAAAGATCCTCAATAACCATGTTGATATTTTTGGCTTGCAAGTCGCAGAGGTTTGGGAGGATTGTGGTGGCGATAGAGTTTGAGGGCACGAATGTTGCCGGCCGGCCTTGGCTTCCGAGTCACGTTTCAGCCGAAGTCACCATCAACAATAACCAATCGATGCTGCAACTTTACGCAACCTGTTTCTCACCGGAATTTGTCGAACGTGGATGGCGTGTGTGGCGGACGTACGTGCAGGGCATCAAGCCACAGGGCTAAACTCTTGCAGCTGCTGACTAAGGTATCGTGGCTCGGACGTCGGAATCCGATGAATCGTGCATGTAGTGTCGGTATCACTAAAATGAAAGTGGTTGCATCGGAAGGTCCTACTTTTCTTACGAGACGAAAGTCAAGATCACGAAGCGTGTGGTAGAACAGGTCGCAGATCGAGGAAGCTGGTAGGGTGTTCTGCACGGTGGCCGCGCTAATGAATTTCGGTACCTTGGAGCACCATTTTGCAATAGTGTCAACACCAGACATTTACCACCACGCGAAAAAAGAGCACACTGTATGGATATAGTAAATAGCATATAGAAACCTAGCGTTGTTTCATCGACTAATACAGCGACAGGAATTACATCGTGAAACTGGAGGGTAGTCAGGGTCAATGGCTCAGCGTGGCAGAACTTCGGCAGCCGACCCCAAGAAGTTCAACACGACATCTCGCTCTCCTGACTTGCGTACAAATCAAGCTGTCTCAATGCACAATGATTTGCAAATTCAATCGCCTCCTCGGAGATTCGCCATCTATCCTTTCTTCGTGACTGCATATAAGTCAAACCTTGCCTTGCAGCAAGTCATCAGACGAATCGCGGCACACTACGAGATGGTCGAATTAATTTGATCTCCAACCTCCACTTCAACATTCTTTAGTTCTGTTCCAGGACAACCGAAAAGGCTTTTCGGAGGTGAAACGACAAGATCTTTTCAGAAGGTCATACGACAACCCTCTCCTAGGGTGAAATATCCCTCTCCTAGGGCAATATCGCGCACCCCCCGACAAGGGCGCATCGGCATTCTTTTAACCCCAAATACAGGCGGACTACATCTTCGACCCGGTATTTGGCTCCCCCATTATAATGGCTGGCCTTATGCTGGTTTTTAGAGGGGACACATGCCTAGTTTTTGCAGCGACAAACTCTCAAGCTTCATGTAACCATCACACGCCGTCGCTGATTCTCAGTTCTGCAGTTGTTGAACCTTCGTCAAGGTTCACCAACTTTCGATCATGTCTACTGCTTTATATGCGCATGTTTGTCTGTACACTTACATCTAAGCACGTACTCCTAAAAGCAATGGGTTGGCAAATACCAAGTGCTTGCTGTTGTAGACCTGAGAGGTCACATCATCCCCTGGCCTTTGTCGTCTCGACAGTTATGAAGAGTAGTGCTTTAGGCAAAAGATCAGGCAAGCCTCGCAACGCTTGTTTCGGTATCTTGCAGAGAAAACGTTTCTCCAAACTTCGATGATCTACGAGGCTTGTTTCTGGGAGGAGTCAATCGAGTGCGTGATCAAGTGCTATCAAACGCTGCAGCCCTTTGCTGATCGGAGGACGCAGAAGGGACCCATGTGGATAAGTCATACTCCTCAAATCATAGCATCTTCAGTGCTCGTTAATAATACGGTTGAGTCCTCCGAAAGGCTGTTATTTCTACTCTCCAATGTATTGAAAGCAGATAGTAAATCGTCATATCCTCAGTATGACAAGAATTAACTGCAAGGTAAGAGAACAGAGGACTGGTACCATCAGGATGTACTGAACTTTCTTCGAGAACGTAGACAGGCATCAATGCACAAGAATGCTAATTGGGCAAGGAAGATAGTGCAAGATCTAATCTATAGCATCATATCTGCAAGATGTCCCGTCACAGTCACGATTCATCAAGATTTGGCTTTTTCCATCTACTGCCGCGGTGGCTTAGTGATTAGAGCGCCTCGATATGTGTTATTCAACAAGCATGTTATTTACCAGGGTTTTGGGAGCCTGCAGTAAAGGCGCCACTGGGTGGGGGGTTCATGTGGATCTCGCCGCGCGCTGATCATGTCGTTTGCTAGACGCGAGCGTGTATGACTGCTCCAAATCATGTCCATATAAAAACAATCGGCTGTCAAGTACGGTGTGTTTGTCCGTAGCAATCTGACGATTTTCTGAATCTTGTACTGAGGTATCCAGTGCTCGTTAGCAAACTTGCTAGATAGCCTTCCCTTTGGCCAAAATGTGTCCCTTAGTCAATTGTAATCCTCGCCGATGCCAAATCAGCTTTGCAACATGATGTTTGTTGCTGCTTGTATTCCGAGTCTGTATACCGCTCAAAAAGTCGCCGTGTCATCAGACCTATAAGCATAATCTATCCGAGGTGCGTCTTCCGTCATTTTACGCATGCCACAAGAATATTACGCCCGTCTGTAGGGCACTGCTCGAGAGGGCATCCGCCGATCCAGGTACTCGTGCATCGTCACCATCCTAAGTAGCAATGGCAGCACTGTCTAAGTCATGATCTTGGCTGTTCAGGCTACAGGAAAGTGGATTATGTATTTTCTTAGAGCCAACATTGAGTCCTCGTTCTATTGCGTGACAGTCATGAGAGGAGAGCGGAGAATAGCTGCATAGTCTGATGGCAGACATTGAGGAACATAAATCACTGCCATTGTCGTCTGTCTCAAGACTCCTTCTATGCTTGGATCTTGGGTATCCGTACACGAAAAGCACGGTATCACATGACACACAGCCTGATTAGCGACTGAGACGGTGGGAGTGAAGCCCGTGCACCACAACTCGTCCGGTCATTCACAAAGTCTCAGATCTTCCGAGCTTTTTCTTACAACTTTGTGCGCATACTTTCCAACGGACAAACAACACAGATCTTTAATCTACGAACTCTATACAATAGCCACCATGTCATGCTTTCAAATGAGACGTCCTTACCTGACATTTTACAGCAGTAAGGATGCTGCGTATGCGCAGGTGCAAGCAGCACAACAACGCTTCCAAGGAATCCGCGCACAATCGACATCGACTGTCGACGCAATTTCTGAGGCATGGGCCGTCCTTCTGGACTGCATTCGCATTGCCGCTGCCCACCATTGGGAGCTGGTGAGCACCCCAAATAGGCTAAAGGGTCAAGCTCCGGCTCCCTGGCCATTAAGCTCTCCAATACAAAAAAAAACAAAAAAACATTATATAATAACAAACCCCACACAAACAGCAAAACAGGAGACAACCTCGTATAAAAAACCACCCTGATGATATGCTCCACCTCTACGTGGTATCAGGGACAAGTAACCTCTTTGTGGTGAAACCAAGTCTGAACATCAAGTAGGAATATAGATCGAGAACGTAATTATGCCTTTCTTGAATTGATCTTGTGTATTCTTGTGGCCAGCTTGAATAAACGTGCGAAGAAATCATAAAGTGTCCGGTCCGAGCTTGGAGTATTATCAGAGCTTATGACCAGACGTCTCCCCAGCTTGACTACCGCCTTGTCGAAAAGAGGATCCATTCTATATGCAGTTTGGCATGCACTCCTTCTCTACACAATGCTCTTTAGATCAAACAAGTCCACTTTGTCGCGTTTGTATCGCGTTTTCTCTGGTCTAACCAAGAGACGAGGCAAAACATTACAAGTTGAGGGATGTCGCGTGATGTATTCAGAAATGGAAGTGCCAAAAGAGTGCAACGATGTGAGCCAGTCCAATCTATGTCTATTGATGTCTGGAGAAACCAAAAGCGAAACCACATCAGCCTTTTTCGGGCCACTTTTGTCCTCCTTCTTCAGTATATGTAGTAAACATTCCGAGCATCTTGACGGCAACGTGAGGAGTATCCACGAAGCTCCTCCTGGCGGCGTAGAGACCTCCCGTGGCAGCTTTCGAGACGAGTAGGCGATCTGCTGCGAGCAAGATACTGGCGACGAGGAGGTCCGTTGCAGAGAGATGCTTGCTGGTTGCGGTCGTTGCGTTGACTGGGATTAGAAGGTCCAGGACCCAATCCGTTCAGATGAGCCGCGAAAATACCAAGTTCTCGCCAGAAGACTCCCTCGACGCAACGTTCGCCAGAGCGATCCACTCATTGATGACTGAATGGGCAAAATGTTGCACGCAGACCTAGACGACTCCAATCAGGGCGGGGTCCAGGAGCGTCCACAATCGGAGGGCAAGTGGGCGGTACAGCGTTGAAATGCCAGCGGTGGGGGGCAACAATGCGGATCGAGTCCATTACAAGCGCTTCTGCTTCGACGAGGTCGTTCCGGTGTGTATGAGGCTGGACACGCGCGCGCAAAGTAAACAGACGCTGGATTGCTGCTCTGAGCTTAGCAATCGCAGCATATGTGTTAGCAGCCATGTGGAGGAAAAGACGGTCTTGGGATCTGTGAACATTAGACATGTTGAGCTGATGTTTGAATGAGATGTGTGATGTTTGGAAAGTGTTTTGAATATTGTTGGTTGAAGACCGGTAGAGTTTTGATGTTGGAAAATTGAGCGTTTAGCGAAGTTGACATATGGCCAGGATCTCGCCCGCTTCCTCACTCGCTTCCATCTCGTTCCTACTATGCGTTTGCCGACGACGCCGCGCGTTTGCGAACCAAGTGTCCAGCTGGCGGGCAGTCAATTTCGTAAGGCGCTCGAGACTGGCTTTTTCGCTTTTTGTTGGATACGTGTTCCTCTCATGTGTCCGCATCCAGTCATCCAGTACGCAAATCGCCGTGAAAGGCAGGCGGTGACCGTGTTTTGTACGATCAGAGGGTCTGACCTCGGTGGAGGACGGTCGCTCCATGGTAAGCTTAGTAGGGTTTAACTGGATTGCGTCCATCGATATTCAGGACGAGTGATCGATCTTGCATGGAGGTGCACACGGGCAAAGATCTTAGTGAAGACGTCGTGACCACCAATGTTGCCGTCGGACAGTGCATCGAAATCTCATGGTTACGTTGGTTCACTTTGGAGGGGCGTCGGCTAGATATTAAATGGCTACTGCCGATTACGCCGTTTACCAAGATCCGTCGGTTGCCGCGCGCACCCGACGGTTCCCTGGCTTAGCGAGCAAGGCTAATCTCCACGAAGAAACAGCTTTCCATTTTTTATTCTCCAGATCAAATATATCAATTGTCAGCGAAAGCCCTTGCCATCTCAAATTGGCGCACGAACGATTATATCGTGCCGGCTCAGTATCCGACCCTCGAAAATACGCCTTGAATCCGATTCTCTCTTTCTGCGCTATCTTACCGACGCGCTCGTTGCCGTTTGTTGGCTTAAAGGCACATAGGGAAATCTACCGTCAGCAATGCAGCTATGTAGCAAGCACATTGCGGAGAAAATGCTAGGCGGAAATGTAGACCATCGACCCACTGCGTAAGCAATTCCATCTCGGCGTCGTCGTTGGCCCCATACATCTTGCCGCCCCATGTAAGTGCCTATACAAGCTGGCTTGCACTACTGTTCCCCTTGATCACCCATGGCTTGGCGTTGCCCAGCATATCCAGAAAGGCTCTCTGTTCGTCTCACGATCGTAGAGCAACTGGGTCCACCCGATCAACCAAGCTCTTGCCGTCCAGCTTGGTGTCGCAGGCATAGTGTAGCTTGTACAATGCCGATGCTTTGACTCTGAATGTGTTGATCAATCCGGACTCAACAGCGTCCATCGAGCTCGAGCGCACATATTTCTTGCCAATCTTGACGTTCTATCATATCTCCACGACTTTATGTCTAGACCTTACCTCATTACAACCGACTGTGAGGCACACTTGTATATTGTAAGAATGTAGAGTATCACTCTTTTCTATTGGCTTAAGTCACTCAAAAAATTGGTTAATACACGCATATGTATTGAGCAATGAGTGTTTTCCATGGTTGCCCGAATATTCAGACATTAGCCTCCTGGCTGCACAAAACACTTCATGCTCGCGTTCATGATGGACCGCAAAGTCTTACCGTTGTACGGTCGTTAAGAAACCCAGCCTACTAACAGTATAGGATAGCCGTCAGGAAGACCCTCTCCTTAAAACTCGATGCAGCTCGGCAATAGATGACGTCGAACACTTGTACACGTCACCTTCTCTTCATTTTTATTGTCACTAGATGGAGTTCCAGATACGCTCCGTAAGGTGTCCCGCGATAAGCAAGTATTAGACTGTTACGGCAGCACGTCGTACACAGACTGACTTTATGTCATTCCTTGACTGCTGCTGATTCGATTGCGTCTATACTTCATGGCGGGGCCCAAGACAAAGCCAGACATCGTGATTCCGACGATGCCTGTGTCGTGTCAAATTATAAACTCTTACCAAGACTCCAAATCGAGAGCGAAAATACTCCTTCGAAGTGACGTGAAGCTAGCTTTGCTCGGCTACTCGATTCGACCCGTCAAAGCGCTGAGTCTTCCTGCAGCCCCTAATCGACAAGCCTGGATTACAGAGCAGAAAATTGCGTCTCACGCACATACCACAGTGTATAACGGCCGGCTAGGATGATGACCTCGGTTCCCGGCAGACCCCTACACATCCATGTCCTTCGGCTGCGAGCGGCAAGCACGGGCGCTCACGCTCTACTCGACATGTCGCGAACTTCGATAGGGTCCGAGCTAGGCCGCCCCCGCCCCGGCTCGAAATAAGTGTCCACCTATATTGCGCTAAGCATTTCGGCTCACGGCGGGAGCCGTACTTGACTTGTTCCAAACCCTTTCACTGCTGCGTGAGTAATGTCCCTGTAGGGGGAGCCGATCACTGCGGAAAGTCGGTCAGTCTACCGTGATACATCCGTCGACTCTTCTGTTTTCTATACCAAGTGTTTCAGGAGTTCCAGATCTCATCCTAGTCAAGCGGGACGGCGATGATCAGTGAGGCATAACGTTGATGTATTTGCAATGATATTTGTACAGCCTTACTCGCTTAAGCTAAGTTTAGCCGCGTCTCCCAAAAGCATAATCGCCCCTTAGTTGACACTCTCCTAGCTCATAGCCCGCGCATCTTCTTTTACACACCCTTCCAGCGCTTCCTAGATAGCAGTCTTGATGTCTTCTACATCTTCCAGGCCGACGCTGATGCGGATGATGTGTTCGGGCAGACTATGCACAGCCACTTGGTGCCGATTATAGTAGTGCACTAGCAAGATGAAGGGCACAGCAATAGTGAAATTGGTACCGAAACTCGAGCCTTTAGGCAAGTTGAGCAAGTCATAGAAGCGCTGGGCGACGGCGGCATCGTAGAAGACGGCGCTTATGAGGGGACCGTAGCCTGCCTCAACGGGATCTCCGCTCTGCCTTAGTCCCTGCTTTCGTCCTCGCATGAGGCTACGATAGACGGGCAGCGACTCGTCATATCGTGGGTAGTTGAGCCTTTTGATCAGAGGGTGGCCGTAAAGCATATGGGCAACCGTCAGCGCGTTTGCGTTGCACCTTTGCGCACGCCATCGCACGTGCTGGCTATTGTGTTCCAGCGTCTGTACATCCAGCGGAAAGGCTATGGGCCGCTCGTAGCGCGCTTGCAGTGCCGACTGCAGGGCGTCGCAGTAGTGCGAGGCCGGGCTGACGATGACACTGTGCATCATAGTGGTTAGCTATCTAGTAAGCTACGGAGAAGGGCGGGACTGCATTTCTCTTACCTGCCTCCGGTGACATCGGATGCGCCGCTGAACATTTTGGTGAGACTGGTCAGCATCACGTCGACGTAGGGTATGAGATCCAGATTAATGAACCCGTTAATCGTGTCGTCGCACCCGATCATGAACCCATACTTATCCGCGAGCGCCCGAAGGCGCGGTAGTACTATAGTCGAAAGAAATATATTACTCGGCAGCTCGCAGAACAGGGCTCCAATCTGCTCCCTAGCCTCTAGGCGTTGTTTAAGGTCCCGCAGATCCTGCTCCGTTCCTCGCTTGTATCTAACGAACTTCTCCTATGGGCTATGCTTAAGGTAGTAGATCGTCTCATCGTACATCCATCTAGAGGATCTGTCAGCAAATCAAGCCCGCGGTACTACCTCGCATAGAGCTGGTAAAACTACCCGAAAGCAACCACTGTCGACGTCGCTGCCACTACATGAATGGCTTCAGATGCGTGGTAGATGGCGCTTATACCGGTCGAGTACAGCGTTACATGCGCTGGAGTAATTGTAGGGAATGAGAGACTCTTAGGAGTAGCCAGTTCGGCAATTTTCGATCTAACGCGCATCGCTGTGGCGTCAGACTTAAGTATCTAGAATGGGATTGACAGTGAGGCTATCGGCTTCGGTGGTACCACCTCCATTATCCTGTAGCTCGATGTGACTTTAAGGTAGTCGATGTGATCTTAGGCAAACAAGGCGTGTCTCGTCGTCAGTCCGCCGCCCACAGTTATCTAGAACATTATAGCTGACTGCTTTGCTTCCTTAGGAAACGATGTTAAGGCAAGACCGGCGACGGCCAGCACTTAGACCACGCTTACATCGAGTTCCGGGGCTTCGGAATTAGGCAATGTCGATAGCAGCTTCCGGGTGCTCCTTTGAAATATACTTTGTATAGTCTCGAGCGAATGACTCAGTTAGAAATAACAGGCACGCCGTCTCACACTCGCTGGCGATAGCGAATCTCTTAAGGGCCGCATGTGTGAGTCTGCGTATTAGCCAATTAAGGAAGAATCTAATGACCTATAAGCACGGGTTAAGAAGACAACATTGCAGGAAAGTACACTGCTTTCTCTAAGAAAGGCTATGCTTTAGACGAACCTAGGGGAGCACCACTCTATACGGGCGTTCTTCCATTCTTCGCTCTCCGCGAAGTAGGCGATTGTAGACTTCCAGGTCGGTAGTGAGATGCTAATGCCCTATGTCATGATATGATGAGTAAGCGCTCGAGCGATCCCCTCCGAGAGGAATCCCCTCTCCGAACTGGGGCTATACATGTTGCGAGTCATGAGGATAAACATATGCAGTCCTAAAGGGCTGTGCAACGAGTCTCTTACGAGACATTGTAGCTGGATTATCAATATGTATCTGGTCGGGAAACCGCATCTTGCGATAGGACTGGATCGAATAGTAATGGAAAGAATGGTATCAGGAGCTTCGTCTTCTTCTTATAGAGATCAAGTTGGTGAATCAGGTGAAGCTAGTCGCCCTAGTTCGCGACTGTTTATGTATCACACACGATAAGTCTATAGTGGACAGGTAGGGCCCTAACTCTGCTCATCGACCACGCGTCTCCTACGCCCAATGAGGAAAAGCTTTCTATGTCCGTACTTTTAGGCGGCAGCCCGGTGATAGTATGCTTCAATAGGGCAGGCATATCGCCCACACCTTGTGCGTGCCTCGCTAGTCGACTGCGGCTAGAAGAGCCTAAACAGTTCACAGGCGAGTCCTTTAAGATATGTTGAGTTCTCTCGAGCTTACCTTCGCTATGGTACCGGCTACGCCCTAGGCTAAATCTTAGAAGATTGACGCCTGAGCTGGGACAAAGGCTTACGCGATCAGCCTTGGATAGATTCCCCAAGTTGTCATAATAGAGAAAGAAGAAGAGGAATCCCAGGAGAGTTTTATCCGAAGCTTCGGGAAGAATCTGGAGCCCAACTCATACCATCTACCTCTGCCAGTGCGTCCCTGGATGTCCTTCAACACCAGAAACACCGCAAGCGATCACTCTCAACGAGACGTCGAATGTGACAGAACACAAGACACGTCAACATGAACACCTCGACGGCTTTCACGAGCCTCGACAAAGCCAATTTACCAATCATCGACTACTCGCGAATCGAGGTTTTCTTGGCCGAAAGTCCGCCCGAGAACCTAACCGAGAACTTCGAACTCTTGAACGCTGTCAATGATATTGGTTTTATCAACCTCAGTAACCACGGTACCACCGAAGGGAAGTTGAAGAAGCTGTTCGACCATACCATGAAGTTCTCAGTAAGTGAACGCACTTCTCTTGTAGTTTTGTGCAAAGTGTACAAAGATGGAGGTACTTGAACAAGAGGGAAGAGATGGAAACCAAACTATTTTTTCATCCAGCTGGCGATCTTCTCTCCCGATGGTTCGATGACGACCTAAGATCCGTTGAGCATGGAGTCGCCGGGCCACTACTCGAACGTTTGAAACTAGATGCTCAGGATAGGCTGCCACCGCGGTTCATTCCAGCGGGGTGCAAAACCCCTAACAGAAATGCTTGGATAGAGCCTCTAAGCTCATGCATCATCGAACAAGACCCTCAGCGCTTCGAGGATGTGTGGGCGGGCAAGCACATAGCCGATCGTATCGCTAGATTGCACAAGGATGACAAGATCTTCGAGATGTGGCAGAAGTCAATGTACAGGGACAATTCACTGTTCATTCCACTTAGGCGGGGCGACGGTTAGTCTATAACGTACTACATACTCCTTTCGATGAATCCAGGGGAATCGCGCAGGGAATCCCAACCATGCTATCTTTCTCCTTGCATATGGAGATTACAACGGGCTGCTCCACAATGATATTAGAAGTCTTCCTTGCCCAGTGCACGAAACTATTTCAGTCCTTGCTCGACTTTTGGCACCTTCACCCTCACAGTTTTCCAAGTTTTCCTGATCATATTACGTTTAAGCTATATAGCGTAGCGCACGTCGACCATCTTCCCGATCAATGATCCTGACATATGCTTTCGCACTCTCCTTGTACCCTTTGGTGAAAATCTTTCTTGTCGATGATCTGGTAGCAATTCGATGCCTTAAAATTGAGGAGTAGAGAACTAATCTCAAGACCAGCCGGGCACTGGAGCTGAAGCTTCCATTCTGTTACTTTCCGTGATCTGACGCGTTCCGACGCGTACATGCTTTTGTGCCAACAACGTGTTTGTCTTACTGCTTCGCCTTTCCCATGTGCGTCAATAACGTCACTGCGTCTTCCCCATTTCCTTGCAACCTTTCAACCTCAAGCAGACCTCCGAGCGGTTCACCAACGCGACCACACAACAAGCGGGCTTCATGTACAAAGAGAGATCTTGCTATTCTGCGAACGGAACTCCTTCCACAATGCGATTGACCACAAGCTGGACGTCGAACGCCGAGCATGGAGAGGCTCCCGTTTCATCGTCTGGGGCAAGAGGCCCTGGTTGTGCAAGCATTGCTGCAACAAAAGACAACCTATCTTGATTCTTTGCGTTCGCGGCGAGCACCAGTAGCATAGTAGCGACATGGAACAGTAGCACCTTCCTAAGCACGGTTGCAATCGAGTTGTGGCAGACATGCCGAAACTAGTAAATCGGAAAAGGAAGGTCTAAGAGCAAGGTGCACACGGTATCCGCCTTCGCTAGATGGCTATGCCTGGGTCACGAGAGATATAGGCCGCCACCGACGACAAAAGTGATTGATGTTATCATTTCTGGAGACGTGGGGTGTTACGTGTTGTGGGATGTTGCGTGGGATGGTTCCTTATCTAGACACGCGCACAGACCGCGAGAGCCCAAAAAGCTTTGCGAGTTTTCTAGGCGTACGAATTCTGGGCCAGTGTCTTCCAGCCTTTAGTTCTGCTTATCATCAGAAGAATTTCATTTGATCATTCTTCTAAGCCTACTCTACCAGCGAGGTTCATCCTGGTTGACAGGAACGCCGCAGAAGATCTCGCATACGCGCGCATATAATCGTCTTCATGGCGGCGTCGTCGTCAGACATTAGGGGTGCGCCGGATGACTCTTTAGTCGAGATCGAGACTCCAGCTACTATGCAGGATAGCGCTCGTACAACCGACTCTCCTTCCCAGAATGTCAATTGCGGTCAGACAAGCTTACAAGAATCGTTTGACAACGGGGCTCTCACTTCCGGCGTTCCGCTACACACTGCCACTAGGACGAGATTACAAAGGGCAACAGTTATGGGGGTTCTGCTCATCTGCCTCTTCCTCTCCGCCCTCAACTTAACGATCATCACAACTGCTGTCCCCACCATCGCTAGCGACTTCAATGCTCCCGCCGGCTACACCTGGGCGGGCAGCGCCTATCTCTTAGGAATGCCTCCTTCGTGCCCATCTAGGGAAAGCTATCCGATATTTTTGGCCGCAAGCAGACCTTGCTTGCTACAGTCGGCATATTTTTGCTAGGATCACCCCTCTGTGCCCTCAGCAATAGCATGGGCATGTTTATAGCTGCCAGGGCTATATAAGGCGTTGGTGGTGGAGGCGCCGTCGTGCTGATTAACATCTGCGTGTCCGATCTCTTCAGCCTGAAAGAACGTGCCATGTACTTCGGCCTCCTTAGCACTGTTTGGGCTCTCGCGTCTGCTTTGGGTCCTGTACTTGGAGGTGTCTTGACTAACAGGGTCTCTTAGCGTTAGTGCTTCTGAATCAATCTGCCATTTGGCGGCCTCGCTCTTGTAGTACTAGTCTTCTTTCTCTAGATGCATAACCCTCGCACGCCGCTCAAGCCGGGTCTGATCGCCATGGACTGGATCGGTAATATACTCGCTGTTGGCAGCACGCTTAAGGTGCTCTTAGGCCTTGAGTTTGGCGGCGTCGAGTTTCTATGGAAGTCGGCTACCGTCATCTGTCTTATCGTCTTTAGCGTTATCGGCGTCGCGCTCTTCACTGTATACGAGTCCGAGATCGCGAGCCACCCGGTCATACCTCTACGCATCTTCCGCTACAGGAACAGTATCTCCGCCTGCAGCTTGAGCTTTTCATACGCCATGGTCTTCCTTAGGGGCACCTACTGGCTACCTCTGTACTTCCAGGCTGTGCTCGGGGCCAACTCGCTACTATCCGGAGTGTACCTCCTCCTATATGTTGTTGCATCATCCTTCCTCTCGGTAGGCAGTGGCATATTCATCAAGAAATCCGGCAACTACTGCTGGCCGATCATCATTGGGTTGCCCGTCATGGCTCTCGGATTTGGCCTTATGACTTATCTCGGGGACAGACCGCGCTAGGAACGTATCATCATATTCCAGATCATCGCTGGGCTTAGGTCTAGCACCGGGTTCCAGGCACCTCTCATTGGTCTTTAGACCAACATTGATCCGCGAGACATTGGCGCCGCCACATCGACCTACTCTTTTGCCCGACAGATTGGTACATCCGTTTCCGTCGTCCTAGGTGGAGTCGTCTTCAGTAATGTTAGAAACTCGCAGCAATCTGGTCTAGAGTCTGCCGTAGGTCCGCAGCTCGCGCTACAATTTGCAGGTGGAGACGCCTTCGCTAGCGTCCCGCTGATTGCCAGGCTTCCCGCCGCCCAGCAGCAAATGATCAGGACTGCCTACTGGGAAGCATTACAGAAGATGTTTATTCTATATGCCTGCGCCGCTTTCACCGCATTCTTGATTGGGCTGTCTCTCAGGCAGGCGAAGCTGTCTCAGGAGCACCAGGAACACAAGACCGGCCTTCAGTCGCTCAAAAATGAACAAGATAGGAGGAATCTGCAGGCCGACGCAGAACCTGCTGTACAACGAAAGAAAGGAGAACAGTAACGGCTGTATCAATGACGGCACCGAGACGAAATGCAACCAATACCAAGCCCTTTAACATTGCTTACCGTTGCTTGCGATCAAGTCTAATTGTAGCCCAGCATGGTGTATTCTTATTTTGACAAACATGATACGCTGATGGCATAGATCCTGATTTCTGAATATTAGAATCAGAGAGGGCTAAACTAGAGATCAAATCAGCCAGGCAGGCGGTCGATCAAAAATCAGTCAGCTATCAGGTGTTTTCCATGGTTTCTTCCATCGTCGCTATCCATGTCGTTGCTGTCAATCTCCGTATCAGCGATACCCTCCCTCTGTCAGTCCTTGGGCCGTATCATGTGCCTGATCGTGGCACCGTCCCATTGGGAATGTTCTCGAGAAGTGGTACGCATTGTATCACTAAATTTCTGTGTCAGGGGCTTGGCCCTCAACATTTTTACAGTGCTGCTGTCTGTGCAATAGCAAGTGTATCGAAAGTCGACTCCACCGGAGAAATGTCAGGGTTCTATAACAAGGATCATGGTTTCGATTGTGCTTACACCATACATACAACCCAGGCATTTCCTAGGATAAGACTGAATCCGAAAAGGCCACCGGCTCCCTTGCATGTGCGCTATCAGGATGAGTAAGGTAAACAAGAGCTAACGAGCGAGCTGACATCTGGGATTCGAACTCACAATCAATTGTTACTCCTTACCCATATGCCTCATATCGCGTTAATCGGCCTCTGTGCCGATCTCTGAGCTTTTTGTCACACCACCACACCCAATCGGCTTGAGCTCGACTCGAGATACAGATCCCATGATGATATCGTTGTTGTTGTTGTTCTTGCTGTTGCACAGAACAAAAGGGGGGTTGCCTTGGTAGAGCTAGATGGACAACAAACAACCGATATTGGAGGACGGAAGTATGAAGTTCTGCATGCGGTTCCGAAGTGTAGAGAGAACGGAAGAGCTCAAATCATTCTTGTACGGCAAGCAAGTTGGCGTGCTTCTAGACGGCGACCCCTTACTGAGAGTAAGATCTGTGCACAACCATCGAGGGAGTCTTAATTTTACTGCCACGTCTCACTCAAGTACTAGCGTCTTTGTCGGAAGTCGTGGCTTGGTGGGTCGATCTCACTCCTATGTGGCTTCCAGACAGAGCGATAGCACCGTTGGGGTGACAGTCCGGATTGAAAAACTTCAAATTCTCATCCACAGCGGGGATTTGACTCGCAATCGATCAGCGAACCTCTGATATACTCTGTTAGTGCTTGTCCAGATAGCTGACTTAACCAGCACTGGTTCGTTCGAAGCAGCGTGCCTCGATCGAGACATTGCTTGGCTGTAGAGATGTGTGGATAAGCCCATCATGAAGGCATCTCCTGAGCGAGTCTAGCAGAGCTGATATTGAATGATAGCTGCTCCAAGTGGGACAAACCGCTGCTATCACGACTGCGTATCTGAATGTCTCATCAGCTCGACTTCCCGCCGTCGAGTCCTATCCAGTGGACACCTTTGCGCATGTGAGTGCCTAGGAAGGACGACTTGTTAGAGTACATTGACTCACTAGATGCACCAGACGATGATGGCTCATGTCGTTCTATTCATTCTCACCAGGGGCGTGTCCAAGATATCCATGACGTTGAACATACGCCGAATCTTTGCAGCGGGAGCCAGCAATACCCGAGCTTGTGATATCATCCTGCTCACCGTAGTTATGTGGGCCTGTCTCTCTCCGTTGGCCGCATTGATCAAGTGTGGCGTAATCCACTTTTACGACTATCGACCACCCGCCTGTCCTGGTGATGTGAGTTGATCGAAGAAGATGCATCCTTTACTATCCATGCATCACAGTATAATATACTAACACCATCAGATCGTACGTTTTATCAGTATCGTGGTGTGTGACGTTGCCGTTGAGCTCTGTTTGATGACAACTTTCTGCCTTATGGTCAATAAATTGCAGATGAACATGCACAAAAAGGCAAGAGTCATGTTGGGATTCAACACGCGTCTTTTGTGAGTTCATATCAGCCTTCTACTTCGCTCCACAGTCGCTCACTACGCCTGACATCCAGACATCTGACGCCTATGATCATATTTTTCAGATTCTATATTGGAGCTGTTGAAACGCAATCGGGTGCTAAACAGCGACTGGCAACCATGTGGCAACAGGTGGCTCTGGGAGCTGATCTTATACTCGCTATACTGCCATTCGTCCAAAATTGGCTCGAAGGCTTCAAAACATTCGGTCTGGCTCTTGGGGACCAGAATAATGGGCTTGGAAGTCATGAGCTCTCTACCCTTGACTTGAGCCGGCGCTATAACTTGTCGTACGTGACCACGGGCAGAGCGGACAGCACCAAGAGTAGCTCTTCCAGTTCCTCTAAGGTCCCTATGCTTCCGCAGCCTCCGGGCCGGATCTGGGTGGAGGCCTCCTTCGCTGTACGGCAGCAACACGCCGAGCTGACCTTTCCAAGACGATCTCCAGTATGTACCGAGATGTCGATTACAATGGCAAGACCTGGCCACTCAGGAGAAACAAGACATTCGCTCGAAGCAACATCAGCAGATAATCTTTGCACTGACTCTGGTCCCAAGCCCCGTAGAATTAACGCCAGAAGCTCTCTCCGGCACAGCTTCTGGGGCGCGATCGATGCGGAACTTCGCCTATCAGGAATCCTTATCGCTTGTAGATAGAAACTCCATCATCTTCTATACGTCCGCTCTATTGTATATACAGCTCAATATCCGTACTATATTGATGGCCAGATCAGGCGCATAGGCATCCGGAAATCGGTTGACTTCAACGCGATGCCGTGTGGGACAACTTGGTATTAGCGGAAATGGGACAAGACTTACGACGAAGACTACCAGCGGTACATCAAAAATCTCAGCGGTCTCTTCTGCCGGGTTCAGGCTCTGTCGACTATAAGGGGTTGTAGATCCTTGAAGTAGACTCTATTGCTGCACACCTCGAATCTTTGCGACAAAAGCATGAGCGATCTAGTCGTAGAGTTTCAGAACGAATATACAGCCGGCGACAGCCGTCGCGGTCCGACCGGACCTGGATTATAGCATGAAACCATCATCGCAAGCTGGATGACTTTTTCTGATGAAGCATCAGCTTGTTACCCAAGCGAGCTGAACAGCTAGCTTGTCGAACTTATTCTTCACTTTTTGCATATGAACAATCATATGCCAAAACTCGCAAGACTCAAGCCCCACATTCTCACGATACCCATCCAGTCAACTTCCATAGCACCGCGTCGCAAGTGGCGAGTTGCCTTTTCTTCATCACAGATGACTTGGGGCAGCCGAAGGATGTGTCTAGAACCACACCCAATCCCGCAGTCTTGTAAGGCTCTTATATATCGATACCTTTGGCTCGATCGTCTAAACATGCGCTATTGATCGCAGCGAGGAAGACAGGAAACACGATGCAAGGACTTTTACGTTGATGGCTGGATATCAGCCAAGTAGCACAAGAAAGGATGTGGCGATAGTGGGCCGCGATCTCTTCCTGTTGACACTGTGGAGTGTGCTTGTACTGACCAGGGTACATGCTTGTATGGAGATAGATGATATGGCGGAGTACTGCATTGTTACCTACTCGTGTAGTCAGCAATCCGTCCGATTCGAAGTCGGAAAGTCGCCAGTGATAAAGACACGATATGGCTTGATGACCATACATGATCGAATACTATCCGCTCGCAAGATGATGACAAATTGTCAACCCTCGCTGGATTTTACAAGCGACGGACCGAAGCCTGCAAATTCCAGAATCTTTGCAGCTTGTACCCAAAAGCGGCCACTGGGTCTTGATGCTCTAGGATGCTCCCAACGTTGTTTTCAACATCATGTCTTAATCGCAGTGCCAGCCGGCCAAGTTCCACCTATCTGGCATCAACATATCTGCGCAGTCTATAGACAGCGGACGGGTGTATATTATCCTGGCATGATTGCCTGACAACATGTCGTGATGCACACGGAGCGATGAAAGATGATTGCTTGACTCGATACATGTCCAGGAAATGGCAAGAATTCGGGTTCCCGGCAAGCGCTGCGTACACGTCCAGGAGTAAGGTGTACCAGAGTATCTTGATATGTAGTCGATTCAATTTCACCTTGTCTTGTTGATGTACAATATTTCCCAACTGTCGAATGTGTTGTGACCACATAGCCTCGCCCGTCTCGTTACTATTTGCCTTGAAGGATATGTCGAATATTAGCAGTAGAAAATGCAGATATAGCAGAGACCCTAGGGGTAGATCACAAATCCAACAGGGATGGAGACAGCCTGTTGATAGTGCTGAAGAGCGCATTCGAGCAGATGGGAGTACCCTTTGGATACGAGAGACAGCTTGGTAATCGCGTGTATAGCATGATGCAACTGTCTTGATGTCAACGGATGTCCACGAAGATCACATGGAGTAGGTACTTACTGGCTGGAACTCTCTAGATACCTCTACCATCATACGTCCTCCATACCGGTCTGCCAGTCTAGATTCCCATTCGAGGGGCATGATCCTTTCGAAGACAAAGGCTTCGAAAAATGTCATGATAAACTGTGGAAGCTTATGCGGCAGAGCCTGGCGGCCGCTCTTTTGTTGTTGGATTCCATCAGTTGTTCCTTTTATCCTTATTATCGAATCTATTAGATATTAAATCACATCAAACCACTATGTATACGTTGTTCGCTGGTGAAACATCTTGTTATATACTAATTAAATCATGCATAGAATGTGCGCCAAAAGTTATATGGTCATTAGTTGCCTTTTGATGTTTAGTGTTCTAAAAACATAGTTGCTAGGACGACCCTGTTCTTTCTCTCGAATCTAGCTTGGTAGTAGGCTGTATCGAACGCCTGCGTTTGACTTCTGTCCACAACGGCTACAGTCACAAGATCATGTCCACCTCGGGTGATGTTTTTTGAAAAGCGAAAATTAAAATTCGTAGCAGCACATCGTTCGTCGAACGGCATGGTTCGGTCACCCGACCGCACCTGCTCGCGTTCAGCTGTCATTGCGAGATCTGAGACCCAGCGAGACATCGTGGTTTTATTATCGTTTTCCCTGCATGTGTTCACCGAGATTGCAGGTCAAGCACAGAGATGCGCCTTCCATGTCATGCGAAGTCAACTTCGCTCGGCCATCCGGTATCATGCACTAACGCGCTGGACATTGCTCACGCCCTACTTGACAAGCGTAGATCATGGGGCATAGGGTCAGGCCTCGTGCACGTTCCACCATGACTGATAGTCGGCTACATCCACCGCGCAAACTATGACTATAGGCTGGTCCCATTCTTCCGTTAGCACAACCTTCAAGCTTGACTAAACATAGCTGGTAGTGATAAGAAAAGTACCCCTCTCGTTATTGCTCAACTTATAGAGGAACACTCTTCTGGACTCTAGAACTTTTGTTACGCCTATCGATACCGGTCTTATAAACTAGCGGCTGCAAGCCAGGCCCGCTCGATTCAATAGCGTCAAGCCAAAACTTCGCTGCACTCTTCTGTCGCCGTTTAATGATTTTGAGCTGCTCAGAATCAGGAAGTGCTTGGATGCAAGGCGTTTCACTTGAAGCTCGCCCTTACCCAATTAGGGGCCTGGTACGGTCTCCTCTTCATTATCTGTGAGATTTCAAACTTGGACAATGGTATGAACAGACTCCCACGGTTTAGTGGATCCGCAGTAGTTCAACGGTTGTAGTGGATTCCCAGGCAGCTGCTTTCCCAGCTGTGACAATGCGTGACAAGAGACTACAGCGAGCTGACTCGAGATGTGTATAAGTATGATCATCATACATGCCATAGCTTGCCCACAATCTGTAGTCACATGTTTTGGCCCTGCCTCTCGTCCCACACAACCAGCTCAAGGCGAACATTATGGCTCTTCAAGATCTCACCGACGTTATCGACCGAGTTTGGTTCTGGATCACAAAGAGTGACAAGGAAATTGTGCCCAACAAGATCGCAGCCGCTTACAACCAGAAGGGTGGCTGGGAGGGATGGGCTCAAGTCGAAATTGCATATCTCATCCAGACCAAGTACAACAATGTCACAATCGATCGAGAGGTCAACGTGTACTCCGGGACTAAAAAAGAGAACGACTTTGTCATCACAGACAAGGGCAATCCCCCGAAGCCGAAACAGATCATCGAGCTGAAATGCGAAAGGGGCACCCAGTCCGCGGCACAATTCGTGCAAAGCTTCTCCGACGACATAACGAAGATCCACAATCTTCCCATCAACCCGTCTTACAAACCAGCCAAAGCATACGCGGTCGCTATAGTCTGTACCGTACTGACTCAGCAGCTGATGATAAATACAGCTTGGCAAGTCAAGGTTAATAGGATTCAGTGTGGTCAGACTGGGATTCTTATCTTCTGGAATGAGCTCGACATCGTCTAAGGTCTATTCGAGCCATGTCTTATCACTCTTTCTATCTCATGATGGTGTCATGAGTGGCAGCGCTTGACTTTGGGACAGAAAGAAGCTTGATCCGAAACTTGGTAGGATTACGAAGGATATGGTGTGTTGAATTCTGAACGCGGGACGTCTCATCATATGTTCTCTCTTAAGAAGTCTCCACTCCGGAATCAGGTTCCTTCCAATTATCTGCTCGTACATTCCAAATTTCACTGTGAGTCGGGTCTGCCTCATGTAGTCATGTGCTATATTTCCCTCTAGATCTATGGCTGCAACAATTCCGACACATAGCTGCTAATGTCAATGGGCTGCTATCTGGAACGATAACCTAGAATGAACAAGTGACTTTTATAAGTACGGTCTTGCTGAGAGAATCAAAAACGGGTCCCTTCACTATGTTTTCATATACAGTAAACCCCTTACCACTTTCATTAGTAGTCTTAAAGTAACTCCAATGAGAATCATACTGCGGAAGGCAGACCCTAAATCGTTCACACGGACTTTCTTGATCGATGCTGGTGTTTGGCTATGTGATAGCCTAAGTCCACCTTCCATCTGCAGCTCTGTCGGAGTGAGCCGCAGTCTTACCTTCTAGGCGTGGTGTCAAGATAGTTGTCTGGCTCTGTTGGGAGCTCTGCGGACAATAGAGCGCAATGTCCGCCGTCAATTGGCCGCAACGGAATCGTCCAGCTCCTAGATCTTCTTTTGTCGGAGTACTTCGAGGGAACTGATGACAACAACATGCCATGGAACTCCTGCTTCTCAATGCTTCGAAGAGCAATACAACAGAAGGACTCGATTACAGGCCTTATTGAAGAAGAGCAAAGCAAATGGGTTGGTATTATTGCTTTGAATCGTCGTTCTAGCTAACCTCTAGATGCTTCTAACAAGCCTTCAGTACTGGATGATACGCTTACTAGTGATGACTGGCAAATGCTCAACAAGTACCTTGGGTTTCTGTAACCACAAGAAGAGACTACTATGATCCTCCAAGACCATGGCAAGTGTAGTACTCAAAAGCCAGCATGCCGTAACCCCCCAAGATTCTCAATCTACTACTGAACACTTGTATACGCACACTCAAACTCAGGACTCTTCCAACTTTGACACTCCCTCTACAACATCATCTCGCCAGTCACGACAAACACGGCCTTTGCAACAAGAGATTGAAATGCCTCCCCCTCCCACTCCTCCACTTCTCACCCTTGTACCGGAAGCCCTACCAGCGGTCAATTACATCTCCTATGCTAAAATCTATCTTGGGTGAATGAGATGCAACAAGTTCTACGAGCTTATAGACCGCTCTACTGCATAGGTTACTGCTCTCGCCCCACATCTTGCGTATACCTAGAGTTATCCGAGGGTACTCGAGGTTCTAATCAGCATAGGTGTCTAGCACAAAGATAAGGATTTCGATGCTCTGGAAAGACTACTCAGATGGAACACTTCCAGCTCGAACTGAACACGTGGAGCAAACACCCGATAAGCGCCGAAAGTCCTCACCTTTTTGACCTCGATGATGATGTTATGGAGTCTCTTGATAATGAGTACCAACAGTGGTTTCAACGCCCTTGGGCCTACTTTGGTCCTAAGAGCCCTCCATTGGAGCTCTGGACTAGCAATGCTATCAAGAAGACATCTCTGCAGCTTCAGAAGGTGGCACTTGATGTGTTTACTGTCCCTGCAACGTTAGAAGAACCAGAGAGGGTGTTTAGCTCTACAAGGTTGATGATGAGACCACGTCGATTACGGCTATTACAAAAGGTTATCGCGATGAGTCAATGCTTAAGAGACTAGTCATGGCAAGACTTTGTTACCTTCCAGATCTTTGAGACAATGAAGGAGAGGTTACAACACGTAGAGGCTATGCAGATTAATGTCTGATCCGCTCTCTTGAACCACAATTACTCTCCTGAACGACCACCACATCCGGTGGATATTGCGTCAAGCCATCCATGGATCCATAGATGTGGATGTGACCATCACTAATGGATGTCTATCCAGTGACTTCACGGATCGAAACCATCGAGCTTTACTTTAGTCAGATCGAAAGCGATAGCTCTTAAAAGCGGACTTCTGCAAGATTAACGGCTTTCTTCGAGACTTCTCATTGCGATATTCCCGATTCTTAATTCCTCGCTGTTGACTGAGCTCCAATGGTATACAAATGACTATATGGAGTTTTGGGAATGATTTGCAGAAAGGGCAGTGGAGGTACTTTTGTGTCGGGAATTATTTTCAGAGGCGATGTTAATGATTATACCTAGGGCTACAGCAATCGCGAACATAGGTCAAGACTAGCTTTTCAACTATTGTTTCCATAGATCCCGATTGCATACCAGCCTTTAGTGTGGTGCCTCGTGTCGTTAATGCCGTCCTCTATATAGTCTAGAATTATATACAGCCCAGGAACCTTGTGCTCTGTCCAGCCATACAATGTCTAGGCGACGGGCGACCAACAGAGACACAAAAAGTGGTCCGATCTGGACGACGGACAATTGAGGTGCCGTGTGCTCTCACGAATCTTTTGATAGTTTCGAACAGACGCAAGGCTCGCATGGTAATGTCTAACATCCAAACGGAATATTCAAGTATGTAAATCGCAGTCTGACCGCCATTGCCGAGGCGCTCAACCCAGCGTCGAGGCAAAATCCTGTCGTCCACAAATGTACGTTCTCCAAACCATGATAAGTGGTGAATAACCCGTGCTTAATCATTCTGCTGAACCATGACCGCTTGTCTTTTGTGCAAAGGTGAGCAGAAGGCGGATTCCGACCAGTTTGGGTATGGTCCTCAGAAGAATAAGGAATGATCGTCTCTCGTACAGCAGAGCCGCCATTGCTGCAATTGAGGATGGCTTTGTCAGAGTAAGATCGTGTACTCTTATCTCCTCCACATCACCATAAATCAAGGCCTTCAAATTGTCTTTGATCAGCTGATCCTTGGTGTTCAGGCAGGTAATCAAATACAGACTGTTGCTGAGTGTTGCAAGCGAGGAACTCAGTTGGGGTGATGGAAGAAAAAACCTGGTCGTGTTAGCATGGTCAAGAGATGGAACGCGATCCCACCCATTGATTTTCCTGAGGTCTTGGGATGGCGACGCTATTCCTTATGCTCTGCGGAATGTTACGCCTCTAAACTCCCGATTAAAATCAAGGCTGGCGATTGGTCAGCTCCAAAAAGCATTTTGTGTTCGCAACGGCGCCTCACTGTTATCTTAGATTGAGTGCTCGCATATACAATTACTGAGACAGCTCAGTACTGTTCTATGGATGACCCTTAAATTCCGCATTTTTGATCTCTTGAGACTAGTAGTTGCAGCACCGTCCTCGATACGAGATCTAATTTGATCTTTGCCCTATTCTGGTCTCCCGCTCTCGTGGTCTGACATTAGCTATAGCTTCAAGACACAGATTCGCATATCTGAGATCTACTGTGCCCCGCCTTATCGTGAAATTTAGCTCGTACAACCGCCGGCGTACATAAACAACGGTCCAGCCCTCGGAAAGCCTGGTGCTACTCTAGCCGAGCAACGGCGACGTCTCAGACCCTGCAGATGCTTCAGTGGACTATTGAACTACGTCAACGAGTATTATTGGCGCCATCAACAAGATCGACCCTGATCCTACACGAATGAAGTCGTGAACGCTGGATAGCAAATCGTCGTTCCTCGACTCCAGCTGACTAGTCTACGTGCGGGCTCCATGGCATGATCCGAAACAAGGCGGGATCTCGTGTTCTTATTGCCGTCTTTGTCGCATGGACTTACCAGAACTTCTCACCGAGGCTGTAGGTCGAGCGCAGAAATACTCCTTCCAAGTAATGCAGAGCCGCTTTGCTCGGCTATTCGATCTCAACCACTACAGCGTCAAACCTCAATAGCGCCCTACTTGACAAGCCTAAATCAGGGGGCACAAGTTTTAGTACCATGCACATCCCATTACGACCAACGGCCGGTTCTTGCTTGGCATTATGTCAACACGTGAACTACTTGGGGTCATATGGCGTATCAGAGAAGAAAGCGACCTATGCATAAGCTCTTGAGAAAGAGGGACTGCCACAAGAACGTCGCGTCATTGCTGCATGCTAGTTTCCCAGTTTCGACTATCTACTCCATTGATGGAAGGTTTCGAGAATATGGAAGCTGCAGAACGAGCGAGCTGTCACAACGGCAAGCTGAAATAACGGGCGACGGAACCTTGATGGACACGATCCAGGAGATGACTGCAGGTTGTTATGCATTCGACGCTATAATTGGCTTGTGTAGACGAGTTCACTGTACCCGTTAGTGTACTTGGTCACTGTGCTGAACGACGTAGAGACATGCAGATCAACTCACCGTATAGCGACTACATCCATATGTGAGAGTAGTCTGGCTAGCGTGGTTGGTTTAAGGCGTTGTGCTAGCATTGGGGCCATCTGATCCTACGCTGCCATACTCCTTCGCGGAACTATGCGGGGCGCATGCAAGCTCTATACGTGGGTTCTGACGATCAAGTCTCTCTCGATTGGTATTCGTGGAGTTTACTTGCGTTGATTGGCTAGGCCGAAGCGAAGAAGCGTAGCGGAGGAGACGGGTTTTGGCAAGACCACAAAATACATAAGGACGCTGCCCACGGGTGCCCCATACAGTTTCTTTCCCGAAATCCCAATTCTGCAACTTTGTCATTGCCCATCTCTTCACTTGTGCTCTAATTACGACCTACTTCGGAAGTTTCGATCATCCTCGGCAGTGAACGAAGCCATGGCTTGGACGTTGAACAAGACCACGGTGGCGAATCGATGCCTTGTCGCGGGAACCATTGGACTTCATCTGGAAGGCAACCTTCATCCCACCTGGGTTCCCACTGGCGGTGAGACGCATGATCTGTCTGGAAAAGTCACTAGTATCACTTTTGGGGCATCAACCTACAGCATCGCTGGTTTGACCGCTAGCGACTCGAGCTCTGTTGCCATGATCACTAAAGAAGACAGGGCGAACAAGCTAGCCATTGACGTTGCTGACGCTAAGGGTCACCTGACCTCGTTTGAGACTGCTCCTGGCAAGCCTCTCTCGACAATCATACCTGACGATGGTGCTGTTGGCCATCCGGATGTCGACCTTGAGGTTGAAGCACTTGCTACCAGGTACTTGAATCGCGCCATCACCATTGCCGATCGCAAGCTGCATCCGTTGCAGAGCAGACTCTTGATGGCTTCCGACAAGGGTGACGATAAGTTCGATAATTTGGTCGCCATGCTCAGCAACACAAGTTCCGACCCAAAGACCGAAGCTGCTAACGGTGTTCCTCCGTCTAACTCGCGCATCGCTGCAGACCCCGTTGTGCCGGCCGAGGTCCCTACCGAGGCCAAGGCAAACATACCAGACAACATGCTCAAGTTGTCGCAAGCTCAGGGTGCTGTCTCCCTGTACACTAACATCTGGAGCATCGCTATGCGTACTAAGCGAGGTCATCCCGATGCGTATAAAGTGTCCATACCGGAAGAGGCCAGCCAGCTGAATGCGGACCTGGCGGACTCTGTTTCCCAATGCTTGCAGGGACCCTTGGCTGGGTACCTTTCGAAAATCGATGGCAACAATGGTGGTATCCATAAGGAAATGTGTGTAAGCCTACTATAATTCTTGTTCAGAACGCGTGTGCTGATGGGCTTCGCCCTATTGTACTAGGTTCACTACGGACATCCACTTAGAGTTTCTCAACACCTTCTTCGATAGTTTCGGTTTCCAAGCCGGCGACATAAAGGAACTGGACGGAGTCTTGACTAATGTCGTCCAAGCATTGTCGTCCCTGAAGGTCTCATCGTCAAGCACTTCCTCTGACGTCAACCATGTTATGACCACACGCGGCTTCCGCGAAGTCATTGTGCCAGACAGTTCAGGCTCACCCGAGATTGTCGCTTACGAGCCCATCATCCGCTCTACGTATCTGCACGTTGCACAGAGCAGCTGGGAAGTCTCCATTGGCAAAAGCTCGGTCGAGAAAGTCAAGTTCGACATGGACTACGCGGATGACACCTATGTTCTCAACGTCCCGATCTTTGACAAACATACGGCCAAGTTAGATGCGGTCATGCAAAGCTTAATTTGTAAGAACACGGCGGATTTTGGCAAGGATATCACGCATGCCACAGCGAACGGACAGCAAAAGAGTAATACATCATCCGAATCTGCAAAGTGAGCGGAAGATCTGGTCGGTGGTGTCATAGCAACCCTCAAGCTTCTTAACATTGTATTCAAGTCGCGACAATATGATAGCTATGATATAGAAGTAGCGATGAGTCTGTTCTTTCCTAGTATATGAGTGTGGACGCGGTAGTAGTGCAACTGCCTAATTGAGCGCTGACGTATATCACACTGAAACGTGACATGTTCTCAGACATATCACTCTTTTCTGCCTAGTCTCCTCACCTCCATGATTGATTGATTGATCGATGGGATCGATCGGGCTACTTGTCTCCACGGCAAACATATCATCCGTCTCCTACTAATTTCACCCTCTATATTCGCTTCTGTCCTTATCCCATTCGTAAATCACGTAAGTAATGGTTTCTCGTGTAGCTCCACATTCGCATCCCGGCGTGTCGGACATTTTCATATTATATAGAATACTCCCTAGCCTAGAGTGTCCTTTCCGGCATCGGAATAGGATCGAAGCTCCTTCGACTGTTAGTGCGTTAAATACAGCCGTTATGTGTGGGCTTGGAAGGGCCGCATTCAGCCGTCATATGCTTGCTCCTATGTGTTGTGTGCCTAGTGGTCTCGAAGTCCTGACTTCCTTCCAGATCTTGTCGAGTTGTGATTGGAATGGTTTCTTAGTCACCCTTAAGACCATCTTGTCTGTAGGTTCCGCAAAGCGTTGCTGGTATCTCTGCGCCTTCGAGATGTCGTAGTTAGGTGGGTTAGGGAAGTTAGGGGGATTAGGGAGGTTATAGAGAGACTCCTCCTCGATGGCCTCCTTTGCCAGTCTGTCCGCCCTCTCATTCCCCTCTATGACTTTATAGGCAGGTACCCACTGTAGACGGACCGACCCTCCCTCCTGGTCCCGGAGAGCCTTAATATGCTTACGAATGCATCGTACCACATACTGTCCGTGCGTATTGGTTCCCTCCACGATGTAGCGTATAGCTCGCTTGCGATCAGTTGCTATGGTTGTCGCCTTAGGAGTGGCTTCCTCTGGGCTTGGTATAATAGGGCCGCTTCGATGGCGATGAGTTCTGCGACAGTCGAGTCACCCACTGACCATCCGGGTAGTTTTCTCTAGGTGATGGTCTTCCAACAGTTTCCTCGAACTACTGCGATACCGCCTTCTCCGTTCTTGCAGGTCGCGTCTGTATACAACGTGGGCTTCTTCTCCTGGAGGCCGGAAGAATAGCAGGATCAGGAATAAAGGACAGTCGACCCAACATCATAATCCGACTAGGATATTGTCGTCCAGCTGCACTGCCCTACTTTCAGCGGAACGGTCATTCGACATCAGGGAATGATTGACTCTTTCTCGTTACATATTCGTTCTCCTCCGCGCTGTAAACTTTCCTGCCTTGCAAAGGAGGTAGATGACTGTCTCTATCGTTGTGCATCCTCTCCGACAGTTAAAAACGTCACCTACGCTTTAGGTAAATGGTCTGCTGCCGAAAGAATCGGACGTCTGATGAGTACGCATTATGTGTCCATCTGTAAAACTGAGCACGACAAGGAGGTCGAAATTTGACGTCATGACGGGCGAACTGTCACAACGCACGTCCTACCTGCGCATAAGATGGCTTGCAGAATTCAAACGGCGAGCTGAATCAACGATGTCAGCTGAGTCTTACGTTTGATCAGATACAAACGCACCAAAATGTCCAATCGTATTTCGGACGATCCTTCGTGTGGCGACGACTTGCCGAGTACCCCCACCAGCACGTTCTGCTTCCTCTTCGATGATATGTGCCAGCTGATTTGTACCTTCTCTTTGCAGTTGTGTTCCCCCAAGAAAGAGACCCCGAGCTCGTTTGCCCTAGTGGATCAATTCATAAGCCAATGCGTGGTGGTGTATAGAATCTTGTCTTTTCGATGCTAGGCGTCGTGGCGACGTGGATCGACTTGGATGCACCGATGATATAACAACCCTCTCAGCACAAGACGAGTAAGCAGGAGTCTTATTCTGCGTTACTCGAGAGCAATATAGAGATATCACAGTCCAAGAAACAGTTCAATCTGATGCGAGAATATCAGAAGCGCACGTATCTTTTGATTGATCGATCATCGAAGTAGATTCTCTAAGACAGAAACCATCGCTCAAAACAAGTAATGATATAGCGCTGACAGTAAGATCCAACCTATCTCGCCAGCGAAATACCACATATGGCATGCTGAAAAGCGTCAACTTCCGGGTCTTTAGATTCTCTTAAACTCGATACAGATGGATCCCAAAGCATCACCATTGTAATCAGCGCCCCACTGCTGCGCATGCCAGTCCGCTGGTACATCGGTTATCCTGAATTGATTTGAACCAGCCCAAGGACAAGAGTAGAAAATTTTGGCCACTTTTTGTCCACAATCTCCAGTGGAAGTCCTGACATACACATCGACAGTCCCCTCCATCCCTGCCCATTCGTTCTGTTTTCCTGTTTGGCCATAGGAAAATTCCTCGTGGGGACCAATAGCTTTACCCTCGATGGTACCGTACTCGATCCGATTGCGGGTGCTTATGTCTTTTGTGTCCTCGAAAGGCCAGCCCCAATGCTCTGAAGTGTTTGGGAACTTGAGTCTCAAGGTGTCGTCGAAGGATTTGTTACAGAAGCGGAGGAGAGCCCATTGCTTCCAACCCATGATTGGTTAAATTGTGGCAAGATTGTGGTAACAGTTGTGGATCCTTTCTGGATTGAGAAGTATTCGATGAGGATGTTATGCTCTGGAAGATTGAGAGTGTATGATGATTATATTGCAAGAGTCTGAAGCCGTATGCCGAGCTTTTATGTCCAAGCCTGAATTTTCGGAGTTCATGTTCGGCTAAGTATCTCATTGCCAGCATTACTTATCAGCTCAGAGCTGAGAGGGCGTTGAACTACAACGAGACTACTGGATGTCAGTACCCAGCTTATGATTTGATTCAATAACGAGCGGACACCCCGGGGCTGCGACTGATCACAACGGCGTGAAACGACGCTATAGCAAAGGTTAGCGAGCCGTCAAAAACCCCGCTAAGTCCTGGACCGCATGGCTGGGTCCTTATGTAGCAGCGTTGCAAATCCTCCATATACGCGTTATTTTGCTCGGGATACGAAGTCAGATGCGACCCGCATGTAACTCGAGCTGAACTAGTACAGTTAATCAGCTCAAGACTGGAGTATCGATCCTGGTCTCGACGGGGAAACTTCAGACTAGTGCTCCGTAGGAGCAACCTCGGATGGTCAGGTGACAGAAGAAGAAAGTCTGGAGTAGTAGCGTGATCCACCAGAGATAGTTCAACGACCATGCAGATCAGACAGGTGAAGGCTGAGCGAGATTCGTACACCAATGCTTCCAAGTATGGTATCTATAAATGCGATGCCGTATGTGGTTCTAAGGCAAGCTTTCATAACAAAAGTCGGCTTGCACTTCAACCCATGGTGCAAATTTCATGTTCCAATCTGCAAATCCAGGATCCATCGAATCTGCCACATATCATTTCGTTCCTATCTCCAGACTGCCCATTGGCTCTGAGTGAGGTATCATGTCCAAATGTATGAGCTTCCCATCTGATCTGAGCTGGACGTCGAGATCGATAACACGACGACAGTGACCGCACCTACCAAGGTCCTTGAGATCTTGAAGGCAGGATTCCATGTTCAGGTCCTATTCATCAACCAGATAAGCGGTATCCAGGAGCCAAAGACAACTGTCGGCTCAGGTGCTTTGGCTGGTGGCGGGGTAAACCTCGAGCAGATGGAGCTGAAGGCTTTCCGTCATAAGCTCGGAAAGGCAGTAGACTCCAAATGGTCGTTCAGCTTTGAGAACTGCGCTCCTGTGGAGGATGGCAATACTCTGCTGTACTACCTGAGCTTGGTCGAGGGCAATATGAAGAAGTTGCAAACCCTAGATGGAGGCGATGCGGCGGCGGATCTTGCGACACTTCCTGTGCTGACGGTGTATATGGCTGTCGGAAACTCCATGGCACCACCACCAACCGGATTTGGAGCGACTTGGGCGCAGAACAAGAAAGCCGACGTTGATTTTACAGACAGAAACGCCTCCGCACTGATCGCTCCGATTCTGTCAGCCAATCACAAGGCGGAATACATCACTGAGACTGCATCGATAGGGTCTGAAATGGTTCCTGCAAATGGAGGAATGTTAGACTGCGTTGTCGACTTCTCTGACGCAGACTGGAACAAGATTATGATGCTCAACAAGACGCTGTATGCTTTCGATGTGCGTGGGAAGAGTCTGGAAGTGACCAGCGCCAGACTCCCTGCTTTTGAGCTTAACCTAGAGAACAAGGATATCTTCCAGGGGGTACATCTCCGCCCTTTCGTGGAGATCAATGATGCCCCCCACATTGACATTGCTGAGGTAAGCACAGAGTTCCAAAACTCACTCGCCGATAACGCCTTCTCTGCCAGAGCGGTAGACACAATGGTCAGCGGAGGCAATCCGATGTTTTCAGCTAGCCTGTCCGCCGGACTGAAGTCAGAGACATCTCGAGGTTCTGGATCTAGTGAGGGCTGTCAGAAGAAAAGTTACCTGGCGACGTACAATTTTCCACGCGTGAAGCTATTCTTGGACGAAACCACCTTGTCGCCATCGCCGTACCTGGAAGCAGCCTTGGCTGTCTTGTTTGCTTAGCCTCGCGCGTGCTCTGAGTTGTATTTGTCATGACACATAATGACTAGTTCCTAGTAGTACTGTGAACAGCTGATCATGATCTTCATACGGTAATTGGTTCATAGAGTGCAAACTATATAAGCACTACAGATAGTACCTGTTCAGGGTAGAGAGCAATCTCACACTTCCTTACAGTCTTCCAAAAAAGATAAAAGATCACAACTTCTCTTATTTCAATGTCTGGAACGATCAAAAACAACTACAAACCTTTGGATAAAGGCAAGGATGGAACCTTGTCTTCCGGCGGCAAAGCACTTGCCCTTGTACTGGATATCCTCGTCCAACCAGCCGGGACTGGAAAGGCCACCTGGTGGATCACCTTAAAGCGAGTCCCTGATAAGGTGGACGACTTGACTCGCTTCCAAGGCTCGATATACTATTCCAATACTGGAATAGTTAACACCCCAATCAAGATCACAATCAAACATGGACCAACCGTGTATCAGGGTGAAGGACCCCGAGATCTCACTAAGGTCAATCCAGTTACCCCCTAGCTGGTAAGACATCTAAGATCTCAACTTTCCACGATCCTATACTGAGTTGTTCAGTAGCCTTAGCTTCTCGATCTTATGCCTTTCACTATCGCTGAGTGAGCAGGACTGTGCTTTTAGGCGTTCGAAGTTCGAAGGACACGGAGAATGCATTTAGGAGCCACACGGGGTCAGTTGTGTGTAAGGCACTGCTAATAGGTGCGAGACATCTGTAGATGCACATTAATTGGAAATGGCGCGCTGTAATAGTGTAAGAAAGCTTAACTACGCCGGCAGACATTTATTCCTGTCTAGCTCCTGCAATCTAATCGACTAGTCCTACGACCTCCTCGCAACGTCTGAAAGAGGACGCGTAATCTCCTAGCTAAAAGAACTTTCCTTCCCGAGTTACTTACAGCCTAACCTTACAGGAATAACCGGATCCTGCTAGGATCTATTTAGAAGAGGGGGGGGTAAAGATTCTTATAGAGCGTCAGCATTTACGTCCTCTGTCTATATTAAATATTATTAATTGCGCTACTACAAAAAAAATGGCCTCTATAGATTTTTATATACCTGTTATAGCTAACTATCTTAGATAAGATAACTAGTTATAGAGTTAGACTCGTAAAGCGGAGTGTTATCTGCTGGAAGCGCTTGAAAAGGGATTTGTCGTCCATGTTGGCTTTTATGCGTGTGATTTCGGGCAGAGAACGGTGTTGTTGTAGGTGGAAAGCGGCGAATGTGGAAGGTACGGTTTATAGTCGTGTGTGTTTGTTGTTTTATGGACGTTGAAAGCGCGTCTGCTACGAAGTGATGACAATTGGAGAAGATTTGGAAAAGGTGAATGTTTTGGTCTGGTGAACAACTCATGCGAAGTTGAGCGACGGCAAGCACGACCTGATCAACATCCAGTTACAGTTTGATCGCTGAAACCCTTTTGCCGCCGCAGCATCACTCTTCAAACACGATTAGGAACCTCACAAGAACTTACCAGCGGTACAGTTAATTTCAGGACCGCTCAGACGCAAGCGGGACGCATACAATGGAAGTTGATATTTCTTAATCTAAACATCTGGTTACAAGCATCGCATGTGACAAGCATCTTAGCGCGCCGTCAACGAGACTCACCAATGATAATTACATGGTAGTCGGTTGTCTGTAAGTCTGGTAACTCAGTACGGTGCTTTTGGTCAGCGCCAATGTAGGACGAAATCAAATTGCAAATGCACTGAATTCACGATGTCGGCGCCCGTATGTAAGTTTGCAATAACAATATCCCTCAAGGATTCAGCTCCAGGTCCCAGACGACTGAATCTCAGACCAGCGTTCTGGAACGAGTATGATCAAGCCCCCGAACCAGCCCAAAGGCCTCGCTCAGTCATCAGATCTTTAGCCCAGCAAAGCTTGAAAGAAAGTGTGTAGCAAACTATTTATTCTAGAGTCGTGTTGTCAGTAGTCAAAGTCATGGAAGGACAGTGACATGTTGAGTAACGATTCAAAGGTGTCGACCACTGTTCGTCGCTCTCTACAACAAGACCGTCAAAGGGTTCGCAAGGTTCGTGGGGCCCCCCAAGCGACTGATCAATGACTTCAGTCATGGTTGCGGTCAAACCCAATGTATCACTCAACTCGATGCATTGTCAGATTGCATAATTCGGATTGAGCCCCAAGGCGCGCACAATCTGAGTCCACAGTCCCTGAAGAAAAAGTAAATGGCCAGTAAGGATGTTCCTTCGTCAAGAACGGAAGGTTGTTGTGAGAGAAAGGAAAGAACAGAGAGGGCTTCACCGAGTAATAGACGCGGCACTTTTGACGCCTTGGCGCTGCGCTACAAGCCGAGAGTCACCTCGTCCGAGTGAATGCTGTCCTCAAAGTGAAGCTGGACATTCTAACTTTTGGTTCATGACTCCTATCAGACTTGCTCTGAACATGCTCGTTGATAGCATCTCCAACATTGGTATCTCATCATCACAATCATTTCGATGAACTGGTTTTTGCAAGTAGTCACCCTGTTTTATTCAATGGTCATCCTCGGTGGAGAGCATTCCACTTGCTCGCATCGGGATAATGAAATCAGACGTTCGCTCAGACTGTCCGTACATTTATGCAGGTCTGACACTTCTCCTGACTGTCTCCGTTATCTTCCAAAAAGTCCATCATGCCAAATCCTGGGATCGATGAAGCTTTCTGATTGATCGCGTAGGAGGTGACGTCGAATTACATGACAGGGTGGACCCCGAAGCATGGCAAAATATCGGCTTCTGTTTTCACGACGCGAGCCAAGGGACGACGTCGCCCCTTGCATTAAGACACGTCCACATCGCACAATATTCCCTATTGCGGCAGTGACAATGTAGCGATCAGGTATGCAGACTTCACAGGTCATCTTATCGATGTTTATGGTCTTTTCCGAGATAGCTGTGGCTACTTGCCGTGTTTCCGAGACACGACATCCGATGGAATGTTGACGCAATACATAAATCTGGTCCAAACACGAAGTGAGCCAGGTTTGGGCTCGCGTCTACATAGTGTCACAGCGATAAATTCGATCGTGAATTCAAGATGCTTGAGCATCGGAACGTGACGGAGTTGCTAGATGGAGCTCGCAGCTAGCCGATTGATGCCAGTGAGCCCTCAGGCTTCTGATCTAAACATGGCCTTCTTGCCGGACGCATTGATCCACTGGCCAACGCCTGCATTCCTTGCCAGTATACAATGCACTCCACTGCCGCCTTCTCCGAGATTCTCGGGCATGGCACGTCTCTTCCTGCGGCTTGAATCGCGCTCCCGAACAACCTCGCATACACCCTTGTCGCCGGAACATCGCTCCATACTCCTTCTAAGCAGAGTTGCCTATCGCTTTGACGAAGATGATGTACTCGACGAAGCCGCTGCTCTTGGCTCTGCTGGCTATATCTCAGGTCGCAGGCCAACAGCCGTCAGCTGGACAAACCAGCCCGCAGCCGACCGCAACCTCGACGCGTAAGTGGATGTATAGTTGAACCTGGAGACAGTAAGACTGACACCACAACTTAGAATCATGCCCTGTTACCGTTACCATCACCGTATATCCCACAGGATACACCACAAGTTCTGCTGGAAGCGTCGTGTACACAGGCGTCACCACAACGACCACATCAACTTCGAGCTCGCTCTCCTCATTTTCATCATCCTCGTCAAGTTTTTCTGCATCGAGTAGCAGCTCGTCAACGCTATCTTCTTCATCAAACTCGAGTCTATCATCCTCGTCCTCGTCGAGCGTATCGTCTTCGCTGAGCAGTACTGCTGGACAGATGAGCGCGTCGGTTTCAAGCGCTTCATCTTCATCCAGCTCAAGCTCTTCCAACTCACGGTCCCCCGTTCTGAGCTCTAGCGCTTCTTCATCAAGTTCTTCGAGTGTCTCATCGTCGACGTCATCTTCGCTGAGTAGCTTTGCCGGGGGAGTTACGGCCTCAGCATCGCTAAGTTCGGCAACCAGCAGTTTTTCCAGCAGCTCATCCAGCAGTGTGAACATCGTCAGTACTCTCTCCTCCAGAGCGACGCCCTCGTTCACCAGCCTATCGTCATCAGTCCTGTCTTACTCCAGGGGGCCAGATCCTACGTCAACCACTGTTACCACAACAAGCGTCGTACCTTTGCAATCTACCAACTCCCAGACAGTCAATACCTCGCCCTCTGTATCCTCATCATCGGCTTTTGTCAGCACCCTGTCATCGACCTCAGTCAATCAATCGACGGCCGCAATGTCTGTCACTGGGACATCAGTAAGAGCTTCTGCCATCACAATAACAACATCATCAGCATCTTCGGGGTCTACCACAAGTGCCGTGCCTGCAACGTCGGCATCGGTCTCGCAGCCTTCAGCTTCGGCACTGGTGTCGAGCATCTCAACTACGGCGAGCAATGGGTCAAATGCTGTGACATTATCAACGACGTCTCCGATCTCGTTGGTGGTTTCTTCGACCAGTGTCCTTCCATCTTCGACACTGCCTGTATCTACTGGTTTCAGCACAAGCACACTGCCATCATCGTCGTCATCCCCATCACTGCTGCCATCATCGTCGTCATCCCCATCACTGCTACCATCAACAGAGCCGCTGGTGACTTCAGTGTCGTTGTCTCGAACCCAGGTCACCTTGTCACCTTCATTGCCGCCACAGAGCACTTTATCAGCATCTACTCTCGAGGCAGCAAGCACTGTTGAGCCAACCCAGGTGTCGTCTCCGTCTGGACCCTTGGTCCCTTCTTCGTCTTTGGAAAATACGTCATCGTTGCCTCTGCCGGTCCAGGTCATTACTCCATCGAGTTCAACATTCTTTGGCTTTGGCTCTTCCTCGTCATTGACCATGACCTCTGGATTGGTTTCAACAAGTCAGGCCGTACTGTCTTCGTCAGTTCCTTCGGCGTCGTCTCCGGTCTTGGCCCGGACTACTTTGACATCTCCCGACACTTTGACCACTTCGGCTCCCTCCTCGTTCACGTCCTCCAGTGCCTCTTCCAGCATCTCTCTGATTAACCCACCGTCGTCCTCGGTCTTGGTGACATCAACATCTTCAACAAGCCTCACAGTTCTTTCGTCTTTTACAACAAGTATATCAGCAGTTTCATCCTCAGCAGATATCGTTTCCGTCTCAGCATCCCTATCATCAAGCAGTATTTCTTCGACATCCAGCAGCCTATCATCTTCTAGTAGCTCATCGTCATCACCCGCATCTAGCTCTTCGAATTCTAGCCTTTCGTCATCAATTTCGTCTTCGGCAAATCTGGCTTCGGCTTCGGCATCGATATTATCCACCATTGCATCTTCCAGTACTGCAAGTCTCAGCTCAAGCCTCTCGAGCTCTTCAAATTCCTCTCTATCCCCTTCTTCTAGGTCTTCTGTATCTAGCGGTCTGATATCTAGCGGGTCTTCGTCGCTGAGCTCAGTCCTGGCCACTCCAACCACAGCAACGATACCAAGCACGGCCACCATTTCCACTACGGCGACAGTACCAAGTACGGCCACGAGTCCAATCACTCAAACCACGCCAAGTGTCCAAAATACGCCGAGCACAGCAACCACAGCAACAATATCAAGCACTCGGACGAGCTCTACTACGCAGACAACCCCTACTACGCAGTCAACCCCTACCACGCAGTCAACCCCTACCACGCAGACAACGCCTACTACCCAAATCACGCCGACTACAGCCACCACGCCAACAACCGCAACGACCCTAACAATCAGAGATGTTAGTTTCTCAAGCAGTAGCTCTCTATCATTGTCCTCTTCTCCAAGCCTGAGCAGCTCTACCTCTTCTTCCGCAGCGCCCCTGGTAATCACAACCTCGACCACAAACACATTAATAGTGTCTTCCGAAACAATCTACCTCACGCCGACGCCAGGAACAATTACCAGCACGGTCACGTCATCCACAAACTCATTCAGTCAAGCGAGTAATTCATATTCATCTTCATCGGGTGTTGCCCTTGTTGGTGTTACTTTGACGCCATCTCCATTTTCGACCACGGTTACTACGACCACGACTACTACATCTAGTTCATCAAGCTTGTTTAATTCGGTTGTTGCATCTAGCGACGCACCTTCTGAGATCAGTGCATCATTCTCCTCTGTTGTTGGGTCGGCCTTCGTTGGAGTCACTCTTACGCCATCACCACGAACATCAAGCACAAGCACGTTAGCTAGCTCAGCAGTTGCTACATCTTCGAGTGTTCCAAGTGGATCCGTCTCTAGATCTTCAGCAGTCTTTACTTGTCCAGATGACGATGGCACATACTTCACTGATCAAAGTGGGAACGGTTACCAGATCCAATGCAACACCAATGGAGGATCACAAAAGCGTGCTCTTCCTCAACATGGTCTACATGGCTTTGCAATGAATCGCGAGCCTGTGACCCGGGCGACTATCACTTCCAACACACAGTCAGACTTTGCTTCTTGTGTGAATGCATGTCGAAATGTGGGTGGCTGTATTGGGACTTCCTACGTCATCTCATCAGGACTATGCACCTACTTTTCAGCATTCACGACAGTCAGCGCTAATACAGGAACAAACGTTGCGTTCCCGGCGAACATCACATGTCCGAACCTGAATGGATATAGTTACCTCGACTCTTCTGGTTCGGAGTATGGTATCTTGTGTAATCAGGCTTTCCCTGCGAGCAGCAACATCACTACTCAAAACGGTTACACAAGTCTGGCGACTTGCAGCAATGCATGTTCGTTCAGCGCGGGTTGCCTTGCATCCTCTTTCGTGAACGGCCAATGCACTTTCGTGAGCAATCTCAACACAAACACCAATTCTGGTCAAAGTCTGCCTGGTGCGGTCATGTTGGTCCTCCTACAGTCTAGAGCAGTCGAAGTCATCTCGACCACCGGTCTGGTATCTCGAAGTACGTCCTACTCGGTTGTGCAAGGCTTGCCCAGCGCCGCTGCGGCGGTACAAAAGGGGCAAAATCCTTATGATGCTGTTGCGAGTGCTTACCTTGGCTGCGGTAACGCGTTCTGGCAACCTAGATGCGCCACGGCTGCTGCTACATCTTCGATCTCCAGATTCTCGACTATCTATATGCCGACGACTCCGATGCAGAGCGTCGCTGCTCCAGCAGCTACCTCAAGTGCTGCGACTTCGAGACCGACTTCGACAGCTGTGGCGTCAAGCTCAATTTTAGGAGTTGCGACTTCAACAACTTCGAGCACGACTCTTAGACCCACCAGTGTGTTCATTACTACGTCTAGCACTACAAGATCATCATCCACAGCATGTTCTAAACTGTTGGGTTTGATACCTGTTGGATGTTAGAAGTATTAATATATTCTCAATTTGTGTCTTTGCATCGAGCAATTTTGCATTAGTTTTCTGGAGTACGGTTCAAGTCATCGGCGAAGTTAGGCATGTTAATCGGCATATACACGCCGTTTTAATGATAGAGACTGGCAATTACTGTATCATTGATGGTCAGCAAAAGTCAGATAACTCTGTGAAGAAAAGAGCCTTACGAGCAGTATTGAGGATCGTTTCGCTCATAACTCATGCTTTAGAGACATAGCTCAGCGTATGCATTCAAAGTTCCTTTCTCCGTTCTTGTTCACTCACCTAGTCGCATAATTCCGACATGTCTCAAACTATCTTCTGTGTCCGTGAACCAGCTGGCGAACTTAGAGCCAGATTCAGATGCTTCAAGAATGTCTGCGAAGCTCTCCTCCGAAGGACAAAAGGATCTCTGTACACCAAGAACCCGTATTTCTTTCAGCACATATCCGATGTCAGATCTCAGCTCGAGTTTGCCAGAATTACGCTTGAGAATTCACTCTGTCTGAGACAACAGGGATTCTGACTCGAGACGTCGGGGCTATCCTCGAAGCTCTGAACACCAAGACTGTAGGAACACTCAGGCACCTGGAATCCCTCATCAAGCCTTTGGAAGATGACTGGGCTGTAATTTCCAACGATGCAAGCGACCGACTTCTTACCGTTCGAGATGAGCTAAGGTTGGCTTCTGTTGATGTTTATCTGGTCAGTGAAGTCATCAAACTTGGTGATTACTACAGGTAAGCTGACTCTGAAGACTGGGTTACGGGAAGCCCCTGTTTATAGCCGAGTAGAGATCAAAAGTGCGTTTCTAAGCCAATCGAGACGGCTGTTCAGAACCAGCTTCTCAGAAAACGAGCATTGCTTGCAAAGCTCAGAGCGTCCGGATACCGTCAGCACCAGACGACGGTTCAGCAACCGTATCCTGTATTCACAGATGACAGTCCAGCGACTGTACCCCCAGCAAGCGCAAAGACTCCATCCGAGGAGCACAACGAAGTCAGTGACCACTCGAACCCATTCAACGATCCCGAGAGCGGAGTGGAGGCAAGCGAAATCGACCGGGACTTGGGAGGATTCGACTTTCTCGCGATTCGGCACCTGGTGTTGCTCTACATCGAGCGGACAATACAAAACGAGGATATCAACTCACCGCCACCAACACTCAACTCCCCTGGACGTATTCGCTTGCTCGGGGCTTGCAAGAAATTGATAGATGTTTTTACAGAGCAGCAGGATGTCCTGAAAGCAATGGTGGGGGAGAACGAAGTACCAGAAGAGCAAGGACCGATGGAAGAGAAGACGAGTCTGGACGGTATGGTAGACTCCATGGATCCAGAGATATCCGACCGAACCATCGCAACTTTGGTATTGCACTGGACCACAGTTAATGACTTTAATGGCTTCAAACGCATGTATGCGAGCGAGTTCGGTCCGCCGAAAGAGGATCTAAAGCTGACTTTGACCAAGCAGAAGCACAGAAGAGCAATCACGAAGACTAGATCGCGATGAAGATACTGTAAGAGCAAGAACAGGAGGTTGGCGTAAGATATTGGGGTTGCGCGAGAAGAGCGCTGGTTGATCTCTGAAGTTGGTAAGTTGGACCTGCCGGATGATGTTTTGAGCGGATGATTGAAGACACAAGAGTGGCAGTAGCGATGGCGTCAGGAAGACACTTGCAAGAGCTCCTCGAAACAGAAAGAGCGACAGATCGCGATGCCAACTCGGTCTAACACAATACCAATCCAACTTTCCATCTGCTTTTTCGTTCCGGTGTATCTTCTGAATTCGAGTCACCACAATGTCCGAAATCCGGTATCTCACCCCGTCTCGCAACGCACCGCCCGCCGGAGACGGCGTCGAAATGGCTATCAGAGGACACAGAAACACTTTCGCCGTCCTGTCGGCTAGAACAAAGCAGTCTCTCTGCACTAAGAACCCATATCTAGCCTCCGCCATGGGTCGAATAACCTGCTCTCTCAAGACCAGCCGCAAACACAGCAAGATCTTGCGTAGAGTCATGATCAAGGGTACCTTGAGTGTCAAAGCGACGGCCACGCTCAAGCGAGGAGAGAGGCAGGCTCTGGAAGCCTTCAAGGCGCTGGAAATAACCATCAAGCCCTACAGACGTGGATGGAACACGTTACCCCGGGATGCGTATAACATGATCGAGGCTGTGGTATTCGAGCAGGAAAGACGCTGCATAGATCCCTGGTTGATCATAGAGGTCTCAAAGCTAGCTGAAGGTGCTTGGTAAGAGAATGATACCTGTCCCTTGGATCAACATTCATTGACGACCCCTCCAACAGCGTTGAGTACGCGCCGATCCGCGACGAGCTCTTGCAGAGAGAATGCGTGATTACGGCCATTCAAGGAGTCGCAGGAGTCAGGGAGTCAGAGATTGAATTCACTAGAACACAAATAGGTCACCACGCCACCGACGAGTGGTTGCTCAACGTGGATGCTGCAGAGGACCGGTGGCCTGATGAAGGCAACCCCGACCACGACTTACAAACCTCCAGTGAACGAGAGGCTTTGTCCATCACTTCGGACTACTTGATCGACATGATGAATACACCAGTATCTGACAGAGATATCGCAATGCTTGTCTTTCACTGGACCACGCTATCCAGGTGCAACAAGTACGAGCGACTACAATCGTCCCGAAAGCCATGGCAGGATGTCAGAAAGAAAGATTGTGGAGACCGCGAGACGTCATGATGAGTTTGACAAAGGTTCGCAGGGTGCGAACCAGGAAGCCTCATGGTCTTCGGTACACGAGATCTCGTCTGAAGCAGTTGCGAATTTATACTGAGGTTCCTGAGTTTTCCGAAATTAGTGTAGTGAGGAGATCCAGGAAAAACTCCCTGATACTTGCTGTTCGAGCCGTAAAAAACGACCAATCACCAAGCTCTCTCGAGCGTATGCTTTATCCCCACTTCTCTAAAGATGCTTGCACCGTGGTTCGTCCGCTTACTCAAAATGTTCATGAACAGCAAAGTTTTGGAGGCGAGAGCAGCGAAACTAACCACAGCGACAAAGCTCGAACGCAGTGCTAATCTCCACCAACAGACCTGCCAAGCACTCCTCGAAAGAATGAAATTGCCATTGTATACCAAAAATCCTTATCTGGCCGACGAGCTTGGTTGCCTGAAAGATGTTTCAAAAATCGAGTGGTTCCATTAAGGTAGTACTATGGTGCGTGGAAGATGTAAACAACAGTATGCTGAGTGCCAGCAAATTTTCAGGTTCGCTTGAGTCTCTCCTGCAGACCGAGCGATTGCCCATACTTGATTCCGTAAGCAAGGAGAACGAGAACAAGCCATCTCTTGACGCCTTGACCAAGACTCGCACCTCCAAGCGCCAAGATCTTCCCAATAAACCCATAGCTCACAATTTTACCTTGACGATCAAAGTTGGGTGCAAAGTCATTCATGCGCTTGTATTGTGCGAGCTTGCCCTTGTACGGTGGGTATCTAACACTGAGCAGGCTTTCGATCCACGCAGGTGTATTTGTGACGACGCGACGGTGGGTGAAGCAGTCAAAAGAGGCTTTACCGCGATAGCAACCAGCACCACTGTCGCCAACACCGCCGAACTCGACGGTGGGCAGGGACGCGTGGGTGAAGCCGTCATTGAGACTGGCGCCGCCACTTCGGGTCTCGGAGAGGATGCGATTAGTGTCGGTTTTGCTACCGAAGGCGTAGAGACCGAGGGGTGTGCTATCGACTTGGTTGGCGATACGGATGGCTTCGTCTAGATTGTCGACGGGGAGAAGAGGGATGAAAGGTCCGAATGACTCGTCGGCAACGAGGGAGTCGGAGGTTGATGAGACACGGACGATGGTGGGAGCGATATATTTGGTCTCTGCATCCATCTCGCCGCCATGCAAGATCTCGCCCTCGCTCGAGTCAAGCATCTTCTTCAAACGGTCGAATGAACGAGAGTTGACAATGCGACCATAGTCCTTGCTCTCCTTAGGGCCCTCGGGGTAGAATTCTTTGATGGCAGTCTTGAGCTCCTTGACCAAGAAAGGCAGAACATCCTTGTCGACCAAGATGTAGTTTTGACTGACGCAGACCTGACCGGCGTTCAGACCTTTGGCCCATAGCAGGCGTCTGGCAGCAAGACGAGGATCTGCGTTCTTTGTGATGATGGCAGGGTTGCGACCACCAAGCTCGAGTGTGACGGGAGTCAAGGTCTCTGCTCCTTTCTTCGCGATGATCTTGCCGACGGTGGGAGACCCTGTGTAGAAGATCTTGTCCCACTTGCGCTCTAGCAGGGCAGTGCTCTCGGGTATGGCGCCTTGCACGCAGACGAAGGCTTCGGGGTCGAGCGAGGCTTCCATGATTTCTTGCAAGAGAGCAGCGGTATAGGGCGAGCCTTCGGATGGCTTGAGGACGACGGTACAGCCAGCTGCGATGGCGCCAATCACAGGACCGAGAGAGAGCTGGACAGGGAAGTTAAAGGCACTATTGACTGTCAGCGTCCGTCTCGTTCATTTAACAAAGAGACACTCACCCAAGAACCAGAACAACACCCAATGGCTCCTTGCGAACACGCGGTCGCATTGCCTTGAAGGTAAAAGGGACATCGGCGGCACCCTCCTCCTTTGCCCATTTTTCGATGTTGCTGACGACAAAGATGATGTCGTTGAGTACCCAACCAATCTCAGTCAAGTAGGCCTCGTAGAAAGGTCTACCCAGATCGCGTTGCAGAGCTTCACCAAGCTGCTGCTCTCTATCCTTGATGGCCCACCATAATTTGCGAAGCTGTGTTACGCGCCAGCTCAACGGCTTGGTCTTTTGCGAGTGGAACGTGTCGTAGAGACGCTTGTGAATACCCTCGATCTGCTCAACAGCAGTAGCCTTAAATTCTGGTAGTTTAGTATCCATCTTGATTGATGTGCTGTATGGTCGAGAGAAAGGAGCTGCTATTTCACAAGTTCGAGGTCGCTCGGGATCCCCTCATCTGACACAGCAGCTTGCAGCTTATCGTGCCTCGGCTTGTATGCTGAACCATCTACGTTTTCCCACCTTTTGTCGCTCGAACCACCTACCTCGTGCCGTCCAATATGGGACGTCTTCCTACAAGACATGAGTGTCTGCAAGTGGAAGAGCTTCCGAGGTATCTCTCTCTGTTCCTTCCTTCCCCAGAATCGTGTACGTCATGGCCAATCGGGAAGAAGCAGAAAAATCTCGCCGTCTCCGAGCTGACAGAGAGCCGCATTTCTTGGCATGAAGAAGCTGTCGGCTCGTTGCAACTTCCACTTCCGTTCTTGCTTCGAGGTCGAGGATGACCCATTGACCCTGCTCAGGAGTTTTCGAACTTGGAACTCACGACACCCAGGCACAACACGTTCAACATTCTCGTTCTGTTGACTCACGATGAATCTGTAATTTGTTTTGGCATTGCAAGGGCTATATCGTCAATGTGCCATGCTCTTGTGCGGCATGAGCACTTCTTTGATCGTCTGACGTCGCGCATTTGCTTGTCACCGCGAGTCTCAATGTTTACAAGCGGGCTAATGCTTTGAAGGCTGGACAGATCACACTGCTTTGCTGAGCTGAGGCTTCAAGCGTTGCTATCAACTACTTGGCTCACTGCAGGTGTCGCTCCGGCATGGATCGTTGCTTTGTATGAGTGTTATCTGCTCCTGCCAAAGCTTGTTTCATATCTATTTACCTTTACCTGTGGAAAAGGATGCAGCAACCCCCTCGGATCAACATAACTCGGACTGGACACTCTCTGCCTCATTTGCGGCCGCGGATTCTCATCACCAGAAATTCCAGACGAAGTAGAGACGACACGATTGATCACAGCGGTAGGTCCGAAGAAAGAGGACAATAAACTCGACTAATAATGGCAGTGCTTCGTAAGTACATAATACATAAACGGTCGTAGGGAGAAAGCTTCAAAAGCTCGAGGAAGTAGAGCTTCGTACCTTCATCCCTGCTTTCAGCTCCCAAGCTTCTAGCTGTTCTTGTGTCCAATCCCAAAGCTCATCTTCCAAAGCAGCATTATTCTGGTGGACAGTTGGATTTGGTCGAACGCCGAGAGGTTCGTAGTACTCTCCCCCTTGTACTCGACCTTGGCCAACTCCCTTTGGCGCTGTGGAGGCCCAGAGCCCGTTCCAGGCAAGTTGGTCGACTGGACTCCTCCTGCCGATTGTGGTAGCCCACATGACAAAGCGATCTAGCAATAAGAAATTGTTCTGCAAGCCTGTGTAGCCAATACCGGGATGGATGGACACAGCTGTGATGCATGGGTACTGCTTGTTCAACGCCTTGGCATACAAGGTGTTTGCCAGCTTCGATTGAGCATAACGTCGCCATCGACCTGCGAACATTTTCTGCTCGGTCCTCAAGGTGTCAAAGTTGATACCATACTTGGGTACCAGTGACGTTGAGGCGGCTTGTGATGATGTGATGATGATGCGGACGTCAGAGCCAGGTAGTGACGCTGTGTCCTGCAACACCGGCATCAAAAGGTCAATCAACAGCGCGTGGCCGAGATGATTGGTAGCAAATTGATGCTCGTAGCCATCTTTACTCAGTCCAGCTGGCGACGCCATGATGCCGGCGTTACAAAAGAACAGATCGATTCGGGATGCTTTGGCAGCAATCCTGTTGCTTGCTTGGCGCACCGAACTCAAGTCTGAGAGATCGCAAGGTATGAAACGAACTTGGACATGAGAATTGAGAAGTTTCATTGACTCAATGAGGGAATTGGCGGCTTTGGCATTGCGACCAGTGAAAAATATTTTGCTCGGACTGTGGACCGCCAGCTGTTTGATAGTTTCTGCACCCACACCGGAAGTGCCTACTTGATGTCAGCTCAGTTCTGCGATGTGAAGTGATGCTCAAACCCACCTCCTGTGATCAAAATGACCTTTCCGGATAGATCCGGTATGTCTTTGAGGGGATTAAAGTGATTGGAAGGCATGATGATTATTGATGTATGAGGAGAAGTAACATGAGGCGGCGAAGTGTATATATGCGATGGATAGTCAAGTGAACGCTCCGCGACCACATTTGTCGTGTGATCAGATTTTACGATCTAGGACTTACTGATGCTGACATGAAGTCGATTTTTCCAACATGGAACGATGTTCCCATCTGAGTCCGGACCGGAGGAGGGATTCGTCCGCCTTCCGTTCCTGCAGCGTTGCTTAGGCAGCATTATGACACATTCCGGGGTTTGATTCTGAAGCATTTTCATTTGCTTTGGGTCGCATTAGTAAACCGTCATGATGAAAGACTGGTAGCAGATAGCCTTCAGCCATGGCATCAGACAACGGTGCGTACAGATGATGGTTTGCGGCCAAGGCACGCCATCAGGCAGACAACATCAAGATTTCGGACCGTCGTCCGCGTCTCCTCTCGCGAGTGTCTTGTGTAGAGGATCAGTCTGACATATTCAAGAAATTGCACATGAGTATCGGGGTAGTGCGAGAGTTCATTGTCAGCACTGCAAGCTGTGCATCGTTAGTGGTGTGATCATTTGCCAATGTTTTGTCGTAGGATGATTCGTAAGTGCGATTGGAAGCGCCGCAAGATGTGGAGTGGTGTTGTTGTGCCGTCGCCGAGAAGATCTATCTTCAAAGTCGCTCGAAAGAATGGAGAAGAAGGACCCCGGATGTTAGCAGCTTCCACGATCCACACATGTACGATAAGCCAGTCGGCATCTGTATGTGATCTATCAAAATCCGAGCCTAATCAGGAGTGTTGCCGTTTCAGTGTTGAGGGTTTCGGCAGGGCGGTTACCAAAAGCCTCCGAGGCCGCCCCACACGTCATCTCTCGAAAGAAGTTCTAGGCGATGCTTTGACATTTTGCACCATATCTTGGCAGAAATGCGCGTTTCTAATTGGTCTGGAAGCTACGAAGTCCGCCCTCCGGTAGATTAGTGCCAATCACAGTTCTGAAGTCGGTACAACCCTTGACAGAAAAACACCGTCTTCGATTGCTGTTGGGCTAATTGCGACGAGGCGTTTGTATATAATACCTGGGCATCGCGCCTTGCAGATTTCTACTCAAGCTCAAACCGTCCAATTCTTTTCGTTCTTCAATCACCTCAATTCGGGAAACATCCCCTCGAGGCAATTGTCAGTTGGTGCAATCTCGTACATAGGAGTTAACAAACTGCCAATTCTGCATACGCTTCACTCTTTCACATAATGGCTACCAACAGCCAACAGGGTTGGGCCCCCTCGCTCAATCAAGGCTTTGGCGACGATCTCATGCGTCGCATTTCTCGCACTGTGTCTGCTCGCTCAGGCTTCTCCGACTACGAGGAGCACAAGGATGATGAGCATATTAGCAAAGCCGAAGACTGGGCATTAATGCCCGAAGTCAAGAGATACGCCGAGAATGACCCTGCAACCGGACGCAAGCTTGGAGTTACCTGGAACAACCTCACCATCAAGGGTGTTGGTGCCGATGCAGCTTACAACGAGAACTTCTTGAGTCAGTTCAACATTCCCCAACACATCAAGGAAGGACGTCACCCTGCACCTCTCAGGACAATCATCGACAACAGCTCGGGATGCGTGAAGCCTGGAGAGATGCTTCTTGTGCTCGGTCGTCCTGGCGCTGGTTGCACTACACTTCTGAAGATGCTCTCAAACAGAAGAGCGGGTTACGCTGAGATCGAGGGTGACATCAACTTCGGTACCATGGATCCCAAGGAGGCTCAGAAGTACAGAGGTCAAATCGCCATGAACACCGAAGATGAACTCTTTTTCCCTACTCTCACAGTCGGTCGCACTATGGACTTCGCAACTCGCCTGAAGGTGCCCGACAACCTGCCGGAAGGCACCGAAACCCGAGAGCAATTCCGCACCGAGTACAAGGACTTCCTCCTCAGATCGATGGGCATTGGTCACACAGCTGATACTAAGGTCGGAAACGAGTACGTCCGTGGTGTGAGTGGTGGTGAGCGCAAGAGAGTTTCCATCATTGAAACACTTGCGACAATGGCCAGTGTCTACTGTTGGGATAACTCTACTCGTGGTCTGGATGCCTCAACTGCTCTGGAATATACCCGCGCCCTACGTGCGATGACTGACAAGAACGGCTTGGCCACTATCGTCACTCTTTACCAAGCTGGAAACGGCATTTACGACCTCTTCGACAAGGTATTGGTGCTCGACGAAGGCAAGCAGATCTACTACGGCCCTCGCGCTCAAGCCCGCCCCTTCATGGAAAAGCTTGGCTTTATTTGCGATGACGCCGCCAACGTTGCTGATTTTCTGACCGGTGTCACTGTTCCTACCGAGCGCAAGATCAGAAATGGCTTTGAAGCACAGTTCCCTAGAACTGCCGTGGCCATCCGCGAGAACTTTGAGAAGTCCTCAATCAAGGCCAAGATGGACAAGGAGCTTGACTTCCCCAAAAGCTCACGCGCCAAGGAGTGGACTGCCGACTTCCAGAAGGCGACGCACGAGGACAAGGCCAGAGGAATTCCCAGTAGCAGTCCCAACACCGTAGGCTTCCAATCGCAGGTCAAAGCTTGCATCATCAGACAGTACGAAATTCTGTGGGGTGACAAGGCAACTTTCCTGATCAAGCAAGGTTCTACTTTGGTTCAAGCACTGATTTCTGGTTCTCTCTTCTACAACGCTCCCAATAACTCTTCTGGTCTGTTCATCAAGGGCGGTGCTCTCTTCCTGTCTCTACTCTTCAACGCGCTTTTGGCTATGTCCGAGGTCACGGACTCCTTCTCCGGTCGTCCCATTTTGGCCAAGCACAAGGCCTTCGCCTTCTACAACCCCGCCGCTTTCTGTCTTGCTCAAATCGCTTGCGATCTACCAGTACTCGTCTTCCAAATCAGCGTTTTCTCTGTCGTGCTATACTTTATGGTTGGCCTTAAGGTGACTGCTGCTGCTTTCTTCACCTACTGGTTCGTTATCTACCTCTCGACGCTGGTTATGACAGCCCTTTTCAGAGCTGTCGGCGCCGCCTTCCCGACATTCGATGCAGCTTCCAAGGTTTCAGGTTTCACCATCAGTGCGCTCATCACATACATCGGATACCAGATCCCCAAGCCTGAGATGCACCCTTGGTTCGTTTGGATCTACTGGATCAACCCCATGTCCTACGGTTTCGAATCTCTCCTCGGCAACGAGTTCAAAGGTCGTGTCATCCCCTGTGTCAACAACAACCTTGTTCCCAACGGCCCTGGATATGCCGACGCTGCTTTTCAAGCTTGCGCCGGTGTTCGTGGTGCTCTCCCCGGTGCCACTGAGGTCACTGGAGAGCAGTACTTAGACAGTCTGTCCTACAGCTCATCCCACATCTGGCGCAATGTTGGTATTCTGTTCGCCTGGTGGTTCTTCTTTGTTGGCTTGACCATCTTCTTCACTCTTCGCTGGGGCGAAAATGGCAACACCAACGGCTTCCTCCTGGTTCCCCGTGAGAAGGCTCACCTTGCTAAGGCTGTCATGAACAACACTCCCAACGACGAGGAGAACCAAGCCGAGAAGTCTCAAGCCTCCATCTCCAGCGCTGACACCCAAGTCCCTGCGGGTGAGAACGAGAAGTCCAAGTCCGAATCTGAGAACAATGATCAGCTCGTTCGCAACACCAGTATTTTCACCTGGAGAAACCTCACCTACACTGTCAAGACACCATCGGGTGACAGAGTCCTCCTCGACAACATTCACGGTTACGTCAAGCCCGGTATGCTCGGCGCTCTCATGGGAAGTTCGGGTGCTGGAAAGACCACTCTCCTCGATGTCCTTGCTCAGCGCAAGACTGACGGTACTATCAAGGGTGAGGTACTTGTTGATGGTCGCCCCCTTTCTGTCTCCTTCCAACGTTCCGCCGGCTACTGTGAGCAACTTGATGTTCACGAGCCTTTGACCACTGTCAGAGAAGCCCTCGAATTCTCCGCTCTTCTTCGCCAAAGTCGTGAGACTCCCGATGCTGAGAAGCTTGCCTACGTTGATACTATCATTGATTTACTGGAACTTCACGACATCGAGCACACTCTTATTGGCAAACCTGGAGCCGGTCTGTCCATCGAACAGCGAAAGCGTGTTACAATTGGTGTTGAGCTCGTCTCTAAGCCTTCTATTCTCATCTTCCTCGACGAGCCCACTTCTGGTCTCGACGGTCAGGCCGCTTTCAACACCGTCCGCTTCCTCCGCAAACTAGCCGATGTCGGCCAAGCTGTCCTCGTCACTATTCATCAGCCTTCTGCTCAACTCTTTGCCGAGTTTGACACTCTTCTCCTGCTCACCAAGGGCGGCAAGACCGTTTACTTCGGTGATATCGGAGACGGTGCCAACACTATCAAAGAGTATTTCGGACGTTACGACGCCGCATGCCCTCCTAGCAGCAATCCTGCTGAGCACATGATTGATGTCTGCTCTGGCTCCCTCTCGCAAGGCAAGGACTGGCACCAAGTCTGGTTGGACTCTCCCGAGAACAAGAAGATGCATGAAGAACTCGAGGCCATGATCAAGGACGCCGCTGACAAGCCTCCTGGTACCAAGGACGACGGCTACGAGTTCGCCACTTCGCTTTGGACCCAGACTAGATTGGTCAGCAACCGCATGAACATTTCCATCTACCGTAACACCGACTACATCATGAACAAGATTATGCTTCACATTGGTACCGCTTTGTTCATGGGCTTCACCTTTTGGATGATTGGTAACGGAGTCGCTGATCTCCAACTCAACCTTTTCGCCCTCTTCAACTACATCTTCGTCGCTCCTGGTGTCATCGCTCAGTTGCAGCCTCTGTTCATCGAGCGCCGCGATGTGTACGAAACTCGTGAGAAGAAGAGTAAGATGTACGACTGGAAGGCTTTCACTACTGGTCTCATCGTGTCTGAGGTTCCTTACCTCGTCATCTGTGCCACTCTCTACTTTGTCTGCTTCTACTACACTGTTGGCTTCCCTTCGGAGTCTTCTTCCGCAGGCTCTGTATTCTTTGTCATGTTGGTCTACCAGTTCATTTACACTGGTATCGGTCAGTTCGTCGCTGCCTACGCCCCCAACGCCGTCTTCGCTTCCCTTGTCAACCCTCTTATCATCGGTACACTCGTTTCCTTCTGTGGTGTCTTGGTTCCTTACAGCCAAATCCAACCATTCTGGCGCTACTGGTTGTACTACCTTAACCCCTTCAACTACCTGATGGGCTCACTCCTCGTGTTCACCAGCTTCGATCAAGAAGTGCACTGCAAGCAATCCGAGTTTGCCATCTTCGACCCTCCTTCAGGTCAGACTTGCGCATCGTACCTTGCCAACTACCTGCAAGGTATGGGTGCTGCTTCCAACCTCATCAATCCTGATGCTACTTCCGACTGCCACGTCTGTCAATACACTCGTGGTAGCGACTACCTTGCTACTCTCAACTTGAAGGACTACTACTACGGCTGGAGAGATGCAGCCATCTGTGTCATTTTCGCTCTTTCTGGTTATGCTCTTGTGTTCGGCCTCATGAAGCTCAGAACCAAGGCTTCCAAGAAGGCCGAGTAAAAAGTTTTCTTCCAATCATACCATTTCTTCTGCTTATCAGCGCGGCGTTCAACATAGACTGGGGCATCACGTAATACCAATATAGACATTCAATTCACTTTCGTATCATTAATTTTCTCCCATCCATCTGACTCAATTTTTACAATCTATGACATTCGAGGGCTCTCCTCCATGCTTGATGTTGTCTGCTGGGCGCTATATAAATGCAAAAACATTTTTGCAGGGATGTTGTCTTTCGATGGAGGCCAGAGAATTGGTTGTCTCACAGCTCATGGTTATCGAGCGTGTTACATCTCTGCATTCTGACAGGCGTGTTCCAAGCCATCTGGGCTGTGAGACATCTCACCTTCACAACACCTTCACAACACTTTCACTCTGTCTAACCTCCCAGGACCACTTTCATAACCAGAGCTCCCCCCTTTATTCCCGCTGCCGCTTTACATCAACAAACTTACAACAACATCAAACACATCATCGAAATGGCAGATCAGGACAACTCTGCGCCTAGACCTGTCGAGCTCCTCAAGGTTGACCATGGCCTTCGTCTTGTCCGAATCACATCTCAAGACAGTCAATTCCTGCCACCCTCTGCCGCCGCCATGCGCGAATCCAACACCACCACTCCTGAGATGTCAAACATTCTCTCACGCATCACCTACCTCGAAAAAGCCCTCGCCCACCAAACCCACCTAAACGAACTCCACGAAGCCCACACAGCCAAAAACTTCCACGAACAACTTTGCATGAACACAGATCGCAAGTCACGCATCCGTGAAACTCTCAAAATTGTGGATGAAAAGTTCGCAAAGCTTGATGCACAGCGCATGGGTCAGGAGAGAGTGATCAAGCAGTTGGAGGTCAGAGCAAACAGTCATGGATTGCAGTTGTCTAGGCTGAGCAAGAGGGTTGAGATGCTCGCTAATGCGGGTGAGTGGATGGAAAGAGAGTGTCAGGAGGTGGGTAGTCGCTGTGACAATCTTCGCGCAATGATCGAGGGGATGCAGGAAGACAAGGAGAAGCAGGGACTGTGCTGTAACGGACTGCGCAAGGCCATTGACCAGATGAAGATAAAGAAGGAAGAGCTTGCTACGAGAGTTGATGGTCTTGGTCATGGCTACAAACTCCTGAAAAGAAGACTCTCGGGGCTCGAAGACCGGATGGACGTCGAGGACGAAAGAAAGTTTGAGTTTCAGGTGATGGAAGACATGGGTGTCGAGCTTGGTTTGAACGTTGCTGCCTATGCCGTGGGAAACTATCGTTGCTCCACGATGTATCACTGGTCCTAAATGAGGCGCATATGAATGCAGAAAGATTTTTTGGATCGAATTCTTTGGACACAGGAGTGTCATGAGATACGGCTTTCTCACCTTTCACGCATCACAATCGAGATATCATTTTACCTTCTCACAGCCTGTTTATACGTACCATATCCTCGAGGAGAGTAACTTGTGACACGTCTAAAATGTTTGTCCAACTTGGCAGCAAACACTGCATGATAGTTAGTCCTATAACTTTTGACATCAGAAGCCGAACCTGCTTGACACATGCTGCAACACTTGAGCTTAGCATGATATTGCTATCATTCATGATCATGGTTCAAATCTTGCATTTGACCTCAACACGCTCGAATCATGCTGACCACTGCCAACAACATTTCTGAAGACGCATGTGTGCCTCTGTATGTATGTCTTTCAGCCAACCGCTCTGAAACTTCTCTGTTACAAAGCAACACTACAGTTTCCTGAACAACTTTTGCCCCTCAATCATCTGTTCTATACCCTAATCCATGATGATCCAATCACTGATCATGTTCCCGACCGAGATTATGACTCTTATTGCTTCCCTAGCAGAAGTTCAGGATCTCAGAGCCTTCCGCTTCACCTGCAAAACCTTCCATGATGCGGCAGCGAAGCCCTTCGGGGAAGCATTTTTTATCCAAAGAAGTCATGTCATTTCGCACACCAGCATGTTTGAGCTACTCCTGATGTCTGCCAACCCCAAGGTCGGACCTTATATACGTCAGCTTGGATTCAACAGTATCTTGCTACAGCCTCCGCCCATCCCACAGATCTGGAATGCTCGATACGACAACATCGGAGACCAAATCTCAAAGGTCGTGGCAAGAGCTGCGTTTCGTCAAGAACAGCATCGTTGTCTGCAGAGCGGTGCTTTTGAGCACCTTCTCACTTTGGTGCTGAGGAATCTCAAGTTCTGGGGTATTCAGCCGATCACGATACAGGTTTACTGCAACGGTGGTCCTTATGACGGTTGGGGCTGGCTCAGTCTTCTGCCCGAGGACAGTGACATCTCAACCGCAGTGCTCAGATCCCCACCAAGATCTCTAGACCGTGGAGCGATGCAGGATATTATCTCTGCGTATTTACAAGCAGTCAGGCTCTCTGGATCACCACTTGCGGGCACTATCCTCGGCTTCAATTACAGAAGTTCTGGTCCAACAAGCATTCTCCACTACATCAATGGACGTACAGGAGCTGGCCATCAACTAGACAATCCATCACACGATGTTCCAGGTGGCGATTTGATGTCACGACGCTTTCCTGAGAGGCACACAAGTCGAGAGTCAAGAAGTTCCGTCGACTTCATGCACTATGTACCCGCCACCAGATCCCTCGAACTCCAAGCTGGTACCACTATAGCTATAGTTGGAGACTTTCAGGCGCTTACAACCTGGTTACCAACAAACTCTGTGACAAGACTAATCCTTAAAGAAGTGCAATGGTTCTGGAGAGGAAAGCTCGATGTCTTTCTGCAGCGCAACAGACAGCTCAAATACCTCGAGATTCACGACTGTCTGTTCATGGACTCGGAGTGGAGCAACATCTTTGATGAGCTTTCTTCTGAGGACGACCACAACTCACTGCACGACCTCGAGTACTGCTACTTCGCCGGACTGAGAATTGAGCAGCCTGAGATCTACCCCCGAGGGATTGCTCTTCTTGAAGCTTGCATGGAGACTCATGAGTTCAAGAGTCGCGATCAGATTGTGCGAGGTCTGAAGTCTTTGAGTGCCAGACTCAAGGTCCTGGAGGATAAGGATCTGGAAGAAAATGGCGGTGACGAAACTACCATCGATGCACAGGATTGAGAATACAGCCGCGACCCGGAGGTGACAATGACCACTTCGGCGTATATATCCAGAAAGCTGGACAACATCCATATTGGAAGCGGCGAACGAGCCTGCTAGAACATTAGTATCCGAGAGAACTAGTGTTGCCAATCTATTTCCTCATTCCTATTTGACGCTCGTATATTCCCGACTCCATTGTTGTGAGTTTGTAGCTCGCCTGCATGGTGTTTAATCTTGAAGTATATGGATCGCGACAAGGAGCAGCGATCTTCATCCCTGCACTAGCATGCGCTCACAGTTTTACTCTGGAAAGCATTACACTGAAGCTCGTAGAGCTCTGCGACGGCTTAGCGACCTCCGCCATCAAACATTGTATCCCGCCTACTTGACTCGTCTCTCTACCCCTGAGTGACAACGAGAGCGGTTTACACGATCAATTGGCCGGCGACGCACTAAGCTCGAGCACGACTGATAGTCGCTGCCTACAATCAGTCCGCTAGGTTCTCCCAGCGACTACAGTTGCCGTACATAGTCAATCCTATTGGTCGATACCAGACGACGACCATTTGCTTGGCGTGTCCACCAATCTTCCACCGGATGATTGGTGTATGTAATCACTTCCTGAGGTTACCTGCGTCTCTCTATTCTTCTTACGCATCCTCAGATTCTCTGCGCCCGCCGTCCTACACCATCTCGCGTTGCTAACTGTATTTCATCGTCAGCCTTTCATCCAAGCAATACATCCGACAACCACGTCTACTCATGATGGAACGATCGGAATCTCTCCAACAGTTATGATGTCTCGCTATCACCTTGCATGCTTATATTGAAATATGACAGCATTGATCATCTGCCCACGGAGATCGTGGCTCGCATTGGTCACTATGCTGGTCAGACAGGTTTACCCCATCTGCGTGCCACGAGTCGTGTGAATCGGGAGGGCACAGCCAGGAAATCACTCAGAAAAACAATAAAAACACAGACATGTTGTCTAACAAAACAAATGTTTGCAGAGCCGTGGCGGGAAAATGTCTTAATTGTGACCAGTGAAAGAGCGTCGTGAAATTTTGAGCGTCCTTGCCTCGTTCTTGATCCTGTAGTCACCTCTGGACAGGCTTACTGTAAAAAGAGATCATGGCTTTTCTTTTTCAAAGAGATGCATTTGATATCGACTGTGTTCAATTCGTAGATGTAGAGCTACGGTGACGTTCCAGAAGACTAGTGACCCCTGCATTGAGAGAGTAAAAGCTGACGAAAAGTGCAGAGTCGAGTCCTCTAGAGAGATCGAGTCGCTCACATCAAGGTATAGACATGGAGCATTTCTGTGCAGACATGAACGTCGCCGGCTCAATTAAAGTCATTGTAAGGGCGGCATTTCAGAAAACATGAAGTTCGGCACGACACGGGCGCGTGTCTGTCAAGGTGTTGTTGTAGTTTGTAAGCGATTTAGTAGACGGACCTGCGAGGGAAGGAGAAGGTTTCGGTATTATTTAGATCGTAGATACTTTTAAAGACGGTCTGCGGTGCCTCAGAGGACATGTGACGTCGATAACAATCGAAGCAGGGAACCAAAAGCAGCTACTTGGTTTGGGAAGTGGCGGGAAGCGAAGTTGTTACGTACAGAGATGCGCTATGATGAAAGGAAAGTCTCGAAGAGCGAGGAAGTAAAGAAAAAAAACAGAAGAGAAGAAAGAAAAATGTGGTGGATCACAATCCATCCACCATCATGCAATCGGAGCAAATCCCAAAAACGCCGCCCTAGTCAGTGAATACGAGCATGTCGTCCACCGCAATGCGAAAGTAGCTCAATTCTTCTGTTCAATGTTGAGCATCAAGAAACATAATGGGAAGTGAATTATCTGCTGGCCTGCAGCTTGCTCTCATCAATCCGATCGCCATTGGGCAAGCGACCCTTTTTCAAACATTGACCTTTCTGGCCAACTTCTGCCTTGAAATGATTAAGTTTATCTTTGTCGCCGTTCCAGCTGAAGTCTCTGCTCCAGAAGCCACATCCGATATTGCTAGTTTCACCTCTCCAGTAGGTCTGCTTAAGACCGGCTTTGTCAACCGGTGGACGCCACTTTTTGTTGTCTAGAGTGCTAATCAGACTCTCGCCCTCCATATGGTGCATGAGTTCAGGGTTGACTGTGAAACAGCGGAGTCCCTTGTCGCGGCAGGCGGTCAGGATGGCAACGTCGTATGCGTGGTCGATGTCGCCGCGGTTGCCTGTCACGGGAGCATATTCCTCGATGAGTCGTCTGGCGGAGGCACGAGTAACGGCGTAGCCGAAGGTACAAAGCGGTGAAACAGACCTATGGACTATGCGTGACTTCTCAGGTATGTCAAATGCGGTGAGGAGAGATGAGGTAAAGGGGTGCAGGTCAGTTCTGCGAGGTAGAGTCTGATCGGGGTAGACAACGTGTGCAAGGTCCGTCAGGTTGTTCGGATGAACAATACCGACACCAACGGGCTCGTCGAGGGTTGTAAAGTAGTCTCCACAGTGTCCGACGTAGAAAAGCTCCCAATCGTCGGGGTGTCCCCAGGGGTATTCGTCTCCTGCAGGAGGCAGCAACGCGCGGGCGGCCGTAGCAGCGAGCGGTACCTGTTGTGTGCGCAAACGAATGTCCCAATCAACATCATCTTCCAAGATAAGGGCAGTCTCGAGTCCAGACTTGAGGAACTCGTTAAGTACGAGGTTGTGGCTTAACCATGCGCGGACGGAACCGTTTGTGATTGACGACTTATCGTCCTTGCCTCTGAAGGCTATGATTTGTTCTTCGGACCATGTCGGTAACGTGGGGATGGTAAAGTGGAGGTCGGTGACATTTGCGGATTGGATCAAGTTGTTGCGGCGTGGACTTCCAGGACCAGAGACAACAAACAGACCGCCGAAGCCCAGCGTCGAGTTGGCGGGACTTTGATGGCTGATGGAAAAGGAAGGAATGCTTGAGCTGACGCTGCTTCTGAAGTAGATGATCAGAGAGAGCACACTCAGGCCGATCAGCACATAGAGCGGCGGCAATCGCGGCGCAACCATTGTTGCTGCTGCTGGTGTGGAGGGCTGGCGAGGAACGTGGAGGGGATACGAAGAATAAACGCAGCGCTATCAGCTTGTATGATTGAGCGGTACGGACATCCGCCAAGCTGCTGTGGCGCGCGGCAGAGGCGTTCAAGTGCCGGAACTGCGAAATTGTGCGAGGATAGAGGGGAGCCGGCGAGTCTGCAAGAAGTCAAGAATCCAAAGTGTCGGAGAGAGAGAGAGAGAGAGAGAGATGGATTGACAGCCTCTCCAGAAATGAGAACATGTCAGAGCAAGTCGCCGCGCAACACGTCCCACACCAAGCCTCGTGGTGCGACAAGTATGGAGAAACTTGGTCAAAAGGATCGACAAGCCCTGGCCCGACCGTCATCACCTCTCATCAACCCCTCAAGACTTTCATCAATCCAGACTAATTGCACTCCTGTCAGCCTGTCAGACTATATTGCGAAACAATCAAAAAATCATCTCAATTGCTCAACTATTGGACATCCTAATACATATTGTCTGAACCCGTCGCTCTTGCCCACGTGGCTGAGGGAAAAGTATGCGCAACGGACAATGTACTGTTTCCTTCCCCAACACCAATCACAAAGCGCCATGCAATTCCCTGTAATTACCCATCTAATTTTCTGACTTCGAGACTTTCCAGCCAGCATGTCGTCGCTTCCCAAACCAATTCAAGATACCTACACTTTGACATGATGCAAGAAGCCGCAACTTTCAACTGCCTCATGTCGGCAGGCAAGTGGCTGTTTGAAGATCATTCCTTCCCCTGTAGTGCCCGTCAACGTCTTTTCAGCTCCCTTTCTGCTTGAATACCTGCCACACAAAACCTTCGGGCTGAAAAGTCGAGAATTACCGTTTCGGCTACAATTGTCGCCGTTGCGCTTATTTTTCAGCCAAACCTTGACTTCTTGCGACTTAGCTTGCTGCACTTTGGATCACGTCGCATTCCCGCAACGTCTTTTACAGCTCAACGCTATACTACATGCGAATTTCACGAACTATTGGAGTTGAGGTAGAAAACATCGCTCCGTCGGGTGTACGATAATGATGTAGGTATGAGGATTTCGCATCGTTGATTCAACGAGTGTTCTCGCCAAAAGATCTATCTTCGGTGTCCGGTACCCTACAAGCTTGAAGAGCCTGGTCCGTAAAATGCAAGCAGTGCCCTGCGCTCTCTCATTCCTCTCATCTGTTTCTCTCTTTAACTCTCAATTCTTCTGCCCTTTTTCGCAAATCTCATGTCGGTTGAGGAAAAGTTCTTAGTCGGTGAACACGGGCATCAATGTGCTACTCTGCTAACTTCATCTTGTCAGACATGTTGGCCTTGGTGATCGTGGAGAGAGCCATGTTGCTGGATGACAGGGATTTGCGTAACACCTCGGGTTGTTTAAAGTAGAAGTGTGTATGCTGAAGTGGCGGGTACAAGTAAGAGAGAAAGAGGCAAAGTGGGAGGGAAAGCAGTAAGCCAGAGTGTTGGAGTGATAGTCTGATTCGGCGATGTGAAATCCCGGCTGGAGTGATGAGTCGAAAGCTCAAGAGCGAAAAGAGATCAAGTTGTGTAGGCAATAGAAGAAGAAGCGCGCGAGATCGCATCACTTCGGCGTTCACTTGGTCAGATAATGGTGTGCAAGGAGAGTTCGATGCATGGGCACAACTATGTATAGATGACTCGAAGTAGTCTAACCTTAATGACCCTGAAAAGACTACCTACACCACGTGCTCCCAAAAAACCCTTGAGTTGAGGCCGTATATCAGTGTGAAGTACAGAGATGGGTAGCCTTCGTCTCCTCAGTCACCCACCATTACCGTAGTGCCGGCTTGAGAGCTTTTGTCTCACTCTTCACTTGTTGGCTGGTCCCACGGCGGGCACGACATGCCTTCATTTCCTTCTTGGTAGTATGTTCGTGGTAAAGGCAAATGTCGTTCTCGAAGGGTGGATTGACAATGGCTGTAGTCTCCGAGTCTGCCTTCTTTTTTGCCTCCAGTTCCTTCTCCAGCTTCTTGCCACTCGTCATCACCACACCAACAAGGAATTTAACGGGTAGCCTCTCGACTTCCGCTACAGGCAGATCAAAGAAATCGCAGTAAGTAGCATGATGCTCTGAGAATTTTCTGAGATTCGATCTAGTAGAAGTGTTCATGTAGATGTAACAGATCTCCTCCATTTCCATGACATCTTCTTCTAACGTACCGAGCAGAGCGGTCAAAGCATCGTCTCTGAGCTCGCGGATATCGAAGCGGTCAGCAAATATGTATAGCTTGATTGGAATTCAAGCTCTCCAGGTCTTTGGGCCGTCGCCTGCGTGCATGTCTTCGGTGGATTCGGTGTTGTCGGTTGATCCGGAGTCTGAGGGTGCGCGACTCCTAGTTTCTGTAGTCGTAAAAATGCCTTCTCCAAAGTTGCTTGCACCTGTTGTAGCGCTTTCGCTATCGCTGTCGCTGTCCTCGGAGTTGGAGTCGTAGTCGGATTCGGTAGAGGTTGTGTCCTTGAGAGTGTGCTCCCGACTGAGTTCTTCGTTGGTGATCGTGAGGCTCTTGAGATCTTCATGTATCGTGTTTTCGTCGAGTGCATCGTACATCAATCTACCGTAGTACAGCCAAGCAACAAAGATCCTGAAGACGATCGGTGATATGTCAGGCAGTTGAAAGAGTCGCGTGATGCCCTCTTGGAATTTCCAGACAAAGCTCTCGCGAAGTACTGCGACTTTGCGGTGAGAAGGGCTTGGTGGATGACGAATTGCTTTTTGGTAGATCCGACTTCGACGGTCACCCAAGCTTGTAAAGTACAAAGGGAATCGGGAAAAGGAACAGCAGTAGTCCAAAACTCCAAAAGAAACATCATGAGTGTCCTCAAAATTGGATCGTACTCGCTCTTCAGCCTAGGATGTGCCCGACCTGTAGCTGTGGTATTTGCCGTACTTGTCAAGAGTGACAACATCGCCCTTCATGCAGAAGATTCTTGAGGACAATTGCAGAAAGAGGCCTGACCAATACGACCTGAAAAGACTGGGGAGTGGATCAGGAGGAAGGAGAAACGAAACGAAGACAAAACAGAAAAGAAAAGTCAGTACTAATCCTCTACTATTAGTCTTATGCTTAACATCAAACCCCTTCTCCCCCCAAACCTCCTCCATCTCCTTTCTCTTCTGACTCTTCGCCTTACCCTGCTCAATACTCATCTTTTCGAAAAACACATACGCCGCATAAAACACTGAGCTAGTAATTCCAGCATCAGGTCTTTTTTGCCGCGGAAAGATTGGAGTTGGGAGGCAGAAATTCCTTTTGGTGCGTTTTCAGAGTGCAGTTGGGAGTGTAGATCGCGGGAAAATTGTGCTTGGGTGATGTTGGGTATTTTTGAGGTAGGCGGTTATTTTGCGGCGGATGTCGTCGCAGGTGTCGTAGACGGGGGACGGAGTCTGTTTCTTCGCCTTGAAGTATTTTTGTCAGTAATTCGGTAGTCTTTCTACTTGTGATGGTTAGTCTCCTACCATCCGAATGAACGTCACATAGATTCAACTTGTCATCCTTAGTCGTCTCGCTTTTACCCTTGTCGTCATCCTTAGTCTTTTGTTTCTTAGTAGGAGGTTTCAATCCAGCGTCCTCTCTCTTCTGGAAATAGGAACATGCAGCTGGGTAAGCTGCAAAATCTGCTCCCTTCATGGTACCATGCTTGTGCATGAAGTTATAGTACAGATTGCTGCTCGCACCAATCGCAGAGCAAAAATCTGTGACTTTCATCTAGCCGGATTTAATCAGTCTATTGATCTTGTTGCGGACGACTTGGCAGCTGTCGGTCACGAGAGTCTCGTCGGGGTAGATGTCTGGATCGTTGATGGTAGATTCCTAAATACTGCGTTTTGTGCACTGGTCCTTAGGTGAGATGGGGTTTAGGGGTGGAGTCTGTGGTCAGATCAACCTCAGGTACACTATCTTTACGAGCTTCCGTCTCTGGGCCAGAAGGGGCAACATTCTCATTACTGGTCTGTTAAGCAGTGTCGACTTCGGTCGCATTCTTGGGCAAGGAAAGTGACATGATTAGCTTTGATACCAGAATGGTTCGATATAACAAAGAGTTATATAAGAAAGTGCGCTCGCTCAGGTCTTTTCGAGAGTCGCAGTAGAAGCAAGTCATAGTGGGATAGAAGATAGGAAATTAGCCTGACTCGCGCAAGCAACAATCGCAGCTCTTAACACAATTCATTGCGTAGGGTTCGATGATCTGCCTACCCACCCTGCTTCGCGGTGACGTCTTTTTGGTGTGGAGGTGGAGCTGAATCTGGAAAAAGCAAAAACCTACCTACCTACCTCTCGGTATGCTGAATCCTGTCAATCGCGCTCTGTTTTCCACGACGGAAGCAGAGTAAAGAGACTCGGCCCTTTCCAGAGTCAAATGGTCCGCGCAAAGGGTCGAATCATAGTGCATCCAGCTCCTGATGAGTATCGTGCCTCGACAAAGCTCCACGCGTGACAAGAGTCTAGCACTCGCGATACTGGTAAACCTATAGAAGCCATACCTATTCTATGCCAAAACCCTGGTTATGCGCATTTCTCAATCTAGAATTTAGCCTTGTCGTTCGACAAAAGGTTCTTCCTGATCTGCTCAATCTGCTGATCGCTCATTCCAACAACATCTCTAACATACCCCTCAGCACCACCATAAACTTTTTGAATCATCTGAATCGTCGCAGCCATCTTTTCCGGCTGAGCAGAAATCATGTTCTTCACTCCCTCCTCGTTGCCCACCAGCGCCGGATTCTTGAGCAAGCGTTCCGTAAACAGAGGAACCAAATGTTGTAATCCAGTGTCAGTAAGTGAGTATTCTTTTGCGACTGTCTCGGTGGGGACGTGGCAGAGGAGGTAGAGGATTGCGCAGATGACACCAGTGCGGTCTTTTCCTGCTGTACAGTGGATTATACAGGGAGATGGGGAGGGGGAAGCGAGGTGGGTGAGGATTGTGCGGTAGGCGTTTGGGCCATTCGACATGATGTCTGCGTATGCTTTTACGAATCCCTGATATCACACTTAGTTAGACTTCCTTGTTCATAGTGTTGAGAGTTTAGAGGGTAAATGGTGACCGTGTAGGAGAGGAGAACAACGTACCTCACTGCCCTTCTTAGCATAATTCTGGAAACGTATAGCGACCTGTTCAGGACCGTAGTCCGTATTCTCAAACACTGGACACCATATCCTCTCGATGTCTCCCTCCTTGACCTCTTCATCGCTACCCTCGTCCCTGGTCACGAAGACCTCCTTCTCGACCTCGACGCCCGCCCATTCAGGTCCTTGTTTCGAGATCTCGGGGATACTGCGAAGATCGAACACTTTCTTGACTCCTAGCTCTTTTAGTTTGGCGAGACCGTCGGGTTGCACTTTACTCGGGTCGGCGCAGCGATAGACGAGCTTTGAGCGGATCGAGTGGTTGTCGGTCGTGCTGTAGCCGCCAATGTCGCGGAAGTTGGCTATGCCCGTAATGTTTACAAATGGAGGAGGTAGTTCGGGAGCTTTGTCAAAGAGTTCGGCCATGATTAATCTGTATATATGAACTTGAGATGTTGTGCTACAAGTTGACCAAAGACTTGTGTACATGTGGCATCCGACAGGAACACCTGCATGGTTGACGACGCCAAGAATCACATGCCCGTCTATATAGCCAAGGTACGAGGTACGACGTGCGAGGGGTATCCGCCAGCACTAATTCAAAAGAGCTATACGGATACAAGATAAAGAGGTGCTTTTGAAGATGGTATTACAGACTAAAGGTAGGCCTTTTTGAATACAGCGATATCAGGTGAGGGGGAATACTGTGCGCAAGCAAGAGAGAGAGGGAAAGAACAAGGAAACAAAAAGGCGGACTCTTCCCGCGAGCCCTCTGGACAAAAGCCTCTGTGGTAGACTGACACTTGACATGATTTGCTTTTGTGGAAACTTCTTTAGGCGGCGCCGGCATCGGTCGACTCGGTGTCGTTGACGCTGAGTGCTGCGCTCTGCTCTCTGTGCATGCGCGCCTCAATCTCGCGCAGCTGGCTCTCTCTGGCCAACAGCTCCTGTCGCTTCTCGTTGATCTCGCGCTGCACCTTGAGTTCGATCTCCTTGAGCTTCTCTTCTTCGCGGCGCAGCTGCTCCTCCTTAAGGCGGACTGATTGTGAGGCCAGGTCTTCCGGAGCGAGTGAGTGATCGCTGCCGATGCCGTTAGTTCCCAAAGATAATGATGCTATGTCCTGAGTCACGTACGCAGTTGCTCCGCCTTCGACGCTCTTGCTGAGCTTCTCTGTACGGTAGTTTTCGTAGAGGAAGTCGTGTGTAATCTCTTTCAAGTCGGCCAAATGGCTGTGAAGCAGGGCACTTCTAATGGCCAGGAAGTCGCTGTGGCGTGGATTGTCAACCTCGACGAGTCCCCAAGGGTATTGGCGGGCTCGGACAACACGACCTCCAATCTCGACAGTCTCCTCGGATCCGACAATGGCGAACGGCATGAGTCCGCGGAGCTCGGCATTCTCTTCAACAGTGTCCTCATCATCCTCCTCGATGTCGTAAGGGAAGTTGTAGACGGGGATGCGGTAGTGCTCAATGTCCTCCATGACGAGCTTCTTTGTCTCGGCGAGTTCGGCGGGGGTGAGGGAGTCGGCCTTGCCGATGACAGGGATGACATTGACGCGAGGGGAGAGGCGTCTCATGAGTTCGATGTCGAGTTCGCGGAGGCTAATGGAAACATGTCAGAAATGGGTTGAAGGCTCGGACCAGAGGATGGGGATAGCATACCCGTGACCAGTGGGTGTGATGAAGTAGAGCAAGACGTGAACGCGGTTGTCGCGGAATCTGGGGTTACGCTTGATACGAGACTCCTCGGCCAGAATGTCGTCGTATTGGCGCTCGAGGTAGCCGACGATCTCGCCAAAGCTGGATTTGTGTCAGTCGAGGCCATTGATTCGGCGCGGGCAGGAGCTAGGCACCTTGATTCATTGTCGACTTGATCACCGAATCCAGGGGTATCAACGACGGTCAGGGAGATGCGAGTACCCTCCTCATCGAGTTCGAGCTCTGTGGACGAGTGTAAGCGGCGTGGTAGTGGCGAGGACACGCATCAGGATGTCTTACCAACGGTGACGGGCTTTATTTGGACACCACCTTCGATGTGTGCGTTGGCAGGGTCGTCGTGCTCAACACCTGAGAGGACACTCTTGCCGCAGAGTGTGTTGACAAAGGTGGTGCGACCTGGGGCGCCAATGGTTAGTCGTTGTGCTGACCTGTCATCTTGACCGGGTATTGCTCACCAGTGCCAGAAGCGCCGCACACCATGATGCAGAACTGAATTCCCTTCTTCACATTCTTCTTGCGCCTGATCTGAGGCTGTGTCAGTGGCCGCCATTAGATACGAGATAGACAGCGACGTCGTGACAGGAGCGCACGTACGTAGGAAGACATCATGAAAGGTAGATGTGATGTTCGGAGCGACTGGTTGGCGACGAAGATATACGGTGAACGAGTGTGGTGGATGCGACGTATGAAGATGTGGTTCAATTGCAGTCGGGGTGCTTCTTGTCCAGGTATGGGGGAGGTGCAGGCTAGCAAAGGGGTCTCCTTGCTCCTTCCACACGGGCCACATCTACGAACTACGAACTTCCTCCCGCCAAGATCCTGGGGCATGCCTGAACATCTTTACACTGTTACACACCTTCCTTCTGTCCACCATTACTATCTCTCTCACTGATTCTTATCGCCGTGAATGTCGTTACTACTTCTTCTGCTTGTCCTGCTTCTCATCCCGGCCTCGCTTTGTGTACAAATCCTCGCTGCTGCTGTTTAGTACCATGCATCTCTCAGAGCCGTGGGGAAGCTACGACTCACGTCTTCTGGCCCTTGGTGAGCTGCTTGCCCTCTATCCGCTCGAGAGACTCTTCGATCAAGCCAATGTGTCCTCTCAAGGTACCTTCGAGCTCGTCCATTCGTGCCTCGTGCTCTTCGAGATTGTAGATGTGATGGGTTCTGAGATGATATGTGGCTCCACCAATTGCGAACAAATTGGCCAGTCCCATGAGAAAGCTAGGTGAACGGTATGACATGTTGGAAACCAAATCGTTGATTGCTTGGTCAGATGGTAAAAAAAAAAGAAGTGACTTTGAAAGAGACGACGAGTATGTTTTTGGCAGTCTGTGACTCTCGTGTTCACCAAAAGAAGCACCATCTCGTTGATGACGTCTTCGAATCCCAGCATTCAATAGGTAGCCCATAGCTTTGGAAAGGCTTGGATCTGATTCCCGTGGCCGTAAGATTTAATCGGCTAGCTTCTGCGAAGTGTCGTATAACCATCTTATCAATTATAGGATGGTCTTCCTACCAAGCAGTGCACATAAATTGCTCTCCTGTGTGGCTAAGAGTCATGTCATGACGGCTGCGCGTTTCGCGTCTACCACTCCAAAAAAGAATTTGGCATCGCTCAAACCAATTCATCCATATCGACTGCTACTGCGTTGACACTGCTTAATACTTTGTCTGCCTCCAAACACGATACCACTGCTGTTTCACCACATACCGCATCGGCACACAAACCATCTTCCTCCGATCGACGACCACTTTACGCGTGACGCGGGTCGCTCAACCCCCATGGACTGAAGAATCGCGCTCCGCACAAGGCTGACATGTCTTCGCCAAACTATCTCGAGTCTTCGCCCGTCTCTTTGAGCTCGCAGCGCCGCCGCAAATCCGCTTTCTCATACCGGCAGCTGTCCCAATTAGCCTCCTCTGCTACATCATGTCCGTTACGCGTCATTGCCCACATCGACCTGGATGCCTTCTACGCGCAATGCGAGATGGTCCGCTTGGGCATCCCGCCAGATAAACCTCTTGCCGTTCAACAGTGGCAGGGACTTATCGCCATCAACTACCCAGCACGTGCCTTCGGCCTAAATCGACATGTTACCATCACCGAGGCAGTTAAGCTATGTCCGGGCCTGATCATGCAACATGTTGCGACATGGAAAGAAGGAGATGAGAAGTGGGCATACCACGAAGACTCGTTCAAGAACATGGCTACACACAAGGTCAGCCTTGACCCTTACAGACTCGAGAGCAGGAGGATCCTGGCCGTCATCAAGGACCACCTGCCAGCCTCCCCTGTGTCCAAGGTGGAAAAGGCTAGCATTGACGAGGTCTTCTTAGACTTGTCAACTCACGTACATGGTATCATGCTCGAAAGATTTCCAGAGCTGAAAGGCCCGCCACCTTATGATGACCCCACGGAACAACTGCCCAGACCTCCAACAACTGCCTTGGAGTGGGACACAGACGCCTTGGTCGATTTAGACTCTACCGAGACCGAAGACGACGATCCAGATTGGGACGATGTTGCAATGGTCATCGCTTCGGAGATTGTACGAGGCGTTCGAGCGAAGATCTACGAAGAGCTGAAGTACACATGTTCCGCGGGCGTTGCACGAAACAAGATGCTTGCTAAACTTGGTTCTGCTCACAAAAAGCCAAATCAACAAACTATCATTCGTAATCGAGCTGTGCAACACTTCTTGAGCGACTTCAAATTTACCAAAATCAGGAATCTCGGTGGTAAGCTGGGAGATGAGATTGTCGCCGCGTTTAGTACGGATACGGTCAAAGACCTGCTCGAGGTGCCTGTGGAACAACTCAAGAAGAAATTAGGTGACGACACTGGCACCTGGCTCTACAACATCATCCGTGGAGAAGACCATGGTGAAGTCAACCCTCGGACGCAGATCAAGTCAATGCTCAGTGCAAAGTCATTCCGCCCTTCAATAAACACTCTAGAAACGGCCGTGAGATGGATTCGCATCTTTGTCGCTGACATATTCTCTCGACTAGTCGAGGAAGGCGTGTTGGAGAACAAGAGGCGGCCGAAGACACTTAACCTTTACCACAGACAAGGTGCACAAACAAGGAGTAAGTCGGCTTCAATACCTATGGGAAGGACCATGGACGAAGCTCTTTTGTTTGATGCCGCCAAAGGGCTACTTGCTCAAGTCATCGCGGATGGTCGAGCATGGCCATGTGCGAATCTCTCGTTAAGCGTCAGCGGCTTCGAGGAAGGTGTGACTGGAAACAAAGGTATTGGTGGATTCTTGCTGAGGGGTGATGATGCGAAAGCGATATCTGCTGCCCTCAGGGAGTCGTCAAAACCACGTAATCCGGAGACGCCTCCTCCCAGCAAGCGCAGACGAGTGGAGGAGAGTGGTATACAACGATTCTTTGGAGCCAGACAGGAAAGCTCCGGTGCTGTCTCCGAGAAAGAAGAACGAGAAGACTTCAGGGAAGAGGCAGAAGAGGCTCACAGTCCCTTTGACATTCCTCCATCGGCACAATTACGATCGGACGATGTGTCAAGATCGCATGCAGGAGAGCAGCGAGTCGAGTCGACTAAAGACAATGGACGGTACACCTGCTCTCGTTGCAACAGCTCTTTACTGGTCACTGAGCAAGGCGAACATGATGATTGGCACTTCGCAAAGGATCTGGCTGCTGACCTTGCAGCGGAGGAAAGAACAAGTTCTGCAGCGCGGGAGCAGAGTCGTCCCCCGAGTACGAGTTCGAGTAAGAATCCAGCCGCTCAACCCAAGAACAAAGGGAGAGAACGACCACCAAATGTAGCAAAGGCAGAGAAGGGGCAGAAGAAGTTAAAGTTTGGATAATGTCAAGTGCCGTATTCAAGACCATTACGAATACATGCCCCTTGACCTCGCAAACGAATCAGTCTCTATCCAATCCCCAGAGTGCCGGAGGGCAATCCGTCGTGATGCATTTGCGTTTTATGAGCCGCTGAAAATGAGCGTGCATGCAAGATGATGCTCTCTGAGCAGCGAGTGGTGGCTTGAAATCGAAACAAAGTCCAGAACCTTGCAACGTCATCGGCCGGCTACACCAGCCTCGCCGATCCGCTGAATCGCGCTCATCGAACCACCGACATCTTCATCCCTTGCAATATTGTACATCTGCTATCGTTCCTCTGTGTGGTAGATGCAGGTATTGGTTGTTGAAATGACCGTGATGTGGACATTGCTCTTTTGGTCGTTATTCCGACCCACATGTCTAAGCAAACAACGATGGTCAGCACGAAAGCTCGGCAGTCAGGAGAAAATGCAGTGAATCATTCGAGAATACATTATCCGATTGCACTTTGGGAGTAAACCTAGATTGCTATAGAGTTGTAGGTGATCACTTCAAGCATCCCCAGATCCAAACTCTCGTGGAGGTTTCATCTGGCCGGATCATCCGACCGATTCCAAATCCAAGATTTCCACCACGACATTCCAACTGTATTCTTGTCTGGAGACCACGTCCACCATCAAGACTGTATGGACTCCGGGCGCTCGGGTCTCTTGGAGGTTCAGAGACGGCTTGTTTCATGCAGGAGCGACTGTAATCACACCCACACTGACGACATTGGCGCTACAGCTCTACCTCCTCGAGCCAGGCAAGCTGACTTGTTGATGCGATGAGATTGTTGCTGAAACGCACTCAGCCACAAGGCTTCTTTGGCACTACTACAGATGTGTACAGACTTTCCCAGCCCTTTCGTTTGAACAACGGGGCGGCATTGGCCCTCTTCGTCCCGTCTCTATTTCAGCATGCGTCCGCCAGCAACGTCATGTCGCTATGACCAAGGAGACTCCTTGCGACGCCTCGTCACAGGACTAATGACTTGTCTTATATATCTTCCAGCTCCATTCATGTGTCTTGGAGGTCTCGATTCAGATACCACATATTCGTAATCGACCAACTACAACAGTCCGATATGTCTTCTTCATCTTCTGATAAGAAAAAGAGCAAGCCTTTCCAGCGCATGGCTGGCGGCCAGCAAAGGGGAAACAAATGGAAGAATCACTTCGTCGCTGCTTCTGGAGAATTTGTTGGCACTTTTTTCTTCCTCTTCCTCGCATTCTCATGCCAGCTCATGGCATTTGAGCAGGCGGGAGATCAAGCTGCTAATGGAAGTATCTCGTCTTCAACTGCCATCTACATCAGTCTGGGATTCGGAATGTCGCTCTTGGTTGCCGTTTGGATTCTGTACAGAATCAGTGGTGGCTTGTTCAACCCAGCGTAAGTTGTCGTCGTTCGGAACATGATTACAATTGCTAATGCATAACAGAGTCACGTTCGCCTTGGTCATTTGTGGTCAGCTCCCTCCGCTGAGAGGTCTACTTCTGTTCCCTGCACAGATTCTTGGAAGCATCGTTGCTGCTGCTTTGGTGAGCTGCATCTTACCTGGCGACATCAAGGCTACTCGCACTGTCCTGGCTCCTGGAATGTCCGCGGCACAAGGTGTCTTCTTCGAGATGTTCTTGACGGCGTTCCTCGTCATCACTGTCCTCATGCTCGCTGCTGAGAAGTCAAAGGACACCTTCATGGCTCCCATTGGCATTGGAATGGCTCTATTCGTTGCTGAGCTCGCTGGTAAGATAATCATGTCGTATTTTGACTGTCTTACATATACTAACACACCGAATAGGTGTTTATTACACTGGAGGCAGTCTTAATCCAGCACGCTCGTTCGGACCTTGTGTTGCTGCTGCAGACTTCAACACTAGTCATTGGATCTACTGGGTCGGACCATTGCTCGGATCTGCCATCGCCAGTGGCTACTACCGCTTTGTCAAGTACTTCGACTACGAGGAGGCCAATCCTGACCAGGACTCGGCTGGTGCAGATGAGATTGTTTGAGCATAAGATTAGACAACATAGGACGTGGAACAGTCGCATGATCTGTAGTATAAAAGCATGGAGTTTAGGAATGACACACCAATAATGATTTGGATGGTGGAAAGTGTCGAAGGCATATGTACCGCACATGACGAATTTATGATTAGCATCTACGCACGAATTACTTGAACTCAATAATTTCTGTCTATTCCCATGATCCAAAACCGTTCACGACTGTATTGCTGCTGTTGCTTGTGTATAGTGACGCATTTACTGCGAAAGACCTTTCTGCTGAATATCACACCCTGACCTACCTTTTTCTACCACCTTGGGCCCGTCAAATTCGCGTCTTTCGACCTCTGAAGTTGATTTGAGTACTCTACTATTGAGTTTCGACTCGAACTAATATCGTCGTGCTTTCAACATGATGCTGGGTCGGAAGGAAACACTCTATTTACAGCCAACCAAGCTCAGAGTCAATTGCTAACAAACGACACAATCACAAACGCCGACAATCGCAATGGGTCAAGACCAATCGCACATTGACAAACTTCTCGATTCATTCATCTCCTCTGTTCAACCAATGGACTTTGACCTTCCACTTCGACAAGACAATTTTACGAGATATATTCACTATCAACTTTGTTACTGCGAAAGGTTTGAGAAACCTCTGCGCTATTCGATTGAACCCACAGCAAGGGCCGACTACAACATGGCTAATCTTATCACTTTACTTGCCACGGACAGATTCCCGGTCATCTTTGACGCTCTCACTGCGTGCCTTTCTATCAGGGATATTGTGGCGCTCACTCGCACCTGCCATGCGCTGAACCCGCTGTACCAAAAGTTGGTGAAGCAGAATGCCTGGGATATCGACAGGCGATTGAAGAAATTCGTCAAGGACCCTCGTGGATTCAGAAAGAGGTTGGCGGAGCTTGATGGTATCATCTCTGGTGGCTTTGCTCTGCAGTTTATGGATCGTGTGGAGTGGGAGGGCTCGGATCTCGATGTTTGTGTGCAGGTTGGCGAGAAGGCTGATGCGTTTTGTCGCTATATGGAGGAGGTCGAGGGCTATGACTTTGCGTCTCGTAAGGTTGGAAAGTATGCCTGGACGCATGTTGATCTGGTAAGTCGTTGGAACTTGGAGCTATGAGCGAGGCTAATGTTGCTCGCACGTATAGGTCAACCAGTACGACAAGGAAGTCAATGGCGAGCTTGTCAGGCTGGAGATTATACAGTGTCATGGTCGTCCTGTCCATTCCACTCTATCGACCTACACGACTGCGCTGGTCAATGTCATTACTGGTAATCATGCATACTGCATCTTTCCCAACGCTACGTTTATCAAGCGTCAGACATACCCTACCCGCATTCCAGACTACTTCAACGGCGTTGTACTCGCGCAAAAGTACCAAGACAGAGGTTGGAGGTTCACCCAACGACTTCCCAAGGCGAAGAGAGTGACGGAGGAGTTGGCTCTGGGACGTCGTCGCATCGGTGACAAGCATACCTGGAAGATTGCCTTGTCGCCAATCTCAGCAGACGAGACGGCAGACAGAGCAGAAGGAGCTGTTGACAGACTCGAGTTTAAGATGGTTCGATGCCATGAATTCAACGATGGAGTCGAGCTCGAATGGTTGGGCGTGGCAGCTACGGAGACACAGCAGGCGGGATGAGAGGTAATGTCTCCTCATGTACGACTAGGGAGAGGATGCATGCGCAGGGCCAAGGAGATGCATATTCGGGCAAGCGTCCGCGAAAGTCGATCAGATCGATTGGCATGTGTTGGTCGGGTCGATAGGAAAAAGCCAAAGAAAGCTTCAAACACGCCAATTCAAGGCGCGCAATGAGTGACTTGACATGACAGCACGTATAGAAAGAACGACGGCTATTTCGAGCCCGTGTTTGACGCCATTGACGTCTTGACAGCGACTTGTAGGGCATGGTGTTACAGAAAATTAGAGGTGCCATGACAGGAGAAGATTAAGGAGGACTGTGCGCCCTTGTGTGAGCCGTGATTCCTTGATGATTGAGTGCAGCCCAAGTCAGCGGTACGTTCATGAGCACGGCAGCTGCGGCTGTGTGTAAACAAGACACAATTTAGTTCCGAGTAAAAGCGCATACAGCTACAGCTACAGCCACAGGACAGGACAGCAAGGTCGAAGAGTTCCAGGTCCAAGGACGATGCCAGGTCTCAGGGCGGCCTTTCGCGGACTGCTGAAGCGGTCGCACAGCACGGGCAGCTCCTCGGCAGAAGCCCAGCCTCTCCAGCAAGACGCGGACGGCCAAGGTCGCTCGTCGGCGGTGGGCAGCGCAAGCAGAAGCAACTCCCGCCAATCCAACCCGCTGAAGCTCAAGAGCCCGTCCAAGTTCAGTGTGCAGGACAGCATCCGAGAAGAAGAGAGCGACGACAAGTTCCACGACGCCGCCGAAACGAGTCCGCGTCCGCCGACTCTACGACCCGCCAGCAACTCCAATAGCACCAGCACCGCTGCCCCGTCCCCCGGCGCCCGTGCAGATCCCAAAGGTCAGCATACCGCCGACCTCGACTTCGACGACGACGAAGCCAAGGAGAGACATGGGACTTCGAGTCACTCGGACAAGCCAAGTCTGATCGTGCAGTGTGCCACTCCCGAAGCCAGCCAGCCCATCGAAGCAGAGTATGTCGCCGACCCCTCCATGCCGCCAGCTACTCGACCAGACACTGACCAGGACGACCTATACAGATTGCAAAGCACCCGCCCTCAATCCACCCACTCACGGCCTCGCTCTCCAATATCCTTGCGCGCTCAGCCTTCGCCCTCTCTTCCTTTGCTCCCGCCGCTGACGCCTAAACGTCCTTCTGAAAACACCATCCACCGTCAATCTCTCTTGACCGGTGCCAACGCTCAAATCTACCACGCTCTCCTCAGTCCTACCACCGTCGCCCAATTCCCACTACCACCTTCGACTCCTCCTGCTACCACCGAAGGCTCAGACTACTTTGTCGACGCTCCCATTGCAAAACTCCCAAACATAGCCACCATGTTGACTCGAAAAGTATGGGTCAAGAGGCCCAACGCCTCGCCGACCATGGTCACGGTGCGTGAGGACGACCTTGTAGATGATGTACGAGATCTTGTCATGAGGAAATACGGCAACTCGCTAGGCAGGAGTTATGACTCGCCCGACCTCGTCCTGCGTATTGTTAGCAGGGCTGATGAGGCCGGCAAGCGTGCCTCGGAGCGTATGCTCGGTCCAGACGAGGACATTTGTCGAACCCTCGACTCTTATTACACAGGCGGCCAGACTGCTGAAGAAGCTTTGCTCATCGACACTCCTCCACGCCGAACACCTCGCCCATCTCCCCGCATATACCACGGTGCCTCATACGCTGCCCTGGACGACTACCGACCTGCCGAGACGGGGAGCGATTACTTCCCTCCCATGCCTGCCGTCCAGCTTCCTCCGAACGTGCCCGGTCAAGCGCCGGTGCAGCAAACATTGCATCCTGAACCGCCGCGCTCGATAGCCGTGCTGAACACTGGTCAGATCCCCGTCTTGCCGTCGCCGGGTAGTGTCCGTCGTCATCGCGACCCGAGGGATCCTCGACCAAAGTTCAATCGCCAACATACATCCTCTCCTACAATCATGACGCACAATCCTCCACCTACATCCATGCCTCTCAACGCATCGAACCTCGCCGTATCTCAACATGTGCCCTCCATCCGACAGGGTCGTCCAAGAGTCGGATCTACTGCCTCCGAACAACAAGGTCATGCCATTCCTCCTGTCCCAGCTCTTCCGACACCTCCTGCCGCCGACGCCGTACCCACAGCCGGCAGTACCCCGCCTACACCAGCCGCTCAAGGTCAAAGCACGCTGAAGCCCGCCCGACCTCGTCGCCAAAGGAAGCTGACGCCCACCGACGGCACGCCGACCGTCAAGTCCCCTAACAATGGCGCCAAAACGACCCTCCCCCCATCTCTCCTCGACGGCGCAGTACCTCCCATCAACGTATTGATTGTTGAGGACAATATAATCAACCTGAGACTCTTGGAAGCTTTTATGAAGCGCTTAAAAGTAAGATGGAGCACTGCTCTCAACGGTCAGATTGCTGTCAATAAATGGCGAACAGGCGGCTACCATCTAGTCCTCATGGATATTCAAATGCCCATCATGAACGGTCTAGAGGCCACAAAAGAGATTCGTCGTCTTGAACGAGCAAATGGTATTGGTGTGTTTAGCACCACTGCACCTCCTAGCCCATATGCCTCCAAGGGCGAAAATGGAGAAGAGCTAGATGAGAGTAAGAAAGAAAAGGACGATGATAGATTAGTGTCTGATGGCGGACTCTTCAAAAGTCCCGTCATCATCGTCGCGCTCACTGCAAGTAGTTTGCAAAGCGACAGACATGAAGCCCTAGCAGCCGGCTGCAACGATTTCCTCACAAAGGTATGTTGTCCTCCTACCCTTTTCCCCTTCCCACCTCTTCCTTTACCCTTCATCCCCCCCAATCTCCCTCCCATCCCTTCAGTTTCCTCGGCACTCTTACTAACGCTCCTCCCTTCACAGCCCGTTAACTTCGTATGGCTCGAACGCAAAGTCAAAGAATGGGGCTGCATGCAAGCCCTCATCGATTTCGACGGCTGGCGCAAATGGAAAGATTTCGATGCCGATAAAGTCGCCAAAGAGAAAAAGGCCAAGAGACTTAGTAGAGCTAGTGCTGATGGTCCTCCTCCGAAATCTCCCAGACCGGGTGTTAGTACTACTGCTGCTGCTTCTGCTGTTGCTGCTGTGACGGGAAATGGACAGCAGGGTAATGGTGAGGGTGCGGATGCGGGTGTGGCTGTGTGATGGAAGAGGATGATCAGTGTGTTTTTTTTTACTGTCAAAACGTCCTTTTTGAGCTTGTCGCATGGCTTGGGTGGCTTCGTTTTTTTCTGCTCTTCCTCCTGCTTCGTTTGGATGGGAGTGCGCTTGGAAGGGGTTCTTCTTTTTTGTTGTTGGTTAATTTTATACTCCGAGCGCGGCGCATAGAAATCATGCGTGTCATGAAACAGACAAGGTTCGTTGTATGACCACACATTTGTATTGCATATTCAAATCATCGAAAGGAATGACATCTGTTTCTTGTCCTTTGCTCTGGACTTGATTGCATCACACGAAGAGTCACTCGCACTGTTGAACATCTGAATAATGGTAGACTTTCTTATTGATGCTGTTGTAAGTCTGTGTATCTAGTAATGCTTCATATGTCTTCGGCATCATGCCTTTTGTTATCCCAATGCCTTCGTTAATCATGTTGTCGTTATCAAATACTTGTTGGTGTCGTTAGTGTGCGTTCCTCGTCGACGCTGTTCGTTCCTGTAGGATCATCACATCCATCTTCATCCCTGCCAGCGCACTCTCTCGCTTCTCATCAGGTTGACCAGCTCGACTGGCAACATCTCCTTCTCTCCCAGACCAAGTCCACCGAATCTCTCCATGGCTTCAGCACCGTAGAGCTGCACAGTCCAGCGCCAGTAGACGTCCATAGCAACGAACTCGGGCTTGATGTGCTTGGAGTGGCGGTATTCGAGAGGAAGAGACTTGAGGGCATACTCGACAAAGCGCGTGTACTCTAGACCGCTAACGCCGGGTCCGTCCAAGAGATCATCATATGCAGTCTTGAGCGGAGCAGACGTCTCTTCACGGAAGCGGACAAAGTCTTCAAAGGAGAAGAAAGTCTCGGCATCGCATCCCTTGGGCACGTCGGCAATGGTCCTGCTGCTACCCTTCTCAAATGCACGCTTTGCCTCATCGTACGCCTCCTCATCTCGCTCGAAGGCAGCTTCGAGAAGGTCCTTGGGCTCTTTGACGGAGTTCTCACGAGCAGTCATCAGCGGGATGAAAGGGTTGCGGAGCTCAAGACCACCAAGCTCAACAGGCCAGTACAGGAAGACGTTGGCAATGTCTTGAGTTCCGAAGCGCTCTTCAATGACCGACTTGAGGTAAGAAGTGACGTCCTCGCAGCCAGTCACGTTGTCGTCGTCGACGAAGAGCTTCTTCTGGATGTACTTGAACGTAGAGAAGATCATGTCGAGATGCTGAAGGCCCAAGCAATTGGCAGGCTGGCCGAAGTTGTTGCCCAAGAAGCGACCCATGTAGCTGTTCCAGGCCTGGACGTAAGAGAAGATCGAGCGACATTGAGCGAACTGAAGACGCATCTCGGCAATGTGAAGGTCGACATTGGCCATATCAACAACCCAGCGTCCTTCGACAGGGTCCAGGACGAGAAATCCCCATCTCACAGCGCCCTTGGGGAGAGTGCTCGATGGTTTCTCGCCATTGTCACTCACATGAACTGAGCCGGTCTTCTCCTCATTCAAGGCCATACCCATAACATCGGTGAACTTCTTGATAGCCTCCCAAGCGACCTCACAGTCAGCCTTCTGACCCCAGAACCAAACATCGTCGTGGAAGCGGTAGAGCTGGCACCGGCCACTGGTAGCCTTGCTGACAGCAAAGTCGAGGCAAGCAAGAACTGTCTCGCCGAACATATCACTGAGTGTCTGACTGATAGGGACACCACAACGACGTGTGCGAGGCTCCGCATTGGGACCGTCTTGGGGAAAAACAAGAGACATGGAAAGGTACTTCTTAAAGAACTCAATGTGCGATTCTTCGAAGCCTAAGAACTTCAGGACAGCGAAGATGGTGCTGTGAGGGAGACTGGGACCAAACCACTTGAAGTCAGTTTGGCACAGAGTGAAGCTTCCGTAGATCTTTCTCTGGACCATGAGCTCGGTGGTGCCCAAGCGGAGAAGGGTTTGCTTGATCTCGAGAGGAGACTTCTTGTCAGAGTCTTCGTCGTGCGAGTCGTCAGAGCCGTTGTAATCACGGTTGCCCTCCGAGACGGTTTCAGGAAGTTGTGTCAAGAAGAAATCGTCCTTGAACTGCTCTCGGCGGGCAAAGAGAAGCGAATCCTGGAAACTGAGCTTCTTGCGTCCTAGATAGAATTCATGACGAGCACGATCCTGAGAGGTCATGGCGGTGTGAGCTGACTTCGGCCATGCGCGAGAGCGGAAGAATGTCTTGAAGACAGTCTTTGTGTGAACTGCGAGGTGAGTACCGAGATACTGCAGAAGTAGAGCTTGATGAATCTCCGGGTCCATGTACACTCTGTACTTTCCATTGAGCTGCTTCCTCATCTGAGCAGGGGTAGGCGAGGGCTTCCAGGACCAATCACCAAGGTTCGCAATCTCCATGTTGATGACATCAGCAATCTCTGCAAGCACGCCTTTGCCAGCATCGCCAAGCGCAATGAGCTCGTCTCTCTTGCGACCACTGAGAAGGTCAGCCTTGAGGACAGACTTGATGGCCAGTTCAACATCCTGGCTGGAGCACTCTCTGTCCTCCATGGTCCAATCTCTGAATTGTCTATGCAAGCTTTCAAACGCAGTCTCTCGAACTTTCTTCTTCGGCTGGGGCTCAACGAAGAGATTGGTGAGGTATGCCTCGATGGCATCTGTGTCTGTTTGACGCTCGGTGAAGACGAAAGAGTCCCACTCCTGGCGTTGACGATACATCTCGTCGCGACCCACCTGCACTGACTCAAAGCTCTCGGTATCCGAGGAGTCTGCGGTGCTGTCGCCTCCGAAACGGGTGTCGAGAAGGATATTGGCGTCATTGGGCTTGTCGACCCATTCTGTGGCGAGACGTGAGAAGAGGTCGGTGTATTCATACTTGTTGGACTGGATATCGAGGAGACGTTCCAGATCTGCCCGCCAAGCCGATGGAAGAGCTGAAGGGATGGATGCATCGAAAGTGGCTTGCTTGAGCATACTCCTGAGATTGGAGAGAGAGAAACCGCCGTATTGAGTAGTAGCAGTTGTCGACTTGAGGCCGAGCTTCTTCAAGCCATCGGCGAGTGTCGAAATGGGGTCGTTGCTGGCCTTTGCTACAACGAGAAGTGCAGCCTTGCGTTCCTCGAAGGTCTTGCGACGGTCGGCCAATTGAGACCGCTTGTAGTTGGTGACATCACGCAGCACTCTGGAAGCCATGATGGGCACACCACGAAAGACAGATGATGGGATCAGAAGATAGAAGAGGAGGATGAGAGACCTGGAGGTTGACTTCCAGGATCTCAGAGCGAATACAAAAATAAGACGAGTTGGAAGGCACGTTTCGCGCGTACTTATAGCTCTTGCCAACACGTCGGTGAGCCAAGAGGGCAAACGCAGAAGTACTCACCGTGGCTGTCTGGAGAAGGATCTAGTCTTAGTGACTTCCTTCGTAGCTCAAAGGAATGGCGATTTCAGCTGAAGCTTGCTAGGCAGCAAGTTGCGGCTGGTGGTTTGCTAATGGTATCCCATCGGTGCTTTCATCGCGGTGACGGTGTCTCTGTTAGGAGTCTTGGTCGGAGAAGGGTCTCGACGATCGCCGCTACGTCATCACGATTCAACAAGTCACTGCATTTTGCATGATTGCCGCTCTCAACGAGCAACACAGAGAACAAGAGTGAAGACTTGCTCGCATTCAGGCATGAGAAAGGGGTATGAGAAAGTGAGGTTGAAAGGCAGATTCAATAGTTTCCATAGGGGCTAAAGTTGTGCTGTTTCTGTAGTGAAGCTGGATTTATCCATCACATTTAACCGCCCGGAAAGTAGGACCGGAGGGTGAAGGTTGAATCATTGCCCTTGCTGACTTATCTTTGTGGATCATTGAAAAAGAATAACTCGGTCGGCGACGGAAACTGATAGATACACATAATCAACATCTCAATTCACAAATCATGGCAGCGACAGGACCTTTGTATATGGTACGGCATCACAGAGAAAGCCAGGTTGGCTATTTGCTGACTTCTGATGACAGGGCTTCGACCTTTCCACACAACAGCTGAAAGGTTAGGAAACACGATTTTTATTCGGTAGTGGCGACATGTCAATTGACCCTGGGAATCACAGGCGTTGTTGTAGACTCACAACTCAAGCACAAGCATGAGGCCAAAGTCGACTTTGACGCCGACTTGGGCGAGAAGTACGGCATTGAGAAGGGTGTTTTGACAAACCCTTCAGAAGGCGAGATCTACGCGCCAGTAGGCATGTGGCTGGAAGCTGTAGACTTGGTCTTGTCAAGACTACGAGAGGACGGTCTTGATTTCTCACGCGTGAAGGGCGTGTCCGGAGCTGGCATGCAGCATGGAACCGTTTTCTGGAGTCAACAAGCTGAGAGCCTTCTCTCAAGTCTGGACGCAAAAAAATCGCTCGTCGAGCAACTGGAACCCAGCGCAGAGAAGGATGAGCGTGAAGGCGCATTCAGCCACCCTCACAGTCCCAACTGGCAAGACCACTCGACTCAGAAGCAGTGCGATTTGTTCGACGCCGAGCTCGGAAGCCCAGAGACTCTGGCCGACGTGACTGGTAGCGGTGCTCACCACCGTTTCAGTGGCCCTCAGATTATGCGATTCAAGGCCAAGTACCCAGAGCACTACAAGGAGACTTCTCGCATTTCGCTCGTCTCATCGTTCCTTGCATCAGTCTTCCTCGGCAAATTTGCACCCATCGACATCAGCGATGTCACCGGCATGAACTTGTGGCACATCGAGCAGGGCAGATGGCACGAGAAGTTACTCACTCTGGTAGCAGGAGGCTCGGACGGTGTATCTGAACTCAAGCACAAGCTCGGCCATGTTCCTGAGGACGGGGGTGCCAGTTGCGGTCACATCAGCAACTACTTCGTGCAGCGCTATGGCTTTGCTCAGGACTGCAACGTTGTTCCCATGACTGGAGATAACCCTGCAACTATCCTTGCTCTTCCCCTTCAGGCTTCAGACGCTATGGTGTCCCTCGGCACTTCAACCACTTTCCTCATGAGCACACCACAGTACAAGCCTGATCCCGCATACCACTTCATGAACCACCCCACAACCGCTGGTCTGTATATGTTCATGCTGTGCTACAAGAACGGCGGTCTTGCTCGCGAACACGTCCGTGATGCCATCAACGGCAACAAGACCGATCGCTCATGGGACAAGTTCAACGAAGTTGCCCTCTCCAACCCTCCCATGAACCAAAAATCTTCCTCCGACCCCATGCGCATGGGTCTCTACTTCCCTCGCCCAGAAATCGTACCCAATGTCCGCGCCGGCCAATGGCGCTACGAGTACAACTCATCCTCCAACAAGCTCAACGAGACCTCCGCCGAGCAGAGCGTAGATGCAGACGCTCGCGGAATCGTAGAGTCACAAATGCTGTCTCTGCGTCTGCGTTCCGCAGCTCTGGTCTCTGGCCACGAGATCGATGGTAAAAAACTACCTCCCCAACCTCGTCGTGTGTACCTTGTTGGCGGCGGCTCTGCAAACCCCGCCATCGCACGTATCATTGGCGATGTCTTGGGAGGAGCAGAAGGTATCTACAAACTCGACATTGGCGGCAATGCCTGCGCTTTGGGCGGCGCCTACAAGGCTGTTTGGGGCTGCGAGCGCCGTGGCAAGCAGACCTTTGAGCAACTGGTCGAAGAGCGCTGGGACGAAGATGCTTTTGTCAAGAGAGTTGCTGATGGCTACGTCCCTGGTGTCTTTGAGAAGTACGGAGAAGCTCTCAAGGGCTTTGAGGCCATGGAGAAGGAAGTCGTCGCATCCACCAACTCGGGCGCCGCAGACAATGGAGGTGTTGTCATGAAGAATGAGAAGGGTCAGGGCGCAGACAACTAGCGCATCGAAAGCGAAAATGAGTAACACGATAGCCTTGGTTAAAGTAATCTGTAAAACTTCCATGCACCCTCCTCCATTGAGTTTATGCCTCCAATTGACAGTCGCGGCGGTAATTCTTCTTATCGTTAGCTTCATGCAGCAATCCCAGCCTCTAAATAAGGTCAACGGACTGTTGAAGCTTACGACGAGAACAATTAAGAGGATTTACAACTCACATCCCAAGACAAGAACTTTACTCACAACACATCTCCACACGAGCGGATTCACAGTAGCAAGGGCAATACAAAATCGAAGACGAAGCAAGAACCAAAAAACACTCTGTTTCTTTTCTGTCTTGTAGAGAAAGAAGATAAGAGAGTCCCTTTTTTACCTTCCATCCCCACCTTTCTCTTTCTCCAAACCCCTCGAAAATTCGAGAAGAGAGAAAAACCGGTTGGAAAGACCCCGTACAATGGTTCTATGGAAAGAAAAAGAAGAAAATTCTAGAACAGGCACACCCCAGAGGAGCAATAACGAAAGAAAGCCGGGAAGAAAACATACCAAGAGAAAGCACAATCAAACATCCGAATATCGGAGTTCAGAGTTCGTCTTCGAGGAACTTGTAGGCAAACTTGAAGTCTCCCTTTCTACGGTTCATCCTGTGAAAGAAGATTAGCAAGAGGACCGAAACAATCGAATTAACTCTTCCACATACCATGTGCTTTCATAGTCAAAGAAGCGATATGTTCCCTGTTCGTACTCCTCTGTGATATTCTTGGGCTCTTCGTGTCGTTGGAACCAAGTCTGGTATTGCTTGTGGAAGCGCCAACTCTGACTCTTCAATGCCTTTGCCGCGAGGAACTGCTGATAAGTGCCTTGGCGGTAGTAAAAAGCGTAGAACAATGTATCCGTTTCAATTCTGCTGTAAAGTCGCGGGTCGTCGAAGACGGTGAGGGGCTCTTGGGGGTAGTGGGTGGGTGTGTAGGCGTAGGGAGATGCGGGCTTGTAGTGGTAGGGCTTTTCGGCGTCCATGGGTAGAGGCATGCTGCTCCGTGACAAAGAGAGCAGGTGTTCCTCGGGCATTTGGGGATTCGCTGACAGAGCGCGCTGCTTTGTGGCGGTAAAGGAGTCGAGCAAATCAGTCAGGCTAGACGGCAGATGGTAGATGGACTCGTCTTCTTGTTCCTCCTCTTCTTCTACTTGCTGTGCTTGTGGCTGCTGCTTGGAAGAGTCGCCATTTGTGAGAGGCACACCGGAGTCCTGTGACGGCGGTTGTTGTGCTTGCTTCGCGCTCTTCTTGGCCTTGGGCTCCGGAGCGGGCGGTGAAGGCTCTTGGGCGGGCGAAGGAGACTTGGCCGGGGGTTCCTGTGGTTTCGCGGGTTGAGGTAGTGGCGGTAGCGCTGGCGAGGGCTGGTATGTAGCGGGTTGTGACGGCGTGGGGGCGGGAGAAGCAGTTGAGCTAGGCCGGGCAGAGGCAGCCGTGGCACCAGGCGGCGGCGGCAGAGGAGCAATACCAACACCGCTCTTATCGCTTGCAGCAGCGGCAGCGGCAGCCGAAGCGTACTTGAGAGTCTGGCCGGTGGGTATATTCGGCAAGGGCGCGGGCTTCATGCCCGGCGGCGCGCTGCCATTTACGCTGCTCGGTATCGAAGCATGCAATGTGGCCAATGCAGGCAACGGCGACTTGAGCTGTACTGACGGCCTCCTCGGCTGAGCGCTGGGAATGTCGACCGAGGACTGCTTGGTGAGCTTCGCGGGCGTGGGCTGTGCGACCTTCAATGGGGGCTCTGGTTGTTCCGGACTGTCGCCGTGTTGTGATTGGTTGTCTTGTGATGACACGCGATCGTCTTCGTTCTGCAGGCCGAAGATTTGCTCGTCGATGTCGAGGTTCAGATCGTCGTAGATTGCGTCGTCTTCCATGAAATCGACTTCCTGGTTGTTTTCCACGTAGTACTTGATGCCCTCTTCAATATCCTTGACTTGGTCGGTGTCCACTCCACCATTCTCCAGAGATCGTAGTAGCAGTTCGAGCTTCCCTTGGTGCCATTTATGTCGTTCGGCCATTCGTTCCAGCTCTGCTATCCTGTCGGCCTTCGCTGTGTCCTTCTTGCCCTTCTTCATGTTCGCTTGTAACGTTTCGGCCTCGGCTTCTGTGACCTCAATCTGTCGTTCCAGCTCTTCGACCATGCTCCCCAAGAAGTCGCATATCTCGACCTTCTCCTTCTCTTTCGGATCGAGCTTCGCGGCAGCTGATAGTCCTTCCTTTGAGAAGGCTTTCGTCTTCATTTCCTTTTCGACCGCCTTGAACTTTTCCATTTGCTTGGGCTAAGCGTTAGCGGCGGACGTGCAAGACGCAGGATGGCTCTCAATACCGTCTCGATCAGCTTGCGCTGATCTAGCAATGGCTTCTTGTCCTTGATGTCGTTCTGGGCAGCCCATGCTTTGATCTGATCTCGCGACCTTTGCAGCTTCTTGATCTCCTTTTTCAGGTTGTCCTCGAGCTTCTCCTTCTGCGAGGGATTCGTCGATTGTTGTAGCTTGTCGTAGATGCCCTCGAAAGCTTGCACACCTTCGGCCACTCGTTTGAATGTCTGCCGCTTGTCAACACCTGTCTCTTGCGCGCGCATGGACGCCAACGCACCTTGTCAATCTCTTGCTGTAGCTTTCGTTGCGCCATTGTTGCGTGTGTGGCCCTCGTGCGTGGGTTCCGCCGTGTGAGGTTTGGAGGATCTGGCGAGGCAATGCGGCGTCGCTGCGGGAGGGAGTAATAGGGCCAGGGAGACGATGCGGCAACTCTCCATCAACTCGGGGCGATGGTCGGGTTGGCACAAACGGAGACGAGTCGAGGTGCGGATGCTACTTTGTGCGACTGTCGCATCCTCTCCACGTTTGTTGCCGCTCGTTGTCGTTTCCCACCCACTGCCAAGCCACCAGCAAGGTCGACTTTACGTGCGTTTGTACCGTTTGACTTTATCGAAACACTGTCACCTCTCTGCCACCTATCTTGCCTATCTGCTATCGCCGTAATATCATCCAAAGAGAAGCTCAAGGTAGATAAATTCGTGCTGCATCTCTGCCATCTCCTAGCCCCTCGTTTCCTCTATATCATCAGATCAACACCATGAGAAGTACGAATCACGGCTCCACCTCTCTTATTTTCTTACATCATCGTATTGATTCCCATCAGCTGTTATTCAACGGGTAAAGTCTGCCTCTGTTACGGTAGATGGTCAGCTCATCTCTACCATCGGCAAAGGCTTGCTCGTGCTAGCTGCCATTGGCAAGGATGACACCCAGAAAGAGGTCGAGTCCATGGCCAACAAGATTCTAAAAGCAAAACTGTGGGACAATGAAGATGGCGGTAAATGGAAATGCGGAGTCAAGGATATTGAGGGTGAAGTTCTTTGTGGTATGGCTTATCAGCTTCTCAATGCTACATTGTATCTAACACATTCGCAGTATCACAATTCACACTTCTTGCGTCAGTCAAGAAAGGCAACAAGCCAGATTTCCACAAGTCTGCCAACGGAGAAAAAGCAAAGGAGCTTTACGACCAGTTCTTCAAGAAAGTACAAGCTCTATATCAAGCAGACAGAGTGAAAGATGGCGTCTTCCAAGCCATGATGGATGTAGCTCTAGTCAACGATGGACCGGTAGGTGTAGACTATACGTGCGAAGACGGCGCGGTAAATACCTCGTTTGCTACCAACGTACTCGATGCTGATGTGCTTTCTGCTGCAGGTCACGATCCAGATAGACACGGATCCGCCAAAGATGGACAATCCTACAAGTTTCGACCTCCCTGGTGACCCGCTGACACACAAGGGAAAGCTACAAACAACATTCGAGCTTCCAGCCTCACTGCTGGAGTAGTACAACATGGCTCCTGTTCCTCCATGCTTTGTTTGTACCCTTGATGGGTTTTGCTAACCGGCGGGTGTTTCTCCTCCAACACAATGATACCACTTAGTACACAGCCTAGACCATTTTTCAGACCTGATACACAGAGAATGACCCACGCACGTCTCACATACCTTTTCAAATTCTTTTGATCTGACCCCTACTTAGGAGTTGCAAATTGCCATCCTTCTGCCAGTAGTCCGTATACGAGAGAGTCTCGAATTCCGATATGCGTTTCCCACTCGGCACGTAGACGGCCCTCTAGCTTGAAGCCAAGTGCTTTGAGCAGCGCAATAGATTTTGCATTATCAGGATCAACATCAGCAAAGATACGCCGTTGTCCCTCAGCGAACAATCTCTCAATCAGCAGGCTTACAGCTTCCCGTCCGTAGCCATATCCTGCCACTTCACGGGCAACGATGTACCCGATTTCGCTCACGCCTTTGCGCTTCGAACACGCAGCCACGAACCCGATGGCTTCGTTTTCGCCAACCTTGACAATCGCCCAGATCTTCCAACCTGTCGTGTCGTCAGGAGCGAAATCCTTGCGCAGTTCCTCGATGTTCGAAAAGGGTCCACGAGACCAGTATTGCATCGAGTCTGGGTGCGACATTGTCGGGAACAGGGCTTCGGCATCGGACTGATTGCGTAGTCGCAGGTCTACACGCTTCTGCTCAGGAGTGATGACCATTGTTTTCGTTTTGAGTGTATATGGCTTAGGATAGTAATACCGAGGGGTGCTGAACGAGACTAGATCTAATAGATCAAGGGGGGCGTTATTGAAGAAAGGTCACTAAGTCTGGTCTAGTAGCAAGAAGAAGTGTCTGTGTCAGGAAGAGAAACAGGCAGTCATCCTTACCTATACCTCCAATTCAACATGATAGCTTGGCATGTTCAGACCTCGGAGGCTTCACCGGAGGCTTCATGGGTCCGCGGTGTCGATGTGGGGAAGTGCTTAGCGCATAGAAGGTCCTAGAAGGTGAAGCTATCAACACTTTCACCGCGGACCATCATTCCGCTTGTTGTCTTCTGCGTCGCAAAATCACCTTGCTCCCGCTTGAACTCGAACGTAGTCGCATATTCTCGATTCCACTCTATACATCCCACAATATGGCAGAGACCAAGCGCAGCCGTGTCTTCTTTGACATCAACATTGGCAAGTCCAGTGCTGGCAGAGTCACTTTCGAATTGGTAAACACCCTTTCGGCCTGCCCACACCAGCGTTACTAGATACTGATGCCCAACGCAGTACGACGATGTCGTTCCCAAGACTGCCGACAATTTCCGCTCATTGTGTACTGGAGAGAAGGGCGAGGGCAAGAGCGGCAAGCCTCTTCACTACAAGGGCTCGTCTTTCCACCGTGTGATCAAGTCTTTCATGATCCAGGGTGGTGACTTCACTGCTGGCAACGGTACTGGCGGTGAGAGCATCTACGGAGAAAAGTTCGAGGATGAGAACTTTGAGCTCAAGCACACCAAGCCTTTCTTGCTCAGCATGGCCAATGCTGGTCCCGGTATGTTCTACTGCTGTTGAAATGCGTGGAGTCATTTGCTGACGATTGATTTAGGCACCAACGGCTCCCAATTCTTCGTTACCACCGTTCCTACTCCTCATCTTGACGGAAAGCACGTTGTCTTCGGTGAAGTCCTTGGAGGCAAGAGCATCATCCGCACCATCGAGAACACACCCACCGGCTCCAACGACAAGCCCAACAAGGAATGCACAATTGTCGACTGTGGCGAACTCACTGGTGAGGCATATGAGAAGGCTGCAGAGAAGGTCCCGGACAGCACTGGCGACCCGTACGAAGACTTCCCCGAGGATCATGGCGAGGACATTCCTGGACTCGAGATTGTCAAGATCGTCAACGACCTCAAGACCAGAGGTACCGACGCATTCAAGAAGGGGGATGTCGCACTCGGTCTGGCTAAGTACCAGAAGGGTCTGAGATACCTCCACGAATACCCCGATGCCCTCGAGAACGACCCACCAGAGCTCGGTCCCGCCCTCGCATCGCTCAGAATCGCTCTTCACTCCAACAGCGCTCTTCTTCAACTCAAGCTCAACGACTACGCCGATGCTGAAAAGTCTGCCACATACGCCATCGGAGTGCCTCAGATCAAGGCACCAGAGAAGGGCAAGGCTCTTTACCGCCGCGCTGTCGCTAGAAAGGGCCTGAAGAACGAGGAGGGAGCTGTCGCCGACTTGGAGGAGGCCCTCAAGTTCGTGCCCGAAGATGCAGCAGTCAAGAACGAGCTTGCCGCCGTCAAGAAGGCCGCTGCCGACAGAGCAAAGAAGGAGAAGGCTGCTTACAGCAAGTTCTTCGCATAGATCATCAACCACGAAATCACGACCATTAAACGTATAAAAGTGTGGGGAGAGGGGCGGGAAAGCATCTGTGTATCATAAAGGACAAGGGAGTTATGGGCGTAATCAGCAGCATAGCGTAGCCGACCTCTGGGTAACTGATGCAGATTCCAAATGAAATCGATTTTCCAATCTTGTACACTGCATTCACACTGCGTAATCTACGTGCTTTGTTCGATCTGATTTTGTGCTACTCACGATTGCGAGCTTTCCTGGTTCAGAGTGGTCCCGTCTTCAGCTCCGTGTCAGCAGAACCCGGCGAGCTTTGACTGCGTTTACCCAACCATGTCGTGTCGGACTCGCAATAGTGTCAATGCGCAAACACATTTGCCCGTGGATCGTATCCAAATCCTCAAGGCTGGCTGATAGCACGCCCAGCTGGATATAACAGAGGTTTGTTGATTCTGCCATGCCGGACCGGCAATTGATGGCGAGCGCCAAAGCAAGATAAAGCGGGTCCCGAACATCGGGGTCGCGCTTTCTCCTATCCTAATCTCCACCGGGCGCCCATTTCGTGAGCCTCTTTTATCCCTTGCTCGCTTACAGGATACAAGATAGCTGTCTTGCGCGATGATGCTGTTGGGTTGTGTCCTGCGGGCCTTTGTTTTCTTCATGACATCGGTCCTGCCTCCGCGATGTCGGGTCTAGCAAAAGTCAGATAAGCGTGGCACTGCATGGTAACAGCATGGGAGCATTTGAGCAATGGAGAAATGGCTGGTAGGTTTGGCAAAAGCAGCATCAAATCGCGGACGTCAATCGTCCACATGAGAGCGTGTCACGAGGCAGGACGTGGAGAGAAGATCATCTGTCAAACCAATGGAACTCAGCTGTCAATCCAAACCGCATCTGGCATCTGTGCGGGCATCAGTTTCCCAATTTCCGGGCCATTTCAGCCAAAACCGTCGAGGATGCGGACATCTGTGTCGCGTTTGCAACGACCAATGAAGCTCCTGCTCTCCCCACGTTCTGTCGCCCTTGGCTGGCTCGCGACACAGCATGTTGACTTTTCCTACTCTCATCTCTCCATTTCTCCTTTGACTGACATGACACGACTGGTCCGGGAAGCTGCGACAGCCAAAGGATCTTACACACCTTTGACATGTTAATCGATAACCAGTAGGATGCCAAGCTGACTAAGGTTTTTGGTGTTGCCAAATGTGGCTGGTCCAGAACCGGTATGCCGCGATGAGAAACGACCCTCCCTTATCGGCGCGTTTGCTGGCAGGCGATGAAGACCTCCCCACTCCCGATAAAACCTTTAGCGGAGCCGTGGATCTCATTATTCAGTGTTACCATTCGAATGCCAATGCTACGGTAGTGTGTGTTTGTCTCTCATTTCTACCCTGTTTTCTTATCCAGCAGAAAATTTCCTTTCTTTTTTTCCTCCTTCTCGTGTTCTACCAGTCACACTCCTTTTTTACACTTCAAGCCTTGGGTAACGCTTGTCTTGGTCGATACCGCGTCGAGATCGACTCGAAGGATTTTATGTTTCAGCACTACGCTCTGTGACGCGCCTTTTCGAAAAGATATCCCCGGAGGACCCTTCGCCCGAGTCAGCCAGCCCACACACCCTTCGACTTCCGGACCTTCCCATGCCGTCATAGGTTACTCATTGCTGCTATTTGCTCATTCTTATCCCCTTTGATATATATGCGAGGAGGGGTACAGCAAAATGACGACAAAAATCTTTGCAAGTGCAAGAGGTCCATTTGTTTCCCATACAAAATTTGCTTCACATTCCACGCATTGCGGCCAGAAGGAGCAATATACATCCAGACCAATCTATAAGAGAGCGAGGACAACGCCTAACGAATTATTACGCGAAATGCAAGGACTTCAGATTAGGACGCCTGCAAATGCTGGCAGCTACAAAATCGAACAATCAAAGAATGGACCTGAAGACACAGAAATGCTTACCCCTCCTTCTACACCTGCACAAGCGAAACTCGTCGACGAGCAGTTTCCTTCTCGTCGGTCACTGGACGCGTCTCATGTCCCGGAGCTCAACTTCACTCCTGACTGGTCTCAAGCACAATTACTAGGTGAAGGCGTCTGGAGCAAGGTCTATCGTATCTCAGTACCGGTGTCTCAAAGACATGTTGGACGCCCTATTACCCCGCCATCGACACCTCACAAGTCTTCCTTTTCGTTACCTCAACACTATGCAATCAAGACAGCCACACGAGGAGACGCCACCGCAGTCTTCCAAGCCGAAGCACGTATACTCACACATATACAAAACCATGACTCGAGCTCGGATTACATGGTTCCTTTTCACGGCCTATGTACTTCCACTCAAACGCCTTCCCTCCTCTTCCACTGCTGCGACGCCGGAACGCTAGAATCCTTAACAGAAACTTCATCCTCGCTCCCACTTTCAAAGGTTCTGGATCTGTTTCTCCATATCCTGCCACAACTCACACGTGCCCTTGCTTTCCTTCATAACAGGACAAACACAATCCACGCCGATATCAAGCCCGCGAATATCCTCCTCGACACTTCAGCATCAGGATTACCATTGGTCAGATTCGCGGATTTCAGCACAGCGTTTGTAGCTTCTTCAGAGCCATCTTCACATTCAGGAGGTGGAACATGGTCATTCATGTCCCCTGAGCAATTATCCCGCGACCCCTCAACATCCGCCCCATCATTCTCTTCGGACGTCTACGCTCTAGGAGTTACTCTGCTCTCCTTCCTCTGCGGTGGCAACCCTTTCACATCTATGCTCGATAATGGCTTTAGACTCCGCGAAGCCGTGAAGATGGGAGATTCAATGAGTTGGGCCATGCAAGAGCCAGAATTCGAAAACAGAATCGAAGCACTGCAGAAACTCTGGACTGAGAGAGGAGGAGAGGGAAAGATCTTGAGCCTTGTGGCTTGTGCGTTGAGGAAGAAGAAGGAGGATCGCTTTGATGCAGAAGCCTGGTGTGGGAAAGTTGATGCTGCTTTGGCGAAACTGAAGAAGGTGGACATTGTGGGATTGGGGATAACATGTTGATGAAGAAGTGGGCTTCTTGTAACGAGGACGACTTTCACGATTTTATGGGCGTTTTTGGGGGGGACTTTTTTTTCATTTTCTTCTTCACTTCTTTACAGGCATGATACCCTTGCTACAATTTTTGTTTGGGATTTACAGGTATAAGACAAAAGGCAATATAGGTGATGATATACTTGGGATACATGGGACGAACAGAACCAACGAACATATCGAGTTAAGAAATACTGAGATATATCTCCAAAATCCTCAGCTCTATATTCTATGTCAATCTGCATTTTCTAGCTCAAGCGCCTTTGACAGCAGCCCACAAATGCAACCCATTAGCCATGACCCAATACCCGATCTTCCACCCGAGCACCTTCCACGCCTTTCCATCTTCAAACAACAACCGCGTCTTGCCAACCTCTCCACCAGCAAAAAATTTGAACCACACAACCACCAAACCCGCCCTAACCATGAAATCCAAGACTCTAATCAACCCCTCAAAGCCAAGTAAATAAGTATCCGCAAAGAGAATTCTTGTAACAGTATCTCTATAGAAAGTACCGAGATTTTCCGATCCAAGCTTGTGTGCTGGAGATACGTTTTTGGCTAATTGTGCCATGATGACTTCTGTGTATTCTTTGCCCTTGTTGGTGGGTAAAGATACTGCGAACTTGTCGAGTGGTGATAACGGCATTTTACGGATATCTTGAACACTTGCTCTGTCTGGGATTTCGGTATTGGTATCGGGGTATGCTGCTGCAGGGGGTGGGGAGCGCAGGTGTTGGAGAAGTGACCAGCGCCATTGTTGCACTTTTCCGAGTTCGCTCTTGACTGCTTGTGGTGAAGCAGTGGCAAGGAGGATGGATAGGTTCTTGGCGTTTTCGATGATCAATGTGCGGTTCTTGGGGTCGGTGTGCAGGGACTCGCGGTCGAAAGCCTCGGTGGTATGGGAGTAATGCGCAAACCTCGTGTAGAAAGCTGGGGATATGACTTTGAGTGCCAATTCTTTGGCTTCCTTGTTATCCTCTGCATTCTTGGATGTCAAGGTGATGGAGGCGCCCAAGCCACCTGCGGGTGTGTATGTAAGTCGTAGTGATTCAGATGCATTGTCAACCAAGTAGCCAAGATAAGCGCGGAAAAAACCCTCCACAACCGCCTCGGAAGAAGTATGTGTGCGACCCATACTCGATGCCAGGACTTCGGGTCTGAACCAGACGTGAAGTTTACGCTTGAAGTACAGCTTATATGCCTGTGTAACGATTCGTGGGAAAGTCAAGAAGCCGACCCAGAACCAAGATGATAGTAATCTTACAATTTGACCAGTAGTCATGGCCATTGGATCCATATAGTCTTCTGAGTATACACGTGCGACCAATTTAGCATGGGCTTTCGAGGAGTTGAGCACGACAACATTATCCAGAACCTTCGAGCCAGACTTTAGAGCTGCCACAGGATCTGCCGCAGTAAGAGAATATGTGCCCTTGCGCGAGTTGAATGGCGAGACATGGAAGTCCTTGACCCAGGCATTGGTAAACTTGGTAGCTTTGGCAGGTGCCTCGAAGCCATCAGGAACAGAGTCATTAGTGGCCTTCTCCTCGGCTTTCAGAAGGTAAAGACGACGTTCTCCGAAAGTGTTGTTGACTTCCAGTACCATCATAGTCAGTCGCCTTGAGCTGTCATAGATGTACCAGAATGATACTGGATTAAAGGAGTAGCCCAAAAACTTTGGTGCTGTCACTAGGTAGGCGAAAGACCAGGCTTCATCCGGCACACCCTACGAGACGTCAGTCGATTGGTCATTGATGTTGCTGGGATCTTCGACATACCTCTCCACGAAGGTAGCACCTCAGACGTTCCTCCAATCCGCGTTCTGATCCACCTCGATACAGATAGTCTGCAGCATTGACGTTGAACCATCCCTTTCGCCTTTGACCTGGTGGCAGTAACTCCAGATTGGTAGAGAGCATCGATCCAGCACATCCTTTGAAATTGACGGGTACTCCAACAGAAAAGTACGAGTATGCGAAAGAATGCTTCTGCGGGAACATTCGTGAGTGGGTTGTACGTCCAGGTATCAACAAGGGCGGTAAGAATTGCTCAGTCGAGGACTCATCTTTTGCCTCGGCCTTCCATTGCTCGGACTGCACTTCTCCTCTCCAGACAATGAGTCTGGCAAAAATCATCAACAGTACAAGGCAGGCGAAGACTTGAAGCTCCACGAGTCGTGTCTTCAAAATCCATGCTGGAAGCTTCAGATCATCTGCACCGTGGAAGTAAAGTCCGACCACTAAAACTACCACGAAATCCGTGACACTTGTTGAGATGTCGTTCCTCAATATCCATAGTGGTTGTGTGAGCGCATCGCGAAGTGGTCGAATGTGAGGTACGAGGCAAGCGTGGCCAACGGACGTCAAAATTAAGAGTGCAGCATATACTTTCCATCCAAACGTGGCATTGCGTTTCTCGACTGACACTCCCATGCCTTCAATGCGATTGTTCGATAAAGCACAGCTGGTCGCATTGTTGATATATCGGCTGATGCGCGATCGTGAAGCCAAACTGCGCAGAGCCGCATCGGAAGCAACGGCTGTTGTCAATGACGTGGTGACCACGAAATATATTACTTCGATGGTCAGCAAAATCTGACATGCACTTTCAATCACCGGGATCTGGACGTTTCGCTAATCGCAAAACAATATTCAAGCACATCTTGTATGGCGTTGATGTAGTTATACATATTATAATGGTAGAGACTGGAGCCGATCAATTCCTCAGGCGAATTTCCATCTCCGTACCAACTGCGAATTCATCCTTGAGTCTTCCTCGAAGCCTCTCACGCTTGTTCCAAGGAATCCTGGTATTTCTCCCATAGGTATCAAATCCGCCGACGCGACCGACCATATCTCTCTGTACAGCCCGCAACATCTGCGAAGGTGTCGGTCTCTGAGCTGGATCGTACCTCATACATCTTCGTACTAGCCGTCTCAACTCTAGGCTGTAATTGGCAGCTTGATGCTGGAACGCTCGTGGAAATTGGAGTTCCTTCTGGCCATTGACTGCGAAGCGGAGCTGGCGGCCTCTTGGAAGCGGCCACCGTGCTCGGGCTATAGTTCGCCATGCAGTCTCGCTGTTAAACAAGATCCGGTCAACATATGCCCACCAGTAACAAGCTCAGGCTGGAGACAAAAACTCACAGAAGATTTTCTTCCAGGCGCATCATACAACAGACGATCAGGCCTATGTTCCACACATTTGTTTTGTGCGAGACTCTCAAGCCAGGTATCTCCCACTTGTCTTCGCCGTAATCTAGGGTGAGCTCCTACCCATTCATCAGTACACGTATGTGACTATGGAGGTATGCGTCTCAGGCATTACCGGCGACATGTAAAACGGGTGCATTGCTTCATCTCTTCCTTTGATGCGCCGCGCCGTAGCTCCATCGATGACATGAGCAGAACCAAAATCGGACAGCTGCATTGTCGTCAGTTCAGCAGGAGCGATCAGGTGCTCTTCCGGGAGAGCTCACCTTGGGAGTCGGCCAGATCTTGAACTGCTGAGGGTCGGAGGTCCCTAGCAAAACTTGCTCGCCAGTCAACCATGTCTTTTGGAAAAGTCGTCAAGTTGAACTCACTGTTGGCTGTCATTATATCTGCATGTACAATGTTACATCGCTCCATTGCTTCGGCACATTTTGCGAGTGCTTCGAATGTCATCCAGATGAAGCCTTCGTGAAAAAGTTCACCAGCCACCCTTTGCCGAAATATTGCCTCTCGCAATTCTCCATAAGCACAATACTCAAAGTATAGCTTATAGCCTGGTAAGTTGTATATCAAAGGTCTTAGTGGCAGTTCATATTCATTGCGCACTATAGACCTTCCTTTTACGTCGTATTGATAAGGACTCTGCACATCGCCATAGCCAAGGCATTCTGTAATGAACTTTTCGTTTCCAGGAGTTGTAAGAGCCATCAACCTGGAGACTGCATTGCTCAGCATACTTTCTCTGGGCTCGCCTCCAATCTCTCCATTACGCCAAAGATTTGGATATTGGAATCTCAGGCTGCCTGGTATGACTTGCTTCACAATGACTCGGTCTTTGACGCGATTTCTGTCGTCGACACAGGCCCAAAGGTGCACCATACCCATATCGCCAGCGTCAAGTGGATGTTCGCCTCCAGAGAAAACTGGTTGCATCGGAAGCCATTGTCCTTCAGACAGATTGCGACGCAAGGGCCGCTCGGGACGTCTGAACGTCCATCTCAGAAATCTGTCGACCAAGAATTCTTTCGCGCCTTGACGGAGGTTACCGAATCCGTGAAGATCTGTGTTTAGGTCAATTGGAAGGGGATTTTGTGGCGGAGGAACTGCTGCCATGTTGCAGAGACTTGGCCGAGAAGACGTGGAAGTGTGTATTTGTGAAGCAGTTAGACAGGTCCCACGCTCTCCTATCAAGCTTACCATGTTTCCAAATTCAGGTTTTAAGCCCTCGCAAACGTTCTCAGGACAAAGAAGTTTGGCAGATGGCACAATGAATGGTGGTCTCTTTGTCGTGGCACTGTTTGCTACGCTGTTTCTGAATACAGCGGAGCAACCTTGACACCACATGGGTTGACGAACAAACGTCGGCCGCGTCAATGAAGTAATAAGCTCTGAGGATATGTTTTGCATTATATCGAGATAGATGCTATGATGTGTGTCTGGTTGCTAGAGAAAATGGCCATGGATCGGAGTCGTGTCATGACAGGAGATGCTTGCCCCGTCATGGCTTCCCTACTCTATAAACATTACCCGTGGTTGCAGAGATACGTGAAGCTTTCTTGATACCGGCAGCTTCTTAGGCATCGTCAGCATCGTCAGCGTCGTCGTCAGAATATTCGGATCCAGGAGGGGAGTGATCAGAAAGCTCGGGGTCATCAGTAACAAAACAATGCCAACAGTTGTCTTGGTGTCGGTCTGTCGTTTTGATCGAACCTCATACAATGCCTTGCAAGACGTCTCAAGCTCTGACTGTAGTTGTCGTTTCGATGCTGGAATCTTCCAATATCTAGTATCTCTCGCCGACTCGGGTCAGTGAAATGAAGCTGCTCATTCGCTGGTACAGTTGTATGGCGATTCAAACGCCACTCAACAGCTCTAAAGGTAAGATACTGGTTAATCCTGCCTTTATTAGACGTTTCGGAGCAACAAAGATTACGGTAGTTCGGGGTCAAGACGCATCATACAAATGATGATCATGCCTATTTGCCAGATATTTGTCCTGTGTGTGACCTCGAGGCCAGGCATTTCCCATCCTTCAGGAATTGACATAAGTTCCTGAACGGCTGTTAGATCTGAACATGAGATGCTTGTTCGCTGTTTTACTGGCGGTGCATGTAATTCTTGGATTGATTCGTTGAGACCGGCAGATCTATCTTTAGTAGCTGGATCGATGTAGCGCGAGGAGCCGAAGTCGGCCAACTAATTCGTACGTCAATGAGACGACCCGTGGTGCTAGCATCAAGTGACTCATCTTACCTTGGGAAGTGGCCATATTTTGAACCTGTTAGAATTGTTCTCATCAAGGAAGACTAGTAGCTGTCAGTTTTCTTTTATTCGGACTCGGAAACAGCGGGTACTGACTGTTCGAAGGCGCCATATCTCCATGCACAAAGTTCGCCCTCTCCATAGCAACAGCACATTTTGCCAATGCTTCAAACATCATCCATACGAATCCCTCATGGTAGGGGAAGTTTTCAATGGTCTTAGTCTTTGCACGAAAACGACCGCTTGGGCTCCTTACTTTCTCAACACGCAAGCGACCATTAGAGCCTCTCTTCTTTCTGACAGGTACCTCTTCTGACTCGGCTTGCCTGGATATCTGGTCCCATAGATCCCCCAAAGGGCAGTACTCCAGGTAAAGCTTGTAACTTGGGATCTGGTAGATTATAATTTGTCCTTTGAGGCGCTGAATCTTTTGGGGAAATGTTTCCGTTCCTGGAAATGATTTGATGGTCCCGTTCGCGTCATATCGAAAGGGGTCTTACACGCCTCCGTAACCAAAACACCGAGTGACATATTTGCCGTCTCCAGGATTTGCGGCCTCTAGCTCGTTGTATACATGGTTGCCAATCATGCTCTCCCGAGGCTCTCCTCCAATTTGCCCGTCACGCCACATGTGCGGACGCGACCAAGTTGCAGTACCAGGATAGTTGTTCTTGACAATGACGCGATCGATCACGCGGTTGTTCTCGTCTATGCAGCCCCAGAGATGCGCTACACCAACACCACCCTCTCCCAGCGGTTGTTCGTGCCCATAGTCATCAACAGTTGGCCGCATGGGATACCAGTCGCCATTTCGCAGAGGTCGCGCTGTGCCAGGGTGATCCGTAGCTCTGAAAGTCCACTTGAGAAATAATGCCGCTAAAGTGGGCTGCACGCCTTCCCTCAGATCTACAAAGACACGATTATCGATGAACGGACGTAACAGCCAGTGTGGCTCTCGAGGCCGGTCTGGGTTCATCGTGTGATTTGGGGAGGATGGCAGCCGCAGCAGAGTGGGGCTTACATGCACGTCCTACTTGCATCGTGGCCTGATATCAAGGCTACAGTCACTGTATCCGGATGATAATTCTTCAAAGCGCATGTTGCGGACAAAGGAAGCTTGAAGGTAATAAAGCACACCGCTGAGTCCTTTATTGTGGACGATGGACATCGAATATCTTCATGCGAGGCAAAGCAAGAACATTCGGATAGTGAATCAAAGAAAGGCGTTTAGTACAGATGCTGAGTCTGTATTCCCGTGGTTGCGTTGTACTCTATTTGCAGATATTGGTAGTCGGAATATACAGTGATCGCATTCGTACCTTCCTGGAGCGGCCTACTTTGCCAAGAATCCCTGGAATGCTTTCTGGTCAATCACGACGTTGCCAACAGCTCTCAACTTCTTCCTTCCTTCCTTTTGTCTCTCAAGCAGTTTTCTTCTCCTGCTTGTATCAGCAGCGTGTAGTTTCGCCAAAACATCTTTGCGGAAAGGCTTGATGGTTTCACGGGCCACAATCCTTCTGCCAGCAATTGCTTGAATGACAATTTCGAACATCTGTCGATCAACATGCTCCTTGAACTTTGTGACCCATTGCTTGCCGATGCGTTCGGCTTGACTGTGATGACAAACACGAGCTACTGCATCAACGGGGATTTTGTTGACATGTAGTTGCAGCTTGATAATGTTGGCCTTGCGCCAGCCAGCGTCTTCATAGTCCAAAGAAGCGTAACCCTTAGTCAGGCCTTTGAGCTTGCCGAAGAAGTCGTCAACTAGCTGCGCTAGCGGAAGCTCATACTTCAGGATGACTTGTATCGATGTGAAGAATGTGAGCTCTGTCTGCACACCTCGATTGCCCTCGCACAACTCAATGACCTTACCGAGATACTCTTCCGGCATGGTGATGGTAGCCAGAACGTATGGCTCTTGCAGCTCCTGGACTTTATGATGAAGCGCGTCGGTCTCTGGGAAATCGTTCGGGTTTGACACAATGATCTCCTTGCCTTTGGGATCGATGATCTTGAATGGTACAGATGGAGGAGTGATGATGATGCTTGCTCCATGCTCTTGACGAAGACGATCTTCAAAGACAGAGCAATGCAGTGTGCCCAAGAATCCCAGACGCCAGCCTGCACCCAAGGCTTCCGACGACTCTTTCTGAACGTAGACACTACGATCGTTGAGCACAATCTGATTGATGCTGTCTTCCAAATGTTCGTAGTTGCTCTGGTCAACTGGGAAAGCGGCAACGAAGACCATAGGTTTTGGCTCCTCGAAACCAGGCAGCATCTCGACCAGCTTCTCCGAGCCGACTGTGGTGTAGGTATCGCCAACTTTGGCATCTTGCGAGCGCTTCATACCGGGGTTGAAGTAGATGTAGCCCACCTGACCGGCACGCAGGACTGTCATGGGCGTTTGCAGTGGATACATGATTCCAACTTCTCCAACGTGGTATTTGATGCCTGTAGCGAACGAAGTGACATGGTCGCCAGGCTTGACCTGACCTTGGAATATACGAACCAATAGAATGACACCTTTGTAGTTGTCGTACCACGAATCTACCAGAAGCAAACGCAGTGGCTTTGTTTCATCTCCAACAGGAGCGGGTATGTTCTCGACGACACTAGGAAGCAAGGCCTCGACGTTGATGCCAGACTTTGCCGAGACCAACACAGCCTTGTTGGGATCCAGTTCGAATGTGTCCTTTATCTGTTCCAGTGCGCGCGGAGCATCGGCGGTAGGCAGGTCGATTTTGTTGATGACGGGCACGAGGGTGAGACCCTGAGAGAAGGCGAGGTAGAAGTTGGCTACAGTCTGTGCCTGCACACCTTGACTTGCATCGACTACTAGTAGAGCTGGAGTTCAAAGTCAGCGCGCTCATTCGAGAAGCTGTCAAGGTAGTCACGCACCTCCACCACAACTGGCATAACTCCTCGAGACCTCTGCTCTGAAGTCGACGTGGCCGGGAGTGTCGACCAAGTGCAGCATGTAGTCTAGCCCCTTGTGATTGTACAGCATGGTGCACGTCTGGGCCTTGACGGTGATGCCTCTTTCTCGCTCGACATCGAGCTTGTCCAAGATCTGAGCATTTCCACCTTTTTCAATGACTCCAGTGAGCTCGAGCAGACGGTCGCTCAAGGTACTCTTTCCATGGTCGACATGGGCAACAATGCAGAAATTGCGAAAGCGTTCGATTGGGATGGCGGCAATGCGCTTCTCGAGTTCCGATCGCAGCTTAGCGACCTGCGCCAGTCGTACGGGTGTGGTGTGGAAAAGTCGGGCATGGTCGGTCTTGAGCGCTTTGTTGGCGCACGCCCCAAAGCGTCTAGGAAGGGCGCGAAAGAAGCATCCTTGCATCTGGTCTTACGGTCTGCCTGCCCGGAGTTGTCAAGTAATTGTGTCTGGAAAGACTGAGAGTCTGGTCAACCGTCAAGCTTGTGTCTTGCCTGGCGCTGCCTCCAAACTTCGGGCCGAAGCCGCCCGAGCTCTCCCTCTCTGTCACCATCCATACCACGACTCGCAACCCATATCGCGCCATCAAACTGCGACTAACCTTCGTTTGCCTATCCAAACTCTGTCCCGTCTCTGTGTAAAGGCAGCTTCTCCCCGCCTTACTACCTGTTCTCGTTCTCAGGCATTGACATACCAATAACTGTATAAACAAAACAGTCTTTTCTGTCCTGTTGTCCACAAGTACATCCACCAACTACCGCCCGCTCAAACTCATCACACATCCATCATGCCACCGGCTAAGAAAGAGACCAAGGAAACTAAGGAGAAGAGTACTCACAAACTCGCTCTGAAAGGTTCGTCACCAGACTATTGTAGCCTCCGCAGAAACTGATCATCTGTAGGCTCCTCAAAAACTGTTACAGAATTCGTACGACCCGTATAACAATATACTGCGTATTTCGTCAGGACTAACATGGGATGCAGTTTGAGTATTGCATAAACACCATTCTGTACGCTTGTCATCCGATTACATCGAAGAGTCTTCAACTGACTATTGCAGGTTTCAGCGTGGTGTCTACCCTCCAGAAGACTTCACAGCGTAAGCATTTTTGTCGACCAGGCCTCTACTTTTCCCTTTCTCACACGTCACGTAGCGTCAAGAAGTATGGTCTCAATATGCTGGGTAAGATGAAAGCAAACGACCATGACAAAAATCTGGAGGCTAACATCTCTTAGTTTCCCAAGATGATCAGGTCAAAGCATACATCAAGAAGATCATGTCACAGCTGAACAAATGGATGCTCAAGTCCAAGATTTCAAAATTGATCATTGTCATCACCAGCAAAGAAACCGGTGACCCTGTCGAGAGATGGCAATTCGATGTGGGTACCATCCTGTCCTGACTTTTCCAGCATTGAAATCTGACCACATCCAGGTCCAAATATTTGGCAAAGATTCCAAGAAGAAGGGGTCGAGCAAGACGGTGGATGAGAATGCTGCTAGGTATGTGAGCAACCTGACGCGGTATTGTGGTGCTACTAATTGTGATGATTAGCGCAACTGAGCAAGCTTCTGAGAAGACAGACCAAGATGTGCAGCAAGAGATACAGTCCATCTTCCGCCAAATCACAGCTTCGGTCACATTCTTGCCCATGCTTGATGGTAACTGCACCTTTAATGTACTCGTGTATGCCGACCAAGACTCGGAAGTCCCACTAGAATGGGGTGACAGTGATGCAAAGGACATCCAAGATGCTGAGAAGGTGCAACTACGCAGCTTCTCCACCAACAACCACAAAGTCGACACTCTTGTGAGCTACAGGTACGATCGTCATCAGTATATCGATGTCTTGCTAGACCCCTGACTGACGTCGTTTGCAGATTGGCCGAATGAGCGTTGAGACAAGGAGACTTTGCAAACAAAAGGCAAGATTTGCGCTTCGAACGTTGGGTTCCTAAACACCACATCAAAATGCCGCCTCGACACAACTGCACGGCTAGACAACGGTTGGGTCTTTGAGACAAAGCGAAAGCAAGTGCACGATTGTACGTAGATTAGAGGGCCGTTGGGGTTCCTTCTGATTCCCCGCCACTTCTGTTATACCAGTTGACGTGATGCTGTCGACAACTCTGCAGAGCGACGACACATGACAATAATATAATCTCACTGCTTTGCCCCCCTGAACCAGACCCCATCAAGTTCAGCACTCGTATCTACACGCGAAGCCTCAGCCGCTGCATGTTCGCGCATCAATCTCCACAGGGACCCAAGCCCTCAGCTCTCGACGCGCTGAGGTCTCGACAAACCACCAAAAGCACAGCCATACAGCAGTAGTTTCGGGAGTGCCGCGAAGCATAACTTTAGCACGGGAACGGATGCGAGCGTAGAGAGAAAAGCAGTCTAAACGTCTCAACCTGCCCCTTCAACGAGAAAACATGACTCTTCAACAGAAGCGGCTGAGAAAGCAATATTTCAAGATTCTCAACTATCGCGTCTCAGGCTTCAGCTAATCCTGATTTTTTCAGCTGCGCTCCTACTTTTTTCTTCCAAAAGCACGAGCATCCATGCACTTGCAGTTGGCATGTGCACACATCAATAACTAGTGGGTTCCTATCATGCATTTTCTTACGTGCTTACCTATTGCATCTTGCGATTGTATCAATAAACCCAATTGTGTGGGAATATTCGCGATACCTAGTTGATGGTTCATATGCTAGGCCGAGGGATGTGCAAGATCATCGAGAAAAGGCACGAGCCGAACACAAAGCACAGAGCCTGCGCGATCTTCGCGTGGCTACGGACGCAAGGCAAGCATTCTGGGGTTGAGAGTGGCTTCATGATCAGATTGAAATACCAGCCTCCTTATACAGCGTGGATAGAAAGTCGATGTACGCGTTCGCATAAAGCAGTTTGACACGCCGGGAAGGTGTTCTTATCAAAACGTCGAAGCCGAACGGTGGATAGGAACAATCCTTCGTCCGAATAGTGGTGAGAAGGCCCGCCACTGCATCATGCAGAGACTATGAGATGCAACTCAAAATAGCAGCGAACCTTGGCTTGGCCTAGTGCATTTCGCTCAGCCGTCAACAAAGCATGTTCCTGGACCTGCATAAGTATCCAGTACCATTGGGGGCTTCAAGTCCACATCAACAAAGAAAGCTGCGGCAGACTGGAGAGCGATAATTGATATCGAAGTATCTGACCCGTCGTGCAGACTTGACAATTCTCATGTACGTTGTACCGTGACCCAGCCTTCGTGTAAACGATCGGCCGGGCCGTTTGAGCAAATGTCCAACGCACGGCTGTGTCGGCGAACACCTAGGACCGGAGCTGAGGGAAACATGTCTGAGACATTGACGAGACTCGTCTCGTCATACACGAGCCAGCTGAAGCCGTGGTCTAGCATCTAATGTTCTTCGACGTGGCGGCGAAGGAGTAGAAGAAAAGCGTTGCGTAGCCCAAACCATGTACGGCTAGATAGCGACGGGGAGCAAAGCTTCATGGTGCACGCTTGCAATCAAGTTTACGGGATGCATGTGCTTTGCGTGAAGCCATCCCATGCCCGCGCCGCCCCATCTGCACTCTCTTTCGCCATGGCGCCCGATTTTCGTTGAGCAGCTCTTCGCTAAGGGCTCCTTCCTGCAGATTTCATCTCCAGAGGCCAGCGAATTATGACGAATTTCCACAATTGTCGCACGTCGAGGAAGGGGCGTGGTGAGACCTCGAGTGCTCCTTATCGGGCTGTCCGTTCAGCTTGTTGACAGCCACATATGATCGATGCCTTTGTGCCTCCACACTGCAATCTCGCGGATCAGCAAGATTTGAATAAATGATCGACACGGCTTCTAATCAGCTTGACCTGGAGAGGGCTCGGCCGTTGCCAGCGCGGAGGAGGAGGACGATTGCATGGATCTTGGACGATGGGTGAGCAGTTGAGCGGCAGAGACGAGCCCGCTTCTCACCGGACCACTGCCGATGTCAGGTACTCGCAACGGTTGGTAAGGTTAAGACAGGCAACCGAAGTGCATGCCCATTAGCGTCGCCTCGGCCGCCAAAATAGGACAAGGTTTTCCACGCTATCCTCGACCGTGCTGAATCAAAGCCGTTTTGGGATGTTCTGGCTGGACCATGTATGGCTTGGCTGCACAGCTGCTGCCCTCTACACTATCAAATCCAATCCGTTGGCGCTGCCGTCCGGGCTACTTGTAAGTCGGGGTTCCGCCATCCTCGGACACGTCTTTCGCTCTCTTTTCTTTTCTAGTCAAATACTCTTCAACCTATCACAACACTTCCGAGATCTTGATTGATACTCATCCTCTCGTTTCGAGCTTGTGACATTGTACTCGTCCAAGCACTACATCAATCTAACATCCCATCGAGAAGCTTAGCGGAGCAATCGAGTCGACTATCAATCTACTGGGATTTCACAAAGAAGCTTGGCTATAGCCAGCGATACTTTAACCCTAACATCACATTCACATCACCAATATGGGTCTCAAATCATATCTTGCCCCAGGTCGCAAGGCCGACAAGAAGGACAAGGAGGAGAAGAAGGTCTCCGAACTCAACGAGAAGGCTCCTGCTACTGGCACATCGACACCTCAACATCTGGCACCATCAGCACCGCTTTCCGGCGCAGCGACGCCCTACGGATCAAGGCCAGCCTCCATGTTCCCCGAGGGAGATTTCCGCAACCATGCCAGAGAGGAGATTCTGGACATCAAGTGCGACATGATGGTCAACAACCTTTACAGCCAACAGATGGAACTTCTGTGGACTGCTGGTGGCCACGACGAGGGTATTCTGCTCAAGAAGTCAAGAGGACAGTACGCATGCTGCCCTTCAGATCTCGAGAGCGAGCCCACTGGCTTCTACAAGGCAGTCGAGACACTCAACGTTAGAGTAAGTAAAGCCACAGACCGCGTGGGGTGTTCATTTCTGACTGTATCTACAGAGTGCCATGACTGTCAACACTCGCGTCATCAAGCTGTTTCTCCACGGTAACGACCGATCATTCATCCCCCTGAAGAGTGGTCTCCGTCTCCAAGTTCTCCCCGATATGTCTTACCTCCCACGATGCGCCAAGCATCAGTTCGCTGCCTTCATCGCCGACCGTGGAATCCTCGTTGTCTGGGATGATGACCCGAGACATCTGATCAAGCGTGCCGAGCAGATCGAGCAAGCTCTCATGAAGATGATCTGGCGCGAAGAAGGAGAAGAGGAGGAGGAGGTCGTCTCCGAGAAAGAGAAGACTGCCGACATCAACATAGATGAAGTCGGTATGGATAGCGTAGAGGCTGGTGCATATGAGAAGCCTCGCCGCATCGTCCTCACCCAAGCCATCTGCAACGCCGTGACACTTTGCATGCTCATTGCTGTCATGGGCACTGGTTGGCGCAAGGTCGCTCTCGAAATTGGTCTCGACGGAAGCTACATTCGAATTGCTTTCGTCCTGTGTATCATCCCTCAGGCGTGGCTCTCGCTCTTCTTCTACCAATCCGTCGTCGGTGTTCTGGCCCAAATGGTTGGCCCTATCTCCCAACTGACCGACAACACAAAGTATTACTCTGGTACCGCTCCCAAGCGTTTGCACGCTGATCTGGTCACTCTGCCCCACATCACTATTGAGTGCCCTGTCTACAAGGAAGGTCTCCAGGCTGTCATCGAGCCCACTGTCCACTCTATCAAGGCCGCCATCTCTACCTATGAAATGCAGGGTGGTACTGCCAACATCTTTGTCAACGACGATGGTATGCAGTTGATCTCCGAGGAGGAGGCTCGTGCCCGCCAGGACTTCTACGATGAACACAACATCGGCTGGGTCGCTCGTCCTCGTCACGACCCCAAGGGTGAACACGGTGAAGCCTTTACTCGTCGCGGAAAGTTCAAGAAGGCCTCGAACATGAACTACGCCCTCTGGGTCAGCAACCGCGTCGAAGACAAGATGAACGCCGTCCCCAAGCATGCCAACTGGACTAACGAAGACGAAGCCGAGTCCTACGTAAGAGCACTCAATGAGGTCGTCGAGGAAGATGAGGGCCGCACTTGGGCTGATGGCAACATCCGTCTTGGTGATTACATCCTTCTGATCGATTCCGATACCCGTGTCCCTACCGACTGCTTGCTCGATGCCGCCAGTGAAATGCACCAATCTCCTCAAGTCGCTATTCTGCAATACGCCTCTGGTGTCATGAACGTTACCGACAGCTTCTTCGAGAGGGGTATTACTTTCTTCACCAACCTCATCTACACTCAGATCAAGTTCGCCGTTGCCAGTGGAGATGTTGCTCCTTTCGTCGGTCACAACGCCTTTCTGAGATGGTCTTCGGTTCAGAACATTGCATACGACTGCGAGGACGACAACCGCGAGAAGTACTGGTCCGAATCTACCGTCTCAGAAGATTTCGACATGGCACTGCGTCTGCAGAATAATGGCTACGTGGTCCGTCTTGCTGGTTACACCGGTGACGGCTTCAAGGAGGGTGTGTCCCTTACCGTGTACGATGAACTTGCTCGTTGGGAGAAATACGCCTACGGCTGCAATGAGCTTGTTTTCCAGCCCCTCCGCTACTGGCCTACTCGTGGTCCTTTCACCAAGCTCTTCCGAAACTTTATCACCTCCGCAATGCCCCTTCCCTCGAAATTCACCATCATGGCTTACATCGGTACCTATTACGCTATTGCTAGCGCCTGGCCTTTGACTATGCTCAATTACTTCCTCATTGGATGGTACAACGGTTACCAGGACAAGTACTACCTTGACTCGTTCAAGATTTACCTCGCCATTCTTGTCGTCTTCTCTCTTGCTGGTAACATCGCACTTGCCGTTGTCCGCTACCGTAACGACGAAATGGGTCTGCTGCGTGGTCTTATCACCAACTTCATGTGGGTGCCCATGTTGACTTGCTTCCTCGGAGGTCTCTCTCTCCATTTGTCGCAAGCTCTGTTGTCCCACTTCTTCGGTATCGACATGAACTGGGGTGCTACTAGCAAAGAAGCTGAAGACACGACCTTCTTCGAAGAAGTCGGCAAGGTCATCAAGAACTTCAAGTACACCTTTGCTGCCTGCTTCATCATGGCTGCCGGTATGGTCGTCTGCGGCGTTGCACTGCCCTGGAACTGGCAGATTCACCAGTTCTTCGCCATCTGGCCCCTGGCTACCGTGGTTGTCAGTCACTTCTTGACACCCATTGTCCTCAACCCTCAACTCATCCGCTTCACATGGTAGAGGGTGTTTCTTCTCTGTTCTATTCTCCTTTCTCCTGATGTCATGTCACGAACGGCTTCTTCTCCATCATCTACAATCTTTCTCTTCTTTCTTTTCAACTTGTTCATATATCGAGCGATGGCGTTTTGAGACTTCCAAAGAATAACCATATAGACTGTCGTTTTCGCTTATACCAAAATCTAGTCCAAGATTAATCCATCTACAATATCTTTACCAACAACAATCTTCCTCTTCTCCGTGCCTGCATGCCTTTGTGATTGTAACTATCTATCCATCTCGTATCCATCGCATGACTATGGACGCCTTGAAACGACAAAACGAAAATCTAGACCCATTACCTGCCTCTCAAACGGCTTCTGTCCCAGCCATCACACCACGCGATACCAGCCCTTGTTCCCGCAACGGCAACGGTCACAAAAGCCGACTTTTGCCGTTCCGCACCGTGTTTCGGCTCAAGTCAACGATCTGAATCAATAGAGCCTTCTTACCGAGTATGTTCTTCGTTCTGGACGTTGTAATGGGGGTTTCTCGCACTCCAACGGTTTCATGGAAATCTTGTCGGTTGGTGGCTGGGAGGGGTCTCTGAGACAGGGGAGATGTCATGGGCGGAGGGTTTGCGGTAATCAAGTTTGTGTGGTATAGGTATGACGATGATGATGTTAGAGGTTCGGGGTGTGTGAGTTTGTTTTGATGACGAGATTGAAGAGTATGCGAGTTATGACAGTGACGGCATATCAATAGACATGTCTAGCTCTGTCGTGAAGCTTGAGTCGGACTTTAAGAGTGTGATCAATCTGTGAGTATGGCAGGTGCAACTGAGGTGCTGGTGTGGGTTTCCGCCAATCTTCTTTGCACAGCCTCTTTGGTCATGGATAACTATGTGTTCTGCAGCTGCACTGGAGTTAGAGATGAACAATGAGAGTCCTTGTAGCCCAAGCTTATAACGGCAGCTTCGACACCCATACATTCAAATCTCAGGCTCCTCGCAACTTTGGCTTATATCCGAGAAGTCGACTGATAAGCATCGTACTGGAGGACAGCAAGCTAAAGATCTGGATCATGGACGCCATGCGTCTCGTTGCTCTGGGTTGATGAGCTAGAGCATGATGAATCTCGAGACCAGCGGCCACGGCGAGCTCATCTCGCCACCACCATACTGTTCAGAAACGCATGACATTGAAAGCTGCTAGTGAGAGGCTCATATAGGTAGTGACGGGTGTATTCTGTTTGTTATTCGGCGAAGCTCGACTTGTTCTGGCATGTGTCTTTGAGATGCTAGGATTGTTTCCACTACTGTACATTTCCATGATCTGATTCAATTGAACACCATAGACTTCGTTGTGTTGTGAAGGTTTAAGCGTGGTAACGGCACGACTAGGGCATGACGTAGTTTTGGCAGGAGGCTGCAGCGACATCGTACTTGCCACGTGAGAGTTCGACATAGGCTACCGCGAAGTCGAACAGGAACATGAGCACGAGGACAAGCACGAATCAAGTCCTCTAAGATAGACAATAGTAGTATTCGTGTGTCTAGCTTTATACAAACTGTCGTCTTTTGATAGCGATGTAAACTCAGGTTCATAATTTCAGGTGCGTTAATGGTTTATCCTCGACTAGCAACAAGTGACACCCCTCAACTAAAGACAACGTCGTCCCTTCTGCCAGCATGTTTCATGTGCAGTCACCAGCAATGACGACGAGAAGTGCTTCAAGAGCTTTGAGTGGACGAGTCAGGGCGCTGAACAGCGCCAAATCTCTGGTTTCCTTGATCGAAAATGGCGTAGATCGATTTCTGGGAAAGCGAGATAGGTCAGCGTGATTATATCAAGTATAGACAACGATTATAAAAGCTTACAAGGACCACGTCGCCGTAGATATCGAAGGACATAGAGCCCCTGCTCTGGATACCTCCGTAGGTCATACCATTTCCAGCGTCGGCGAAACCAAGATCTTCCTTGTTGATGGTGTATTGATGATCGCCGATGGCGAGAGTGACGATAGGAAGCTTAGAGGCGGCAGTATTGGTAGGAAAGACCCAGCCTTGTTGTCTTGAGTCATACTTGCCTCCAGGAATGGCTGCGTAGACGGCTTTGACGAAAGAGTCATCAACCAGGCACAGAGTAGTTCCTGTGTCCATGATGGCAGTGTTGTTGTGGCGGCTAATCTGCTTGCCGTTGACGTGAGCTGAAGTAGATGGAACCGTCCAGAAGCCTTGAGAGTTATCTACTGGAGTGTAGTTGATGGTCTGACCGCCTGTGACCGAAGTATCAATGTAGCCAAACGTGTAGAAACTGTCGTCGCTACCCTTGTGCGAAGACAAGTAGGCAGTGAACAGCTCAGAATCCTTGGGGCTGCAGCGTATCGTTGTCAGGGTAGGCATTCGAGTCGGAAAGGGATTACATACATGTCTTCCTGCTTGATCATGTTCTCAACTGGAGTATCGACAGGCGTAGGCTGCACTGTGTTGATAGATCCCCAGGCAAGCCCAAAGAGACCATCGCCAGTGCTCTGGACGAACTGATCAGAGATCTGATTGGCGACCTCAACAGCCTGGTTTTGGATGGAAAGACCGCCGACAGTGACGACGTCGGTACCAACAGTGCCGCTTGCTGAAGACTGGTCTCCGTACGAAATCTGCCAGCTGCTGCCAGAGGACTCCTTCCAGGTGCTGCTCTTAGACGGATCGAAGATGGTGTGGCCAGCTTGTTTGCCCTGTGTCTGGATATCCTGACCAAGATTGGTAGACCACACCCTACATAATCAGAATCGGTGATGAACTCTTTAGCTTAAGGAAAGCTCTTACCAAAGATCAGATGAGCCAGTGTCAAAGTCAAGAGTCAGTGTCTGGGCGGGAGTGCCAATCTGAACTTGACAAAGATACTCGGAGTCGTTCTGCTGGTCCTCGGCAGAGACTTGGCCTTCGTGTCCACTGCTGGGATCCTTCTTCATCAAGATGTGCTGCTTGACACGAGCACGGCCGCCGATGTGAGAGGCGAACTTGCCGGCCAGAAGCGGCTTTCCCATCTGCTCGACGATGTTGTTGACGAAGTAAGGTCCATCGAGGGTAGGGGCGAAGCTGTACTTTCTGAGAAGGTAGACATAGGACTTCAGACCAGAGCGTTGATAGTTTGGGTTGTGGATGAGCTTCACGCGAGACAGGTTGTGCTTGATGTTCGATGCCATGTTGATTCGTATATAGTTTAATATGGAGTGATGATTAAGAAGAGGTTGATTTCGGAATGATGGTGCGGATTAAGGGGAGAGTTAAATGCAGCCAAATGTGTTTGTTGTCATGAGCAGATGACCTAAGAAGGCACCATCCTGTTTCCACGAAGCTCCACCTGCTAATAGCTGCATGTTCACGCGATTGCCGATCAAAATAGGCAGCGACGATTGGAGGGTGACTGATATGCATGAGACAAGCTTTTGGCCGCTGATTGCCCCTGCAGCCGCCTGTTGCCCAAGAAGCTTGTCGTGTCTTGTTCTGAGAAGCCCATCTTTCGTCGACGCAACTCCTCGTTTTAGATTTGCAGGAAAAGAGTTCGCCTCTCACGTGTGACCGTCCCAGCGTAGTAGCTCCTCCGATTGTCCAGCCGTTATGAGCATTACAACTTGAGCAAAACAGGAAGGAGAGTCGGGAGACGTGGGGTTTTCAGCGTCCACGGCACGGTCCTCTCCTCCCTCTGCCACAACCCGGTGATGGGCGCGTCGTCACCATGCATTGCACGCGTTCCTCGTAGATGAGCTTGATTCATATGCTTGTTTGAGAGCTGTCCAGAGCCATATTGAGATTGAAGCCAGCGCGTGGTGGCCTTCCCATTGGCGTCCAGAGATACGTCATTATCGGCAGGCGTCAAGTAGAGTAACGCACGTAATGTTTGACCAGAAGCAGGATTTGTATAGTCAGTTCCAAGAACGATCATTGGACTTCGTCTCAGCCCTTATCTTCCAGGCATCACAAGCGCAAGTTTCAGAATGGTCAGTCAGGTGAGGACGAAACGGCAGCCCTTATCTTTGGTGCTGAATACTGCAATGCATGCATGATACTATGGTACTCTGTAGCAAATGAGTAGCTATTACTACACGTTCTTCTGAACGGAATGACGATGTTGACCTCCATGAACCCCCCATGTGCAGATGCGGACCTGATAACGCCTTCCCAAGATACGAAACCACTGTCGAATGGTACCAGTCCATGCAAGTCGAGAACCGTGCCCGTAAAATGCAAAAAGATAAGGTAAACTCCTTGATCGAGAATGCAGTATGCCTTGGTCGTCATCAATATTCGTGTCGATATGTGCAAGAGTCTCCTTTCTGGCACTGGCCCTTCTTGAAGTACTTGCAGGGCACTGTGAAGCGCTTGTCTGTAAACGTGTTTCCTTTCTTTCCGAGCTTGTTACCACGGCGCATTTGATCGTTGCTGTTGCTGTCACCACCACTGCCGCTACCGCTACTACCACCACCACCTTCGCGCCAGCGACGTCTCTCCTCATTCTCGTATGGGGGCTGCTGGTTCTGCGGAGGTCCTGGGAACTGCCCCATGTTAGGCATGTTAGGCATATTAAAGCCAGCGCCAGGGTAGGGGAATTGGTTAAAGTTAGGTACCGGTCCACCATTCTGGACAGGGTTGAGCTGCGAGAACAAAGCTGCAAAACCAGGTGGATTTGAATCCATGACAGGCTGCTGCTGCGAAGCGAACATGTTGTTGGCCTGAGCATGAGGATTCAAGTTGGCGAAAATCCCGGCAAGGTCCGCAGCCATATTAGGCTGTACAAGTGGTTGAACTGGTTGCTGAACTTGAGTAGGCTGGGGCTGTTGTTGTTGAGGTTGCACCTGCGGTATAGATGCTAAGATGCGCTGGATCTCGGCCATCTGATCCGGATTCTGGGTTGGGGCAGCTACGGGTGCTGGAGCTTGAGTGGGCTGTACCGGCTGGTGCGCAGCTTGACCTTGAGGGTTAATCAAAGCCAAGATCGCAGAGATATCGGGTGCAGCACTTGGTTGTTGGGTCTGTGCAGGCTGTGCGTAGCCTACAAGTTTTGCGATTCTCGTCTGTTCAACGTCAGTAATGGTCACATTCGGAAGACCTGGAGGGTGACATACAGCAAGGGGCTCTTGGTTGCCTAATGCGCCGAACGGCTTTGGGCTAGTTTCATCCCCATTGTAAGGCTCTGCTGGCTCGCGTGGACAGGGTGGGATATCGCTCGGGTCTGTGTAGAACACCATCAAAGTGCTAGCCTCGTATTGTTCACGCTCGACGCGCTCAGTAGATTCTGGCTCGAGCTCGCCGCCAGCATAGCGACTGTAATTCCTCTTCCTCTCCTCAACATCTACAGAGCTGAAATCGGTCACTGTACTGGTCAGCATCATGGTCCGACACCTCATGTTGGTGTTTGTCAACTTACACATGGGCGAGACGTATTCTCCGAAGGTTTCTTCTCCCACAGCATTATCATCGTCTTCGTCGATGTCCATCATATCCTTATGCTGCTTGAACATGCGACCTTCGCCACCAACATCGCTCACATCACGAATCATGCTTGCATCATGACCAAGTTCCTCGTCAACGTCGTGGTGGAAGATTCGAACGTCCACAAGTTGACTGTCAGGCTTGAACGTGACACGAAGTTTACGTCTCTCCTCCTTACGTAGACGCTTTGCCCTCTCCTCCGGGGTCTCAGGCGTCTGCTTCGCCTCCGTCTTAGTAGGACTGGGTGCCTTTTCCTTGCTTTTGCTAAGGTTGGCCATTGTGTCTGCAAATGAGAATGCGGGTTTGGGAGGCGCCGCTGGAGCAGCTTTTCTCTCGATTGATTTGCTATCGACATAAGTCAGTCCAAGTCCTGGTTTGATGTCATTCACTACTCACATAGCAGCGGCCACGACTGAGGGTGTGGCAGCCTTGGTGACGGCCTTCTTGACGCCTGCACCTGTCGCAGCCGATATAATCGACTTTGCGATGGTGGGCTTTGCCTTGACAGTAGCACCCAGAGTTGGCTTCACAGTCGCAGCAGAGACGACAGGCTTGTTGTTGACACCGATAGGAAGAACTCGCTTGAGTGGCGCCTTTGCAGCAGCACTGCCTGCTGTGGAAGTCATGAGCACTCTCTTCGAGGCCTGGTCAGAAGATGCACTGCCAGGAGCACTACGCTTAATACCAGCGACAGGCTCAGGTGTAGGTCGGCCGCTCGGTGGTGACTTGATGCGCAACTTCTGTTCAGAGCTCGCTTGACTCTCGGCGCTACCTGCCACGTGGCCTTTGATACGGTCGCACATATCGTGGGTGTCTTTGCTGCCGTCTTTGCTAAGCCTGATGATACACTTTTGCATCTTTGTTGCGTCGTATGTTCTGGCGGGGAAAGTATCGCAGCGCACAAGAACCTGAGTTGTGTTAGTAGAATATACAAATGATCAGGGGAATCTGCATACCTCAAGGATCAGAACCGTCAAAGCTCCGTTGTAGTCTTCTCTCTTGATACGATCGATTAGAAATTGCGCAAAGGATGCCATGATCTGGGCGTGTTGGCCAAGTCTGAGATTGAAGTTAGAGCGCTCTACGATTCACGTGCTTCACTCGTGACTTACTGTGCCATTATATCTCGATTGCCGTGAGTGATCGCAGTCTGCAAAGCAGCCTTCAACATCTCAAGTTGGTCGTTGACTCTGCTCTGCAAAAGTGGGATTTCACTGATTTTCTTACGGTCAGTAGCGTCAGTCAACGCAACAGAGTCAGCCTTCCATCGGTTCTTTATGGTCTGCAAAATTTCATTGAATTCGACCATGCCAGTTCTGATCCTGTCAGCGGCTACACCGGTATGACTGCTCTCCCACAGAGCCTTGATAGTGTCATACTCGACACCTTTGCGGGGATCGTCTGGCCGCTTTGATGGGAGAGGAGAAACATCGGGTTCCTCATCAGATTCATCATCAGAATACGAGTCTGACGTATCTGACTCGGACTCTGAGCGTTCCGGTTTTATCGGCTGTGATGAACGGCTGTTTGCGCTCATGCTTGCAGATACAGAACTGGGCTTCTTCGTCTTCAACTGTCGTCCTACATGTTGTCAGTCGTTGCGACGGCAGTTCACCAGATGATTGACGAACCTGGGTTGGCCGCTTGAATAGCCTTTCTTGAAGGTCTACGCGGCGGAGCCGAGACCGTAGCTAGTTCTTGTCAGTACAGGTTTTGGACATGTCTTTTCCAAGGGTTTCGATATGATGACACTGACCTCTGTTAACAGGAAGCTCGATCTCAACATCACCAACGGAGATAAAGCTGTTCAGTGGTGTGGAATTGGTTGCTTGTCTGAGGTGTGCGGCATCTTTCACAAGGAAGTTGCCTGTGCGAGTGCCGGTTGGGATAGCTTTGTGAAGAGCAGCCTGATCTGCCGTAGGTGCGGAAGGTATGACCTTGTTGTAGCTCGTGGCATCTGTGGTATGTGGTCGGGAATATGATTGAGTGTCAGAAGTCTGACCAGGGCGAACAATGTGAGCATTCTCTTGCTCCAGAGCTTGTGGCGCAATGGTCCCATGTTGCATCTGTCGGTTTGGTTGAGCGTATGGAGATTGACCGAGTCCAAATGCCCCAGGTCCGTTTGTAGTACCGGGCACTAACGAAGGATCGAAGGGTGGATTTTCGTATTGGTGATGGTTACTGTAGCCAGGGTATGCGGTTGTATGAAGGTTGGTCGGACTCTTTGTAAAGGCTTGAGTGTAATTATCGAGACCATTATCATGTTGCCAGTAGGTGTTTGAGGGAACATTTTGGTTTGGCAGATGAGAGGCAGCATTGAACTCCCAGTTGGGGAACCCATCACTTTCTCCACCATCGGGGATGAGGTTATCGAACTGATTGGCTGGGTTATAGCCTTGTTGGTACGAAGAAGGGTCATGGCCATGCGGCGGCATGTGGTGGTGGCCGTCCATGATCGCGAAGAAGCGTAGCGACAAGACGTTCTTAACGATGACACTGTTCTCAACGTGATGTCAAGCACGGTTCTCTAAGCGATATGTGCGTGACTGAGGAGCCAATCACAAACGACAATCGGCCTTATGGCTTGAGATTACGTGAGAGAGCGGCTCAAATCAAGTGGGAATGTCTTGTCGGGGCGATGTAGAAGCGCTGTCGACTGAGTAGAAGCTTGGTCTGAAGTGAAAAGTGTATGAATGTCGATACTCGTCCACGCCTGTCGACGCGTATGGCGCACGCGCAGAAGGTCTGCACAAAGAGCGCTGGTATGCTAGTATGTCCCGAGGCTGCCCTTGGATGGAGGTGCAAATCAACGTCGCTCCGCGCCGCAGCACAAGAACGCGGTCAAGGCTCGATGTGGCAACTGAAGGCCGCAAAGATGAGTCCCTCCCGGCTTGTGCAGGGAATGGAAATTATTGATGATAAGCACCACTGGTCTGAGCCAGAACGCGCTTTGTTTTCACCGTGAGCAAGTAGCCTTCCGGGCGCAGTCACCTTCGCAACAAAAGACCTTGCGCACTCGTAAGGAGAGCGAGCACTTAAGAGGCTCAGAGTCCCTTCCGACTTGTCCGTCACCTAATAGACCACAAATGACAAGCTTTACAGACGGGCGTTCAAGCGCCTTGCATTAGTGATGGCAGCGTGGCCAAGGGAAGGTCAATTACACAAAAAGGAAGGGCGATGAAAGTGGTGTTGTGAGGTGTTGGAGAGAAGATGGGTTGACAGACGGGGAGGAGGCAACAGCGCAATCTTGTTGGAAAGAGAATGGCTTGGCGAGAGCCGGCTGTCACCGCCTGTGACGCCCCGTCAAGTGAATCTGGAACCATGAGCCTTGGTTCATGTGGGGATGCTATGAACGTGTTAACTTATTGAAGCTTGTCTGCCTATTTGTCTTGAACTGCGAACACGATTCCTGTCTTACGACTCTCGTCTGTCGAGCCCGCCATCTAATACATACCTTACGAGCTTTGTATGCGGTAGATTTCCAAAGTCTGGCTGTGAGAGACTCGGCCCTTGGATCAACATGGCAACTCAGCACAACTCCCTTCGCGACCGCCAAGTGGGTAGGTAGATGCTCTTGCGCGCCATCCACAGTCACATGTACTCACGCATCCAGCTTCCATCGAGAAGGTCCTAAACCTCAACCACGCCTCCCCCGAAAGCGCAGATACACAACACGATGCTACTCTCGCGAACGGACTCGTCACCAAAGCCACCCCTATCCTAAATGCTGATGGCGAGCCTATCTGGAAGGTCCTTGTCTTCGACAGCCTGGGGAGAGACATGATCAGTAGCGTCCTGCGCGTCTCGGACTTGCGCTCTTGGGGAGTCACAATACACTTGTACGTCGACAAGAATAGCTGCTTGCTTTTCAAGCCTCTACGCATGCTGAGTGTTGCTACAGAGCTGCTGCTGACGGCAATGTGTCAGGCCTATAAACTCGAAACGACACGCCATTCCCGATGTTCCTGCCCTCTATCTTGTCGAGCCCACTCCTGAGAACCTGAACATTATAGCATCCGATCTAGCGAACGGCCTGTACTCGTCCGCTTATGTCAACTTTCTCTCGTCAATATCAAGGCCTGTGTTGGAAGACTTCGCTGCCCAAATTGCGTCAGGGGGAACATCTGAAAGCATAGAGCAAGTCTACGATCAGTACTTGAACTTTGTCGTTAGCGAGCCCAACCTTTTTAGTCTGGGAATGGGCAAGGATGTCTACTACACCATGAACAGCGCGCAAACCAGCGACGAGGAGATTGACGCAAAGGTTGATCGCATTGTGAGCGGCTTGTTCAGCGTAGCAGTGACTATGGGTAAGGCAGATTGAAGGAGCCAAGATACTTGTGCTGACTGCTGCAGGCTCAATTCCGATCATCCGATGCCCAAAAGGAGGTGCGGCAGAAATGATCGCTGCCAAGTTGGATCGCAAACTGCGCGACCACATCTTGAACGCCAAAGACAACCTCTTCTCCAATGCCAATGCTCGTGCCAACACCGCAGCTGCCACACCAGCTTCGCGCCCTATCCTGATCATCGTCGACAGAAACCTCGATCTTGTCCCAATGCTTTCGCACTCCTGGACATACCAATCTCTGGTACACGATGTACTCAAGATGCACCTCAACCGTATCACGGTCGAGCTACCAGGGGATGATTCGGATGTGACCAAGCCTGCGATGAAACGGTCATACGATCTCAACACAAACGATTTCTTCTGGACCAGAAACGCAGGGGTACCGTTCCCACAGGTCGCCGAAGACATCGATACCGAGTTGACTCGATACAAAGAGGACGCCAATGAGATCACAAAAAAGACAGGCGCTTCTTCAATCGAGGACCTACAAAATGACACGTCAACCTCAGCTCAGCATCTCAAAGCAGCCATCACTTTGCTGCCCGAGCTACGTGAGCGCAAGAACATTCTCGACATGCATATGAACATTGCGACAGCGCTTCTCAAGGGCATCAAAGAAAGACAATTGGACAACTTTTTCCAGCTTGAGGAAGATATCAAAAAGCAGACCAAGGCACAAATGCTCGAGCTGCTTACTGATCCTGACAAGGGTAAAGAGCCCTTGGACAAGCTTCGAATCTTCATCATCTGGTTCTTGAGCACGGAGCAGGAAGTATCTCGCGCGGACATGGATAAGTTCGAAGAGGCTTTGCGCAGCACCGGAGTGGATACGACACCTCTAACTTATGTGAGACGGTATGTGAAGTCTTCTCATATTCACTTATTAATCGTCACTGACCAACTTCAGCGTCCGAGAGATCACGCGCATGACCATGATCTCATCTGCGCCTACTCAACCAGCACAGTCATCAGCATCTAACGACCTCTTTCGCGGCTTTAGCTCCTTGTCCAAAGGACTCACAGACAAGTTCAAGGAGGCTGGTATCGGCTCGAATTTTGAGAACTTGATCTCTGGTGTCAAAAACTTCTTACCAGCCAACAAAGACCTCACACTGACCAAAATCACGGAGTCGCTGATGGACCCATCCAACGCAAGTACAAGTGCACTGCAAAAAACAGAAGGATATCTATACTTTGATCCTCGTAGTGCCAACGCCAGAGGCACAATGCCGCCGTCGGCAGCACAGTCCAGGAACCCTGGCAACAACAGTGTAACGAGGGGCATTGAAGCAAGCTTCGGTCAACGGAGACAAGGTTACAGTGAGGCTATTGTCTTCACGGTCGGCGGTGGCAGTATGGACGAGTACGGTAACTTGCAAGACTGGGCTAACAGAACGAGCGGGCAAGGGGCAGCAGGCTCGGTAAGCAAAAAGCGTATCGTGTACGGCAGCACGGAGCTTGTAAACGCGGAGGACTTTGTACTTGGAGAACTGACCAAGTTGGGCAACGAGAGCGCATAGACAGCATTGATCAGATGTACGAGAATGAGCAGTATAATTCGACTTGACCACAAAAGGAGGCTCTGCCAATGATTGTCAAGTGATGACCCCTCTCATACGCAATTGCTTGGCCGCGGGCCGTCGATGGTCGAAAGCGTGCTTGATGAGTGTTCGGGGAAGGTCCTAGGAGCTTTGACCGTTTGCCCCGGGAAGTTGACAAGCCCGATGACATACGCATTCAGGTGTATCTGGTAGGTAGGTAAGTGTCTACTGTTGATTCTGCTCTCGACCTCAGCACTCAACACGTTACTCGCTTGAGTGTGTTCGTCCCTCGCATCACCTTAGCTCTAGAAACGTCGAATCGTTCTACTCTTTACCAGGACGACCGTTTACTCAGCACGCGTTGCCTTTACCCACACGCCCCTCGGCCCTGCTTGTCGGACATATCCCGACAGCCTGCAAAGCAGCATTCAATGGCGCCCCGTGCATCGCTAAAGACTCTCGTGGGTCGACGCAGGCGGGCTGATGGCGACGAGGATGAGGAATCTGTTACGGGCGTCGACGACTCACAGAGCGACGTCTCTGTTGCCAGTGACTTGGACAACACGGCCGATGCCTTGGATGAGGACGCTGACGCCAGCGAGTCCGGTGACACCGAAAGTACTGTACCCTTGCCAATCGACTCCGACTTGACTCAGAAGACTGAGCGGACGCGCTCAAAGAAGTCTAAGGGCACAAAGAAGGGAAAGACACATGCGAATATAAACGGAGATCAACCGAACACCTCGTCACCAGTCGCTGGCGACTCTGCTGGGACTGATGTGCTAGTTGTGGCAGCCGGCGCACCTATCGTTTCGTCCGAAAGCGGTCCAGCCAGAAGAGGAGAGACGGTAGCGGATCGTCGAAGGCGTGAACACGACGACTACAGGAAGAAGCGAGACACAGATCCAACATTCATTCCCAACAGAGGCAACTTCTTCATGCACGACGCTCGTACTTCAGATCAACGAGGTTTCGCTTCCTACGGCCGTGGCAGGGCAGGGAGAGGGAAAGGAATCCCTCAAGCTCCTAGCAGGTACGAAACTGCTGGCCTAGCAAAGCATACGATAAGTGCTGATGTACGTCGTAGTCATATACCCCCAGCAGAGCGGACAGCAGATGCTCCCTGGACACATGATCTCCATGACACGATCAATGAACGTGGCGGTCCGCCTACTCGTCAGCGGCCATCACAGATACCCGTCAACAATCACGATACCACCTCTCGAGGCGCTCCTCCGGCTCAGCACAAGCCGCTGAACTTCTCCAAAACTACTCAGATCGGTAGTGTGCAGATACGTGTCTATTTGCCTGATATGCCCGCTGCTGTTCCTTTTGCTGCCGTTCCCGTAAATTCGCACACACGACTGCCCGACCACAGACCTCCTCTCCGCCGTGACAAACCAGTTCGCGTCTCTCTTCCTGACCACCCAGTTCGCTACGTTTTCCCGTCCGCCGAGCGCTCGTTCATTTTCATTCCCAGAGCACTGAGACCTAATCAACAAGGATTCGGCAAAGCAAGAGGTAGTTTCGGTGCATACGGAGCTCCATCTAGCAGACGACCTAGTCTTTACGGTGGAAGCGTATATTCGCAAGCCATGTCCATGAGCCGCAGGTCCTCACTGGCCCGTGAAGTGCCTAGAGACTCTGCATTCTCTCCAACTGGCTCCTACACCGCTCGTGCCCCTCCAGGACCTGGTCGCCCCGTTGTTCGCCTACCTCAAGCTGGATCCCATCGATCTTCCAATCCTTCGCCTGCTGGCTCCGCTTACAGTCGATCATACCCTCATTCCTATCCTCGGCCTCAGACGCCAGCCGTCGAGCATTGGGCTGAGCCAGACACTATGTATCAGCCTCGCCCGCAAAAGACCATATCCATGACAGATATTGAGTCGCCCGCAGGACTTGCTCTTCACGCTCCACAGCAGCAAGAACAACAACCATTCCATAATCAGCTGCCTCAGCACATCACAGAAGGTAGTATCAGCACTCAATCGGCAAGTTCTGATATGGCACCACCTTACATGTACCCTGGCGGCACGCCACTCTCCAACATTCCGGAGAGGGCGATTCATGCACAACCATTCCAGCCCCCTGTACCTAATTATTATTCATCTTACGCCTCCTCTGGATACTATTATTCTGGACAATCGACGCAATATGGCACCATGCCTTCTTTCGCTTCATCCACAGCTCAGCAAAGTTATGCACCTCTCGAGCCGCCCATGGCAGGTGACTCTCAGCAAAGTACCATGGCGCATGAGAGTAACGGCATGGTCTTCTACACACAAATGCCGCAATATGCATCTCAGGATGGTTACCTACAGCCACAGAACTATACTGTTCATGGCATGGGTGGCATGATGACGCCGAGCCCGGAGGGTGCATACTACTACGCAAACGCCGGTCCAATGTACTATTCGCAAGGCCAATGAGCTCTTTGTTCTCATTAGCATGATGAAATAATGCTGAAACCGTGGCCAAGGCCTGTTCGAAGACTTTACTTCATAGCATGGAAAGACAGCACGTTCACAAGGGCAATTTGGCACACCCAACCACTCTTTTTCCTTCCCAGCTACAACCTACTCGTTCTGATTCTTGGATACAATGATTCACAGGCTTTCTTTGCCATGCTCAGTCGGTCAGAGAGAGAGTAATGTGTCATGATGTCATGGTCTCCAGTACTGCGCGACAAGATTAGCCTGCTCATGCCGAAAGCTTGCTAGAAGCATCTCCGGCTCTCGCAGGTGCCGTGCTTCTTTTGAGAAGATTACTAGAGGTGATAGAATAGGCTGAAGAACTTATACTTTTGCTTCTTGTGTTTTCTCTATGGATAGTTGGATTGGTAGCCGCAGCAACGACAGAGACGTAGCAAGAATCAAACAAATACAGACTTCTCGACGCCACGAAAGAAGGCGACTCCAGAGCAGAAGTAACGCGTTAGTTGTTTGCATGTGAAACGTTAGTTGTGATAGGTGATCACAAATGCAAGGCGACGGTTGGAGTGGTTTCTAGTGCTCGGCAGAAGCAAGCACTAGAGCCGGGAACGTGACGCGGGGAAAGCACCGCTGCCTACCAACCCACGGCCAACACTTGCTCACCTTCGCATCCACACGACACCTTGTCGTTAATCTCTGTTCCCTCGTCTTCCGTACCATCGCCTTCTTTCCATCTCACAAGTGATCTACGTCCTGTGCGTACTTCCTCTACAGCTCGAGGTCTTGTCGCTCTCGCTACACGCCCATCCTTGAACCATCGCCCCCAGCCGAGGCTGTTATACGACGTCACCAGGCTGCCATCTATCAGACGTTCGACATGCCTTCAACCACGGGTCCAGTGAACGAGGATACCCTCATCACTATCAAGATCTCGTTCGACGACTGCACCAAGCGACTGAAGTTGCCGCTCAAGGACCTGGGTGCCAACACTCTTCCTATCAAGGTAGCCCCAGCTTATCGTCATATGAAGCGATCCATCCCAACTGACTCTCTCACAGCTCCGCCACCTTCTCTGCATCGCCCCTGATCAGGCCGTCACCTTCGAGCGTTATTCCGACTCGGCCGGTGGCTACGTCGTCCTTGACGACTCCAACCCTGCCGTCTTCAAGACGCTCATCCGCGCTGCCAAGGCCAAGCTGAAGCTCAAGCTGAGAGTGTCTGCTGCCTCGGATGACTCAAAGGTTCCTGTTTCTACTCCAGAATCATCGGTCGTTCCCTCTTCTTCCGACGTCGCTTCTGCTAGGTCCTCCACTGCTCTGGATCAACACGCTATCGGTCCTGGTATCTTTGAGTTCCGTGAAGCTCTTAGCTCAGAGAAGAAGACGGAAACCGACGCTCCTCTCCCTCGTCCTTTTGGTAAGTCGAGTCTTACGACTGCTTCCGCTTCATCTATTGACGCCTCAGACTTCATCTCAAACAACGCCGTCCTTGGTCCCAAGCAGGTCCTGCCCCTCCGCGTCGCCAAATCAGTCAGCCAGGTCTCAAGGGGACCATGGTCTGTCTTCTGCAACGGCTGCGATAGAATTATGCACAACGTCCACTATCACTGCGGTATCTGTGACGGCGGTGACTTCGATCTTTGCGAGACCTGCGTCAAAGAGGGTGCTTCCTGCTCTGGAGATGGCCACTGGCTAGTCAAGCGCTCCATTCACCTGGGCGAGCTTGTCAACAGCACCACCGAGCGCTTCGCTCCCAAGCCTAAGCAGTCTACGCCATCTGCGCCTGCGCCTGCTCCTGCTCCTTCGCCTGCACCAGAAGTCGCCAACGAGATTCCTGGAGCTTTCACCGATGATTTCAAGTCCTTGTCCGACTCGGTCCGCACCTGCAATTCCTGCGTCGGTACCTTTCCTGACGAGGACTTTGTCACATGCGTCCAGTGCGACGACTATGATCTCTGCTTGAATTGCCACATGCTCAACATGCATGGCCACCACCCTGGTCATCACTTGAAGCCTGTTGTCGACGGTGCTGCTCTGTCGCTTGCTCAAGAGGCTCTTCTGCCCGCTGGCCGCAACTTCAGACACACCGCCATCTGCGACGGTTGTGACAAGATGATCCACGGTGTGCGACACAAGTGCTTCGACTGCCCCGACTTTGATTACTGCAGCGACTGCCACCAGAACGCTCGCCACACTCACCCTCGTCACCGCTTTGCAGCCATCTATGAGCACTTCAAGGGCCGTCCCTCCTCGTCTGTCTCTCACCATGGCATCTATTGCGATGGTCCTCTTTGCAAGGGCAAGCCCCAACAATTATACATCCATGGTGTCCGATATAAGTGTGTTGTCTGCCACGACACGGACTTCTGCCAGAACTGTGAAGCTTTGCCCACTACCTTCCACAACAAGACTCATCCTCTGGTCAAGTTTAAGACTCCCGTCAACCACTTGACCATCTCGACTGAGAGCGAGACCAAGCATGGCGTTCGCAAGCTTGGCGACCGTGATCTTGCTCGCAACGTTCATTGTCCTGCCATTCCTAGGCAGTCTGCCAACGTTACTGCCCCAGTCAAGACTGTGGCTGACATTAAGCCGTCGCCTCGGGTGGACGAGAAGAAGGCCGAAGAAAAGGAGATTGAAAAGAAGAAGGTCGAGGCCCCGACGCCAGCCGCTCCTGCCCCCATGTCCAAGGCCCCTTCTCGTCTGCTCCAGGCAGAATTCATTGCGGACCGCGTTCCCGATGGTACCGTCATTGCTCCTAATGCTCGCTTCGTCCAGTCATGGACTCTTCGCAACCCTGGACCCTACTCTTGGCCCGCTGGGTGCAGTGTTCGCTTCGTCGGTGGTGACAACATGCTCAACGTTGACAACACTCACGTCGCCTTTTCTGACATCGCCGACGCCACTGAAAGCAATGTCGCCGGACGCGAAGTTCTGCCTGGTGAACAGTTCCCCTTTGCTGTGACCATGAAGGCACCTGCTCGTGAAGGAAAGTGTATCAGCTACTGGCGTCTCAAGTCTGCCGATGGCACACCTTTCGGTCACAAGCTCTGGTGCGACATTGAGATTAGACTTGCTAAGGAAGCTATCCCGATGCCTCGCTCTCCCATCGCTGTTCAGTCTTTTGCCCAAGCACACAGCTACTATGCCCTCTACAAGGAGCGCATGAATGCGTTGAAGACACACCTTGACCAGACTACCTTGGCGTCTGCTGCTGTTGCCGCCGCAGCCGCCGCAGCCGTTGTGTCGAATGTGGCTTCGGAAGAGGCCGAGAAGCCTGCCAGTGCTGTCATTGAGACTCAGACAGTCGAGGTCACCAAGGTCCCCTCCGAGGTCGGAGTCCCTGAATCAGATCACGAGGAGGGTGAGTTGAAGGGCAGCCAAATGGTCTTCCCCACTTTGGACAAGGAGAGCCCTTCTAGTTCGACCTATGAATCCTTCAGTGGCTCTGGCATGAGCAAGAAGGCACGTGAGGAGACAGAGCAGGCTACTCAGACGTCTGAGGTCGCAGACAGCATCGCAAGTGATGACGAAGGCTTCGAGGACATTGGTGATGACCTTGAAGTTCTCAGCGCCAACGAAGATGATGGCGAGAGCGAGGACGACGGTTTCCTCACCGACGACGACTACGACATCCTCGACGCCAGCGACCAAGAGACCGTGGCATCGATGAAGTAAAATACGCGGTCCACGGTCTAGACTTGGCAGCGACCAGCTCTCGTCACCTAACATTCTCAACTCCCTGTTTTTTCCTTTGTCTTATTCGCCGCGATTGCTGGTACTCTACGGCGATGAAATTTGGGATTTGATGGACACTCTCTACTTGTTGAAAGGATCGGAGGGAAGGGCGTAGGGGCAAACATGGACTTTCCTTCAATGCAAATGGTTACCTAGTGCAGGTAGTTGCTTTTATTATTCTTATAATCTCTTTTTTTCAGATGAATGTTGGCTTCTACCTCTGAAATGTGATGTGATGGTACGTGGGTGGACGTGTGGGCAACGTTGTGACGAGGATTTGCACCAAGTCTCGTGGTAAGCTCTATGACCCTGTCAGCAATTTATCACAACCATCTCCCCTGCAAACAAAGCTTGTTGTAGTTCATCATATGGTAAGAGCAATCTTCTAGGTAGCCGAAAACGATTCTCATCAAACCTGTCCTTTTCATCGCGTTCGGGGGTGTTTAGGTCTTGAATTATGGTCTCATCGAGAAGCAAGATCTGTTCCTCAAGACTCAACCATGAATAAACCAGACGTTGATGTCAGCAACCGATATCCGACTATGGTGAGACTCAATCGCTAAACCGTACAGTATATAGAATAGTGTCTCCGTCTGCGATGCAGATGAGGTAGCGAGGAGGGAGAAGAAGGTATCTACATTGAGCTGATGTGAATATTATAGCTACAGGTACAAGGGTGATATACCTCAACATCCAGACTTTGCGAATTTCGAGCAGAAGATATGCTCTGCTTGATTTTGCCAGCCTCTCGACCTCTCAAGAACAATGGAAGCTAGCGCAAAGCGAACATTCGAGAAAGAGGTGATGATAAAAAGCACTTGAGAGAAAGGCTGGATAGTTGAGATATTCTGAGCTTCTTTCATGACTTCGTTCTCATTCAAATCTATAGACAAAAGAAACCTCTCTCATCATCAAAGTGTCGGAGAGGGATGACACGAATTAAACTACTTGTCCCCAAAAATGCCTTAGTTGCCATTCAGTCCGTGTTGAATACCCCATATGTCATTTGTTGCCGTCTGTCTTGTTTTTCCTTCAAATATCAATATCAATGCCCAAGTCCATGTCTGCAATAATATCCTCGTCCTTTGGCTTCTTCTTGAATGCTCCCAATGTAGTCTTCTTGAGCTTGTTCTCAATGGGTGTGCTGTTTCCTGCGCTCACAGCACCGTTGGCAGGGGTACCACTTCTGCTGATATCGCTGACGTCTCCGAATAAATCGTCAGGCACAGCGAGGCTCTTTGCCTTTGCGGCTTCGGCTGCAGAACGTGCTTTTGCGGCTGCTTCTTCTCTGGCCTTTTGCAAGACGCGCTTTTCGGCCAGTTGGGCTTTACGGATGTCTTCGGTGTTGGCTTTGCGGTTTGCGCGGTTGAGGGCTGCGAGACGTTCTTGTTGTGCGAGTTTGCCGGTTGCTTTTGCTCCGTTTGCGCCTCCTGCTTGAGCGGCTGCTTTTGCTGCTGCTGCACCGCCTCCTGAGCTCAGAGCTGCGAGTTCGGCGTCGCATTTGGCGACTGTGGTGTCATCGCCACGAGAAGCGGCTTCCTCGCGACGCTTCTCAATCTTTTCGCGGCCGTAGTTTGCGAATTTGGATTGGAGGGCGTTTGTGCGGTTAATCTTTCTTTGAATGTCTTCGTCGGTCCATTGGTATTCGAGGAGGGAGTGGATGTCGTCGAGCTTGGCTACCAGCGCTTTTCTAGAGGGCAGTCGCAGGGAATCGGTGGACAGGGCGGCCTTGAAGCGTTCGAATTCGGTTTCTGTGAAGCTTGAGTCGGAGCAGGCGACAAAGGGCCATTCTTTCTCGGCCTTGCCGTGTGCGACAACTGCGTATTGATCTGTAACGAAAGGTTTGCCATTAAGACCTTCCATCTGGTAGGGCTTGCCTGAGGTGAAGCCTGGGAAAGTCAGCTAGGTGTCAGTGTATAGTATGAGTGAGATGACGCACCCTTGATCTGAGCCATGCGGTATTGCGGAGCTCCAGTGTCGCGATTAACGCCAATGCTCACACGAGCGTAGCAGTTTCTAACGCTACTGTCGAAGGTTGGGTAGAAGCAGACTCTGGCAAAGTTTGTGCGGCCGATGCGAGCACGCTCGAAGTCGCGCAATGTTGCGGGAGCTTCCTCGCTTGAAGCAGCAGCTCGAGGCTTCTCGTCCCACTCGACCTCGCTGTCGCCATCTGCATCTCTGTCCGAGTCGACATGGTCCCGTGATGGAGAACGGTCTCTTCTGCGGTCGTCCTCGCGGTTGCGTTGTTGACCCTTCATCTCACGCTCTCTCTTGTATGCTTCCAGAGGTCCGCTGGTGGCCTTGACCTTTGGTCGACTGCTCTTGCGCTGATCCTCGTCGTCCAGATCGGCAGCAGCGGCCTTGCGCTTCTTCTTGTCAGCACCAGCTTGCTCTCTCTTGCGTTGTTGGAGGATTTTCTTGAGTTGCAAGTCCTGAACTCTTCTCTCAACTTCTGCGGCACGGTCTGCGAGGGTTTCTTCTCGATCGATTTCAGTCATGGCCATGACATTTTTGCGATCTTCCTCTGACTTGAACTTGCCCTCAATGGGGTAGAGGGGAGGAGCCTGATCGAAGTCGACACCGTCTTCCGAGTCGGACTCGTCCATGGCAGCGGAGCCCAATGAGCGAGGAGATGAAGCTGGAGAGCTGAGATGGCAATCAGTACGTGAGAGCGTACAGAGCGACAGCGCAGGCAGATTGAAGAGAAGTCGGACAGGAGCACAGAGAAAGAAGCATCGGGAGACTTACGCTTCACCTTCTTCTTCAGAGTCATCCTTTCTTCTTCTTCGTGGTGCAGCAGCAGATGAGCGCGACTTTGGCTTTTGAGCGAGACCGCGACGGGGAGGAGAGCGATCGGGTTCTGACGATAGGGCAGCATGTTCGAAGGGGGAGGAGCGTTGAGCGGCTCTGTTATCTGTTCTTTCGTCGTCGGAGCTATCGTCGCCAGCAAGAGCGAGGAGCTCGGCGTCAAGCTCGTTGTCCGACATGGCTGCTGTTGTGTGGTGGTAGTAGGTGATTCAGGGGATAGAGCTCAAGCGAGTTTCGAGTATTGAAAGCCAAAGGTTGGAGAAGGATGGAGAACGGTCACAGTCAAGTGATGCAGCAGCAGTGATCTCGGGAGATGTACAATTGACGTGGCTGGGGACAACAAGAAGCGCGACAACAAGATGGCGAGTGAGAAGTGGTGGGTAGAAAGTGAAGGACACTTGCTCAACTTGAGCCTCGCCAAGCTCCGCCAGAAGTGCCTCGAATCGATGACATCGTCGAGATAATTGTTGCTTCACTTGAATAAATCATTCGATACAGAACCAACCCCGAGTTACTACCTTTATATACAACTCTCTGCCCAGAGAAGGAAAGCACCAGTACATTGCCTACAAATAATCATATTCAACATGTCGCTCCGTCACCTGAATCGGTGCAGCAGGGCCATGTCCCTGTCGCCTCGTTCGCTGCACATCGGCTCTCTGCAGCAGGTAGCACACATTACCACTTCATCAGCCCCGCCGAGTACCGAGCCAAAACCCAAGACCATCGAGACTGGTACCTCAGGGAAGAGGAAGCGTCCTTTGACTGCTGAACAAGAACGCTTCCTTGACAGTGCCGTACGCTGAATCCGTATACATACCATGTTGAAGCAAGCAGTCTGACGCTATCTAGCTCCGAGTGAATCAGACTGGTGAACTTGCCGCCGTCCTCATATACCAGGCTCAAACCCCGCCTACAGTCAGAGCACACCCTCATCTCCGTCCGTTAATGAAGCACATGTACGATCAAGAAGCTGGTCATTTCAAGTACTTCAACAAGATCATAGCCAAGCACCGCATTCGCCCAACTGCTTTGACGCCAGTATGGGGTGTTGCAGCGACTGCCTTGGGCTGGACGACCGCCATACTAGGCCAGGAGGCTGCAATGGCATGTACAGAGGCCGTCGAGACTGAGATCGGTGAACATTACAATGCACAAGTGCGAGAGCTTCTAGCGTGGATGAAGGATATGGAAGAGCGAGGTGAGGAGCCTGGCGAGGAGATGACGGATTTGCTCAGTAACCTACGGAGGATAAGAGACGAGGAGCTCGAGCATCTGGACCATGCTGTTGAACACGACGCAAAGCAGGCTCGTCCTTATGAACTCCTGACAAATGTCATTCGAGGCGGCTGTCGTGCGGCCATTTGGGCCAGCGAGAAGGTATAATACATTACTGCTATGGGAACAGCTCAATGTGTGAGTTCTCTTATCCCAATGACCAACGAAACATCATCGTAATACAAGATTCATTGCGGAAACAAATACCATTTACCGGAACATCCTTCACTCGCCTCAATAGTAAGTTATCACGACAATACAACACATTATTTTCATTGTCGTTTGCTGGCTGTTTCCACAATGCTTCAGAATTCTATTGTGCTTGACTGCTACTGTCTCACTGCTGTTGTCTTTCCTGCATCATTCCTTTCTACTTCCGCTCTGCACTTCAGATTCCGTCTTTACTGTGTATCAATTCTTCCAATTTGATTTTGCATTTCTACAACATCCCTTCGTCAAGACCATACTCACTCCATTTTTCTATTACCACGAATCATAAACAAGAACCATGGCTGCCATCGCTGCTCGTCTCACCACAAAAGCTCTCAAGACCGACCTGCTCGAACTCGACTTCGACCCAAAGCTGGTCCAGCAATTCGTGGATACACCCTACAGAGTCGACTTCGCCGCAGCTCTCCTCAAGTCCCACGCCCTCTCATCTTGCAAACCCAGAAGAGGCAGATACACTACTACATGTCTCTACAAAAGACCCAGCCAGCAGCGTAAGTGTCCACACCATGACTTCTTGACTCACTTACTAACCTACTACAAGCCTGGGTCATCTACGACCCAAACAAGCACGACCCAATCCTCGATGCGGACACCTTGAAGCTTGTGGTCAGATTCGCCAAATATAAGCCAGGTCACCCGCGCTTTTTGGAGTATAATACCGAGACTACATCGCTCCGTTTTCGCTCAGCCAGACTACTCCAAGGTTTACGGATCAAGTATACGGCCGACGGACCTATGCTTGAGAAGTTGGCAGAAGTGGAGAGTGAGAGTGAGGAAAAATCGAGTGTTGATGGTGAGGAAGAAGAACCGGAGGAGAGTGCTTCGTTGACTAAGAAGAGAGCTATCTTGTTGACTAGCAAGAAAGCTGTCGTGTTGACTGGAGAGGAAACTGTCACCTCGACCAAGGAGGAAGCTATCTCGTCCACCAAGGAAAAGGCTGTCACGTCCACCAAGGAGAAAGTTGTCTCGTCTAAAGGAAAAGCTACCTCATCGACCAAGAAGAAGGCTACCCCATCGACCACGGAGAAGGCTACCCCGCTGACCAAGAAGAAAGCTGCATCGATGAGTAAGGCGAGAGCCACCTCGTCAATCACGAAGAAAGTCGTCTCGTCAGTCAAGACGAGATCTGCCTCAGCGATCAAGAAGGAAACTGCCTCGGCGACCAAGGAAGAAGCTGATTCGTCGCCCAAGGTGTCCGACAGTGATTCTGAGCTTACAGATCTGGAATCGGATGATTGAATGGGTTTCAAGCGATGAGATGAGATGGGCATACACAACTGCCGTTTTGCATTCTAGGCTATTATGACGTTTCTTCATCAACCACTTCTTTCTGATCGTTATTGCTGCCGTCTGTGTGAGGATGGTCATCGATGTCAAGGCCATCACTCCTTCTCCTATGACTTGGTGGCCCTCTCCTCTTTGATGATGGTTCCTACCTCTTGTGACCCGTTGCAGCTTCGTGTACTTGCGGGATCGTTTTCTGCCTTTCTTGCTTGGCTGTTTCATCATATCTTTTTCTTTTTTCTTGAATGGTTCCCTCCTATTATCGCTGGGTCTTACCTTCTTGTCTTTGCTTGATGGTTCCTTCCCTTGACACGCAATGTACCGGATCACGACAGGTACTCGTACCTCTGAAGGTATGGAACATACCTGATTGTAGTGATGGCATGTATGCCGGAGACGATGACCATCAGGCTTCTTACTTCGGCACACCCTCGCGACAATAATATGTAGAAAGCAATGCTTTCATTTCGATATCGATCCTTCGCCAATTTGTCAAAAGCTCGAATAGAATAGACTTAGGAGCATCCTCCGATATATCCAGTATTGGCACCGGATACCGGGTCCATAGCTTGTGCTGTACGCCCGTTCGATCTGCCGATCTATGCCTGTCCGGAGATCGATACCGAGCAAAAGGAATTTCACTAGAGAACGTCTGCATACCACACCCCGCGCCCGCGTCTTTCTCATAGTGTTCCTTTGATTGCCTTGAAGGCTTCGTTCTCGCGTTGTGTTGGCTGTCCCTTGATTTCGAGTTGTTTTGTATCGGATAGTCTGTAGATGATCGCCTCGCTCGAACAGTCTTCCTGGTGTGCCCAGAGGATGTTTCCGATCGCCAGATCCTGTCTTCGGCTACTTGGGGACACGGCTGGATGATTAGCAAGCAGAGCCGCCCGTTCGATTGCATAATCCAGTTGTGTCCATCGTTCGGTCACGTGTGCCCACCGGCTCCGAGAGAACCCAGAGAACTGTCGTACCTCATAAGCATCATCTTTCAACGCTACATCATCACCTCAGCCAGCCAGCCCACTCGTGCGTCATCTCTTCTTCTTACCAGCAGGAGCACCGTGCCTAAACAGGAACATAACGCGCCATTTCGAAACCACGCAGCAGCGATCTCTGAGCAGATCTAGCATTGCTACAGTGGTACCTTTTACGCGTGCAATTGAGCAGCCTCGAGAGAACATCGCACACGAGAAACAACTCTTTTTTCCTCTTGAAATATTGCGTCACCAGCTTTCGAAACACGTCGGCGCATCCTCGAGCAGAGCCTCAGTGTCGCAGCTTCGTGATAAAGGACTCGATAACTGTTTCCAAGACATACACGCGTCGCTGTCGAGCGTGAGGATATTCATCTCACTGCCAGTAAGTCCCTTGCCACTGGAAATGCGACAGGAGCGGAGTGCGACGCGATGGCGCGAGTGGAGACCGAAAGTCGACTGACAGCCGGAGCGGCACGCGCGAGAGTTCGCGTTTCCTCTTCAAGTATATATGTTCGGGCGCTGGACTGACGACAATTGTTTGATAGGAATATCAATTTTCGCAGAAAATTGCTTTTAGCTAAAGTCGGAGATTCCTGTCAGCATTGAGATTGGAAAGTTGCCTTGAGAGAAGGAACAGCCCTCTGCAGCATTGACGTCATCGCCTTCGCCGCTACTTCCCATCTCGTTTCCCATCACAACAACAATCATGTCTTCTCCAAGTGGCACGAAGACCAAAGAAGTGTTGAAGCAAGAAGGTAAGCAGTCCCATTAATCTTTTGTCCTGCGCGGAATGCCACGCACCCCGCACTAGAGATCCTCCTTGTCATGACGATGCTCCTCGAAACGTCATCGCTCACGATGTCATACCTCTGTCCGACCATTTGCTGAACTTCGTCTTAGATACAAGCCAAGATCGGGCTCCCTCTCCTTCGCGTCAAGGTATGTTTGACAACACCTGACGTAAGTCATAGTTATATTCTAATATCGTCAGACACTCAGCAGAACATTCCTGCTATTCGACAGCCAGAAGACACTAAGCCTGGTGACGCTGCAAAAGAATCCAACGCGTCCTCGACCAATGCGCCCCTTGCACCTCCACCCGTACCTAACAAGGCCCCTAACGGAGACAACGACTACTTCAGCGGTGCACATAGCGCTGCCCACCTAACCAAGGAACCTAATCCCTTCGAAAGTGCCTTTGGTGGCTCGACCGAAACACCCGGCAAACCCCAACTTCCTGGAGTCAACAGTTTGACATCGCCTGCGCCTCTACTTCCAGGTGCTACGCCAAATTGGCCCGGATCTCTTCGCTCAGGACCTCTTAGTCCGGCAATGCTAACCGGCCCCGCTGGGTCGTCGAACGACTACTTCAGCAACGACCACCACTTTGGAGGCAGCTTCCCTACTCCCAACGAGTCCTCTCTCAGGACCGGCTTGACTCCTGGCGGCGGTGGGTCTATGTTCCCTCAGCCTAGTCCCAATTCTCAAGCAATTTTCAACGCTATCCAGAGCGGTGGCGCAACTCCTGGTACTCTTGACTTCCATCGAACTGCTATGCACGCACGCGCTTCCCAGACCAACGTCAACGCAAACTTCAACATGCCTCAGCCACCCACATCTGCCGCTGCCGACCCTAACATCCAGCCCAATCTCGATAGCAAGGGCTTCGGCCAACAGCAACAGAACGAGTCATTTGAACAGCATGACGCCAATGACGCAGCTAACGGCCTGTTCATGCTTGCTCAAGCCAGAGGCAACAACAATAACAACAACAACAACCGTAACCAGCCCCAACAATACCCGCCACCCCAGTCTCAGCCTCAGATGAACTACATGGGCAACCCCCCTCATCTTCCAGGTGGCATTGGCCATCAAGGTCACGACGGCCAGGCATCCCGCGCCAACAAGAACTCGATCGGTAGCAACATGTCGGGCTCAACTCAAAACGAGCACGGCAACTTCTCCGATAGTGACGGCGAAGACGTCAAGCCCACTAGAGGCAAGGGCAAGAAGAACGGCAACAACAACAAGAACTCGAACAATGGTAGACGCAGGGCCGAGGATCAACCTAAGGGGTCTAACAAACGCCAAAAGACCAGCATGCCGTCGATGGATGAAGACGACTCGGACATGGACGAGGGAGATATGATGGAACGTGCCGACGGCAAGAAGATGACGGACGAGGAGAAGCGTAAGAACTTCCTGGAAAGAAACAGGTATGTGCATCAACAACAGAACTCACTTGATCACTGCTAATACACGAATAGGATCGCCGCGCTGAAGTGTCGTCAGCGCAAGAAGCAATGGCTAGCCAACCTTCAGCAGAAGGTTGAGATCTTCTCAACTGAAAACGATGCGCTGGCCGCCACCGTTACCCAGTTGCGTGAGGAGATAGTCGGACTCAAGACTCTACTTCTCGCCCACAAGGATTGTCCAGTCTCGCAAGCACAGGGCATCAGTGGCATGGCAATGCAGAATATTGCCGGCGAGCCTCATCAGTTCTCCAACCCATATGGCATGCAGATGTCTCATATGCAACAGGGAGTGCCGTCCCAAGCTAACATGCAGAGACGGTAGACAGAGAATTGAGTGTTATCGAGGCGTTTAAAAGGCATGACTGCAAAGCAAGGTACAGAGCAGCAGCAGCGTGCAAAGGCTCAGGCAGACTCTGGGTATAGGCGTTAGGCTTCTTGGGAGAGACGGTGGGCGCAACACGTTTTGTCTCACCAGATAATAGCTCCTCTTCAACTGTATATCTTTCATTGACAAATAGTTTGGCAGAGGCCAAACACGAGGAGTATGGATGGACTTTGCTTTCTAGTTTCTCAGTTATCCGTAGCTCATACACGAATAGTACTCATTGCACTTCATCCTTCCCTTCTAAGACCGAGACAATTACATGCTCCCCTTCATTGTGCGTGAAGTCAGAACAGCTATGTGCCTCCCGACAGCTCATTTCTGGTGAGTTCGTGCCTTCGGAAGCCCGAGTCTCGAGAGGCATCGGTATACACTCTAAAGTCGGGCTTGGCGGACAAACAACACGTCCTGCTCCAATTGCGCGTCTAAAAGGCAGCGCATTCTTCAAAGACCCAACATTTGCACCCATGAGCGATGGAAAACCGAGCGCAGCGCGTGGATAACGCGTTGCAACAGCTGCTCTTCCGATTGATCCCTTGGAAGGAGGACGACGATGAAGCAGTAGAAGACCAGCGCTTCGACGAGGCATTGCAAGCAGCCAGACAAACACTAGGCAGGCACGCTCCGTTCTCCGCAGCTTGAACAGGAGCAATAAGCTAACTGGCGTGCGATGTGCAGATAATCAAGCGTCCTCGGCAGCAGCAGACGATGTACACCATGCCGCCGACCTGATCAGACAAAAGCTGGTACACGAGAACAGCCGTCCGGACAAAGCCCTTCACTTCTCAAACCTCTATTCGCGACTACTTAGCCAGCCTGTGCTTGACAGGAAATGGGCCATCTTGTACTTCTTGTACCGTCTTGGGGATTCTGAAGCAGGACAAGCACTGGATGCTGCCTCTTCGCCTACACCACGCCCACAACCTCCCTTGCGCCAGCAAAGCAGCGATGCCCCTGCTTTCAATGATGCTTTCTCTCGCAATGGGCTACCCCGAGTGCCCAATCCGGAGGACCCAGAACCTGTGCGACTGCCGCAAACAAGGGAAAGGATGCCGCTACGCGCATCCACACGCTCAATAGAAGCATCACCGGAGCCCACGGCTTCAGGTAACCCGCTAGATGCGCCTTCGGAAGCTCAATTGCTTCGCGACTTGCCTTTCACCTTACAAGGTCTCTCTTCGACCAACCTTGCTTTCTCCGACTCTTCGCTCAAGCTACCCTCGACATTACCCGTACCAATAATCAGTCTGCTCCACACGCTCGCCGAACCTTCGTTGCTGTACCGGAGTTTGTCAGCATTTGTCGACTCTTCAAAAGGTGGTCTAGTCGGTCAGAGCTTGCGCTCTGCGATTGGTGTCGAGCTCAGGGCATACCTTGGTCTGGTTGCTACTCTGGAGGCACAGATCAGAAGGGCTTTGACACAACTGCAAGAGTCGCCTGGAAATCTGGGTCTTGGAAAGGCTGGCGTGACACTGAAACGATGCGTTGTCTGGACTCGCGAAGCTACTATGGGCCTGAGGCTCATGAGTATGATAGTCGAAGAAGCAAAGGGTAAGCCATCGGAAGAATCGTATTGTCGAGGGCTCTACTGATACCTTAATAGAGAAGAAGGGAGGAGAGCTGATATCGCTCATCCACTCATACGCTTCGTCACATGGCGACCCCTTCGTCTACACCTTTGCTGAACGACTACTAGTTCACGTTACTCGACCGTTCTACACTATGCTTCAACACTGGATCTACGACGGCGAGCTTGAAGATCCTTTCCTGGAGTTTTTCGTCTACGAAAATCGTGATGCCGACATGGACTCCGACCCTCGTCGTGGTGGCGCAACAAGTGTCTGGGAAGACAAGTACCGTCTCAAAGACAGCATGATACCCACCATAATCACACAAGACTTTGCTAAAAAGGTCTACCTGATTGGCAAATCACTCAACTTCATCCGCTATGGTTGTGGCGATTCAGCTTGGGTTGAAAATCATAGCAAGAGCTCTATGCGCGAGCTTCGTTACGGTGATACGGCCACACTGGAATCGTCGATTGATTCGGCCTACAAGGGTACCATGGCTCGCCTGATCTATCTCATGGAAGACAAGTTCAAGCTATTTGAGCATCTGGCAGCACTCAAGAAATATCTACTTTTGGGACAAGGTGACTTTGTCGCTTTACTCATGGAATCTCTGGCTTCGAATCTGGATAGACCAGCCAACAGCCAATATCGACATACTCTCACCGCTCAGCTGGAGCACGCCATCAGGAACAGTAATGCCCAGTATGACTCCCCTGACGTTCTTCGCCGCTTGGATGCTCGTATGCTCGAGCTTTCTCATGGAGAAATCGGTTGGGATGTCTTTACTCTCGAATATAGGGTTGACTCCCCACTCGACGTCATCGTCACACCTTGGGCATCAAAACAATACCTCAAAGTCTTCAATTTCCTCTGGCGTGTCAAGCGTGTCGAGTTTGCTCTAGGAAGTACCTGGCGACGAACAATGACCGGTGCTCGAGGTGTCCTGGGCGCTGTTGGAGACAAAGTTGACGGAGATTGGAAAAATGCACGAGGTGGCATTGCCGAGATGATTCATTTTGTCTCACAACTACAGCATTACATTCTTTTTGAGGTCATCGAAGCCGGATGGGAGGGGCTTCAAAAGGCTATGCGGACGCCTGACGCTACTTTGGACGATTTGATCTCGGCCCATGGCGCTTATCTTCGCAGCATCACAAGAAAAGGTCTTTTGGCTCCATCGGGCTCGCAGGCCGCATCATCTACAGCACCAGATTTCACTGCTCAACTTCACGAGCTCTTGAAGCTCATGCTTGCCTACAAGGATGCAGTCGACAGTCTCTACTCTTACTCCGTGGCAGAATTCACCCGTCGTCAAGATCTAGCTGCAAAGATCGAAACTCGCACTGCAGCAGGTACTTGGGGCGTCACGGAAAAAGACGACAACGACTTCGGGTCTTCACATATGAGCGGCAACAACAGAGGCTCCCGCCGCAACAACCGTGATAACGATTCACCCATCCCACCACTCCTACCCCTCGCAAACTCTAGCGGAAACGCGGCAGCAGATGAAGCAGCTATCCTCTCTTCGCTACGGGGACGCCTGAAATCCCTAGCCACGGACTTTAGGGCTAGAGTCAACATCTTGCTAGGAGATCTAGCCTACCAGCCAGACGTTGATATGAGGTTCTTGGGTGTCGTCATGAATTTCAACGATGTCTATAGCCCAGTTAGGCGTGGTGGCCGTAGGAGGCAAACTGTCGCCAAAGAACAGCATGCTGATAAGGACGTGGTGGATAAGGGTAAGGAGAAGGTGAGAGAACGAGTCAAGCGGAGTCGTGAAGGCGAAGGTGAGGCTAACGGCGGTGCCTCTAAGGAAGGCTAGATAGACCTTCTTCATGCTTCTTGATGGCGTTATCAGGTATAGGGACCTCACAAAGGCTTTGTGCTCCGTGTCTGAACGATATTCGGTATACAATCATGTCCTCGCGACAGAGATAATCCCGATCCCACGTGTAATTTCTCTGTCTGGTGAATCCTGTTCTAACGCAGAGTGCAGACTGGGCTGGTACCCTTGTTCTTGAAGAGCTGCACTTCTATTCCTGATTTTGGGCTTCCAGGGCTTGCAGTGGAGGGAGTTGGTAACGAGAAAACTCTATGCCTTTTGACAGCATGATATGTAGTGACTGCAGTGGAGGAGATACCATATTGTATGGTAGGATGAGTGGTCCGGGAATGTTCTGCGAGCTACGAGCCAGCACGAAGTTCAGCAGCAGGGCAGATCACATCAAGATTGGAGATTGGGCATCGATGCCCCCTCAAGAAAGGCAGGATCATGGGGTGTCGATAAGTACCAGCATGCGCAGAACAGGTACCCTCCGAGTGTGGACTGTGTAGTTCGCTTGGACATGTTGCACCTCAACGGCTCGATGCTGCTGCAAGACTCGGATTGGATTTCCACGAACCACCAATAACATGCTTGAGATAATGATGTTGTGCGTAGAGGTGTGAGGATGGGAGATCGCTAGCAAGTCTCGCGGAGGTTGCCACAATCGTAGGGTATGCATGTGTCCAGCATCAAAGACCGACGCAGTCAAGATCGTAACAGTACTCCTATAGTATCCATAACATATTAGCACTTAGTCATACAGCGATACAGCACCAGATGCTCGGCTACACACTAACGCTCATCGAACTAACAAGCACCAATCCTCTCATGTCGCCTCACCGAAAGTCTTCATGTTTTGATCGGGCAACTCGCATCTCCAACCACCCCGAACTAACACGTAAAGGAGCAAACTTGAAACTTCTCCAGCACGGCAGCGTGAAGAAGAACAGAGGGAAGCCTTATAGCGGTATAGTACTCGGGTCCCTTGTCACATATGAGCAGGAGCAAAGGTGTCTCGTGGCTGTTCCGTCGCTGAGTAGAAGCGCTGTGGCTTTGGGGACGCAGAGGAATGATGAGTTGTGTTTGGGAAAGATGGGAAGAGAAAATGAGATAAGAGGGTAGAGAAACGGAGTGGTTTATCGTGTGGTCATGTCACACCTGATGCAAGATACTTGAGGTAGGTGGGTTCGGTTGGAAGCTCTTTCCTCAACTGACTTCTTATAATTTGAGCGACGACCAGGCGAATTAGACGTCTCATCAACCCTCTGTGCAGAGTTGTTCAACCTATAGAAACGATTGTACCTTTTCACCATCTAGTTCCGCTCTGTATAGTTTCAGAGTAGAGTGAGAGTCTTAGGATTCACCTATTGCATTCTTTGTCGAAGCAATTGAATGTAGGGAGTCTTTCCTAGCTCTAGCTATGTCACGATAGGCTCACGTCGTTTACTAGAGAAAGACCTGCTGGGGAGGAACTGGAAAAGTGCAGGTAAGAAGCACTTGCTTTGGGTGTTCTAACTCTCGTCTAACCAAGTCTTGAGAACTCCAAGATTCTTGTCGTTTACGATGTAGGAAGAATCTGCGTCGATGAATCTTTCGAATTTAGTTTTCCACAAGAACGTCCATAACCAGGCACCTTTAAAACTGCCAGCGTTGATCGCTCCTTGTAGGCCAAATTGTACGGTACGATGCCGAATGCAGTATATCTGGAGAAGGGCGTGGAGTCGGCAAGAAAGTTGGCCAGCGACTTCAAACAGACACACCCTGATGGAATCTTATCTGCGCAATATGTTTATTGACACCGCAAGATTGTATGAGAGCCGAGAGTGTCAGGGTATATGAAAGGTTAGAGCAACCCTTCAATCACTGTCTGAATCGCTTTCTGACTCTTCAGACGAGGAAGATGAGTCCTCGCTTTCTGAGTCTGAACTAGAATCTGAGCTGTCCGAGTCCGAGCCAGCCTTGGCCTTGACCTTCGCAAGTTGGGCCTCAAGCTTTGCAATCTTTGCCTTTGCAAGCTGAGCCTTGAGCTTTGCGATCTTGGCCTTCTCACTTTTGACCTTCTCAGTCTTGACCTTCTCGGTCTTGGCCTTCTTTTTGGCAGGTTTCTCGTCCTCGCCAGAGCTATCGGCCTTGACCTTTTTGATAGGCTTCTCGTTTTCGCTCTCGCTCTCGCCAGCACTGTCGCTATCGCTATCGCTATCGCTGTCGTCGTCGTCGCTCGAGCTATCACTATCGCTAGAGCTGCTTTCGCTATCAGAGACGTCGGTTCTTGACTTTCTCTTCTTACGTATCGAACGAGCAGTGTCGACCTTAGATTCCTCCTTGATGGCTGGTGCTGCCCGGGCGGCTGACTGAGGCTCGCCCTTGCTCATGATTCTGTAAACCGTCTGCACACGCTCGTCGTAGTCTCTCTGCTCTTGTAATAGCTTGGTCTTCTGAGGATCTGGGTCGATGCCATTCTGGCGCAAGATCTCCTTCTGCCTTTCCTCAGCCTTGCTGTAAGCAGCTAGTCTTGCCTCTAGAGTCTCCATGGGCTCGTCCTTGACTTCTGGAATTTCAGAACGAATGAAGGAGACTATGTCGATATTGGCGGATTGAGCAGCCTGGCGCAAACGCTGACGTGCGGCTGATCCTTGTAAACCGTCGAGATATTCCACAAGAGCTTCGTTGCAAGATACAGGGACGCGGTAGGTGTTCCAGATATTCTTGAGCAGATCGTTCTGTTTGGACTTGTTGAATTTCCAAGAGGGTCGGTCGGTGTGATATTGTTCCAGGTAGCGGACGTACTCTGGTACTGGCTTGTTGACGTTGTCCTTTGGCGTGCGAACCTTGACTTTCTTCACGACTGCAGGGTCGTTTGTTTCTGTTGATTGTTCTTGCTTCTTCTCCTTCTTCGCTTCTTTCTTTTCGGCCTTTGACTTCTTCTTGTCTTGCTTGATTGGGCTCTTCTCTTCCTTCTCAGAAGTCGAATCGGCTTCCGGCGCACTTTCAGGCTGAGATGACTCGGTCTTTGTAGGGTCCTGAGGCTTGTTGGTTCCTGTAGCCTTTGCTGCTTCGGCGGCGTCGTAAGCGGCAGCCTTTTGAGCGTAGTAATCTAGTTCGTCGGCAGCCCAGGCTTGGAAGTAGGTCTGGGCGCTGTCTCCGTCTTGTTGTTTGGTATCGTTCGAGAAGACAACGGACTTGCGACGTCCTTGCTTGCTGTTGGGTGTAGCTAGAATCGACTTCTCAGGCGAGGCCCGCCTATAGATCGTGTTAGCGCTAGTGAACAAGAAGAGCTGTCGTGACTCGAGTGTGCAAGTCTTCACTAGAACGTGTTCGCTGAAAGTTCGAGGGTGGTTCGACTTGACAGGATAGCGATCTTCGAGTCTACGAACAGTGCGACAGAACATGGTGAATTTGAACATGACGTTTCTGAATAGAGACAGGGCAAGGCATACAATCTCGAGGGCATTGGACTGGATATCGGAGCTACTGACGAGGGCTGTGACTGCTTCTGAGCAGGGCTAGATACATTGGCTCCATTCTGATCGAGTCTCTGCTTCTTAGAACCTTTGGGAGTGTCGGCATCATCTCTCGAACGTTTGGTTGAAGTAGCAGAAGAAGCGGGGGTCGGGGCGGTGTCTTTGGCGTTCGTCAGACTAAGACCCAGCCTCTTCCAGGCAGGTACCCGTTGTTCGGCAGACATGTCTGTAGCAATAGTGAAGAAAGTGCAAATGAATTACATACAAGTCCAAAAAAAGAAGGAACAAAAATTGTCGGAGAATTGCATCTTTGACCGACATCCCCGGAAGGCGGGAGTGCCAAGATTGACCGGCGTTGTTTCGCTGGAAGCTCCATGACGAGAGGGCAAACGCGCGCTGTAGTGAGCTTCACCTATCACGCAGTCTCGCTCAAATCCATCAGCTTGTCTTTTCCGTCCTGTTGATTTGGTACATCTGGAATTCTCGCAAGCTTAGATCATCACACATAACAGTCGCCCATCATGAGTGAGTCTCGCCTCGCATCTTCATTCGGCGAAGCTAACGCCCGCAACAGGCAGCGCAGGTTACGACAGACACATTACCATCTTCTCGGACCAGGGTCGTCTCTACCAAGTCGGTGCGTGATTCCAGACACCCTTCCTCGGTCTCAATAGCGCATCAAGTAACTCACACCGTACAGAATATGCGTTCAAGGCCATCACCGCAGCAAACATCACCTCAGTCGGCGTCCGCGGCAAGGACTGTGCAGTAGTCATCTCGCAAAAGAAGGTCCCCGACAAGCTCATCGACCCTTCATCCGTCTCGTACATCCACAGATTGTCGCCCTCGGTCGGCTGTGTCATGACTGGTTCCATCGCAGATGCAAGAGCTTCGGTCATGAGAGCGCGCGGAGAGGCCGCCGAGTTCAGATACAAGAATGGCTACGAGATGCCTTGTGATGTTCTGGCCAAGCGTCTCGCCAACATCAACCAGGTCTACACACAAAGAGTAAGATGCTCGAGCCCGGCTGGCAGGTCGATTCCCTGCTAACACTGCTCAGGCATACATGAGACCTCTTGGTGTTGCCACAACGCTCATCTCAGTCGACTCTGAGTTCGGTCCCCAGCTCTACAAGTGCGATCCTGCAGGTTACTTTGTCGGCTACAAGGCCACTTCTTCAGGTCCCAAGGCACAGGAGGCTATGAACCACCTCGAGAAGAAGCTGCGAAACAAGAACTGCGCAGAGGGCAACTGGGAGGAGGTCGTTGAGCTCGCCATCACCACCCTCAGCACAGTGCTGAGCGTTGACTTCAAGAAAGGTGAGATCGAGATTGGTATCGTTGGTGGTCCCCGTCGCGATGGCAAGGAGGGCACCACAAGCGACTTCACCACTCTGAGCGAAGAACAAATCGACGAGCGTCTGCAGTCGATTGCTGAGAAGGACTGAACATAACGACCTCCTACCTTTACGACGTCATTTAATCCATCACATGCCCATACCATCGCTCTCGCCGACTCGCTTGCACACCGCACAGCTATCTGCAGTCCGGCCTGCGCGAGCGTCATCTTATGCATCAAGCTGTGTTACTACCCTCCCGTATCAGACCATGATTTCCTTCTTTGTTCCGCTAAGCCCCCTTCTGAGGCCCTGTTTTTGATCCAAGTGCCGGTGCCGGCGGCTGCTCCATGGTAGCTCTGACTGTGGCGCTCCTCCCCCGCCTTTACCACTGAAACGCCCTTTAGACGCCTTCCCTGAAATACAAACAGCTCTAGGACTCGCCGATACCTGACTCTGCCCTGGCCGTCGCGCTAAACTCTCTCGTGCAGCTGCCGCACGTGTATGTGCGTGCGTGCCCTTGGCTTATCCCTATGAGCTGTCGACCGATACACTTCCACATCTGGTAGCTTGTGACGTGCTTGGCCGTCCACCCATGGCGTAAAGATGCCATTTTAATTGTGAACCCCGTTCAGATCATGTCTGCCCATGGCTTCTTGACGACCATTTCCCTTGTTGGTGTACTTATTAACGTCTCTCCCAATCCACCCACAGCCTCTCTGTTCGCTTCTGCACACCTCACCTCCACTATCCTTCATTGCATCTGTCCACCCGATCTCCTCTCGCATATTACCGACTTCGTTACATGTGTGACAATGCACGATACTTTTCTACGATTGAAGAGCCTCAAGAAAAGACACACCTGGCTACTGTAAGGGTCGTTTATATATCTGCCGATCACTGCCCATCCAGACCCATCTTTATACCACAGCTGGATCCCTCACTCCCTTCTGCAATGACCGACGGATGTAAGATGTCCCTTGTACCAACCCTTCCCACCATCCCGGAACCTGCCATCCTGACATGCATTGCCTCAGTGAATGAGGCACGCGCCATGCGTATCGCCGAGATTCTTTCTGATTTCAGACACTTGCAACACTTCATTGCCAACATCAGGGCAAATCCTTCGGCCGAAGAATATTACGAGGAAGGCTATTGCGTACTTCGCCAATGCGCTGGAGAAGCCCAGGCTTTGTTGAACCAACCATTCGATTGCCAAGGGCCAGAGCCGGACGGTAACGACGAAGAAGAGAAGGCGCAGCTTCAACGGTATGTTCTCTGGCTTCTTGAGTATCACCTCCAGTCCTAACATCAGAGCCAGAGTTATGATGGACGCCAGTATCCGCCGCTTCAAGATACAACAAACTTACCTCAAAGCAAGTGCAGCGTTGCGCTGGGTCAATTCACGAACAGTCATTCTTGGAGGGAGTCAACCTCAGTCTGTTCATGCTCCAGCACTTCAACAAATAACCAACACAATGCGATCAGTAAGTCTACCCTCTTCGAAAGTTGTTGTGACGAGCACAAAGTTCTGTGGATGCATGGATCCGAACCATGCACCTGGGAATCCTCAAGTCACAGCCAGCCACAATCGAGAGATGCTCGACGGTCCCGCATTCGCTTTTCCAGCGTCCAAACGACTAACAGTTTTCTCCTGCAGGAACTTGCATCAGTAACACCCGCTCGGGTAGAGTTGTCCCTCCGATCTCAAGACAGCATCCATGGAAAATGGCTTGTGGAAGACCCGACGTGGAGTGCAATGGAGCAGATTATTCGGACCGGCCGATGATGGCATTAACCACTCCAACCACCAGCACCAAGAGTCCAAGCGATCGGAGACTCTTGGATACACGCCAATCGGTGGCATTCCAACCATTCGGGATTATGAGAGGCATCGAGTCAAGAGTGGGAACTGACGGAACTCTCTTGCTTCGTAAGGGCCGAAACCAACGAACCCAAGACATCAGAACGGTCGCACCGCCTTTTGTGCAGTCGTTTGCACGTGCTGGCCACTCGGACAGATCCGCCGATTTAGGTTCAAGCCATTCGGCGACTCCGGGCTGCCACCGCACACATCCCTATCTCTCCGAACGCCTGCTCACCAATGATGCGTTCGACACCATTTGCTTCATCTGACAACTCAACTCAACGGTCCGATCGGTCTTTCCGAACATGGTGTTTGGTAGATGAGGCAGAGTCAGGCACCTTACAAAGATAGCAAGGAGAGGAGACGGGGTGAAGTGAGCGGTATGATGCAATGTGGGGTACCAAGAGACGAAGGATCAGTAACCTCGTCTCTTGCTGCCCTTCATGCAACTACCAGTTTGGGAAACTATCAGCGAGCTGCATGACAGCAACTCGTACCGTAGCCTAACATGATATCGCAATCACCCTAATCATAAGTCACATATCAACCAAAACAAAGGTCCAAAACAGATGAAATTTTATCATATCCATTGAAGAGATGTCAAGCTCAGGTCTGCCATACTCAAGGCTAGACCGTACATCATATGACGTGCACAGCCTTACAGAAGCGCCATGTCTTTAGTGGTCTCTCACACAGCGGCAGTTGGGCCGGTAGCTTTGCGAAATAGAGTTGGGAGACTTCTTAGCACCAGACTATGTCCATTTCCCTGGGAGACGGTTGGGAGCAGTTTGATTATTTCCCCGAAAGAGGCCTCGAATGTTTTGGTTATTTCCAGCGCAGTTCTGTCCCATGACTTGACATCATCTAGCCTTGTGTAGAAAGTGCTGTCACCCAGGTATGGCTGGTTCGTCAAAAGCTCTCCGATGACCACAGTTCGCGATTTCTCCTTGGTCTCAAGTGATCTTGATAGAAAGGATCCGGTCCTCGTGTAGGCGTCAAGCAGCGTGATTTCAGTGCAGAGGAGAAGCGGGTAGGTACCTGCTAAGTCTTGGTGGTGACTCGACCATAACCTAGTTTCACTGCTGCTCAAGCAAACATCATGAGAGCACTCAGAGGCGAGTGCTTTTCCAACGTTTAGCTACAGTCTTTATCCATTCTCTCAGTTCCCAGGCCCGCCAGCTAAACTCTTGATGGCAAGACACATCCTTCTATGACGCTCACCCCTCCCATATCAGCACGGCCGTAATGCAATAAGTGTAAGGGCACCATAGCAGTTACTGATCTCGACACAATTCTCGATGCTAGAGAATGGCATCCTACACTACGCGGATAGTATTATACCCCTCCAGGGGTGGGGGATCGGGATTCCGCCCACAGTTTTTGATCCTCCAGCGTGGAGTCACCCTCTCAGTCGGTATCTGCCGACCGTCATGCCTATGACCAACATTGATTGGCTCCCAATCCCCTACTACCATCTTAGATCCATGCAACATAGCTTGGAGGCGGAAGTCACGAAAAATCACTTCAAGAACGGCAGCCACGTGCGAGGTGAACGAAGCTTTTTCGTACAATACATCGTACCCTTGGGCCTGGCGATAGCAGGATCGACGATGCTTCCCATGATCTTTGACGATGCATCATTGTGTATGAGGAACGAGATAACTGTGTCACCAGGCTCGAGCACAATTCCCCATCTCCCGATTACGTTGATATGACCTCGACTACCAGATCACTCTCGAGCTTTGTGGCATAACCGACGTAGTACCACATTCAGACCCATTCGCCCTGAAGACAGAAATCTATTCACGTCTTGAAAGTACACGTCATACTTTACAGCTGAAGACGACATGAGATGAGTCGGAACCTTCTAACCGGATCTCCATAGTTCACTCATCTCACGTGGAAGACGGCAAGGTTGAAGGGACAAGCAAGAAGCTTTAGGATTGAACCCCGCCAGAGTTGATGGAGCGGATCCGGCAGCTTGCCATTCGCTGTCGGTCGTCATGTGCTACATCTGACCTAAGTTGTGGACATGCAGTGGTCTCGGAATCTACAACATCCGTTCCGGCGCTTCCAAACTGTTTAGAATCCTTCTCCTTGACTTCGGAGAGCTGTATACCAAAAACGAGTGGCTGAGGCATGCAGAGGTTCGGATTGAGGGACGTGGTCGGCTATCATATCCTTATGTCATTCTGCCCGTCAAAGAGTTTATACCCAAACCCTAAGTGCCGGCTAACGCTTCCGCAAAGCAAGACTGCCTCGATGTAGAATATGGTCACAATCGAACAACCATAGTTTTGCTTCAGATAGATGACTGTCAGTCTATCAACTGTTCCCTTGTCTTGATTCGAAATTGTACCGTCCGCTTTGCATGACGTGCTTGTTTTCTTCTTCGACATGCTGTAAACCACTAGGGTAGACAATCGCCCGTTCAGGTTCCGCGGGAGAACTGGTTCGATGGTAGCTGGACAACCTTCCTTCTTCCTCATCGTAGACTTGTTGCCTCACTTCGCGTTCTGGAAGGAAGTCGACGTTTGGGTCTGTGCCAGTCATATCGGGCATCGATCACGCATGCTCTTCAGCTATCGTAGAACATCAATGCTGACGCCATGAACTGACCGCCATCGGACCTCGCGAACTGCTGCGGAGCTGGAGACCAACCTCGATGAACCGACGTCTGCGCACGGTACCAACATTCACGAACCATCGTTACTTTTGAGGCATCGCGTTTGCGAACGCATCTTTCTGCATTGTTGATCAAGTGGAGCTGACAGTCTTGGGAGAGTAATCGATATGCTGGAGCATTACTGAGCACGTCCTTGACATCGGGAAATAAATGGTAACGTTTTTCTGCTTCTGCATACCCGATCACCTCTTGCCAGAAAGAGGTGGATTCCTGAAAGCGGTATATCTTCCGAATGTTCTCGACGCCGTCACCCTTAGTATGCCTCAAAGCCAAGACAAAGAAATAGGAAGTAATGGAGAGGCATGGTATTATGCCGGATTAAAGCAGCTTCGACGGAGTCTATGAGACGGCCAATCTCAGTGGAATCTCTCTCGTTTCTAGAAGTATGGTACCCGGACCCAGCTAGGTGCGTGACATACTCTAGTGCAGAGAGACATCCCATTCCCATCTCCTTGCACGAGAGCCACTGCTCGCTTCGATCAAATGTCAAGTCTTTCAAAAAAAATTCGCTTCGGCACGAAAAATTCATGTTGAGGAACCAATTCCCTGATTCAGAATCGAAAGCCGACACACCAGCCCAGCGTCATACAGTTCACGAGAAACTCCTTGCAAACGTTTCCTGTCAACGTCGTGGTCTTCGTACTCAGCCAACTCTAATGTAAAGCGTGACACCGTGAAGACGACATCAGCTATGGCTTGGAGAATGTGAAGACCGACCAGGGGAACGAAGTGGCTGGCAGTTCCCGAGCATGGCGTCAACAGGACTGACCACTTGGCCGCTGGGCGATAAAAAGTGCTGGAAAGGATAAAAAAAAAAAAAGCCATGGCCGTCGTGTTTTTGAATGTGCGATAGTGGCTTGACAGATACCAGCTGAAAGCTTGGCGAAGTCGTTGGTTGACAGCAAAAGCCTGTTGGTCAGACAGGGGAAATAAAGAAGCCTCTTTTTCATCTCAAGCTGCCGTTCCTGTTACTAAACAGAGACGAAAAGGCATGGACCTTTTCACTGTTTCTGTTTGAGCCGTCGGAAGCGCCTTGTGTGACTTCCGGGGCGTCGTCCGCGATCGTTATGGTAGATTGGTTGGCATCGTCAGACTGCGGAGTGATGCGCTTACGCTTGTTCCGTGATGAGGTGGTCGGCTGCTGCTGAAAAGCTGTCATAGCTTTCTCCTGCGCAGACCACTTTGCCAGAATGGCGCCTTCAGACGGGTTGTCCAGGTTGTGGTAGGAAGCATGGTGGCCGCAGCCGTCGCACTCAAATGAGGTAGCGGCCTGTAGGGGACACGTGTGTTGGTATGAACAAAGGAAGAGGAAATGGTGTAATTTGTGGCGAGGAAGCCAGAAACACGACCTACCTTGACTGGGTGTAGCATGAAGCGAAGGCATGGGCACTTGTTGGAAATCATTCCGTTTTTGTGGTTGCATGAGCCGCGTGGAGGGGTGTAGTTCATAGAACTCCAGACATTGTTGACAGGTACTTGCATGGTAGACATATTGATGAGCTTGACCAGCACAATCTTGAATGATTGGGAGTTGTGTAGATTAATGTCGTGGGCTCATGTGTAAGATCAAGGCGTGTTGCGACTTCCTAGTCTTCGTAAGACAAGATCAGATGATAAGATAAGATGGACGCAACGCCAAGGAGTGATATAGGTGTCTGGGGTTCAAGCTGCCTTTGGATTCGAGACAGCTTTGCGCTGTCAACCATCCCGTCGCATCTGATACATTGATCAAGCCGTCAAGATGCCGAAATATAAGTTACCCTCTTACCGAACTACTAGACTCTTGCTAACGTTCACCTACTCTTCTGTAGGTTCCGAATCCATGCCTCGACAGCGAACGAACGAAGACTCATGTGAACCTAGGCGATTACTGCGATGTATACCTCACCCACGACAGTATGAGTGTGAGAAAGGCCCATAACAGCGGTCGTAATCATCTACGAAATGTCGTCGACTACTACCAACGTACGCGATACGAAGCGACCCTCTACCGAGACTTGCAACTGACAGGCTGGGACAGAAATCGGACACGAGAAGGCGCAATCAGTCATCGATAGTATCACGTCATCATATGCTGCCGAAGGACAAGCAAGCGCAAATCCCATGTTGCCTGGTGGAACGCACGCTGGTGTAGCAGCCATGCCTTTCGGCTTCCCTCCTGGCATGGCCCCACCTCCATTCGGTGCTCCTGGTGCTCCTCCGATGGGCGCAGGTCGTGGTATGCCGCCATTCCCATTCCCTCCCAACGGAATGCCGCCTTTCCCACCTAACGGCATGCCATTCCCTCCTCCGACACCTGGCGCGGCTGGATCACCACCTCAAGGCATGCCCTTCCCACCTCCTGGCGGTATGCCCTTCCCCCCACCAGCTGGTATGGGATTCCCACCTATGGGTGGCCCTAGCCCTGGGCCTGGCTCAGGCCTGCCTCCACCTGGCATGCCCATGTCGCACGACCCAAGACGCCAATAGGGTGGCCATCGGGATCAGTTCGCACGCAATCCGTACACACAGGAGCAAGCGCTACCCATGCACTACCAAACACAGCAAAACCCGACCATGCCCTACCCACCACAGCAATAGGCAGCTAGCGGAGGATTAATTGAGCCGCCGGCACGAGGTAGCAAAAGGCAGCGGAGCCCTGATGTGCAAGGGCAGAGGCAAGACACGGGAGAAGGAGGACAAGAAAAACGAAGACGTTGATCATGCTTGGGCTGGCGTTTGAACATGGATGAAATTCTACAGGCGTATTCGGAGTCGAGCGAGGCAAGAGGAAAGGAATATGCATCAGCACAAGATATCACTCGAGGTTCTATAGAAACCAACGCGCTCCATTGAAGCAGCGTAACAGATCATTCTTCGTTATTGTCCACATTCTTATGCTATTGAACTCGATTGTGGTTATGCGAACACTGTCTGCGTCAAGTTGACATTTAGTTCCAATAGAGTAAGTATCAGGACATCTCATGGCCAGCTTGGAGGGGAAACGGTCTCAATGGTGGTGACGTAGAATTCAGCCCACTAAACATGGACCTTTCACATGCGAACATGCAAACATAACCCACAGAGGTCAACAACCGTCGCCATGGGTCTAATCGAGGCAGTCTACATATTCAACGAGCGCAAGTACAGTAAACCCCCTCCACCCTCGTCGTCGCATTCGTCTCGCTGACCCTGTCAAAGCAATGCCATCGTAACCCATACATTTACTGCGCGCCCTCCACCTGCTACCACCGTCCTACCATTGTACCTTGCCCACTCGGAACCCAGGCCATCATGCATCTACCTGACAGGGACGAATCCCCCGACGCTGCTGTTTTCTATGCTGCAGGACGGCCTGCTGTTCCTGAGTCCTTGCTCGACCGACACTGAACCGCTGGTCGTCCTCGAATTCCTACATCGCGTCGCAGATGCGCTTGAAGAGTTCCTTGGTGCGCCAATATTGGCTAGCAAGATTGAGGCCAACTACGATGTCATAGCACAGGTCCTGGGCGAGATGTGCGATGGAGGCTTGATTGGCGGTACCGAAGCAAATGCGCTTAGAGATGTCGTCGACACTCCCTCTTGGATGGGTAAACTGCTTGGAGGTGTAGGCTTGCCTGGGTATGTCACGGAGGCGATAGTGTGTCTCTTGAACATGGCTGACACAATACTGACAGCACTTCTGCCGGACTCAATGCTGGACCGACACCATTCTCTGGCATGGGAAGCGGTGGTAGTGGTAGCGGTAGCCTCGCGCCCACGTTATCAACAGCTGGCTCCCAGATCCCCTGGCGCCGCTCGAATGTTCGCCATACGAGTAATGAGATGTATGTCGATATTGTAGAGACTCTGTCCGTCACCTACGCTCCCTCTGGACGTCCCTTGGCCGCCTTTGCCAATGGCAGCATTGCCTTTACCAGCAAGGTCTCTGGTGTCCCTGATTTGCTCTTGAGCTTGAGAGCTGGTAGCGGACCTGGTGCTGAGAAGGTGAAGCGTACAATGGAGCGTCCCGTGTTCCACCCATGTGTACGATTGGCACGCTGGAGAGACCACGCAGAACTCAGTTTCGTGCCGCCAGACGGTCGCTTCGTGCTCGCAGGCTACGATGTCGATCTACTCGATCCTTCAGCATCTCCTCTGTCTGCAAAAGCTCAAGACCTTAATCTTCCCGCTTCGATAGAGATTCGCACCGGACTGGGCGCCACGGGCTCAGACTTTGAAGTTCGTCTGACGATCAGCCATCGTTTCAACAGTGGCAATGGTTCGACCGGCACATCTTCCCTCTTAGGACCAGGCTCCGCAGCAGCAACCAGTCTATCAAATAACCTAGGCTCCCGCCCGTCCACTCTCCGCGGCAACTCCAACGAAGCAAAAGCACCACTTCTCGAGGATCTCACGGTCAGCATCCCCATCACCTCCTCCGTCCGCAACATCAGCGACCTCCGCGCCACAAAAGGTGAAGCCCACTGGAGTCCAGGCGACACAGCCGTAGAATGGAAGATTTCGGCAAAGGAAGCAGCCAGTATCAGTAGCGCAGGTTGCCTGCTTCGCTGCTCTCTAGTCGGCGAGACCGAGGACGAGGAAGTGGCTTCTTCCCTTTCCAACGGCATGCAAACCAGTACCTACGACTACGATGACGACGAAGCAAAAGACTATCAAAGCGATTCAAAGACCAAGACCAACGATACAGATGACACAGCCAGAGATAAGAAGAGAAGCAGACAAAACGCTGTTCTCATGCCTGGATCTGCGAGCTTGAGTTTTGGCGTCAAAGGGTGGTTGGCTAGTGGATTGAAGGTTGATAGTCTGGTCATTGACACCAAGAGGAGTAAAGGTCTTGGAGAAGGTGTGAGACCGTACAAAGGTGTCAAGTATTTGACCGTGTCGAGGAAGGGTATTGAAGTTAGATGCTAGTACTTCTCTGTTCTTCCAATCAGGTCCTCAGAGGACATGACTGCCATCTTCGAGAATGAGTGAGTTTTGGGGTGGGTCAGATTAGCAGAGCGCGTCCAATCAATTCTGCAGGTCTACTAAAAGCTGGGATATCACATAGTCTGCATATGTCATTCACAGAATGTCCACCTTGCAAACTCGCCCTAGACACGGATCAGGAAGAGCGAACAAAGCTATCGAGCAGCGACTGCAAGAAGTACTTGATCCATCTCTGATCTGATCTGATGTCCACAGAATAAAACTAGTGACATGCTGAAAGGAGCAGGAATGAGAAAGGACATGGTTTTGCAGCAAGAGGGATTGTTGAGAAAGTAGCAGAAAAGGTCGGAAGTGTCACAGGGTAATTTGCAAGACTTACTTGCCTTCCAGACTCAGGTTTACTGTCGCCGACGAGGACTGTAAGCTAGACTTGCACACACCAACACCGCTCAATGAACATTACCAATCACGCTCACTCACACACACACTCCCTCAAAAGCACATACAATGTACAAAAAAGATGCATATTCCATGTACGATTTGATCTCAAAAGAAACCTCTCTCATCCTCTAGAGACGTTCCCATTCTCTGTCTCTCTCGTGCTCGTGCTGATTTGTCTATCATTCTCTTTCCCCTCCAGTCTCCATTTGGTATATCAAAAAAAGGGTGTTTGTATGGATGCTTGGGTCTGAAAGATGCTTTGTATTTATGCGAATGAGAGTCCTTTTAAACCTGGCCGAGAGAAGCGGCACGCTCGTCTTCGAGCTTGGCGTAGAACAGATCGCGGCGGCGGACGGCGGGGACGTGGAAGCCTGTTTGGTGGAAATGTTGTGTTAGTTTTTATGGTTCTTTGGTTTCTGTCTTTCTGTCTGCCTTTTGTATGTGTGGGACGAGGCGTAGGTTGAGATATAGGTGAGGTGGTATTGGTTCGTCGATCGTTTCGTTGGGTTGTGATATGACTCGATGTTAAATGAGTCGGAGTGGAATGGTCGACTGTTGGCTTTATTCGAGCAGATGGCGGTGTATTCGGTTGTCGAGTGGAGGTAGGAAGTAAAGAGGAAGAGGCCGTCCTAGAAGTAGGAGATGTGTTTACGTACCGTACCACCAGAGGTAACCGGCCGAGGTACCGAGACCTATTTATTGAAAGTTAGCCAAACTGATCCTTACCATACATACTCGCAGATCTACGAGACAAACTTACCAAAGGCGACGGAAAGGTCGAGGACGAGACCTCTACGGAGCATCTACAACGCCCAAGTCAGTAACTTTGATCCAGGCTTCTTCGGAGTCGTGACATGTCGCGCGCGCAAAAGTGGGGATCGCGCCGGCCGGTCGGAGACTCAATTGGGCAGACGTACACCAGTGATGGGCTTGATAGGCATTGTGAAGCTTGTTGGTGGGGTTGATTATAGAGTGGAGAGGTTGCGCGGGCGGGCGTACGTGCAATTCGAGGCCATCGGTATGCGCATGAGGTGACGTTCGGATAAATCCGCGACTGCCAAGCCCGTGGTCAGCTCTGGGTGAATTGTTTTCTATTTATTCTTTTATTGTGCTCCTGCCTCACATGCTCATATTGTATCGATGGAAGTGATTGGTTTGAAGGTATACCGCCATGTCTGGTGGTATTTCATATACAGATATAAGTTTTCTTTTCTGCTTGATGCAACAGAAAGCAAGCCCTGTCCGCCTATCTTACAACAACACCTCACGCCTCTCGCGTGACATGTCAAAAAAGGGCATATACAAAGTCAAGACCCCCAACAAAGGGCCTGACCGAATTGGAAACTAAACATGCGGGTCCCATTCTCCTTAGAACACCTGTGAAAATGCAAATGCTTTGCGACTTTTCCCAATCCTCCTAGAACGCACACAGCAAGAAGAAGACAAGCTTCTAAACGGCCTTTCCCCAAGTCGACTTTCTGGTCTGCCTGTCCTCGCGCGCTTCTGTCTTGGTGCGTCCCCACTTCTCCTTGATCTTCTCGAGCTGCAACTGTCTCTCGTCCTTGATCTGCGGTGCTGAGCAGCACAAGCTGACGAAGAACTGGCTGCACTCGAACTTTTCGGCCAATCGTACTCTGGTCCACTGGCGCGGGTCTTCTGCTCTGAGTCGTCTGATCTCTTCAATGTCGGCTTGCTTGAGGTGGTACTTCTTCTCATAGATTGGTCGCACTGCTGGAGGCAATGATGTGTTTTCGGAGGTGGAGGCGGTAGATTTGAGGAGAGTGTGTAGGCGGCGTCGCGGGTCGTCCTTGGGCAGGAACTTCAGAGGCGTGTGATAGACATTCGGCGCAGAAGAAGGAGGGTTGTAAATGATGTGATCTTGCGAGCCGGTGTTTTTAGTGAACGAGTTGTCGGGCTGGACGAGCAACATCTTTTTTGTGCGGCGGTAGGACGAGACGTGGCGGCATTGCTGCTGCTGGAGCGAGCGTAGGCACTGCTGGCCGTTGTTTTGCAGCGAGTGCGATATCCTTAATGTCGTATGCATTGTGTGTATATGTGGGGAGGGAACGAGGGTGGTGGTGGTGCTCTGGATGAGAGAGCAGCGAATTCGACATGGAAAGTTGCTCCGACCAGAGCACAGACCCCGACCCCATTCGACTCTCGACTCTCGACAGCCACCCGTTTATTAGATATCACACGCATGCAAGAACGACAAACGGAATAGAAAGTGTACAAATTGGACTCGGCGAGTATAGAATGACATGAGCCACGACTCGCGGGCCGCGCCATCGCCTTGTCCATGCCCTCTGATGGCGCCGTATGTATAGAATGAAGCCAAAGTGCAAAAGAGGAAACCGCTCGTATCGAATAGCACAGAAAACGCCTGTCGTATGCCACATCAATCCCTCGTATTCCTTCCCCGTCCACTATTCTACTTCATGACGCGGTCGTAGGAGATGCCCTTGACGCTGCCTCCAGCCATGCTAGATCGCACATTGCGCTTGAAGCCATCGCGGTCGCGTGCCAGGTCCTCGGCTGCCTCCTTGTTCAGCGGGTCGCTAGCGTTGGGCTCGAGGAAGAGGAACTGGAGTCCAACAATGACTGCGTTCAGGTTGAGCACTGGCTTCCAGTCCTCGCGCAGGATGTTCAAGCACACGTTGCCGTCGAGATCAATGTTCGGGTGATAGATCTTTTGTGTGCACTTGACCTTTGGCGGCTCGTGTGGGAAGTTCTGGCTGATGTTGAATGTGAAGATGAAGGTGCCGTTCTTGTACATGCCCTCGTCGGGTGAGATGGTCAGGCTGAACTGGAGGATGTTGTCGGGATCGGGGAAGGTCGTTGTCATGGTGCTACCAAGTGACAGCTCCGAGAGATCTGTGACAAGGGCTGTCAGTATCCATCTTGTGGTCTTCGTCCATACCTACTCACCCTTCTGCACACGCAGCTGTGCTGCCGTGACCTTCTTCTTCTTTGCGCCACCGGACGCTGCGGCTTGGTCCTTTTGCTGCTGTTGTTTCTGTCGCCATCAGTCAGCAGCGTCTCTCTGACAGATTCCCAGTATCAATAGTACCATAGACCAAATCTTCAACATCTTGATTGCGTGCTTGAGTGTGACTAGACCGCCGAGGTCGTTGTAGGTGACGGTGTGCTGTAGCGAGAGTGGTGCTGGTCGGGTCTGCACAGGCCGGACTCGAAGAGAGGATGATGCACCGGATGTGGATGCGAAAGAGATTCGGTCCGTGTCGTGTGTTAGTAGTACTGCTTGCGAATTGCAAGACAAACCACCGTCACATCCAAGTCTCGACGGAGCCCCACGTCTCACCGCCTTCGCTCCGTCATCGCGCGCCGTCTCGAGTCTTGACCTTTCCAATCACCTCTAACTGACCCTTCTTCGATGCGTTCGTGGAATGTTTATCCAAAACAGAGGGAATATTGGGTATCTCATTGCTATCTCTCTTGTATCAGACCCGCACACCAGGCCTCAATCCCATCTCGTAAGTCATCACGGACAAGTCGAGTTTGATAGTGGTATGACCCTGCTTCAGTCTGTTCCACTTGGTTCACGTCTAAGCTCATGATTAAACCACCTGAAATATGGTTTGAGAGCTATCTAGAGCTATAACAAGCCGATGATCTTTCGGATATGGTGAGGATATATTGTTGTGGAGATTGGTGTGGATCTTTGTTCTACTTGTTAAGCTTCAGGTTTCAGACATCGTCAAGTACCGCGGACAACCTCGCTGTCTTCACCCTCACAACCACAAAATTACATGCAACATAGCCGCATCGTCAATTATCTGCATCGTCACAAAGCTATCAGGTTGAAAGCGTGATGAGGTTCGGTCTCGATCGCTTAGGCGACAAGAATACGATTTATTATCACATCCAAAGGATAGCAATATCCCTTCTATTGTCCATCTACTGCTGCTGAGCACTAGCAACCTGAACTACCATCTTCATCCTCATAGCGCTGTTTGCCAGCATCTTGACTGCCTTCTCCTCTTCCGCCTCTTTCAGACCAACCAACTTCCTGCCGCCGGATCTCGCCTTGACTTCTCTGGCTTTGATACCTTCGTCCAGCTTTTTCTTTAGACTGTCATTAACAATCAGTGCAGAGTGTCTGAACAACAATCTCAACAGGGCTTCCACCAGTAAGCTAACCCTTGCGTTCTCCACGTAATTGGTGTAGTTGGCAGGGTAAGGTAGGAAGTGTTTCTCGAACTCGATCTGTGTCATGGTGTCGGCGTGGTAGGTTGGCGCTTCCGAAGAGATAATCGGGCGAAGAAGATTCTGGCATAGTGACGCATGCGAATGAGGTTCCAGCCAGGGGCTCGATGGCGTTACGAACAGAGTGAAGATGTCCAGAGGTAGCGGACGGATGAACTCTGTCACCAGGTCGAAGCAATCTTCAGCCTCCATGAATGCATGTTGATAATGGAATGATGTCTGTGTGAGCTGAAGAATGTCAGAAGCTGTCATCATTACAAGGCAAAGGAGTGGTGACTTACTAGAGCAATTAGACGCTGGCGTAGTTGAATAGCTTGGAAGCCTCCATAGTCAGAAGACACACTAGATTCGCCTTCTTCATCAGCATCTGGTGTCGCTGAAGAGGGTCGTGCTCTTCTACGTGAGTGACGCCCCGAGGTCGTTGCCTTCGGTGTTGGGGGCAAGTCTTCTTCTTCTTCCTCAGACTCGTCCATATCCATGTAGTCACCATACTCTTCATTTTCAAAGTCAATCTTCTTCCTCGGCACCAACTCTTCCTGCTTCTTTTCTTTGGGAGGCTTAGTCTCGTTCTTCCAGATCTCATGAAACTCGTCCAAGTCCTTCTTGCAACCATTGGCAAGGATTGCTCTCATGACTCTTCGCTTACCGGCTCTACCGTCACCTACAGTGAGACAGTATTGTGCAATCAAACTTTCCGACAACAGTGTATTGGCTGCAGCTTCTTTGCCATCTTTCTTGAGGGGTTCCGCCATGGATGCTCTCTCTTGAAGATCATCCTCCAGTGCATCAAGCATGAACTCAAGCCAAGGTCTCCACCTCTCCCAGCGTTTGGGATATTGACATGAACAGTTGAAGGCCCAGCCGACCACTGCCCAGAAGTCCTCGGCTAGATTCCAGATTGCGCCTTTGTTGGCTAGATCTATCTGAAATTTGCCATCGTCGTCACCGTCGATGGTAACATCTCCTGTGCGTCGTTGTCTATCTCGCGGGTCCAGCTTACCGAGATACTTGAAAGCTGATGCGAAGTTGGCATTGGCAGCACCGATGATAGAGTTGACATGCTTGAGCAGGAATAGTGCATCGTTGGCAATCTTGACGCTTTCCGGTTCCCTGGATCGATTGGTCCAGCTGGGATGCACAGCTAACGTAGCAACAACTGCAAGTACTTGAGGAGAAGAAACATAGGCTGGAAGAGTCCGTCCATCGACAGTGCCATCAGTACCGGCGATCAATGTGTTCATCAGTAAAGAGATCGCTTGTGAAACTAAAGAATGTTAGATAGCTTCTTGCCGAGCAGCGCCTTCAACAACATACAGAGCTGCTCCTCGATGTAAACATTGATGATGTCCTGAAGCTCGTATGGTAACGTCCCCACAGGCCGATACTTCTTGAGCTTCTTTGCTGATTGTGATGTCTCTGTCATTTGAGAGCTTGGTATCGGCACACCGACTTGTGAGGATGGCGGCAAGCCCATTCCTTCATCAGACCGTTCAACCGACGGTCGTATCTTTCTCGCAGGCATGTTTATCTATGCTTTGCTGAACCTAAATATTGGTGATTCAGAAGTTCTTGGGCAGACGCGTTTCGAAGCAACACGGAAGACGCGTCCGTGATTGATGTCAGGGTCACCTTCGGCAAGCTTCGGCCAGCAAGCGTCACCGCTTGGTGGATCCATCCAGTGGGAGGTCTCCGTGGATACGTCGACGTCCTTTCCTTTGACAAACCAATATATTCTTATCGGCACGAGACCTACGTGGCTGGATCACGGGCCTTTGTGCTGGAAATCGATTTTGCGGCCTACTCCTACAACATCCTTTGCATCTCTCGAGCATTTCACTAAGCGTTTCTGCTTTGCATCGAATACCTATCATTAAATCATAATACTGCCATCATGATGGCGTCTTTCTACTCACGTCTGGCGAACGTGAATAAACACAACCTACGAACACTACGAGCACAACCTCTCAACGAACTTTCGGGAGCTCTGGGAGATTTGGGCACTCTACTTCCTCTGCTTATTGCTCTCACCTTGACGGACAGCATATCGCTATCTGCTACTTTGGTCTTCTCTGGAATCGCGAATATAGCAACTGGAGCCGCATTTGGTATACCGCTTCCTGTGCAACCTATGAAAGCCATCGCGGCTATCGCCATCAGCCAGTCGTATACGAAGACCGAGAATATTTCTGCAGGCCTGTTTGTAGGAGGTGTCGTGACACTCTTGAGTCTCTCAGGTCTGTTGAAGTGGTTCGGCCGGGTAGTACCCATACCGGTTGTCAGAGGTATCCAGATGGGAGCTGGTCTCGCTCTGGTCATCTCAGCAGGTGGAGGTCTGCTAAAGCCGCTCGGATGGATTAGTCCGAGCTGGTCAGACAACTGGCTGTGGGCGATGGCTGCATTTGTCTTTCTCCTCTTATCATCCTTGGTTTCTCGAGTGCCTTATGCTCTGCTTGTCTTTCTTCTCGGCCTCACGCTTGGAGGCATTCAGCTCGCAAGTTCGCACTCACCACAAGAACGTTCTGGTTTCCACACCTGGCACCCGCGCACCTACATACCGTCGCCTTCGGACTTCTACAAAGGCGCCTTTGAAGCTGGTCTCCCGCAATTACCTCTCACGACATTGAATAGCATTTTGGCTGTCACATCACTCTCAGCATCACTATTCCCTTCTTACCCTCCCACACCATCCAACACTGAGATCGGTCTATCAGTTGGCATCGCGAACCTTGTTGGTTGCTGGTTCGGCGCCATGCCCGTATGTCACGGTAGCGGAGGTCTAGCAGGCCAATACAGATTCGGTGCCCGCAGCGGCGCCAGCATAATAATCCTCGGCCTAGTAAAGCTCATCCTTGGCCTCACAGCTGGAGAATCCATCATCCCTCTCCTCCAACGCTTTCCAAAAAGCTTACTCGGAGTCATGGTCCTAGCAGCCGGTGTCGAACTAGCAAAAGTAGGACAATCCCTCGATGATGTGCGAGATCTGTGGGAAGAGACGGAACAGGAGAATGAGGATGCTGCAGATAAGAGACGCAAGCTCAATGAGCAGGAGAAAAGGAATCGCTGGGCGGTCATGCTGGTCACAGTGGCAGGTTGTTTGGCGTTCAAGAACGATGCTGTTGGTTTCATTGCTGGTATGGTTTGGCATTGGGGACTCAAGGCTTCAGAGTGGGTTCAGCAGAGACAGGAGAGAGGCCAAAGACGACTGACGCGATTCTTTACTACACGCGAGTACCAGGAAGGTGAAGATGCACCTCTCTTGCAAAGTCGTGATGCAGTTGAGGGTCGGATTGCATAGTTTACTGAGCATTGAGAATAGCTTATGACTGCCGAGCATCGGAAACAGCCTATGACTGAAGAGTATAAATCAAACTATCGGAGTATTCAAGGAGATCAAGCAACTGAAGATGTGAGAATTTGTGCAAACAGACTGCCACGTGAGTCACAATACGCTGATGCAAGAAAATGAAAAGCAAAATAAAGACATTATGATTGTTCGCCGGTTTGCTAGCTACCATGATTCCGTCTCATCTCACGATAAACACAACTAGAAAAGAAAGGGGAAGCAGTCACTACATGCTTCAGATCTTCTCTTCGTTGATAGAGTAAGCCTTGTAGCCCTGCTTGACAATGTCTTTCAATCTCTTGTCCATGACGTTTCTGCCCTCAAGGGTTCTCCAGACCTCATGGGGTGCTTTGTTGACCACATCCCAGCTGATCAAGTTCTCAGTAAGCTTGGTCAGGTCGCGTTGCTTGCGCTCCCACTCGCTGTCACGGCGGTTGCTGATACCACTGCTGATGATGACAAGAGGAACATTGGGAGTCTGGATGGTACGGGCGCTGGCGACCTCGTTCTTGGTCAGAGACTCGGCAATAAGGTTCTCCTGGAGCTGAGCCTTGATGTATTTGCCACCCTGGTAAGCCGAACGTCCATAGACGCGATCTTCACGAGTACGTCCGTTGAAGATGGCACCGAAGTTGCGCTGAAGGCCAAGAGGCGAAATGATACCCCAGCCCCACAGAACGAAGCCTCTGTAGGCGCCACCAATACGGTAAAGCAAGTCCTCGTGAAGAGGGTCGATCATCATGATACCGGAGATGTTGCGAACGTGACGAGCGGAGAAGATGCGTGAGACAATAGAGCCGTAGCCAGCAGAGACCAGAATGAAGGGACCCTCCTCACCAGCGACCGCCAGGGCCTCGGACAATGCATCGGCGGACATACCAGCACTGTGAGGGCTAGGGGCGCTGTCAGACCAAGCATAGCCAGGACGGTCCCAGTAGCAGTAGCGGTCAATTGTGCCATTCTTCCAAGCAGCGTAGGCCCAGTGCTCGAAGTCGTACTCCGAAGGTACTTCGCCAGCCTCGAGGAGGAGAGTGGGGTTAGCAACGCCGTGAGAGCTGTAGGTGACGTTGCCCATACAAGCGAGGTGAACCTGATATTTATCACCATCGACGTAGTAGCGCTCGCCATCCATTTCCAGAGTGGCATCACGGGCACGCAAGACAAGAGTTGCGGTCATGAGGACGGCGATGATGGCGTAGACGACAAGGATCAGAGTAGCCAAGGTGACGGCCAGCCATTCGCGGAGTGTTCTGCGTGTCTCAGCACGACCAGTAAGACGCTCTTCCTCTTCACGCTTGCCCCAAGCCACGACTCTATCAGTGATGACACACCAAAGACCAATGAGTGTGGCCCAGGCAATCGAGGCGATACCTGGCCAGCCCTCCTCAACTCTCAGGCGAGGAAGGGCAAGGATCATGATCAAGTCGATAGCCAGAATACCAGTGATGATACCCATGGTGATGCGCATAGCCTTGGAAGGAGCGGCGAAGAAGAGGATGGCCACCAAGAGATTACCAGCCGTCAAGGTGGTGTAGGAGAAGTCGAAGAAACCAGAGCCTCTCGTGTGCAGACCAGGAGGAGAGACAAATATGCTCACAAAGAGCAGAACCCACCAGATGAAGTTGATGAGGAAGAAGAGGACCGTAAGGTATCTAAGGAAGCGGACGGTCCAGAGGTTGTAGGGTGAGACCTGCGAATGTCAGTATTGTGACCTGGTAAAGATAGGTAGAGGATGCTTACAGCTGGATCATCGGGGTCGAGGTAGCCATCTGAGTGAGGAGGACGAGGCTGAGCAGGCAAGAGTCTTGTTCTCTCGTCTGCTTCACGCTCTCTTCGCTCATAAGAGCGCCTGGACGGAGGGCGTCTGGTATCCTCAGCCGAGCCTCTGGGAGTGGTAGAGCCATCGTCGGGCTGCTCATCGTCGTTCTTTGAACCCCATAGGGAAACCATTATGATATAGATGCGACAGGTACCTGGTACTTGTCGGCTGAGCTTATTGTATGAGCAAAAGGAAGGACGAGGGAAGGTGAAGATCTTGTAGGGAAACACTTGATCGAAGCTCCAGGCAGCGCAGCGGGAATTGATCGACCCAGCCACGATGACGCTGGAAACCCCGCGAACGGCAAACACGATCAACGGGAAGTCTCATACGGAACGCATGTGATAATCATACCCAGCGCATGGCTAAATCGCGTTGCCCACTGATGGTCAAACCCTCGAGTATACTGGACGATGCTGTCCGGATTGGGTCTGCTCAAAGCTCCTTGTATGATTGATATCACTCGAAGATAGTCTGCGATCATCTCCGTCTCGGATGTCGATACAAAACTGTTATCATGCATGGCGATAGCCAAGATCTAGGCCGTGCGCCCCTTAGCAAAGAGCGTCCGTTTGGAAACCAAGTTCTGACGAACTTGGAAAACCACGTCTGTGCTCACTAGAGGCGGGGGCTTTGTCGATCGTCTGAACCTTATGACGAGCGCAGTCGCCAAGGGCGGAATCCCGAAGCCTCGCAGAAAAGCGGACTGCCAAGCACCGACTGGATGTTCGCCGCTGGCCTGCTGAAGCTCTGGATTACAGGAACATTTCTATCGAGGCAGCACACGCGTAGGGAGTTATCCATCTACGTCTGTCGCCCGCCACTCCCAACACAAACACCACAATAACGTCAACATGGCCGAAAATGACGATGCAAAGCGCCTCAACCAGTACAAGTACGCGGCCATGTCCAACCTGGTTCTCCAGGCGGACCGTCGATTCATCACGCGCCGAGGTGATGATAGTACTGGTGATCCTGAGTCACTTGCTGGCCGCATCAACTTGAACGATATGGGCTCGCGCAATGCCCGCGAATCTGCCCCTGCTCAGTCCGCAGCACAGGACGCCCAAAGGAAGCGCAAGAGAACAGAACCCGCGCAAAGTGCTCGCGCCTCTGGCATTCTATCACAAGCAGACCTCAACATCGAAGGTCTACGATACCGTCCCCGCACACCTGCCACCCAGGCGACCTACACATTGATCAACACATTAGTGGCGCAAAAGATGGGAGGCGATTATGGTCTTCACATCACCGCCAGCGCTACCGACAGCATTTTAGAGTACCTGAAAGACCAAGATCTGAAAGATTTTGATAAGAAGAGGGAGATTGACGACATCGTTGGCGTAAACCTGTCCTCGAAGGAGTTCAACGAGCTTGTCAACTTGGGCAAGAAGATCACGGATTACGACGCACAGGACGAGGATGAGAACATGGGGGACGCAGATGATGCCGGTGAAGGCGACGATATTGATGACCGCCAAGGCGTCGCCGTCGACTTTGGCGACGAGGACGAGGAAGAAGGACAAAATTACGAGGTCCGCGATGGAGAGGGAGAGTCAGATGAGGAAGACGCTACCGAGGATCCGGAGAACATAGTTGAAACTGGCGCTGAAGCTGCCGAAGAGATGGCCGGCGATGGAGATGATGAGGACCTTGTTTTCTCCGCTCCGACTGCCAGTCGTTCTGCAAAGGCCGACCAAGACGACATAATACCCGCTCACGAAATCGATGCTTTCTGGCTCCAACGACAAATCGGTCAACTCTACGAAGACGCACATATTCAACAGGACAAAACATCACAAGCACTAGATATGATGTCTGGCCTGAATGAGGATGGCGAGGAGAAGCAACTGCGAGATGTCGAGAACGATTTGATGGAGCTGTTCGATTACGAGCATCCCGAGCTGGTCTCGAAGCTGGTCAAGAACAGAGATAAGGTTGTATGGGCAACGAGGTGGAGAAGAGCCGGCGAGGATGAACCTGCTCGTGTGGCCGTGGAACGTGAAATGGTTCAGGCTGGACACGGAAGCATCCTCAAGGAGCTCAAAACTCGCCAGCAAGGTGCCGAAGGACAAGCTCAGAACAAGATGCAATTCGACCTCATGGATCTGGACACAGCGAGTGGAAAAGCTGCCGCTGCTGAAGAAAAGAAAGAGGGTCTCGTTGGCGGCCTACAACCAAGCAGGAACATCAACCTGGAGAACCTTGTCTTCGACCAAGGAAACCATCTCATGACTAACCCTAGCGTCAAGTTACCACAAGGATCCACTAAGCGCACTTTCAAGGGATATGATGAAATTCATGTACCAGCACCTAAGCGCAAGCGCGAGGACTTCGAAACCCCCAACCTTCCTACAACCGAGTTGCCCGAATGGGCTCGCATTGGATTTGGAAGTTCCAAGGAGCTCAACCGTATTCAGACACGCTGCTTCCCAACCGCGTTCAAGGACGATGGTAATATGCTGATTTGCGCACCCACCGGATCTGGTAAAACGAACGTGGCTATGCTCGCGATGCTGCGCGAGATTGGCAAGCACCGTGATCCCCAGACTGGCGAGATTGATTTGGACGCTTTCAAGATCATCTTCATTGCTCCCCTCAAAGCCTTGGTTCAGGAACAGGTCGGAAACTTTGGTGCACGTCTCGCACCATACGGCATCAAGGTCTCGGAGCTGACGGGTGATCGTCAACTCACCAAGCAACAAATCGCCGAAACCCAGGTCATCGTGACAACCCCAGAGAAATGGGATGTTATCACACGCAAGGCCACCGACACCAGCTACACAAATCTTGTGCGCCTAATCTGTATTGATGAGATTCACTTGCTTCACGATGATCGTGGCCCGGTAATTGAGAGCATTGTGAGCAGACAGATTCGCAAGATCGAGCAGACTGGTGAGCCGGTTCGTCTCGTGGGACTCAGTGCCACTCTGCCTAACTACCGCGATGTCGCTGCTTTCTTGAGAGTCGACATGAACAAAGGTCTCTTCCATTTCGACGGCACTTACAGACCTTGTCCCTTGAAGCAGGAGTTCATTGGCGTCACTGAGAAGAAGGCGATCAAGCAGCTCAAGACCATGAACGACATCTGTTATAACAAGGTTCTTGAGCAAGTTGGTCAACAGCGCAACCAAATGCTAATCTTCGTGCACTCCCGCAAGGAGACCGCAAAGACAGCAAAGTATATTCGTGACAAGGCTCTCGAATCTGAGACCATTGGTCAAATCTTGAAGAGCGATGCAGCGAGCAGAGAGATTCTGACAGAGGAAGCTGAGAGTGTCACTAATGCAGATTTGAAGGACTTGCTTCCTTACGGTTTCGGTATCCATCACGCTGGTATGACTAGAGCGGACCGTAACTCTGTCGAAGAGCTGTTCGCTGCAGGAGATGTTCAAGTACTTGTGTGCACAGCCACCCTTGCCTGGGGTGTCAATTTACCAGCACATACAGTCATCATCAAGGGTACCCAAATCTATTCGCCAGAGAAGGGTAGCTGGGTTGAGTTATCTCCTCAGGACGTCCTCCAGATGCTTGGTCGCGCCGGTCGCCCACAATACGACACTTACGGTGAAGGTATCATCATCACTACTCAGCAAGAAATCCAGTACTACCTGTCATTGCTGAATCAGCAGCTGCCCATTGAGAGTCAGCTTGTCAGCAAGATGGCAGACAACCTCAATGCCGAAGTTGTGCTCGGCAATGTCCGTACTCGCGATGAGGGTGTCGAGTGGCTAGGCTACACATATCTGTTTGTGCGAATGTTGCGATCGCCCGCCCTCTACCAGGTTGGTGCCGACTACGAAGACGATGAAACTCTTGAACAGAAGCGAGTCGATTTGATCCATTCTGCTGCTCTATTGCTGGAGCAGGCGAATCTTGTCAAGTACGATAAACGTGCAGGCCGAATTGTGTCTACAGAGCTTGGTCGGATCGCGTCACACTACTACATCACTCACAAGTCGATGTTGACTTACAACCAGCAAATCCAGCCGTCGATCACACCTATCGAGCTGTTCCGTGTCTTCGCCCTCAGCGAAGAGTTCAAGTACATTCCCGTTCGTCAAGACGAGAAACTTGAGCTTGCGAAACTGCTTGGACGAGTACCGATTCCTGTCAAGGAGACTATTGATGAACCCAATTGCAAGATCAATGTTTTGCTTCAGGCGTACGTGTCTCGTCTCAAATTGGATGGCCTTGCTCTTATGGCCGACTTGGTTTACGTTACACAATCCGCCGGTCGTATCCTGAGAGCTATCTTCGAGATCGCTCTCAAGAAGGGTCTAGCCTCTGTTGTCAAGGATGCCTTGAACCTCTGCAAGATGGCCGAGAAGCGCATGTGGCCAACCATGTCACCTCTCAGACAGTTCCCAGAGTGTCCTGCGGATATTGTCCGTAAGGCCGAGCGTATTGACGTGCCGTGGTCGAGCTACTTTGACCTTGATCCTCCTCGCATGGGCGAGCTTCTCGGTCTCCCTAGGGCTGGTAGACAAGTCTGCGCCTTGGTCCAGAAATTCCCTCGTTTGGAAATTCAGGCCCAAGTTCAGCCCATGACACGCACTATGCTCCGTGTTGAGCTTACGATCTCACCCAAATTCGAATGGGATGAAGCACTTCACGGCAAGTCCGAGAGCTTCTGGATTCTTGTAGAAGACTGTGACGGAGAAGAGATCTTGTTCCATGATCAGTTTGTTCTGCGTAAGGAGTACGCCGAGGCCGATATGAATGAGCATCTGGTCGAGTTCACCGTGCCCATCACCGAGCCCATGCCTCCCAACTACTTCATCACTATCCTGTCCGACAGATGGATGCACTCCGAAGCTCGTCTTGCCGTGTCTTTTCAGAAGCTCATCCTCCCTGAGAAGTTCCCTCCTCACACCCCAATCTTGGATCTCCAGCCTCTTCCCATCGCTGCCCTCAAGCGTGAAGAGTTTGTCAACCTCTACCCTGACTGGGAGCGTTTCAACAAGATTCAGACCCAGACGTTCAACGCCTTGTACACCTCCGATGATAATGTGCTCGTTGGCTCGTCTACTGGCAGTGGCAAGACCGTCTGTGCCGAGTTTGCTCTTCTTCGTCACTGGAGTCAAGGAGAAGGTAAGGCAGTCTACATTGCACCTTTCCAAGAAGCGATTGATGCTCGCTACAAGGACTGGCAATCTCGCTTGACTGGCATTGCTGGTGGCAAGCAAATTGTCAAGTTGATTGGCGAGACTACTGCTGATCTCAAGTCACTCGGAGAGGGCGATCTTATCCTCGCCACCCCTCAGCAGTGGGACATGATGTCTCGTATGTGGCAACGCAGAAAGAACGTCCAGGCCGTGACACTCGTTGTGGCAGACGATCTTCACATGATTGGAGGCCACAATGGCTACATTTACGAGACTGTGGTCTCTCGAAGCCACGCAATCAGTAAGCAACTCGAGAATGGTCTTCGTATCGTTGGTTTGAGCGCTTCGCTCTCCAATGCTCGCGACGTTGGTGAATGGTTTGGAGCTAGCAAGCACACCATCTTCAACTTCAGCCCCCAGCACCGCCAGATCCCTCTCGAGCTCCACATCCAGCCATTCACCATCCCTCATTTCCCATCTCTCATGTTGGCTATGGTCAAGCCTGTCTACCAGTCTATCACACAGCTTGCTGCCGGTCAACCTGCTATGGTCTTTGTTCCCAACCGCAAACAGGTGCGAGCAACTGCCATAGACTTACTAGCAACGTGTGTCGCCGATGAGCAGGAAGATCGCTTCCTCAATGCCAACATCGAAGATATCTCCTCTGTCTTGGAGAAGATAAACGAACGTGCTCTCGCCGAGTCTCTGTCGCACGGAATCGGATACTTCCACGAGGCCCTCAGTCCGTTCGATAAGCGTGCCGTGGAGCACTTCTTCAAGGCTGGCGCTATCCAGGTCATGCTCGTGTCAAGAGACTGCGCTTGGGAGGTCCAGACTCCTGCTCACATGGTGATTGTGATGGGCACCCAATTCTTCGAGGGACGTGAGCATCGCTACATCGATTACCCAATCAGTGAGATCTTGCAAATGCTCGGCAAGGCTGGTAGACCCATGGAAGACAAGAAGGCACGAGGTGTGTTGATGTGTCCTGCTGTCAAGAGAGACTACTACAAGAAGTTCTTGACCGAGGCCCTTCCCGTTGAGAGTCAGTTGCAAGCCTTCTTGCATGACGTCTTCGTCACCGAAATCAGCACAAAGACGATCGAGGACACTCAAGATGCAATCAACTGGTTCACCTACACATACTTCTACCGTCGTCTAATGGCCAACCCCAGCTTCTATGGTCTTACCGACACGACTCAAGATGCATTCAACTACCATCTCTCCGAGCTCATCGAATCTACTCTCAAGGATTTGACTGATGCAAACATCATTGAGGTTGATGAAGAGGACGATGGTTCGATCACCCCTCTTAATGCTGCCATGATTGCTGGCTACTACAACATTTCCTTCATCACCATGCAGACCTTCCTGCTGTCACTGAAGAAGACTACCAAGCTGAAGGGTATACTGGAGATTGTCACTGCAGCCACCGAATTCGAAGACATTCAATGTCGCCGTCACGAGGAGCGTATTCTGTCCCGCATTTATGACCGCGTGCCCGTCAAGCTTGCGGAAGTCAACTTTGAGTCGCCTCACTTCAAGGCTTTCATCTTGTTGCAGGCACACTTCTCGCGCATGCAACTACCAGTCGATCTTGCCAAGGATCAAGAGCTGATCCTCAAGAAGGTCTTGGTCTTGCTGAGCGCTTGTGTAGATGTACTGTCTTCGGAGGCCCATCTTAACGCCATGAGCGCCATGGAGATGAGCCAGATGGTTGTGCAGTCAATGTGGGACCGCGATTCACCTCTCAAGCAGATTCCTCACTTTGAGCCTGAGGTCATCGAAGCTGCCAACAGCAATGGCGTCAACGACATCTTCGAGTTCATGGATGCTATGGATCCTTCCGAGAACCCCAACTACGAGAAGTTGGTCAAGTCAATGGGTCTCAGCAACCAACAGCTGGGCGACGCTGCTCGTTTCACCAATGAGCGCTACCCCAACGTTGAACTCAACTTCGAGCTCGAAGATGCCGAGAACGTTGTCGCTGGCGAACCTAGCTTCATCAATGTCAGCATTGAGCGTGATGTTGACGAAGATCAAGAGCCTAACCTTACTGTTCACGCTCCCTTCTACCCTGCGCAGAAGACCGAGAACTGGTGGCTCGTTGTTGGCGAGGAGAGCACGAAGAATCTGCTCAGCATCAAGAAGGTCACTATTGGTCGTGAGCTCAAGGTTCGCTTGGACTTCACCGTGCCCACAGCTGGCAAGCATGACTTGACTTTGTTCTTGATGAGCGACTCGTACGTTGGTGTGGATCAGGCACCCACCTTCAGCGTAGAGGCAGCCGAGGGTGAGGAAGAAGACGAGGATGAAGAGATGGAGGAATGAGTCGTTTGGTACAAAGCGAAAGGTGTTTTACTTGGCCGCTGCGGGGTCTCGAAGGAAATGTGATAAAGTTGGAAAAAAGTAGAGTTCGTTCATAATCCCTGAATTTCAAAGCGCTGTGTACATTATTGCAACTCATGCTCCTCTCGGTCACACCATGGTTGGTCTTCGTGCAAGAATGATGGTTCGTGCTTTCCCCTCAATGACAAGCAGCGCTCTTGGTCACAGTGGAGTTGCCAAATGCCAAATATCCTACGAAAGCACCCACACCGACAGCCAACATGATCCAGCCGTTATATGTCATGAAAAGCAACCTGTCATATCATGAGCATACCAGACTGAGACCAGGACAGCAAAGGAATGTATAACTTACATGATGAAGAATGAATAAAAGACCTGAACGGCGTAAAAAGCAGCCTTGATAGTCTTTGTTTTCGCATACACATTGGCAGCATTACGTCCTGATGCGAGCAATGAGCTTCCTTCCCCATCATCTTTTTGTCACATCATGCCATTTTAGCACTTGTCTGCGAATGGGAGAAAATCGGATCGGACATGACAAGAACAGAAAAGGCATGACTAGGCAAAGTGGAGAGAGAGAGATGACGTTTTTAACTTACTCGGCATATCATCAATGTCTTTCTGAACTTTGGCTTCATAGCGACGGGAGGCTTCGCGGATGAGTTCGTAGCCGGCTGTTAGGAGTATGACGCCTAGGAGGGACCAGATGAGGGACATTGTGGAGGTGACGCGCCAGGACTTGAAGACGATGCAGAGGTTGTTTGTGTCCCATGTGAAGAGCATCTGTTTGCAATTAATCATGGTCAGTCACATTTCCACAGACTATTCATGTCATGAGCTAGGAGGGATGATGTTTCCTTACGTTCATGTTGCACATGTTTCCGTGGTCCATGCCTCCGTGGTCCATACCGCCGTGGCCCATGTCACCGTGATTCATGTGTGAGTGATCCATCATGTAGAATAAATCTTGCGGGCCTCGGATTACTTATAGAACAAGAAGTCGAGTGGTTCGATAGAATCGATATCTGGCCGGTCTTACGAGTCTCAGCCTCAACCTGCATGAGAGGCTGGGCCAGTCGGAGATAGAGTAGCCGTATCTCCACGATTGAACCCCTCCTAAATCTTCTATGACGCCAGCGAGGTGACTAAACAGCATCCGCGCCGACCGGACTTGCCATCTTGCTCTCTCTTTCCAACAGAACATGCAGACACTTAGAACACTCAGCAGACACGCATCAAGAAGAGCTACAGCACTACAACCTTCAACCACCACATCACGGATCACATCAATCACACGCGCAGACATGTCCTCGTCAACACCCAAAACAGCTCCAAACACACCCACCACCACAAAACTGGGCAACCCTCTGAACATTCCCAAATGGTACACCTGCCCCCTCCAAATCACCGCTCACCTCTCTCCGCATAACCTCGAGTTAACCCCATACCTCCCTGGCCTAGGCTGAACGAAAACTCGCACCTCCTAAAACCCCCAATAAACAACTACTGCGTCTACTCAGACCCCATGACCGTCATGATAGTAGGCGGCCCAAACGCCCGCACAGACTACCACATCAACACAACTCCCGAATTCTTCTACCAATACCGCGGCCGCATGCTCCTGAAAACCGTCGAAGATGGAAAGCACAGAGACATTTACATTGACGAGGGCGAAATCTTCTTGTTGCCCGGCAATACACCGCATAACCCTGTCAGGTTTGCGGATACGGTGGGGGTGGTTATCGAGCAGCCGAGGCCGGAGGGCGAGGTGGATAGATTGAGGTGGTATTGTCAGGGTTGTGGGTGTGTTGTGCATGAGAGTAGTTTTGTGTGTACGGATTTGGGGAGTCAGATCAAGGATGCGGTTAACAAGTTTGGGGAAGATGAGGAGGCGAGGAAGTGTGGGAGTTGTGGCGAGATTTGTGATGTTAAGCCGAAGCCTGAGGCCATGGAGAAGATGAGGACTGGTCCCCATGCTTGAAGGTCTTGGAGGATCTGATAATTGGCAGATTAAAAATTGTATTGTTTTGGTGAGAACGTCGTAGTTCTAGAGGAATGCTCCACGCTCTTCATGGTCTTATACTCCCTTCCATGATATCTTCATCACGTGGTCTGCCTTCTTCCTCGTTCCTCTAACGAGTCCCAGGTATTTCAATTCGGCCAGAGAACGCTGAAACAAAGCACTAGGTCTCTGGTCAGTATGGCCTGCCTCGAGATTCTCATGTCGTCTTTACTCACCTGGTCAAAACTTCGTCTTGATCATCACCCAGGATGGTCACAAAAGCAGTTCGCAGATCTGCAATGTTCATCAATGCTCCGCCTTCAAGATAGAGCTGATACAAGATAGCAGTAGATGGCTGTGTCGAAGCCAGAGTATTCTCTTCACCTGTACCCACATCAGGTGCGCAACACTCGCAGTCAAGATAGTCATGAGGAGAAGCAAGCGCACGCTCAATAGCACCTCGCGGCTTGGGCGTAAACACGTCTCGGTGCGGTGACTTGAGGTCATACATGAAAATCTCGTTGAACACCAGAGCTCTCGGATCGATAAGTACAGCATCGAAGTGAGTTTTTAGAGCTTCAACGAATTCATTCAGGATCTCCGAGTATGCCGCATCGCCTTTCGTGAGTGTAGACTTTTGCTTGCTCAATTCGACCTTTTTGGCGACGACTGTTGTTCGTAGGGTGGCATTGTGTACATCTTGTTCGCTACGCAGAGCTCCACCGTCTGTTTGCTGAGCTTGAAGCTTGTCGAGTTGTTTTAGGAGTCTGGAACATGTATTGTGCAGGTCCCCAGAAGTAATTGGTAGCATTTCTTCGAGTGTTAGTAGCAAAGCTTCTGAGTTCGACTTCTTCAAACACATGAAGAGATTCTTTTCGAAGTTCGAGTCTCTGAGTTGTCCGGCGAGGGCGTCTACCAGCAGATTCGATTTGAGCTGTTGGTGCAATGCATAGTGGCGTCTCTGAAGTACCACAATGATCTCAACTGTGCTCAGAATCGTCTCAAGAGATTCGGATCCGACAGTTGTCTGTAGCTTGAGATACTCCAGGAGGTACTCGTCACTATCTAGCAGACGTCTCGGTGCCGAGGCTTCGCCATCTTCGAGCAGCATCTCCATGTGTCTGTAGCCGTTAGCAGGGCTAAGGAAGGGTACATGGATCTTGTAACCTACTGTTGGAACGAAGGCAGATTTCGCAAAGCTTCCAGATGTTCGGTGGAGATATCCGCGAGCTTGATGCTGTCATCGAGAAAGATGCTAAGAGCGTTGGCGTAAAAGTGCGATAGGTATGCATACTACGTCTTGTCAGTCCATACAACTCCAAGGACTAGAACAGTCGACCTACCTGAGCGCTATCCACAAAAGCATCCAGACTTTGTATATGCTCTCTTTGACGTCGTAGTGTGGCTGAACAGATTCCTGGCCCTAGCCAAAGTCTCGGCGACCCAGACTCGGACAACGGATACAAAGCCTCGGTGACTTGTTCTAGAGCACTTTCAGCTTTGACAACGTCGAAGCGTTGACCTTGAATGCAGCGAGTAGCCTTCTTAGACAGTTTGACCGAGAAGTTTTCGATGGATGTAGCAACACCAAAGAAGAAGACGAATGGGATTCTGTCTTGCCAGCGTCTGTTTGAGATTGTCAGCGAATTGAGTAAGTCGATATAGAATTGAACTTACGTCAAGAGCTCGATTGCGTCCGAGAGCAGAGCACCGTCGAAGGCTTCACAGTCTTGGAAAGCAACAACCACTCGAGACAGATTCTGTTCCTGAACATAGTCGTAGAGCAATTGAAGATCATAGTTCAACAGACGCATTCGTTTCTTGGTTGGTCTGACAGCATCAACTTCATCTTCATCGTCAGACTGGGCACTAGAAGAAGTTCCTTTGGAGATGAGATTCTTGAGAAGAGTCTTGAGATTTGGAGCGAGAGCAGATGTCAGAGGAATGGAAACACTTTGATCCGTGTGACCAATTCTCTGTGAGAGTTGAGAAAACAGTAGCGCATGTGATGCAATACTGGGGCCAGTAAGAATGATGGCCGAAGATACTCTACCAGGTGCTGGCTGAGGATCGGTAGTCTCGACGAAGGTGGAGATCTGACTGATGGTGGATTCGTTGATCTCGAGAAGTAGATTCTGGCAAAGTCGTTAGTACAAAAATAAATAGCAGAGGAAAGAACGATTCACCTTCAAGCGAGCCTGTTGTTTGGCCCAAAGACGTTGATACAAGGAGCGACGAAGAGGCCATGAAGTCTGGAGACCTTGCAGTGGCTCAATGCGGCGTCGTTTCACGACCACGTCTTTCTTGCGAGCGGCGGGATCATAAGCATAGCAAGTTTGAAAATCCATCGTCTATTTATTGCTTGATGTACATGTTCATAGAGGGTAAACAACATTCGGGAGCGAATAGGCCAGGCCGAATGGAACGTGCTATGCTTCAAGACGGGTTGGCAAACAGCGCGTCAGGTGTTGGCAACGCACGATGACGAAGGTACCAGAAGCAAAAAAGTTTAGTGTTTCTTAAGCATCAATTCACAGACATCCTTGACTGCACGCACATATCAGTTATCCACGGACTTGATGCACGTCTTTAGTCTGAGAAGAAGCACCTTACAACCGCGACTGTTCCAACAAGCATGTCGCCTTGCTTCCAGCAACACTAGGCGCATCATCGCCAGGAACAAAGCTCTCGCCAGCGCCGGCAAAGGAATCATACGCCCTGTCAAGCTACGTCCTATCGACGGTCAAACAAAGGATGAAGAGGAGGATGCGATTCGCTGGTTCGAACAAGATGTCGAGACAGGAGCCACTCGCCGCATGGCAGGCAATCCAGAAGAGATGGAAGCAGAAGAGCTGAGACGGAAGATTGCCGCGCTGGAGAAAGAGCTGAAGGAATACCGCAATGAAGACTCAGATGAAGACATGCTGGCCGCGCTTGATCCAGAGGATCGAGCAAAAGTGGAAAAGGCCTTGAAGGAGCGCGATCAGCACGAGGCGAACCTCACATCCGGCCTCACCGTCAGCTTGGACATGCCTCCTTTGGCCGTGCCACTTCTCAAAAAGTTCAACCAGGCTCTTCGTGACGCGGCAATCGCTCCCACCATGATCACACGTCGCAAGGACCTCTGGAGATGGTACGGTCGCGCAAAGTACAACATCCCTGCTCTGTCCAGCATGATCCCCAAGAAGGCCTGGCAATTGCTCTGGGACTTGCAATCCGCCGACTCTCCGACCAATCTCGAACGTCTGGACCATATGGAGCAACTTCTTCGGGACATGGCTGAGACACAAATGGAAATCATGCCCGACCAACCTCTTGTTCTGATCGATACATTGCTGGCCCTCCACAAGACCGAAGAGGCCATCAGATCCTGGCAGCAGGCTTATGACTCTCCTGCTCCGCCTTCCGAGGGTCTCCTCAGACTTGGTGTGCGCCTCTTCTCAGAGAACGACCAGCTCGACAAGGCCCAGAAGATAATGATGCAACTCTTCGATCTCTTCCCCGAACACGACCCTCGTATTATCATGCCCATCCTCACAGCTGATCTGCGAGCCGGAAAGGATGAACTGGCTTTTGGTTGCTACGTTCTCATGAGCCAAAAGCTCGGCGAGAAGATGGATATGGAGGACTACGATGTCGTCTCCCTCACCTTCCTTGAGTATGGCAAGAAGGATTTTGCACTGGCTGTATTCCGTGATATGATGTTACGCGGTCCTAACAAGCAAGTTTCAGAAGCCTTCCTTGGCGCTTCAGGACAGAATGAAGCATACGAGAAAGTCTATGAGAGAATGGAGTGGTTGGTTGATTCGGCCAAAGATGCAACAGAGGTAAACGCCCTCTCTCTGAAGACTTTGAGCGCTCTGCCGACAGAGTGGCAGAACAAGTTCTTCTTTGGTAGCTGGCTGAAGAAGTTGATCGGCATGCGTCAACTCGAGGCTGCCACAAAAGTCGTTGAGTTGATGTATGAGCGTGGCATCGAGCCTGATCCAAAGCACATTAACGGACTGATTGGTGGCTTCTTCCGTTCTGCGGTACCAAATCTACAGGAACGAGGTGAACAGATGGCTTGGAAGATGATCCAGCGACGACTGGAACAACAATATCTCCAACGCGCCGCGAAGCGTGGTGAGGATGTAGAGCCTGCCGCTCCTTCGGTCTATGATACTGAGAATGGTGTCACGATACCTGCTCATCTTGCCCGCCCAGTACCCATGGCGACCATCGAGACCTTCAATGTCCTGGTCCTCCATTACACAGTCAAGAGACAATGGGCTCTGATTCACCATCTCGACAGAATGAGACGTCCGGCGCACTACAAGATGGACACCGCCTTCTTCAATCACATTCTTAACATGTACGCCCAAACTTACCATGAAGAAGAGAGACTATGGCGACGCTTCCTTTCAGAGGCAAAACATGTCGACTCTGACATCGAGACCTACACCATCCTCTGGACCGCCCAACTCGAACACCTCAATCCCAAAATCAACAAAGATCGCAAAGGCTTCCCAACCCCCCGTCAACTCTTCGGCCTGATGACAAGTTGGCTCTCCAGCCAAGACGGCAAAAGACAAGGCCTCCTCATCCAAGAATTCACCCCCGAAATCTACGCCAAGATTGTTTCTAGCTTCTGCTTGCAAAAAGATTTCGCAGGGTGTTTGGTCGCTCTCCACGTAATCGCTCGCACATACAATGAATTTCCCGATCCCGATATCGCGAGAATCATCATCACCGCAGTGTCCAACATGCCGGAAAAGGAACCTACTACTTTCCGTGGTCGCAGGGGTCGTCAACAGTTACCCGCCGACCAGTTGCGTCTTAAAAATACGTCAAAGGTTATGGCGGCATTGGCGCAGAAGAGAGCGAAAGCTGCTGCGGACAGGGGTATCGATATTGCAGAGATGGAAATAGAGACGCGTCAAGAGGAGAGTTTGAATTTGGTGAGCGAGTTTATCAGATTGGTGTTGGTTAGGGTGCATGGGGATGTTGGGGTGGCGGAAGAGAGTATTAGGACTGCTGCTATTGCTTTGCAGTCGCCTGAGATCAAGACTGGAGACAAGACGTGTTCGGATATCTAGTGTGGGTTGCATGTTCGTGTGTATATAGAAACGGGGGCTATTTTGTGGCCTCTTCTGGGTATCATAGTTGTATAGTAGTAGCATCTGGATATAAGCACACCGCTCAATCTTTCTCTTCTTGTTCACGTTTCGTGTTCCTGCTCAATCTTGTCTCGTCGCCATCAATCGTGATCTTCCTCTGTCAAACCAGGACATCCCTCCATCTCTGCATCTTGATACCTAAACTTGCACCAAAAGCAGTAGTGATACTTCTCCCTCAAGTATCCCACAACCTTTCCAAGTCTCTCGCCAATCTCCATGGCCAGATATTCATCCAACTCTGTGTCCTCCTCTTCATCCTCGTACTCTTCAACTTCCTGACCCAGAGCAAGTTTATCATCTGCATCTGCTTCATCATCCTGATAGCGAGAAGACAAAGAATCGAGTGCGCCTTTTCGTAACACCATGTCTTTGCTCTTCTGTTCCCGCTGCATGGCAAGAGGTCTCCAAAGCAAATTCACGTTCCTTGCCTTTTCCTTCCCCCTCTCCTTCGTCTTCCCTTCCTCCTCCTCCTCTTCAGTGTCAAACTTCTCACAAATCTTCATAGCACCCCACCACATCCCCTCTCCCCTCTTCTCCTCCCTCTCCCTCGCAACCCTCTCACGATACTCCCCCTCATCAGCCTTTTGCCTCTTCTCCTTACCCTGCATCTCCTCCATAACCTCTCTAATCTTCCTCTTCTTCTCATTATCCATCCCAATACCCCCTTTGCCTTCCTTGACACTTATCTCTATCGGTTCCGTCCTCGCACCCTCTGATTTCCCCAATGCGGAACCGGCTTTATAGCCCATTTTCGCCATCATGGCTGCTCCCTTGCTTGTTTTTGATTCCGGTTGCGAGAGCAAAGAGGTGGAGAGGGCGAGTTGACGAGAGCGTTCTGCTTCGGCTTCGAGTTCGCGTTTTGTTTTGGGCGTGGCTTTTAGGGAGGCTAGACGTCGGCGTTCTTGGTGGCGTTGGAGGGAGGTTTTTGGAGCGTTGGGGGTGGGGTCCGTGAAGGACATGTTCATGTAATCATCGTCTGCGTCGCTCATGGTTTGATTGTGATGGTAGCTGTTTTGACTGAGAGAGCTGTGGTCCTGGTACAGTTGCAGGTTTTGTGTTTTGCGTTTTGAGGGATGTGAGGTGGGTGGTGGTCTCTTTGCGCCGGATGATGTAGAGGTGTGACAAGAGGTCAGGTGTGGAATTGACAGTGAAGTAATGGTTTGAGTGTGTCCAGTCTAGTTGTGAGTACAACGCGTATGGTTGCCGAGTGCTGTCAAGTTGAAGTGAATGAGGATGCCGTATTTTGCTCTGCTCAAGCCAAACATCGCAAAGTTCCCAATTGGGATGACGTTACCCCGCATTTATGCAAGCTTTCACAACTACAGCCTTGGAAATATTGTTGGGTTATGCAAGCCTTTGGATCTGCTAGTGATGGGTATAGTGAATTGGGAAAGAGAGAACATTCCCGTATGTCATCTCGTGAAAGGGTATATGTATGCTGCCCCGTGATCCATGAACGCCGCGCATGCCAGCCCAGGAAAGCAGATAGGAAACCTGAATTCATCAACCCTCATCATCCAGAGCTCCTCCCCAAGACCACTCGAACAGCCTGGATCCCTGACATGCCATCAGAGTTGGTCTGCCATCCGGCGACCGGATGAATCGCAATCTGGAGATCCGTCCCTTGTCCTTTGGGTTGGCTCCCTCAAGACTGCCCATCAACTTGCCGCTGGAGAGTGAATGTAACTGAATCACATTATCGTCGTCTGATGTTGCCAAGAGTTGGGCATCTGGTAGAACATCCATAGAGATGTTTGGGAATTCAGTCTTGGTAGGCGCCAGGCGTAGAAGCGGCGGCGATGGAGCATGTGGGCCCTTTGACTTTGAAGTCATACGTGTGTCGTAGATGGAAGCGCCCTTGAATCCTGATACCAGTACTCGTGAGCCATCGCCTAGACTGCGGACACCCGTAACGCCACTCGTGTGTTTGAATCTTAGCGATGCGCCATCTGCTCTAACGTCCCATAGATAGACTGGCCCAGTCCTCGTGCCTCCCACAGCCACATTCGGTGTCAGCCAGTCAATTGATCGTACGTCCTCTCTCAGTCGATGATGTTGGAGATAGTCGCCCTGAGCATTAAGCATATAGACTCCTTCCGAACTGCCAATAGCAATGACATCGCTGGCCGCACCCATCGGACTCGGACTTGCTGTCCAAAGTGTAGTCTCCAAGTTTCCGAGCATCGAATAGCATGGCGCAGGTGAGTCCAAGATCGGCGGCGATCCCTCCATATCAATACTTCCAGCCATTCCTGCCACAAATACATTTCCTGGATGTGACCGATCGTACGAAGTCGCTACCAAGCTTCTCGACTGCGAAATGCTGATTGAAGATATGTCTGATCGAAACGCCGCAATATCATAGGCATTCTCCGATCTGCCCAGGAATTGAACTCTGCCGAAGTTTCTCGAGCCAAGTGCCATGAGAATGGCATCCAGTTGATCATCGATAAAGAAGTCGTGGATGCTATCCCGTTTCCCGCAACTCTCGCAGCTCTTGAGACTCAAGGTCTCATAGCCTTGGAATTGAGCGGCCAGAGCAGCGATTCGTGCTTCGTAATTGGCAAAGTGAGAGCGTCCTTGTTCGCGCCATAGTCCGATTCCGGCGGCTGATGGTGAGTCCAGGATCTTGGATCGGCGGACTGTTTGCATCTCGCGCTTTTGCTTATAAGCTGCGACTCGCTTGCGCTTCTGTAAGTTGTGTCAGAGTTCAAGCTCGGATGATCATCTGCATGAATGGGCAGGTGGTCAAGAAGTCATCAAGGAGGCCATCAAGGTTGAAAATTAGGTCGGATTGAGAGGACGATGATGTGGTGCTTCTTTTCAGCGTAGCCAGACTTTGGTATTACAGCCACGATATAACATCGCCTGTGAAACCACAAACAAACCAGTATAGCTCTCTCGGATCATGGTCTCTAGCGTCCTCGAAACACACCCAATGCATAGCGAATTCGGACAGATCAAACATCGCAAAAGACTTACCTTGGACAGCTCTCTCTCCTTACGAACATTCCCATGCGAATACTTTGCTCCTTGCGGCGCAACATGATTTGCCTGGACCTGGAAGTATTTGCCCTTCTCAGCATCTGTAACAGAGCATCGTCAGATCTGTGCTGTTTCCTCACGAAACTCGTACTGAGCAATACCTACCAAAGTAGAAGCCAGGAATCTCTCTTTGCGCCATGTCCAGAGAGTGATGGATGAGGTGTGAGGAGTTCAGATGGGAAGAAGATTAAGGTAGCAAGCATGAGTGTGGGAATCGTCATACGGACGTGCCAAAAACGTGCTGCGGGTCGGGCCGCACTTCCGGGAAGTTGAGATTCAATCAATTGCCCTAGCCTTATGTTTACGTTGGAAGTGGTAGCACGGCAAGGATAAGTGAAGGTATCCTTTACATACAGCTCTCTGGTTAGTCACTGGTATTTGTGCGAATGAGTAACAGGCACAGATCACTTCAACCAATCATAGGATCTTATGGTCTTTCGAAAGCAATCTCAAAAGTGTATAGCATAATCTTGGCTACTTGTTGTAGAAAGGGGGGTATCAGCGGTAAGTTCACAGCAAACGAAGATCCAAATGACAAAAGAGAAACGGGTGCATGCAAGTGCATCTTCACCTTCCCACCACGACCATCGCGAGATCTCCTTGATCAAGCCGGGCGCATGTCGAGGCTCACCATGTAGAAAAGAAAAACGCCCTGTCCGCAAACTCCATATTATGCTTCCCTGTTTGATTCCTATCCCTGTAAGATCAGTCTTCGTGAGTTGTAGCAAATCTCTTCGGTTAAAGATTAAGCTTCATCTCCTGTTTGAGTCCCTTGCTAGCACACCATTCTCTTAGCAGCGCGTATCCAATCCTCACTGCATTGAGAGGCTCAGTATTCGTGCCAAGCGGAAGTGTGAAATCGCCAGAATAACGACCAACTTTAACATCGTTCTCGGCGCCTGCAGCAGCTCCATTGCCACTCATGGCCTTCTTCCAGGTCTTCGGAAATGTAGACATGATGGTCGATAGAGGTAGTTTCATATCTCCATCTTTAGAGACCTTGTGAGCTGCCAACGCGGCACTGTGAAGCGTACGCATCTCTTCTGGCGTCATGTCTTGTGAACGATCACGTGTGGTTGTCAATCGTAACATGACCATCCCGTTGCACATAGCACCTAGATGGCACGCGAGTCCATCGAGTATCGGAAAATACTGACAGCGTGTTCGGACGAAGTTGATGAAGGCCGGGATAGTAGCCCAAGTGCGCCCAGCTGATAAAGGTGCAGGCGGGTTTCGAGCAGAAAGCCCACGCTCTGTGCAATAGAAGGAGAGCATGAATAGAAGCAGAGACTCGAGGGAAATGGCTGCTGCTACTTCACGAGATCGAGAATCGGTTTTGCCGCCAGTCGACCGCGAAGGATCTAGTTCGGAGGCAGCATGTTTCAGTTCGCGGCCTAGACTCCCGACACGAACCGCTTCACCTTCCCAAGCGCTTGACTCTGCCGTCTTTGTGTTGGTCGAGGAAGGAGATGGTTTGGCGATGCCATTGACTTGACGTGTTGACTGTGGGGTACCATTTACCATAGCATCACTTGACTCAACACGCTTCATAGCGGCCGACGTTCGCAGGTCCTTTGTGGTGCCTCGCGCAGATGGTGTATCCTTTTGTGCAGTAGGGGTCGCAGGTGAGGATGTAGCAGGCTCTTGCTTCACGCTGGCCTCCGGTCTGTTGAAATCGGGTTTTACATCCTTCTTGCGCTTCGAGTCTGGAAGTGCCACATCTTCTTCTGCGGGACGAGGTCTTTTGGTCGCTTGCGCGGCAATGTAGGCTGGAGCTGATGACTTCTCCGGAGGTAATACGCGAATGACTTGAGTATGTGGTTGTGGCTTCATCTGCAGGTATCGCGAGAGGTTCTTGCGCATGCTCTTAGGAATCTTAAACTTAACGATCAACGACGGGGGCGGAGAGTTTCGGTGTTCCTCTTGCGGAGAGTCGCGTGTTTTGGTATCAGGAATGTTCGGGGGGTGTTTGCGCGACTTGTCAGCGACAGGTGGTAAGGGCGAAGGGAGACGTTTGGCAGCATGCTTGTGTCGTGAGGGTTGATAAGGCTTCGAATGCAATGAAGCTATTATGCTCGGAGGCAGAGTGGGAGATATTAAGTGGGGTGGTAGGAGGGAGTGTTTAGGTTCTGACCGTGGTTGTGATTGTGATTGCGATTTTAGTGGGGCTTGTTGTGATGGTTGAGACTTGTCGCGCTGAGGTACGTGCAACGGAGACAACATGCGCGGTAGATTGGCTGAGTCGCGCGACTTGGGAGGTTGCGATGGTGTCGACTCGGACTCGGTCTTTTTGTGTTTGGGCTTAATGTCCTTGGTATCCTTGGAGTCCTTGGAGCCGTCCTTGGAGTCTGGTTGTGTCTTTTTGTTGGCGTAAGCAGCCAGACTGATCTTCTTCTTGGGGAGCATGTTGGGCGTGCTCTGCGTGCTTTCCTTCTCTCTTTCTCTTGTGTGCGACGAGGCGGAGGCATTGTCCTTTTGGTAGTGAGAGTTGCGATGTAATTGGAAGACGTCGGATAGCGGCTCGTGATAGTAGAAGGTCTGGTATTGTTGATTCGGGTCGTCGTCTGCGCGAAAGGGAGTATTTGTGCGCCACATCTGCGACGAGTGATGGGAATGGTGGTGGTATTTGGGCTCGTCCTGAGGGATGCTCAACACATACGGCTCGTCTGGCGTGACGGCGCGCATGCGATCAATACAGGCATGGATGCGTCGTAAGAGATCTCGCTCCCTGTCTGGGACGACTGCAGCCATTGTGCCAAGTTCAGCTGGGCGTCTTTCCTGTCAGACCATTGCTCCAAGTGTCAAGTCCGATTCGAATGTGCTGCCGTCAATGCATTGAGAGAGAGTGAGAGAGCGCGACACTCCCGAATGCCGCACGGTACGAATGGGGACAATCGACAACGCTACCAAGCGGCGCGAGGCGCCTCACCCGTCTGCCGACCCCACCTTCGCAACTGCCACAAAGCATCCCTTTCACCAAGACCAACTCTTTCAGCCTCGCCCACCTCGTTGTGTGATGCAGCTCTAGATGTTTCTTTGTCTCCGCCTGCATCTATCCGCCAGTACGACTAACACACAGCGTCCCCCGCTTCTTCTTTGCATGCAACCAGTCCTTCTACACAGGCTTCTGTGCTTGTACCTGAGCTCCCATGTCACCGGTCACGCTTTGCATTCCCAACTCGTCATGGTCGGAACAACTGTTGAATAGCGTCTTTGTTTGCTGCAAGTCGCATCCTGATACTTCTTGCTGTCTCTGATGTGCATGTGTTCAGCATCGTAGTGCGGTCTGCTTAGGACCTATGCGACAATGCAGATTGAGAGCACATCATGTGTAATTTCAAACAACCCTCATACTAGCAGCTAGAAAGTAAATCACCCCGTCTGTGTATCAAATAGCGATGGATGCAATTGCGGACAAGTGATGACTCCAGAGGGGCATCATGCTTCAGGAGGCAGTTGCCAGTTGCGGAGTTCGACTTGGGCGCTCACCGCCTTTGGTGCGTGCGTGCCCAGAGCGAAGCCCGCATCAGAACAGCGAAACACCGTCACATTTGACCAGACAATCAACAAACCCCGCCACCACCACCCATCTCTACCGCTCAACTGACGCCAGATTCTGTGTGTTTGAGTACACCACAGCTATCTGCTTCCGTTCGAATCTCTCTTTAACTGGTGGCGAGCATGGATGCTCAGGTGAGTCGCACCCCACGTGCCTGCTCAAATTTCTGAAACTGCTTGCTAAACACACACCTTTATGCGCAGGTCGAGAGCGCCATCCAAATTGCCTTTGACCCCCGGGCCGACCAGAACCTCAAAGGACAGGCCTATGAATTTCTGCAACAACTGCGCGACGATGCCTCGGGCTGGCAGGTCTGCCTAGCCCTCTTCACTCGCAACCCTCCACCGGAAGAAGTTGTGCGCCATGTCTGCCTAGAGCTGGTCAGCCATAATGTTCAGGCTGGCCGTCTGGACGAGCAGAGTCTGTCATATGTCAAGGACCAACTTATGACCTACATCCACCACACTTTTGCGAACCAAGCAAACCGTACCGACTCGCCCAGTATCCAGAACAAGCTCACTCAGACCATCACATACCTCTTCACCTCTCTCTACGCCACCGCCTGGCCCACCTTCTTCGAAGACTTCAGGTCTCTGGCTGGCGATGCAGACACAATTGGCTCCGGCAACCCCCAAGGAACCATTCTGTATCTTCGTATCATCAACTCGATCCACGACGAAATCGCCGATGTCCTGATTCCTCGCACTCCCGAAGAGCTGAAACGTAATGCCGATCTCAAAGACTATGTACGCACGCGCGACGCACAAAACATCTCTACCTTTTGGCAACAAGTACTCGCAAGGTGGAGACAAATCGATCTTGGTATTGTTGAGCTGTGCCTTCGTTGCGTCGCACGATGGGTCAGTTGGATTGACATCTCGCTTGTCGTCAACCAGAACATGCTCAATTTCTTGCTCGAGATCGCAGGACAGCCCGACATTTCATCAGCGGAGAGTCCCCAAGCAAAGATTCGCGATGCCGCCATTGACACTTTCACCGAGATTGTGGCCAAGAAGATGCCTAGCCAGGACAAAATACAACTCATCTCATACCTCAACCTGGCCAACGTCGCCGGTCAGCTTGTTGCTAGCCCTGCTCTGAACCAGTCTCGGGGTAGCTCGACCTACGATAACGACCTGGGTGAAACCGTGGCGAAGCTTGTCAACAACGTCGTCTTCGATGTCGTCAAGGTCCTCGACTCGGAAGGCCTCGATGCCAACACTGCTGCACAAGCAGACGAGCTCCTCCAGCTCTTTGTTCCATACCTCCTGCGCTTCTTCTCGGATGAATACGACGAAATCTGCTCCGCCGTCATTCCCTCGCTCACCGACCTGATTACTCTCTTCCGCGTCTTATCCAAGCGTGGAGCACTTCCCGATCACTACCGCCAAATGCTGCAACCTATCCTCGATACCATAATTCTCAAGATGAAGTATGACGAGACGGCGGACTGGGGTTCGGAGGACGATCAGACAGATGAGGCGGAGTTCCAAGAGCTGCGCAGGAGGCTTCATGTCCTTCAGCAGGCTGTGGCTGCAGTTGACGAGAACATGTACATGAACACACTGAGCAGAGTCGTTGCTACAACCTTTAACCGAATCTCATCAGACAACAAGCCCAACTGGCGAGATCTGGATTTGGCCTTGTACGAGATGTACCTCTTTGGCGAATTAGCTATCAAGAATGGTGGCCTATACCAGAAAAGCACTCCCTCTAGCACTGCGTCGCAACATCTCATTGAGATGATGACCAAGCTCGTCGAGTCTGACATTGCTTCTTACCCTCACCCTGCGGTTCAACTCCAGTACATGGATATCTGCGTAAGATACTGCGTCTTCTTTGAGCAGAACACGGACAGTATCGCACGTGTTCTTGAGAACTTTGTCCGCTTTGTGCATAGCGACCATGTCAAGATCAAGACTCGCTCATGGTATTTGTTTTTCCGTTTTGTCAAGCAACTGCGTAGTCAGCTCGGAAACGTCGCACAGACTGTCATTGAAACTGTCGCCGATCTTCTGATCATCCACGCTGAAGTTCCAAAGGAAAGCGACGATGATGACATGTCATCTGAAGAGAACGATCAATCTGCAGACGCCGTCTTCACCAGTCAGCTCTATCTTTTCGAGGCTGTCGGAGCTATTGCATCCACATCCTCGGTACCACTGGAGAACCGTATGCTCTACGCCCGTACTCTTGTCGGCCCCCTGGTTGCAGATCTGGAGCTTCACCTTCCTGTGGCCAAGAATGGCGACGAGCGGGCAATCATTCAGGTCCACCACATTATCCAGGCAGTCGGAACATTAGCGAAGGGCTTCTGTGACTGGATGCCTGGCAACTCATCAGGAGCACCTCCACCCTCGGAGTTGGGCAACGAGTTCTTGGCAGCTGGTGAGGCCGTGTTAACCGCGCTCGAATCTCTCAAAAACTCCATGCTCATTCGCACTGGTGCTCGCTTTGCTTTTTCGCGCATGCTAGGTGTGCTCGGCTCGGGTATCTTGCAAAAGTTGCCAAGATGGATTGATGGTCTGCTGTCGCAGTCCTCCACTAAGGATGAGATGGCTACGTTCCTCAGACTGTTGGACCAGGTCGTGTTCGGCTTCAAGACGGAAATTATCGACATCCTTGACCAACTGCTTACTCCTCTTCTCCAGAGAGTACTTGCAGGTCTGTCAGAACCTACCACCGGTACTGACGATGCAATCCAACTTGGTGAACTGAAGATGCAATACCTGCAATTCGTTCTTGTCATCCTGAACAACGACCTCGCGCCTGTCCTGGTGAGCAGTGCCAACCAGCAGACCTTTGAAACTATCCTCACTACCATTGAGCACTTCTGTCGTGATCCCTCCGACTATCCCACTGCTCGTCTTTCTCTCGCTGTCTTGAGCAAGATGACACAGGTATGGGGCGGACCTGATCTTACCATTCCAGTCCCGGCAGGTGCTCCTCAATCCGCTGCACCGACCGTGCCTGGTTTCGATACCTTCATCATGCAACGCTTCTCTCCTCTCTCGTGGGCCCTCGTCTCGTCCCCGTCCTTCCAACCAAAGGATGCTCAAGCACGCAGCTACCTCACAGAAGCCGCCACCTTGCAATGGACCATCCTCCGCAAATGCGGTGCAGCCTACGAAGCCCACTTGCGAGATTCGGAAATGTCTGGACTGGGTCTACAAGCCCCCATCATTGATGAATACATCACACACCTCGAGACCAAGGACAAGCTCGAGTTCAAAAAGTTTTTCGTTCAATTCGTGCAGCAGGTCAGATCATAAGCGTGGGGGAATCAAGGGGGCAAAATAACCACTGAGCGTTTTTCGAATTGCAAGTTCATCATGGGATTTGCACAAGTAGGAGACTTTTTTCTTTTGCCGTTTTTTCACATGTCCATCCTCCTTTCCCACGATTGAAGATACCCTCCTGAGCAGAAAAGAAAGAATCAAAAAGCCTTTTTCACAAAGCTTGTGCTTGTCATTGTATGTATGCGCGTCGTCTCTGCTACATGCGAGAGTGATCTAGTACTTGCTGTGATAGCAAGTGATGCTGGCAAGCCTGTGGTAAGCCGTGCCTTCTGTCTCTTTCATCAGTGAGTGCTTCCAAAACGGTTCTCAATCCGACCTACATCAAGCAACGATCAAAAGCCCTTTCGCCATCAATAAGAGCAAGTCCAATTCTCACAGTCACGAACCCCAGGTGCATCTACTCCAGTAAACCAAGTCAGCAAACCCCCACCGCAAAACGAGATCACACAACTCACTTACCAAGTACTTTTCAACGATACCCCCACCCTCTAATCCAACTCCAAAGTTTCTTCCACCAACTCCTCTCCACATCGGGCCAATCTTGGGGACCCCAGCCTGTGTGAGTTGAGTTTGTGACGATGTTTGGGACGCGAGGGGTAGTGGGGAGAGGGACTAGACGGTGTGTGCCTCTGGGTGTTAGGGTGGCTGTGGTAGTTGGTGTACTTGCGTTTGAGCGAGGTGGATGGGAAGGGTCAGGGGGAGGTGTTGTGGTGTTGGAGAGGGGCACGGGGCGGATGGTGGTTGTGGACATCTTTGCGGATGAGGGGAAGGATTTGTGGGAGAGGGATGGGAGGGGAGAAGAGGACAGGGAAGGAGTTATGGAAGGAGGATAGGTGTTGGATTTTTGGTCGTTGTGATTCCGGAACATGCTAGATGGATAAAAGACGGCGTGTTGGGTCGATTCGATGTCTTGTTGAGAGTCGACGACTCTGTGGATTCTGGTGGTACCTTCTCTCGCCTTTCCTCAATCGACCGCATCTTTCTTCAGAAGCATAATGTCTATATGCGAGACTTGAAGCTCGCTGAGAGACGTCTGGGGTGAGCAGATGGGGTTATAGTTCAAGTACGAACGAGGGGTTCCTTGATGAACTTTGATATGGAAAGTTCTCGCATACACATAACTCCATTTAGTGCAAAAATGACTGCTGAAATTGAGCGTGAACCACGCTCTCAGCGGATAGTTCTGCACTCGAAAATGCATCATACCTATCTATCTACTGCTCATGAAGACGCTGGCCGCTGCCCACGAAGAAATCAGGTAAGCGTAGCAGTGAGCCTTATGTCTGCATCTTAGTGACCACTTTTTCTGCTCAAATATATTTCGGTACTGTGACAGGAACAAACGACCATTTTGAGGAGTGTCGAGATGCAATGCCATTATTGATGAGTCTATTCTACGTGCTGATAACGCACTGTATTGCGTCTCCTGTAGAATCTCGTGAGAAAATATACAAGAACCAACACGATCATTAATCCAATGCCAGATATGAGCGCTCTATCCTCCATGACTCTGTGTAATGGGTGCGGGCCAGGAACATGTCCAGGGTGGATGTTCCCGACAGAATCGTCTCCAATTGGAGTGAGACTGGCATATTTGTCATCTTGCGACTGCGCGCTAGAGTCTTCGGCTGCTCCAGACTTGCCATTGGATCCATCGTGTTCTTTGATATTGCAAACCCCATCGGGTGTGCAAAAAGTGCCTATCCAAGTACGAGGAACTTCTGATGCTGTGGGTATTGACTTGCGCATCATGATGCCATCAACGCCGACAGCTTCAACATACACAAACGCCATAAAACCTGTTGTCATGAACATAGTTTCAAAGTCCGTCTTCTCTACACTCGCCAGGAGTGAGAAGCTGCCTGAATCATTCTTCGAGGCGCCATAGATATTCCACGAACGGACCTCGGTAGCGCCATTCCAACTAAAGTAGTGAAAAGTGTTTGCAGTCTTTGGTGACGTGCCATGCACTATGGATTTCACTACTGGTGGTAGGTGTGGCTTGCCGGTGAAGTTGAACTTGTAGGAGCGGTATGTGCTCATCGTCCCGTCTTGAAATTTGGCTTCCATGACTGGAGTACCATCTAGAGTGAGTTCGCTGATGAGACCATGAGTAGCCCATCCAATGAACACGTTGTCGTTTGGAAGCGTCTGCGTGTTGCCTCTCGCAATGGAGATTTGATGGTCGGGTCGGTCATAGCTATGGAGGACGCGAGTCGTCATGGGCTTGACAGACGTGTTGAGCTCGACAACCACTGCACGACTCCAGTTTCCAGTCGTCTTACCTTCCTCGTTGATGCCAACTCCGGCATTGTCAAAGAAGGATATGATGGTTTTCGTTTTGTCTTCGTACCGGAATCTGGCGTCGTGCTGCCAGGAGAAGTTGAAGCCGTTCGAATGATCGATATCATGGCTCTTCCCGCTTAGTTCCCACATGACAGATCCATCAGAGCCTGAGATCTTGTATATACTACTAGCATGCCGAGATGAAAGCAGGTAATCACCATCTGCGTTCTTATCTATCGAATTTGCATGACTGTGCTCGAATGTCAGAAGTCGTTCCTAGTCCTAGGATGCTATCACTTACAACCAATCGAAACCTCGTTTCTGTGTTGTCGAGCCTACTTTCGGAAGGTGGAAGTTTGATGCGTTTAGGGGAATATGTTCCAAAGCACTCCAGCGAAACAAAGTTGCACCGCTGGTTAGATTGACCTCAGCAATCCCATCATCCTGAATCCATGTCTTGTTGACCAGAACCGGCTCAGAATAGAGCATGAGAACAGATAAGCCGTCATCAATAACCCTGTATTCATGGATGTTGATCTCTGGGGTGTCGAATAAAGGTAAGGTCGTGTTGACAAGCTCGAATCTGTCGTTTACGAGGACAGCCTTTCCTTGTGGATGATCGGGATAGAACTCATTAGGTGAAATGATGTATGATAGCATAGTCTCGCCTCGAATCGTTACAGTCTTGAAGTCATAGGCATCCCGGCCAGGGAAGATGGTGGAACCCACCCATATCAATTGCTGGAGCATTGTTAGATTATTCCTTGACATATTTGGACCAACCCTTACCCCAGTACTATCAAATATGGTCGGACCAGTCGTATATGCCTCAGCAAGGTCGGTGATCTGTTTGGCAGCTAATTGGGAGTATGGCCCAACAAAAATGTAGCCGGGAGACACTTTTTCCTGATCGTATACAGTAACGTTGAGAAGCGGCGGCCGGAATTGTGGCAGCTAGGTATGGTCAGTAAATCATGCAAGATGCTCAGGACAAAAGATCGTACTGTGTGAAGGCGAACGTGCGATTCGCGGTCAGTAGATGGAAACACTGTCAAGGCGGAGACAGCGGCTGTGAGAAACAGACATATCCAAGAACTTTGCATGTTCTGCTATAACATATCAAATGTGATAATTCATGTCACAGAAAGGTCCATCTCAGGATCCGTCAGGAGTTGGCTACAAGCGCATCCGCCGCCTCCGAGGAGCAGGGATAGCGTCGAAGGATGGCTGCTTCATTTGCCAAGACATGTAATTAAAGAGACAGCGAACGTTCATAAGGCAAGCTCAGAACCATTTGTCAGGGAAACGGTCTTTCCTATGCATCGCTAGTGATAGGCATCGTAAGGATAGTTCCTTCACAAGATTGGTGGTTGTATTGATGGAGAGAGAAGCGTGGAGATACAGAAAGTAAAAACATCACAAGGTGCCTGTCGAATTGGCGAAGTAGGAAGGTGCAAGCGTCATCAAACCCAACCACCTCAATTTCACCAACCTCCCAGACAATCTTCCACATCTATCCTTCCAGCGTCATTGTATTGAATAGAACTTGCTTCTTCAATGACATAGGACTCAACAAGCCGTCTTCAAGTGCGTAGAGACGACGTAGACTCGATCAACTGCGACCGGACCTGTCTTCGCGATTAGCCAAGAACCCGAGATATTGACAACAACAACTTACTCGGCACTCAAAAGCTTGACAGGTTCTGACAGTCGACCACACATCTCGGCTTCAGTCTCTCTGGCAATACGAATCTTGTCATCAAGATCCTGAGCGAGATCCTCCCTTGCCTCCAGCTTTCTGACCAAGTCATCAACAGTCTCCCTGAGCGTGAGCACTGATTTTGCCATAGTGACAATCAGTCTCTTCACGATATGCTGAGTCATCGTAGCGGCTGTCAGCTTGGACTTTTGTCTGTTTCTTAGCTCTTCGACGGTGTCGAGGTCTTTGCTGGCGATGTTGACGACTGCAGTTTCGACATAGCGAAGCATAGAGATTGAGGTGAGTGCAAGTCTGGCGACACCTGGGGTGTCAACGTCGGCGACATCGTCGAGAGCTCTGAAGACGTCTTCGCAGAGTTCGTAGAGTTCGTCATGGTCCATGTCGTAAGGCATCTTGATGTCCTTGTTGAGATGTACCTAGGGATTTGGATTTCGACGGGGAAAAAGATGGGTATGGCTGGCGTATCGATCTAATATGGCCGTGTGAGCTGAGATTCTCATTACCTACTTGATTGTCTCTCTGCAGCAACGCTCCTTTCCTTTCTTCTGTCGTTGATTGCAAGGAGAGGCCAGACTGTTTGCTGCCAGCGCTCGTATCGACACCTTGAAAGACCGCGACATGGACTTTTAGGCCCAAGCGAACATCGGCTATGACCATTCTTGCTGCCATGCGTTTCTTTTGACACAGAGCATACTTCCTGCATACAATTTTTGACTGATGACAGCATGACCTGTGGCGATGAAAATGCGAGAACCGCAATTCTGATCCTCAGCTAGAGCGTCTGTGACCCGGACAATGGACTGAGACATCAGCTACAGTGATACACGCCCATGTAGAGAATCAAGTCTCTCCTTTGAGAGCATCGATAAACCCTACAAACAACGCCTCGCGCCTGGTTTGCCGTCGTGAACAAACACTAGATATCACGCATGTCATCTAAGGCCGCACTGTTAGTTCTGTGCGCATTGTGTGTTGCTCTAGTATCATGGAACAGGATCCGTGTGACCTTAACTCAATCGGTGCACAAGTCGCAGTCGTCACACAGTTCGCCGTCCTCAGTCACTGAAGTTCGGGATCACCGTGGGCGCTGTTGGGGTTTTGGCCATGAATATATGACACCACAGCCACTATTGCAACACAGGGTACGGCAGATGTGCGTGTGCTTGCATGACACATCTGTTCTCGAGTAGTTCTAGCACTTGAGGTCAAAAAAGAAGAAAAATTTGATACGTAGAATTAGAGACAGGGTGGTGCCTCCAGCAGTGTACTTCATAAAATTAGAGAAGAAAAATAGCGTACGTTGAGATGTAGCTTTTAAGAATATACACTCTATTGCTCGTGTCGTCTTTCTATGTTAAATGCGTGTGTATATCATGGCGGGGTTCTGTGCGCCTCTAAACCTCTGTCGACAGAGCATCATCGTGCATGCTCTTCAAAAATCCTGGTAAGCTCTTTTAGCCGTACAGGCTTGGTCAAGAAAAGGTCGACACCACTAGCAAATGCTTCTTGCTGTACACTTGCTGATGCCATGCCAGTAAGTGCGACAATCACCGCTGGGCGTAATCCCTTCGACCGCTCGAATGCTCGGATGTGTCGAGTTGACTCGAGGCCCTAAAGATACGGATTAGCTTGCGCCCATTACTGAATGCGGATATGTTCAGAAAAGCTTACGTCCATCTGAGGCATATTGACGTCCATCAGAACAAAGTCGAAAGATTGCGCGGTCAACTTGTGTTGATTTTGCAAGAGTAGCGAATTCTCGCTATCTTGAGGAAGGCGCGTTGGGTCAACATGGGCCTTATAGGCTTGCACTGCTTCAAGGCCGTTCGTCGCAGTATCGTATGCGTGCCGTTGCTTCTTCATAAAAGTAGCTAATAGATTCAGATTGATGCTGTTATCGTCGACCAGAAGTACTGACACGCCTGCAGCGGATGAAGTTCCGGTGACATTAGGCACTAGTGCCTGTTTCTGAGCATCAATAATATCGGCTTGACGATTGGCTTCGACACTCTGTCGAACCTTGGACATAAGCATTTCTTGAGTCTTCTCCTCCATTGGAGTGAATAGCACAACTTCGGGGTTCGAGCCTGTGCTATTCTGAGAAATGTTAGATTCAGCTCGGCGTGCTCGTGGGCGTCGGGAGGAGATGCTCGTGGTTCGAGAGGGTGCTTGTGTGGGAGTCGTGGTAGAGTCTGGTGTTGAGCATGTCGGATGCTCCAAGCATTGCAGCAGTGTTTTGGCAACCTTATTTGGAGCTAGGGGCTGTGACATGTAATCTAAGCGCGGACTGATGACAGCCATGGACTTGGACGACTGGAGGGAATGTGCAGAAAATAAGTTTCTACACAGAACGATCACCGGTCGCGCACCAATCGGACTTGCGGTTGCAGGCTTGAACGCGAGCTGATTGACCAAAGCGGTTGTATGTCTTTTCATGACAATGTACAAGTCCGCTTCCTCGGGTTCGGAAGTACAGCGGACAGATGCACCGAACCAATTGCTGCATAGGTCAGAGAAGCCCGTCTCGTCATGTTCCCCTTCAGGAATGATCATGTTCAGATGCTTGTCCTGCAGCAGGCTCGTGACAGTTGCTATTGCGGTCGGAGCGTCTGATTCTGCGACAATTTCGGCACGTGTCATTGACACAGTAACAGCAATTTGAGTCCCTTGTCCCTGTTTGCTTGCTACGGAGATCTCACCGCCCATATTGGTGATGATCTGCTTAACGATGCTTAAGCCCAGCCCAGTGCCGGGTGACAGAGGATCTTCCTGGACAAAGGGAGAGAAGACGTTCTCAGACAGGAAGTCCTCAGACATACCTTTGCCAGTATCAGATACTGTCAAAGTGACTTCGATGTCATCCTCGGACGTCGGACTCGGCAAAAGTCTAGATTCTAGCCTTACTGCCACATGCCCTCTTTCAGTGTACTTGAGACTGTTTCCTACGAGATTCAAGATGATTCGAATCCAGCCGCCAGCCTGGGTCGTGAATGTCCAATCCTTAGTTGTGTCATAATCCAGAAGAACAGTGATTGCCTCGAGTCCCTTTACTGGACGTGCAGTCGGGACACCACGAGCCGCTATTCCACCTCCCAATGGTGTCACACGGACAAATTCATTACCAGCGAAAGCGGTGTGAATTACCTCCTCAGCCAAGATGCCGAGATCGACCGGGCTCTGTATTGAATCGGTCCCGTTGCGGTGTAGTTGACTTCTAGTGGATGTGACAGATGGTCTTCGGTAATTGGAGCTATTGGTCAGGTTGTTGATCTTGCTATAAGATAGCAAATTGTCAAACGTATCGAGCAGTGTCTTGCCGCACGTCTCAACTGTGTTGATCAAACTGGACTGGAAAGCGTCAAGAGGCGTACCTTGGAGACACTCGGTACTACCCATGATTCCATGTAAAGGAGTTCTGCGATAAAGTCAATCCTAAACACAGCATCCAAAATGTGTTCACGACGAGAACTTACCTAAGCTCGTGAGATATCGAACTAATGAATGTCGCCTTAGCTCTGTCTGCCATTTTGACATCGATCCTAGCAATCTCTGACATGACTGATTGACCGAATGCGATCATGTAGTTAAGTTCGCTGTCTGTTGACAAAATACGGGTTGGGCTGCACGTCCAGAGTATGCTTCCGGCAAACCACCTACTACGGTGTGGATCCCACATACCCACTAGGGCCAAGCTACGGGCGCCAGGAAAGATTTGCTGGATCATCCTTCTCTCTCGCCAGCGTTCACCTCTACGATTTACACTGTCGGCTGTCCGGGGAGAATCGAGCGGGCCTTCATGGGAGCTACTGTCTTCCTCGTCGTAGCTCCAAATCTTTCCCTTGGGATATTTGGCCAACAGCTGTTGCAAGAACCTCTCGCTAACAGGTAACGGAGAGGCCAGGCTGGCAACATGAGAAGACCTGCGTTTGCTGAACGCAACCAAAGAGCTGCCCAACACGTTACATCGTTTCTCATCAGTGCCGTTCATAAGACTGTCGGTAGTCCTGATCGAATACGAAGACGTCCCAGTGGAAGACTGAGTGGCAGATCCTTGATGCTGCCGGTTACCGTCCACAAGGCCAGCGAACGATCCTATCGAAGCGTCGAGAAAGATGGCACCATCGACGTCGACAGATCTTCTGATGATATCCGCGGCCCGTTTGAAAGTGTTTTTGATACCGGGAGCGATTGAATCTTCCTGTAGCTGGTTACCAACATCCGTCTCCTCTGAGGACTGCTGTGCTTCCTGAGCGGAAATATCTGAATGGCGCGTTTCCGGGACATGAGCTCCCACGAATTCTCTGACAGAAGGTGAAGCCGCTGCGCTAACCTCGGGACTGTCTATAGAAGTAAATTTGGTCTGCAGGTGGCTGGAAGATGGTTTAGAAGATCGGAATGCAGATCGAGCAGTGCGAACCCCGGATCGAGGACGGTCTGCCTTCTCTTGGTGCAGACTATTCCACCAGTCTTTTAAATTAGGTTTGCCATGGACCAGTTGCCCCAATCCTTGAACCATGCTTTTCGATCGGCCGAGTTCAGCTGTCGCTCTGACCATTTCCAGATGCGCCATGATAGTAGAGGACAGGTCTTTCATGAACTCCACCTCGGTCGCAGTAAGGCCTTCCTGGCGAGGTTGATCGTCCAAGATACAGAAGACGCCGATGTTGTGTCCGTTGGGTGAGATGATTGGCACGCCTGCATAGAAACGACCTAAAAGATATCAGCGAACGTCAATGCCTGAACCTCATGTTCGTGGTCACTCGCCATGCGGAACTTCGGTGACCAAAGCATGATCCTTGAACAGCACGTGCTGAGATAGATCTGGAAAGACTACAACATCTCCTTTGTCTTCGCTGACAAGGAGATCTGGAGCAACAAGAAGACCAGCAGCATATTCGCATGGAGTGGCTCTACGCTCGAAAGCAGTTGCACCAACCCACAGGTTATCCTTTTCATCATCGGCGGTATTTTTCTCAAGCGACAGAGTCTTTGTGGCCTCGGCAAGGATATATCTTATCAGCGGTCAGCGTGGGCGAAGCAGAGCGATGTTGGTGGATCCGATACTGGTGTTTGCGATCGATGAGCGATATAAAAGCTCTACGGACTCCCAGTCTAAACGAAGCAAGCTGAGCGAATGCAGTAAGGGCACGGTCTGGCGATGAACATGGTCCAGTAGGAGGAGATGCAGGGATGCTGGCCTGGACGAGGTCTTGCAATGGCTGGTAGTATCTAGCGATCCAGTCAGTGTCAGGGACAATGTTGAACAGGCAATGCCATGAATGCGACAAACGCACTTGTGAGCTTCGCGCTCCCTCAAGACATCATCGTCTAGGGCAGGTTGCAGAAGAATGCTAGTCTTCCCACAAGCAGAAGCCATTGCGGCGACAGGCGTCAGTCAGTCGCGAGAGACGTATGCATACGATACGAGAGCTAGGAGTATGCTGGATATCGCTAAGGGTACAATGGAATGGGAGAACAGAACCTGAGCCGCGACCAGCGGGGCAGGCATGTTTGGAAAAGAGGGTTACCAAAGCCACAACCAAACCATCGAAACCTTTTGCCACCGCATACAGAACTCAAATCAACGGTTGGCGTCTACTACAAATATCCCCCTCCCGTTGCGCCAGTTGCTCCTCGCTTGCACGATCCATGTCGACGAGTACAAATTGTAGCATCGTAGACGGGCTTGAGTGAGGACCGTCTGAGTCGTAAGTTGTTATGCGCATGAGTGGGTCGCCGACCGAAACACAGCCCATGTGCATACTGATCGGCTTCTGATCGGCTTCAGATTCCTTAACGCCATCGATGCCTATTCAGCCACCATCGTGCTATGAAAGACGGCCAAGCAACGTATCGTCACATCATGAGTATCTTGATTTCAGCTGAACGAGCTTTACGAGCATACTGGTCGAAGCCATGCTGTAAGGGATATATCCAAGCGACAGTTCAATCAAAGCTGCTCTTGAGACGAGTTATACTTTCAAAGACCCCTTCAACCACGAAACGCCATCAAGCCACCATGGAGGCGCACTCCGCATCCTCGTCGATATGCGGCAAGCGCGGATCGATTCTTGGTAAACCTTATCACAAAACACATCACCAGATTCCGTTGTGATTTCTCGTAAAGACAGCTCGCAGTCAATTTTGGCACGGGTCGAGACTATGCCAGGCACAGGGGCCTGGTCAATGAATTCGCAGATCCGATACCGAATTCATGCACTGCAGGGCGGACGGTGAGTGTCGGACCGGCCAGCATGGTTTTACTCTCTCTCGAATCCCATGGGTTCCTACCGAACTTCAAAGGTCGCCGAAGCCTGAGGTAAATGCTGATGCCTCTCAGCAGATTGATCCAGGCTCGTTTGTGGTCTCTGTGGGTCGGGGGTATATCGAAGCTTGCGTCAGGCATAGTGTCCTCCAAATGTCAGATGTCCCAACGTCATGTTGCCACTCCTCAATGTGCAGGAAGGTGCTATGGATATGTACACAACTGGTTGTTGACGGCATGGGAAAGAGCAGAGAGACAGATGATTGGATCGACAGCAGATCACCCCTCAGCCGCCGTCTTGGCAGAGATCTTGCAACGATCGAACCCGAAGCGCAATTTGCGACTGAGCACTGTCACTGCAAACAGTAGCAATCTACCCATCTCGATCACATCTCATCATCTTGAGCATGGATGCTCGCATACGTCCGTAGCACGATTCAAGTATGTCATCGCTCGCAGCCGGATGTGGCGTGTTCGCCCAAAAACACGACGAGCAGACCAGAGGCCGAATGCAATACTTGAATTTGACTAGCTTGTTGAACCACAACTTCTGCACCGCTGCTCCAGTATGCTCGTCAATCTTGACCTAGTTTCGCGGACACCTGATGGTGCTTCTCCTCAGTTCCGCTACTCGACTTCCAGTCGCAAGCTGTCGTACTGGACATAGGTACTTCTTGGAAGCACTGCACTCTCATAATCTGTGGCATTGAACGGCAAGCTCAAGATCATCGTGTTCTGGCCTTCCTTCAACAGGACGGCGTCGAACTCGTACTTGTGCGCAAGAGCATAACAGATCACAGCAGATCTGGTGGCGCATGAACTGCTTTGGTTCCACCTGAGTCGCTTGTCAGTATGGCAATTCATCGATGTTGGTGTCTCTCATCTCAGTCACGTACGGGATATCCCAAGGCTCGAGCTCATTGCCGTTCATGACTACTGTCAGGGGTAGGTTGTTCCACAGCTGTGTCGCATTCCAGTTGTCTGTGTTGCCGGCAGCTGTCTTTGCACCTGCCAGTTGTATCTTGACGAGAGTCAGCGGATTGGTCTTGAGGTCAGAAGCACTGGCTTACTGTGAGGGTAGCGTCCTTTGCTTTCTTCAATTCGCTCTTCTTCGCATTGAACAATACGGTCCAGTTATTGACCTTCTCATAGTAGGGCTCTGGTCTAACCGAGTTTGCATAGCCGCCAAACACGCTCCAATGGACTGTCACGAGTGTCAGATCTTAGTCTTTGAGTCGGCGTAAAACAGACTTACCATAATTGAAGTCCTTCTGCTCATCGCTCTTGCCGACCTCGAAAATCACGCCATCAGGGTAATCGATCGGGAAGTCCCAATTACCCCAGTATATTCTGTACTCGGGAGGCTGTAAGGGCTTGCTTGGATCACCTTGGTCGCCATGCCTGTACTCTCCGCTGCTGCGATCAGGGGTACCGATACGCCAGAGTTCTTTTCCGGCAGTCTCTTCACGCCATTTGACTTTGGTCGTGGTGACCTTGCCGAGTGCAACCACGATATCGTCTTGGATATACTGACCAAAGATGCCATCGGCATATACGGTGAGTCTGTAAGTCCCCGGTTTAACCATAGGGATCTCGATATTTCCTTTCTGGTCAACATCACCCCAATACTGGTAAGCTTGGACGTCTAGAACGTTGTCCTGGAAGTCGACACCGTTCTGGGCGAGCACGGCAATGGGACGCTTTGCACCCTTGGGCAGATCGATGCGACCCTTCCATGTCGATCTTTTCGTGGATGGAATGTAATTTGGCACCAGATGAGCGATAGAGTCGTAGAATGCAGTGTTCCAGATAGGGGAGGCAAATTGTTCGGCCTCCGCACGCAACTCTGCCAAGGTGGTCGTGTTGGATCCTTTGTTGAAGTGGAAGTATTGAGGCCCAAAGGTACGGTCAAATCCGGTAGTGATATTAGGGACGTTATCTCCATGGTGATTCGAAGCTGCGTCTGGGTCAGTGCAATCATGGTAAGGTAGGAGATGTATGCTAACAGATGTAGTTATATACAATACCGTCCACCGTCAGATCAGAGTGTGTTGGACCACCAAAGTAGGTATCGACAGTATTCATCACAAGCCAAGCGCCGAAAGTCGACCCGTCCTTGCTCGTGGATCCGTCGCCATACATTCCATGGACTTTGTGGTCTCTCCACTCGTCCGAGAAAGTATACTTTGTGAAGTAATCGGCGAATTGCTCCACATAAGGTGCCTCGGTATAGTTGCCAATATACCAAGTCGCATCCTGGACTGTCTTTGAGTACTTCAGAGTGTCTGATGATGGTAAAGGAGCATTGATCTTGTCGTTTGTCGAGATGTGAGTCCACAGAGGTGTAGTCGGTCTGAACAGCGTTCTGAACTCTTGCAGGTTCCTGACCGAACATTAGCATACGTCGATTTTCCAGGGATTCTGGAGCACCCACCTCAAGAACGGCTTCGTCTCGTTATAATAAGCCAAACGAGAAAAAGTATGTAGCCCACTCTCTGTGTCCCTCAAAAACCAATACTGCTCGAGCACTTGCCCAGTAATTGGATAAATTTCCGACATAACGATACCACCATAGGGTACTCCAGTCGAGTCACTGCCATTGAATAGTTTGAATGTAGCATACTTGCCGGGAGTATACGCGCCAGAAGGCACACAATAGCAGTCCAGATATGGTCCGATACCGTTCTGGCCAGCTGCATTACCACCAGGGGTGACTTCATTATACTCTTTCGTGCCGAGGAGGTTCTGCCCATCTAGAGTCAGGATATCCATGATTCCTGTTGACTTATTGACGGAGGCATATAGACGGTCATTGGCGATAACCAAAGCCTTGGAATCTTGAGTAGCATTAAGGAAGCCATGAACAGGGTGAAAGAAGGACAAAAAACACAATAGCAGTATGCACTGCAGTAAACGAGGTACTACCATAGTAAATGCTAGTAACTGAGACATAGCATCTCTACTTCTCACACACCTCTTTTATCAGGATATGATACTGAATGATCGACCATATTTACCCCATCTCTACCCCATCTTTCCCTTCAATTTCTCCGCAAAACATCTTTAGTCCGTGAGAGAGGAGGAAACATCATCGTGGTGAGGTTGCATACCACTTACGGTTCGGCGCATTGAGGACCGAAGTGCATGTTGCATAGCCCCCCCACGCCAAGTGCGTGCTTATTGTTCCGTTGGATCCTGATACCAAGACCATGCTCTGACTTTGCATGTCCACCGATATTGCTTAGCCCAGACAAGAAAAATCAAGACGGCTGCTGGAGAAACAAAGATTTGCTTTAGGATCTCAGCATATCAAACCAGACAGACTAATGATCTTGTCACACATCAGAGAGCAAAGATGATGGTCTAGGGTTACTTCCAACATGGGATCAGCATTGGCAGGTGACCTTGCTGCGTTATAATCTCGTATCCAAACATGCATGGGGAGCAGATTCCAACAGCTCGGGTCGATTTAACCGATGAGAAGATCGTCTCGAGAGATCATCCAGATGACTTGGCATTGACTTGAGTGCAGGATATCCGTGAAATCAACCCTAATGCATATTGACAACCAGGCGATATAGTGGATGTACACACATGATCACCTAACTATTTAGATTCAGAGGGTAACAGTAAACACGATTTGATATCAACAACTAAATATGACTAGCATCCAATCATCTTTCTTGCTCTAGTAGACATAGCGGAAGTTGGGGTTCTCTCTATCAGTCAGATCATCAAAAGCATGGGTATAAGAATCATCCGCAGCAGCTCCGACACCAGCAGCAGCCAAAGCATCTTTCTTTGCGTTACAGCGCTTAAGCCAGAAGCGCAAGAATACAATAACGATAACGAGCAAGACGTAGCAACCCATGTGCGTAGCGAAAGCGATAAAGTAACGAGGTGCATCGTAGCTCAAGAAGACTTGAGGTCCAATGGCATTGCCAGCAGCCCACGCGGCAAAGTTGGCAGCGACAACGACCGACTTTTTGGTTTGGCCACCAATGTTACGAGACAGCATTGACATGGCGAGAGTTTGTGCGGCCCAGAAGGAGAGAACGACGTAGTAGGAGAACAACAGACCTGCTTGAGTGGCAGTATTGGTGTTTACGACTGTCATGAGGACGATGGTTCCAGCAAAGGATGGGATGACGAAAGCTCCCATGACGAGCAGATTCTGCCCAGTCTTCTTTACGATCCAGGTCGAGGTAAGCAGAACAATGACAATGTAGGCACCAAGTACCATTGCAAGGAGTTGCGTCTGGAGAGTGGTAAAGTGAAGGCCCTTGACGATGATGTTGGCGAAGGCACCAAGACCGCTGGTCGGGAGCGTGGTGCAGATTTGGATCAACATGTAACAGTAGAGCTGAGGGTCCATGAGGGCTTCTTTGACCTGCTCAGGACGGAACTTTTTGTTCTGAAGACCAGTCTGGTTGGAGCGAACTCTCTCAACCATAAGTTTCTGCCACAGGTTAGAACTCTGCTTTGCGTGCTGGGGCTGTGATTTTGCTTACCTTGTCTTCCTCGGAGAAGCACTTAGCACGCATGGGCGAGTCGGGTAGCCACCAAAGTACGAAGATACCCCAGACTACAGAGATCGAACCATAGGTGATGAAGATGGCTTGATAAGACTTCACAGATCTGTCATTGCCAAGCAGGGAGAAGGCATAGGCCAAAAGACCACCCACAATCTGCTGAGCACCGTTCATGACGTACCAGTACGTTACTGTCTGTGCCTGCTCTTCTCTCTTGTACCAAAGGGATGACATGATCAAGAAAGCAGGCTGACAGACGGCTTCGAAGATACCCAGGAAGGTACGGCAGACAACGAGGGTCGTAAAGTTTGTAGCAGTAGAATGAAGTGCGAGAACGATACCCCAAAGGATGATGTTCAGAGAAAGATACTTGGCAATAGGTACGCGCTGAATGATCCAATTGGTTGGATATTCGACGAAGAGGACGGCGATGTAGATACAGGTTGTCAACCATGGAAACTGGACGAGATCAGCGTCTGTTTTTCAAAAAGACGGTGGATTACAATGTACCTTGTTCGAATCAAGCAGATTCAGATCTTCTCTGATACCCATGATACTCGTGAAACTCATCGTTCCCTTGTCAAGGGCTTGAATGAAGTACGTCAAGATCATGATAACAAGGACTCTTTTGTCAATCATCTTCTTGAGGCGCTTCGACTCTTCCTCGGAGATTTCGATACGCTCGCCAGCAGTATACTTGGCGAGTTCTTTATCCACACGTTCGTAGTTCATGTGGTCGCCCTTGAGGGTTTCATCGGTGGACATGACTGTCTCGAGGCGGACGAGATCGTCCTTCTCCATAGGGGCGGAGGCAGAATTGATGTTGGACGACATGGTCGCTTCAAAATTGACAAAAGTAGATGATAGACCAGAATGAGACGAAAGTCCTAGGTAAAGGTCGCTGAAGCAGAAACAAGGGATATGCCCTACGCTGCATGATCCTTTATCTATGCGTGAGGTTGCACTCGGTAGTCATTGTCCCATGCCCAGACGGACTAACCATCTCACCTGTTGCTTGTATGGGAACGTCTCTTCATCCGAGTTGAGTAAGCCCTGATGATCTTGGTGCATGTCCCATGGGGTTTGGGGTACCCCCCCCACACTCCTCCAGGCAATAGATGGGCGCCACTGGGGACGCCATCTCAACGGGCGGAGCGGGGAGGACAAGGTTAGCGAGTCAAGAAGACCAAACATCCGCTCGGATAACTCAGTCCGAAAGGCTTCCGGCGGGTTGATGTACTATTGGTGGATTGTGCAGGTTGTGGAGTGTGGTTAAATTGACTGCATGTTGCGTTGTGATCCTTCAGCTTGGCGGTCGGCTGCTCGGGGCAAAGATGTCGAGAGATCGACAACAGGTGAGGGGATACTTATTGCAAAGTACTATCTTGAGAAACATTGAGAGGTTGAAAACATTTGCCCTCTCTGCTTTGTTGGTTGTTTGCATTGCATTTTATTAGACGGACTGGACATAGAATAGAAGGAGTTGCTCACCATGCCTACCACTTTGCGTCTTCACGGCTACGAAGCCACTGATATTCACCGTTTTATCGAATTGTTGATTCACAATCTTGTCAATATCAAAGACACCACGGGTCGTTTTTTGCTCAAGCTTGATGATGGTAGAATCATTGATACAAAAGGTCAGCAATCGCTTGTCCACTCGTTTGAGGACAGCATGCTGACGCACTTCAGGCTGGAATGACTGGGAATGGACTCATGGTATCGGCCTCTACGGCCTGTACCAATATCACGCTCTAACAGGCTCTGCAACTGCAATGTCAACAATCCAACAATGGTTCCAAGGCCGTCTCGCAGAAGGCACAACCAAAAACATCAACACCATGTCACCCTTCCTGACCCTGGCCTACTTATATGAAAAGAGCCGAGACAATACACATGAAGCCTGGCTCGACTCATGGGCAGAGTGGGCAATGTACGATTTACCACGCACACCCTACGGAGGATTTCAACACATGACCTACGCCAGCGAGAACCACTACGAGCTTTGGGATGATACGCTCATGATGACAGTCATGCCTCTGGCCAAGATTGGTCTCTTGCTGAATCGTCCTCACTATGTGGAAGAAGCCAAGCGTCAGTTTATGCTCCACATCAAGTATCTCTTCGACACAAAGACTGGACTGTTCTTTCACGGCTGGAAGTTTGATGAGAACGCTCCGGGTGGTGTGGGGCACAATTTCGCGGAGGCCAGGTGGGCGAGAGGAAACAGCTGGGTCACTATCGTCATTCCAGATTTTGTCGAGTTGTTGAATCTGCCAAAGGATGATGCATTGAGGGTGCACCTCATTGATACCCTGGAAGCCCAATGCAAGGCTTTGTCAAAACTCCAAGCCGAGGATGGCATGTGGCGCACGTTACTCGATGTGCCTACGAGCGAAGGAAGCTACGAGGAAGCCTCCGCAACAGCTGGATTTGCATATGGTATACTGAAGGCGGTGAGAAAGCGCTACATCAGCAAGGAGTACGAGGCAGTAGCACTCAAAGCTGTCAAGGCCGTCATCGGAAGCATAAGCGAGGATGGAGAACTTCAGAACACCAGTTTCGGGACTGGCATGGGAAGCGACTTACAACACTACAAGGACATCCCAATCACCAGTATGCCATACGGACAAGCAATGGCTATGATGATGCTAGGTGAATTTTTGAGGGTCTTCGTCTAGATATAATGCTGTCAGTCTTAGAATCTAGCCTCCCAGAGATATGATGAGTTATCAGTAATGCTACACACGCCATGCTCCCAAAACTGTGCAACCTGTACGACATAACTAGACTATTCGTATGCCAGTGCTGCTATTTTCTGAACGTAGCTTCCATCACCCGAAAGTGTGGCGCGAGCAAACGCGGCAGTCAGGAGGGCGGCATAGGACCAAGTCAAGTCTGCCGCTCCCTGTGCATTTCCGTTGTTGCGGTTGAACTCTTCCGCAAGGTTACCTCCGGCTGGTGTGTGATACTTGATACGACGAATGTATGCATCACCCCAGCCCTGTAGACTGGCGATGACCGAAGCGAATTCCTTAGTGTTGGAGGAGTAGGTCTTGCCGGTTTTGAGACCAGCCTTGGGTGCGTAGTAAGCGAAGAATGGTGCAGTGACGTTGCTGACAGTCAAGCTGCCACTTTTCTGGTATTCCAAAGCAGCTGAGTAGAGATATTGAGCCATGGTGGCAGTTGTCAAGTACCATGGGTTACTAATTGGGCAATTAGTATGATGCTTCCTGGATATTCTAATCGCAACACGACTCACCCTCCGTTTGCTGATGTACCTACACCATTGTAAACGTCTTCGGGGTAGCGACTAACGTGTTATCAGCATGTGTCGATTTCGAGCGGATGTGTCAATCGTACCCTATAGGAATGGCAAGAGGAAGCCCATTCGAGTCCTTCGTTGTCTTGGCCACAGGATAAACGTCAAGGAAGCTAGTCGAGATTTTCAAAGCAGAGGCGAGGACTCTCTCGTTGGTGTACGAGTACACGCCGTCACCAGCATAGCCTGGCAGTATCAATCAGTGCCTTGTCTCGAAGACTGTATTCTGTACTAGACTTACCATGAATAACACCGAGGATGACAGCGATATCAATAAATGAGTTCTTGCCAGCCAATACTGGACCATACTCATAGAGAATGAGCTTTCTGTTGGGGCTCCAGAATTGGTCGAGCGATGCAGTGAGTTGAGTAGCAGCCGAGGAAAGAGTGTTGCTAGTTGCCGAGTCACCTAGCATGGTTGCAAACTTGGCGCCCATAACTAGAGCACGACGCTGTACAAGACGCGTGTAGAAGTGAGTACTCTCTTCCTCCTCCCAGAGATCGAAGCTGGGTGAGCTCCAGTTGCTGGCTACGAACAACAGATCTTTGAGGACTGGTGCCTTCTCAGGATTGGCCTTCGAGTCCCAGATGCGGTCGCGCACAGATGACAGGCTTCCTCCTTTCTTCATATAATCAGTCGCGAACTCCATAAGAGTAATTGCTGCGGTTGCAGGACCGTCATTCTGAGGACGACCCCAGGGACCCGTGAACGCTGTGTTGTTCAGGTAGAACTTGGGCTCTCCGAGACCGGCAAACGTGAGCGATGGATCTGTCTGTTCAACGGCCCTACCCTCAGCATAGTGGAACATGGCATCTTTGTACTTGCGAGTAAATTTGTCGTTGGTGGATGCAGCATAGAGGAATTCAACCACCTCCATGGTCAGCGACGAATCACGGACCCAGTCATACTCGTAATCTGGGAGTTTCTGATCGTAGGATGGCCCGGATCGAGCGGCGACAACGGTACCTTTGGCAGCGCCGTCGATGTCAGGATTGATGTTCAGGAACATGCGCTTCTTGGAGAAATCGGCCTGCGAGCCGCTCTTGGGTGCCAACCATGCAGTGATGTCGTCAGAGAAGCCGCTTGGAGTTGCATAAGGCGATGGGATAGCTGCAGGAGCAGGAGGGGCACTTCCACTGGCCTTGACGGTAAGTTGCAGTTGTTGTACATAAGTCTGGCCGATGTCCTTTGCCTGATAGGTAAGGTTCAACAATTGAGTGATCCCGTCCAAGTAGACTGGCGTGTTTGCACTCCAGAATTCGTAGTTGGTGTCTGGAATGCTAGAGTTGTAGCCGAGAGCGACGGATGTCAAGGGAGTCGAGACACCCTGACTATCGCTGTAGTACAGAGTGACTACCTTGTTGTAGTTGACATTGGCAATGTAGACAGAGACGTCGAGGCTTCCACCGCAGTATGAGTACGAGCGTAGGGCGACATTGGTGTTGCTCGGTACCGCTGCTTGGACCGTCGTGGTTTGACAAGGGGTGTTCTGAGCGATTGACGACGAGGGGTAGAGTGCCAAAAGGCCGCCTAGGGGCAAGTATCTGAGCAACATGTCGCAGGATGAGTTGAGCACAAGCTGCATTGCCGGCGATCCCAGCATTTTGTATATTGCTATCCCGATGCACCTTCCCGAAGTGAAGCTCTCCTAACCAGACCGTCGGTGCAATTGTCGGAGGAGGAAATTACATGCATGCAGTGAACGCTGCAAGGAAGAGCGGTAGCGGGGTTTTGACTTCTCCATGCCCTTAGCGACCACCAATCACCCTTTGTCCTTCACTTTGGTCACACGCAGAAGGCAGGTGGTCGCCCGCAGCGAAGTGCACGAACCGTTCAAGCTTTCTTCCCCGCACGCGACCTCCACGCGATCCCTTTCTGACGCAACTCGTCATCAAATCTGAGTGCTCACCTCCTCGGCAACCGGATCTGGGGTAAATAATAGCTTTCACATGCCATCATGTGTTTTCAGACCACATCTTGACAGGTAATTGTTGTGATAGACGGCCATCAGAGCAATGGCTCAACATAGGGCAGCGTCACTATTCGAGCTCAAGGGTAGCACCAGAGTCTAGAACTCCCCCTGATCTGTACACAGACCGAACTTCCTAATTGGGTCAAATGGGCCTGTTTTAGAATCAACCGGTCTGCCTGGTGTAGTCGAAAACCGGACTCCACTACACTTCTGCGTCCATGTGAAGAGGCGTTCTAGCCGTGCAATGACAGCCACTCTCGCGTGATGCAGGAGAAAGAGGAATGTCGTCCCCACGGTAGCGAAGAGTTGTGGTAAAAGCCGTAGGAGTAACCAAACTCCCGCATGAATTCAGTGATCCATAGTCGCCTATAGCAGAATGCTCGCATCCCTGATCCACCCACGAACCAAGGCCTCACGTACTTCCGGATCAGTATGTAAAAAAACTTCAGCAAGGTTTTGATCCTGAAATCGCTTTACAGCGGCCACTCTTTGCATAACTGGCAGGGATGAAAACGTTGATTGGAAGAGAGCAGTTGCTGCCGCTACTGGAGATATTTGAGAGGTGTTGCCATAGTAGGCTCGTAAAGTATCTGAAGGTCGTGATTGTGATGGTGGTGACTCGCCTAGGAGGATACGTTTTGCCTGGTTGGATAGGCTGGCTTCAGCAGGTCTCTTCGAGGATAAGAGAGCTGTGTGAGGGGTATATAGATGTCTGTGATTCAGATGCTCAGATATGAGGCTTGTGCTTTCTTCACGAGACTGGGTTGGCAGATGGTCCTGAAGTTGTGGCATCGTAGACTCGTAGGGTGACTGTGGTAGTTTGACCGATTGGCGAGCATCAGGTATCAAGCTCCGAGCCGTAGATGGAGAGTTCGAAGACTCTTCTTGATTAGGGTCGAAAAGGTCGGTCAACTCTGCAAAGTGTCTCAACGGAGCTGCCCTGAATTTCCTGGCATTTGGGTCTTGCTCTTTGTAGTAATTCTCGAGCACTTCATCGGTGTTTGTAGGTACGCCATTTGGTAGACGTGACCATCCGGTATTCAAGAGATTGACGTAGGTTCGCCAGTCGTTCCTCAAAGCACCAAGCTTGTTCTTCATACGGATATCGTCGCAAAGGTCTGGTTGCATAGACCTTGCCTTCATAATTTCGGCGACGCGTTTATATGCTTCTTTTGTGAAGCCAGATGGGACAGTCTTGGTTGGAGCACCCTGCATACCTTTCATAGTGGCGATGAAGGCCAACTCCATGTCGTTTGTCCATTTGAGCTGTGTCCTGGCCGCCTTGACGCCAGGCGAGTCGGTAGAAATGGAGGTCTCGGGATCCATGGTGTTTAGATTATGGGTTAGGAATACTGAAGCGAAAAACAGCTTCTCGGAGAAGTTTGGGATTTGTGCGAAAAACTGATGGTCGCCAGCCTTGCGACACCAGACCAGGGTCACTGACGTACTTGGAACCAAATAATTCGTGACAGGTCCTAATCTCGGGCCAACAGATTGTACATTCGACACTCCCCCAATTGCATCGAGTCTTAGCGCAAAGATGAGCACGAAACCAACGATTGCGCCTCTGGCAACATTGACGCCAGCTTCCAACACACGCACATGGCTCTCGTCGCCTCACCCGAACCTCCCCATCGTCGCAACGGCATGCAGTGACCGCAGCGTGCGCGTCTACTCGCTCAACTCGTTCAACCTCGTCAGCAACATCACCGGCGGCCACAAACGCAGTATCCGCAGTGTAGCTTGGAAACCCGACAGTGGAACCTCTGCTCTGGGCGAGAGTGTGCTTGCAACAGGCAGTTTCGACGCCAGCGCCGGCATCTGGAGACGATGGGAGGGCACAAGCGGCAAACTGAACAAGTCGGTGGACAACGAGGTCGACTTTACAAAAGATGGCGGAGATGACGAGGACGATGAGTGGCGCTTTGCTGTCGTCCTCGACGGCCACGAGTCGGAGATCAAGAGTTTGGCTTTCAGTCCTACTTCGCCCTTGCTTGCTACATGCAGCCGTGATAAGAGTGTGTGGATCTGGGAAGAGCTGGAGGACGACAACTTTGAGACTGTCGCTGTCTTACAAGAGCATGAGGGCGACGTCAAGTGTGTCTGCTGGCATCCTTCAGAAGAACTACTAGCCTCATCCAGTTACGATGACAACATTCGCCTATGGAGAGAGGACATTGACGACTGGGGTTGCTGCGCTGTGCTTACAGGTCACGGTGGCACAGTCTGGTGGGTCGAATTCGAGGGCGCCACACAGCCAGGTCTCAAAGCAGAAACAGAGCAGCAAAAGCGACTCCTAGAGCTCAGAGAAGCTGCTGGTCCACGCCTTGTCAGTTGTTCAGACGATCTCAGCATCCGTGTCTGGCGACGCATCCCCAAGGACAGACCCAATGGTGCCCCCCAAACTGGTCCCAGAATCCCCAGCATCATCAAGACAAATACCATCGAGGAGGAATGGGTACCGGAAACCGCTCTGCCCCAACAACATACACGCGCAGTCTACTCCGTCTCGTGGAGCAAAACCACAGGTCGTCTTGTTAGTGCAGGCAGTGATGGCAAGATCATAGTCTATGAGGAGCGATGGGCAGCCGACCAGGCTACAACACAAATAGAGACCACAGACGGTCCCAAGGAGATCGCAAAGACAGAATGGGTTGTTGTGGCCGAGGTCGGTGACGCGCACGATGTCTTTGAGGTCAACCACGTGTGTTGGGCCAAGCGTAGCGACTCTGGTCGTCGCAGCGACAATGAGGAGATCATCATCAGTACTGGAGACGATGGTGAGGTGCGCGTATGGACTCTTGAGAACTTGTCATGATACGATTTCGTATGAACTGGATATGCGTTTCATGCACAATTCCTCGACACCCCCATCGTCTGTGGTCAAGAAGATCTGATGAGTTGCTGGTGTCAAACCAGATTGACACACGAATGGACGGAGAAGCATATGCAGTCCCAGACGAATCTCGAGTGGCGAGGATAAGGAACCAAGCAATGCTGCAGATACGTGTCTCGGAGACCCTGCTACGATAGCTCGCTATGCACCTGATGCTGCCCCCCACATGTATAGATACACATAGACGATATCAAGATTAATGATGTTATACACATTTTCAAAACCAACTGACACCTATATCCTTCTCGAGTAATCTTGAAATACCTGAGGATCATGCTCCAGCCTCGTACAGCCAGGACCTCGACATGTTTCTGCTTTGCCTTGTGACAATATAGACGTTTCATGTCGATCATACCAAAACGTGTTTCCAGAAGAGGCCATGTAACGAGTCCTACCTTCAGAACTTCCTACATGCTAGGTCTAAAAGTCAGGCAGCTCGTACACAAGATACATAGCTTTAATACTCTCATCACCTTCGCACCCCTATCCACATCACTTTTTGGACCATAACTTTTACAGCACAAAACCCATCATCACAAAGCGAAAAAGAAAATCACCCCGACGCGATTGTCTATTGCTCAGCGATACTCGAAATGCATAGAACGACACTCTCATACACAGCTATAGCCACACTCGTCGCCATCTGCGCTACAGCAGCACCAACTCCTCAACCCACTATCTTCCCACCCATGAACTTTCACGGCGTACCACAACAGCGTCCCGGTCTTTGGGAGTACAATATAACCACCACAAACGACACTGTGATTTCTCCTGACGTGTCTCATGTTGATGAGCAGGAAGGGGATGGTAATCACAGTGCATCTGTTCTGGGCAAGCGGAACGAAAATGTCAATGAGCTTGTGGATTTTACGAGGTTCAAGGCTGAGGAGATGGAGGAGTTGAAGGTGGAGAGTAGGAGATCTTTCGGCGGAGGCGAGGAGGGAAAGAAGGAGGAAGAGGAGCAGACGATTATGCTTGGGGCGCCGATCTCTTTTCCTCGTGGCGAAGGGGATCAGCAATAGAGATTCTCAAAGTTGCGCGGCATAGATCTGGGTTTGGTAGAGGTATTGACGTAAAACTGACCTCTTACATGTAAATCTTTTTTGTTTGAGATGTATGCTACCTACGGTTGTTGCTGCTGACCGATACTGTGAGCGGGTGTTTGGCAGAGGTGTTTCCTCGCGACGCCTTTCTTTCAAGGCCGGTTGCTTGCGCCCTGGCCGAAATGTGAATCCATAGCGTCGTTTTATAGTGAAGGAGCTGCATGGTCCATGATGTCGCTGAGCTAGGGTCACATAGCGGGTACCGAGGCTGCAAGCTCATACACGAATGTTCGTATACGAGAGTTGATGGCGAAACAAGGTACGCGCGGTCTTTCAACCAGCCTTGCGCAGCGAGTTGTAATGCTCTCCCAGACCAAAGCCATGTCTGTAGTATGCCAGCCACAACTGCTTATCCTCGGCATCGCCCTCTGGGTTGATCTCTTCGACTCTGCCATCACCTTGCAGCACGCTGATAGCGACGCCGTATTTCTTGGCTAGAGCCATCAACTCGAGCTGACCACCCCACTCTCCAGTGTTTTTGATCTTGTAGATGTAGTAATCGAGCGGCTCCTCCAAGAAGGGCGCAAAATCCATGGGATGCGATTCGATGTACTCGGCAGCGGCTTGTCGTACAATCTTGTATGGCTCCAATGTGCTAGCAACATCGGGGGATTCGGAAGGAGCAGCTCCCAAAGGCATGCCTAGTTGTTCGAGTTGATCGGCGACGGCAGAGTATAGACAATGACCATCGGCGCGGATCTCCTTCTCGGCCAGCTTGCGAGTAGCGAATTGCTTCAGCATGCTCTCGCGCTCGACTGCTTTGAGGTTCGGGATGTCTTGTGCTTCTTCGGCGGCAGATGCGATAAGAGCTTCTTGCTCAGCGGCGCGGCGAGCAAGACGGGCCTTTGCGCGATTCTGTCTCTTCGGTGCGCGTTCGTTGGGCGCATCCGACGGGGCGGAAGAGGTCGGTTGTGTTTGAGTTGACTTGTCTTTGTCTGCTCCAGCAATCTCCAGACCTTCTACGCCCTTGGCCAATTCATCTTGTTCTTGCTCTTTCTCCGTCTCGTCTTCGAGATCGACTGTCGGTGCCGCCATTGCTTGAAGCTCTTCCTGGTGGCGGGCCTTCATCTCGCGTTCCAGGTTTTCGCATTCATCATTGACACCCTTGCGCGTCTTCTTGGTTGCACCCTTTTTCTTTTGCGTCACTTTTGATTGTAGGTCCTTGGCCTCTTTGCGATGGCGCTGCTGTAGCTCTTCCATCATCTCTGCCAATTGGACGCCCGAGGGTGACAGGTGTGACAGATCAGAGTGTCGCAAGCAGAAAGGTGAACTTGTCATGGTCACGATGCCCGCCAAAGCTTCGAAGCTTTGGTGCCAGCCCGCTCTTCCGACCACTTCCACCCTTCAAACATAAAGACAATGACGTTCGCCTCTTGCCTGTCAGACCGTTACATCGTTATTCATCTGTCGAGAGGGCGAACCTCCACTCTGTCTATCATTTGATTATTTAAACATGACTGTATAATCTAGTCGATACCATCTTTTACGCCAATATGCCCCAACATGCGAGGACAGGCGTGACTGTCGCCTTGACCGCCGCCTTCTTGGCCTTGACCACTCTTTTCGCCGCCATCTATGCTTTCGGTCTTCCAGAACTTGATTACTGGCACTGGAGAGCAACTCTGAATCCCTTCAGAAATCTTCCTTCCACCCAAAATGTCCTTGATGCATTCCCCAAACCCTCGGCCGAGGATAACTACCTCGTCGGCGTCGGCAAGGCTGATATCACTGGTCCCGTCGTAGAAATCAACCTTATGGGCTATGCAGACCCGAAACAACTCGGCTCTGGTGTGAGACAGCGCCTTTACTCTCGTGCTTTCATTGTTGGCGATACAGCCAGTCCTGGTGACCGTATTGTCTATCTTGTCCTGGATACCCAATCCGGTGATACTGCTGTACGCAACGGTATCTTGGAGGGTCTGAGAGACCTTGGTCCCGAATACGATCAACTCTATGGTGGTCAAAATGTTGCTGTCACTGGAACTCATTCTCACTCTGGTCCTGGAGCTTGGTTGAACTATTTGTTGCCTCAGATTACTAGTCGGGGATTCAGCCATCAAAGCTACAAGGCCATTGTGGACGGTGCTCTGGAGTCCATCAAATTGGCACACGAATCGCTCAGTCTAGGTCAACTTTCAATTGGCTCGGTCGACATTGAAGATGCAAACATTAATCGCAGTCCCTATGCCTACTTAGCCAATCCGGAAGAAGAGCGCAACAAGTACGAACACAATGTCGACAAGACATTGACTCTGCTCAAGCTGCGTAGAAATAGTGACAACAAGGACATCGGCGTGTTGACCTGGTTCCCTGTACACGGAACGTCGATGCTGGGAAACAACACTCTGATCACTGGCGACAACAAAGGCGTTGCTGCTTACCTTTTCGAGAAGCATGCTGCTCAACTGGACTCGGCTGCCGATGATTTTGTTGCCGGCTTCTCGCAGGCGAATGTCGGAGATACGTCACCAAACGTCAATGGAGCTTACTGCGAGTTCGGCCCTGATGAGGGCAAGCAATGTGACTTCAAGACAAGTTTGTGTGCCGGCAAGAACGAGCCATGTCATGCGCGGGGTCCTCATTGGGGACTGAACGATGCAGGTACAGCATCTGCTTGGGAGATCGGTCGCCGACAGTACCTCGGTGCTCGCTCGGTGTACGAGTCAATGACCACCAAGTCCACTTTCATTCCTGTCCAAGGCAACGTTGTTCGCTCCCTGCACACTTTCGTTGACATGTCGAACCAGACCGTCACCTTGAGTAACGGCTCTACTGCCCATACTTGTCCTGCCGCAATGGGTTACTCGTTTGCTGCAGGTACTACCGACGGCCCTGGTGCATTCGACTTCAAGCAGAACAATCCTGGCGATCCTAACGCAAGCCCGGTATGGAATGTTGTTCGTAATAGCTTGCACTCCCCTGGTCCAGAGCAAGTTGCTTGCCAGGCACCGAAGCCGATCCTCCTCGATGTAGGCGAGACTGAGAAGCCCTACCTCTGGACGCCAAACGTCGTGGACATACAACTCTTGCGCATCGGCCAATTGCTCATCATCGTAGCACCAGGAGAAGCTACAACCATGTCAGGGAGACGCTGGAAGGGTGCACTCCAAAGCCATGCTCTAGCCGCCTGGGCCGAAGAAGATAACGAAGCAGAACCCATCGTCGTACTCGGTGGTCCAGCAAACACATACGCCCACTACATCGCGACCGAGGAAGAATACGGCATCCAACGCTACGAAGGTGCATCAACACTCTACGGTCCTCACACGCTAGCCGCATACATAAACCTCACCCTTACGCGTCTTCCCTACCTCTCGCGCTCCTCAATCTCAAATTCACCTCTACTCCCCCCCTCACATCCTACCCTACCCATCCTATTACCCGGTCCTTCTCCACCCATCCACACAAACAGCTCTCTAAGCTTCATCTCCCCCGTCGTCTTTGACCGCCCCCCTCTCTTCAAGTCTTTTGGCGATTGCATCAAAACCCCCTCCCCTCGCTACGTCATCTCCTCCTCTCCCATCATTCAAGCTTCCTTCATAGCAGCAAACCCTCGCAATAACCTCCGCTTGGGGGCTACATTCGCAAGTATCGAGAAATACTCTAGTCAAGGAACCTGGCAAAAAGTGCGTGACGACCAAGATTGGAGTCTTGTGTTTGAATGGGAAAGAACCAGCACAACAGTTGGAACTTCTCAAGTCGTCATATCTTGGGAACTAGGTTGGGAGATTGGGGATTGGGGAAGGGCGAATGAGGATAAGAAGCTAGAGAAGGGGGATGCTGAGTTGGAGCTAGAGTTGCAGAAAAGAGAGCATGTTGTAGAGACGTTGAAGGGAAGGTATAGGATTAGGTATTTTGGGGATAGTAAGGGGATTGGAGGGGGCATTACGGGCTTTGAGGGGGTCAGTGGGGAGTTTGAACTTGTTTAGTCTTTTTTCTTGGAGGTGGTGGTTTTGTGTATGTAGTCTGGTGTACTTGAATGTGGCTTTCTTGTCTGTTAATTCCTTTTGAGTGAGATTCTTTTTGACGTGGGCTGTGGAACAGCAATAACATTGGTTGAGTTCATGTCTGTCTATGAACTCTGTTGATTAGAATCATTCAATCTCTCCCTTGACTCGTGAGTTGTTTCTAGGAGGCGACATCTACAGTGGAATTACATGGCCAGGATTATCCTCTTTACCACTATCGTGTTTCTCCAATATCAATCATTCTGTAACAAGAAAGCTGGTTCCCCCATCAGTTGGCGATCCATTGATGCACCTAATATACAGGACCCCTGAAAAGTGGTCGAATGTCGTCTGATGTCTGAGAGCGTCTCCTGGATGAGAAAATCCTCTTCACACCGTACTATCACTCACTCACCGCAACCGCAGATCACATCGTGTACATTGAAAAAGGGCAACCACGTCAAGTAATTAACACTTTCGAATAGAATGGTGTGAGCTATATAGAAAAGAGAACAAACAAAGTGAAGCAAAAACGACATCGGACGACAAACGAAAAGGGGAATAAGCTACATAAGAAAAACGACTCGTAAAAGACGCGCAGTGATTACAACAATTACAAACTCCTTTCCAGACCACACACACCTTTTGTCGGAGAGCCTTTGATCCACATCCAAGATTACCACACGATGGGGGCGTGGCTCGGTTGAGAGTCCATCACGCCCGGATAAACGAGTCCGTCTGTTGACGTGTGAGTTAACCTCTGAACTTCTCCTTGAGCTTGGCGAGGAAGCCCTTCTTCTTAGGCTTGCCGTCCTCGTCGACCTTGGAGGAGCCAGCGACGCTGGTGCGATCGCTCTGAGGAGTACCGCGGAAAATCTTACTAGATCTCTTGGTGGCGTTTCTCTGAGGGGTGGTGGGTGCACTGCCGGAAGTGGCAGGAACGCTGTGTGTCTCGGTGCCGGTGGTGACCTGAGGCTCCGACTGCTTTGATGACTCGGGGCGAGTCATGGGCGAAACGTCACGCGATTGCTCGACAGGCGCGGCGAGAGTGGGAGGGGCGAGCTGCTCAGATTGAACGGGAGCAGGAATCTGAGCCTGGCTTTCAGCAGGAGCGTTCAATCCAGTCTTGGCAGCAATAGCGGATGTCTCTTCGTTATAGATAGGGGTCGCGCTAGTAGTGACTCCAGTAGTGGCACCAGACAGTCCGGCGTTCTCAGTGAAAGCTCCAGCGTCAGATGTAGCGGGCTGAACGGAAGTGGGCAAAGCACTGTGGCCACCCGTCAGATCACGCGGTTGCTCGTCGAAGCGCGAAGTCTCGGGAATAGTGGTGTTGTACGAGACAGGTGTGGACTCGACAGCAGGGGTGCCGCTGACGGCAGTAACACCAGTGGCGGTAGAGCTACCAGCGCCGAGAACGGCTGACTGCATGTCAGAAGAAGACTTGACAGGAGCAGTAGCGCTCAGTGCAGCGGTCTCGGTGGGTGCGGGTTCGCCGGCCTCGTAAGCGCGAGGTACGCGGTCGAGCAACTCTCTCTCAACCTCACTCTTCTCAGCGACGGCTTCGGGCACAGCGGAGGCCTCGGGAGCGACATGAGCCTGGTGCTGGGACTCAACGACTGCCTCAGGTACCGATGATGACTGGAAAGTGGGCGATGCGAGCGAGTTGTTGCTAGAGGGAAGACCTTGGTTCATGTTCTGGATGGCGGTGCTGATTGAGGCAGGCAAGAATGTAGTAGGATCTCTACCAGTAGTCTGAGCAGTCTTGTCACGAGCAGCATAAGCAGCGCCAGCAACAGTGGCGCCCAGGGCGGCTGTACCAGCGGCGATGCCAGCAGCGGCCTTGCCAGTCAGTCCTTGTTCACTGTTACCAAGGACACCTGACTCAGATGCAGCAGGGGCCTTGTGGACTTGGGACAGAAGCTCCTTCTCCATATCGGACTTCTCGTGCACAGCCTCAACATTGGCACTAGCCTCCGGCTCGACGTGAGCTCTCTCTTGACTCTCCTGGACGACTTCGGGAACTTGCAAAATTGAAGAGCTCAATCCAGTAGACTTCTCAGTGGTGTCGAGATCTCTGCCAGTCAAATTGGCGGCCTTGTCGCGAGCAGCATATGCAGCACCTGCAGCGGTCGCGCCAATAGCAGCGGCACCAGCAGTAAGACCAGCAGCAGCCTTGCCAGTGATTCCTTGTTCGCTGCTACCGAGAACGCCAGACTCGGTTGTGGCAGGTGCCTTGTGGACTTGCGACAACAGCTCCTTCTCCATGTCGGACTTCTCGTGGACGGCCTCAGGGTTGGCGGAAGCCTCAGGTTCGACATGAGCCAACCCCTGACTCTCGTGCACAACCTCGGGGACCTGCTGGAAGCCAGAGTCTGACTCAGGGACATCTCTGGTGGAGGCGGGGAGACCGACGGACTCATAAGCCTTGTTTGCCTGTGTAGAAACAGCAGCGGTAGCGGCAGCTACGCCAGCAGTGGCCTTCTCAGCGATTCCCTGTTCGCTGTTGCCCAGAATACCAGATTCGGAGGTGGCGGGGGCCTTGGAAACCTCGGAAAGAAGCTCGCCCTCCATGGCACTCTTCTCGCGAACGACCTCGGGCACAGCAGAAGCCTCGGGGTCGACGTGAGCGCGCTCCTGGCTTTCGCTGACGACTTCAGGAACAGAGCCGTCAATGGTAGGCTCCTTGTTCAAACCAGTGTTCTCGTAGGCATTGGTAGCCTTGTCCTTAGCAGCGTAGGCAATTCCGGCAGCAGCAGTACCAAGAGCAGCAGTGCCAGCGGCGATCTTGCCAGTGATGCCACCCTCGCTAGCACCAAGCAAACCAGACTCGGATGTTGCGGGAGCTTGGGGGATGGAATGCTTCAGTTCATCCTCAAAGGCGGCTTTCTCGCGAACGGCTTCGGGGGATGCAGATGCCTCAGGGTCGGCATGAGCTCTCTCCTGGCTTTCGTGGACGACATCAGGCACCTGCTTCGAGGCAGGAGCGGGCTCGGTGGCGTGCTGGTAGGTCTCGGTAAGCTTGTCCTTGGCAAGAAGAGCAGCGCCGATAGCAGTGGCACCCACTGCCGCAAGACCGCCAGCGATGGCCTCGGGAATGTGAGAATCTGAAACAGCCTGAGTGGTGTTGGAGGCGGCTTGGGACACGCTCGTAGCAGCGTTAGAAGCGGCATCAGCGACAGGGCTACGATCAGAGGTAGCATTCTCCTTGGGAATGGTCTGTTTCAACTCGCTCTCAACAGCGGCCTTCTCACGAACAGCTTCGGGGTTGGCAGCGGCCTCAGGATCGACGTGGGCAGATTGTTGGCTGTCCGAAACGACGTCAGGTACGCCAGTAGCAGAGCCGGACTCGGTCGTAGAGTTTGCCTCGGGCACCTTGTCTTTGAGCTCCTCTTCAACAGCGTGCTTGCTCTCGACGGCCTTGGTGGAGGCGGATGCCTCGGGGCTGACGTGGGCCCTCTCCTGGCTCTCATGAACAACCTCGGGGACTTGGTGCGACGCAGAGTCTTGTGTGGTAGTGTTGAGATCTCTGCGACGTTCAGTGTGGGGTTCAAGAGGGACCTGACCGGCGAGCTGAGCGGTAGTGCTTTGAGGAGCGGCGGATGAAGTGAAAGCGTTTTCGAATTGAGGAAGCAGATCCTTGTCGTTGCTGGCGCCGTCTCCCATGGGAAGGCTGGACTCAGGAATCATGTTACCACCAATAGAGGGCAGGTTGAACATGGAAGCGCCGTTGGCCTCAGCCTCGCTCTGAGTGTCCAGAACCGGGGGGAGGACGGGAGCACCGGTGTCGCTAACACCGAATTCCGAACCACCATGGCGAACAGTGGATTGGACGGTGTTGGAGGTGATCTTGCTGTGGTGGGGTACGGGCTCGCCAGGAGCAAGCTTGATGGGGTTGCCAATACCAGCAGTGGCAGGGATAGGGTTGACGCTGAAAGTCTTGGTGTCCTCCTCTTCTTCCTTGACAGTAGACGGAGCGTAAGCGCCGGGCAGGTCGTTTTCGTTGAGCTCGCGGGTGCGGGACTCGTTGGCACCGTCAGTGGACAAAGCGGCCTTCGGCTCGGGGTCGTCGCGCACTGTCGAGTGAACGGTGTTGGAGGTCAGAGTGCTCGGATGGGGAACAGGCTCGCCAGGGGCAAGCTTGACGGGGTTGGAGGGGCCTTCAGTAGCAGGAATGGGGTTAACGGTGAACTGGTTAAGGTCAGCCATAGGTGTAATAGGGAATTGACCGGGCAAGTCCTCGAAGCCGGGGGTTTCGGGCGGAAAGGTCGTCTCGTTCTGCTCCGGTTGGGCCTTTCTTTCCTTTTCGAGTGGTACCTGGCCAGCGAGGGCGGCTGTGGTGGATTGAGGGTGAGCTGACGAGATGAAGGCTTGCGAAGGTCTCTCTTCAGGCTCAGGGCTCAGCTCTCTAGCCTCGACGACATTGTTAACATTGCCCGAGTCATCTGTCTCCTGCTTGGCAGTCCAGTCGGTCGTCCAGTTGCCGTCGACAACGAACTGCATGGCGTGTCAGTCGTGGTTATTGAGCACTGTATAATGACCAATGCTTGCCTTGTAGTGGATCCTGCTCTCCTCGCCAGGAATAGTCACGGTCTTGCGGAACCTGTCACCACTCTTGTCCAGCTTGATCGACTTCCCCCAGTTGTCGAAATCGCCTGTCACATAGACTTCTTGGGCAGGGTGATCCCTAGTGTAGCATGTCAGTTCAGGTGCTCGTTTCAAGTATGGTGCGGTGCACGCGCGCTGCACTGGCTGCGAGGGCAGCGATTGAGAAGTCCGCACGCAGAACCAGGCTGCTAAATGCGACGCGATTGCGAGAGCAGAGAGAGTCGTATGCGACTTACCATGTAAAAGTATAGTTGCCCATGTCGGCTCGCAATCAGCAAGGTCGGGTTGCAAGAGTTGAGTGGCCTCTAGGGAAACGGCCTGTTGCGAAAGCTGACGGCGTGGTTGAGGTGTGGATAATGCGCTGGTTACACAAGAGATGCGCGCGCGAGAGCTTGCAGGATGAACAGCGAGCAGTTTGACACAGACCAGGTTCGTGTTCGTGCGGTGGCTTCGTGTGGCTGGTGATGGATTTACTTGGCTGACGGACGGGCTGGGCTGGCGGTCGCGTCTCGATCGCTGACAGGGAACTTGACGGTGTACGTGTTTTGGAGGTACAACGGTTGAAGATACGAGAGAGATCACTCGACAAACCATGCGGTTCTGTTATACTTCTTGTACAATTTGTTTAGGCAGATTGAGCGACCTTTCTCAATTCGATGTGCCTTGGAAGACAAAGACGTCATGGCGGAGCACGTCCTGGTTTGGTTCCTACGAAAAGCTTCCTTGGTGGAACTGCATATCAGACGGCTGGCAGTCCTTAAGCGGCAATCGCTCTCCATAGCCTGTACGGCCGAAATCTAGCTGTAGAGATGCACGGAGTTGGTAGATCTTGTGATCACCCATCAAGAGTCGTCGATCGAAAGGACATTGTTGTACGAAGCCTGTAGCCAAAGGATCTCGAGCCTTTGTCAAGCCGAATCTTTGACATCGCGGCGCGAAGAGACGGGCTCGAACATGCAACTGTCATGCAGCCCACTGCAGTGCGTTCTGTATCGAGTCCTGCTCACCGCCGACGGGAGCTTAAGATGCTCGAGTGATGTCTCCCTATTCTGGTACAAGCAGTAAGTACTGTACAGGCTCTGGTGAGAGGACTACATCCATGACCTAGATATTTTTCAACAGCGAGATCAATCAGTTGCCTACCAATCTGATCCAGAGATGACATGTGTACCGATGTCATGGTCTTGGCGTGTCGCTATCCTGCAAGCAAAGCACGATACCGCAGCGTGAAGCAAGGCCGGACGCTGCCTCGAGTGTTATTCGAGTATCCTGTAGGATATACGGTAATTACGATGAAGCAGCGTGAATTGTCCGTCCTCCCTGTAGCCTTGCTGGGTCAAAGTGTCGGGTGTTGAGCTTCTGCTATGTGACCGTTTGTCAATCCAGAGCTGTGCCGTTTTGGCCTTCTCGAAGGAGTAGCAAATAGTGCCATGAATAGTGGCAGTTGCGAGTACTAGCGAATGAGATCAACTGGTCCCCCCAAAAGCGCGTAGCTGCCAGCTCGCACTTCTTCCTTCACCACTCGTCAATACATTTCCATCTGTGGTTGTTCAAAATTGAAGCGTGAGATTTGGCAGATATCATTGCAGCTCGCTCGTCCAAATTGCTTCTGTCGTCACGCGCCACGACTTCCCCCCATTATCTCATTGGCCATCGGTCGCAGTTTCCCCCTCAATACCCTGAACAAAGTCACTACGCACCAGAGCATCCATCAGACTGCAGCATCGCATCAGCTCCATCACGCCTCCAGTCGATCGAAGGTGACAGCTGCATCGAAACAAAGAACCCCACTACGGCAGTGTAGCTCCACGTCTGCGGGCTCCTGCACAAACGTCCCGACACAAGCTCTCCCCAAGCTCCCAAGTACCTCTACCAACCCTCAGAATGGCCCTTCCCGCCGACTACAAGCACGAGATCGAAATCCTCGAGCGCGAGGTCCTGCAATCAAAGCCCACCGACGTCTTGCAGTTCTGCGCCAACCACTTCCACCGCCGACTAGAGTCTCAGCGACACGAGTTCCTGCTGGGCGCACAGCATTCCACCAAAACAATGGCCGAGAACAACTTCCCCGGCAGCAACCCCTTCCACCACATCCAGCAGCCTGGAATGCAGCGCCTCGAAGAAGAGGATGAAATGGACACGTTCGCCTCGCCCACCGCCGCCTCCTTCCCTAGCAACGCAATGACCCGCGACGCTTCGCCCTTTGCTGCGAATGCAAACCCCTTCGGAGCTAACAACTCGGCTTCGGTCAGCAGCCCCTTCGCCTCATCCCAAAGCTCCGATCCATCGGCCAAAGCAAACGATGGTTCCTTTGGAGGCTTCAACTTCGGTTTCGGCGGTGCTCAGAACACTGGCAGCCGCGACCAGAGCTCTGGCGCAGGCGGCAACCGCCAACAGACGGACGTTCCGCAAAACTTCCCCAACAACTACAACATGGGCCGTCGTGTCTCCGTCTCGGCCGAGGTGTTGGCACCTTCAGGTACTGATGACTCGGACTGGAAGCCTCCAACCTACCCCAAGACCCAGGAACAGCTTGGTCGTCTGCGTACTTCCGTGTCGCGCAACTTCTTGTTCTCTCATCTAGACGACGACCAAACCGAGCAGGTTCTGGGTGCGCTCCAAGAACGCAAGATTCCTGCAAAGGACGTCAAGGTCATTGCACAAGGCGATGTTGGCGATTACTTCTACGTTGTCGAGACCGGAAGCTTCGACATATACGTTTCATCGACTGGCAAGATCGAGCCTGGCGTCAATGGCATGGGCAACAAAGTTGCTTCATGCGGCCCCGGCACCTCTTTTGGTGAATTGGCATTGATGTACAATGCACCCCGTGCTGCGACTGTCAACAGCGCCGAGCCCAGTGTCATTTGGCAACTCGACCGTATCACCTTCCGTCGCATCCTGATGGACAGTGCTTTCCAACGCCGCCGCATGTACGAGTCCTTCCTCGATAGCGTGCCTCTCCTTAACACCCTTACCGCGTACGAACGCAGCAAGATTGCCGATGCTCTCGAAACTCAGAAGATGCCTGCAGGCAGCACAATCATCCGCGAGGGTGATGTGGGTGATCACTTCTACATGCTCGAATCGGGCACTGCTGCTGTCTACATGTCTGGAGTCGAGCAATCGGTCAAGTCATACAAGAAGGGCGACTACTTTGGCGAGCTGGCCTTGCTGGACGACAAGCCTCGTGCCGCATCTGTCGTTGCAGAGACCGATATCAAGGTGGCCATGTTGGGCAAGAATGGTTTCCAGCGTCTTTTGGGCCCTGTAGAGAGCATCATGCGTCGTGATGACCCGCGTGCTGGCACCGTCAAGACCGCTTCTTCTACCGCAGGACAGTTCATTGACAGCATTAACCCTTTCTCGTCGTCCTGAATGGCCGGGGAGCATGGCGTACACTTGTCTAAGCGACAGCGCTTGGACTGATATCATTAGGGAAGAATCAAGCCGCCATGGGTCCCGTCTTTCTTTCCTCATCCTTAGAGTCAGCTGAGCGACAGATGATTGGTCGTCGTCCTCATGTATTCCTTGCCTTATCTTAGGTTCTAGTAATGAGATAGCTTTGAACTACAGAACGTTTTGAAAATGGTACTTTTCGTCATGATCGAAATCACACAACTCCCTCCCGTAACTCTATCGACTTTTCCTTGATGCTTGTCGCCGAACAAGCATGTCGGCACGCGGTTGAGGAAGCGTACGTCATTCGATAACGGGTAAGGATCAACTTGGTCTACGCTTCCGGTTCCCCGTCCTACCACTCTTATATCACTGTAGAGGCTCTTCTCCTACTCTCTGCATCACCTACACATCGATCCATTGTTGTCGCATTTTGCGAAGTAACGTTCCTCTGTATCCCTCGTTGCTAGCCACCTACTGTTCGGGTCCATAAAAATCGCATTGCCTCTCGAAGCCGAATTCTCTCAGCCAATCCTCATTTTCTCTCACAATGGACTGCCTCCCCATTCCTTTTGTTTGCTTCCAATGCGGTATGTTCTCATCACTCGTACCACTTCAAGTAGGCGTGTTACTGACAATCTGCAGGTACCGATCAAAATCCTTGCCATTGCAAAGTAGTAGGCCCTACCATTGGCTTCGCTAGCGCCATTGTCCTCGCAGTATGTCATATTTTCACATTAGTATCAAGACCTCCGATCTGACACTAAAATAGGTTATCTGTTGGCCTGCTTCCCTCTTCTGTGGCTGCTGCGCGACCGAGACAGGAAAGAAGTAGGTTACCAGTTTATGGTCAACATAGGAATTCTTGCTGACGCGCGTACAACAGGATGCTCGGATACCCAGCGGATGCCAGCGGCAGAATCAGCAACGCAATACCAATCTAGCGCTCGTCCTTGATTTGGTGTTTTCCTCTGAATGGTTTTCTGGACTCGGTAATGATGGCGTTCTCAACCTGAGATTATGGTATGGCTGTGCTGGGCACAGTTTACAATGTTAATATTCAGCACATCAGATTGGCTGCAAAGTATAAAGGTGTACATGCTTTTCCTATCCAAATGCTACACTCGCATACAGGAGGTCGTGAAGTCCGTCACCGCGTGAGCCAGATGCGACTGTTCTCGGAGAGAGAGCTCCAAAGGGCTTCGACAGCCAAACGCGTCGGGTCTTTGAACAACACCCAACACTGACTCTAGCAACCACTCTACGATTCTTCACACGCCTCATTCAGCACACTCACCCCGCCGTCACTCGTCAAACTGATGCAGGCGCGCACAGTGATTGCACATCTGGTAGATTCTAGGCGCCAACTCTCCATTACTCTTGAATTAGCACGTGAAGTTGCAGCGCGCACAACACACGGTTGTATTGATCATCACGTTCGGCTATTAACGAATATCAACATCTAGAGGCACGCGTCTTCGGAAGCAATGTGGACGTGATCAACACAGATCGCACAACCAACAACATACATTCCCATCATCTTACCTCAAGCATGCGCCATGGACCCGCCGACATTTGTTTCTGGTGGTGAATCAGCCAAGCATGATAATCAGTTCAGCAGCCTCGAAGACTACTTTGGTCGATCAGGATGGTGGCTGGAAGGTGCGCAGGCTCTCGGTTCCTTCTTTGATCAGGACGTGCCTATTGCCGACACGTTTGACCAGCGACTGGACGACCTCTTGGAAAGGCTTGAGCCCTTGAAAGTGGTCGAAGAGTCTCAAGTATCAAGGAACGACGAAAAAAGCATTGAACCGTCTGACATGACTGCGAACTCTGTCACTCTCCAACTTGAGCAAGATCCTTGCCCCGGAGAACGTAACGAACAAGGCGACAAGACACACAACGATGTCGAACCTCAAATCCATGGAGCACAAAAGTCTCAGGTGTCTGAAAACCAGCCAGAGGCAGCGACCGACCTCGAGTCCCGCCACGAAGGTTCAGAGACTTTGCAATTTGAAACCCGAGTGCCAGCCCAGCTCGATCAGGTGAGTGTCACGATGCTGCTATTCGATGACTGGTCAGCTAACGCAAGAGCAGACAACATCACAGCCAAGTGGAGACAAGGTTTCACAAACTGTGGCTTCAGGCGACACCTTGTTGACCTCACCAGATCCGTTTGTGATTACCCAGCCCCGCGAAAGCTTAGCGTCGGTCTCCAATGACGTTTCTAAGAGTCTTTCGCCGTCAACTCAAGACCGCGATATCGCGAATCGAGCTGTGCTCGCGGGAACCAGTGGCGACCGCGAAGTCACCATCCCTTCGTCCCCTGTGTTCGGAACCACAGCCACGAGTACTCGACAGACGAGTCACAATTCGAGTACACGTGGAACATCTGTAGTCTCAGACATAACATCGAGCTTCGGCCCATCGTCACAGAAGCAGCCAGGTATCCAGATAGACACACGCCTTTTGTTAGAGACATCCAATCGTGGTTCTCTGATCAACCACACTACTGGGCACAGAGCTACCTCTCCCGTGATAGTAGACGATAGTCACGAGTCTGAGATCGATTCGGCAGCTCCAATTCTAATCGTCCAGGACATACCCAGCAACGACCTTGACGACAACTCTAAACACTCTGCGATAGACTCAGAGGCAGATCCAACAGGGATCCAAGCAATCAAGGATGAACTTTCTGATCAGCATGGCCTTGCTAGCATTGATGACATACCCTCCCACCAGCCTTCTGACGAACCCGGACAATCTTCGACAAGCCTCGAGACCGACCCAACGGGGCTGCAGGCAATCAAGGATGAACTATCGGATCAGTATGGGCTCATCACCAGTCCCGACTCACGCATAATTTCTCTCGAAGACGACGTCACCGTGCTGCACAATCCTTCCTCTGCCCCTGTCTCGTTTTTTCCACCAAACTCCTATTCGCCTCTTCTTAATGATCATAGTCTCGAAGCTATCGAGACTCAGGTTCAACCAACCTATGAATCACCGACGAACGTAGCTGATGAGCCACTTCAGGACACGCTGGGGGTCCAGAATCTCCCAGCAGAGCCCACAGCTCTTGATTCGGCTCCCAATCATCAGCAGTTTGTGTCTCACGGATTCTTGACTGAAGCTCAAATGATCAAGATACTTGCAGACACGCCGTCACCACCACCATTTTCACCATTGACTCCGCCCCTCGGCTTTTTCAACGCGATCGGGGTTGGTCAGGACACCATTGGCGGAGCCGAGCCAGAAGAACATAAGAGCAGCAGAATAATCACAGTGCCTTCGACGCTTAAACTGCCGTTCGTTAAGCTCACCGCGGTTACACATAAGAAGAAACACGGGGTTGAATCAGGCGGTACCGTTTTGAAGGCGGTCAGAGACACTCATACTGAGCTAGCAAAAGAGCTGACTCAACATCCGGAAGACAATATGCCAGCTATCGCCACAGCCGTTCACAAGGGCAAACGTAAACAGGAGAAATCACATGAGGACGAGCCAACCCATAAGAGACGCGTCTCTCCCATACCAGAGGCCGAAGATCCAACAACTGAATCGATTCATGACTTGGGAGCAAAGACAGCTCAGGGCAGATCGAAGATACCGGTACAGAAAGGCAGAAGCAAGATCACAACCAGATCGACCCATCGCGATTCTCCAGACGACCTCGCTTTAGCATCGCCAGACGAGCTTGCTCATCTCCCTACATCGAATCCATTCGTTTTGCAAAAAGGGCCTTTTTTGCTGGCAAAGCCAAAGGTCAACAGAGCAACACCGAGACGTTCGCGTGCCAAAAATCCAAGCAAAGATCCTACTACGACTACCACAACCGCTACTGCTCCAAAGACTACGAGAAAAGGACGTGGTAACATGGAGTTGGCCGGGCTACTCGAGTCCTCACCACCTCGCAAGGCTGCAGAGAAGGCCAAGGTTGATGTTGGTGGACGACTCCGTAGTCATCAATCTGATACCTCAGAACCTGCTTCGATCTTGACTTCTACACCTGCCTCAGCTCTCCCCGCATCCGCACCTCAACCTGAATCTATCATACAGACTGCAGACGTTCCCGAGGAAAAGACCACGGCTACTACAGCAACAGAAGCCCCACCGCCCAAGAGGCAGAGACTCACAGGCGCCAACCCCCTCGGCGCTCAAGAACTAAGCAATCTAGGCACTATCATTGAAACAAGAACCAGGACCAGAAACGCTACAGCTGAGCTACTCAACGATTTTCTCACCAAAGCTACTGCTAAGCGAGTGAGGAAGCCTGCCCAAAAGCCAGCCGCTGTGAGTAGTCCCTTCAACTTAACGTCAAAGTCAAAGGGTACTCCCGCTGCAGGCAGGAAGAAGGCCCCTACAAAAAGAAAGGCGCCAGAGTGAAGTAAAAATTGCATGCTTAAGTGCCAGCTCTGATAATGGAAAGTCGGAAGAAAGCAAGCAGCTAGAGACGAACATGACACTGTGCTCTCGCTTCGAAGGGGTTCTTGCTGTGGGAGATGCTGACAGACGTTCAAGTGAGTTTCTCGTTGCTTGGCTCAGAGAGAGAGGAAGTCGCATGGCAAAGAAAGTGCAACCTGCACGATAGCTACCTGCCTACTGAGATTTCTCAACTTTAGCTAGCCAATACAGCAGTAATAACACTTCATAGTTGCACTTTCCGTGTCCTGCTTTGCCCCGCGTTTCCTATCCATTCACTCATTTGCCGGTCTAGCGTACAGAAAGTCCCGGATACCTTCAATGCCAACTAGGCCCACTTACCGATAGTGCACATGAGCATGGCCCCCAGGAAGACACAGCCCATCATAAAAGTCAACCGCTTATTACTCCTCGTCTGCGGCTCAAAGATAAAGTCTCTAGCCAACAACTCCACCAATCCATTATATACCAGAATCCCAGCACTAATAGCATCAAAGACACCCACCATAAGCAACTACAACAACAGGTCAGCGACATCCCTTTCACCTCTCAATCATTCTGAACATGCGGAAAACACTCACCGATTCATAACTTCCAGCATTATAACTCCCCCTAACACCCAACCCCACCCCCATAGCAATAGGAGTAGTAACCCCATATCCCAAAACACAACACCAAGGTAACCAATTCTTATATCTTGCGGGAAAAGGTATACTTGACATGCGTGCTCCTATTCCCAATCCTTCAAAGGCTTGGTGGAACATCAAGACGATGTAAAGGGTTCTCCATTCTTTACCTGCCACTCCAAAGTTCAAACCGATGAAGATGGAGTGCCAGATGATTCCAAATTCGAGAATCAGAAAGGAGGTGAATTGTTGGGCGAAAGCTATCTTTTCGGCGGTGGAGGTGTCGAGGTGTTGTTTTTCTGGGTCGGTTTTTGGTAGAGGTGAAGGTGTGGTGGGTGTGGTGGATGGTGAAGGGGTTTTGGTGGTGACCAAGTCTTCAACGTTGGGATGTAGGTCTAAGCCGTACTTGTCGGCCACGTATTTCTGAGCTATCACATCGACGACGAAGATGCTCATTGCTGCAGCTAACATGATGGCGGGCGTCCAGGAGTACAGTGCCCAGTTTCCTGTCATGCCTACACAGCTATTTGGTCCGATGGCTTGATATGCCGGTTCCAATCTTTTTTCGTTGTCATTAGCCTCATCCCAAAATATGGAATCTTGTGTGATCAAAGGGGAAAATAATGAAATGGCGATCTTACAAGTGTATAAACGCAGTAGATATAATCACACCGCTTCCAAAGTATCTTGCGAAAAGGTATACGGAGTGTGGGATGCGTAGTTTTGGCATTCGCTTTCCAAGGTAGGGAAACGCTGTGCCCAGAGTCGATACGAAAAACATGACAAATATGGCAGAGATACGGGCTGGAAGATGGCCGTTGTATTCATTCTCGCCTAGTTGGAGGTAGCAGATGATGTCCCTGGCACTAGCGGTATTGAGATTCACGTTGGACGGATCGAAGGCCATGTTGTTGATCGATGCGGATGGGAAGAAAAGGCCAGACGAGGCCGAAATAATGCTGGAGTAATACTGAGATCGGTCCAGACAGTTCGTCGCAGAGAGGTTCCGTTGTTAGAAAGTTCGTTTTTATGGTCGGGTCAGTAAGCTCCGGAGCAAAAACACCTTGATGTGCACAAATCGGGTAGATAGTTGGTAATATAGTAGACAAGTCGGAACATGTAGGAAGCAGTCACCATTTGCCAAACATTGCCAATTGCTTGTTTGCCAATACTGTGACAGAAATTCTAGGAGAGTCAAGGTCTTGGTGAAAGCTTGTTCGATGACGATTGATGTTTCGACCCGTAGTTCAGAACCCATTTTCTCCACCTTGGTGTTCAATTTCTAGCGTTACCTTGATTGGTGTAATATCAAGGTGGAGGAACTTGTCAAGTGTCGCATATCCTGGCCAATCTCAATAGATGCAATTGATTTCACTCATGATTTCTCCTCTTCTTCGCCCACGAACTCCACCAAAGCTGTACCAGCTTTGCATAGATCTCCAGCCTTGTGAACAACCTTTGCAATCACACCATCGTGTGGTGCTCTAATGACTGTTTCCATCTTCATACTCTCAATGACAACAAGTGCCTGGTTCTTGGTCACTGTAGCACCTTCCTCCACCTCAACACGGAGTACCTTGCAAGGCATAGGTGCCAAGACGCTATTGGCAACATCTTTCATGCCCAGAGCTTTTTCCGCCCACTTCGGAACAGCAAGCTGTAATCTGTACTGACGTCCTTGTTGGAACAGGATCAAGTTGTTCGTTTCCGGATCACGGATGACTCTCGTCTCGAGTCTGGTGTGAGGATAGAATGACTGGAGGATGTGGCTGCTTTGATCGAGCTTGCTGGTCACTTGAACCGCTTCTTGGCCTCCAACCGAGACCGAGAATGTATGCGGGCCAACGTGCTGAACACGTGCAGCGACAGAAGATGCACTGCTACTGTTACCATCCGCTGGAATCTCCACGAGATCGAAAGTTCGGGGACCAGATAGTCCAGTGTTGAATCCGATAGTCTGGGACGACAGTATGGAATCTTTGCCACTCAATCCTTGCTCGGCGATGTACAAGCCGATAGCTGCTTGTGTCCATGCTTCACTCGGCACGTCGACCCTGCGGAACAACTCTTCCTTGTTCTTCTCGATGTAGCCAGTCTCCACTTCGCCGGCCACAAACTTCGGACTGACGCACATACGCTTAACAAATTCGATATTCGTGATCGGGCCAGCAATCTCGTATTCTTCGAGGGCAGTCTTCATCTTTTGGAGTGCTGCGTGTCTGTCTGGACCTTGGATGATGAGTTTTGCAATCATTGGGTCGTAGTGCGATGTGACTTCGTCTCCTACAGCAAAGCCCGCGTCGATACGCACGGTGTCAGTAATCTCTGGAGTTCGAAGATGTAACAATTTACCCGAGTCTGGCACGAAGTTCCTAATAACGTTAGTATTCGGACAGAATTATGACCAAACAATGCCATCTTACATGTCAGGATTCTCGGCGTATATACGAGCCTCGATCGCGTGGCCGCGAGCCTTGATCCTCTCGTGCACCTCTTCCTGTGTAAGAGGCAATTTGCCTCCTTCAGCCACGAGGATCTGCCAATGTACTAGATCCTCTCCAGTGACCATCTCGGTGACCGGATGCTCAACTTGGAGTCTGGTATTCATCTCCATGAAGAAGAATTCACCTGAGTCGTTGTCAAAGATAAACTCAACGGTACCAGCACCTTCATAAGCAACAGCAAGAGCAGCGGATCGAGCCTTGTCCCAGAGATCCTGTCGTAGTGCTTCGTCCAGATGGGGTGCTGGCGACTCTTCAAGGATCTTCTGATGTCTTCTTTGGATACTGCAGTCTCTCTCGCCCAGTGCAACGCAGTTACCATGTTTGTCTGCAAAGACCTGGACTTCGATATGGCGTGGTGTTGTGATGTACTTTTCCACGAGCATGACTTCGTCACTGAAGGAGCTCATAGCTTCAGATTTGGCAGATGCTAACTGATCCAGGAAATCTTCAGGAGATCTGGAGATACGCATACCTTTACCACCTCCACCTTTGACAGCCTTGAGCAAGACAGGATAACCGATTTGTGCAGCCTGGTCTTTGAGGTAGTTCGGATCCTGATTTGAGCCGTGGTAGCCAGGAATACAGGGTACGCCGGCTGAAGTCATGATATCTTTAGATCGGCTCTTGTCTCCCATAGCTTCAATCGCTTTCCAGGGAGGGCCGATGAACTTTAGGCCCGCATCGGTACACTTCTTTGCGAACTCTGCATTCTCACTGAGGAAGCCGTATCCAGGATGAATTGCCTGACAACCATGCTCGCGTGCAGTTTGGATGATACGATCGCCGTTGAGATATTGACTTGGATCGCTGAGGTTGATAGCGAAAGGAGAGCTCAAAGCGTGTTGACTATGCGCGTCCGGATCTGTGTAGAGTGTTGTTGTACGAATGCCATACTGTGCAGCGGTTTTTCCAACTCGAAGAGCAATTTCTCCTCTGTTTGCAATCAAGATAGATTGTAGTGGTTGCCTCTCTGATGCTTGGCTTGTTGTCGTCGTGCTAGTCAGTCGTTTTGTTACTGCTGATATCAGACCTCTGTGGCCTCTGGTGTGACGAAACATTTTGATTGGCGAGGTCACAGATGTCAAGACTCAACATAATGGTACTTAGCAGTCCAGAAGCACGAGTTGATGAACCTCCCGTACGGAGAGCACGCCGAGGGTAATCACAGGGCGCATAGGGTGCGGGGTACCGTACCTGCTCCATGGGGAAACGTCGGAGTGAAAGGCATGTGACCTATGGTTCATCCCCAGTGAACATTACACTTGGGCGAGTCCAACGTTTGCTACATAGCATGATCGGAAATTGGACTGCCTTGTTAGTGTAGGATGCACAGAGACATCCTTCAAGTTGGACGCTGCGAAAAGAATCCGAAGCAGCCGCACACCAGCCACGTCATCATCCCGCGGTATTCCCGTCTCATCACCACTCTCATTGCGACAACCATCCTTTGCAACGACTCGAAGTCTTGAAGTGTGACATTCTTCACATGATCTTAGACTTCCATTGTCCAGTGTACGAGGCCGCTCAAGAAGCGTGCTCTAAACATTCCATCTTATTGGGTTCTCCTCCAGGGCACGTCTTGGTGTTATCTCAGCGCCTAGAGCTTGGTCTCTTGGTTTGGAACAATTTTTTTCTTGGACGAAATATTCATCCAGCATCGACCCGCGGCCATCTTGCACACGTGTTGGGTTGTTCTACCAAAATACATTCTAGCATCTTGATATTGGCAGCCAAAGGTCAAGACTGCCAATCGTCCGACACACAGAATATGGATGGAATATGAAGTATTGCTTCTTGTCAGGTTGTGGGAAGGATCTCCTGACATGATTTCTTACATAAAGTAGAGAAACTTGTGTAAACCAGTAAGTTTTTGGCTGCAGTATACCTTGAGTTCCCATCTATTTGAGTTTCTTTACTGCTTCGAGCCAGACTACTTATCATGCCGCCTGCTGCAACTGCCAGATATGACTGGATTCTTGGTATCACGACTATCGCTTTTGTCTTCAGCGCCTCCGGTAACGGAGCCAACGATGTAGCCAATTCATACGCCACATCTGTCGCTGCTCAGACCTTGACCATGCCACAAGTCGGAGTCCTGGCGACTATCACGGAGTTTGTCGGAGCTGTCGGACTTGGAGCCCGAGTCACGTCTACCATCAAGAACGGCATCATCTCAATCGACCGCTTCGAGGGCAATCCTGGTGCTCTGATGCTCGCCATGGGATGTGCTGAAGTCGCCAGCGCTTCGTGGTTGATGCTTGCTACTGGATTGGGCATGCCGGTGTCGACGACTCAGACTATCGTCGGAGCCCTTGTTGGTGTCGGTTTCGCTAGTGAGAGTCCGATCAAGTGGGCTTGGGAATCAGGAAGTGTATCCCAGGTCGCAGCATCATGGGCTATTGCTCCTCTGATCGCCGCTGCATTCAGCGCCCTCATCTTCGGCTCGGTCAAATACAGCGTTCTTGAACGCAAAGAGTCTTTCAAATGGGCCATGCGGCTGATCCCATATTATCTTGCCATGACAGCTGCGATCCTAGCACTCTTCATTGTTGTTGAAACTCCTACTGCCCCGTCTCTCGAGGAGTTTGGTGCTGGGAAGGCTGTGGGCATCATCTTGGGCGTCTTCTTCGGCGTCCTCGCTATCGCCTACGTCTTCTTCATGCCATACTTCAAGAGACGCTTGGTCATGAAAGATGCCCGCGTCAAGGTCTGGCATATTCCGCTAGGCCCCCTACTCATGCGAGAGAACCCTCCATTATATTTCCCCGGCAATCCTGACAGTGAGTACATTGGAGAATACCAAGCCAAGGGAAAATCGTTCTCCGACTCGCCTGGAGCCAGCCCAGACATCAAAGGAACTAGCCCCTTGTCTCTGCAAGAACAGAGTCCTGAGAAGGTTGAGCCTATGCTTGGAGACTCTTCTTCTGTGGAAAAGGGCCCAGAGCAGGCTCAAGGCAGGATACGCAAGCGCCACATTGGCCCTGATGAGCGCTTCCTGCAATCTCATAAACATCTTTCCGTCGCACATCCGCAACGTCTCTGGGGCTTTGTGAAGTTCGGGCTTCTTCAAGGCGTGACTCGCGATGTCATTACCCATGACACAGCAGCTATGAGAGCTATTCACGCTCGCGCCAATAAATACGACCCTCGGGTGGAACATCTCTGGACATACTGTCAAGTGGCGTCAGCAATGATGATGAGTATAGCACACGGAAGCAACGATGTCGCAAACGCTGTGGGGCCCTGGGCTGCTGTATATCAAACGTATCAAGCTGGCGAGATTGCAACTACTTCTCCGACACCGGTTTGGTTTTTGGTAATTGCGGGATTTCTCTTGGGTGCAGGATTCTGGTTCTATGGTAAGTTGATCTGTCGCGGAAATCTGGCGTGGTTTTGACTAACAATGGCTCCAGGTTACAAGATCATGCGTGCCATGGGTAACAAGATCACTCAAATGTCACCGAGTCGCGGATTTGCTGTCGAGCTTGGCGCTGCGGTCACAGTATTGCTGGCATCAAGATTAGGATTGCCAGTTTCGACAACTCAGTGTCTTACCGGAGCAGTCATGGGGGTTGCACTAATGAACTATGATCTCAAGGCTGTCAACTGGAAGCAGTTGTGCTTCATCTTCATGGGTTGAGTCTTGACATTGCCAGCTGCTGGACTGATTGGTGGACTATTGTGTTCGATGGCGTTGAACACTCCTCATTTCTAGGGAATATTGGAAGGGCAATCCTCCAAGGGTCTTGAACTTTGTGTACATGTAAAGAATGAGTCGTTGGTATTTGTGAATGATATATCCGGTAATAATGACAGCCATCATGGCCTCATCACATGTGACATTGGAGGGGCGGCAGGCTGCAGCAGTTCATGGATGACAGACTGACGAAAGCGGCAAGCACGTTTCCCGGGACGATATGAGTTGGCTGACACGGTGGCTGATGTCGAGGGGAAAGGAACTGCTCTGTATGTTAAAGTTTAGGTATGATGATAGTTTATAGGAGACATGGACCAAGTCAGGGTTCAAGGTCGGATTCAAGCGAGTCGGCAAAAGTGTGGGGTCATGTTTACGAGATTCGATGCGGCATTCATTCCCATTGCAGACGAGTGCAGGTGTATCTGTCGACAGCTCCCTGCATAGGAAGAGTCCGTCTCTACAGCAGGTACCGGACTAGCTGAAGCGTGGCTGACGCGAGCTTAGGAAAGCCGCCATTCCTCTTCATCCGACGCTCCTCTGCTTCCTGTTTCTGCCAAAGCATCCGATCATCCCCTTCTACCGAACACCATCGTCATCTTGGAGCTGCCGACCCATCTCAATCACCGCTATGGAGGTCGACTACGACTCGGACTGCGACGTTGACGACTATGACGATGATTACATCTACGCCGACGCAGGAGCCTTTGACTTGGCAGTATGTCCATTGCCATTGCTAGAAGCAGTGACTAGAGCTCACACGTCTCTCAGGATGAACTCGCGTCCGGAGCAATACCCGACGCACCCGCCTTGTACTACCGCGACGACGAGCTTGACGAATACGACAACTACAACTTCTGGTCCGAGATCGAATATGGCAACGGCGAAATCTACGACCAAGAAATGTCACATCAAGACCAGGCAGATGGTGCCAAGTCGAGCGACAAGAAACAGAAGTCGAGGGCTGCAGGAATCAAGGACACGATAAAGAAGATTCGCTTGCGCGGCGTCCAGGATTACCCGACCGTTCTCTGGATGTCGTCGCAAGAAGCTTTCCGCCTACACCCACCTTGCCCCGTCTACGACAGACCTCAACAAGTCACGTCTCTCCTACCCAATTGGCGTCAACTCCTCAAAGCCCGACCCGCCGCATTCACCACTTCATACATGGCCATCCATTCTGCCAAGGCCCCCAAACGGGACGACGACTGGGAAGACGTGTCTGAAGGCAGCCATGAACAAAAAGACGACGAAGAAGATGAAGAAGAGGAGGGTGATGACCACGACGAAGACGAAGACGAAGACGACGGTGAAGACACGGGAATGCAGGACATCGACCCGGAAATGCTCAAAGCCGCTCTTGCCGCAAAATTGTCGGCCTCGGGTATGGCAGGCAAAGACCAGTCTGCCATGATGGAAGCTATGATGCAGATGCTGGCTGGCGGTGGGGGTGCTGCCGATGGCGACCTCCTCGAGAGTCTGACCTCGACCATGCTGAATCAAGTCACCGAAGAAGGCGGCGACTCGTCCATGGGACAGTGGCTCTCTGCTCAAGGTGTCTCGCTCCAAGACGATGAAGAAGAGGACGAGGACGTCACAACTGGCGCATCAAAGGATTCGTCACCCAAGGATAGCGTCGCCGAGACACCTGCTGCTCCCACCTCCTCCGACAAACCCACCGAAGCGCTACTCGAACCACTATCTACAGGAAGGAAGCGAAAGCACCCTCTGTCCGAGGAGATCAGCCAAGACCAGACGACCGACGCGACCGACCCTGACCCAGCCCCCACTCGGAAACGAGCCAAGCAAGATATTGCCAAACCATTACTCGCCTCCAGCCAACCGAAAGCATCAACCCGCAAATCAGCAGTATCGCAAACAAAGACTAAGGCGGCCGAAGAAGAGCCCACTGCGAAGACCAAGACCGCTACAACTACCAAACCCAAGGTCGAGACGAGCAAATCCACGAAATCGAAACCCCCGATCGCTTCGACGAAAGAGAAGACACCATCAACTGATGAGCCAGCAAGACCGACCACGCGAAAGCGCAAAGCTTCAGATGAGCAGGTATCAGAAGGCAAGCCTAAGAGACAGTTGCGCAATTTCGCTGCACCAACAGCAAGCAGTCAAAGCAAGTCAGCCGAAGCCAAGGCCTCCGAGCCCAAAACGACACGAAGCGGTAGAGCCAGAAAGTAGACAGAGTTGTTGTTGTTTGAGAATTATTCATCATGTTGTTTCTGGCCTACCTAGCCATGGAGTTTAGGCATACCATCCATCATCGTCACAGGGTTTCAGCAGGGTGACCTCGAGTAAGGCTTTGTTTCGCTTTCTGTTTCCTTGTATGACATCGACTTGCATTTTTTGAGATCATTAATCAGATCGACCATGATGGTGTGTGAAGAATAACCAATCAGCACCCAGCTTGCCAAGTTTTTTGTCGGTAAACAAAGAGGAAAAGCAGGGTCTTGAAGTCAGCCTCTGACGAACAACGGTCTCGCCTAAACAAGAGTGCATGCATGCAGTTGCATGCGCGCGACTAAGGACCGATAGATATTTGCCTTGTCGACGGCAATATTTCTTGCAGTAATTACAAAACAGGCAAGTCTTTTGATCAACAAATATCGCATCTGCTGTCTGCTACCTTTGAGACTCTGCTTGTGACACCTGAATTTGTCTCGAAGTCCTGGAAACACAACCAACAGATTTGAGGAAGGTGATACCCAGGTTTGTGTATCGTACTGTGCTGGCATTCCTTTGTCACACGTGCTGGGAGTTACTTACCTCCCTTGCTTGCTCTCTTCGACAACCCTTTGTTACGACCACATACCATTTATTCCATCTTTCATTGATCTGCGCAACTAGATACCTCGCCCTCATCGAATTCAGAAACGACTATTCTTCAACAAGGCATTACACACTTGCAGCAATGTTTCAAACACTCAAAGATCGTAGTTCGTTCGGAGGCTACATTCGATTCGCCATTCGCATCTTGCAGTTCATCCTCGGCATTACTGTTATTGGACTCTATGCTGTTGATATCGCTAGAGCGTATGAACATCACGTCAGCCGCGATCCTAAGTGGACGTTTGCAGTCGTCGTGGGCGCCATGTCTGCGATTTCTGTATTCTTCTTTTTGGCAAGATACAGTTTGCGTTTCTTCTGGGATGGATTGATGCTGTAAGTCCTACCTCATCTCTCTCTCTCTCTCTCTCTCTCTCTCTCTCTCTCTCTCTCTCTCTCTCTCTCTAGAGGCTGAGATGAGAGCCCTGAATGTAGTAGGAAGATGAAAAACAGCCAAACAAAGGGTTCTACCAGCGGTGGCCCTTGCTGAGAATCTCCCTCTCTCTCTCTCTCTCTCTCTCTCTCTCTCTCTCTCTCTCTCTCTCTCTCAGGGATGACACTAATATTTTTGGGCGTTTTCGCAGTATACTATGGGCTATCGTATTTGGCATCTTTGGCAAAATTTATATCCCTGCCCACCCTACACCTCACCAATCCGGTCAGATACGTATGAAGAATGCAGTTTGGGTGGACCTGGCGAATATGCTTCTGTGGTTCATAACTTTCGTCTGGGACTTGGTGTTGCATTTCACCCGCATGGACAAATTGACTCTCCACACCGGCAGAGCAACAGTCTAGGGAACTGGCTTTTCAGATCACAGATGGATACCCGCTGATCTGGAGCTCAAGTACGTGCAAAAGCTACCACAAGAAGCGTGGCATTGGAGGAGTAATGAGAGGAAATGGAGAAAGGCAACGGACAAGGTGTTCGGCGAGATTATGCTGAATAAGGCGTTGATGTATGCTGAGGGCGATGAGGAGTTGCCGCAGGTTACTTGGAGTCCGCCGGATGATGATGTGTTGCCTGGGGATGCTTGGTTACGACCTGATGCTGAAGATGCAATGGTACGGAGGGTTCTTGCAGAGGAAGGGTTGGATCTCTCTCGTACGGAGGAGCTGTATCGTCGACCCGGACCTATTCATGTTGATTAAAATGAATCTCGATTGGAATGCCAGACCTGAGATTACTGACGAGAATGTACTTACTCTTATCACAAAACTTGAATGCCGTCGCGATGCAAAGAAGTGAAATAAAGTCATGTTAAAATATATTCGTGTCTCGTAAGACTATGCTAAATGGTCTATATGCGATTCTGTCATCCTGATCCATACCAAGATATCTAAACCAGATACCTGAATCCCTGTCTCATCCTCAGCGCCTCATCAGGATTATCCAAAAACTCCTTCTCAGCGGTATGTTCAGCAACATCCGGTCTACTAGCCCAAGCAGCCGCCTCTCCAGCCTCCAACTTCTTGTTGAGATTAACCAAAATCATCTTCATGACCACACAACCCACAATGGTAATGCCAAACATTGCCGTAACAATGCCATATGACTTTCTGTACCCGTTGGCTTTCAAGTCCCAGACGTAACTGCCTGCGATGTTTCCGAGTTGGGAAAAGGCGTTCACGAGGGCGATTGCTACGGCGCGCTTTGCAGGGGGTCGGGGGAAGGAGGAGGAGATCCAGGAGTAAAAGACGATGAAGCCGGCGTAGGAGGATGTTTGGAGGAAGAGGGCAATGTAGCGGGCTGCGGTGTTGAGAGTCGACATGTTGATTATGAAGCCGACAAGACCAATGCAGATGGGACCGACAATGTGCCAGAATTTCTCTTGGGTGCGGTCGGCGTGCCAGGCATTGATGAGGGAGACGATACAGGCGAAAGCCCATGGGGGAGCGCTCATGAGCAGAGTAGGTACGTAGCTGAAACCGAGGGTTTTTGTGAGGGAAGGGAAGAAGGCGTTGAAGGAGAGACCGACGACGTAGGCGGTGAATGTTAGCATGAAGACGTAGATCTTGGTGTCTTTGAGAGCCATGAAGAGACCGTCGAATACACCGTCTTCTTTGCTGTCTTCGTCTGCCTCACCGACGTCTTCAATCATGCGGAGTTGGGCGACCTGCAGTTCTTCCTCTGTGAAGCCGCGGGAGTTGGTAGGCAGATCGGGCAGAATGAGTGCTGCGGCAATAGCAACACCCATGGTGACAGCACCTTCGATCCAGAAGAGCCACCTCCAGGCTGCGTGTCCGAGAACACCTTGCATATTTGACAACACTCCAGCACCAACAAGTGCAGAGAAGGCATTGGAGATGAGGTTACCGCAGAACAAGATGGCGTTTCTGGTGGTCAACTCGCGGCGAGTGTACCATTTCGAGAGAATGAGAAGAGCTCCGGGCAAGAATGCAGCTTCCACGAATCCAAGCATGAAACGGATAGCAACCATGCCACCGAATCCTTTGGCAATTCCAGAGAGCGTGGAGATCAAGCCCCACAAAAGCATGGCGGCTCCAATGTACCAACTCGGTCTTGTAATGCGGTTGATGATGATATTGGAAGGAACCTAAGAGCAATTTAGATGATTTCTTCTATCATGCGAGAATTGATGATACACACCTGCATGAGAATGTACCCGACGTAGAGAATACTCAAGCATGTAGCGTATTGTGTGTCGCTAAGCTTCAGATCCTCTTGCAGACCCTTCAGTCTGGCAGCAGCCATGTTGTTGCGATCCAGATAGTTCATGATATAGATGAGCACGAAAAGCGAACATCTTGCATCCAACTTCCTCTTCATCGATTTCTCGACAATCTTGCGACGCTCCGGGTCCATAGCAGGGTGTTGAGCCTGGAAACTCTCGATCGGCAGCTTCTCGGCGTCATATTGATAATCGCCGCCATCCTTCTTCATATCGTCGGCCATGACTGCAGTGAAAGGAAAGATCCAGAGAAAGAGTGAGTGACGAGGAAGATCAATCTATGCCAGGGGGGAAGTCTCTTATTTATGTGGCTCCCATGGGGCCCCACGTACAATGGCAACCCCGGTACCCCAATCGCTCATCCCCGGTGCTCCTTTCGTCTGCCCCATATATCGATCCACCTTGTTGGTCTTGGCTCGAGGAAAAGATGGAGGAAAACACGGCATGTCGTGGTCAAGGTGAGGCGACGTTCGGATAGTGCAGGTTTAGTCCGAACGCTGTGACCATCGGGTATGGAAACAGTAGGGTCGCAGTCGCCCTGTCGCCCTCGAAGATGCGTGCATGACCAGAGACATGGTGCTGTTGGTGAGCGTCTTCATGATCTGATCGATGCCCTTAGCATCCGACATCATCCGCATCTTCAAGACGCGACTCGTGTCAGCACTTGCAGACTTGCAGACTTGCAAGCTCATGCTGGAGCTGCAGAAGGAGGCAAGCAGAACTCTGGCGGAGATGCGGCCCGTGCGCCTGATTGATGCAGATCTCTCAACCACCGAAATGCAACATCACCAAAGACAAGCGTTCAGCTGATGAATTTTGGACCCAAGCTTTGCTCATGAAGATTCTTCGACAGACTTACCATTGAGCTTGTGCACAAGAGAATGTTCCCGGTTCATTCGGGAGTCATATCGGCAGAGACTGTGTGATCGCTCTCGAAGGATGGAAAGAGGCTCTACATATTGTTCAAGCTGTGCTTAAAACGCCGCCGCCTCCGAGCGCCAGATGAAGCCTGCAAAAGCTTGGCCAAGCAAACTCTCGAGCATCAGCGTGTCCGCTCGTCGCATGCTCCATAGCTTGCCTTGAGTGTGCATAACTGACCGGCAACGGTTACACAAAATTATTGAAAGCTTCGACGCGTCCGACTACCAACGGAACATGTCGGCTTCGCGTCTTGATCCATGACATCGTTCATCTTTCCATTCATCTTTGGCTAATCTCAAATCAACTGACATGTCTCCACAACCTCTTAGCATCATCGGCGCTGGACTTGGTGGTGTTACGCTCGGAAGAGCTCTACTTGAGAGAGGTATTCCAGTCGTGCTGTATGAGCGCGCAACGTCAGCGCCCAGACATGGCTATGGAATCAGTTTACACGCGTCAACCTACAAGCCCTTGTTGAAGATGCTGAACATGGACGAGCAAACGTTCAAGCAAAGGGTTGCAGTTGATGCTGCTGTGGGTGGGACTGGTGCCATTGACCCTAAGCGACTGATTCGTCCACGCGAGGCGACATCGACATCGTTTCGTGCTCATCGCGAAAGACTTGAGAAGTTGATACGTCAAGGATTGGACATCAAGTGGGAACATGGTTTGGAGAAGCTCGAGCAGACACATAACGGCACGAGCCTATACATGCAAAACGACAACACAATAGAAGGACAGACATGCATTGTCGGTTCTGATGGTGTACACTCCCTCACGAGGAAGTCTATCTTACGGGAAGCTGGTCTCGATGTCCTGCCATTTGTCACCTTTAATGGAAAGAGAAAGGTGAGCAGGAGCACCTTCGACAGCGTCTACAGTCCAGCCTTGAGAGGATCCAACGTCATTGAATCACACAACAATGGCGCCTTCCTGCAAGTCTCTGTCAACGACATCACAGAGGATCAAGCCAGTGTGAGTTGGGTGTACTCACGCCCAGCTAAGGGATCAAGCGATCGTTGCTTCAAACCGAACAGACTACTCTCTGACGCAACTCAAATCCCAAAGGAGTTCTACCAAGAAGTCGCTGCTCTGACGGATCTCCCTCAACCCTTCTCGGAGATCTTCGACGTCGAGAAGATGAAGCAAGACAGGATCTTGACGTGGTTGATGCGTACATCAAAGGTCGACCTGCCCCAACTTTACCAGCTCGCTTCGAACGGTATTTTCTTGATGGGAGACTCGGCTCACTCTCAACCAATCCTTGGTGGTGAGGGAGCGAATATTGCGATTTTTGATGGTCTCACTCTCGCCGAAGCTATCGCCGCGCAAAACGGCGAGACCATTACCGCATGGTACAGCAAACACTTCCCGACCTGGCAGCAGAGTCTGGAGACCAGCAAGGCGACGATCGAGGAGATGCATAAGGCGGAGGCTCCTAAATCGAAGGTTTAGTATGCCTTGGACCTGGTAGCAAAGCTCTAACTCAATACATCGGCGGACCTCCATGTTCGACACGGGTCCTCGTCTCTGTGTCGAATACTTTAGCCAGGCAAGCTATATCTACGCTATCACAATATTCTTATTCTCCACACTGGATGTCAATCGAACGTCTTGGAGAAATAGCTCTCAGAGGTTAGCATCAATCACGTTCGGGCTCCTTGCCACAACTGGCTGTATCTGGATCTGTCAACCCTGCCAGACGTTGGTGAGGTTGAGCTCGGTGCCGAAGTGCGACATGCATCTACCTCTAGCATCACTAACGACCAGGCCGATGCTACATTTTCAGATTTTCGTGTTTCTATGGTTTGACCAAATTCAAAGCAAAGCACATACGGCCACAGTCAGCTGAAAACTGGGCATCCCGTCCGCTCTGCCATACATAAGCAGTTGAACGGCAGATCAGTACTACGGTGGGTGACCACGTGGGAATCCCTGCTGCTGTATGTTTTGTATCATCTTTTGCTTGTACGCGGACTGAGCTTTGTGAAGGGAAAAACTCTGTTAGGCTTCATTTCGGTCTTGAATGGGAGGGTGTTCATCTCTAGCTGAGTACCAGCGATGCTTTTGGAACCACATAAAAAGAAATCAAGTCTTGTACATCCCATCTACAGTTTCACTTCTCTCTCACCTACCGTGTTGCATGCTGATAATGGTATGTCCAATCGGCAACCGAGAGGAGGTATTACATGTAGAGGAGTAAGACGAGACTAATCACACTGTATCTATCTTGTCTGCTTACGAACTCGGCACACCTGCGCACTGTTTTACGAGACCACATATCTAGGAGCTATCTATGATAATGACAAAAAGAATGGCTAGATAAGCTCTTTCCGTTCCGAAGTCCTCCGGGTTGCAGTGATCTTGCTGTAGCAAGTCTTATGAGCCCGGCATGTACATTTATCGTGTTACCACCATACTTATGTCAAACATGACCAAGATTCCGACCTTTTGAATGCACCCATATATCTTGCATCTAATGAACAGCTTATTGTCTATCTTGAAGACTGTCGAGCCTGATGCTCGTGTGAGGCTGCAACATCATGGCGGACCAGGGTCATTACTACGGCAAGCTCAGATGCAAATTTTGAAAATCCTCATGACGCTCGGACTTCTTCCTTACCGACTACCTCAACTAATGTCGCGATTTCCTACCCAGCGACTTCGAAGATGACCGCATCTATTAGATTTATAGAGAATTTATACACATGATGTCTCACAGATTCCATGGCCGCATGCCAAAACACGGCCCGACATGCTCGCAAGTATAAACGAAAGTGTCTCCTTCAGCAGATGCGACCCAACTAGGTCAACGGTACCTTTTTCCACAAAACCGAGAGCGAGAATGCATTTGTAGACGAATCGCTACACATGGATGTCTAGACCGATCGTACTGTATGAATTAGGTCGGAGGAATGTCTGACTTCATAGAACCGTTGGCGATTGCCCTTTTTTTCGGCTTGAACTTCCTCGAAACTTCTTCCATATCGAAACGTCGATGTCGACTTCTAATTTTTGACTTCAAAATGGCTGGCGTTATGCCTGCGATCTTTTTGGTGGATATTTGCATACGACATTGTGGACGCCATGGCGTCGCGGCTCTTGGAAAGTACATCCTGAAGAGGACAGAACGATGAAGCTGTTTACTCGATCCTGAGGCATCAGCTTGTGAGAAGTTCCTGCCCTATTCGCAAGACGACGCTACACCATAAGCCACCAAGTCTTGTCTCGTCAGTATGTCGCCGGTCCGCGACTAACCATGCAGAAGCTTTTGTAGTCTCACTCTCGCCGTTGTTACGTCAAGACATTCAGTCGTCCGACGCAATGACTTCTTGTCTTCGAAAACACAACCCCGGTATCGAGAAGAGAAGAAAGCAGTGATAAGCTCTGAAAGTACCGAAATCTGCTAGCCATCTCGAGATCGTCGGCGAGGGCCGAACAGGGAAACAAGAAGCACGCTTCGAAGTTGACGCCTGTCCTCAGACCATCTGCCATGTAGAACAGTCGCACTCGTTCACACGCCTAAGATCGTCGCTAGTGGGATCATTAGATGACCAAGCTCATCTGGATATGAAGGACTCAAACCGGAATGTACCTGTGTGTACCTCTGGGATTCGAGAAGTTCCACCGTTGTGCTCGCAACCGTTGCGTACTATCGTATAACGGTCAACATCTCATGAACTCATCAGATGGATTGGTCCGGCCGTTCGAACGCCATGCCATTGCCGAGTAATCCATAAGATTGCATGTCTGTCTCGGAGATTGAAGCAGCTGAATCAACTGTTGTTCACCTGGTTATCCATGTGTCGACTTTCCAAAGACCAGACAAACTTCTAACCACAGCGCTGGCTTAGCACAAATGGCGTCCGCTGCGTCGGCAGTGCCTACCACTACGCCCCATATCGTCTTCGACTCTCGAAAAGCCGGCCTCATCAGTATCGTAGAAGAGGAGTTGTCGGCCGAAGACCAATCTCCGTTGGCTTCATCCTATCAGGCTCCATCATGGCGAGACATCGATTACTTCGATGGCACGGGAGATCAGAAGCTCCAAGGTCTTGGTGTCAAACGAGCGTATAGCACTGGATGTCCGCTGGTGGTTAATCCCAGGGATGACTCCCTCAGAGTCTCTTCAGTTCCCACCTCTACCTGGAACGCCCTACCAGAATGGGGAATGGTGCCGTCGCACCATGATACAACACTTAGGACTAGCTCGCAACCGACCAACGCCAAAGGACTTTGGAGTCAGTGGCCACACGCGCTACCTCAACTATCATCTGTGATCCCTGACATCTCTGACGATGAGGCCTCACGACACGGTTCAATTGCAGGGCTCGAGGTCTTCCTACGCAAAGCATCTATCGTTCAGTCGCAAGATGGAGAAAACAACGAGACCAAAATTGATATCGATGCCTTATTGACTGAGGAGTCAGACGTTCTAGGACCTTTGCACTCGCCGCTAACCCCACTGACTCCACGTAGCCCATCCGTCCGGACACCAACATCTCCCAGAGCGTCTTCTGAGTGCCTTGGAGGGACATCCATCATCGAGGATCGGCCCATTGATAGTGCGTACTCTCCTAAGCGCCCAAATCTAAGCCCTTCTGTGGTGTTCAAGAAGATGAATCACTTTGCAGACCTGAATTCTTTCTCGTTCGGTCAGAAATCTAAGGCTCGTAAAGAGAGTGGTGTAGGTGCAGATCCCATGTCGTCCCCACGGCTGAGCACAGAGAGTAGCATCAAGCGACCACCATCTGCACGTATAAGTTTTGGGAGCAGCATCGACTGTGGAGTCACTGAAGATGTAATGCTCGTCAATCCGATCACCGGTGAACGAAAGATGTCAGTGGTCAAATCTACAGATGCGGACGAGCAAGTGCGTCGTCCGAGTGCACTGCGGCGAAGTTCTTCCTCGACCTCTATGTATACCCTGGTGAGGCGAGAGTCAGTAGCGGCAAGCAAAATACGAACACGGTCAGCAGCCTCGAGGCCCAGCCTCTCAGGACGAGGCTCGTCAACAGTAGCCTCAAGTGCCCAGTCAGAGGATGCTTCTTTCACCTCTGAGCAACACCTTCGCAATCTGTCATCTTGGACACAGCACACTTCTGGTGCCTCGAATGCTCGGGCGATGTCGAACACGCGGACCGTTTCACATTCTTCCAGTGCCCGCACTCCTTCCTACACGCGAACCACGTCGACTTCAACATGGTCACGGATGTCGACGTTCTCAAGAGCTTCTTCGACATCGTCTGTGACAACTTATGATTCGACGTATACAAGACATAACAATCAGGAGACTCAAGCAGAGTGCGACGAAGAAAATGCTAGTCGTAGCTCATCCTTTCTTACACCATTGTTCGGCCAATTTCAGCGGAGCAAGACGGACTCTGCTGTCGCTCTTCCGATTCAAGAACCCAAACCGGCACACCAAGAAGCGTTGGCAGATGTGGAGGAAGATCCTGACTTTGTCGAAGTCGAAATCGAACCGAAAGCAGGACCAATCGCCAGACGAGCCTCTCTAATCGCCAACATCTTTACCAACAACGACGTCGATGTAGACCCTGACCTCAAATTTGAACCATCGGCATCTGAAGCAGACATCATGCGTGGTATTGCTGGAGCCGAGAATGAGAGAAGCCAGCGTAAAATGGTGTACTCTCGCAATATCGCAGTGTCATCCTTTGTGGTTGTCAATGGAATCTGTGTTGCGCTGTCATTTGGGCTATTCAGCGTCTGGTACGCTATTGCTCCTTTAGTCCTAGCGGCGCATCTGTCCAGGTCAGCTATGGCCCTCAACCTTGTTGGCTTGCTTGTAAGCAGAATGGCCAAGGTGATGCTGCGCTCAGGAGAAGAGAAAGGGGAGCCACCTTCCATGGACTACGCCACTGTAGTCAACTTCTCCAGAGAAAGCCTCGAAGACATGGAAGGCGTCCTCGACTCTTTGGTCGATCAGAAAGACGTCGATATGCACAAGAATCTGCTACTCGTATCTTGCAATGACAAGATGCTGAATGGGGACCAGGCTAAATCCACGACGAGGATCCTTCTCGAAAACATCCTGACCAACATTGTAGATGAAGCCAAATTTCAGATACCTTGCGAGGGTCAGAACGCCGGCTACGATAATCTCTGGTGTCGCAGAGGAATCTACAAAGGTCTACCGTACGTCTTGATGATTAAAGAAGGCGTAACCAGCAAGACTGAAACACTCGATCTGATCCGAAACCTGCTCCATTCATACAACCTTCGCAAGGAGTCATATCATAACTCGGTACCTCCTGCGTTCTTCACATGGTATCAAGAGTGGGCTGAGTTGCATGATTTTGCTTCCTTCGATTTCCTCGTCAATGCCAGCTCTGACAGTTTGCTCGATGGGACATGCATCGCAGAGCTATACAACCAATTCCTTGAGCATCCCGATTGTTCGAGTATTTCAAGTCGTGTCGAGGTTGACTATCATACTTCCCGATGGTGTGCTGGAAATCTTATCCACAACGCTTGTCTCGTGCATGAACAATTGAGATATGCTCATCAGTCGCAGATCACTCACCGTGTCATTTCAAACTCAGGCGCTTGTCAGATGATCAAGATCTGCGAAGAGACATGTGGTCCGCAGATTCTGGAAGACAACAAGAGGCGTCGGCCCTCTCCTATGAGCAACATAGCCACTCGAATCTCCGCAATCGTGGAGGAGGACGATGCGCTGTTTGGAGCACCCGAAGTCATCAGCCGACAAGCAGTGTATGCTGTCTCTTATACTCATCCAACCAACGTTTTCTCTGACTTTTTGTCACAACGCAAGAGGCTTACTTTCTCAACCTGCGCCATCAATCTTGCCGTTCTTCGAGATAGTCAGATGGGTTGGTTCGAAAGGTTGTCCGCTGTTGCCGAATTGATGGCATGGTGTCTACCTGTCGTCTCTCTGGCCATCATGATCAACTTTCTCAGATCTGCCGCCCTGCAACAAAACATCCCGGTCCTGATCGTAGTCAGTGCCGTCGTCGCCTTGCCCTGGATCTACGCCTTTGCCTCCGCCATGTGGCTCGCTCGCTCTTGGGACGCAAGACTACGTTATCTACTCGGCTTCTGCTTCCTGGCCATCGTTGGTCCGTTCATCGCCATTTACACTGTCATTTCAACGCTCATAAATTTGCATCATATCCGCCCGGAGGAGCGTAAGCGTAGGCGTCATTCTGCTACTTCTACCACTACAAATATTCAGCCTTGTGAGGTTTGAGCGATTGACATTAGAATTGTTTGGCGTTTTTGCTTTGTAACTTCTTCTAGATACCCCACCTTTGTACCATGTATATATTACTTCTTGATCATGCCGCCCTGTGGTGATCATTCGTGTGTCCGCCCAAAGCGTAATCTGTCTCAGTGATGATAGCAAGTGGGGAACAGGGCTATGAAAATGCATAGCTCTTTTTCGTACTTAAGAGATGAGAGAGAGAGGAGATGGCCCTTGTTTTACCACACAGAGCGCGAGTATCAAGCATCTCGTTGTTGGTGGCAAGATTAATCCAAAGACTGTAGAAATGTACAAACGTTTTCAGACACCGTCAGATATCCATGTAGAGCGTATGAATTATACAGACTTTCCCAACATACACTTGACCGTCAGTGCTCTGATATTCAGGCATGCCATCAAATATGACGTCTAACAAGCGAGCAAAATGCCAAGCCCCACTCAAAAATCTCGAATTCGGTCGTTTTGAAGCCTGGAAAAAAAATTCTCAGCCACCACAACATCGAACGATACAATGTAAGTACCGGTGTAACGGCCTCCAGGAGCAAAAGATGCTGTTTTGGTCAGTACGGGGGTCGAACCCGCGACCTTGGCGTGCCATGTATCGCATGATATCGGTTGATATCGGATGATATTAGCACCACGCTCTAACCAACTGAGCTAACCGACCTCTTTGATGAGTCGTCGATGAGTAAGAGTCCCTAACAATTCGCGACGTAGAGGACGGAGAGGAGAAAAAGGATGACAGCGAGGTCTGGGAGGGTAGAGAGGTGGTGTTGAGGCATCATCCAGGTGTATAATTAGAACAAACAGAGCTAAACGACCGACCTGTTTGACGAGGTAGGGACGGACAGGTATGTGTAAGAATTTGGTTCCAGGCAAGAGCGAGGAGTGGAGAAGGTCATTGTCAAGCTTGAAAGGCGTGGCCAGAGTCCAGAGTCGTGTACCCCAAGGTTCGATGCAGCAGCCGTGATGACTCACGATACCGGGACTGGGACGAAGAGCTATGCCGGAGCAACATCGGACGATAGGATCAGAGGTAAAGCAGCTAGGATCATCTCCCTCGATGTTCAAGAGTGAGACAGTTCGTCGGTCTTACCTGTCTGACATGAGGTCAAGTTGCGTCGCGGACATCCCGTCCGACATAGCCAGCCGATTTGGAAAAACCACAGTGGAAAACGCGAGATGAGATTGATGAGACATTCAAGCCTGAAGTGGTTGGCAGAAATGCTGTATCGGTATGTCCATATATGTTGAATTCCGACAAGACCAGATGTCAACCGCGTTGGACTGGACCAACTTTCTGAGCGGTCAGCAGAGAGTCGTTGTCTTTGGTGGGCGTAGCAGTCAAGACATTCATGCCTGACGCTGCTGTGTTTCGATATATCCTCTGTGCATTCAAGACAGCGTAGTGGCACATTTTGAGGATGATCCTAGCCTAAGCTTGGTATAAGAGGCAGTTAGTATGCTGTCCGAAGCCGCAAACTCATCATCACTTACCTGTCAAGGCTGTGCTAGTACATCCAGACCTCACAATGAGATTGTTTCTTGCTTTCCTCCTGATCTTACAGGTCGCGATTGGAATCGTTGGTGCAACGGGCGCATCCCCTCACGAAACTATCAGTTTATTCCCTCCCTCTTCAACCCATGCGAATGGATCACAACCATCAGGATTCCTTTCATCAAGATTCCTTGCGTCCTCGGCCCTTTCGACAGAGACTTTGTGGCAGTTGGACGTACCTTTCTGAACAACATGAATCGTTTGGGATGCCTGGCATCGGAGGTGGCGCTCGACAACAAACTCAATATCTCACCTTGTGTATCGAGACTTGAAGCGTAGAGTGAGGTAACATTGGCCCCTTGCATCAGTGATACTCAGTACAAGCCACGTACAAGGTCGACCTTGGAAGTCAATGCTTGCCGCAAAGTAGAGATGCTCAACGACGTCGATGAGGCTGCGAAAGCTTGGTTCGTGGTGGTATCGAAGCTCGAAGAAACGGAAAAGAAGTTCAGGTTAATCTGGGTGTTGGTGGAAGATGCTGTGCACGAGAAGAGAGCGACAGAAGAGTGGGTTGCGAATGTGGTCGCAGAATGGATCGACATGCTGAAGGATCTCGAATGGCGAGTCGAATGAGCAGCCGCTGGTGTGAGTAAGGCGGGATCTTCCTCCATCTGGAGAGCAAGCCGTCCATGACTCTTGAGGTCTTTGCGGCAAGTAACCTGCACTAGTGTCTGCTGTAGCGCGAGTACACTAGCTGCATATCACGGTTGGAGTTTTGAGCAGTCGGAAACTTGCTGTACATCCTTGCAGACATCAATTCATCAGTCTGATAGGGTGTATATGCGATAAGACCATGGTGCGGTTTGAGTGTCACAAAATAAGTATCACGCACAGATCAGATTCTCGGAGGGAAGTCGAACAAGATATGAGAAGAGAAGTTTAGGAAAGGGCATTGGCTTAGAATCAAGACCATCAATGAAAAGAACCAACAAGGTCTCAAGATCGGCAGGAACAACATCCAGAAACGTAGATACAAATCTCAACCACAAAACAGGAAACTGCAACCACTTCGAACGACAACAACACGTTTCTCGTATTCCTTTCTCGTCTACCATCCTCTCATCTGTCCACCATCCTTCTCCAACGCACCTCTCATCAGCCAAATACACAAACCACCCCTTTCCACATTACAATCATACCAGCTTACATACAACAACCACACCAAAGGATGCCCACCATGTCCAAGCCCCTAAACTCCAACAAACACTTCCGCAAACTCTGGTCAAAAATGGAAGAATTCTCCTCCACAACCGATCCTCGCAGCATCTTCAAAGCCGAACGCATCGCCCGCCACTTACTCGGCTATCTACCCCATCTCCCTCCATTCTTCGCTGTTCGCTGCTACATGTGTCTGAGCTATGGAGATGATCCCGAGTACCTTGGGTACGCTCAACTCGCTGTCAAGACTGTAAAGTGGAGTATTGCAAACTTGCCGGGAGAGAGGACGGAGACTCAGAGGATAGTGGAGGACTTGTTGTTGAGGGGCGCGGAGAAGGGGTTGTTGTATGCTGAGAAGGATATGGAGCGATTCGAGGAGATTCAGAGGGCTTATAGAGCTTCTGGATATTCGAGGAACTTTAATGGTGGGCATCTGCTCCACTATGGTGGTAGGAGCGATGAGGGTGAGTTGGAAAGATATGCTGGTGATTTGGGTCTTGCTAACGTTGTTGATGTCAGACTACCGCCATTCTCTAGACGCCGTCGAGTAGCTTCCAAACCATGACAAAGATCGTGTCTGGCTGCAGCGCTGAACTGCCATCGGGATCGGAGGAAGATACGAATATGACATTGTCCACGGCATCGAAGGTAGAACTGCGTTGATGTGAGAATGGATGCCGAGACTACAGTACACAAAGCGCTTGAGACGGTGGTCGGATACGCATCAGAGGCAGACAAATGCGCGAAGAATAGCTCCCAATGGCTGCACTGGACGGTGAAGAAGCTTTGCTCATTCATCTTGATGTAGCCACAGATACAACACTCAGTGAATTGCCAACATGATTTCTAGGTTATTACATAAGCTCTCTTTTATGAAAAAGTATGCCATCCGTATATGTTGAGATGATAGTGACATCACTTTTTCCATGTTATAAGATCGTCGAGAGATATCGATTATCAGCATCGGTAAGCTTTCCAAACCGAGCTACGAGTAATCCGACGCGTGCAACTCATATCTTTGGATCTCGTTTGGAGACGATGTAAACCATGCACCATTGGACTCCTCAAAGGTGTAAGAGAGGACATCTCAGAATTGACCAAGCCAGTACCCAGCATCACTTTTCCTGGCCTTTGCTCAAGTGACCGCCAAGGCAACGTTTGGTGTCATATTGAACGAGATCCGCCATGCTCCCATCGAGCGGGCTCTCTGGCGCAATAGGAAAGTCGCGCTCGTGTCTCGGTCTTTCGAGCCAGCTCTCCTGTTCGATTCACGCCTGAGGTCCCAGTAATCCTCGCCCGACACAAATTATGAAGAAAGGGATGTGAGTACGTTCTCTTACCCTCTTAGCACTCGGCAGCTAGGATAGTTTCTGTTTTGCTGGATCTGGAGCCAAAAGAGAAGGAGGGGGCGTCCTTTGTTTTGCGTATATGTTACGTGTTTCGGTCGTGTTTGTTGATCAGGCGAGATTGGGTTTCAAGTTGCTCGGGCTCATGCCCAAGGCGCCGGCACGAATGGCCGCGAGGCTCCAGTAGCAGCGAACGATGAGGCTTCCTTTTGTCCTAGCTCTTTCACCAGGGCCGGCAACATCTCCTCGAGAATATGTGAGCACCTCAAACCATCTCTTCCTGCACTTCTCTCTGTCAAATGACCAAAGAACTGATCCTCGCCCCTCACACCACCAATGTTGACAATGCCAATGGGCATGCCCTGTTCCCTAGCTCTTTTGACCAATCTCCAAGCAGAGTATGTCGCTAACGAAGACCCTAGCACCAAGATCCGAGAAGCCTCATCAATGGCAAACTCGGCAGCCGTCTTTGTAGAGTCCGGAATACTCTCTCCAAACATGATGACATTAGGCTTCAAGATACCTGCCGTAGACTTTCCAGCCAGCCAAGCACCATCCACATCAACCTCGATAATGTGTTGTTTGCCATCTTTATCCTTCGGAGGTTTTGCCAAACAGCTCGGACACGCTGGATATCTGAAGGTAGCATAGTCTACTCCTGGCACATCTACATCACCATCTGGATTTGTCTTGAGACCTAATCGCCTTCTTTCTTCAGGATTTTCAGTCGTCAGGGCACCAGAGGCTAGCATTTCGTTTAGGAAGTCGGACCATGCGGGGTTTAGTTGGGCGAGGTCATTTTGGAAGAGTTGACGGTCGTATTCAGTGCGGCAGGTTGTACAGACTGCGCTCCGGAGGTAGCCGTGGAGTTCGAGGGTACGAACAGATGGGTGTGCTTGAGGGTGAAAGGAGTCGACATCTGTAGTGGTTCCTCGTTAGTGTTCTACTCTTGATGTTCAAGCTGGAGGCTGGGTAGTAGTTACTCTGGGTAATGACACTGGAGAGATAGCCCATGCGACCTAAATCTGCCACGGCCTTGTGTGCAGGATTCGGTTTTGATTTATTCAAGTTGGTCCATCCCAGAAAACTGCGAGCCCAGTATCGTTTCCGTGCAGCATGATTGGCCACGAATTCGTGAAAGTAGATTGGTCGGTATGTCTTGTTAAGTGTATAGGTTCCCTTGGTACCTCTATAGTCGGCAAGACCTGACGCGACCGAGATGCCAGCTCCAGTAAGCAAAACAGTCTTGTCCTTGTTGTTGTTTCGTCGTTGTGGCGTCGAGGTGAGGAAGTCGGACAAGGCGGCAATTGCGCCAGAGAGGGAAGCTGCTGCTGACGGGATGATTGTCGGTGCTGGCAGGGGCGCCGTATACGGTATTCTCATCAATTGTCCAACCATGATTACTACCTTCTCGTTCTCACACGACAAATGCTGCTAAAGCAATGATTGACAGGGACTGACAATGCTTCTGTTTATGATTTGGTCTAGGACCGTCACTACGTCATCGACTTGTGTCGGCTTCATTTCCGCTGTCAAGGCCAGGGTCACCTATGATTACTCGCACATTTTACCAAGCAGCCGTCCACTCTTCTGAAGTCTGCAAGAGAGCGTCCATAGACAAGCCAGCCACAGCCTTGTCCACACGCTGCTTTTCAGTGCTCACGACCTGCTGTTCCAGTCGCACCATAGCTTCCAATTCTTCTTTCATGCCTGTGACCAAGTCTTTTAAGCATCGCAAAGTAATGGCCAAAGACGACTCTATGCCATCTCCAGCCGTCCGAGGCGGTGCCGATGGTAGCATTTCGACCTCTCTTTCCACCAGCCGCAAACGTTGCGTAATCGATGCATGCAGGTGATGCCAGTCCTGAGGCAGAGGACCCGAGAAGATGTGCGCCCGGTCTTGTTCCGTAGCCTCGGATGCCCATTCTGAAAAGGTGTGCACCAGTGCCGTGTACTTGCTCTCCGGCGCTGAAAGCATCGTAAGCTCGTTGAAGCAGCCGCTCAGACTCTGTATCATCTCTGCAGCCTCGGGGCCTATGTGTGCCCCTTGTATCCCCAGCCACTCTGCTATAGCAGCAAGATTCCCTTGTTCTTGAAATGTACGTTCCTCCTCTCGTATGTTTACCACCTCTTGTTTTGCATCCTCAAATTCGGCCCGAAGTGCGTTTGTAGCGCTCTTCTCATAGCTTCGCAAGTTTGGCCCGGCAGCCTCGTGGAGTATTGATAGATATAGAAGTTCAGACTGTAATTTGGTAGTCTCAAAGACAGCACCAGAGTGAAGCGCCTTTTCTTCAGCAGACGGTGCAGCTCGTGACGAGGGTACAGGTGGTTTCGGTAGGGTTGTTTTGGCAGGACTGTAATGTTGCTGAAGTGTACTGAACGTTGGTCTCGGAGGCTCTAGGCTTGGTACACCCAATGCAGCACCCGGTCTTACAAGGCGTCTAAGCAGAGGCTTGCCCGGGTCTGCGCTACTCTTTTCCGAAGTTGGTGTAGACGGTGTGGAGGGAGTGGTCAGCCTGGACTTGAGTCCGGTGGTCGTCGAGCTCTGCGACCGGAGATGGCGGCTTGGATTGATCGTAGCCGACCGCCTCAGAGTAGAGTCGCCTGTGCTTGAGGCTGCGATAGTCGAAGTACTGCCCGTGCGAGAATGTGACGGCACACGGGGCTTCGGAGCGGTGGTCGTCGAAGCTGGAGTCAGTGCTCGAGTCGAAAGCGGTCGTGAGGGTGCAACTAGTCCAGATCTTGTAGCTGTACTAGTAGTGGGTGGTGGGGCTTGAGATATGGGGCGAGTCCGGACGGTCTTGGTGCGTGTCAGGGGAGCAGCAGGGGGTGGCATGGCAGTCTTGTCCTCCCTCGCCCTCGCTGGCACCGCTATAGCCGACCTTGTAGGACTCGACGTTGGCAAACTCGAAGCAGAAACTTCTTTGGTCGTCTTGAGCGAGCGCGGAGTCAGCTGTGGAAGCTGGCTCCTCTTCTTCACTGCGCCGTCATTGTCTACAGAGTCCTGTACCATCTCAGCGCTGTTGGAGAGTTGAGTGGCCTTGGAACCCTACCTCGCTTGTTACCGCTGTCGCTATCGCTCGTCGAACTGGAGCCATTCGTGACGACATTGTCACATGTGTATACTCATGTTGTGATGTTGATGCTGATGTTTGGAGTGAACAACAACCGCATCGACGCGACTTCGTGTTTGCTTGCTTTGCTTTGGACCCCCTCTATTGCGACCATCAACCATCTCATTCCGACGACAACTTCTGCTCACTCTTCTTCTTTGGGGAGAACGTGTTAGAAGCCAAAGACACTTTTCACTCGTAGGTCTTGTCAGTTACCAACATGGATGACGATTACTTCTACCATTCACTCCGCGAACTGAGGCTCCAACTCAATTCCATGAACATTCGCACTGCTGCTTTTCTCAACAAACACTCAACTCAAGACACAGTCAACATGCAACATCATACGCTAAACCTACCCCATGTTCTGCCGCCTTCTGTCCAACTGAACAACATGCAGTGCTTCCAAGATCTCTCCGCCAAAATCGATACACTCATAACTCAACACCATCAACACTTTGAGACACTGCATGATCAACTCAATGCACTCTCTGACAAAGTAGACGATATGACTCTTGACACTCCTCGTTACACCCCACCTGAATCCTCCACTTCATCCGTGCTAGGAGACCCAACTCTCTCCACGCCTTGTCCTGTTGCACCACCTATGCCGACTCAAGCTGTCAGCAAGCCATCTGCAACCATCGCAGACGTCGGTGGTTATTTCTTACCAAATCGCAAGTATGACCAGCAAAGCGACGACCAGTGTATCTTGCACGCCTCCGTGTTCGTTGCCAGAGTCAACCGCGCACTTCGCACCAAGTCCATCGCAAACATCGAAGCATTTCTCAAGGGATCTGCCCTTCGCTGGTTCAACGCCGGACTTTGCCTTGATGGCTCTCATGATTTCGACAACCACATTGGCGATCTGAATCTCGCCAAGTTCTGTGAGTCACTAATGCTTGTCTTCGGTGCTCCAGAAAGCGCCTCGGCAGACCATGATGACCAGCCTCGAATCTTCGGGCCCTCTTCGAGAAACGACCTTTTGGATGGCTACATACTGCCTGCTCTAGAGTCTCGACGTCTGAAGACCACACATGGCCAGACAGACGTCGGCGTGGGTGAAGCCCTGCGTCAGGCAGTGCAGTGTTTCAACAAGGATCACAAGGCTCTGAGTGTAGACCCAAACATCATCGGAAATGAAGACCTGTCCGTTGAAGTGGCACGACTTCGCCACAAGGATATCGAAAACAGGCGTGAACACAACTCTCTAAGAATGCGACAGCTCCCTCAGGTATCGAAGCCCATCAAGATACAATTAGATGACCCTTACAAATCATCTCCGAGCCATGCAAAGACTCAAGAGCGACCGGTGTTTCCACCTGGCAGTAAGCTCGACCATGAACAGCTAGCAGCAACACCGGAGGAGCCACAGAACACTGACAACAAGAAGTTTTCGTTCAAGAAGCTTTCGTTCAACCGCGTCAGCGGCAAGCCCACCACATTGCCGCATCATAATGCCCCCGCGATTGAACTCGATGTACGCAACGACTTGACTCCTGTCACTCCATGGCAGATGAGTACGATGTTCGCTCCTGACCCTTTGCCACGTTCTCCTCCAGGAGCCGCGCAGAGTGCATCCATCATGAACGGCTCACAGGGAGACTTCTCGAAGGTCGATAATCATACCTATCACGGACATCCTCCTTGCGTGTCTTACAGCGGACGAGGTCCAATCTCACCAGCAAAGTCTACCAAGAGGGACTGCACGACTTCTACAACTGCCTCGCTCTACAAGGTGCCAGCTGTACGCCATAGGGCGATCGATGCTTCATCTGAGGACGACTCCTCTCTTTACAAGGTGTCGGCTGTGCGCGCTCGAGTGATCGATGCTTCGACTGAGGACGACTTTTTTGAAGGCGACGCGACCAGTTTCGTCTCCTTCACTCCCGGTCTAAGTCGCAAACCCACGCTCTCCATTCCAGAACCCCCAAAAACTGACCGCACAGACGGCACCTTCTGGGCCAGGGAAGCCGCAGCTGCAAAGGCCGAGAACGAAGGAGTGACACCCGAACGCAACCACCACAACCCTTACTTTGGCGATCTCTATGGTACGATGTTATGGCACAAGGCGAACGCCGAGGGAATGACCATGGATGAGGCAGAGAAAGAGAGCATCGCTGTTCAACAAAGACAACAGCAGCTTATGCAGAAACGACAGCAGCAGGCGAATCAAGAGGCAAGAACAAAGCTCTTGGCCGCACTCCACCCGAGCCACCCTGCAAGAGAGGCATACTAGATGTTAATGGACATTACGAGACTCATGGAATTTCTCTCCGGCTGCTCGACGAAAGATGAAGCAGGCAGCTTGAGAAACGACATGGCGACCCAAGAAGTCGCTGCCCTCAGCTAACCGACACCGCTGAAAGGGCAAGACAGGGACCTAAGAGCTGTAAACAAGATAGTAATGCATCATCCCAGTCAAAAAGTCCTATGACCCAATGCATGTCCCAAACATGACGTGACACTGACGGGAAACACTAACATCCAATCGGAGCTGGTAGCAGAAGTGTAAATGGAGAAGGCACCGGAAATCCACTCATATCCACGTGTGCCATGTGAAAAGCCTATCTTCCAAAAGTCAAGTCTGGGATCACGCGAGACCTTGATGGTGTGACGATATCACTAGTGGTGAGATAGAACGAGCAGTCATATGTTACCAATGTCATGCTAGACAGTTCCAACACACGAAAAGTGATAGTGAAGGGGTGAAAAATTGTTTTCTTCCATGGTATAAAGCGCTAAGTTATCGACAACAGAGATGTTTATTGTGTTGTTTTGTGTTTTTTTTCTTCCCAAAAAGCCTCTTGGCTTTTATCGTCATTGACAGGTATCATATTCCCCAATTCCCCAACGCTCCCAGTTCCTTCATACAAGTGTCGTTTCGAGAGAGATGGAAAAAATAGGGGGCGGGTGATCCAGTCACACTCACACACAGACTTTCGCTAAAGCAGAGAGCTTTCCCCCACCAGTGAGGAAGGCGAGATCAATTTTCGTGATTCGCAAAAGGAGGGTGATGGAAATGGGTCGGGTCTACAGGCTGCCTCTGCGGGGCACACTAACACCTTCGAGGGCGGCGTTGTCAGTGAACCAGCTGACCTTGTCTCCGGCACCCTCGTTGATCAGACCGCAAGGCAGGGCGCGGCCCTCCTCGGTCTCGAAGATCTGCTTGAAGATGTCGCGCTTGCCGGCACCGGTGGCGATGAATGCGATCTTTGCGCCATGAAGAACGACGGGCAGACTCAAGGTGATGCGCTTCGGTGGGGGCTTGGGCGAGTCGGAGATGCTGAGGATCCAAGCGTCTGTCTCGCGCAGCAGGGGGTGCTCAGGGAAGAGGGAGCAGGTGTGACCATCGGGACCGCAGCCGAGGAGGATAAGATCGAACTGGGGGAGCTTGACGGAGTCGCGGGCGGCGAAGACGGAAACGAGTTGCTTCTCGTACTGGTCGGCGCACTCTTGAGCATCATCGAGGTACTTTTCCTCGATGGGGAAGACCTTGGGCTCGCCGAATTGTTCCTTGTCGATCTTGCTCAACAGCTCGTCCTTGAGCAATTTGTAGTTGCTGTCTTCGTGGTCCAGCGGCACACAACGCTCGTCGGCAAAGAAGATTTCCCACTTGTTGAAGTCGACAGTGTCGGCAGGGCTGCCGTCGCCCTTGGACAGGAGAGCCTGGGCGAGAGTCTTGGGCAGGGAGCCGCCTGAGACGGCGACTCTGAAGGTACCGTGACGCTCGATTGACGCGGTCTGCTGTGCGAGGACGTACTGGCGCAGAGTGGGTGCCATCTCGGCAACGCCGGGGAAGCTGTAGACATTGGGAGATTTGCCCATGATGGATGAGTTTGTAATAGTGATGGTCGCCGAGACTTGGTCTGTCGATTCCGTGTAGCAGAGTCGGGGTGGGGTGACTTGTTGTGGTGGTGCGAGGCGATGATGGCGATGTGACAAGGATGTCCCAGCGACGGCTTCCAACTTATCAGATAAACGACTTCTTTGCCGATGACGAGCGCCTTCCAATCCTACTACCGTGGGGCTCTTTCCAGGCTTGGCAACTCCAAGGACATTACTATTTCCGCGACATTCTACCGCTCTCACCGCAGCCATTCATTGGCCAATGCCGAATCCCTTCGATCCTCAAGGGCAACTCAATCGCTGTTGCAATTGTCCGAAAACTTTTGTGCCCTTGACCGACTGTTCGACGAACTTCTTTGGAGCTCATTGGCTTGCCAAAGATCCTCGACACGAGGCGCAGCGCCTTCCTTCCTCGGAGCCAACTTCCGCCTGTCAAAAGCAGCGTCGACGTTTGTTCCTTCACGTGTTACTCTCGCTCACTTTGAGTCTAAACCTCTTGTACAGGTTCTTATGGTCGGCCTGTAAGTTTCGCCACAAATGTAAAGTCATCACTGCAACCTAGCATCAGATGCAATAGTAGTCGCCGTATCACTACTTGTTGTGAGCCTTGTTGATTTCTTGAAGCGCTGGTTCCAAGGTCTGTCGGTCTGAGGATCGAAAGGCAGATCAGCCTCATTCTTCCCATTTTCGGACATCAATTCCTCACGGTTCGACATGGCGTGAGAAATTACCGCGTCCGAACACAATCTTGACACTAACATCATACATACCTACCCTCGATTGTCTCTCGTTAGGCGCAAGAGCAAAGCATAGTGACTCGTTCTGTGGAAACTTGGTTGAGTCAAGTTCTAGATGTTGTTCCTACATTGAGTGAAGTTATCTTAGTCGTGCTCAAGTCTGGATCCTGGAGCATAGACGTTGTTCGGACTTGGCCACAACGAGAGATCTGAGGAAAGACCACAGAGAAGGACATATGATCAGGCGTCTGAGGAGAGTCCAAAAACCCACTGAATATTGAGCCCAAGTCGCACATTGACTCAAGTCCAAGGCTACACATATGTCCGAGCTGCTCGTCTGTTTCTCGGACTTTGATCAGTAAGCGATTCGACTTTCGGACTTCGCGAGTGTCTTCTTGTCGTGACCCGCGAGTTGATACAGGCTTTCACGTGGGAGCATTGGCTGGCTGGTTGGCTTGAAATTACAAGCGCAGTTCGTGTCTTCGTCCCAGCCATCCTGGAAGTCCACCGCACCCGTGCGCCTTGCGCCTTGCGACACAAAGGATGAAGGATTGTGGTGGCACAGCAAAGATAGTCAGCTCCTGAACCAAATCAAGGCGTTCGGGCTCGGCGCAAGGCATCCACCAAGGCGTCGTATGTCGACTCGACACGTTTCGCGAAAGCGATTCTGCTTGACAGGTATCAAAGTGATGAGGAACGAACCAAAGCACAGCCCCGGTCAGCCCTGATACAAGAGGAAGGAAATACGCGAACGCGAATTGCGTGTTTCATACTTTCTTACTGCACGTTCAGCCAACTTACGAAACCGCTTCTTGAGATTGCTCAAGCACTGCCCTGCTCTTACCACAGATAAGGTGGATGAGTGAACAAGACCCTTGCGTGCGTATTCAAGTAGGGCACCGTGATCTTCTCGCAACATGCTTGGCTTCGGGATCAATGGTACGATGCATTCTAGGAGCTGATGGGTATCCACACAGACGCCTCTAATTCCGTGGCCGCATGGCCTTACAGTCTGGAGAACGCCTGCGGAGTCCAGACCTTCCAGCCTAATCAGATCCACAGACCTTCTGGATAGAACAAGAAAGGTCTTTCCCATCTCTGTTGTGGATACTCAGGGTCTTTATTATCGTTATTATTAATTGTTTCTTAGGAGACCATGGCCGTGCTGGCGCATGGCGCAAGCACAAAGGGTGTGGTGCTTGAAACGGTACCTTTGACATGAAACGGAGAACAAAGTTCAGAAAGTCTGGCCTTGCCTCACCCCGCCTCAAACCCAACCAACTATTAAGCACCAATGAACATGCGACAGAACTCTAGAAAAAACCTTGATAGGCAACAACCGCGTACTTTTCATGTGAACCGCGTAGCCTTTTCCCTGACACGGCCTCTTACTTGCAAACTGGAGTACTGTGTTGCTCGAGTATGTTTAGAGAAGAAAGAGCGCAACTGCAAAGGGACCGCTTTGTGGAAACGAACGGTCCAGACTGTCCTTCGGGATTCGGGAATCGCGGACTGTGCAGCGACCGGTTGCGCATTCTCTACTTTGCGAAACTGCAACCTAAACGGATTTAGAGACGACACACTGCCAGCTGCGCGGCGCAACACGAATAATGGCTTGCATAAGGGTTCGTACGTATCGGCTAGCAGCTACAGACGGCGTGAAACGGCCAGTTTCTGGCCGGGAGGGACTGCTCACTACCAAAAGTACAGTAAGATTGCCAGTTCAGGCAGTCGTATCGATCATTGTAAATGCCAGACATCGGGTGCGTTGCCGATGCCTAGTCTTGCTGTGCATCGTGTGTAGCCTCCCATTGTGAGAGTACCGCATTGACTTCTTCTCTAAGGACTTTTTTCCGCTCGTCTGAGCACCAGGATCCTTCCACTGCATTCGTGGAGATTGTCTTCCAATCGGAAGTGCTTAGCTTGAATGCTGCCTGGACTGCGCAGTAGTTTTCCTGTATGTACTTGCCGAAGTATGCCGGATCGTCACTATTGATGCTGAAGCACACACCATGATCCAGGAAGTCCCGTACGGGTGCCTCTTCGATACTGCTTATGAAGCCCAGAGTGATATTCGAGATGGGACAAAGCGTAACGAGCGTGTTTGTTTCGGCAAGTTGATGCATCAATCGAGTGTCCGTCTTCGCAACCCATGCATGATCGACCCTGCTAGTCTTGAGACTCTCAAGCGCAGATGATACGAACGAAGCCGGACCTGCTTGACCCACATGTGCAGTACATCGTACCCTGGCTGTCCTTGCATCGTCGTAGATCGTCTTGAAGTGCTCTGGTGGGTGCACGAGCTCATCGCCAGCCATACCAAGTCCTGCAACTGTGCCGTCTGCAAAGTGACCAGCATCCATTACCTCTTGGAACATGTGTGCTGCACCTGCCAGCCCGTGATGGCGTAATATACATGGAATGTATTCGATACTCATGCCGAAGTCCTGTTCCGCTCGCTGTCTCGCGCGTGACAACCCTCGTACGATCGTGTCATAGGTAATACCTCGTCTGGTATGGGCCTGTGGGTCGAAGAATACTTCAGCATGCTTCACATTCTGATCATGAGCTTTAGCAAAGTAGGTGTAGCCAAGCTGTTCGAAATCGTCGGCCGTTACGAGAACAGAGCTACCGAATGAGAAGTACCGAATAAACTCAGAGAGAGAGGCGAAGGATCCGTACCGGGCCTGCAACTTCTCCTCGCTGGCATATGCTTGGTCACCAGCAGAAGAAAGATCAATCTTATTCTTCGCGGCAAGTTCGAAGAGAAGACGTGGTGTGAGTGCCCCTTCGATATGGACATGATGCTCACACTTAGGCAATGCAACAAGCAAGTCATGCAGCTCGTTCCTGCACATCTCTCGTGTAGCTGCAATGGATTCAGTTGCGACGATGTGGCCTTCGTGTTTGTCTCAATTCGATCTGTTTGTGGTATCAGGTTGATTGTGCAACGCCGTTCTACTCAGGTAGGGTACAGAAGCGTATGCTATCACACGCAAGCCTCCCTTCGCTGGATGCCTAACTGCGCGTGCGCTGCCACCGTTCTATTATCGTCCAGAGTCAAGCTGTCTCGGATTACCGGAGCCTTACTAGTATGCGACTCAGCGTGCAGGATGCACTGGTGCAAGGCGCGGGACAGGCCCGTCGACGCAACGGCGCGCAGATGTGGGGGAGGAGCTGTTTCCTCTTGACGCCTCAAAGTCTGGAATCGGCTGTACCTTGTGACCACCCGACAGTATGGTCTCGAAACAACAATCAGGTCAACGTCGAATTGTCGTAGACCAAACAGCGACGACTGGCGTGAGAGAAACAGTCAGAGGCGACAGGACAATGCAACAGTGGTTGGCAACAAGACCACCTCGGGTGGCTGCATACAGCACCTCTGGCAACGTTGGTGGGGTATCCACAGAGTATGATACGTGTATTCCTTTGCTTGGCTTTGTTCGAGGCGCCTTTGTTTAAGTTACGGCCCTAAGTCAGGTCTGCGTTGGGCACAGACACTGCTTGCGCCCGGTGCCCAGACTCGTCGTTCTAAGGGAATCTGAAGCCAATCATTCCAATCAGCGATTCAGTGGCCGAACATCGAGATTCGTCGCGGCTCTGCAGGGAATGAATAAATGTACGGTCTACCCGCTCCATCTGCTCGATCCAAATCGTGCATCTGAGATCTCTTCCCGTCCCATCGTCTCGCAATGTCGACTTCAAGTACTGCCTCCTCTCCCATCCAAGGCGTTTGTTACTTTTCCATCCAACACAACCAACATTCTTCCTACAACGACGAAACACCTTTGACCACTCCATTCTCTCCATCTGGTGAAAACGTCGTCTCTGATCCGTCAAATCCATTGCTCGCTTATCGACCTTGCTTGCAATCTCCATCAACTGTCACGATTCGCAACAGAATGGAATCACTTCTTCAGCTACAAACTCAAGCTTCTCACATCCCTGCTTCAAGACGACCTCAACCTCGGCCTCTTCAGAATGTCCTCGCTATTGGTGACGACTACCTGGACGCAAGTGGACACTCTTCATCAAGCTCAGGGTCTTCTCAGTCAACAATGGAAGTCGCTCGTTGCTCACGCTGTCACCGCTCGCAAAGCATCGACATGTCGACCGGCAAGGCTGCAAACATGGTCTCTTATGGTCTCAACTCTTTCTACTGCCTAAGATGTGCAAACATCACTGGCTTCCTGCAACGCCAGTAAATGTGTCCTGGTCGTCCTTTACTTCATCTTCTCGACCACATCATCGGTCTTCTTCCTTATACCGCATAGCCGGTCTTTTGAGTTACGATTATAACGACACTATCATGCGCAGTCTGCATGACTACTTTTTCTTTACTACACAAGACCTCTCTGGGCTGCTTTCAACCAGAGTTACGATGGGTTCATTCATGGCGTTGCAGACCTAAGGGTCGCTGGAAGGAAGCATTTCTTGGAGTTTTTTTGTTTGCATTCCGGGCTAGTGCCAGTCCAGCCGGACAATTCATTGTTACTTTAGATACCCCTTTTGCATGAGCGCACACTGGATGTGGCTCCTTCTGATGAATTCAAAAGATACTTCCTCTCTGCCTTCTGTTCCAATTCTGAATCCCGTTGCTGAGTGTCCAGATGATCTGAAACAAGCTTTCGTTCTTTTTCACTGGCTGAGTCTGGTTCAAGCCTTTTCCACTGGAACTGCCAAACCCCACACTGGATCGTGAAGTTCCATCGTCGATCACCGAGCACGCGGTGTCCGCAACTGTACGCTTTGCCCCTTGTTACCTAGTCCAGGGACTTTCTGATGAAAGAACCTTGACTCAAGAAACACACACCCTTATTTCCTTCGCTTGCACAACTTGGGGAGATGAATGGTTCAAAGAGAGGTGGCTGGCTGGTGGCAGTGGTATTGCCTTGATTCACAGGCATGGGCGCACTGAATGCGCAAGTTTCGACAGTGGAAAAAGATGCACACGAATCTTGTGCGCTCCTATCTCGATCAAAGCGCGCAATAGTTCACAAACGGCTGCTACTCGCTCAGAGCGCTACCGGAGCGAACGTGTCTTGTCAACAGCAGAAGACAGCTTCCACTACTTGGGTACAACGACCAAGCCGGCCATCCGGAGTGTGTGTACGATGGAGACGGTAATATTTTGACCCGTGGGCGGTGCGAGGCAGCCATTTGACAAAGCACGAATCCCATGTGCCTGCAAAAGACGGCAAACTCTGTTTTCTCACAAGTTCGATGGTGGTCGATCGCTCGGTGATTACGAGCATGCACACCACACGTTTCGGCTCAGGTATCCCATCTACCGATGCATCTCTTCGATCGGTGTATGTTACAAGAATTGAGCTAGCCGTGTCTGAACCATTCTATTGGGAGAATCTACGATGCGACACATAGAAAGGGGCTATCTCGATGAGATCTTGCTGTTACATACCTGCCTTGAAGGCAAAACATCGTTGATGAAAGCAGGAGATATTCTGGAGGCGACGCATCGCTGATGAAGAAGCAGGAGGTCACTCGAATTCTATTGTCGTCTTCAGACACCTCTGAACCACGCGACGAATCGCAAATGGAAAAGAAGGAGGTGTTCAGTAGACTGCTGTCCTTGTTGGAACATGTTCGTCCAACGTTGCCGGGCGCAAACGCTGCCACGCTCCACGTCTTGGTAGAAATCACTCAACGCGACGCGTCTTGCGGAAGTCTCCGCGCTAAGGAAAAATTGACGAAAGCTGCATGATCGTTGACCAAAAATCTTCATACAGCTACTGCAAGGTATTGCGACCACGCAGAGAGACATGTCGACATCCGAGGATGCTTTCTCCTTCCACAGGATAGAGGAGGCCATGGCCCGTTTGAACGCAACAATCAGCAGCTACAAAAATGAAAAGAATGGCAAGATGAATGGTCATCATCGATCCGAATCTGATGATCTTCCTTATGCACCACGCTCTACCCTCTTCTCGAGAGAATGGGACTTGACGACGGACGAACACTACCCTTCGATCACGAATCCGGAGCTCAGGAAACGATTGAACGCTCTCGCTGAGCTCTGCAGCTTCCTGCCCGAACACCCCTACAACATCGACCTGTATCTGCGTATCGCAAAGGCCTATGTCGAGGTCGGATACCCTGACCTTGCTATTGGCTCAGCGTACAAAGCTCTGTTGCTCATTGACGCCATCAACAACGAGGACGAGTTTTGTGATGAGGCCATTGAGTCGTTGGCATTGAGCATCTCGAAAGAGTCTTTGGAGTACAGACACCAGAACATTCTCGAGAATGCGGAGATCCTGGCCCATCTGTACCCCGAATTCATGTTGAGAAACAAGGATCAGCTCGTAGACGTCGATGTATCAGATGTCGAAGTGTTGGTTTGGACCAAAGGACTTTTCTCTTTCCAAGTGTAAGCGTTGCGCCCATGTCATGTGTGACTCTTTCCTGACGCCTAGTAGTTATGCACTGCTTGCCCAATGTCTTCATGTGATTGGATGTCAGAGGAGCGCAGCCGAGTACTGCTTCAAGGCCCAGGATCTCTTCGGAGAAGACCCTACTATCGAAGCAACTTTGGACGTGATCCATGCCGCTATTGACGATTGGCTCCGCGAAACACAGCCCAACGAATACAACAAGCCGGGCTTCAAGTTCGGGCTCGACCAGTTCCCCGATGAAGGCATGGTTCGCAGAGAATGCTATCCCTGGAACGAACACGAGCCCGATCGCTGCTCTGCCGAGAGTCTGGATTTCCTGAACGCGGAGATGGAGAAGGTCGCACCCAGACTTGAAGTCAGAGCTACGAAGCTGCCTCTCTTGACGGAAGGCGATGGTGTAGACAAGTTTGTCACACAACTCGGTGTGTTTGCAAAGGAAGACATCGCTGCTGGAGAAGTCGCTCTGTCCGAAACTTCGCTCCTCACCGCGAACAACCGTCTTCAGGATGCGCTATGCGATGCGTGCAGTGCCGACCTTCCTGAGCTTAGTGAGCCAGCTGCTGCGGATGTTGTACAATGTCCTGACTGCGAGGTCGTCTTTTGCAGCCAAAGATGCAGTGATCTTGCTGAGGAAGAATATCATCCTGCCGTATGCGATCGCGGTGTCGAAGATGTAGCAAAAGACGTCCCGCCTGCCGAAGCTGCTAATGCCTTGTACTCTTTGTTGTTGCTCAGATCATTGGCCATGGCAGAGACCCAGGAGGTTCACCCTCTGGATATCAAGTATGTCAAGTTCATCTGGGGTGACTACCACACGTTTGACTTGTCGGAGCACTGGCGCCCACACGATCGTCACAGCGTCGACTCACCTTTCCCACGCACACTGCCTTTCAGCTTCCAGGCAAATGTCGTACTCCCATTCAACATGCTCGAGAAGATGGATGTCGACATCTTCAAAAACCCTCAGTACGACGTCTGGGTTTTCAACACCCTCTACGCCAAATTCCGCGGCACTGCATCCGCTCGTCTGAGCGGCTCAGGTGGTGGCGTCGCTCGTGGTCCTGAGGTCAGCGCCGTACACCCTATGTGGTGTCTTGCAAACCACAGCTGTAATCCCAACGTCACCTGGCGCTGGGCAAGCGACGTCCGCTTCCGTGTGCTGGAAGATAGACCGACCTGGCACGGAAGCGAGTTCCGCGGCGGCATCAAGTACAAAGCCGGACTCAAGAAAGATGAAGAGGTCCTCAGCCACTATTGTGATATCGACCTTCCAGTCAAGGATCGCCGTGAGTGGGCTGCCGGCGCTCTCGGAGGCAATTGTTGTTGTGAACGATGTCTCTGGGAAGCTTGCTTTGAGGATATGAAACAAATCAACCGCGAGGCTGACAAGGTCCGTGGATGATCATTGCTACACAGAAGAAACATATTTACTCATTAATGTATTCATCGGGACAACGTAATTGCATTTTCCTCTCCTGGTCGTCAGGACTTCAGTATGTGTGTGCCAATTTGAAATCATGATTGGCTGTCACGCTTGCTTATCCAGCCTTTTGGATTATCTCACCTGTACATCAGACACCATACCGTGTCGTTCTCGCTACGAGTGGGGTCTGAATACAGCCAAGCTGACAGGGTTAGTAGGACTTCGGATGCTCATATTGTTCGTGTGTGTATCGGAGCGTGTAGGCAGGCAACACAGCAGTGATTAAGTCGTGCATTCGCCCCTTGCTTGCTATGCTCTCCAAAGTCAAGATGAGTCCCCGACCTGCGTGCTCAAGACATAACCAAAACCGACACCCCAGGTCGGCACTGGACTCGGCTGCCGAAAGTGCTTCGGACCAAACCCCGAGTATTGATTCATGAAACATGGAGGCACATGCACCAATGACTTCAGAGTATGATGATCATTTCGTCTCTTGCATTCGCGAATAAATTATCCTTCCTCACAAACCTGATTTCATTCATTCCTGCGGCTCCGCTCGTATTTGATGCATCGTTCATGTACTATGCTTACGTTTCTCTCGCCAACGACCGTTTGGTACAGATCACCATTCGTTGGTGATGATGTGAGAGGGGTACATATCTATGGAAGGGGGGCGGTCATTCTGCGTGAGCCTTAGCAGAACGTCCGAGGGCTACCTTTGTGTTACACAGCATGAACATATTCAGGCTAGTCACGTACATCTCTCCACTGCAGTATGCGGGGAAAGGTAGAGTAGACGGCACATGATAAATGATACTATTCGCTAACAGTTTTGATATGATAACACTCGCGTCTTCTGGTTGGTTGGCTGCTCCCATTTGGCCCTTTTTGATGTCTCACTTGGAGCCATTGGCAATGATGAGACGATCACGATGGTTCTTGCTTGAGGCCGTGGGTGTGACTGCTTCCTTCTCCGTGTCGAAACGGACATTGACTGTCTTGCTCATGAGCTTCTGACCGTTGAGCATGTGAACGGCCCTAGCAGCTGCTTCTGTAGTTGTAAATTTGACAGTTGCGATGCCGCGCGATCGGCCACTTGCCGGATCTCTTCTAATCTCGCAGCTGTCGAGGAATCCAATTTTGCGCAGGTACTCCTCTAGCTGCCGCTGATCGATCGCGTAGTCTAGCTGACTGATGAAGATGCCTCTTGACTCAGTTTTGACGAGTCCTCGTGTTGAATTCACGGGTCGCTGGTTTGGAGTGTGTACGTATGTGGGACTCATCTTTCTCGGAGCGATGGGAGGCGGATGATAGAATACTGGACTCCTGTGCATGGGCGTGCCCACAGGTGTACTCATAGATGTACTTATGGGTGTGGAATAGGTGCTGACACTTTGTGGCGGTGGAAATGGCTGCATTGGGCGTGGGACATCATTGCATCGCAACAATTCTGGAGGTGATCGCGCTGTTGACCAGAGGTATACCTTGAGTGGCTTCAAGGAAGGTGAGCCATTGGTCAAATATCCTTGAACTTGGTCAGTCTCTGGCTTTGCTGACTATGGTTCTCGACATACCGTAGAGGTTGAAAGCATCTTTGGAACGCTTGATCTTGATCCAGCCGCGACCCTTCTGCATACCTTGTGGATTCGAGGCCATCTCGGTCCAACCAGGGTATGGAGCAGCCTGGCGCGTCAGATCTTTCAACATGCCCCAGGTGTAGTATGGAGGCAACTAGAATATCTCGTCAGAACGCACCATACTTGCGGTAGCATAAGACTTACACCCTCGACGTAGAAGAAGAAGTCCCCATCGCCACTACTCTTTGCTCGAGATGGCGGATACTGACAATTCATCATGGGCATGTGGGACAACATGGTCGATAGCTGTTAGGATGGAGCAAGGAAGGAAGGTAGTGTAGTAACAAGAACCAGTACAAATCAACGTGACTGAAGAAGGGAGACAGCAAGAAGAAGGTACAGTCGTATGAGAGTTCGATAGGGCCTCGAGGTGAAACTGATTGCAAACGAAAAAGATGAACCAAGGCCACTTTCGAGATATTGGTCGAAGGACCTTCTATTTGTACAAATCATTCATGAGTAACTTGCAATTATACAGCTTTAATGCATGATGTGCGTGACTTTCCAACAACGAATCCAAGCCATTGCCTGGACCGTTGACTACTACTTGCGAACAACAGCTGGAAGCGGGACTGAACAAACAGCTTCGATTGCCGGAGAGTGTAACCCGAGGGGGTCAGAAACTCGGCAAGAATCTGGGGTCGCAGCAAGCCATCTGAATAAGGCCCATGTCGCCATGCACTCGAATTGACCACCCCACCAGGATGACTACGGCGATAGGGTAGAGCTGACCCAGAGGTAGTCGTAACAGAGTAGGGGAAGCAAGGCTACCTCTCCGACTCTCCAACGTTGATTTGGCCTGCAATCGGAGCAAACGCTTTGTCCAATTGCAAAAGCTCAGACTGATATGCAGGGCTGGATGCGAGACCGACGGTAGCGGTGAAACCACCGGCTGGGGTCGTAAAAGCTGTTTGCAGACTCGATGAAAAGACTGATGCCCTGATCATGAAGGGATCAGGAACAGTAATCAGTCATTTTTCGCGGCACGGCACATACTTATGAAGCAATCATCATGGTGGGCAATCGCCGAATCAATGTGTATCGCGGCTCCGTGGACCAACTGAAGGCGTCGATGGCGGCTATACCAGCCATATGAGGCATACCAAGACTCCAATCCAGCGAAAGGACCGAATCGTGCGCACGGAATTGTGCATCCACGGAGCGCCGACGGTTACACAAGGCACCTCTCACGCCTACCCGTGCCGCATCCCGTGAAGAATTATGTGGAGGCGCGATGCATGATGCTAGGCGAGAATCCAGCTATTTCAACCAGGTTTCAGGCTCAACAACAGAGGTGGTGACAAGAAGAGCGGGAGGGATAATATCAAGCAAATATCGCGGACGTGAAGAAGATGCAGATTTGACGTCAGCTCCAGAAGCTTGGGGAAGTCGCGGTCCATCGACCGAGGTCATTGCCAGACTTCGACCGCCACCAGTCAAAGCAGTCCCAGACAGCTGGAGTAGGAGCCACCAAACATCCTTCTAGCCCGAAAACGACCAATTTGCGGTCAACATGTCACCGAGTGAGGCCGCAATCATCGTTGCCCGCTTTTTGAAAGCCAACAGTTACGATGAGGTTTGAACAACCGTAGCTCCAACCACCAGCATCGCATGCTAAGGTGTAATGTCAGACTCTGGATGCGTTCATCAGGGAGGCTGGGCTACCACCCAGTGCTGGATCCACAAACAAGGGCGATCTAACCATCGAGAAGATCCTTGAGGAAAAGCGAATATTCGATATGAGTGTGCAATTCGAAAGACTTGGCACAGATGACGGCGCTCACGGTTGGGGCCAGCATGGTAGATGATTACTTTTGATCATGCCGGAGTCAATATATTGATTCCTTCCAGCGCCCGCCTTGCCGAATGAAATAGCAAGTCCGACACGTTCCAACATCCTTCACATATCGCTGCCACAGGTAGCGAACGCGACCTCCGGGTAAGTCAATTGATCCATAATCATTGATGATAACAATGCGTGACTGATCCGATCAAAGCGATGCATCTGAACCGCTGTTGGTAGCCACGACTGCTGATCGCCGGCTCAATGTTCACAATCTACCTGCATGCACACTCAAGGACTCGCTATTGGCCCTTCACGACTCGCCAGTGCTCTCAACTGCTGTGCTGAAACAGACACATCTACTGACGGCTTCCATGTCTGGCCAGCTTGCAATCAGTAATATGCAGGGTGAAGTTTTTGACAAGCGCCGCGATCATGCCAAGTATGTTGTGCAGATCGCAACACATGAGTGCGAAGATGTGACATGGCTCGCAACAGCAGGATGGGATGGCAAGGTCCATCTTTACAAGCTGGATTTTGCAAGTATTTATTCGCCGAAACTGCCCCCTCCTGTTGCATCCATCTCGCTACCAACTAATCCTGAGGCGCTCCTGTTCATCAAGCACCCCGACAATGACTCCCTAGTCCTTATCGTCACTCGCAAAGACTCTACTCAGCTCTTCTACCACAGTGTTGATAGCGAGGCTCGTCTACTCGGCAAGCAGAATTTGGCGCCGCACAGCAATGCCTGGATCGCCTTCACACCATCCGCGATAGCTCTCTGCCCTACAGACAGCACTCTCATCGCAGTAGCAACCAGCGCAATGCCTCACATGAAGCTACTAATCGTACGTCTAATGGTGCCCTCAATAGACGGCGAAGTCTCACTAGCCTCCATCGTCCCTGCCGAAGAGACGCAAGCTTCTCAGGCACGCGCAGCACTGGCCCTGCAGGACCGTGAATCAGCCGCCATCTTGATCCACTGTACAACCATGGCACCACAGACAGCCTACAGCACTCCCGCATTGACATGGCGTCCAGACGGCACAGGTGTATGGGTCAATAGCGACGACGGTGCAATTCGCGGCATTGAAGCCACAACTGGAAAGATCATCGCAACGCTCAAAGGTCATGAACCCGGTAGCAAGATCAGATGTCTTTGTGCAGGATATGTGTCTGATGGAGATGCAAAACAGGAGTGGTTGGTCAGTGGAGGCTTTGATCATAAGCTCATTGTCTGGAAGCCTGAATCTGCAAAGTAAAGATTTTTTTTGTTGAGATGCAACACAGTCGACAGACGTCTGTCACGAGCTTACAATTACGGTCATTGGTGTGATCTTTACGCTCCAGTACCTTCGATTGGATGGACTGATGTTGTTGCTCATGCGAGGGATCATTTGACACATGCAGTCATTTCAAGCAGGGTCTTCCCAACGACGTGACATGACGAAACTCTAGACAACCTTGTGCATGCCCAGAGGCTTGGGTCTTGAGTTAATAGGTAGAGGCGGTAGATGTAGGAATTCAGTGTGGGTTGCAGGCATGCCTCCGTACTTGAAGTTCCTGCGGTGACAATTTTCACAGCCATATCGTCTCATCAAGTGTGAACACAACTAGTGCCACGGCTCATGATGTGTTTTGAACTCAATCATAATCATTCACAAATACTCTATCCAATCTATGTTCCCTATCCCTGCAATGCCAGAACTCCAACGCACCGTGGTATCTAAACATCAAAAACATATATCAATCACTCTTTCATCATGTCTCTCAAACCAAAAGTCCACTTTCTTCCCTCTCAGCCTTGGCGAGCACAACTCGATCGAACGCGGCCTGCTCAAATCTACCAAGAGCAGCCCAAAAGTGTCTGCCGGCCTCGTGTACTCTAATCCTGTCAACTAGCTCAGCGACACTCTCTCTTACATCTAGCCTAGGGTGCATAAGTCCAAGTGCCAAATAAAACATGCCGTTCTGCCTATCATTCATGACGGCAGTGCTGCCATATGCGAAGACAGAAAGTAATTGGTTAACTTGCTCGTAAGTCTTCACTCTGGCGCAGAGAGCGAGGTAGATAGACGCAGAGGCATCGGCACCCATCCGCAACTTCATCAATCTGTCGTGCAGGTGTTGAAGATCGAGATCCTGAATCGGGCGCAAGGAAAACATGACGCTGAAGTCTTGAATGAAGTTGTAATAACTTCGTGTCTTCGTCCATCCTTCGATGCGAGTGGCGTTGGCTGCTAGTTCACGCATCTTGGCTTCCTGAGATGGCCACACGAAGCCATGACCAGCAACAGCCGGGTCCTCGAATGCGGCATCCAGTACTGTCATCGGTGAAGGAAAGTCCATGGTAGCAGTGGATGGTGAGATGGGCGAGCCAGGAGGATAGTATGCAAAGATCGCCGAAGCGCCGTATACCAGCTCCTCGAAAGCCGCTGTGATGCGGATGAATTTGAGAATCCAAAGACGGAACTTTGAGCGAACAGCACCTTCGCCACGACGTGCGGCAATCGACGCGAGTACGCTGGACATGAAGGCCACATCGCCTGTAGGATCACCAGCGCCAGAGGGTATTGATGGGAAGCCACCCATGCCTGCACCCGTTGCTGTACCGGCCGAGGAGACAGGACCTGGCGCATTATATGGCTGTGGCACACCTTGTCCATTCTGCTGGAAGAAAAGCACACCTTCTGTCAATGGGGCTTGCTCGATCTTGGGACTGATTCGGAGTCGTCCGGTCGGCAAATCACACATCAGATCCCACCACTGGGTATGAGTGGCGAACGCCGGGTTTGTGACACCTGCAATAAAACCTGGTACTTTGAGCAGGTCGTCAATCTTGGTGAGATCAGTATATGGGAATGCGTGGCGGGTGAAGCCTCTCAGGAAACCACCCGAGGCGAGAGAGCAAGCAGCCAGTACAGCCTCTGCTACTTCAGAAGAGGGCAAATTGTGACCGATGAATATGATGCGTTTCTGACTGAGCAGGGCATTGAGGAGTACGATGATGGGATGAGTTAGAGGGCCTGAAGTGGTGAGATGAGGATGGTGTACTGTAAACGGCTGAGGAGAGGCCGAATGTGGATTGCTGAAAGTCTGGATGAGCTTGATGAGTGAGAAGTCGCCGACAGTCTCGAGAGACAGAGCAGTAGGGATCTTGATCGGCACGGGGACGTTTTTGTATTTGACGACCGAGTCAAACTCATGAGTGTCTCGTGGCAAGCCGTAGCGCTGACGAGCCGCCTGCTGCTGGAGTTGTTTGTCATCGGACTGATTGTTGGCTTTGTCCTCTTGAATACGTTTTTGAACCATTGCCTCGAACTTTTCGATGAAAAGATCCTTGACATCCGAGGCTTGTAGGATATAGCGCTCCTGGAAAGATAGGCGTGGAAGTAGTGAGAGATCCATGGAATTGACCGACTCGTACAAGGAGGCCAGTGTGTCGATGGTCGGCGTACGGAAATACTCTTCCAGAGCGAGGAGTAGGAGTGGTTTGTAGATGTGCAGGAACGAGTGTCTTGTGCAGATGGCCATAGCCTTCACGACGGCACCACGCTTGACGTTCGCATCGTGTTTTGTGTTGACGAGGTTGAGAACATAGACCAGCGGTGGCCCTTGGGTGCTTTTGACAGCATCATCCTCGGACTCGGCATCTTCTGTGTCGTCTTCTGAATCATTCTCCAACTCTGCATCTGTCTTGTCACCGGGACCAGACTTTGCTTCAGCTCGCTCGCTCTTCTTCTCTGCTCTTTGCTCCCGTCGTCTGTCTCTTCTCTGTTGCAGTTCATCTTCTGGCGACTGGTCCTTGTGTAGGAAGAAGACGGTCCAGTCCTGACTACGCAGATGCGTTTGGTCGGGCAGCATGAGCTCTGCCAACATGTGCTCGTCACCACCGATCGGAGTCGGGTATTGATGTTCCATGACAGAACCAGTGTCAATATCGAACGAGGCAACCAGGATGTATTCGACATGACGCTCGGTGGAATCTTGGGGGTATTGCGGGCGTGGCTTGCGCTTGCGGCGAGGCATCGCAGGTGAGCGTACTGATTGAGAGAGAGACGGTCGCATGGGAGGCCTCACGGTAGCAGAGGGCATGACGTCGTAGTACGATTGCTTGCGCGATGGGAACGAGGCCAGCGAGGGGCGGCGCGAAGTAGTAGCTCCCCCTGACATGACGGCGGCAGGTGCGATTGGCGTGCTTTGACTAGTGCTGCCTGCCGTATTGATGATGCTGGACCTTTGAAAGAGGAAAGGCCTGGGGAACGAGGGTTATTGCCAGAAGCACTCCATGTGGACAATTGAGCTGGATCGCTCCTGCCTCATCAACTTCTCAACCTCCTTCTCCACATCCCACGCCAGTTGCAGGGTCCATCTAACGGACGATCTGCAACCAGGCACGGGCCCGGGCTGAACCTAGCGTGGACTCCGTGGAGCGGAGGAGATGGCCGACCGCTTGGCTCCCCCGGCGTATGTTTGTTTGTATGTACAAATCACCTGGCTGTCCGCCTAACAACCATCATACCGCTACTTTATCGTCTTTTCCACTCGAATTATCCACTTTCTCAAATATATTTCGACCACCATGGTGAGTTCTGATGGAGACTCATACTTATCACAGGCTGATTGACATATTTCAGGCGTCACCAACCAAGTTGTCGTTCAATTCGCCGCGCTCTCCACGAGCCTCGCCCTTCCGTCGTCCCGACTCGGATGGTCTTTTACGTTCGCCTTCGACCGTCCGTGATCGATCAGAGTCGCCCACTAAACCTCTTTCTCCATCTCTATCGCCAGAAAAATCTAATCCATTTGTACGGCGGCCCTCGCAGCTGACGACTGGCGATCGTCCAAGGAGTCCTTTTGCCCGTCCGACCAGCCGCCTCAGTATCGCCGAATCCTCGTCAAGACCAACTTCGTCTGGTTCTCTGAGACCCACGTCATCCGGGTCTCTTGCCCCGCCCATTGCCTTCTCTCGCCATGCTTCTCAAACGTCGGTAGACTTGGAGCAGTCTGCTCCACCATCCCCTTCGCCCACTGCACGATTCGCAGAGTCGCCTATGCCAGGAGACGGAGCAGTACCTACATCTCCTCGTGTCCCTCCTTCGCCGTCCCCATTAGCCATACCAAGTTCTCCTGCTGTTGCACCATCATCACCTATGGGACCCCGGTCACCGGCTTTGTCGCCAGTCACGACTCGTCCAATGCGACCGACTGCCCAGAGAACTGTCACATCATCTACTCAGGCTACCATCCGAGCACCTGTATTCGGCAGACCCACGTCCCGCGACTCAAGCACGAGCGCCGCTCCTCGACCAAGTTTTACCGCTCCTTCGAGACCTAACTTTGCGGCCCCGGTTCAGATGGCTACTGGTCAATATTCACATCTTCCTCAATCCTTACTCCGAAGTATGCGCGAGTCTTTTGAAGTCCTGGACAACTCTAACACAGGTGCCATCACTTCCGCAAGCGTAGCGGATATGCTACAACAGATGGGAATGGACTCTTCGCCCAAGGCTGTGGCTGCCTTTTTTCCTCCAAACACCCCTTCCACCATCACGCTTGGTCGTTTCTTGGACTTGCTATCCGCACCACTAACAGAGCTCAGTGAGCCATCTGAGCTTGCTGCTGCCTTTGCTGCCTTTGACGTTGACGATAGTGGTCAGATTGATAAACATGAATTGAGGGACGCTCTACTCAGTACTGCTCCTGAGCCTGGTTCTGAGCATTTGCGACTGTCCGAACACGAAGTCGATGCCATCATGAGCCAATTCTCGGCAAGGAGAGCATTCGGTGCGAAGGGAGTTTTCGGCAAAGAGCTTGGAGGTGGTGACAGGAAGAGGGGTGAAGTCTTCCGTTACAGAGACTTCATCTCGAACATTTCGGGCAGTGGAGGTGGCGAAAGCGCCGAACAGATTGCTGCTTGAACGACACACACGACCCCTGGTGTTCATTACTAAAACTTCCATTCGATCAACTACCCGCAAGGATGGCCGAGTAGGTGCATTGCATAATCATGAGTACACGACCATTTTCCACGTCTCAACCTTCCTTTTCGATTCATCAGACGATGCGATGTGCAGTGTCGGAGAGTGTCCAATCGATGCGCGTCAAGTATGAATTGTCGACACAGGATGATCTGTCTTATGGTCGGGAGACTTGATCATGTCAACAGAGTTGATGGCTGAGGACGAAATCATCAGATTTTAAGTTTGACGAACCACAGTGCCGACAACTTTGAACCACAAGAAAGCAAATCTAACATGCTCTCTGTCAAGGTGCGCGATTTGATGTCAGTGGTAGCCAACTCACTAAGTCGTCGTCAGAGTCGAAAACTCAAAAAAACGCACATGGCACAGGATAGGAGCGGGTTCCGAGGTTGACCCCGTCTTCGGCATATAAACATGCAAAGGCCTGAAGATTTTCATCTTCTCTTCTTTCTATACAGCTTTTACTCCAGGAACATCACGATCACGATGTATGTCCCCATCGTCTCCACTCTGACGGCCCTGACGGGCTTGAGTGAGCTCAAGGCCATACCTGCTCAAGCTCCAGTAACCTCTCAACCTGCCGATCTCGTGAACATCGCTTCTCGGGATATTCAACAGCAACCTCTAACTGATCTGCTCCTTCCAACCATCACTTCTGCAAAGTCTCTGGCCAGCGGCCACAGACTGTACGCTCGTCGCGAAGGTGGTTACAATACACCTGTCAGAAATGCAAAGTACCACTACACTATTGTAGTCGACGACGAGACTCTGGGAGTTACACCCAGCGAGTCTCCAGCACTCCGTGTCCTCGAGGCTCGTGAGGAAACCCCTAAAAACTGGCCAACAAACCGTGTTGATGAGGCGCGATACTACCGTACGCACAAAGCTGCAACTGGAACCACGGCCAAGAATACTCCCACTCGGTCGGTTGTAGCTTGGGAGTATCCCACCGCCACTGCTCCTTTCGATATTCCGGGTCTGACTGATGGAGGCTGGCCGGCAGTTCCTGATCTTGCTACTGCCACAGCAATGCCAACTATGAGTCCTGGAGGCTGGGAGAACTTCCCTTCCGAGGCCAGCGCACCTGCATCCACCAACCAATACTCCTCGTTCTGGAACGAATTCTCTAGCAAAGCCACTGCTACTGCAGCTTCTTCCCCTGACAACAAGTCCTCCGAGAAACCCCCTGAGGCAACCTGGAGAGCTCCCAAGAACTTGCCCCAAGAGTGGTTGACGAGGTTCCCCATTGGGCCACGCGACAATAATCATTTCTTCAACCACAGTCACAAAACAGTCTCCTTCCAGATTTCCACATTGACTGGGATCTGGGCAAATGTCACCGCCAAATCAACAGCAACTGCAGGCTTGAGCACCGTCATGTCTTCTTCCACATCCACCGCTTCCACCACAGTCGCTCCCTGGAGAATCAACGACTGGAAACCCCCAGCCATCACAACTACACTCTCTTTCACCGTTGATGACTCTGTGGTGGTCGAGACTATTACTTATATTGCAAAGAGGGACGAGGCTTCTGCTACTACTGCTGCGGCAGTTACTTCTACTCTGGCTGCAAAGGCAGAAGCTTGATCGACGAGGCCTTTTGTTTCGATTCGGCGAATTGTAGGTGCGATATAACTGGAGGGTGTGTGTGCTAATGTGGTTTGAACGAGGAACAGGGGAAGGTTGTGTGGGTTTGAGCGAGGCGTTTGGTGTTTGGGGGATGAATTGTGTCTTTTATGATTTATGTTTTTCGTTTTTGTTTGCCTTTGACGAGAGAGGAAAAAGAAGAAAAAGAAATAAATGGATCATTTGCAGAGCAAGGTGGAGGATTGATGCGAAGTATGTTCAATGTTCTTGGTTGGACAACCTGTATCTGTGATTGTGCGTGATTATTTGCTCGACTTGACTAGGCAACTGAATGTCGCCCTGGTATACGGCCTTTCGTCGAAAGTCTCTCTCTCTCTCCTTAGGGGAAACATTATGCAAACGTCTCGACTCCTCCTTGCTAGACATATTAGACCTCATGCAAGTGAACAATGGCTCTATGCTTGTACTTGAATCCGCGCCTATCTTGATGCCCGACATGCACATGCTCATCATGCATCGTGTTTTTGCTGCCTCTCCATCATACCCGTCACTCCATTGCTCACAAACTCCAGGTAGCACTTTCCACAAACATGGACCTCACACCAAAGGCACGTCATGAAGTCATCTCCTGGAGCGTCGTAGCCATCGCATATAGAACATGCGACAGGATGTTTGTAGTTGGAGCCCATACGCTGCCATATGTCATGGTCTCGGTAGCATGTCCGCTGAGAGGCTCGTAGCGGAAGTGCATGAGCAACGTGCTCCTGGGGTGCATCTTTGAAAGGTCGATCGAGATTGGGTCGTAGTTTGCGGTTGGGCAGTGAATTTGACTGATCGAGTGCGAGATTTGTTTTGTCGGACAGCGGCAAGGATGGTGAGCTCTGAGCGAATGACTGGCTTGAATCCGTGGCCCCAGATCTCGCCTGGCGGATGGGCAATGTTAGAGTTGCGGACCTTTGCTGAGTAGCGGCATGCTTCGAGAAAGTCAGTCGGGGTGCTTGGGAACAGGACGATTGGACTATGCCACATACCACGAACAGGCCAGCTCCTGTCATTTTCTGTCGCTGAGAGGCAGCCATAGAACGATCGGGCGATGGAGAGTATGTGACGCGCAAGCCGTATTTGGTGGGACTGTCTTCGGTCAAGAATGGAGGAGTAGGAAGTTGAATCTGAGGTGTCTTGGGTGGGCGAGGCGGTACAGGTGTGCTCATGCCACTCGAATCATCGTCTGCACCAAACACAATGACTTCCTCCTGGGCTTCAGAAGGGGGTGTCACACGTGTAGCCGTTCTCGTTGAGCTAGAATCCGAATCATAGAAGTTATCCTTGTTGTTTGCAAAGCTCGTTGAGTGGACTGAACCGCTGAGCATCTTGACAGTCGACTGTGAATCCGAGCGGGCTCCTAGGGATCCTCTAGTGTACTCTGTCTCTAGTCCCGTCGAATCGGTCAATGCCGCATCCACATCACATGAAGCCTGAGTCGCAATGGGATCTCGTGTAGAAGCATGTCCAGAGGGGGTACGGTTACGCTTGAGAAGGTTCATGGACGATGAGCGATGCCTCAATTTCCTGTGCGGTACGTCGTTGACGTGGGAGCCAGCCTTGGACGGCACGCCACCCATGTCTGTCTTCTGCTGGGCAGAGGCAGACTCTGGCGTCGACGTCGATTGGGTTGATGGACGACGTCGAAAGCTGCGACGAGTGAAGATGCCAAAAGGTGCCATAGCGGGCATGTTTGGAGTCGAGTTTGTCGGGAAGGCGTGTGTTGGTAGATCCTTCTCTCTGATACAAATGCACGTGGAGACCACGCAACTCGTTTGTGATCGAGCTCATGATCGGGAAGGAGGTAGCAAATTTGGCTTGGATCGCCCTTGCATGCAGACCAAGACGAACGACGCTGCAGGGTGCGACAAACAACAATTTACGAGCACGAAGAACAGAGACGAAGGCAAAGCAGAACTGCAGAGATTGAGAAACAAGGATACCCATAGCCCAAAGTCGGAGAGCTGGTGGTCAGCCGTGCCGTGGTCGACTCGTGCACAATGCGATGCTTCAAGGGAAGTCGCTCCTCACGCATGCCGATTGGCGCGCGGGTGCATACGGAATGCACATGGCCGTCCGAGTACCATTGACATCTTGTCAGCAACCTCATCGATGCGTCCCACAGATTCAACAAGAATCGCATGCACTGGACGACTTAGAAGAAACCTGGTCGTCTAGCAGTAGGTTGCGGCTCGGGGATGGGGATCTGTGAGACCATCTTGGGACTTTCGTCTGTCACCTTCTGCTCTGGAGCTTGTGCTTGAGCTTTCTCCTGGTCTTGCTGCGGGTGTGCAGCCTTCTTCTTCCACAGGACGTTGTCTGACTCGAGTTCTTGCATGACTTGCTCCCACTCCTGCTCCTTTTCTGGATCGCCAGTTCCCAGGATGCGTTCGACATCCACATCTTCTCCACGCTGGACGCGCTCTATCGTCTCACGCAAGAGAGCGATTTTTGCTTCCGTCTTGCGCGTGAAGCCGACGCGTTCGTTCCTCAACGCGATCATCTGGATGGCATTGGAGCCAATCAAGAGAGCGATGACAATGAAGAAGGTCGCAGGATTCCAGTCCTTGGACTTCATAGCGGCAGCCTTTTGACGTTCGGCGACAGACACGGGGTCATCGGGTTTCCTGAATGCCTTTGGGATGACGGATTGCCAGACGGACGCAACACGAGGCACCGAGGTAGAAGTCGAAGCCCGGATGACCGTGGAGGAGAACGGACGGCGCCATAGCATCTGGCGCACGGAAGCAGAGACGGCCCTCATAGTGCTGATATGATGGACGTCGGTCGATGAATGTTGGACAAGAATTAATTCAATCCGACGGCTTTGACAGAGACAACGCTCCGAGGTTTAGGGCAGGGTCGCGGCGGCCGGCTCCAACGGGCCGAAGCGGTTGCTGCAGAGACAGGGCTGAGAATGTGCATGTTTCGGTGTTTCTCTATCGATTTGCCCAAAAGTAATCAAGGCCGAAGCCGCTCGTGCACTCGAAATACCATGATGGCAGATTAACATGCAGCGACAATCCAACCAATAATGTCCCCTCTGACAAGTCCGGCCGAGGTGGTGCGCATCGCAATAGCGACACCATCTTCATGCTCGCCAACCACAACTGCTACCCTGCAATCTCTCCTACGACCTGTACCAGACCAGGATACGAAGCCTCCGAAGACACCGGCGAAGACAACAGTCGCTCGTAAGCCGCCACCGACAAGGACAACTCGAGCGAAGGCGACCACTACTGCGACGTCAGATGCGCCCAAGCCTTTGACACCGCAAGAACGATACAAACTTGCCACGGACGTCGTCAATGTCTCGTTGAAAGTGCTGAACGATGCGACAAAGACAAGCCCGTCGTCTCCCGCCCAATCGCCCTCTAGGAAAAAGGTCTTGTCTTCCGGCCTGGCGACCATTGCCGAATGTGCCCGCCTTGCCTTCTCGCACCTTCGTTCCGCCCGTCCTTCTACCGATGCATCGTTACAGCTCGAGATGGGCATGCTCGCCCTTGTTTCCAAACTCGTCGCTCTCGGTCTGGATACCCTTGCCATGAAAGAGCTGCGCATACTGAAAACGTGCATACATCAGAGGTGCGGAGAGAACAGCCAGGCACTGGTGGCTGAGAAGGAGACACTTGCTACCCTGTTACACCTTGAGTGTCGCACTACCGATGTCAAGATCCTGTCGCTAGCAACTTCATATCATCTGAACGTCTTGCGCTTGATCGCCAATTCTGGTCGTCCCGCTACGGTTCAAGCTTCGCTGCCCTATTTGTTGCTTGACAACGACATCTCTCCCGGCGCATTGATTTTGCGACATGTTGAGCAATCGCAAGATAGACACAAGGCAGGCAGGCAATTGGATACCCTCTCCAAGCTCATACTATCACTTTGCCCTTCTTCTTCGGCATCTGCGGATCAGACTGAAAAAAGTCTCAAGATGCACGCCTCACCGGACACCATATTCAGCCTTCAAACCACCGCGCTTTTCATGCAAATGAAGTGGTGGCCTCTTGTCGAACACAAAGCGAATCTTGAGAAGGAGCTTTACGATCCACTAGTGCGATACTTGGACGCCTTCAGAAGGCGTGCCGATGACCGAAGTCCTCAAGCTTATAGACAGGCTTTGAAGTGTGTCGGTTCCATCATAGACCTGAACAAGCCCAAGCCTACCATCGCTGCTTTGTCTCCGGTTCTATGCACGTCTTTAAGTGCCTTGGCTGAGTCCTTCGGGATGCTAGATGAAGCCTTGAGCTACACTGACTCCTTGTCCACGACTTCAGACACTACTCTGGGATCAGACCTCACATTACTCTGTACAATCAGGTCCATGGCACTCGCTCTCGAGCGAGACGAGAATACAGATCTAGCGTCTCTACATACTCAAGTAACGTTATGCAAATTTGCGATCAAGAACGACGCCAGGTCAGCGCATCTGTCACTAGATGAGCTGTTGGTGGAGCTTGCAAAACTACGCAAAACGACGATCAGGCTCCTGACACAAAGCGTGGAGAAGCAATCTGGCTCAGACGTAGACGAGCTTGGCTTCGAATTGTGCAAGGTCACTTTTCTCTGCACGAACGTGCTCTTCTGGTGTCTACATCGCGCTGCCGGTGATGTCGAATCCGAAAGCGTTGCGTCGAAATTGCTTGTCTCATTTGTCAGCTCTAGTATCTTTGCGTGCAGAGCTTTGAGCTCGTCTTCCACTCATGTCGAGACTATCCAGGGAGCGCTCGAAGTCTGTAAGCAGCTCTTAGGACTGCGTTCTGATTCGGACGCGGAGCATCTGGTGGTCAACATTTCTAACTTATATTGGCGGTGCTTCCAACTTCTGACTCCTGCGCCACAAGAGCCGTCTGAGCAAGGCATAAAGTGTTTGCAAGCATCGATCGAGATATTACGTGGCCGAGCACTGGTCCACCAGGAGGCCGGTTTCTTAGCAGCGAAACTGGAAAAGTTTGGCAATATCGCTAAATCATGCTCTGTCTTCGCCGAATCAATTCACCTTCAGCTTCGCGCGGGCATCTTGTGCGATCTGGCGCAAGAGGCGCTTACCAAACCGCTTGCTGCCATACTAGAATCTCGACCAAAGGCGCAGGTTTTGAGGCGGAATCTTTACGAATATCATACATCGGCAGCGAAAGATCTCGATTCTATCAGTTTCTTTGATGACAAGACGATAGATCTGGTGGAACGGGCGACGCTACTTGAGATACAGCTGGCATTCTTCGAAGAGGACCTATTCAAACCGTCGCATCGTAGGAGGATAGCAACTGATCTACAACATTTATGCGGCCATCTTCTAGATATCTATGTTCAAGCAAATCATCCGCTGCGGTGTGCCCGCGTATGCACACGAATCTTGAAATACTCAAAGGACTTTCCTGGTTTGATCAGCGAGAAGACCGCAGAGCATGCGCTGGCCTGTCGCATTGTACAAACATCGCTTGGACAAGATGATGGTCTCCAGTCCTACGCGCCTTATCTCGCCGCTTCTCTCTCATTGGCACAAACACTGCACGCAAACGGGAATCCCACTGAGTATATCACGACATCGGTACAGAGTCTCTCGGCTTTGTTGAAACCTCTGAACACATGGGAGAGTATCACAAAGGCAGTCGACGACGTGGAAGCTCTCACATCGGACTTACAGTTTGTCGCTACTTTTCTGGCTTTGAGAGGCAAGAACGAGGCGTGCCTCGAAGCACTCCAAGCACTTTCTCAAGTCACTCATCTCAATCCCGCTCTTGAGCCATCATCTGTTTTGATCATCTCATCAAAACTTGCCCTACAGTACTTGCGCATGGGATATTCCTCAGAAGCATGTCGCATCCTCGAGAAGGGAGAGACGATGTCGAGCCGAATGGATCTTTCGGTCCTCGCAAAACTCGAGTGGCATCTTATGAAGACGGAAGTCTGGACGACCTTGGGCCAGCCTACTGTTGCTTCAAAGTCATTGGCAGTTGCTACTGAATGTATGCGTTCCTTTCCCGCGGTGGACTATGCCTCGAAAGCGCAGGCCCAGATTGTACGAGCGCGGTTCTCTTTTGTGTCCTCTTTGTACTCGAGAAGTGTAGGTCAAGTCAAGCAAGCTATGGTTCATGCTAAACGTTATGTCTTGTCGTGCCAACAGACATTGACATTCTTGGAGCTCCAACATACCTCCTCGAACAATCAGTCTACATCGCCTACGGCCGCTTCGCACGATGAACTTGCCAGGGCAGTGGACAGGCTTGCTATCTCCGACGCACGAACACCACCCGCCTCAGAGGCTGGTGCACCTCAAGGCGCCTTCATCTCAATGATCGTACCTGATCTTCTGAACAGTTTCCTGCACCTTGCTGAGACGTACGCACATCAAGGTCTGCGAACCGAAGCCTTATATTACCTGGACCAGGCGGATGCTCTGGTTTCAAGAATTGATGTGCCTGAATTGCGCACCAGAGTCGTGGTTCAACGAGAAGCTCAGGCATACATAGAGGGCGTTGAGCCTGATAGACTCGTCGACGAGGGCGGCCTGGTAGAGTCCATTGACTTGGTCAAGTTGGCGATCACAAGAGGTGACTGCTATGCAGTAGATGAAGCGACCTGGGATACTGCGCAGCAGGAGTATGGAAAGGCCGAGTCTATGGCCGCCAGGCTTGCAAGCAAGAGGTTCGTCGATAGCGCCGAGACTTTAGAGGCTCCCATGGCTCAGCCTGCAGCAAGTAAGGTTGCAAAGAATGCTCCAGTCCGAGCAGCGAAGCGAGCTGTGACCAAGACACCTATCCCAAGGTTGCCACCAGCCAAGATTATCAAGCCTGCAAACACGAAGGTGAAGGCTTCGACAGCTTCAGTCGTCCCGGAACAAGAAAACGTACCACTGTCGAGCTTGAGTGCAGCAGCACTCAGACAGCGTGGCCTCCTCCTAATCAACCAGGGCGAGACTGATCTTGGCCTCGAGCTACTGAAACGAGCCGACTCAATGAAGTCTGACTCTGTTCAAGAGATTCTACAACAATTGGCAATGGCGGAAGGATTGCTCCGCAAGTTTGGTGACGAGCTAGCTCTCGATTTCACTTTCAATGTCTTGCCCGAGTCTACCATCTCATACCCTGCACTATCTGCTCTGGCTGGAAAGAAGCCATCGGTACAAGTCTCGCTTTCGTCAACTCCAATGTCGCATTCCAGCGCAATTACCCCAAGGAAAGGCAGCAGACAAAAGAGCGCTGACAATGAGTTCTCCCGGTTCCTTTGCGAGGCACAAGAGCGTCTGGTAGTCATCCAGCGTCGTTCTGCCACTACTGCTGGTATGTCGGTCTTCCATCAGCTGTGTGGTCTGGGCTCGAAAGCTATGATGTTCCTCTCTGCAATCAATGCTAGCATGTCACTTTCTGGAACACTACATCCCACACGTGCGGCCTGCTCAATCGAGATGTCACGCATCGAAGCCTTCTCTCGAGAGTTGGGTACTATAGAGGCCGAGAAAGACTATCACAGCCAGCATCTTACTCTAAACTTTACAGCTCAAGAGTCAAACGGTCATCTCTCTGCAGCAAGGTTCCAGAAGGAGTACGTGGACATCATTCCCAGCAGCTGGACTGCCGTGTCGTTGACTCTGAGCGAAGACCATAATGAGCTGTACATTGTGCGATATCGAGCTAACCAATCGCCCTTCCTGTTACGTCTACCAATGACGCGTAACAAGATGCAAGATATCGAGGGCGATGAAGGGTCGCCATCATTTGACTTCGAATCTGGCAAGGCCGAGCTGCAAGAGATCATCGAGCTCTCGAACTACAGTTGTAGCAAGCCTCCCAGTGCTATGACACAAGAAGCCAAGCAAAGTTGGTGGGACGAGCGAGAAGCGTTAGATTTGCGCATGCAAGAACTGGTTGTCAACGTCGAGAATATCTGGCTTGGTGGTTTCAAAGGTGTTTTATCTCAGCACCGGAAGGACTCTGGACTTTTGGCTCGATTCAGAAAGTCGCTGGATGGCATCTTGGATAGACATCTTCCGTCACGACAAGGCACCAAGAGCAAAGCCAAGAAACTCGTTCTCGATGCCAATATCATTGAGCTTTTTGTTGGTCTAGGAGACGATCATGATGGCGAGGTTGATATGGATGAGCAAGTACTTGACCTCCTCTACTTCGTCATTGATATCCTTCAATTCAATGGCGAGCGTAACGCCTATGATGAGGTTGACTTCGATGTCATGGCGACCGAGACTATGGATGCTCTGAGATCTTACCACGAAGCAGCCAACTACAACGACGCAAATCAAAATCATCTAATACTTATTCTAGACAGAAAACTGCACGCTTTCCCATGGGAGAGCATGCCTTGTCTTCAGGATGTCAGTGTAAGCAGAGTCGGCAGCATGCTGACACTTCGAGAACGCATCCTTGCCATGCGACGTCAGGTGGGAGACAGAACTGAAGAGAGGTACACAGTGAACAAACAGTCTGGAGCATCCATTCTCAACCCTTCAGGTGATCTGTCTAGGACACAGACTACCATGTCGCCCCTTCTCGACTCTTTGATAAAGCGGTCAAACTCGTCCTGGAAATCGACCGTCAACAAGATCCCATCAGAAAAAGACTTCTCCTCCGCACTGTCAGACAAAAGCATGCTCATGTACTTTGGACACGGAAGTGGAAATCAATATATTCGCAACCGCACCATCAAGAAACTAGACAAATGTGCAGAGGTGGTCTGGCTGATGGGCTGTTCAAGCGGTATGGTGACCGAGCACGGAGACTACGAATCCACCAGCGTCCCACTCAGCTATCTCGTCGCTGGCAAACGCCCCGAAGACACCCACTCAGACGACGAAGCCAAAGTCCAACGTAATGACAGCAGAGAAGGTCTCTGCATGGCCATCGTCGCCACACTCTGGGACGTCACCGATAAAGACATCGATCGTTTCGCCGTCCAAATGGGTGAGCATTGGGGTCTTTGGTCTTCAGCGCCTGCTCCTTCGCCTAAAGAACTTGCGCCTCCGAAAACACCCAGGAAAAGAGGGAGATCAGTGCCGAAGACGCCTTCAAAGACACCGTCACGTACTCCTGGTGGGAGAAGTAGAAGCCGTTTGGTCATGAAAGATGAAGATGAGGACAGAAAGAAGAGTCTTGTGGAAGCTGTCATGATGAGTAGAGATGCTTGTAATTTGAGGTACCTCAATGGTGCCGCGACGGTTGTTTATGGTATCCCGGTGTATTTGGGTGATTGAGGGTATGATCAATGGGTTTTGTAGCAAAGGTGTTTTGGAGTCTTGTACTTGGTTCGAACTGTACTGTACATATGGGGTCATTGCATAAGATCGCGAGATCTGCTTTTGTTCATACTTGAGAATGTCAATCGTCTTGGTTTGCGTCTATCCTTTAAGAGTGTCTGCCTTTGGGCCTGAGTTGATTTTGCTGTCCGGAGGGGATGACCCTTCCCGACCTGCTGATCTCACTGTCCATACCTTCCCACTCTTTCAGTATATGGTTGAGAGGAGAAGCTCTCTCCTCATGAGGTCTTCTTGGTGTGTACTCAGAGCATAGACGACATGTTCTTTCCCGCCTCGTTCCGATGCTTAACATGCTCAAAATCTCTCCAGTGACCACCTCTTCTGGTCCACTGACCTCCCTGCTGCCCGTATCTTCCCGTCTTCCCTCAGACTTGAGGCATATATTCCATAGATTTAGCTGTCTCCTCAAGCAAAGCCTCGGTGGTGTAGTGATATCACGTCTGGTGAATGTAAGTGTGCCCCACGAAAACGTGAATACAGCGAGGGTATAAATGCCTGAGCACGGCATAAACTTCAATGATCAGAAGGTCGCAGGTTCGATTCCTGCCCAGGGCGCGCATTGTTTTTTTTTTTTTGCTCGTTCCTTGCTTGCACTGGTGTGTCGTTGTGGTCGTGATGGGTTTGTTGCTTCTTTCGTGTTCTGCTCGACGTGGAACATCTTTTCCCGTATCTGCGCATGCCCTTTCTCCACGCAAGACCTTCCTCCCGTCGAGTACGTCGCAAGTGTTTCGAGTGTCCAGAAGTTATCCATGGTGTGTTTTCCATCTTGTAGATTTTCCTCACTTTTCACTTGAACAAATCAACCTCCGCACTCGACGACAACCCAACACCCCAGGACCCTTGACTCTTGACCCTCCACCCTTCTCCTCCTTTTCCCACCCATCCACCCACGGCAATCACAACCGCACTGGCATCTTCCCTCGGCACCCTCACATGCACGTCACTCCCCTCTAGTTTCAAAATGTCCACTGGTATAGCCGTTCCATGCAGTCCCAAGAACTGCGACAAAGCGGCACGAAGATGCAGATGTGCTGTCAAAGCATCTAGTTGATAGTTTGGTGCGGATGTCATGATGGAAAGGTGGAGGTATGACCAGGGCGGGTTGCGGATTGTGAATTGAGTAACCGGTGGTTGTGATGTTCCGGATCTCTTGCGCTTTGCAGATGGTGAGGGTGAGGCGTCGGCCATTTCGACATTTTGCACGGTTTTTGGCTCGGGGTCTTTGGACATTGTGACTGTGAGTATAGGTGTATTGATCTGTTGATGGTAAATTGAAGATGCGTGGATTTGCATGTGAAAGATGTGACGCTTTCTGCCAAGCGAACAATCATGATGATGATGATGACGATGTTGGCGATGATGGTGATGATGAGCATGCTGATGTCATCACGTTGCGATACTTATGGCAATCGCGGTTAACATCGCTCGCATGTTCCAATCAGTGGAAGACATCGATTTACAACTCTACGGATTGAGGTGCACGATTTTCATGCTTGCATACGGCATGGGTAAGAAGGATGAAGGATGAGGCTATCTACGCAAATTCAAGCTGCCTTTGGTCGAAAAAATCGCTGCTGCCACAAGAGCAACAAGCGCGTCATGCAACATAAGCTCCCTCCCACTCTCAACGGAAACAGACTATCCCAATTGCTCCTTGAAAGAATGTTGGATAGTATAATTCATCCCCACGACCAACTTGCGAAGGCACAGGAGGCTCTCAGAGTCTAGTACCTCAGTCGGAAGGTATCAGAGTCGTGCCGTCTTCACGGATCGCAACCTCCGAGGTATCTCCAACAGGATGAAGTTGTACGGTGTACTTGACGCGAGGCTGTCTGTTGATGGCTTCAGTGATCTCGTCGTCGGAGTCAGTGTGAAGCATGAACGCCTCGGCCTCGAGCCCGCCAACGCGGTTCTGGATGGATGTCGCACCGAGCTCACGCACGTAGCTTTCAGCAAGGAACTTGCAGAGTTCTCCATCTTCCTCAAGTGATAGATGCATGTGACCGATAGTTCGAGGGGGCTTGGAATGGAGGTCGATTGGACGACGGATCCTGTCACCGAACGACCTTAGGCACTTGTGATTTATCACTGCGGCTTCGTCGCGGCTGAATGGGAAGAAAGGTAAGAAGTCACTGATTCGTCCGGCCACGGCAGGCTGGGAGTTATTAGCCACACTGATCATCGCCGGGACTGCGGTCAACTTACAGTGTATGCTTGTATGAAAAGCTTGTACAGATCATGCTGCAGTGGCTTTATGGAGACGTGGCGCCTCTCGCTGTCGCTCTTACTCTCGAGATGCTCGTCGTAGAACTTCGAGATCAGATGATCGCCTTTGTTTGAGGCGAGAATTCAGATCGACTTGCTCACGTCGATGATGGTGTTCGAGCGCAAATCCATGGCCGATACTGCAGACAATGTCACTCACATTCGAGTCATCTCACATCATGTGTTGAAACTCACCCGGAGTCAAGAATTGTGAGAAGGGATTCGCGAACGTCTTGCTCGGTCTTATCAAACTCGTCCAGGAAGACAACACATCTCTTGCTCGTATGGCTGGCCAGGTGATTGTTCAGAGGAGACCCCTTTTCGGCCTCTTCGAAAGGGGCAGCAGCACCGAACAAGCTCACTGGGCGACGCATCTTACTCAGATCAACGTTACAAATAGCCCTTGATCTCATCTACGGAGGAACCTTTCGTGATGCCTGCTGCCAGTGTCTTGAGGTCGAAGAACACACATTCCGAGAGGAAATTGCGAGGCAGTGGGTAAACGTCCAGGCAAAGAAGCTGTGGCAGCTCTGCTGTAGCTGACATGATTGAATTGATGTAGAAGGGCCCGGGAAGCAAAGACCGTTGCGATGCTCATATTTTATAGAGACGCTTCCAAGATGAAGGCGCTTCTAGAGTGTTGAGACGAGTTCCAATGAAGGCATCAATACGTCAACACAGTGTCTGAAAGGACGTTCATGTACATGTAGCAAGCTTGGTCGGGTATCGTGATTCATTGAGACATTCATCATCAGCATTATTAGAAGCAAAAAATGGGTGTATAGAAGGTGAAAGTCTGGTGTCTTGCTCTAAGCGGCTCTTCACGACCATATCATAGTTGCAGAGAATAGTGCACGCCAGGCTGTCTTGAATGTCCAGCGTCCGGATTTGGTTGACAACAGGAGTCGCACCTTTCTTGTACTACGAGTATGGATTGCAGGAACTGGAGTGTCAGGTGCTAAGCTTTTGACAGAGTTTTTTCTTTATAATTGCCTGATCTGAGTAGACCAGATCATCTAAAGGTCATCTCTTCCAGGCATCTTCAGTGCCCATACGATGCAGCACTATACATTATTTCTTCCTGGTTTGTGACGAATACGGAAAGCGCTTTTCACATGCGAGTAACATTTCAAAGGCGCCGAAAAGTGCGAGCTTCAATGCTCAGCGATCATTCGAGCCATCCATGAATCCCAAATGCCTCATTCTGTCTGCGTTGACTCCACTGAACTCTCTTCGGCGGCGTTCCCGTTCTTCGGCGTCGGGGCTGTTGGTTGTAGGTGGTGTTGCAACCTGCATTGGTGACTGGTACTTTGCTGTACGTTGATGAAGTCCGCCAGCGGCACCCTTAATCGAGAAGCCTTCAGCACCGGAATAGTCTTCGCTGCTTGGTTGCATGCTTTCCTTGCGCACATCCCCGGCTGGCGGCGGTGGAGGAGGTGGAGGAGCGGGTGCAGCGACTTTGGCCTTCTTGCCTTGTTGATCGTCGTCATGATCAGCTCCTGCGGTCGAACCTTCTTCGTCACGCGCACGCTTAAGCACTGGTGGGCTTGGTGTTGCAGCGATACCGTTGCTGTTTTCCATGTCGACGTCCTTTTTGGGTGAATCGATCTGCATCGTCTCCATGTCTGCTTGGCTCGAGCTTTGTCCTTTGCGTTGGTCATGCTCCTTCTTCTTCACCACAGCTCTCTCGAAAAACTCGGCCACGAACTTCTTCACCGCCTTCTCTTGTCGTGTATCGATCTTGCTCGGGTCGGTGACACGGTTGTTTTTGAAGTCGGAGTTGACAAGCTTCTTGGAGCATTCTTTTGCGAAGCGCTTGATGTCCTCTCTGTCGAGTTTGCCTTTGTATTTGTTGGCAACGTGAATGACAGATGGGAAGAGCTGCATTTATGTTAGTGGGACGCCTCAACATCATGGCTTTATGTGAGACTTACGGTGTTCTCGTATACCCTCTTCTGCTTCTCTTCAGGTAATGATCGCCACTTCTCATCAGATTTGGATTTGACAGGTGTCTCCGTCGGAGTTGCCGTGGCCGAGGGTTTGTCGGTGCTCGGTGGTTCCTTCTTGTTGACGATGCCTTGAATCAGGTCTTCAAGTTTCTGTGCTTCGGACAGCACTCTTGGTGGCGGAGGTGGGGGTGCGTTGGTCGCCGACTGGGTGGGCGGTGTCCATTGGACGTTACCATCGCCATCGTAGTAGTAGCGTGTGCCATTTTGATCAAATGCGACATACCAGCCAGGCGGAAGCTCGGCTGGCGGAGGTGGAGCTCGAGGTCTGAAGGGAGCTCGAGGGCCGTTTTGGTAGAAGCCACCTCTATGCACACCTCCACGAGGCCCAAAAGGAATTGCCTTGCCAGATGGTCCTTTGGGCCCCCTCGGTGCTTCAACCGACCTTGAGCGTGATCGAGATCGGCTTCTATCCCGGGTCTTTCTCTCTGGTCGGTCTGACCTCTTCTCTTGCTGCAGCAAGTTGGGGTCTCTCTTCACTCGAGGGATACGGTAGGCGATGACTAGCTTGCTCCACTCTTCGTAGATCTTTCCAGCTTGTGTCTTGACTCTCTCGTCTTCATGTTCGAGCAGACCTTCGACGGTGACATCAATCTTGGAGTCGACGATCTTGTTGCGAGTCAATCGCGGAATCTTGTTAAGAATGTCCAGAATCTGCAAAAGGATATTCGTGTCGTCGGCATATGTCTTGAGAAGTTTGTTGAGAATGACATAGCCGTGCATCTTTGCGACTTTGAACTGCACGTTCTCGTTCTCGCAATTCTGTATACGGTTGAGAAGCTTGACGATGATCCATTTTTCTTGGCTCTTGTAGATTTCTCCCATGACAACCTTGACGTCGGCTGGGCCAAGCTGCTTAAGCTCAATACTGTCGATGTATTCCTCATCCTCCTCAGAAGCCTTCTTCTTTCGCGGCTTTTTGGTATGAGCGGCATTTTCCCAATCTTCGTTTCCAAAGATGCCAAGAGCCTTTTGAATGGTTGATGAAAGTTGGGTCCCACGATCGCCTGTTTGTGTCTTGCCGCCAATGAATCCAGAACAGTTCGGTTCACCGCAGTAACAGGGCTGAGGGTCGGCACCATAGCGGTCGACATTGTAGTTAAAGGTAAGCTCTTCTCCGGCTTCGACTTGACGCTCGGCAAAGATGCCCATGCGGAGTCGATCCCCGACAACCCATTTGTCGACATAACAATTCGGATTGCACGAGTGGTTGCAGAATCGGCCGAGGTTTCCCTTTTTGGTTGCGTCAACAAATTCACTTTTGGCGAGGGACATGAAATAAAAGTGCTTTATGCCCTCTTGATCATATTGGTGCATTCGTCGCCTGAAGGCGGGCTCCGAGATGACTTCGCCGATGTATTCAAAGATGAAGTCGTTCGGCTTGAGGTCTCGGTTAGCTCGTAGACCGAAGCCTTTTTTGTCTGTCTTGATGACAGAAACGTCGGCATAGACCTTGCGTTGAAAGCGCTGATTTTGGCAACCATCTCCACAGCCGCAGTCCCCCGGGCACTCCATTTTGGTGGCCCGGTTGATACAATCAGAATCCTCGCCACAGGCATTGTTAGATTGGGTTCGCGCATCTGTATTATTGTATTAGTCGATGAGTGCTGCAGGCGCACACGAGTTGACATACCCCATTCTTCAACGCAGTCGCATTCGAGCGCTTGCTCGGTGGTGCCAAGATGCTTTGCGCCATACGTGCAATCAGCAAGAATGTCAAACGTTGACGTAGCTTCATCAGTAGCGTCAGGTAGATCGTTAAACAATTGTCGAGGTCCAGTAATAACTTTCTGGGACATGGTGCGCGACAGCTTCGGAGCTTTGCCGGGCTCAAGCTTGATGCTGAGATCGCCACCTATCGTCTCTTCACGCTCGCCCTTGACCGCCGGCGATTGCGTTGCGCTCGGCTGCTTGGACAAAGGTGTCTCCTTCTTGAATCTTCGAGGTGTGTCTCCATTTGATGCCGGTCGCGCCTGCGCATCCTCCATGCCTGAAGAAGATTCGCGCGTTGCTGCCGCTGCGGCTCCCTCGGTCGTGTCGACTGCTATGTCCATCTTTTCAACCTCCGTCGTAAGACTCTTACCTCTACTGTCTCGTGGACCGGGCATGATGGTTTATGGTGTGGCAGGTTCGAGTGCTGTGTAAAGCGTGGTGGGCGTTGTCGATTGTACGGACGGATTTTAAGCGGCCCCAGATTCGTCGATACCGTGGTGACCAAAACGCATCCCGGTATGCCGATTGCGTTTTACGAAGGGCTAAGGAAGGTGCGAAGGATGCGTCTGCGAAACAGAGGATATGGTGCGTGGGTCGTTGACAGCGCGGAGTCGTCGTCGAGAGTAAAACGTGCTCAAAGCATGTGGCGAGCCCTTGCAGGTATGGATAGAATCGCAGGAAGCAGGCGATTACGCTCGTATAATGTACGCTTGCAAATGAACGTTTCTCTGAATCTCATTTAGGTCTTGATCTAAGTACTTGATAGCCACTTTCACATACATTGACTACAGCTGGGTGGGGTTCGCCACGACAGTCCTCCCATTCAACGTGGTAGACCGTAGGGATTCAGTCTGAGCAATGAATAGCAGGAAAAGGCTGGATGTGACTTGGCGCGACTGACGACAGGGATGATGAAAGAAGGAAGCCATCTTCTTCAACTCGACTGACACCGTTTCGCCGGAAGCTTGGCGCGCTGACCATCTCCACGTCAGATCCAACACCCTGACTTACATGTCTCGTTGCAAACTTTCGAGATTGACCAGAGACGACTATCCCGGTCCATCGCATCGCAGCTTAGTACTTATAGTCAGTACAAGGACCGGAGTATGATTTTGGCTCCAAGTCTGTTTTGGTGTCGGCCATCAGCTCAGCCTTGAGACTGAGCAATCCGTGCTTGTAGCGGACCGCGATTGACCTGCCACGGAAGCTGATGGCCAATCCCTTCCTGGTGCTGAAACCAACGTGGTTGAGTTGATCCGACGCGCGAGGGTAGAAGTGCTCAAGTAGGCATTGCATGAAGTACCTGGCATCGCACAAGCCGTACCTGAAGGTTAAAGTTTGGGCGGATTGTAGTGCTTGTCGAAACTACTCGAGTACAAGTGCTTGGTGAGCCGAAGCGAGATAGACGCAAGAATGTTGAGAAACCTTGTGGTTGAATTATTTTGCGCAAAGAAGAATCCCCACCAGGCGCGCACTTGCATGAGTTCCTGATGCAATGCAGGATTCTGATACGACGCCGAAATTTGGAGCTCGTAGCGCACCCAGGGTTGCTGGGCCCGACTATCTGGAGCACAGCAAGGAGCCGTCTGTCTGCGAATTTCAATGACCCGCGGCCCAGGACCAATGAACTGTCAGACTCATGATGTTCTGGGAACCGATTGTTCTTTGCAGCTGCGTGGCTTCATGTAAAAACTGACGAAGCCTTGGCTCTAGCGCAGAGGCATTCGGGTAAAAATCCGCCTGATTGTGCATGGGAGCGATGATCCAAAGGCCTTACTTCGCGAGCGAGGTAAAGCTACTGTCGTGTGCTCGTCTGAAGTCCCGGGCAGGCCGTTCGAGAGCAGATGCTGGTGACTCCAGCGCTGCAAAAGCTGTTCTTCTCGGCGTGTGACCGTGCCTTCTGGGCGGAATCAATCAACGCCCCACACCAAACCAAACGTCGTCCTTGTGAGATGTGCTGAAGCGTGTAGACAAGGCTGAAGTCGAGCAATCAACATGAGGACAACAGAGCCAACATGCCGAGCGTTTCATGTTGGGTTGCCGTGTACCGGGACGAGCGGGCCCCATCCCAAAGCGCGGGACACTTTAGAGCCGAGAAAGTCAACTCAAACCTGGCTTCTGGATCGCGTCCACTTTTGCGTGTTCCAGCAGCAAAGAATAGCTCAGTCAAGGTAGGCAGGTGTGATTCGTCAATAGTGGAACAATCACAGATCCCGGGACTTGCACCGGAATGGAAGATCGTTCTGACATAACCCGGATTGGCGGCATCATTTGGCCTTGGTGAAGCATGACATCCATCTTGCAGGGAGATGTGCGCCTAGGATGCAGTACCTGCATGCATCAACTCTCGCCCTCTAGAACCGAGATCCCAGCCCTCTCTGAGCTTGACGAAGCCCATTCTCCACTCTGGCTCCATGCTCGCGCCTTTTTCTTCCCTGATGGTCGATGGTCACAGACATTCTCTTCTTCTCCAAGCCTTGTGTGATTTTTTTCTTGACCTTCTCTATGCTCTCTTTTAAGGCAGGCAGTATTATCTGGTTCGTCGTCTGACTGACGCACTCTCGTTTCACCAGCTGCACTCGTTTCCTTTCTCATATCTGCGACTTGGCCCTATTTCTTTGTAATACATGTTCGCCTGTTTCCCTTCTCCTTCGTTACTTCTCCGGCTCGTTACAGAATGAACCCTCGGGACGTGAGCTTCAATGCGCACGAACAGCTCGAGATACTGGCCGAGATCATCAAGTCCAGCAATATCCACCCAGACGTGCTTGTCCAGTTCATACGACAACAAGGCATCAATCCCGTTTGGGGCGATGTGGCGCCTCCAAGGGGTATGTAACTTGCGCTTACGCGAAGCGGCTCGTTAACTGACTTGCTTTTCCAGGACGAACTCCCAATCAATGTATCATGTGGTTCAACAGTATCGTGAGCCAACCTGGATCATTCGGGCCTGCTTCTGGTCATAACAGATCTCAAAGTCTTCAGGGACCCGTCCCGTCATCTTCTCTGAAACGTCCGTTCAGCCCTGATCAGCCTCCCTTTGCAGGTGGCCGTCTGCTTGTACCCAAGCCACCCATGTCTACTATTGGAACTCTGCTCAATCGACCACCTGAGCCGCCAAAGAAGAAGCGTGGTAGACCTAGCAATGCAGAGAAGGCCGCTAGAACTCAACAAGAATTTGCTCATGGACAGCTGTTACCGCCTCCCAGACATGCACCTGCGATCGCAAGTAGTAGTGGATGCAATACTACCGCACTGAGCCCGCTGTCCGTTGCGACGCAGGCTGCTCAAGTTGCCATGTCTCCGCAGAGTCGCGATCAACCAGTCGGTGCAGGAGGATCCGACACTTCGTCTAGCAAGAAGAAGCGAGGTCGTCCGTCCAACATTGAAAAGGAGACGCGTCGATTCGAGCAAGAACACAACAAACCTCAAGAGATTGCTCCTGGTCCGAGTCGCGTTGGTCCATCACGATATCCGAACATACTCTCTCCTGACGAGGATCCAGTACAGAGTGGCGCTAGACGACGAGAGGGCTCACCACGAAACGATCCAGCAACATATCGATAGCATCCCGATTCTGTGCTACGATTTTAACTCATGATGAGCAAACATCACGCCGTTACTTATTAATGACTTGCCGATACCTATTGCAAACTTTCATTGGACTGGTCCACGCTGGTCTTCGACTTTCAGTTTCTCACCTCTCCTTTTCTCTATCAATGTTCTAAATCTCTTTTGTTGGTTTCACACGAAACGCTTAATGACAGCTGGATCATCATGATGATATGTTGACGGCCTTTGACAACTATCTCATTCGCTTATATTGACGAGAATATGCTTGGGAAATGAAAAGAGCACACGCTTTTCCTTGGAACAATTAGTGAAGACTAAAGTAGACATAATTAATCAAGAGTCTTATCTGGGGGTCTTTCAATCGCTTGCTGTTCACCATAACGTGCTGTGCGAAGCATCCTGACATATTCTGTCGCCAACACTTGGTTGTCGAGGGGTTGACCCTGTCACTTCAATAGCGTTCGCTATTCCCGTGTCTATAATGTCGCGGTCGCCAGATTGAAAGAACCGAAAGTTCTCTAGAGCCGCCTGGAATATTGCTCTCAGATCTCGATGGACTTGCCTGGTCACTGAGGACTCCGTTCCGGTTAACGGTAGCGTACACACTTTCACGACGCAAGACGGACAGACAACCAAGCAACAACCACTAAACATGAGAACATGTCACTTCACAATTAAAAAGGATGTTTGACAGAGGTTTGTAAATCGTGCTCGCGTGAGATAAAGCTGTGTTACAGACTCTACTATCCATTCAACCAATCGAATAATTTCAAGGTCGTTAATTATATCGACGAAGGCCGCCCTGCAGCCCTCGTCCGTTCTCACCACCCAAATCTATGCAGATCAGCTTCCACAAAAGCTTGATCAGAGTTGTCGCGTTGGTGGTATTTTATGTTTTGTCGCAATTTTCGAATATGCATGTGTCGCGTGATCAGATGCTCAAGGAGCTCTGACGTTGGACTTGTTCTCGCCGTGCTCGAGGTCCTCGTGCTTCTTGACGTGCTTTCCCTTCTTCTCGTCCGAGGACTCTCTTTGCTTGACGGCAGCTTCGCGCTCCTTGATGCGCTCCTCCTCGGCAGCAACCATGTCTACAGTGTGTTAGTTGAGCCGTTTTGTGATCTGGAGAACGCTGTAGAACTTACCCATCCATTGATCCTCACCAGAGTAGCGCTCGTGATGAATCTTCTTCTCAATGACGTGCTTATGAGTAGGGTCGTTGGGGTCAAGGACCTTGACGGTCTCCCAGCGGCCCTCACCCTTGTTCTTGTCCTTGGCCTCCAGTGCCAAACTGGCAATGACGACAGCCAGAGTCAAACCCTGAGCGTAAACACGAGCCTGAACGAGCTTTTGTTGACCACTGAGGTAGGGGTTGCGACCGACGATACCAAAGGCAGTGGTCATTGAGGCGACCCATGAGCCAAAGACGATGCTGTAGCGATTTGTCGAGGCCCAGTCGGTGGCACGTTGAGTAAAAGGCTTCTGCGACTCGAGTTGGGATTGCAGGGTCTGCTGCTTGTCGGTGTACTCCTTCTCGGGATGGCGGCTGACCTCGTAACCACGCGAGTAACGGTCGGCATTGATAATGGCGGCGAAAGTACCAGCACTGGTGATCAGGAAAGCGCGGAAAGGTAGCGACAGGCCACGGAAAGCAGGGTATTTCCTGCTGGCGCCCAAGACACCAACTGCACCAGCTGCTGTACCAAGAAGACCACCGATGGTACCTCCGTAGATGGTAGCGCTGCAAGCATTGTTAGCAGTGCTCTCAAGCTACAGCAAAGACGATGTCAAACACGTACTTGTAGTGCTCCTGCTCTTCTTCCTTTGTGAGAATCTTCATGATGTGCTAAGTGTGGTTATGATGGGAAAGTGGGATACAGTTGGGAGGGCGGGGGACGATATGTTTTGATGTATGACGACTTTGTTGAGTGAGGTCAAGATGTGCAAGCTTCAATTCGAGTCGCTAGCAACGAAATAATTAATAAGGGCAACAAATCCGTATCTCGCCGGAATCACAGTGACGTACACGCCACACGCAGACACCGCGGCGTTTGCGGCCTGTCAGGAATCAGTCGCATCGTGAACTCTAACCCGGGCGATTCATAAGAACCCCGGCCCACCAGCCTCGAGCCGCAGCTACCGAACTCCCTGTGGGCGTCATTCCGTTACTAACAAGCAGGTAGGCGGACGAGCTCCGAACGATATTCGAACATTGTCCGGACCATCTCTTGTTCTATCGTGAGCTGGAGATCTCTTTTCAAGTTATAGTCAAGACGTTGCCTAAGGAATTCGCACAGAGCCAGTTGATGCATGTTCTGTCCTTGAAATATCTGAATGATACAATATGATTGTACATCTGTAGGTGATCTCATGGCCTGCTTGAACGAAGGCGATAAGCAAGCAAAGTGCTTGGCGTCAGGCGTTATCAGGCAACTTTCATGTGCCTTCGGCGCATCTCGGCCAGAAATTCTCAAATTCCCCATTGACCAACAACTTTTCAAACACCATGCCTTTACCGATCGGAAAGACCGTCAAATCGCGCGCCGATGTTTCCGACGACGAGAATGATTACGAGCAATACTCGGGAGATGATTCCTCAGAGTCCATAATCGAGACCGGAGGCGATCAAGTCGACATCTTGAGTTCTTCCGATGAAGATGAAGAGGAGAATGTCAAGGACAAGTTGAGCAACATCTCGTTCGGTACATTGTCAAGAGCACAGGAGTCTATGGCAAAGAAGCGAAAGAGACCCGCAGGAGATGATACCGAGAAGGAAGACAAACTTGATGCTCTACGCGCCCGTCTGCGCGAGCTGAGAGAGTCCAAAGGCGTGGACAGTGCCCCCAAGAAGAGCAAGAAAGAAGACAAGACCACATCAAAGCCCGCGGCCAAGAAGTCACGGACGACAAAGGACGACGAGAACTCGGACGATAGCGACAGCGACTCGGACGAAGATGGCGCTCCTCACGCGCGCAGCTCCAAGCACGCACCCATGTCACAAGTCTCCAACAGACAAGTCACTCGCAAGCGCCAGGTCATCGATGTGCCCAAGCGACAAATCCGCGACCCACGTTTCGGCCCTCTAGGCGGTCCCGTAGACGACACCGAGATTTCCAAGAAATACGGCTTCATCAACGATTACCAAGACTCGGAAATGGCCGAGCTGAAGGCTGCCATCAAGAAGAGTAAGAATGAGGACGACAAGGCTATTCTGAAACGCACACTACTCAGTATGGAGAGTAAGAAGAAGGCGCGCGAGAACAAGGAGAGAGAGCAGGAGGTGATACGCGAGCACCGCAAGAAGGAGAAGGAAGCCATTGCACAGGGCAAGAACCCCTTCTACCTGAAGAAGTCGGACCAGAAGCAACAAGCTTTGGTCAACAAGTTCGACAGCATGAAGTCAAAGGACAGAGAAAGACTCATCGAGAGACGCAGAAAGAAGGTCTCGCACCAGGAGATGAAGAACATGCCTGCTCCCAGACGCATGTAGATTTTGACATGTTATGGAACAAACTTTCCAGTCTTCGCATCTCAATCATCGCGAGCCCGTCCTCACACCACATTCTCTATACCCACGTGTTGTTGAGCTCGCAAAGAGAGCTTCAAGATTGGAAGACATTATCCAATTCGTAAATTACCCGATTATCCAGAAAATATTAAATGCTAGAACGAAGATTATAAAGAAATTCGTCTCATCCGAGCCCATCAGTCACCTTACTCTTGCGACTCCTCGGGCTCCTGCTCGCCCTCCTCGCCCTCCTCGTTGTCCTCACCTTCCTCTTGCTCAGCCTCATCTTGTTCACCCTCTTCAGCGTCGTCATTGTTCTCCTCGCTGTTCTGATCCTCATCTTGCTTTCCCTCCTTCTTCTCAGCTCTAGCCTGCTCAGAGTCCTCCAGAATAGGCTTGACCGAATCCTGTCTCGGGTCAGGGATGCTCTCCTTCTCAAGGTTCCACTTCTGCATAGCGATAATAATGTCGACAGCAAGCTGGCCATTCTTTCTGAGAGCCTTGTCCCATTGAGGTGGCATGCCCGACTCGCTGGTGACGAGATTTCTGGCAACACTGCTGATGAGAAGCTGGCGCATTGGAGATTCAAGATCGGTGTTGGCGTAGATGTATTGAACGCGGCGGAGGGCAGGGTAAGTGTTGGATTCCTTGTACCAGTTGCGAACGCTCTTGAGGACTTCGAGGGTAAGATCGCGGATTTCCCACTTCTCGGCCTGATTCGTTGTCAGTTAGAATGTTCTTTTAATCAATGCTTCGGACAACTCACCATCAAGTACAGATCCAGCAAAACGGTAAGATCCTTCTCCTCCTTAGGTGTAGGAGTGTGGGCGCTGTAAAGCCAGCCAACGAACAGGCGGAAAGGCTCATCCTCTTCATCCGGAAGCCCAAATTGACGGTTCTTGTTCTCCTTGCTGTAGAAGATGTTTCTGAAGAATTTCGAGCGGTAACATAACAGTTTCTCATGGAGGGTCCATTTGTTGTTCTCTGGGCCGACGTAGATGTCGACCATGTCATGAGACAGAAGCCTATAAGGATCGTTAGCTTTTTGACTTTGTGGAGGTGTACTTTGCGCCATGCGACTCGCGTGGCACATACTCATGGAGAGGCTTGTTCTGTTGTTCTGCCATTGTGAATACTGGAAGAGGATCTCTTCAATAGAACGTGATTATATATAAGTTGTGAAAGACGTGTCGAAACTACCGAAGGACTTGAGCAAGGGAACGAGGGATAACGGTACTTATGAGAAGCAGGGAACAAAGTGGCTTGATAGGACTCGAAGAATGAGGCGCAGGCGGCAGCTCTCCCAGCTTATTAGCAAAGAAAAAGGAATGGCTGGCAGACTGTCCCATCGTATGCGATCGCAGTGAAACCAGGGCATGCAGAGTACAAGGTCAGGAATCTTGCGTCACATCCTCTGCAGCCGAACGTCAGTGGTCAACTTCCAAGTTTTTGGAAGCGGGGCGGGCTGTCTTCTCCAGCCGTTTCCACGTGTGGACTTTCCCTCCTGATGATCGCTAAACGTCTATCGTGACAGCTCTTGCAGCTGAATGTCTCCGATGCACGAAACTTTCTTTGCAAGCTCACACGGCTGAGAAAACGACGAAAAAGGGGAGGTTGGTCGCGGTGATCGGCCAACAGACTCTGCACGCGAACTTCCTAGACCTTCAATGTGCTCTGTAGCTGTCTCGAGGCACAGTGCTTTCGAGAGCCCACCAGTCTGTCAGCAGGAGTCGTCTCGGCTACCTTAGTACTCAACAACACTCGCCATTCGGCCAGCAGTATTGAGCGCACCTTCGTGAAGAGAGATTGTGCGCCAGAACTCGGTGTACTTGTCATGAGCTGTAGATACATGTCAGCGCCATCTGGTGAGTCAAGGCGAATTACCGAGATGCACACAAGAGCACGACCATACAGCAAAGATACTCTGTGCGCAGGCTCGAAATACTTCGACAGGGCACTCTCAGGCCCCTTCCTGGAAGCAAAGACACATCGCATCGAACTTGACGATATCTCAGTCTTCTATTGTGAGTTCTTCGACACCTGGCTGCGTACTGATAATCTGGAATGTCCGTCGTACATGGACAGTGCTTCAGCAGGGAGTGATTTCAAGCAATCCATAGAGATCCGAAAGCACGCCTCGATCAAGAATTGAGGACATTACTGGAAGAGGAAAGGATCAACAAAGGATACACCCCTGAGGAGTTGGAGGAGAAGCCGGCGTACCCATTCGACGTCAAAGATCCCAGCAGTTGGCTCGAGCTCAACCTCATCGATCTCTATATCCTTGGAGACAGATTGGATGCACCACGATTCAGAGCCAAGATTGTCGATGCGATTGCCAGACAAGGGCCTCCAAATATAGTCCATATAATGTACCTCTACGCCAACTTGGTCGGACGTTCTCCACTGCATCGTCTGTTCGTCCATCAGGTAGCTTACGATCAAGCCTGGGCCAGACGGAAAAAATCATCAGAACATCTGCTCGTCGAGTTCCTCTGCGATATCATGACTACCATGGGAAGAAGGCTGCCTCATCGACTTTGCAAACCATGTCATGTGGAAGGCAAACGCGCCAACATGCTCAATTCCAGGAATATCGATGATGCTTGTAAGGAGCAAGACATACCACCTTATGACCTGGATATGTGCTTCTACCATGAACACAAGGATGGCGACGAGAAGTAGCGTGTCGGGCTGAGCGCGAGAGAGAAAGAGAGACAGCTTCCAGCGAGGGTTGTTAAGAGAAAATTCACAAACGCAGATGTGGCTGTCGATCGGATTCGGGATGGCCGAATATTAATTGTCCCAAAAAAAAAACTCGCGAGCATCTCTCAAACTCGCTACATCATTGGAGGAAACTACCCTGCCTTGCATCAAACGTATTTCAAGTACGTTGTCAGAGCCGAAGTCAACGTTACTTAAGCATGAGTAAGTGCTCACCACCTTTCCTCGAACAGAAAAGCTGGTGTAGAGTAATCTAGAACCCTACAAATATTCCACAGTATGTTCTTGTGTAAAGTATTCCAGAGCCTAAGAAGCAGAGGTTGCCAATCGAATCTTTCTTGTTGGTAGTTGTGCCCTTCTGTTTCATGGTCTACGCCATTGCGCACTTGCAGGAAGTCAAAATCGTGATATTACGACTTTGATAATTTACAAAATCTATGATAATTATATTACTTTTACAAGCCGAAGAAGAATAAAACAGTCATCGCCACTCCCAGAGCAAGTGATGAGGAAGCCTGCGTAAATCCAGCACCGCTTTCCTTGCCAGACTTAGAAGTAGTGCTGTTGTCGCTAGATACAGAATCAGAGTCCGATGATGAGCTAGTGACAGCAGTGTTTGCCTCGCCAGTACCGATATCGACCTTGGTGTCTGTGGAAGTCTTGGAGCCGTCGTTGACATCAACAATATCAGTGGCTCCAAGGACTGCACTATCGGCATCGAGCGCCGCAGCACGGATGTAGCGAGCATTAGTGCCTACAGTAAAGTTTGTCTCGAAACCAGTCTTTGTAACATTCTTCCACAAATCATCAGTGGAAGCAAGATCAGAAGATGAGTTCGAAGCAAGAATGGCCCATTGCTTAATCTCAGTAGCACCGTTCCAAGACATGTAGACAGTGGTGTTATCGGTACCATTGCCAGTAGCAGCGATGCTCGGATTCCAACCAGGGAAGCCTTGCCAGTTTTGCTTGTAGGCACGGTAGCTTTGTACGCTGGAGTTGCCGATGATGCCGAATTGGACGTCCCAAATGGGCTCGCCTTCGTTGGTGTACTCGACAAAGGCGCCGTTGCTGCCGTATCCCATGAAGACGTTGTTGTTTGAGAGCACTTGTACACTTCCCTGCGAGACGGACAAGATGCCTTCAGGGCTGATGTAGTCTTGCTTGAGAGTGACAGACATGTCGTCGTAGTCAAGGGTGAGCCACAGACCACGTGTCTCATTCTCGGTCTTGACCCAGTCGGCGGCGCCGTTGTCGAAGAGAGTCAACTCGGTGAGACCGGTATTGCGCCATCTGGCATCGTGTTGCCAGGCAAAGTTTGTTGCTTGGCCATCACTCTTGTCCTCGAAATCATTGTCTTTACCTCCCAAACTCCAAATGACATCACCGTTGGTTCCGTTGATATAGTAAAGACCATGTGTATGTCTGGCGGAGATGAGGTAGTTGCCAGAGTCGTCTTTCTCGATAGAGTTGATGTGGAAGAAATCGTAAGGGCTGTCCTGAGAGATGCCGGTGGTACCAGGGTCTGCGTATGAGGCGTTGAGTGCAATGTGCTCTGATGCTCTCCATGAAAAGAGAAGGTCATTGGTAGCGATGTCAACCTCCTGGAAGAGTGAGTCGGCGAGCCAGCCATCTTCGATGTCATAGGCTGTCAGATCGTATTCCATGGGTTCGTAGGCAGTCATGAGCGCGGTGCCGTCATCTGTTAATTGAATCTCATGAATGTCTCCACCGACAGTCAAGTTTTTCGTTGTGAGGTTATAAGCAACATTGTAGCTGTGGTCCAGCATGACGTAGCTGCCGGTTCCATAACCTGCACCTTTTACTGCCCCTCGCCAGAAAGTGATGTAGTCGGAGTTGTTAAACTCTTGGACTCTCACACCGAAAGTGGTTTTATAGCTAGGGTCGCTCCATACCAGAGACAAATCATCGGCATTGAAGATCATGGGGGCAATCTGATCCACTGCAGTGCCTCTAGGTGAGATGAACACATGGTCAGCAGAGTCTACACTGTCCTCTGCAGCCTTGTTGACCTGGAATACAGGTACCTCGAGGCTTGAAGACTCATAAGTCTGTGTAGGGTAGAGTCCGAAGTCCTTGGACTGGAAGTCGGAACCCGTGTATGGAGCTTGATCCGCCAGCGCGAGTTGAGCCAGTGGTAGCGCTGCGAGCGCCACTGCGAAGAATGTAGGCATGTTGATGAAGAATTAAACGAGTGTGTACAAGCAGAAAGAGAGAATCGTCGTGGATTGGCAGATTCCCAGGAAAGCTCACAAGGGATTCTTGGTTTATACAGACAGGGGATGTCGCTTACATATAGGAAACACCTACATCATATACCAGACATCGCTCTATGCCCTTGTCATGTCCTGAGGCCCGCGCTCGCACTACCAAAAGCCGGAGGAGTATCTAGCCCGCGGGACCGTCTCATCTTCTTGTTTCCAGAAGATGCCAAACACTATGCTATGTTGTGTGGCTCTCTCTGAGATTGTAGAAAAGTGGAATCAGATCGGTTAGATGTCAGATGATGAGATCAGATAAGCGATGGACGAGTCGACAGTGGAATTCTCCACCGCAGTGGCGCTCTGCTGCTGGCGTAGCGGACCGCCAGAATCAGCCCGAGTCATTCTGTGAGCAACGGGTCATGCAGACGAAGAGTAAGTATTCCTGAGAGGATCAAGATCACTTGCGGATGTGCTGAGTCGCTTATCCGATCGATTGCTGATACCTATATGTGTCCCGCCCTGGAAAAGCAGAAGTCGTCTGCTCCTGATCAACTAATGTGGTGATTGCTCGCGTGCCCTCATACCAAACGAAAACTTGGTACAGGCAAGGAAGACGCGTCGCCCGGAGTCAAAGCGTCCCTAGCGGTCTCTGGCGGATGCGGCAGCACAGTCACAGTGCGCCAATCTTTCGCGATAGCGTCTCCTGAGTGCCGACATCGTTGCGACAAGATCAGGTTTGTCGAAAGTCAATTCGGAGCCGCTCTGCATGGTTGCGTAAAAGAGCAGATGCTCCTTCAGGTTCATGATGCAGACACCGACGCGCCATGAAATCTTGACCCGGAAGCCAAGATTGTTCGACTCCGAAACAATGCCGTGGACCGCAAACCCTCGGAGGCAGGTGCGATTGACTGCTTTTCATAAACACAATGGACCAGGGCAATGAAGCGTCTAGAAATCTCGCCATCCCGATATTGGAAGCAAATTTGCCCAAATCGTTGGCTATCTTTTGAAAATTGGTATACAAGAATAATATAGAGGTCATCACATCATCTTTGGTGGCTCGTCAGCCATCTTCCTGTGCACAGCACTTGTGGACTTCTCCAAGTCTGATTCAATAGCCTGGCCGCTAACGACACCGATGTCACTACTGACATCCACATCGGCGGGTACTGGTGGTCCTGTGAATGCTTTGCGCCCGCGGATGAAGTACCACACTACACTGATGGCAGCAAACCCTGCAAAGACAACACTGGCGTAGTTCATCGAAGTAGGATCCACAGGAAGTGTGACTGGCATGCAGAAAAGAATTACAGCCAAGGCAATCCAGCACAGCGTAAGTACGTTGATCGCCATTCCGAAACGACCAAGGGAGAAAGAAGAGTGCTTAACCATCTTGCGGCCGCGGAGCACGCTGACCAGGATGGGCAAACCGTATGATGTCGAGAGACAGATCGTAGCAACTCCGGTGAATGAATTGAAAGCTGCCGTGCTACCGAAGTAGATCAAGCCCAGCAAGCAGTCAACAATAGTCGAGAGCACCAAAGCCCACAGGGGGATGTCGAAACGTTTGTCTACTCGGGACCAGATACGAGATCCAGGAATCGCGCCATCACGAGCAAAGGCGTATGTGCAGCGGCTCGCAGCTGTCAGAGCACCCGTACCAGCGAAGAAGAGGATACCTAAACAGTCAATACCAGAGCCATGTCGACATGCGGAACAATTTCTTACCGAGAAGGAGGAAGAGCAGTCCGAAACCACCAGCTGCAGAGCCTGTGACAGTCTTGAAGAGGAGACCAATCGGCTGACCATTGGCAACGTCCAGGAGCATCTGAATATCTGGCAGCACGAAAAGGATTGGAATGAGGTACAGAACACCGGTGACACCTGCAGCGGCGACGGACAAGACAATTGCCTTGGGGACCTCGCGAGCAGGATTCTGGACACGCCGAGTTAGCTTGGACGATCTACTGCGTCCGTAATGTTGACTCACCTGGACCTCCTCGCACATTGCTGCAACCATGCCATAACCAGTGAGTGTGTACGAAGCCTGCAGCAGACCAACGAAAAATGCCCAACCGCTTGGCCAACCACTACCACTCGCGTCGTAGTGGGCGAAGACGAATTCTCCACTTCTATAGTTGTCAGACATGGCAAGCAGAACGACCATGATAATGATGACGGAAGCTCCGGTCCAGTATATACAGATCTTGTTGATCAGGTCAAGGTACTTAGAGCCGAAAATGTTGACGAGCATGCAGATGAGCATCACACACCAGAACATGAGCACTGTCTGCCATGCTGTAGGCACAAAGTCTTCATTCCAAAGACTAATGGCGCTCAGAATCAATTGGGCTCCAGAGAAGTTGATACTGGTCGTGACTGTCCAATTACCGACCAAGGTCAACCTGGTATTGGATTAGCACATGTAGTAGATATCTCACAATCAAGGTCGAGAACAGAGGAGGCAGAAAACTTACCAACCGGTAATCCAAGAACTCAAGCGAGAGTATTTCTTGGTACTCAGCATGGCTGCCCAGTAGTACACACCACCAGCGGTAGGGAACACAGCACAGATCTCGGCCAAGGAAGCTGCAATTGACAAGGATATCAAGGAAACTAAGACCCATCCCCAGAGGATGGTCACGCTCTGACCATCTGCAAGTGTGATGTAGAACGTTGTACTCAGACCAAAGGGTACAGCCATAATCGCAAATGATCTGAATGAAGCATCGTCAGCAATGTGGATAGATCTAACGATGTTGCATGACTTACAATCCCAGCACACTCATCATACTTAGACTTCTGGGCAATTCAGACTTGTAGCCCATACGGGCCAAGTCGGCCTCTGCAGCAGTGGCCATAGTGAGACGGAGATGGATATGTATCACGCTCTATTTGTGATGTCGATGCGACAATGTTGAGGTTTCGCTTATCAGCAAGGCTGGTAGGAAAGGAGTCGAAATTGATATGAGGCGTTGGGTTGCTGGTCGTAGGTACACAGTCCGGACAGAGTGGAGGAGAGCAGCAGAGATGGACAGAGGAAACACAGCTGCTAGAATATGGATAGACTAGAGGTAAGATCGGGCAACATCGGCGAGCGTAGTGATGTAGCGGCGGTCCACTTGACGAGGGTCAACAGTCTCTAAATCCCTGATCCGCTTCTACGCGCTTGGAGGGGAGGAGCAGATAAGAGATGGGCCAAAGTAGACGACAGCCAGTTGAATGTTTCAATCACCCTAGTACAGCGATACAGGAAGATATGAGAGAGAAAGATTAGGGCATCACACTAGATAAAGAAGGTCGCCGTCGAGTCATTCTGGAGCCTTTGATCATGACTGTGTGGGTGGTGTCCTCTAGACCGTTGCAAGCCCCGCGTCACGGAGGCGCATCGGAGGGAGCGCCTTGTCCATTTTTTGAGCTGAGCGGCCGCGATTGCGATGTTCTTACGTACAAGGCTGGGGAAATAGATATGGAGTTTCGGGGATGCTGTTTGACAGTCTTGCTATCCGCATCAACTCTTGTCTGATGAGTACTCATTCAACTTTACACTCAAGTAGTCGAGCTTGTAGGGGTCGCTACCCAGATCGTAGCCAAGGCCGAAGAGGCTCGAATGACAACGCTCGAGGTGACACTCTTACGAAGAAGCATCTCTCGCATACTTCAGCTACAAAACAAGACATCGACACGGCATTACACAATGAACTCGACAAACAGAAGGGTCACAGAGGATCGGTGCTCTCGACCTTTGTGATTTACTGGACAAGTCAGTGCAGGGAGCGTTACTGTAGCATAGAGGCTGTCAGAAACAGCGCATCGAAAGATTGTCATTGATAAACACAAGCGCTATCTAATGAAAGCAGCTTTCAAGACGACGAGAGAGGGGCTGTATGGCTACGCCAAAAATTGTCCACTGGTAAAATAAACCTAGAACACAAGAAACATCCCATTCCTTCCATTAACGCCGGCCTGCCAAGAATATGCATTTGGCTGTAGAGAGAATCATCGAGAGCATCAGTAAGTGCGTTGAGGGTTAGGCACGCCGGGCATGTGTGGATTATGCATATGTGCTTGTTGCTGCCTTTGCTGTTGCAGATCAGCGAACCAGGGATGTTGGAGAGCTTGTTGAGCAGAGATGCGGAGCTCTGGACGGAGCTGTAGCATTGCACTCAGCAACTGGAGGCCGACAGGGTCGACCTGGGGGAGGATGTTGCGCAAATCCTGGGTCGCGTAAACTGGGAAGTTGGGCTTATACTCGGGGAACTGAGAAATGCCAGGCCATGAACGCTCAGAAGGGGTGCCCATAAGACGGAAAATCTTCTGCAACTGATCCTCGTTTGTGGTTCCGGGGAACAAGGGGCGACCGGTGTACATCTCGGCCATGATGCAACCAGCGGACCAGATGTCGATGGATGTGTTGTAAGTGCGCGAGCCCAGCAAGACGTCAGGGGCGCGGTACCAAAGTGTGACGACCTCATTACTGAACGTGTTTACGGGAATGCCAAAAGCGCGAGCGAGACCGAAGTCAGCAAGCTTCAGCTGACCCTTATTGTTGATCAACAGATTCTGGGGCTTGAGATCGCGGTGGAGGACGCGGTTGTCGTGGCAGAAGGCAATGCCGCGAAGCAGCTGGTACATGAACGACTTGATGGTGACAGGATCAAGCATGCCGCGCTCACCCCTGGAGTCCATGTATTTCTTCAGGTCCTTGTCCATGAATTCGAAGACCAGCATGAGCTTGTTCTCAGTGTGGATGACATCGTGTAGGCGGACAATGTTTTCGTGCTTGAGCTCTTTCATAAGCGAGATCTCACGAATAGCGGTGCTTGGTGTGCCTTCTTCCGAGTCGAGGTGGATCTCCTTGAGGGCAACGAATTCGCCAGTCTGCCTATTGCGGCCTTTGAAGACCTGAACATGGTTAGTCGGCGATGAACAGAGTTGTATGACAGCATGTGAAGCTGTTTCGATAGAGACATACGGTTGCATAAGTACCCTCACCGAGCTTCTCGAGCTGCTGGAAGGAGCTGGGGTGACGCTTGTCCATAGGGGGTATGCGCTGGCCGCCGCCTAAGCTTCGTACACTGATGGTCGAGTCGGAGCGATTGTCAAGCGAAAGAGTACCGACGTGAGTAGGATGGAGCCTGGCGTGCGGAGGATTTCGATTCGTGTAGCGCGGGTCCCAGAGGATTGAACTGGCCGTCGTCAACTGGCTGGCGATATCGAGTTGAAGCGATGAAGCCGTCGACGAGCGTATGGAAGCGGGTCGGGAAGATTGCGCCGTCTTGAAAATTCAGAGGCAGGAGTGAGCAGGAGAGACTGCCCGACTTCCTGACAAACAAATAATAATACTCAGGGGAGTTAGTGACATGGAGCCTTGTCCTTGCCCATTGTTGATCGGCGCGCGCTGGCACTTGGGCCTTGGCACTCGTGAAACGGTGTTTATGTATGCTATTGTAGGCACCTCCTTCTAACTGTTGTTACTTGTAACTTGACCGACACTTGCACCAGCCCTTTCAGATTCTTTGAAGCCACAGGGAAGGCTAAAGATCAGAGAAGGGCAGTTTGCACGGCAGAGGGGAGGAAGGTGCAGCCCAGAAATGGAATAGGCAAGATCATCTGTTCGGTTCCAAGTACTGTTCATCTCCCGCCACCATCACGCTTACAACATGTGATGTTGGTAACGCCCAACTCTAGGTCAATTGCGCCAGCAGATCTTTGCTTAGTGCTGCAATTCAGTGGGACTTGGTGCACGCTGCCTCTCCCTCCTTTCACAAAGCGTGTTCCGATCACCACACGCCAGCTCTAGCTTCTGTCACAACCGGCCGGCGGACGGACGGCGTGCTCTTCGGGATCCGGGGTAGCTGCGTGCCTGTACCTATGACATGGTGATGCGCTTCTTGACTATTGGTTCTCCAACATAACGAATCTTTCGACTTCTGAACCACTCGTCAATCACTCACCTCTGTTCCGCTGATATTCCCATGCTGGAACGACCGCCCATCGCTTGTCATCACTGGCTATTCTGTTGAAGTGATCAATGATGCGCGACTCGTTGTCTAGTCGTCTACTCAGACGAGAGCTACAAGACTCTGTCGGGCCCTCAAGAAAGGTCAAGTCGATCTACGGCGACAAGAACTGGATTCGTGACCTTGACATTGTTAACGAGCTTGACGGCCACTCTGGATGCGTAAATGCTCTCAGGTTTGCCATCTTTCCCTCTACCAAATCATTACTTTTACATTAACACATCTGTCCTATAGTTGGTCCAAGTCAGGCCGTCTCCTCGCTTCGGGATCCGATGACCAGCATATCAACATCCACACCTACCAGCCTGATGACTCGAACACGCAATTCAAGCTGGCTACCAGCATCGCCACTGGCCATCGCGCCAACATCTTCTCCGTCAAGTTCATGCCCCACTCGAACGACCGTACTGTCATATCCGCTGCTGGTGATTGCGAAGTCCGCATCTTCGATCTCGAATACTCCGGCACCAATACTGAAGCATCACGGGCCTCGGCCATGGCTTTGAACAGCAGCTCCAGAGGCATGCGAGCCAATACCCAATCTGGGGTGCGACATCTGAGTGACGGAGACACAAACTGTAGAGTCTACCGCTCTCACGGCGACAGAGTCAAAAGGGTGGTTACAGAATCCTCCCCCCACCTCTTCTTGACTTGCTCGGAAGACGGAGAAGTGCGTCAATGGGATCTGCGTCAACCGTCATCCGCCTACCCTTCTCCTTCCAGTAGGTCAACATCTGTACCACCTGCCCTCATTTCCTATAAACGATATGATTTGGACCTCAATACCATTTCTTGTTCGCCAAGCCAACCTCATTACATTGCCCTTGGTGGTGCTCATCTGCATTGTTTCCTCCATGATCGTCGAATGCTTGGACGCGACAAACTCCACGAGCGTGCCGCCTCACCTGCTATCTCTGCCAGCCAGCTGTCCGATTTGGACGAGGACGCACTTGGTCAAGCCACCCGATGCGTTCGCAAGTTCGCTCCCCGAGGTCAGCGTGTTATGGGCCAGAGGGACAATGGACACATCACAGCTTGTAAGATCAGTGACGCTTACCCGAACGAGCTCATCGCCAGTTGGTCCGGTGACCATATCTACAGTTTCGATTTAGTGCGTAGTCCGGATGCCAGCGTAGCTGCCAGAGGCTCAAGTTCAACAGTCCAATCGAGTGCTAGTAGGCAAAGGGCAAGGGAGAGCAGCGAGCGAAAACGGAAGCGGAGGACTGGAAGTCAGTTCTCACACTCTTCCGCTGGCCCTTCTCGCGAACATCCCCGCCAACGGACCAAAGAAGCGGGCGCGGAAAGACAAAGCGACGTTGCCTTGCGAGTACAATATGATAACGGTCAGAGCGAAGACATACCAATCGCCCGTTCGACCAGCCCCGTCTCGTCTCTACGGGAGAGCGTGATGAAAGATAGGCAGCGGAAGGCGTATCGTCTCGCGAAGACAGTCGTCGAGCTCCGTCGGACTATGTTCACCCTGCACGATCAAGCTGTAGGTTCTTCAAGCAACATGACCAGCCATATCACCGAGTTTACTTCTGTACGAAGCTTGGCTGCTACAATATTGCCGCAGATGCAGGAAATCACTCGAACGTGGCGCTACCCAGGCGATCCCGTCTCCGAGGACGTTGTACTACAACGGACTCTGCGTTCAGACAGAGAATCCGCCTGGCGCTTCGTGCAGGCTTCTGGAGTAATTGCCCGAGCGCTTGGTGGTCAATCACATACTGCTAGTCAAGAAATCTTCGACACCCCTCTCTTTGCTCGGATTGATCATGCGCCAAACGAAGGCAGTAGCCTCAGCGATCGTGAGAGATTTGGCTACGACTTCCTCAAAGCTATCTTTCTCTGGCTCGACAGTGGTTTAGGGGCTCTGATCGACGGCTTCACTAGATCTTCAGACGTCGCTAGATACGCATCTCGCTTGCCGGTACCTAAAGATGCCAGTATTGATGCGTTCGATGAATGTATCGTACCCTATCTTCTAGATCACTCATCTGGCACTCCCATCTTCAATGTTGACGCTTCGAGATTTGAGGTTGATCAGAGTCGGATTCTTTACGAGACCGAAAACGACGCAGTCCGAGCTTTTGTCGAAGCAGTCAAGATACCCTTCGCGGATCTATCTTCAGACGAACTCATGGAAGGTGCGTCCGGATCTTCTCAGAGGCGAAGCGATGCTGTACTTCACTGGGGTCTGAAGGTAGCTCGTGGCGTCCTCATAAATGCAGGAGAGGGCGTCAACTTTGCTTTCGTAGACAGAGCATTCGGCGGGCTTGGTTCGGGCAACAACGCAGCAGCTCGCGAGGACGCCCGACTACGTGAAAGACAACAGCACATTGATACCACCGAGGAAGAGCCTATGGCGCAGTCGATGGAAATCATTCAAGCTTCACCAGACCAATCTTCGGAAGAGGAAGAAGACGTTATCGCCATGAGTGACATCAGAGCAGCAATGGGTGAAACCAGCGACGAAGATGAAGACGAAGACGACGAGATGGAAGATGACGAACTCGATGAAGACGAAGGCGCCGATGCTGACTCGATCGACGACGGGGATAGTCACGGAAACGAAGACCAAGAAGAAGAGGAAGATGAAGACTTCCCGCGTATGATGTATCGCAGCGCGTTTGGAAGACGACGTAAGCGTGGGGAGGTTGAAAGAGAAGTATACTGCTCGCCTCACACCAGAGTTTATCGAGGGCACTGCAACGTCAAGACAGTAAAGGATGTCAACTTCTTCGGCTTGGACGACGAATATGTGGTCTCAGGTTCGGATGACGGCAACTTCTTCGTTTGGGACCGTAAGTCAGGGCAACTCGTCAACATCCTGGAGGGAGATGGAGAAGTCGTCAACGTACTCCAAGGTCACCCATACGAGCCCATGATGGCCGTCAGCGGCATCGACCATACCATCAAGATATTCTCACCAGATGCGAGGGCGCGCGAAGCGGCTAGGCTCGGACGTGGTGTGGGGGCAGCTGACGCATCAACATTCTCGTCCATCTCTTGGATGCGGCAGAGGAGACAGAACAGACGGGCTGGGGCCACGTCAGAGCCTGCGCTACCAGCAGGCGCTAGAGACCGTAACAGAGATGACGAAGATGAGTATGTGGCGCGAGGCGGATTGGCAAGCAGGAAACGCATGCACCTGGAGTACCAGATCACATCTCAGAATGACGTGGAACGACAAGGAGGGAACCAGGAAACGTTCCTTACAGTAAGTCAATAGTCGTTAGGCGATAACATACAGAGCGCTAATACATGACGACAGAGAAGTATGCTGGCATCCTTAGCACAACACCTCAGAAGGCAGAGGGCCGAAGCAAGAGGCGAGGAAGATGATGGAGAAGCCGGAGCGATACCGGGAGGCAGAGTCGTCGTTGGGGACGACTGCGTGGTCCAGTAAGGGCACGCATGGTTATGGCCGGCAAATAGACCCGACCCAAGGCATATAGCAACTTCTTATGATAATTACAATGATAGCCAGAGTGTGGTGAAGCAAGTCGCTTTACGGAAGCGGTGTATGGAAGCCCGAGACTACTTGACTTTCGGTTTCCTCGCCTTTTTGACTCTCTGGCGATTGCTCTTGATCATGATGAGGGAAAGGAAAGAGCCAACAACGGCACCTCCTACCAAGATGAGAATGACAGGGATCCGAATGGCCCAGACACGGGGAAGGAAGAAAGACTGGGAGGGGTGTGACGAGTCGACAAAGGGCTAGAAGCGAGCTTGTCAGATACGAACAGGCGAGGCTATGTACAGAGAGCGCGGCATACCATGACCAGAGTCCAGAAGGTGTAATAAAGAAAGACGGTGGTCGCTACGATGAGCATCATGGCGCCGAGAGCTAGGTCGCGCTGGAATCAAATTGGGCGTACTACTATCTGCATGCCATGGACGTAACACAGTACGTTCAATTGCGGTCAGTCCTACAACAATAGCGTGATAGTCGCAGGGAAAGAACAGAGAGGGTCCGGGGGTGAAGCTCGGGTATGCCAAGAGGACCGCATGGTCGGCGTCAGCTTCCACACCAAGTTGCAACTGCCTGACGCACTTTCTTGCACTTGAACATTACAACCCTCGACTTTGCTTCGACATCTCGACATGGCGACGGCTATGCAGTCGGCAGTACGTCTGCCTTCACCTGACGCCGCCGACGCTCAGTCGCATACCTCTGGTCGTAAACGTTCGCCCGAGTCGCGTTCTCCATCTCCCGAAAGACGCCCTCCCACCTTGCGCACACGATCCATCGACCCTGATACGAATCGCGACCCTACGCCTCCACGCGATCGTTCGCGCTCGCCGCTTCCTCACCGTAACGGTCCCCTCCCGCGCGATGTGGACCGCCAGAGAGCACTGGAGCGCCAAAGGCAGGCCGAAACACGCCGTCGCGAAGAAGTCAAAGAAGACAAGCCTCTGTCAGCCGCTGAGAAGCAGGCCGCCGCGAAAGCTGAATATGAGCGTCTGCTCACTATGCGATCGGGCGGAACATACGTGCCCCCAGCCAGGTTGCGCGCTCTGCAGGCTGAGATCGGCAACGATCCATCTTCAAAGGAGTTTCAGCGCATGGCCTGGGAAGCCCTCAAGAAGTCCATCAACGGTCTGATCAACAAGGTCAATGTATCAAACATCAAGTACATTGTTCCCGAACTGTTCAGCGAGAACCTGATTCGCGGCCGTGGTCTGTTCTGCCGCAGTATCATGAAGGCTCAAGCCGCCAGTTTGCCCTTCACCCCCATCTACGCCGCTATGGTCTCCATTGTCAACACGAAACTCCCTCAGGTCGGCGAACTGCTCGTGAACCGCCTTGTTGTACAATTCCGCAAAGCCTTCAAGCGTAACGACAAGGCCGTGTGCCTGAGCAGCACCACATTCCTGGCACACTTGATCAACCAGCAGGTCGCTCACGAAATGCTTGCCGCCCAGATCCTTCTGCTGTTGCTCAACAAGCCCACCGACGACAGTGTCGAGATCGCTGTTGGTTTGATGAGAGAGGTTGGTCAGCACGTCGAAGAGTTCAACTCGCAAATCGCCATGGCCGTCTACGATCAATTCCGCAGCATTCTGCACGAAGCCGACATCGACAAGAGAACGCAGTATATGGTTGAAGTCCTGTTTCAGGTCAGAAAGGATCGCTACAAGGACAACCCCTCGGTCAAGGAGGAGCTGGATCTCGTCGAAGAGGAGGATCAGATTACCCACAACACTGGCTTAGATGACCAAGCTGAGGTCCAGGATGGTCTCAATGTCTTCAAATTCGACGCCGACTGGGAAGCAAATGAGGAGGCCTACAAGAAGCTGAGGGCCGAAATTCTGGGAGAGGCTGACGGAAGCGATGACGATGAGGACGATGATTCGGACGTCAGCAGCAGCGAAGACGAGGACGAGGAAGCGGAAAAACAGGTTGAGATCAAGGATCAGTCAAACACTGATCTTGTCAACTTGCGCCGAACAATCTACCTTACAATCATGTCGTCTGGAGGCTTCGAGGAATGTACGCACAAGCTGTTACGTATCAACTTGCCACCCGGACTTGAGCACGAACTTCCTTCCATGATCGTCGAATGTTGCTCTCAGGAGCGCACATACAACAAATTCTTCGGCTTGATTGGTGAGCGTCTCTGCAAAATCAACCGCATGTGGAACGAGCTTTTCGAGGCCTCTTTTGTCAAATACTACGACACAATCCACCGCCTGGAGACAAATCGCCTACGCATTGTAGCCCAATTCTTCGGTCACCTTCTCTCCACTGATGCCATCGGCTGGCATGTCATCAGCGCTATCCACCTGAACGAGGACGAGACGACTTCGTCTTCGCGTATTTTCATCAAGATCCTGATCGAAGAGCTGGCTCAGAATATTGGAATGAAGAAGCTTTCGGAGAGAATGAAGGACGACGCTCTACTGCCTGCCTTGGCTGGAATATTCCCTGTTGACAACCCTCGCAACACCCGTTTCAGCATTAACTTCTTCACTGCTATTGGCATGGGTGTCTTGACTGAGGGTATGAGAGAGTACCTCAAGAATATGCCCAAGCCAACTTTACCTGCTCTACCCGTCAGAGCTGCTAGCCCAAGCGAGAGTGTTTCCAGCTATTCCAGCTACTCGAGCTACTCCAGTCGTTCTCGCTCCCCATCTCGTACAAGGGGCCGAGCACGTAGTTATTCCCGTTCGCCAACATTGCCGCGTCGCTCAGCCCGAGACAGATCTGCCTCATACTCGAGATCACCATCCCGATTGAGGTCTCCTCGGCCAAGACGCCGCTCTCCCTCTGACTCTATTTCACGCTCGAGAACACCAGAGCGCAGGAGGAGATACACGCCGTCCATTTCACGTTCTCGCTCGCCCCCACCAAAGCGTGGCAACGCTCGCCGAGATTCTCGATCACCATCATATTCCCGCTCTCGCTCGCCTCCTGCTCGTGGAGCCGCAAGAGCTCGAAGCTATTCGCGCTCGCATTCACCTCCTGTCCGCGGCACCGCTCCGCGAGACAGAAGCTATACCCGCTCGCCCTCACCACCTCGTAGACGTAGAGGAAGTCCGTCGCGATCACCCGCTCGCTCCATATCCCGCTCCCTCTCACGCTCACCACCACCAAGAAGGGCAGGGGCAGGACGCAGACGCTCTCTTTCCAGATCCGTTTCACGATCACCGCCACCGAGACGAACAAGATCTCCGGTCAGGAACCAGCGTCGCGCGCGTCGCAACACATCGTCTCCAGAAGTATCAAGGTCGCGATCGCCTCCTCGTCGTGCACGAAAGGCGAGCAACGCATCTGCCCGTAACCCTAAGCCTTCTGCTCCGAGCGGCGAGATGGATCTTAGCGACATTCATCCCAGCCGCAGGGGTCTGTTAGGCGCCGGCGCAAGGACAAGACCCACTGCTGGCGATTTCATTTAGTAAATAGCAATACCCATGCCACAAAAGTAGCCCAATTAGCCCTGACCATCAATACAATTCATCGAAGATGGGAGATATTCTGCCCAAAGACAACACAAACAAAGAATATACGAACCACTCAGTGCGAAGCAACGATCGACTTACAACGCAAGAAAAGCTGGACAAAAGATTGGCAAATCTCAAATGATCTTCATTGCATTCGCGCCCATGTAGATGCAGGCGTGGACGTCAAAGAAGCAAGCGCATCCATGCAGTCTGTGTCAATTTTTGTTGCGTGACAATCACATGCTTGTGAAGCCTGGCGCGAAGAAGTGGCATTCTAGACTGATGCCGCTGGAGCCTCGAGATCTCCATTACCTTTGTTGTTCACCCATGACAAGCAATTTTAGCCAGAGTCAATCGAGGGTTGAGATACATCTCGCTTGAAGGTAAAGTGATTTCAAGTCTAAGGCATACCATGCCGTGCAGAGGTTGCGAAAGCGTGCGTATCGGAAGATCGCAGCGAACCAAGCCACATTGGCCAGAGTGTCAACCTTTTGAACGAGGGCTTGCGTGTTGTATGTGGCGGCTCTGCGACCGCTCATCTGTGTTGCGGCCGGGCGGCTAACCCATATGCAAGGGTGTTCTTCGCCATTGTGATTTTCGGGTTTCATGTCTCGCGCGATGGATGAAAAGGACTCGTCAAGCGAAATAGATTAAGGTGCCTTTGTGATTGGGAAAATGGAGCCAAGTGAGCATTGCCCGTCCTCGTATTCTATTGCCTCCTTTTAGGTGCTGAGCCACTCGACTGAGGATGTTTCGACTTGGAATTCTCTTGACAAGTCAACCGTTGTCGTCCGAGGCGGACGACAAGACCAAGACTGACTCGATCTTGTCGATAGACAGCAGAACTGCCATTTGAGTTTAGAGATCCTCGAAGAAGGTTTTGGTTCCTGCAGCAGAAGGACTCCGCTTTCTGGAGCTTGGCGTTTCAGAGTTCCGCTTCCCACGGCAGCCCCTTGGTCATCAAAGAGCTTCATCTATCCCCTACATACAAACAAGGCCCTTTTCCAGCCCTCTTCTGCCCACCACCACACGGTCGAGGAATCTTGTCAAAGCGCGGTGTCTTGCGTGCTCCGATGCACGTCTTGGACCAAGTCTGGGCTTTAGCGCCGCGCCACATGGTCGTCTGTTTTTTGAAACGCGGCAGCACTCTACCATATTGACGAACTCCACCACACTAAGGCAGGGGCTCCGCTAGAACGGCCATGCTCGCGAGTCGGCCTTAGTCCGACCATGGCATTTTCGACACAGAGTAGGCGATCCTACCCCCTAAGTATAAGAATCATGTCTCCCAAACTCTCTCTCCATTCTTCCCTCCTCAAGCTATCGCCTTCGACGTTCTTTGCAGTGCAACTTTTCGGTCTCGTACCACCCACATTCTCTTTTCAACGTATCATTCTGTATTGATTGCAGCTGGGATACTTCCATTCTTTTACACTTGCACTCCAACTTCATCCACGTCTTCGCATCTTCGCAATCCAAAAAACTAGCAACTTCTACAAGAAAAACGCTGCACTAAACAACTCGAAATGTCTTTCAAAATCGCTGCCGCTGCCGCTCTGGCTACCCTTGCGTCCACCGTGTCTGCTCACGGTCACCTTCAAAGCATTGGCGCCTCTAACACCGTTTACGCCGGCTTCAACAACTCTATCCTGTACTCCAACACCAAGCCTGACCTCATTGCCTGGTCCGACACTGTGAAGGACAACGGTTATGTCGCTGATTACACCAGCCCTGATATGATCTGTCACTCTGGTGCCGCGCCTGGTGCGCTCTCAGCCCCCGTCAACGGTGGTGACACCGTCTCCTTCAACTGGGACACCTGGCCAACTTCCCACCACGGTCCCGTTATCACTTACCTGGCTAAGTGCGATGGCGACTGTGCCGATGCCGACAAGACCACACTCAAGTGGTTCAAGATCGATGCCGTTGGTCTGATCTCCGGAAACAGCAAGCCGGACGAAGGTGTTTGGGCCTCGGACAAGCTGATCACCGATAGCAACAAGTGGGATGTCAAAATTCCTGACACTATTGCCTCCGGTAACTACGTTGCTCGTCACGAGATCATTGCTCTTCACAGCGCCAACAACGAAGGTGGTGCTCAGAACTACCCTCAGTGCATCAACCTCAAGATCACCAGTTCTGGTACTGACAACCCCGAGGGTGTCGTCGGTACTTCCCTGTACACTGCTCAGGACAAGGGTATCTTTGTCAACATCTACTACCCCGGCTTTGGTCCCGACCAGTACGACATGCCTGGACCTGCTCTCTACACTGGTGGCTCTGGCTCTGCCCCTGCTTCATCTGCCGCTGCTTCGTCTACCCCTGCCTCGTCCGCTGCCGCTTCGTCTACCCCTGCCTCGTCCGCTGCCGCTTCGTCCATTCCTGCTTCGTACGCCGCACCCTCTTCAGCTGCTGAGACCACTACCACCTACGCTGCACCTGCCTCTTCCTCCGCCCAGCCCACATATGCTCCTTCGTCTCAAGAAACCTACGCTGCTCCTTCCGCTTCCACCACCGCTGTCTCCCAGGCCTCTGTCTCCGAGATCGCAGCTGCGATTCCCTCTTCGATGTTGACCAGCACCATCTCTGCTGGTGTCCCTACCGGTACTGCCTCCGCTGGCATTGCCCTTCCCACAAAGGCTCTCCCCGAGGGCACCACTCTTGAGGACCTTCTCTCATGGGTCGAGTACCTCTTCGCCCAGGGCGCCAGCGAGACTGCTGCTGCTCCTTCCACCACTCAGGCTGCTGTTGTTACCACTGCAGTTGCCGCTGACAGTGGCGATGCCGTTATCGTCACTGCCTACGAGACCGACTATGTCACTCAATCGACTGCCGTCACCGTCACCGCTGGAGCTTCCCCAACCGGCGCATACAGACATCGCCGTCACGCTCGTGCTCTCCACCTTTAAGCTGTTCAAAACGCATGTTCATGATTGGAATATCAGGCTATGATTTTGTTCGGACTCTCAGCGTTTTATCTTTCTCTTCTTGCTATACCATTTTTTTGTGCTTGACACGTTTCTACCTTCTTATACATACGAAATTTCGCACGGGTGTCTTGACTCCCTGCTTCACCGCCATCTATGAACACACCTTCCGCGTACCTGTATCTCAACCTGACCAAAGTATATCGTGATCGCATTAGTAAGCTTGACTTGAGCATATCGTGATCTTCTAGGCGTTGGTGGGAGCATGGTGCTCATCGCCATTGAGAACCTGACCAAGAGCGGCTAATCAATGCCGATAATGTAGAGCTTATCCACGGGGAGAGGAGCGGACCGAGACCAATGAACTAGCGGGGGTCCAGGCACAAGAACCTCAGGAACATCTTCATCTCTCATACGTCTCGATTACGAGCTCAAGAACAAACCGAGCCATTGGATATGTCCCTCTTACCGCTCAAGCAAGATGACCGGGACTCTGCACACTCACAACCCCACTCATGCAAGCATTCGTAATCCTTTTTTTTGATCCAACAAAATCGCGCGCGGTTATAGACATTGGAATGAAACAAAAAGCAGGATATCCTCGCATCAGACGGACTTGGCGGCAGCACTTGCCAAGCTGATGAGCAATTAAGTATGCAATATAAGACGAGTAGCTTACACCAGAAGGGGCAAATATGTTGCAAGAAAGCCCTAGAAGCGTGATGGAAAGATATAACAACGCATATAGCATATGCTTGGCAAGGTTGAGCAAACAAGCTGGCGGGTTTCGGGGGGATGTTTCTGGTTGATTTCCGGGTGAGGAGAGGGGCATGTGTTTGGGGGAGACATATATATAAGGCTGGTGGGGGTGTGTTGTTTACTTGGTGTGTCGCACTTTCGTCTTTTGTGCTTCTTTCTCTCCAACTCGATCATCAATTCGAAAAGTCGTTTCACCTTTGCGCCTTCCTGCTTTACCACTAACGCATACACAAAAGGAAAGAGCAACCATGTCTTTCTTCAAGAAACTCAAGAGCGAGTTCGAGGAAATGTTTGGCGATGATGACAAGAAAAAGGAAACCGCTCCTACCCAGCCTGCGCAGGATAGCAAGCCTACGGAGAGCAGTAAGTCATTGCGTGTGCTTCCCACACAGCTTCACTGGCGACTGACCTCACCTCCAATAGAGCCCGACCAGACGCGCGATGTCAGCCAGCCTCAGTACTCCGCGCCCGCTCCTGCCGACTCTTACGTCCAGGGACACCAGCAACAGTCGTATCCTCTCCAACCTCAACACCAACAGTCCTATGGACAGCCCAGCCCTGCTTCTTATGGCCAACCTAGCCCTGCTTCTTATGGCCAACCTAGCCCTAGTCCTTACGGCCAAGCTCCTCCTCCTCCTCCCGGCCCTCCTCCTCCCCAGGCCGGCGGCCAACTTCCTCCTGGCTGGGTCCAGCAGTTTGACCAGCAGAGCCAGCGCTTCTTCTACGTGAACCAGGCTACCGGTCAGACTCAGTGGGACATGCCTCAACACCAAGCTCCCCAGAACCAGTACTCATCGCCTCCTCCTCCCACTGGTGGAGCTTATGGTGGTTATCAAACTCCTCCTGTCGGTCGGGGCCAGTACGGTCAGCCTGGCTCTTTCCCTCAAGGACAGGCTCCTCCACCCGCCGATCAATATGGCGCAGCACCTCCTCAGGGTGATCAGTCCCGTGGACAGGCAAACTCTTTCTACGACAGCTATGGTGGCGCCATGCCATCTGTTCCTCCTCAGGGTCAGCATGATCAACAGCACGACACCCGTGCCAACCAGTACTACGGTGATGTCGAGAACAAGGATAAGGGCGAGAAGAAGGACAAGGACAAGAAGAAGGAGAAGAGTTCCGGATATGGCGGTGCCATGGCTGGAGCTGCAGGTGGTCTAGCTGTAGGCGCTATTGGCGGTGCTTTGATCGCCAATGCTATGGGTAAGTGGTCGAACCTCAGATGCTGCTCATCTTGAACCATACTAATATGCAGTGCTTGCAGATGACTCGGATGACGAGAAGAAGTATGCTGCCGCCCCCGCCGCTGCTGCACCCAGCTACGCACCTGCCCCTACCAATTATGCTCCCGCACCCGACCCATCATACGGAGGTTACGGCGCTCCTGCTCAAGATCCTTACGGCTACAGCGCTCCTGCTCCGGTCGCACAGCCTTCAGGTTACGGCGGATCTGCCTACGAGCCAGGTCTGTACGATGATGCGCCTCTGCCTGACGAGACGCGCTCCGGTTCATCGGTATCCAGCAGCGACCGCGAGAGTCTCGAGGAGAAGCGCGAGGAGTTGCGCGAGGCCCAGGAAGAGTACGAGGAAGAATACGCCGAGACCTACGATGATTAGATGACCCACTGCCAGCTGCAGTCGCTAGTCGGAAGGCGGTCTAATCTGTTCTCGGCCGAGTTGAGTGGACTTTCAACCTTGTACGTCGATGGCATCCGAGAGAGCATAGTCGCATGTAAATTATCCGGTAGATCGAGATAAGGAATAAAAAAGACAGCGCGTGTTTCGAGAAACTCTTTACTACATGGAAAGTGGATGATAAGAATCGATTTGCCGGCGTTCTCAGAGGATCCCGAACGAGGAGGCGGGAAGTCGAGTAGCCAAGCCGTCATCGGTTGGCAAGAAAAACGGCAAGTCGGCACGCGATTCGACCTTGTCATCGTCCATCATCTTTTCTCGCCGGCGCGTTCTCCCTCTATTGCTCGCACTTTGATCCATTCGTCTCAGCAAGTTGACCGACTCTTTCAGTCATCTCCCGGTCTCACATGGCATCATGACCCAGCTTTGTTGCTCGATGACTCTTGCCTTGCCTCGTACATCTACCCCGGATCCTGAATACGGCAACAAAAAATCGATCTGGTCGCGAATAACTTAATTTGGATTCACTGTCAGGCTTTCTCTACGATTCTTCTACACGGACAAAATCCTCGAACAAAGTCCCATCAACATGGCTAAAGAAACGAAAGATCTGGAGGCCGCGATCCATGATCAGACTAATCTGGTACCTTTCAAAGAGCGAATGGTCATCTTCTTCACACTGGCATTTTGTATGTTCCTATGCTACGTTGACCAGAACGGCATCACCGTCCTTCTACCCAGTATCGCAAGAGACTTGAACGCCGCAGATACTATCGCCTGGGCTGGTACATCGGCTCTCATCGCAAACACTGTATTCCAGGTTCTCTATGGTCGCCTTTCTGATCTGTTCGGACGCAAGAAGATCTTCGTTGGATGTTTGGTATTGCTGGCTGTTTCGGACTTGGTTTGCGGACTCACTCCTACTAAAGAAGTACTTTACGTCTTTCGCGGTATCTCTGGTGTCGCCAACGGAGGTATCGTCGCTTTGGTCAATATGATCATGTCGGATGTAGTGACTCTGCAACAAAGAGGTAAATACCAGGGTATCATCGGATCCTTTATCGGGCTTGGAAATGCTGCTGGTCCGCTGATCGCTGCCGCCTTTACTCAACATTCGACTTGGAGAGGTCTCTTCTATCTCAATGCACCTTTGTGTTGTATAGCTGCGTGTTTGGCGGCATGGACTTTGCCGCAAAGTATGCCAAAGGTCAACTTCAGAGACACTATTCGCAAGGTTGACTGGATCGGTCTCTTCTTCAGCACTCTCGCAATCATCTTGGTTTTAATCGCAATTTCTGACGGCGGCCATAGAACACCCTGGAACTCGGCCGAGACCATCTCGATGCTGGTGATCGGTGGATTGTGTGCGATTGCCTTCATCATCGTCGAATGGAAATTCGCCAAACTGCCCATGATGCCTCTCGAAATGTGGCAGAACAAGTCTGTCGCAATCATGCTGGTCCAATCTTTCTTGCTCGGCATGAATTATTACTCTCTGATCTATTACCTACCATTGTACTACCAAAATGTCGGGGGCTACGATGTCATGAGATCGGCTGTTCTCATTCTTCCCCTGGTGCTGGTACAGGCGACTTTCTCCGCACTCGGTGGACAATACATGTCCTTCATCGGTCACTACTTCGAAGTCATTTTTGTTGGCTTTGCTGTCTGGACTCTTGGTTCGGGTCTTCTTGTCTCCCTGGGAACTGATTCTCCTGTTGGCCATATCTGCGGCTTCATCATCATGGTTGGCTTTGGCTGCGGCTGCACTTTCCAAACGTAAGTCTAACATCATAGCAAAATCGTCGTCTCGATGTTCGAACTGACTTGTCCCCAGAACAAACACTGCGATGCAAGCCCATTGCCCAAAATCCCAGCGCGCCGTCGTTATCTCGAACAGAATGCTGCTGCGTCAACTTGGCGGCGCAGTAGGTTTAGCCATCTGCTCAGCAATCTCCGGCAACGTTCTGGGATCCAGTCTTCCGCCGGACCTCCAATATATCGCCGATTCAACATTTGCGGTACCTGACTTGAACACCGTCAGTGCCGCTGATCGAAGAAGTATCAATACTGCATATGCAAATGCCAGTCGCACCGTCTTCATCTTCTGCGTCGCGACCATCGGAGTAGCATTTGCGCTTACTATCTTCATCAAGGATAAAGGCTTGAAGAGGGAAGAAGACGTTGTTGAAGAAAAGGCCAGAGAAGCCGAGGAAGGCCATGATGTGCAGGAGGAAGCTATGACTGAGAAGAAGCCGAACGTCATCACACGCTTCAAGCAATGGAGAGATGGTTTGGTGAAGAGGGACGACGCGGCTGTTGATGGTAGTGCAAGCCCGCCACTTCCACTTGAGGATATGAATGCTAGAGAAGACACGACTTCTAAAAGTTCTGTAGATTCGAAATAGATGAGATACATGGCTTAGACAACCAATAATGATTATGTTTTTCCTCACCGAGCTTGTCCTGCCTTCCACAAATCCCAAGATGTTCTTCGCTAATCGGCCCACTGATGTCCTCAAACATCGTAAGCTTTATAAGGTCCAGTATTCATAGCCCATCCATCAGCCTTGTCAACCTTCAAGCTCTCTAGATCAAGACCATCCATTGTCCTAACATTGATCGGTCTCACCGGTGCCTTGAACACTGGATGCAAATCAACCCTGTTAACGACATCAACACCACAAGCACCACAGAAACCATGATAAGCTCGCTTGGGACCGAAGAGGTAGTCTGTCAGTTTGTCTTCGGTGCCTAGAAGATCGACGGAGGCAATGGGTGGGTAGATCCACATATCTGCATTCTGTGTGACGCTTGTTAGTCGAGGTGGTTAGGAACAAGGGATGGAGGTGCTTACACGTGAGCAGAAACTGCAATTACAGGTACGGACTTCGTCGATCTCTTCAGAAACGACTGTGTATCTTATGGCTTGACAGTGACAGCTTCCTGTGTACAGTTTTTGACCTTCTGAAACAGAGGGTTTTTGGTCCTCGGGTAAGCTGAAGGGGTGATACTTTGGTTCTGCGTTTGCTTGGTTGGTTGTGCTAATTTCTAGGTTGTCGATATCTACTGAGCCGTGTTTGAATGTGTTCATCTAGAGGATGTCAGAGTGTATGATGGAATAGGTTAGTCGAAGGGTAGATCCTACGTTGACGCCTAAGAATTTCATCTTGGGTGCTGAGACGAAGATTCCCGTACCACATATTGGACAGAACTTTGAGACGTTATTGTGAGTATCTCTGTTATACCGTCTGCAATACTTAGGGATATTATACCTTGTGCTCAGCGATACCACTGCCAAAGGAGTAGGTTTTGAGGACATCTTCCCCGACTTCGATCTTGAAGTCGTTTGCACTCTCTGGCACACCAAACAGGTAGCCTTTCTAGAAGTTGGCATCAGAAATTGAATCAGGAAGGGACAAAATTATGTCGCGCTTACTCTGCTACAAATGCTACAGTTGCAGCGTGCGGCTTTCTTTATCGGAGCGAGTGCGACTGAAAACTTGAAAGCGCCGCAATGGCAGTTTCCGTAATAGACTTGCTTGTCTTCTTTTGTTTCTGACATTTTGAGGAATTTTGGTCTTGGGCAAGAGCGACGCGGATGAAGCTGTGTTGTTGCCTTGCTATATAGATGATAGCGGGGTTGTAACGGCTATACGGGAGGCTGAAGATAAGCTGATCCTTCGGTGCAATCTTACCAATTAAGCAGGTGATATCTACGTGAATAGGTCTGGTTCTACTGAAATGTACAGGAGCTTAGACGCAATGCTAATAACATCTAGCCATCGACTTCACTAAAGTTCACTCTTCGAACTTCAACAGCGCAATCCTGGCTCCTGCATTGACAGTCTCGCCAGGAGCGACCAATAATCTTTCCACCTTTGCAGCTTTCTGGTCACCTGGAGCGTTGACTGCAATCTCCAACTTCATTGCTTCGAGAATTGCTATTGCCTGATTTGATTTGACAATTTGTCCTTGTTCGACTTGGATCTTCCAAACATTGGCCGCTACAGGTGAGTCAATCGTCGTATATTTGGGATCTGTCATTATGGTTAGTGAGACACCATCATCAACGTAAGCAGTGGGATACTTACCGGCCAACATGGACTCGATAGTGCTATCGTCGACCCTATTCTTTGCCTTCTCTTCTCTCCACTGGGCTAAACTTTCGTTCTCCGCCTTTGTCATCTCAGCTTGTGCGACGGCTTGTTCGGCTCTGATTTTCTCGACTTCTTTCGCTGTATCTGACTTTAATCTGTTGTGCTCGGCCATGTCGAACTCAATCTCTTCCCACTCGAACTTGTATCTACCACTGCGGAAGTCTGCAAGCATAACATCGAGTTCTTCCTCGCTGACTCGATAGTAAGTCAATAGGTCGAAATCTTGGAACAGATATGGGCGTGAGGGTGAGAAACCATCCTTCCAACCCAAAGCATCGAAGATGGGGATTGTACGCCCAGTCATCTGATAGCCTCCAGGACTATCGACTGGATAGATTGACATGCAAGACCCGCCCCAACTGACAGTACCTTCAGGTGTGAATACTCGACTGGGATTGGCTTTTGGACACTGCATGCGCTGACGAGGATCGACAGGCAGTGACACCGTATTACCTGCATAGAAACCGACCACAACAGCCATGAATTGGCCAGTGAGAAAGATGTCTCGCAACTGGTCCGACGTGAAGGCGTTGTTCTTAGCGACGAAATCGAAGTTGCTCGGTAGGTATGGCGCATGCGGTCGTTGCGTCTCCATGTACCTCTTCGTCGCTTCCTCCTGGGCCTTTGACTCAAATGAAAGCGGAAGGTGAAACTTTCTACAAGGTACCTTGACGGAGCTGAGATCACCCAGTTCATCTTCCAGACCTTGAAGATGTGCTACCAGTCTCCGCCTCTCGATCTTCAAGCCATTGTAGAAGAGCGTCACACTGGTGCAGCAAGACACGGTGTTATTCAGCCAATCAGGGTTGGGCGAACGAATGGCTTTCTCGAGTGCTGTTGTTCTGCAACGATGATTTAAGTCAAACTCCTCGTTGCCATACTCGACAATGATATGATCATCACCACCTTGTCGGTATCTGACTTGAGGCTGACGACCCTGCTGAGGTCTTTCCCAGACTATGGCGCTGCCAAAGTCACCAGATGGCTCGAATGTAGAGCTGAGAGAATCGATGTCGTCGAAGTTCATATTGTTCTGCACGGCCTTCTCGACAGACTCAATGAAGTGGTCGTTTTGCCTGCGCAAAGAAAGCGCCTCTTCCAAAGATACTCTCTTGTACTTCAAGGTATCTCCCGACTTCAGCTGACCCAGTTTCCACCATTCAGCGCGAACGACAGTTGTACTTGATACAAAGCCACCGAAGTTGGGACAATCTACCGGGAAAATGCATGGATCATCACCAGTCCAATTGAGTGCTCCAATGGGATAGCCGTACTCAACAAGATTGGAGGGATGGGCGCCGCCCTCGCCACCATCTTTCCTTGCCCACTTTGGCACAGGTCCGATCAGTCTGATAGCACTACGACTGGCGTTATGTGAGACCTTCCAAGTTGTATCGTAGACCATTTCAATATCTTCGGGTAGGAGATAGCCAATGTCGTGGGGTCCAACCATAGCCATGACCTCCCACTCATTAGTGTAGACAGGCACGAGTCTCTCGGGCAAGCTAGCGATTAAATTCGATACATGACCAGGAACGTGGCCAGCGATAGCTAGCAGGTCTCCTGGTGCAAGCTGTCGTCCCTGATAGCCACCGATCGCCACGATTGGAGAGGTCGATTTTGAGCCAAAGTACTCTGCAACAGCAGGGAAGCCTCCCCATACGGCCAGATAAGATCTACATCCAGAGCCTGTTGTCTTTCCAATTTTGAGCTTCTGCCCGGCCTTGATGTATTGCCGTTGCCACATGCGGAACGGCTGTCCGTCAAGCTCAGCCTCCATTGGAGCTCCAGTCAGTGCCACTACTGCCGAACGTATAAACCGTAACTCGGGACCACTGAGAGTAATTTCCAGAGCTTCCTTGGTCGGCTCGTTTCCGACAAGGATGTTTGCGAGCGAGAATGCGATTGGGTCCATTGCACCAGAGTGCGGGATACCCTTGCCGACTGTTGGCCGGGCAGGCAGATCCTGTATGAGCGTGTAGGCACCTGCTGAGATCACATCGATAGCAGATGGTCGGAACTCGAATGAGTCTAGAAAGTTCGTCAAGGTGTTCCCGATCTTGAATTCGTCATCCCGAATGATATCGTGCAAGAATTCAAGGTTGGTGGGCGGACCACAGATCTTGGAGGACGACAGAAGAGCTTGCATTCCTTGACGTGCCTCCTCCCTCGAAGACCCATGGAACATGACTTTTGCTATCAGTGGATCATAGTTGGGCGTGATAGTAGCTCCCGTGAATACCCATGTATCAATTCGAATATGTTCGTTTTGTTGCTCTGGCCAAATTACTGATTGTAGCAGACCAGGTGATGGCGCAAAGTCGCGTACAGGATTCTCTGCATAGACTCTTGCTTCGATAGCGGCGCCCTTCGGTGACGAGGGCTGCATCTGCTTGAGGTGGCCTGCTTCCAGGCCGCCCAGACCGCTGAGCTGTGCATCGGCCTGCTGGAGCATGAGCTCTACCAGATCAACATCATAGCAGAGTTCAGTGATTCCATGCTCGACCTGTAGTCTGGTGTTCATTTCCAAAAAGAAGTAGTCGCCAGATTCGTCGTCGACCAAGTATTCAACTGTTCCAGCAGAGCCATACTTGATCGACTCTGCGAGACTAACAGCCGCATCACCAAGCTTCTTCCTCATGCCAGTGTGTTTTTCCACGAAAGGACTGGGACACTCTTCGATGACTTTCTGGTGTCGGCGTTGAATAGAGCACTCCCTCTCGCCGAAGTGAATTGCTGATCCTTGGCCATTACCAAAGACCTGCACCTCGATATGACGAGACGCCGCGTAGTACTTCTCGATGAACAAACCAGCATTCTTGAACAGCGTCTTGCCACGCGACTGCACTTTATCGAAGCCGAAGCGGACCTCATCGGCACTGTGACAAGTAACTAAGCCCATGCCACCACCTCCTCCAGTGGCTTTCAGCATGACTGGAAAGCCGAGTTTCTCAGAAGCCTTCACAGCATCTTCAGCGCTCTCCACAAGTCCCTTGGTGCCGGGTACGATTGGCACGCCAGCCTTTTCGGCCAGTTCTCGAGCAACATGTTTGACACCAAATGCTTCGATTGCCTCTGGGCTGGGACCTACCCAGACCATACCAGCATCTGCGACTTGTCTAGCAAACTCGGCATTCTCGGACAAGAAGCCATATCCTGGTATGATTGCATCGACACCTTTTTCCTTTGCTATAGAAATGATGTTTTCGCCATCGGTATAGACTGTGGAATCACTGCCTGAGAGCAAGACAGCTTCGTCTGCGGCTGTTACATGGCTCGATGCTGCATCTGCAGTGGAGTAAATTGAAATTGTTTGGATACCCAGAGCTTTCGCTGTTCGGATGATGCGAACCTGGAGAGGCATTTCTCGTTAGGCATTTGCTCCATGCTTCTTCGCCAAGCCTATGTGGGGTCGGCATGGGCAGGGTGGGTGTGTACTACTTACTGCGATCTCACCACGATTGGCAACTAGTAGAGTCTTGAGCTTCTCCATGTTATGTGATCGTGATAGGACACCATACTACCGCGTGAGATGACCGCCAACTTATATGATAGTGAGGGTTATTGGCATGCGGTCGGCTGACCAAAACATGGCTGGCCGATGAGGGGGTCTTGAGAGTACCCCGACGGGGTATGTCGATCAACGATAAGCACCCCAAGTCGACTCGCTATGACCATGATGACATGCGAGCGAATGACCCATCAACAAGTAGAGAAGGTCCTACCATCTGTCATCTCGGACACACAACTCTCGTTCAATCTCATACGCAGTAACGTGCATTCTTGACAAGCTCGTTTCGAGTCCAGCATCATGCCTCCAGTCAGCAAGAAAGTCCACATCAACGTAGACTTGGGTGAAGGCTATGGAAACTTCAAATGTGGTCCCGATGAAGAACTCATCCCCCTCATCGATCATGCCAACATCGCATGTGGTAAGCATGGTTCTCTCTGCACATCTCGGTATTAAGCTAACATATAGCAAGGATTCCACGCCGGAGACCCTCTAATCATGGCCAACACAGTCAAGCTATGCAAACAACACAACGTCAAAATCGGTGCCCATCCAGGCCTCCCCGATATTCAAGGTTTTGGCAGACGAGAAATCAAAATGTCACCGGAAGAATTGACCGCAATGGTGACTTACCAAGTTGGTGCCTTGAAAGGCTTCTTGGATGTTGAGGGAGTGCAACTTCACCACGTGAAGCCCCATGGCGTTCTATACGGTATGATGTACAGAGACCGTGAAGTGTGTCGAGCAGTCTATGCAGGAGTGCCGAAAGGTACACTAGTCTTCGGACTTGCAGGCACTTTACACGAGGAAGTGGCCAAAGAGCTCGGGCTGCCTTTCTGCGCTGAACTTTATGGAGATGTCAAATACTCAAAAGACGGCACTTTGGTGATTGATCGTAAGAAAAAGTAAGTCTGTCCCCAAAGACAAAGCTCAACGCATCCAGCTGATACGATGATTTCAGGGCGTGGACTCAGGAGGAGACGGCAGCGCACATCAAGAACCAATTGGAGAATTCATCTGTCACCGCTGTCACGGGTGAGGAGGTCAACTTGCCACTGGGTGACCATGAGGTCTCCTTGTGCTGTCATAGCGACTCACCTGGCGCTGTCAACATTGTGACTGCTGCTAGAAAAATGGTGGATGAGTTCAACAAGAAGCATCACGGCTCTGGTTAGTCCGAATCAATGTCAAGAAGCATATGAACTGTCTTGTGCAGCTTGGATCAGGTCAGGTCACACCCGGCTCTATAGCGCTCGCTAATGCATACAGTATGATACAGTTCATTCGTGATGTACGTGCATGTTTCGTGTTTCTCGTGGGTGCGGGCCCTCAGGCCATGTCAAGAAGTCATCGGTATCGACCTCCTTCTAGAAGCTCATCAATCTGCCTCACGGCCGTCTTGACGCGTTCTCTTGTATCGGCGTCAACATCCTCCGCCAAAGCCCGCACCTTCTCATCTATGCCAAAGGATGCTAGGGTCCGAGCCCTCGCTTTGGCGTCCTCTCGGTCGGCGGCACTATCCACCCATGTCAAGTTGATGATGGCCCAAACAGATGCTACACGAATGCGACGGTCTGTATGTGTGAAATGCGGCAGCCAGGCAGTAAGAAGTGGAGTTTGCGCTATCAGCTGCTGACGATGTTTGGAAGATCCTCCAGCCACATGTATGATGACGCCTAGGGCAGCGTTGATCAGCTCCGGAGGTTGCCATACGGTGTTTGACTGCTGGGACTGGGCTGGATAGTCTTGGGACCTATGAGAGTCCAGGGGTGTTTGAGGTTGGAAGGATATCGGTCGTAATTTGTTGTGAAGCATCTGGAACAGTCGATCTACGCCCAAGACACTGTTCAAATGCTCTATCATGGCGACGTTGTCATCACCATTGATAAGATTCCGGATAAAATCCAGCGCTTGCTCTTGTACCAGCATGTCGTCGTGTTTTGCTTGTATCGAGGGGTCGTGTTCGTTCTTGCGAAGCGATCGAAGGCGCGCCTTATAATTAATTGTGTCCAACGTCGATCTGAGTCCGCTAGATTGATAGCGTGTACCGTTATGATCCATCATGACTTCGCCGTCTTCGTCCTCGTCATCTTGCTCAGTCCATTCGTCTACATCCATACCAGATGCGTCTGATGCATTCAGAAGATCGACTTGTTCGCCTGCAGCATTAATGGTTCCAAGTGGTACGGAAGTGCTAGGCTGAGATGTTCCATTCACTGCCTGAACGAGCCAACCAGTTCCTAGCTGTTCGAGGCATTCGGTCTTCATGTCCTTTGGGGAGTTGAGGACGAGATGTTTCAGGGCCCAGAGCGAGGCTTGACGCAGCTTGGAATTCGACCGTTTCGCTTGATCGCATAACGCTGTAACGACTCCAGCAGCAACAAGATCCTGCAAACTCAGCATGTGTCGACCGAAAAGGTGAGCAGATGTTCTTACCTGACGCATAGGACTGAACTCGAGGACAAGATTACAGATGACGTTGGTGGCAGCGATCTGAACCTCGACGTTCGTGGTAGCCAAGAGGTAGTATATAGGCTTGGTAATTCCAGCATCGATGAGAGCTGTACGCAGAAGGCTGACGGATCTCGACAATGCTGTAGCAGCACGACAAGCCGCAAGCAATACGGGGACTGTGTTTCCTACCTTGGAAGCAAGTAGCGATGGATCAGAGTCGCGCATAGGTGCAAGCGATTCGATCAGGTTAGAGATTATGCCACTATCGATGACTGCTTTGCGGTTGGCATCCTCTTTTTCTGCGATTGCAGCGAGGGCTTCTAATGCACCTGCTCTACATTTCATGGCATGCATGACTTCGGGAGCAAGACCGTCATGTCCGAGACTAGTGGATGGTATCGGAGGTATATGCGAGTCAGCCTGAGGATTGGCCGACCACATTGGTCTGGCGAGCGTGATGGGATCGAAAGACTTTCGAAAAAGCTGCGAGACATGTTTAACGGCGCCAGCATCCAGAGCAGCTTGCTGAAGCTCTGTGCTGTTTTCGATGAGTTGAGCCAGGACGGCGCAAGCATCCTCCTTGACGACTGCGGATTCCTGGCCAAAAGGAGTATCTAGAGCATCCTGAACAAGCTTCACAGCGATTGGGACGGCGAAAAGTGCCATCTGTCTTTCCCTTTCTCTCGATCGGGCAAGTACGTCAGAGCGAGGGGCAACAACATCTGCATCAAGAGCATTGTTGAGGATGGCCAGGAGGCGGAGAGCAGCTAAGCGACAGATAGGGTCGGGCTGAGAACGAACAAAATACATGAGCCAGACGCAGATGGGTGAGTTCACGGAGACATTTGCGGCTGACTGGTCCGAGAAGAGTCTAGAGTTAATTAAAGCATGGTGGCCGAATGAAAGAGACTTTTGGAGAGGAACCATGACTTTTGGAAGGAGCGAGTCAACAGGAACAACGTTAGTGGACGTTCGAGGTTGGTGCTGGTTATAGTCGGGAGTTATAAGGGGATCCGAGGATGTAACATCTGGCGAATGCTCAAAGATGCGCTTCAAATCATTGGAGAAGATGAGGCGGTGGGCTCTGTAAGGCGAGTCGTGCACAAGATTGGATATGGCATTGAGAAGAGCAGTGACGTCGAGGTCGGTGTGGCTTGATGCGGGATGTTTGTTGTAAAGAAGAGCAAAGCTGGCAAGGGTTGAAGCAAGCGCATCCAGAATGCCATGATCAAGCATGACAGAAGGCAGTTGGCTGCTCTGGGCACAGCATGTCGCCAGTAGGTTTGAAGTCAGGGCGATGTGGAGCTGTTGACTTGAGGTTGGTAGAGGCTGACGCAGAATGTCGAGGAATGAAGCGATGGTACGCTTGGTGAAGACATGATGGATGAATTGCGGGTCGGGGCGGGGCGAGAGAGTCCACGAGGTAGCGAGAGCATTGATGGCGCGAAGAGAGGCGGTGACCAGTCTTGCGGGAGAGTGAGTCGGAGGGAGCAGTATCAACAGCGGGTGTACGAGGTTGCTGTAGAGGATGGGAGGGACAAAGGCAGCGCCCTCGTCGGCGAGACTTGCGACGATCAAGGTTGTCTGTATCTGGACGTCGGGATCCGGGGAAGAGGCTAGAATGTGGGCCAGGCAGTCAAGCAGGCCGTGACGGACGACAAGCCTCTTGCGCTGGCCGTGACCGACTATGTCGTTCTTGATGGTGCGCAACAGCCGCAATTGCTGGTCGGTCGAGCCATGTGTCGCCGTCTTGAGCTCGTGGAGAGCTGCCAGCGACGGAGGCTGCACCATGATAGCGGCGCCGTGAGGAAAGCAATGGGCGACGGCGGATTGAGGGCCAGATACGCGACTGCTGTTCCTGGACGGCTGCAATGTGGAAGTCACGTCAGCGATTCAGCATGCACGCTTGTGTGATGGGCGATGGGCGATGACGCGGTTGGCCGCCAAGTGCGAAGGCTCCTCCCGCACGTGGATCAAGCGGAGGGCAAGAGAGGCCTGTTGAAACAACGCAGACTAAACAGCCCGTTTTACACATCCTCCCTCACCTGCAAAGACTCTGCACCTGCCTAATATCGCCCGTCTGTCGCTGCTACTCACCCTCTCTCCTGCTTTCCCGCTCCCGCCCTCTTGCTCAACTATGCGCCACGCCCGCGCATCGTCGCAGTGCCTGCAATCCATCACGCAATTCCAGCAACAACGTCCATAAACGCAACTTCCGTAAATGTCGGCCCTAGCTTCACACTCGCCCAGTGCCGCCTTCCACGCCCGTTATCCCCGTCCTTCTCCCCAAAGCCCTGCCTCGAGGCTCCCTCCGACCTCATCGCCTGCATTGCAATCTCTCTCCCATGCCCGTACCCCGGTCTCGAAACCCATGACGGCCGATGCCGGCACCCAGTATACCCCCGAAGGCTTTCCACCCACCGCGAACAAAGTTGCGGGCAACAAACGAAGAGGCTCTTCTCCTCCGCCGCCATCAATGACGCCTGGTCCAGAGACAGACCTTCCCGAGCGTCCTGGCCATGCAGACACTCCTGACATGTCGGCTCCGGGCGTCGTCGCTGAATCTCCTTCGCTCACAAAGAAACCACGCACCCAGCCTGCAACTCAACCGACTGCTCAACTAGATCCAAACATCAAGATCATGCCCCTCAAATATGAGACATGCAACCCCAAGGATCTAGGCTACTTGATCAGCAATATGCTCATGGAATTGATCCGTCTAAATGACAAACTTCCTCTTAATGGCCGTCTGACCAGGTTCCACTCCAGGTAATCTCTCATGCTACGCTGGTCCAACCGCATGCACTAACCAGACTTAGGGCTCCGCCTGGCATCTCCTGTCACGACTACCTGCAGCGTCTCATCCAACACGCTACGCTCTCACCACCCATCCTCCTCTCTATCGTCTATTACATCGACCGCTTATGCTCGCTCTATCCCTCATTTACCATCAGTAGCCTCACTGTCCATCGATTCCTGATCACTGCTGCCACTGTTGCTGCAAAGGGCTTGAGTGATAGTTTCTGGACCAATCCTACTTATGCTAGAATTGGTGGTATTAGTGTCAGCGAACTTGCTACCTTGGAGATGGAGTTTCTGGAGAAGGTCCAATGGCGCATTGTGCCCAAGCCGGAGGTCTTGGTTGACTACTATGTGAGCCTGGTCCAGAGGAACGAAGGCTTCCAACTCGAGGCCGCAACAGAAGCGGAACCGACCTGAGCATCGCGCATGCCGCTTTTTGCTTTACAATGCCAGAGTCATCAATGTCGAGGAACTCCGGCTTCTTACGCCTCATGGACGAACACGGGCTCGTGCCGCACCGGCTACACATCCCACCCTGCAGCAACTACACAAAATGTTGGGACCGCAGTACGTGCCACATCATATCAAGGCACGCAATCTCACTATTGCGAGTCGGGAATAAGCCGCCATCCATACACGCAGTTGTGAACATAGCCTCTACAAACGCCGCGCCAACAGGATTATACGAGTTCACGCCCACTTTCCCCCACCCTGCAGATTGGAGCCGCATCGATCTTCAAGCTACGCAACAAAAGTCGCTCACAAAACATAGATTGAGCCGCACGGTCCCTTGAGCCGCTTCAAAGCGAAGCGGCATTTTCGCTTGTACATAGAAACGTTATACCACAAGCCTGCAGATGCAGAAGAGCACTCGTATACAGAAGAGATAGCCCTTGATAAAATTTAAACCTTTCAATACCATGCTCGCTCTCACTTGTGCAGCCATAGTGTTCCAAAATAGTTTTGATGTCTTTCAGGAGGTCCTCTTGTATTCTAACAATATCTTGTTGCTGGCCTCTCTATCTCGGTAGGATCGAGTCCCCAATTCTACGGTGGTGTATCCAAGTATACTTACTGCCTTTCAACCGCTCGTGTTACATTGCTTCCGTCTATTCGCCCTGCGAACTTCTGTGACCTGTGTGACGCCAAACAAGCGAGCGGATGCCCGGTCATCAGAGAAGGCTTCTCGGCGTGAATGTATCACTCTTGATAAATATTCTCCGGTTTCCTTCTTTCTCTGAACAAGAGACTGGTCATCCCCATCACTTTCTCTTGTTCAGACCTGCCTTTGAACCTTCTGTGGGCTCATGGCTGTGGCTGTGTCCATCATCATGAGTATGCTCATGGTCGTGCTCGTGTTCACCCCCGGTCTTTTGATCCTGAGAAGCAACGAATTCATTTGCGAAAGCGTCGGCCGTGTTTTCCGAGCTGGTGAAGCGGATAGAGATACGCTTTATGCCTTGGGCAGCCTTGGCCACCTTTTCACGCACAACATCCTCTGCTTCTGTCATTTGCTGCAATGTCCACGACGAAGGCACCGTGACGGCAATTTCAATCAAGTAATTCTGTCCGCTCTTGATACCCTGGACTTGAGGTGCTGATTCGGTTGGAAGCTTCAAGTCGCTCAGGGCTGTGGAAGTGGCGGATTCAATCTTTTGCTTCATGTCGTCTTCAATGGTGACGTCTGCGAGTTCGAGGAGTGCGGCTTTTGTGTTTCCGTAGCCGGCTTGGACGATCATGCCGGAGATTATCAGGCCGCCTACGGGGTCTAGCCAGGCGGCGTTTGTGAGGAAGTGACTGGCCATGATTGTGGCTAATGCGACGACTGCAGTCAAACTGTCGACGCGGTGGTGGTAGGCATTGCTTGCTAGCACACTACTGCGCTTTTCCGTCGCAATCTTCATTGTTGCTCTGTAGAGCCATTCTTTTATTATGATGCTGCCGGCTGCGAGCCAGGCTGCATTGATATTGACACCCATGCCTTCGATCCCATGACTGTGGCTGTGACTGTGTCCATGGCCGAAGATGCCAATGTGGGAGAGTATGTGTGCGATCTCTGGGAAGAATTGCTGGGCGAGTGCCATGACTGCTTGGAGACCGATCATGATACCTCCTGAGAGCAGGATACCCGATACTCCCAGAGCTCCCAGCGATTCAATCTTGCCATAGCCGGTCGGGAATCGTGAGGTTGGTGATCGTAATGAATAGGAGACTGTTGCGAGGGTGGTGAAATCGGAGATGAGATCTGTGAGGGAGTGGATGGCATCGGCTGATAATCTGTGTTTCTACAGTGTCAGCATCGGTCACGTACGAGCAAGTGCTACAACTACATACGCCTTTGAGTTGAAGACGTAGCCGCCGACACCTTTGGCAATGGCCATGCCAAGATTGACAAAAAGACCGACTCGCGTGATGCGGACTCCAGCATCGTTCTTGTCGGTACTGGTCAGGAATGTTGTGTCGTGATGATGGTGGTGTCCATGATGTGAGTGACCAAAGTGGCCTCGAGTCTGCTCCATGTTGTTTGTGCTCCTTGTGCTCGCCGGTACCAAGGACGGGGATGGTCGGGTCGGTATGCGGTGATTGAGCAGAGTCCAGTTGTGTCTAGGCCTCGAGGTGACCAGAATGCGTGCTTGTTGGTTCTTCAAAGGTGTCCTTGTGGTGGTAGGAACAAAAGTCGAGCGAGACGCGTGTAGCAGGGGGCTAGTCGTCTGTAGACTCAGCCCCGGGAATTGACACCCTCTCATCTAGTTTTAGGCGCTGCTTCCAGGGCCTCTTTTATCGCAATGCACATACGTCGCACTTCCACGTCAGCTGACAAATGTCTGCGCAATCAGTCGCCAATTCGAGTCGGAGTGAATGTTATAATCTATACAATCAATGTCTTGGAACACGCAATTGGAACGAAGCCGCGTCTGGTCGCCGACAGCGGCCTATTACCGAGATACGTCAATCGCCTTGGCGTTGTGTTATACATCAGCCTGATATCCGTCGAGGCTGATTACCCAGCGTCTGACAACTCGTTGCTAGTACAAAGCTGAACTTCAATTGCCTGCAGTCTTATGACGGATTGTGCATTGATGTACTCCCCTTGTACATGGATGGAAGAAAGAGACAAATAGAATGCTCAATATGATTCCGCTAAAAACTAAATCTCTTCATAATTCGTTCGTAGATGTGTTCAAACTCGACAATACTGTTGACAAGAAGTTTGCGTTCATCAATCATTATTCGTGACTGCACGCTTCAAGGTTGCGGCGTGTCCGAGAGCATAGACTTGATGCTAACACTCCTTTGAGCGGAATTGTCAGGTGTACGGTCCCGATCAGGCGGACTGTCGCCGGGCGAGCCTATGGAGATAAACCTGCCTGTACTTGGTACACTGCGGGCCGGAACCAATGGTGGAGGTTGATACAAGGGTAATGGTGGCGGTCTAGGCAGAATATGGTATAATGCGGTTTGCTGATTTGCTGTAAGTTCCAATACAGGTTGCATGGTTTGGATCGAAGCCGAGCCTGTCGAAGGGTGTCTCCCCATGGCTCTGGATATATCGGCTGGATCCAATTCAGCATCCGAGCAGCCGATGCCGGAATCGCCTTCGTGCTCTTCCTTGTTCGAGACGGGATGATCCTCACTGGATACAGAAGTCTTGCGAGCTGCCCGTGCAATTGACTGTAGATTCTTGAGACCCTTTTCCATACACTGAGAAAACTGTCAGTGGAGTGCTTGCAGCAGACATTTTGAAGCCTACCTTGGTTTCGACCACGCTCCAACGCTCACCAATTCTGGCTGCCAGTGGGCCCCATATCTCCTTCCTGAGCTCCATGTATTCGAGTGCAAGAGTGTCCAGTCTCTTTGTGTTCCAGTCCTCGTGTGTTCGACGCTCTACCAGTCGCTCGTGACGCTTGCGGCAGGCATTCGCAGTCTTGTTAGGGAAGTGCTTTGCTGCAGTGGACTGCCAATTCAGGCCAGCAGCTCTAGCCGCAACTAAGACTTCGTCATCGGCAGTACTCCAGTTGGCTGTGTTCCTATGGCCTGCTTGGGGTTCCACTGATCTGGACTGTCGTGCATGTGTGACTGGGAAAGGTGATTGGCGGTACGTCGACAGGACGCGTTGCTCCTTGGGCATCTCGAAGGCGATCTCTTAGTGTGAGCTATCGAGCTTGGCCGTGGTAAGATTGCTAAGGATGGTGAAGCGAAAGAATCGACCGTGCAGAGAGAAATTGAGTATTAAATTTATGACAATGGATATGAAGATTGGCTTGGGAAAAGACGATTAGTAGAAGTAGAGAGAAGCTAGAACAATGCAAGTACAACGCGATAATCTAAAACATGCACAAGAGATGAACTTATACTTCAAGACACGACATGATGCTCAGACCCATGGCCAATTGAACAGAGGCCGCGTCGACACTGAAACATTAACACTTCGGGAATGAGGCTCAGGCAGCGACCTATTTTGGTAGACGGTTTCCACGAACGGCCATGATGCTGCGAGCGCTTCTGCGGCAGAGGCTAGGAGATCGGCCGAGCATGTTTAGATCTCGGACGTGGTGGGAGAATAGCCTACCATGACGAGCGCGTCTAGATAGCAGATAGAGCGGTTGCAGAAACCCACCAGGGAAGGCGTCGCGCCAGTTTCATGTTATTTGTAGCAGTCCGATGTCAGGTACGGTAAAGTCAGTGGTATGCGCGCTGATGAGGATTGCGGCGCGTATCGAGAGGGCGGCTACCATGGGAGCTTCGACATGGCCAGGGTCACAAAAGAGAAGTCTGCGCCGCGAAGATATGCACGTAAGTCTTGGGAGTCAAGATGCAAGTTGGGGGCGAGAGCGAGAGAAAAGCGATGGCAAACGACAATACTTATGGGAAGGCTCCGGACGCTTCAAGATGGTTGGGAAGTGAGATAGCAGCATAAGAAGGCGACGGCGCTACTTCTATCGAAAGCAATTCCGGCGTGGCGATGGTCCGTTCTGACCCAGCGATATTTCATCGAAACAGGTCGATTCTGCAATAATTCTTGATGAGATGCGGCGTATCTCAGGGTGGTGAGTGAGTCGGTCGAGAATCGTGTGGAGTCGGAAGGTGTTGAAGCTCCGGTGCAAAAAGATCGGGCCGCCAATTTCGGGGGTCCCCATCGGCCCATCAAGCAGTCTTAGTTATTGTTGAGAGCAGCGCCGCGTACAACTTGTCGTCGTCGTTGTTGTCGCCCCGAAGCCTCGATTCTTGCCGTCAAAATGGTCGCTTTTGCCAGCTCGTGCAGGTTCGCTGCTGCCGTTGTCAGCAGACATGGCCGTCGCCGTGAGTTTTGCGTGCCTGATTGTCCCCTGCGACAAGTCTCTATTTTGCACCCGTCTAATGCTTGCCCAATGTAGCTTTCAGTGTCGCTGCGGCCAACCGTGCTGCTCAGAACTTCACCATGCCTGCTCTCTCGCCGACTATGACCGAGGGCAACATCACCAGCTGGAAGCTCAAGGAAGGTGAGCAGCTCACCGACAGCCCCACCAATCTTGGACATTGAAGCTGAGCTATACAGGCGACTCCTTCTCGGCTGGAGATGTGATCCTCGAGATCGAGACCGACAAGGCCCAGATGGACGTCGAGGCACAGGAGGATGGTGTCCTTGCAAAGATCACAGTTGCCGAAGGCTCAAAGGCCATCCAGGTTGGATCGCGCATTGCCGTCCTAGCCGAGGAGGGTGATGACCTGGCCAGCTTGGAGATTCCCGCAGAGGACTCTGCCTCATCGTCCAGCCAACAGCCCGCTCGCAAGGACCGTCCCAGCCCGCAAGAAGAACTCAAGTCCGGTATCGACCCAACCGAATCCTCGCCCAGCGCCGCAGAGGCCCCCCCCTCATCCAAGGCCAACGCCGATGCTGAGGCCGGTGGTGCCGCTGACACAACGAGAGCTACCCAGCTCCAAGGCAGCTCGGACGCTAAGGCTAGAAAGCAAACATACCCTCTCTACCCCTCGGTCCAGCACTTGCTTCTTCAGAACGGTCTGACCAAGGACGACGCCCACAAGATTCCTTCAAGCGGCCCCGCCGGCCGTCTGCTGAAGGGTGATGTTTTGGCATACCTGGGCAAGATTGAGAAGAACTACCCTGGCCAGCAGGCTAAGCGCATGGACAAGTTGGCACACCTCGACCTCTCCAACATTCAGCTCGCCGCTCCTCCCAAGAAGGCCGAGACCAAGCCCGTCGAGGCAGAGAAGCCTGCTCCCATCCCCGACACCGAGATCGCCCTCCCCATTTCCCTCTCTGCCGTACTCGAAACACAAAAGCGCGTTTACGACACCCTTGGCATCAACCTCCCCCTCTCTACCTTTATCGCTCGTGCTTCCGAGCTCGCAAACGAGAACCTTCCTCTTTCCAAGAACAGAAAGCCCACGGCCGACGAGCTGTTCAACTCTGTTCTTGGTCTTGACAAGGTCTCTTCCAAGACTTCTCGCGGCCACTACGTCCCTCAGGTCACTGGTCTCCCCGTCACGCCTCTACACACCAGCCAACGTGCCGCCAAGAAGGCCGACATATTCGACATTCTCTCCGGAAAGGCCTCAAGCCCCAAGAAGGCTCCCAAGATGTTCGGTGCCCAGGGTACCGTAGCCCAGAACGTTTTCAGCGTATCGGCACCCAAGGGTGACGAGAAGAGAGCACAAGAGTACCTTGAGCGCATGAAGCAAGTCCTCGAGGCAGAGCCCGGCCGTCTTGTTCTCTAAAATCTTCACTCTCCATACTCCACTTCTGCTTTTTTCTCACATAGCGTCAAAGATATCTCTGTAGTTTTATATTAACTCGAACGGACCGGCATAGACTTTTTTTCCCTCATCACATCTCGATTTAGTTTCTCCTGCAACTCTATACATCACTTGATTAGGCAATCATGATACGAAGATGTTCTCATAGTTGTGGCGGAAGGGAATTGCCTCTTGTTCTCTGTTTAACTGTGGTTCTGGTGGGGGCACCACCCTGCCCATACTACTCTCATCCAGCAGAACATCATAATTAGACGATACAACCGGCGTGATTTGCTGTAGGCAGACGACAAGGCTACCATCTAGTAGAAAGGCTGATTACAGGTCCGAACCGAAAAGAGCAATAATCGAAAACGGTCCTTCCAGATATTTAAACCATGGCTCTCACAGACAAAAAAAGTGATCCCTTTTTAACGATTGGGTGGAGTCAGAAGAACCAAGAATGCTCACCACCATAGCAGGGTCCCAAAGAAAGGATTCGATGGGCTCACAACTTCTACAGGGAAAATTGAGAGAGATAGGGCGGTATACAAAGGTATTGTTGGTATGATGCGTTTTGACATCTTGCTGGGTCTTTGAGCTTCGAGGTATAAAAATGTCTGCTGGTGTGCTCGATTTTGATGCTTTCGGATGATAAGCACTGATTGTCAGATCGATGCTGTCTCGAGAGCCTGTGGTATAGAGACAAGCAAGCTTGGCCAATATCCGTCAAATACCTTCTATGATTGCTGGGGTAGTTTAGATCATTCCGTACAAAGTCCGACGAGAGGGGCATGTAATGAACGGTAGATTGTGACAACTTCAGCACCGCGAGAACACGTAGTCACCTTATGTGATTGCTCAGGAGAGTCAATGCTATTCGGAATATTATGATAGCACTGGTTGAGATCATACGAGCGTCTATCGATGTTGTCATTCTTCATATCGTCAGTCCCTCTTGCCAAAGTAACTCGTTAGTTTGTTGCTCTGTCCTGCGTCAATTGGTTTCTTTCCCTTCTGAGGTGAAACTCCCTCTTTCTTCTCTTTCTTCTCTTTCTTCTCGCCGACTCGCATCAACCGCATCAGCTCTTCAAATTGCTCGACGTTGACGATGCCGCCACTGGCTTGTACATGTCCACGAGCAAAGTCGTCTCCTAGACGCTCGAGTAAGGGAACATCTGGCTCGCTATTTGAAGCATTCTTGTCATCAATGTCTTCTTCCTTTACCAGCTTTAAACTGGCATAGTCTCGCAAGCTCTGGATGATATCAACTGGCGGATCGTTGCCCCTAGCACATCTAGGTACTCGACAGCTGAAGTTTACTTTGCCTGGGAGATACCCTTCGTTGGCGACCATGACGATCTCGAGAGCCTTGCTCTGAAGATGACCGGCCCATCTGGTTGCGATGACTGGATGTACCTGCGCTTCGGACTTGATTTTGAACACAGCGACCTTGCCGTCTTGGCTGAACTTTGGCGCTGTATGTGTGCATCGCTCAACTTCGGCATTGACCTCTTGTCGTGCTGCAAGTAACCTCGAGTGTTTCAATACGTCCTTGGGGTGGACAGCCGAGAGTAGTGCATCAAACGCAGAGCTGACGTCGTAGGTTGCGGTCCTTCGAGGCGCGTTTATGTACGAAACCACATCGTTCAGTGCCTTCTTGGTGTATTTCTTGAGGGTGGCAGACATGTCTGGAAATGGCTTCTCCCACTTCAAGGTGTTACCAAGATCGCCATGTGTTCCCACCACACACAGCCAGTCCGTTTCAGTACTGACACCATCGTGAAGTGGTTCGCAAAGTAGATATGTCAAGAGAGCAGACGTTACGACTGGCGGTGACTTGTTCGCAGTGCAGAATGCTGCACCTTTGGGGAAGTCCTCAGGTGTAGCGTTGTGGTGGTCAATGACCAGGCCAGTATGGGGAGAGTCTATTAGAGGCCCGGACTTGCGAGACCCTTGGTCAAGGACGAATATGTATTCTGGAGATTTGGCAGCCATGGCCTGTCGTTCATGCTCATGGTGCACGGTCTGACCTTTGCTTAGTAGATGGACATTGATCAGCTCTGGGTCCAGCCCGAGGAGAACCAATGTACGGTGCAGGATTACACCAGACGAAAGTCCGTCTGCATCCTTGTCTGGCACTATCATTGTTCGCCTATGCGAACGAGCACTGGAAACTGGTCAGTGATAGTATCAAGGTAACTCAGATCTCGATACAATTTACCATTCAAGGATGATGTCTCTAGCTTGCTTCATCTGAGATTCTGGAGCAGGCCATATTGCAGCGCCGGTCACTTCATCCAGAATAGAGGGGGTCAGATGATACTCAGGAACCTCCAGCCGTGCTCGTGGACGTTTTGCAGCGCTGGCCTGGACCACCGATGATTCCTTTCGCTTCATTTGTTGCGGCTGTGGTGAGGGGGCGTGGAGGGTGCGGCGAATACAGATTGCGGCTCCACTACTGCTGACACGACAGATAGGCTTGCATTTGCTGGAAATGTACAGACCCCTGTAAATGCGGGTCGTGAGGCTCCTAGAATTGGTGGAGATAATATGCATAAGTGCCTCTCCGCAGTGGTATGTGTTCACCACGCGGTGCACCACCACGCATCGGTCGCTCAAGACCCTGGATCGAGCCTAGGCCCTTTTGGATTGGGTCGCAGTGCTCCGCGGCCGTTATTGGCTGGTGCCAATTGTAAGCTCTTTGAAGGTTTCCAGTGAAACGTCTATCATCTTGATCGTACTCCAACCAGGAAGTCTAACCAGCGGTACCTTGTTGCGGCTGTAAGGATGCGTCTTCGTATGGTAAGCCATTTGCATTTTTCACGCCACGGATTAATCATGTATGCATGGACATGCCGTGCAAGTCTCCGTCAATCTCTGATCTCATGTCATGGTGGGCGACTGCCATCACGACCATCGAAGCACACCAGCAAAGAGATCGGGCGAATACGACTCAAAGGTAACACTCTAGGCTCCCAATCAGAGGATCAGATCGGACGGATTTGCAGTTTCGCAGTGCACGCGCTTGATTTTCGAAGTTCTAGATCTGCGCCCTGCGGGAAGCTTGGCGGTTGAATCGCGCGTCGCGCCTCCCACCAAATGAGTCGAATGACAGGTCGAGGAGAAAACTCCGTGACAAAGGGAAATAGAGGCTTGTGAGCCGCAGAGTGGCTTCGCTGGGGAATGAGAGAATCCGGATGACAACAAGCGCATAGGGAAACGGAACTAGGGGAGCAGATTTGCATTTGCACGAGCACGAGTAACAGAGCCTCGCCGGCAGAATTACGGTCGGAAAGAGCAAAAAAGAGGCTCTGTCATTCACCTCGGGTCGGGCGCCCGTCTTTGCTGGGAGGAGAGCTGCTTCACTTCCATCTGAGGCGATGCGACCGTCTCCGCCGGACTGTTAGTTTCTTGCCTGCTAACAACCCGTCCCCCCAAATGACGGATACTACCGTGCTTTCTAACCATCCTTCTTTACCCTTCCTCCCCCGTTGCTCCTGACACCTCTGGCTCGCATTTTTATCATTTCTCTCTCTACAATTTATTATCCATCGAGCGCTACAGCTGGCAAGGATCTGTCTATCTTCTGATAAAATCATCTGGATACGTGTACTCCGATCTCAGTCGCCGAGAGATTTTCCTTCCAGCTTTTCTGCTCCCAAATCCAACTTGCCGACTGACCTGCACATCCTGGTTGGTGTTTTGCGACTCGACAACAACAATACACTGGTCATTCTGTCTCGCGACCAATTATTACCTCACAGACAAACCGAACTCGATAACTGCTACAATACATATTTAGCATCCGACTCGAGTAAATTGTGTTGTGGTGTCCACAACGCCCGCCCTGACGCGGCGTCACCCATGCTCTGGTACGTACGAACTCCTTCGATGTTTCAAATTGGTTTCCCTTGTGAAGTGGCTCGATAAATCGAATTTATCAAGAGGCTGGACCAAGCCACGCGCTTGGCCTTGAACCTGATTGTCTTTGCAAGTGTTTTGCGTGACATGTGACGACAATCCATCTGGCGCAGAGCCAACGCGGAGCAGTTACCATCTGTCATTGATCAACTCGAGACCTTTTTCGCACCCCTGACCCTGCTCTATGACCTCCGCTTTCGATTGCAATGCACCATCTCTACGCCCAAAACCGCTGCTAACAGTGATGCCGCTTTCCAGAATCTACAACAAACATTATATGCCGCGGCTCCACTAGCTTATGCATAAGACATCTTCTTCAGCACATAGACGCCCTGCCGTCCTGACTTGTACATCTTTTACTAAAAGCAGAACACTGTAGTCTTCACGCGAAGACCAGTTCTGTTCTCATCCGGTTCTCTGCAGTGAACCTGGAGTGCCCACCAAACTCTAGCCGCATTACTAGTCTCTCGAGGAAATGGGGCATCTCGGCGATCACATGCACCAAATGAACGTACATGAAGAGGATTTTGCACATAGCATACCCTCAAAAAAGGTCAATTCCCTGGCTGGCTTCGATCACGGCTTCGCAGATCGAAGTGTAGTACCACCCGACCAACGGCCGCCAGCATTGGGGTACATGCCACTACCAGAGCCCCGTGCAGAGCTCTCCCACAGCGCCTCCCAGGATCCATATCACTTCGCGGATAGACGATCGGACAGACCTATGAACGGGAGGAATCTCAACCTGCGCACCATGACCAACACAGCTTCGATGCCAGAATACAACACATATCTCGAGCGCGATCACACTGGATCACCACTCCAGCGAGCACACTCCGTTCACTCTACAGGCCATCTCCCGCCAGGAATGTATCCTCCGCTGCGACCTGAAGGTCCAACAGAGCAGACCGTATCATCGCCCCAGACCGACCGACGCCTGCCTTCTTTCCATCAATTGAGCAAGATTGCTGACAGTGGACCGGAAACGGGTGATACGCGGGCCACTGGATTACCTAACCTCGCCACATATACCGGTCAAATTATCCCACAGACAGCGACGGCTTCTCACCACCACTTTGCGCCGTCACAGCAGTCCAGTCCTTCGACCAATCTCATGATGCTCGGCCACCCATCGCCCACTAATACTCGAAATGATGGCCACGAAGCCTATGCACCCTCGCACTCGCCAGCTTCATTCTCGGCCCCAAACAATAATTTCGACCACAGGCGCAAGTCAGCCCAGCACAATAGGCCTCCTCCATTTATACCTACCATGACATCTTCCTCGATGGGAACCGGATCTTCTATGGAAACAGTACCTAGTCTACAGAGCCAACACAGCTCTGAGGGCCCAGGTTACAGCACGAACCATACAACCCCCATGGGATCTGCCAATTCTTCTCTCGACGGTACTACAAAGTCATCGGGTGTGCCTCGTTTACACAACTCAACATCAGCACCTTCAGGCTTCCTGTGCGAGTACCCAGGCTGTTCCGCACCACCCTTCCAGACACAATACCTCCTTAAGTAAGCACTCGCGTTCACATCGCGCACTTGTCGCATCTTTCTAACACTTCACAGCTCCCATGCGAATGTACATAGCTCCAGTCGGCCACACTATTGTCCTGTTAAAGGCTGCCCTAGAGGTGAGGGTGGTAAAGGCTTCAAGCGAAAGAATGAGATGATTCGGCATGGACTGGTCCATGATAGCCCTGGTTATGTGTGCCCCTTCTGTCCTCTACGGGAACACAGATATCCCCGCCCGGATAATCTTCAAAGGTACATGAATTCGCTGCTACGTATCGCTGTCTTGACTAACACGTTTCACCACAGACATGTTCGTGTCCACCATGTAGACAAAGACAAGGACGATCCTTTACTTCGAGAGGTTCTAGCCCAACGACCCGAGGGGGGTGGCCGAGGTCGCCGTAGGCGCGCGGGTCCGACTTAATTATCGACCACTTCTGACCCACAATAAACTGTGCGTGTCCAACGCATGCTTCGACATCGACGGCGTTCTGGTTTTCACAATTCACAATTTGCCCTTACCACTGTTGGGGCGCTTAAATTCACGGTCTTCAACGGGATACCAGGTCACGATGCAATCTGTCAAGGCCGCTGGCGTGCCCGACAAACAATGAGATGGGACATGCTTCAACGATTCATACGATCGGCGCACTTGGTTCTTTTGATTTCTATTGTTCCTTACTCTTCCGATAGATTGTTGTTTCTATCCTGGCTTTGTCATTGTTGAGAAGTAGGGCAAGCACCATGTACAATTATGCAGAAAAAGAGGGAGACCTATTCTTCATCTCAATACAGCAAGAATCGACGAGATAAATTTTACCACGCATTTCCAATGACACACGTCGTCTGCCAAGGGAATCCCAGTGGCGGAACTCACTCCTGAACGGCCGTTATTGGCTGCCGATCCAGCCGTGAAACGAATGATCACATGTCGACAATTGGCCGACCGTTCGGCTGATTTGATCTTGCTAGCTTACCTCAGCTCCATTTTCTACCGTTATGCTCTACACTTGCTTACTTGCTTCTGTTCGAGCCTTGCCTAGTTTGGCTTTCATGATCTTTCAAGGATGTAGGATATCAAGCACGGCAACGGCTACAGCGAACAGTTCCCTGTTTCCTGGGTTTTTGCATCAAACCATTGTGCAGAGTCGAATGCTACAGAATCACAGCGTCCATTGCGGCACAGAACCATGATGACGACGCATAGGCTCATCACAGGGTGAGCTCCGCGGCCGCGGGCTCCGTACATAGAAAGACACTGCTGGTGTCTCGCGTGCCTTCTGACATATGATCGTCGCTCGCGATGCAAGCAGGGTTCGATGATCATAGCTCGAATCCTGGTGATCGGGAAGCCAAGAGCTGTCTACCTCTCAAAAATCCAGATTAGAGTTGTTCACCGTGCAGGCTTCCGCTGCCACCCACTCATCTTACTTGATGTCCATGCGAATATTGGCAAATCGGCACACCCAAGCGGAGGGCGTCTCCTTCTTTGACCATGCCGAGGGTGACCTCCTCGGACGCTCAATCTTGCATAACGTGTGGCTGTGGCTTTCACGGCAGAGACCATCGGAAATCTTCTGAGTGGAGGCCAAACCATGCGCTCGTATTCCTCCGAGATAAGGTATGAACAGGCGAGTTGATCGTTAAGCTCTATTGAAGCCTCGAGGTGCCACAAGACTGCGCCTCAAAGTGTAGGCACAAGCCGCAAAAAGAACGACACTGGCTCAATCGCTGAGTTCGCCTGTCGTTTGCATAATATTAATTGCGCTCACAAGATCAAGCATGCGACGCATTGATCTTCATCCGAAGGACACCGCCAATAGCTCCAATAGACACGGCTATCGCACAGCGGACTGTCAAACACTGTGCCAATCTCCACTCTGTCTGTCCATACAATATCGAAACATGACATTTGTTTTGACCACGATGGAGTGCACTCCGTTCACAGACACGTGGGGTCGCAAGTCTACAGATCAAGTAAAGCGTGGCAGGGACAAGTCACCACACAATCAAAAGGAACGACAATGATACCTACAAAATTAAAGTATATCTCCTAACAGCTGGTTTCTTCCACCTATCGCTTGTGAGGGGTATTCCATGTTCATGTGGCGTGCTGGGAGCTGCAAACCACGCTATGCGAAATGGGTCACGTCTGTGAGCAATCATGAGCATTCACATTTCGATATACATGGAGCTGTCTCCGCCGCTAGACTTCGTTGTTGAACATCGATATTGACGCGCTGGAAGAAAGTGATCTGGAATCGGGATGGAGTCGATGACAAGTGCAATCCTGCATGCAGTTCGTCATGACGATTCCAAACTACGACAAAATCGGCATGCTTGACACTTTGTGCATCTACACACAAATTTCTGTCTGGCAAAGAGTTTATCCACAACCAATGCGCCGTTCTGGCTGGTAACACAGTATAGCCATGCCAAGCTAGCACCCGTTGGCGTGGGAATCCAACAACGAAAACTACCAATGTTCTCGAAGCGAGTCTTGCAAACAAAACTCGGCTCTTTCGTCCTCGCATCCACATGATCAACAAGATGAGATGAACTCTGTCTCCTTCTTACCACGTGAGGCAGACCTTACAGTTTCCTAGCCACGGCATAGAAAAGCTTTGCCAACTTTTGGGTGGCTGGTGACTGGTATCTTTCCGAGACGGGCAACTCAAAAAAGTAGGTAAACGGGTCTCGAAAGCTGGACATGAACGACAAGCAAACACTTTCTGGTTTCTGGTCCATGGTTTACCGTTGGCAGCAGGATAGTGGATCGATCTACAGGGACTTTTTGTCACCATCGCCAAATCCTTTCGCCGATCGAATACGATGACAGCAAAGCTTGCGTGTCCAAGGACTTTTGTTTATACTTTGCTCGTCGACATCAGGGACATTCGACGTTGAGGAAGACCGGGAATGCCACAGTCCTGCGTTGCCTGTATGTGGACAATCATGATGGAACGCCTAACGGGCTTCAGGGCTACTTGACTATTCTTCACGACACAATTTTATGCTCTGATCCATCTGCATAGCTATTGTGTCGCATGCCTAACAACGCTTTTGCAATGCAGCAGTCATGACAAACATCTGGGGCACGAAATGCTTGCCATATGACAAGACCACGACCCTTGACTCATTTCGAACTGCTGTGGTCGCACAAGATATCATGAATTCTTGTAAATTGCCATACACATGTTCAGAACGTTGTTCATTTGCATATTGTTACATCCTCCAGAAGTCGTATGGTCCGTTTCTCCCTTCTGACCCGCCTGCCCGATCCTTATCTAAGAGATGCAGTTTTGGCCTGCTCGCGATGTTCTTGCTAAAGTATCTCGCTGCTACAGGTCTATCGCTTAGCCTTTCTTTTTCCCTGCGGTAAACCGTACGCCTTCCATAATGTGCTCTCATATGTCTGCTTCTCAGGTCCGTTACGAGATCATCAAAAAGACCAAAATGCCAACCTTCACCATCAAAATCCTCTATTTCAACTCCTACGGTATTTAACAATACACATAATGTATATCTGCCAATTACTATGCTCAAAAACATCCTCAGCAACTTTTCCTCGTCGCCGTCGGTCGAATTACACACCACATTTCTCATGCAAATGGCATGACCCTGTCTAAACCTAGAATACACGACTTTTCTGCCTGGGCAGGCTTACCACTTCACCATGACTTCTACAACAGTGCATAGCATCCTGAACAAACCGAAGATGCTACAAAAAGAGTGTCAGATAAGCACCTTCTACCATCGAGAAGATGTTTCACCAAGCCTTACTTCCAAAAGCCTTTTTTTTTTTTTAACTTCCGGAGCAGGAGTAGATCTTTGACCACTTTTAGATCAGTTATAGCAAATTCGTACTCTTAACCATTTACTAGATACAAAAAAGCATTTTGACCGCTGGAGGAAGGTTTAGGTTCTATATCCAAGTCTCATTTTTGCTGCAAGCTAGCTCTACATTTCGCCTTGTGCGCTAGATCCCCCTTTGTCAGTTCCTTTCGTATTTTCCATCCAGCGAAAAGAGGCAGAAAGCAATGAATGGCGAAAGAAGCAGCGAATGATGTCGAAACAAAGACTGGCGTGGAGAGTTATGTAAAGCACATATATGCCTCATCGACTATCACTGTAAAGTCCAGTAATCATCCCGTTCTTGAGACAGACAGTCATAAACGCATGACTCTAGGGCAGGTCGTTTAATTTATGGCAAACCTCCAATATCTGGAGACACATAGAACGCTTCTCGCAGACGATGTTGTTGTAGACCGACGATGTTGGACATTCGAAGCATGGCAAAAGACTCGTAAATTTAGTCGAGATACAGAGGCGGACCTCGTTGCCGGGCGAAACGGAATAGAACCAAAGCACGATGGATTGGTCAAGTAGAGATAGAGAGCATGTTTGATTGTTTGCAACGCCAAACGAGCGGCTCAGTTATATACAAAGAGCAAAAGGGACTCAGGGGAATTGGCGGTGTAGGGAGGGAAACAGGTAGTGCGATGCATGTGGGTATCTGAGATTTGACTATGCAGTGAATGACGAGAGGAGAGAAGGAAGAAATGGAGATAGTAGAAGAAGACAAAACGAGTGCGTCTTGAGAAGAGAATAGTACCGAAGGGTGCTAAGCTCATCGACCGCAGCATATATTCGTCAGTTGGTTCGTAGAAGCGTTGATTCGTTTCGGACGTTTGGCTTAGAAAGCAACCACCACAAGGCCTTCTTCCATCAACGTACGCTCTGGGATCTTGGTACGTGTGGTAGCAGTGGCATGCACGCTTCTCTTGATATCGCCCTCGGGGATGTGGTGAGTAATAGCAGCAGCCTTGCCATCCTGAGTATCGATGCTTGATGCTGTAATGGTGGATGGAGTAGTGGCGAGAGAAGACGCCATGGTGATTGAGCGATCGAGTCCCTCGGGGAACTCGTGAATATCGTAGGAAGGCGGTGACAGCTCCCATTCCTCGAGCATATCCATCTTCGTGTTGACCCTCAGGCGACGACCGTGGCACATGATGATGTCGGTTGCGCGAGGGGCATCGAATAGCAGAGTAGGCATGCAGCGCTTGATGTATCGCCACTGCGAAGCAGTTGTTCGAGCATGTGGAGGTGCCCACTTTCCCCCAGGACCCAAATTATCAGGACTTGTCTCGTATTGGAATGAAGATGTCGTTGTGGAAACAGTCGAAGACGTCGTCTGACGAAGGTTAATCGGTCGAGAAGATTGTTGTTCTGGGCCGAGATCCTCAGCCAGGAAGGAAAGATCAATGTCCTCGGTCTCTTGGTCCATCGTGGCGGTGAGAGTAAGGGCATTGGTGTCGTCTGCACTTTCAGTACGGGTGAGAGCCGCGCCTTCCGATCTGCCTTCAATTGATCTCGCCAGAGAAGGGTACAATTCTCGCATAATCTGCTCTTGCTCTTCAATCACAGTCTGATCGTTGATGTTCTCCGTTTCCTGTGTTCGCTGCCTACGTCGACGTCTAGGAATGGTACACGGCTTCGGTGCGGATCGCTCATCAAGTGGTAGCGAGATGTCAATGCTCGCAGAAAGGTCGTGTATCCAACGGAAGATGCGCTCCTCGGAGTGGTCTGCCAAGAGGAACTGGTCAGTCTCGAGACGCAGGCGCAAGACGACCTGAGAAATGGGAGTAAAGAGGGCAGGGTCTTTTTCAAAAGCCTTGCGACGTGCAGCGGTGGGAATGAAGTGCGCTAAACGGGTTGCCGGCAGTAGCTGCTGATACTGAACATCGGTTGCCAGTCCGATTTCGGCGTGTTGAGTAGAGTATCGCTTGATCAGCTTTCCAGCAGTGGGCAAAGAGTGACCAGCAAGCTGAACAGTCTTGATCTTGTGGACGCTCAGCTGGGTGCCATTAAGCACAACATAAACAGTGCGGAAGTCCTGCTTTGGTAGGTATTGAAAAGGCGAGATCTTCTCAATCCGCATCTGCATTGGTCCCTCTCTCGACACAGTGCATGTATATTTTGGCAAAACCTCTTTCCCGTTGTCCAGGAATCGAGGGGCGGGCGGAAATCTCGAAGTGCGGGCTGCTACCGCATAGGATGGTGCAGGGTCGTCGCATGGCGAGCAGCGAGTCTGGAAAGGATGGTGATAACTCGTCACGCGACGGCTGCGTGGGCGTTCTGCTTGTGAGTCCTCATCTTGAGCTGGAGTGGTAGCCGATTCTCTTGTCAATGGTCGAGTGAGCTGATTTGTGTTGTCAAGAGGAAGGACCGTGGAGGCACGGCGTGTTGTTGCTGAGAGAGATTGTGCGTTGGACATGTTGATCGCACTATGACGACCACGCTCGGCCTTTTCGATGTGGAAAATTGGCTTCGAGTGTACCTGCGTCTGTTCGGAGAAAGCAGGAACGCTGCCGGATCGACAGAAGATATGTCAAGCAAGATTGACAAGAGCGCACGAGAATGGGTATCGCAGTGAAGCGTTCGCAAGAGTGAAGAGACAGAAGGGCAAACAGATGCAAGAGCCGCGGAGGACTGGAAGAGTTAAGGCGTCCTCTCACCCTTGCTGTCGTCGTCGATGCCACTGATTGGCGAAACGGTGACCGAAGAATTGTGGAGAAGTCTAGGCCAAAGCTGGGAAACTAAGCTAGCGGCATTTAGCCGAGGTTGGGGATGTGGAGGACCCAGGATTTCACCCGATTTTTCCCACTGGAGAAAACTTGGAGCGAGCTGGAGAAATACCGCCGAAGAGGCCGATCAATATGCAGTAGAGATCGAGCAAGGTGAATTAGAAAGAAACACCAAAAATGAAGTCCACTGAAGCAGATGAGAGATAAATGGGAAGGATTTTGGATTCCCCGCTCGGCATGGGGGGGTCAGTCCCTGGCAAGGCATGGCAGCATGTGGGCACATGCTGACAACCGGTTGTGTCCAGACGAAGCCACAGAAGCACTAACCATCCAGTGGTTGTTTATGGCGCAGTGCTTAGACCAACGACTGATAAGCCGAACATGTCTGAGCCATGGAGACATGCAGGACGAACATGGACAACACAGCCAATTCTCATAGAAGGTGCAGAACAGCAGTCGATGATGCAACACGAATGCATGAATCGATACACGAGCAAGAGATGGCCAAATCTGGTTTCTCGTGGTGATGGCGTGGGTACGCTAGCAAGCATGGGGCTGAAAAGGCATTTGAGGCACGCAACGTGAGGATCCGCTGTTGGCAACGGACACGCGATGCGACGATTGCTCCGCGCGGACCTCCTCGTGTCTTGCCCAGATGGGGGTAAAAAGCGGGGTGGTTGGACAACAATTTGGCGACACGGGCATCATCAGCCGGCAGTTCTCAAGTCCATGTCCAGGGCGACAGCTTCTTCAGTCAAAGCGTGCATATTGTCGACAGGTAGGGCTTCATTGGCAGCGTCGATGTCAGCAATTGTTGTCTCCAGCTGCGAGAGCAGACGCTCAATCTCACGTCGCTGTTGAACGACGGTATCGACAAGGTCGGCGTTCTCGGATTGAGCATTCTGCAGTCTTGACGACAGAGAAGCGTGCTTCTCGGAGAGAAGAGGCCCAAGATGTGACAGATACAGCGATGAAGCCGGCAGAGTGTGAGGACTGGATTGCGTAAGTATAGCACGCGCAGCAAACGAGTCGGACAAGAACTGACGGGAGTGGAGGTTGTACTGCTTGTCCAGTATTGGCTTGCTCGGCAGCAGTCTTTCTTCTCCTTGCGTCGTCAACCAGGCGGTCCAAGTCGTTCAGCGAGGCGACAACCTGGCGGTCGCGTAGGATGTGGTCAAAGTTGAGCTTGCAAGAACGGTCCAGCTTCTCGACAAAGTCGCTATGTAGGCGCTTCATGGCATCGGGAGCATGGCTGGCTGGTGTCGGAAAGGATGACGCGAAGTTCGAGTAGCTACAGGTGCGCAGGGTGTGCTTGATGGCATCGGAGTAGAGCTTCTGCAGAGCGGCGGCGCGTGGACCTGGAGTCTGTTGCACAGGCGGTGCCTGGACGGGCGAGGGAGAGCGTGACGGCGGCGCAGACATGGTTGGCGAGGGTCGAGGAGGAATTGATGATCGCACTGTCTATCGTAGCGTGCTGGAGGGCAGAGTGGGACTAATGCATGCCTTTGTGCGCCGTGTTTGCAGACCAAAACAACCCGAATGCCTGCCAAGCAATGTCCCTGATCGATTGTGAAGCCTCGCATAAGTCATTGCATAAGTAATTACGACATGCATGCTTTATCGATAGGCCTCGCAGCTCGGCCTCGAGACATTTCTTATTATTAGACAGTTGGAGATACAAGTAATACCAACCTTCCACCCCGCCAACCATGGCTTCTCTCTGGCGACCGCTGCGGCTCCTGCCTCCGTTGCAGTCGACACTATCACAGACTCTAGGTCTTCGCGCCTGCACACCAATCCAATCACGGCTACTTCATTCATCGCCCATCCTCGCCGCGCGCAAACCATCAAACGCCGTAGTCAAACCAGTGAATGCGCCTACAAATACTCGCAAGAAGAAGAAACAGGCACTCGCTGCAGAGTATGAAGAGCTTGGTATACCTTTCCAGACGCATTCGCCGAGCACTGCGCCTTCCGTTTCCCCAACACAGAGACCTACATCGAAACCCGAACCTCCTACGCCGACGACAAAGACGCCTGTTTTGAGCAAAACTGTACAGCACAAACACGTGGAACAATCAACCGTGGAACAACCCATCGTGGAACAGCCCATCGTGGAACAGCCCATCGTGGAACACTCCATCGTGGAACAACAACTCGAACTCGCCCCAGCACCGCAATCGCCTTTGAAGCCTACGTACGAATACATTCCCGGTGGCCGTAGTGGAGTACAAGCCTCCCTCCGCAAGCTCGCCGCCGCAGACTCACCGATCCTGATCTACGAAGCCACCAAAGCCCGCCAATACGTCGGTGCCTGTGTATTTGCCAGTCTCTTCCTCGGTGGCATGGCCGCCATGCAAATCGGCTTCTTCACCACAGACCCTTCACAGGGCGATCTCCGTATCGCCAGTGTCTTCCTCCTCACCGCCGCAATCTGGGGTATCCTGTCTTCTTGGACTGCTTTTGGCGCTGTAGACGTCATCAAAAAGATCTGGGCTATCCCATCCATCTCTGGAAGACCATTGTTGCGTATCGAGCCTGTCAAGACCTTGTTCGGCCAGCGTCCTTTACCCTTTGACGTCCATCTTGGTAGAGTGTTCTCCAACAAGAGATTCGAGGAGAACATCGGGATGTTTGAGGCTACGAGACCTGTGAGACGTAAGCCTGGTCTTCTTGATGCTCTATTAGAACCCCTCGGCACAATCATGGGCGCCAATATGAAGATGATTCAGAGAAAGTCTTATTTCGCTCAATTGAACGTCAAGGACGTGGGTACTTGGAAGGTCGATCTTCGCGATTGCAAGGCTCTCGATGGTGGTAAAAGTATGTTTTTATCATGACTCAAACCTACTGAAATCCTCTGCTGACATTTATATCCTAGCTCTGGATCTCTTGGTCCTCCCCAGTGAGACTCAACGTGGTTGGTTTGCCTCGTTGTTCGTCAAGGAGTCATGATCTTTCCACAGACTAGGTGAAGTCCAGCACCCGTCCACTCGCTGCCACGAGCTCTATCACATCACAAAACTGTGACTCGTAGAGCGTCGATATCTTCCCGGAGCACCACGTTCTGACGCTCACAGCCCCGCGTCCCTGACCGTATGAAGAACATTGTTTGAATAGCGCAATCGTTATATGTAGACAGAGATCCGATGTGCACTTTGCATAATATGGCACAGTGGGCCCAAACATGAGCATGTACGAACATAGAAGATGTATATATTTGGGTCAGAAAGCCGACGCCAGGTCGAGCTTTGTATAAAATTTCCACACTTTCCATCAATCTAGCAACCTATCTTCTGTCATCAGCCGCAAACTTGTGGTTCCAGAACCCTCTAAAGTGCTTCTGTGAGCCAGCCTCATTGAGATCATTGACCTCCCTAGGCGTAAGCTTAAAAGTCATTGCCCTCAAATAATCACTCAATCTCTGTTCCTTGCTGCTAGTCGTGATGGCAACAATATCCTGATCAATACAATATCTCAAGCAAATCTCTCCAGCACTAACAGCGTATTTCTTGGACAGACCAGCAAGTACATTATCCAGAGGTCCGGGAGCAGCCTTTGTGGCGGGAGTCAAGGGTCCGTAGGCTTGAGTTGCGATTCCCTTCTCCTTGTGGTAGGTGAGGAGATCGCGGTGTTGAAGGTAAGCGTGGAATTCGATCTGGTTGATGGCAGGAGGGATTCTGGCTGTCTTGATGATGGCTTCGAGGTGTTGAGGCAGAAAGTTCGAGACACCGATTGAGCGAGTCAATCCAGCCTCCTTCATATCCTCCATAGCCTTCCAAGCCTGCTGCAACGCCTCTGGAGACTCCTCAGGGCTTCCAAAGAAAGGTGCATGAATGAGGTACAAATCCACATACTCCAATTGCAACTTCTTCAAGCTGGTCTTGAGGGCAGCAGGGATATCGGCGATACTGGGCAAGACTTTTGTGGTGACAAAGAGCTTGGATCTCTCGACTCCGCTGTCTTTGATGGCCATGCCGAGTTCGGGTTCGGTCTTGTAGACTTCGGCGCCGTCGAGGTGGTAGTAGCCTAGTCCGATGGCGAGCTTGGTTGCATCCACACAGGCCTGATCGAGCTGGCTTTCATCTCCAGTCTTGTACCACGCAGTACCGGTGCCGTATCCCAGCATAGGGATCGAGTTGCCATCATTGAGCTTGAGATTTGGGATGGGGGTGTGAATGTTGGCCATTGTTGCTGCTGTCCTTGAGATTGGGCGTTGAAGGATCCTCAGCTGTGTGATTCGCGATGGAGAGAGCTTCAAAGAAGATCGGCAAATTCGTCTAGACAGCAAAAAGCTCATAAGAATTACGTGGCCTAGGGGTGAATTGATGCAATCAGGGAAGCTACTGGTCAAATAGCTCTGGCGGGGCAATCGTGACGTGTGTGGGGTCGTCGGCCGAGTGCATGCCGAGTTGCCGCTTGATATACCCCCACTCTTGTCTGATAGTGGATGAGCCTACCTGCCCGTGTGCAGAATACTGTCACACCCTCTCCTTCTCCACAATCATCAAAGCAGGGCAATGACGAGCTGTAAAGAGGCACAGTTATATCTTCTATCGACACAACTAACGCAGAGGGTACTTAAAAAAGATATATCTCGGTGGCATCGCTCCAGATCCAGATCTCAAGAAGTTCGTGCCTTAGGACAGCTACAAGTGTGCCAGTCTTTCGCACACGGAGAGGTAGCATTCAAGGATGGCTAGAGTGGAAATTTCTATGTGCATGCATAGGACAACTTCATTACAGTCTAATGAGGCCTGCGGCAAGCGATAGATAAAAAGCCGAATAATCTTTGGCTAGAGGCTCGCCAGCTGATGATTATTCAATGCTGTCTAGCGATATTAGGAGTAAAGCGAACTCGAATGCTTCACAATATCCGCTCTCTCAGCTCTCATCACGAAACATGTATCTGCTACCACCTCTCATGGCGTCCCTCCACCTTTCTTCCACCTTCTGTCGCTCCATCTTCCTTGCCTCCTCTCTGTCTTGTTCTTCTTCTTGTGTGGAAGGCATCTCGGTACGCCAGAATCCAGGAGGTGTTCTGTTCCTTTGAAACACTTCTCTGTGCTTGCCATGCTGATCTGCGAACGCCTTGGCTCTTGCTTCGATCAGCATACTCTTTCTGTCCTCCGCGGTTGCGTCCTTTATTACAGACACGTACGCAGAACCAAGATACCCTTGCAACGTCAACTCATCATCAGTAAGTGAGGTGTCGTTCGGCAAGCCGCCCGCGGCGATGAATCTGCGAATCGCACCACAGCATTCTTCCCTTGTGCAACCTGACAGGCACTTTTTCTCTTCATATCTGCGGATGCTCTCACGATAGGCGAATCCTAGAGCCCCGCTGTATTTAGGATTTACTTTGAAATCGTCGAGACTGAGTCGCTGGAGTGGCCGAGCTCGCAGAGGCTCATGCTCTGGTTGAATAGATTCCAGGTCATCCTTTGGATTGTATCGTACGATTGGCCGTGGTATCGGTCTGTCTCGTAAAGTTCTGACATTGCGGCTGGAAGGTCTCTCCACGGATTCTGAGACGGCATGCAGTTCCAACTCTTTCGTCGCAGCTTTGTCTAGCCACTCGCGTTGTCGTTGCAGAGCTGGCGCAGAACGTGGACTCGAGATTGTTCTATCAACCTGAGGCGACGTCCCCTCGAGGAGTCCATTCAATCTCCCAGTACCTGCTGGCTTGGGCGTTCCGTCATCAATGCGCGGTTTCTTAAACCCACGCTTGATGTTGTCTCCATCTTCTGACAGCACATGTACAGCAGCTGCTCCCCTGCTATGGTCGAGTTTCTTGCCGGATGTTACGGAGGCTGCACTCGTTCGAGGTAGAGTAGGCGTGTTGGGACTCAAGTCATGTAATGGGCCTCCCGACGGCCGTGAATCTCGTGGTCCAACACTCTTGCTTGCAGTCCTGACCAGCATGTTCTCCCTAGACTTGGACGTTGTGCTAAAACCAGGCTCTGTTTTCACAGTCTTCACCGTGCTATCGGAGAGATGAGCATCATCTGCCTCGGAATCTGCACTACGATCAATGGCGACGTTTGCAAGCTCATCGTCTGGTAAACGAGACCTGTATGTGCGATCCGCTGTTGGAGTCTCATAGTGGTCAGACATTGCACATGTCTCGACATCTCGGTCTACCGATTGTCTCAAGGGTGCTCGACTGAGTGGATGACCTAGGCTCGTGCTCTCCTTTTGTTGCTGCTGGACAGACGGATCTCGATATACATCCAGATCCGAGTCTTCCGCCCGGAAGAGAGTCGGTACAAAGGCGTGCGAGTTGTGTGGACTGCTGCTTAGAAGCTCGTTTTTTATCTTGCAAGCTTGCGAATCTCGTTTGGGAGACTCGCGTTTCCTTTTGAGAACCTTTGCAGAGACAACAACAGGCGAGTCATCAGAGTGCGCAAGAGAACTCGAACGAGCTTCGCCCTCTGTCGTCTGGCTGGAAGTAATCCTACTATGGGCCGGAGAATGTGATGGCGCGGCGGACGTGTTTCTAACAACCTCGAGGGCCGGATGGGGTAGTGCAAGAGCTTCTTCGATGTTTTGCAGGTTTGATTGAACAGCACGAGGAGTGGCAAAGTCCTGGTTCTCAAAGTCGCGATTTGCTTCTCGCAATGCTTGCTTGGCCAATTTCTTATCAATGTATTCCTTCCATTTGCGGACAGTTTCTTTCGACTCGCGAATTTTCTGGGCGGCCTTTATAGCGCGATCTTCAGCCTCCTTTCTGTATTCATGGAAAGCTTTGCGAAGAGCTTCATGCTTCATGAGCAGCTCATGGTATTGGGTAGCCGTCACAAGATTATCGGTAGTGTTGGCAGATGGACCTGGCTTCATACTGGGTTGGGATTATGCTCTGAGTCGATCCTGACAAACATCACATTGTGGTATGGAAAAGAAACAAACACGAAGACAAAGGCAGACGCGTGCCTGACGAAACCGAGGCACGCGGTGCGGGAGATCGACAGAGGCTCGCTCGAGGAGATTGCGGAGATATGATACGAGGCTTGGCAATACCATGCTCGAGACCCAAGTTCGCCGCCGTCATTGTCGACCAAGCTATTTTCTGCAAGCGACAAGGTGACAAGATGGTCAAGCGCAGGGCATCAGACACGCTTGAGGATGAGCGTCACAAGAAACGATTACACGAAAGTGAGCCGGATTGGGTGTCTCGACTCAGCCACGAACTGACGCTGCGGGTCTTGTCATTTCTGCCCGTGCCCGACTTGATCATCTGCCAGAGCGTGTCGCGACATTTCCACCTTCTCGCTGGAGACTCGCAATTATGGAAAGCTCTATACTACAACCGGTTTGTCCGACCGAGGGCATCACGTATACCTGGCATTCACGAATCTGGAATACCGGCTGAGAGTCTATGGTATTCGAGCAAGCTATCCAAATGGCTGGACGAGGACAACCTGGTCAGAAGAGGGAAAGAGACAAACTGGAAGAGGCAGTACAAGACAAGGCACAACTGGACAAAAGGAACATGCGGTGTCAGTGAGGTCCCTGTCTCGCCGGAAGCGTCAGTCCCACCAACTCTGCTTCACATGCACGACGGCATCATCTTCATGGCAGACCAGCTTCACGGTCTACGTGCGTGGTCTTCTCAATCCGGCAAGGGCATCCTAGCCACCATCCCATTTCCTAACCATGACAGCTCTCCATCGGCTCTGACTGTCGACTCTGCGTCTGCGTCCGCATCTGCATGTACCATCACTCTGGCTGTAGGCTTCCAGGACGGCTCTTTCACGCTTTACGACCTCCAACTCCACCAGCGTCGCTTTGTTACTCGCTACTCTCACGAACCTTCTTCCAATGGCTTGATCTCGGCTGCTGCAATATCCTTCCCCTACCTGGCCACCATGACTGCAAGCCAGCTCCTATCTTTCTACAAGTTTGCAATCAAGGACGATGAGACGATAGAATCTGGAACTGTCGGACCGCCCCGCTTATTACAGTCCTTGCACTCTCGCACAGTCTGGCCACCGCTCACCCTATCCATCCGACCACAACCAGATACTGTACTGGTATCAATAGCCTACTCTCTACCCACCTACCTTAGCGGCTGGACTGTTGGGATCCAAGAGATGCGCTTAACACCAGAAGGCAAACTCCTCGAATCTCGTCTCGCCTCAGCAATCGATCAAAACTACCGCCCTCTTACCTTCAACAACTCCCCCATACCAACGCCACCACCACAGAACATTCCCCCTTTTGGCCACTTCAACACTTCGGAAGCGAACCAAATACATTCGAAACCGACCTCTCTATCCTACTCTCACCCATATCTCCTAGTCTCCCACCCTGACAACACATTGACACTCTACCTCGTCTCCTCCACAACAGAGACTCTCAAAATCAGCCCAGGCAACAGACTTTGGGGCCACACTTCCTCAGTCTCTGGTGCTCACGTAGGAGGTCGTGGTAAAGCAGTCTCTGTCAGTACTCGCGGCGACGAACTCCGCGTCTGGGAACTCGAAGGTGGCTTTGCATCAGCAGCGGCGCGAAGAAGATTAGCAGCCGGTGAACTGAGCGTGCAATTACGACCTGAGAGACCGACCATGGCATCAATACCACCTTCTATTGACGATCCTGCTCCGCCGATCAAGTCAAGAAATATTGGATTGGGTGCTGCACTGCAGAATAGCGGGTTAGATGAGACTAGCATGACGAGAGGCTGGGTAGGCTTCGACGACGATAAAGTCGTCGTGCTGAAAGAGAAATATTGTGGTAATCAAGCCTTGGTGATTTATGACTTTACGTAGCGATCTGTTTTTTTTACCTCTATTTCTTATCTTTACAAAAAACAATTCCTTGACATGGATATTTCTCCCTCGCCATTGTACAGATATCGATTTGGTGTCTCGTGTTTGGTGGTAAATTCGCAACTTTTCCACATCGTTCCTGCCATCATAAGACTGTCTTTTTTGCGAGTGAAAGTTTGAATGACCCGATCAAGAAAAGTGACTGCTTCACCTTTTCAATTTCTTACACCCTCTATATTCAGCAGACTCCAAGCACCTTGCAATAGTCGAAAGGCAACAGTAGTCTAGTGGTTCATGACACTCTACAAATGTCAGTCCAAGAACGGCATACCGAGTAATATGTCGAGCTGAACTGCAATGGAGAAGACCTGAGTTCGACTCTCAGCTGTGCCAATCCTCTTCTTTTGCATGAATAGCCCCAAAAAGTGAGTCCAGGGTGAAAGCCGTTGTATCAAAAACAATAGTGTGCCTTTGCATTCATGGATTTCTAGACTGTCTAAACTCTAAACACGCAAACTGCTGCACGTGGTATCTCAAGAAAATATTTCAACTACACCCATCCCACTCGATCAAAAGTTCATCTTCAATGCAATCGTCGGTTCCTTCTCCTCAACCTCTTCCCTGATTTCTTGCTTAGGTCCCTGAGGTCCCTTGATGACTCTTTCCATCAGCGCCTTTTGCTCTGCATTTAATCTACTCACAACACCTCTAAATGCGTTGGCATCATTACTCGCCAACTCTAGTAATCTTGCCGCGGTGTCTTTCTGTACACTGTCGCCTGGCTCTTTTTGAGCACGAGCAAGCAAGGTAGGGATGAGGAGTGCAAAGCCTGCGAGTTTCTTCTCGGCAGGGAGAGAGGAGAGAGAAGTGGTGAGGCTTTGTGCGACGATAGCACGACTTTGCTCAATGCCTTCGAGGTCAGAAGGTGTGGTGAGGAAAGTAACTAGGCGAGGCAGTAGACGTGATAAGATGGCCGATTGTGCAGCACCTCGGATGGGTACGACGAGCAATGTTCTGACGCAACCAGCAGCCATCTTTGTAGTCATTGGATTGTCCAGACACTCTGTCAACTCTGTGACAAAGCGAAGTAAGACAGGGTCATTGGCCTCAAAGGCAGCATTTGCAGAAGTGATGAGCATTGTGCCTGCCAATATCGTGTTCTTCTCACATGGCAGAGAAGCTTCAAATTCACGCTTTTGGGCATTCTTGAGAATCACCAGGAAGCGTGACAATGTGCTGCGGATTTGCTTCTTAGTATCATCGCTAGGCTCAGAGCCAACTCCACTGATGAAGCGGCGGAATATGGGCAATGCTTGTGGTATCAAGGTCGCCTGGCAGGCACCGGTGCTCATGATGGTGACAAAGATCTGGAAGATACATGCATGAAGATCTGCCCTGATGATGGAGGGGAAGACTTCGGAAGCATCGACCAGTGCATCCAATGAGAGGCGTGCTAGTGTGACTGCTTCGTCTGAGATATCGGCACGTACGGGGCGGGGACTTTCTGCCAGACCGGGCACAATGCTTGCCAGCACAAGTACAATGATTCGAGTCAGTTCGAAAAGTTGGTCGATGTCATCAGATAGATGATCGTCTGCACTCATGCCTTGTCTTGAAGAAGGATGACCTACACAAAGGTTTCTCGCAATCTCGACAATGACAGTCTGTACGTTCGACGGCTCGGTGAGGATCATTCGATCGAATAGATCCATCGTCTCATTGAAGATGACTTCCTGGTAGATGGCATTACCGGAGATCGAAGGGCGAAGAATTCTCTTGAGGGCCTGCAGAATCTCCAGCTTTTGTGCTCTTGCCGTTGCCGAGTCCGCGCCAGGCTTACTAGCGAGAGCTTCGAATGCAAGACCGAAGAGGACGAAGAAGAATGCAACAGGTTCTTCACGATAGTTGATGTCGGTACCGCGTGACACAGTGGAGGTACCATTCGCATCGGCTTCTGTCTTGCCGTCGAGTGCGTCGAACACAAACTCACTGTCTTCATCGATCAGACTGGCAATGGCGTCTACGAGGCTCAGCCATGAGTCTTGGTAAAATTTGAGCAAAGTCTCGCGATTCAATGCTGCGTAGACTGTTTCCAGGTCGTCTGATAATGAGCTTGAGCTGGTATTATTTGAGATATCCGGCTCAAAGCGCAGCCGAGAGTACTCTCGAAGGGATGAAAGCCATAGCGGAGTCAGCTTTGCAACATGCGGCTTGACCACGTCGACCAAGTATTTCTGATCCGCAGTGGCAATCTGCAGGCCAGCCCAAGCGGAAAACACCGACATGCGCACCATGACTTGAGCATTGGGGCTCAGACCTTTGAGCTCTCCTATAGAAGAGGTCTCGGTAGAGCTCGCAAAAGTTTCGAGGGCAGCCACCAGAATCTTTAGGATGCGGCCCATCCTATCGATGTCTGTTACGATGCCCGTCGACACGAAAGTGGCGCAGACGTTGATCGCTTCTGCAGCCAATTCGGGAGACGAGTCAACGGCGAATGCAGGTGTCAGAGCAGAGCTGATCTGCGCTTGGTATTGCTCAAGGAGCATGGCCTCAGTAAAGTCGGGGTCAGGTACACCACCGAACAGCTAGGATACGGTCAGTGTGATAAAGACGGCTGATAGATAATGTACTTACCCTGAGCACTTGATCAATGATGTGCAGACCCAAGATACGAAGGCCAACGACGTTAGCGGTGGATGCAGAGAAGGCGACGCGTACGACATCTGCTATCCTTTGTTGTAGCGAAGCCAGAGCAGGAATGTCTTCGTTGATGGCCGACTCCTTGACAATAGTATCCAGCAGACTGTTGAGAAGATTCATGCCAAATAGTCGTACTTGCCATCTCATGAGCTCTTGGCTTGACGTGGGTGCGGAGGCGTCTTCATCCTTCGTGCCTGCTCCGGCAGCAAAACCTGCGACTTCTTCATCTTGCAGATCAGTAGTTGCTGCCTTCTTAGCTGCTGCCTCAGCTTGAGATGCAGTGTCAACGCGAGCCTTGGCCTTCGTGAGGACTGAGTTGCACCTCTGAATCCAGCCTGCAGTATCTGCTAGCCCAGTCTGTGACAACCAGTTGACAAAGATTTCCTTGATCGTCTCTTGAGCTGGATTCTGATCGAGTACATCCCAGAGCTTTTCTTCGAGCCCCGGACTCGCGACGCGCACAATGTCCTCAGCGTCCCTTCGCATGAGGTTGGCCAGGCCACTGATAGCCATGTCACGAATCTCGGGCGATGAAGAGTCAAGATCAGCCTGCAAGCGCTTCACGTATTGTTCAAACTCCATGTGACCTGGCGCATACATGGAGAGATTGCCTAGACACCTGGTGCTTTCGACTAAGACCAGAACATCGCTTTCTGTCTGGAATTGGCGGATCAGAGTCAGTACCATGCCACGAGGTTTGGCCATCTCGGAAAGATCTGGACCCATCACATTGATAATGGCGTCAACGCAGCAGACATTGGCAGCAGTAGTCTCCAGATCAACTTCCAGGTTGGAAGAAGCCAATGGTCCAGTCTCGGCATTGTGCGTGTCTAGCATATACAGCTGGCCAAGCAGGCCAATCGTACTCGAGACATAGCCCGAGAATGTCAAACCAGCAGAGTCAACAATCCTCTTTAGACTCTCAAGAGCCCAGAAGTGGACCAAAGGATGAGGATCGGCGCAAAGAGACATGAATATACCAAGGATATTCTTCAGATGGAAACTGGCTGCCATACCGCCAAGCGAGTTATGAATACAAGCCAAAGCCAGGGCGCAGCCAGAGCGCACATATGGTTCGGTGTTCGATACGATTGTTTCAATCAAGTAATTGATCTCGCGTGAAGTGAAGTCGTTACCACCAACTTCACAAAGGCGTCCTAGAGCTTGTGCAGCAATATGGCGAACACTTTCGTCAGGATCTGCGATGAAACTCTGTAACGCTGTTAGACGCTGCAATGTGTCGGGGTGTTTGGGAGCTTACGTGAAGGAGATTTTGCATATTCTTTTCAGCGTTAGCACTCTGAAGCTTGCCTTCCAGTCCCCTGACTTGACCAGTCAGGACTTTGGACGTTATCAGGAGAGCCAATGCAACGTTCGCACTGAGTGCTGCTCTCTGTACGATGCTCTTCTGTACGGAAGGCGACGTCAAGAATGAATTCACTTGTTCTAAGATACTGTCTTGTATCCTTGGCGATTGAAGGGGAAATGCCAAAGCGAAGATGCCTATCGCGCTATTGACCACCTCCGTAGCAGGCGGTTGTGGCTGTTCGTGTGATTGAGGTGTTTCATGTGTAACATAAGATGTCGTTGAATCATGCTCCCATGCTCCACCAATTGGTGAGAGAAGCTGTTTACAGTCAGCTACGTTATGGATGACAAATTACATATCAGTCTTACCGTTCGATCTATCATAGCCTCATAATTATGCCGTGTGGTCCAGTGGTCTTCAGAGTCACCTTGTCTTTCAAACGGGAGAGGGGTGTAGTCCAACCCGTTGATCAAACCATTGACACCGAACCCACTATTGTCACCGACACCCCAGATATTGTCAAGTGCGCCAGAAGAACTGGCGATTGCTACACTCAGCGACGAAGGGCCCAGACGGTCCGGATCCGCGAACGATGATACAGCTAGTGGCAAGACGTTTGATTGCGTCGCAATCTCAGAAGCTGCAGCTGGACTTGCGGTCACAAGCGCGGTATAACACTGGAAGACTCTGCGTCTGACCATCAAGTCGAAGTCTGCTAGCTGTAGAGCAGGCGATAAACGTTGCGAACTGTCCTCAGACGTCTTCTTCTCAGGCAATATAGCTAGGAACGCGCCCGTGCTTTGCAACATGCTCGCAAGACGTCTCGATACATCAGAGGTCAGAAGCTTGATGTTGTAATGTAAGAAAGCCTTGACAGATCCCAGTGCACACTCACGAACATGAGCGAGGAAACTCAACTCAAGTTGACTCTGACGTGCCATATTCTCCTTGTTCGGAGGAGCAAGAGCATTCTTCCACATTAGTAACAGTTGTGAAAGATGTATCTTGACAAAATTAGGTCCCAATGACATGAGTCCACCAATCATGATCCAAGCGACCTGCACTTGAGTGCTGGAGACTCGCAAGTCAGAATTACTGCTAGATTTGAGCAGGCCAGTAGCTTGAGTAAGTACTCGAGCGTAGACATCAACAGAGCCATACAGAGGGTGCTTGTTTGAGGCACTCAAGACTGCAGCAAGACCATTTGCGTATCCAGCACATCTTCTTGGGCTTTGTCGAGGACCAGTAAGTAGACCGATTTCACGATTGACACTGTTCATACATATCGTTACCGTGGGAAGCAGCTGTTGTGGACAAGCCAACACAAAGGATCTCATACACCTCGAAGCGTGAACTTGGACAGTATAACTTGGGTGTTGCAGAACTTGCAGGAGAGATTCGCGGCAGTTCTCCGCGATGATGCTCACAGCAGCGTCTAGTCTGTCCATAAGTGATGCCAGCGCGCTCAAGGCAGCGGTGAGCGTTTGTTTTCCAGGTTCAAGCCGTTCTTTGATGACCTGGGGGTAGTCCTTGATGATGTCGTTCATTAGGAATCGAGCAGCATTCAACTGTGATGTTTCGCCAAGCATGCCTCCCACAACATCCTGAAGAATGATGCGAACAAACTTCCTGGTCATGAGAGCGCGGTAGCGGTGATATGTAAGACTCGGATGGCTTAGTAGCTCGGTGAAGAGGTGTTTGGCTATCACACCGTACTGCCTCTCCACAACGCTCTCACCTAAAGCGGTAAAGATTTGCTTGTAGCATATAGCGATTGCAGCACGAGAACGATTGGAGGCCACTGGTTTACAGTAATGAGTAGACAGCTGACGCATAATATCCAGCAGGCTGAACGCCAGAGAAGTGATGGGCTTAGAAGAGACGGGTGTGGCTGGGCGCTCAGTGTCCTCTTCACCTTCGTCAGCGGCTCCTTGTTTCTTTGACTTCTTCGATTTCTTCGGAGGAAGAACATCTCGCACAGGGGCTTCAGAGAAGCTCTTGACTAGAGCGGCGGCCATACAAGTCGATGCAGCATGTCGTACAGAAACAGAAGGGCTGTCCATTACTTTCCACAAAGCAGTCTGCAGCTTCTCGAAATCATTGGAGTTGTCGTAATAAGATGTGCAAGTGGCCAATTGCTCAAGACACCAACAAGCATGCATCTGAACCAGCAGAGCCTTGTCATTCGAGGCAGCGTTACGTGCCGACTTCCAAGTTTCCTTTGCGACGCTCTCGTCGATGGAGCTGCCGATGCCCCTAGCGACATTTCCCAAAGCTCTGTATACGGCACTCCGCAAGCCTGCATGAGTGGAAGCGGATTTGAGTGTGCGCAGTACCGAAGTACAAGCCAAGCTGGAGAGACTAATAGCACTGTCACCAGCGGCCTCGAAAATGGCACCCAAGCAGTGTACAGCGGCATGCTTAGCCTTAAGAGGCTTCTCTTTCCCAGCATTCAATACGGCGACAAGATCATTGATAGACTCGTATAGCAGCTTGCGATTGCCTTTTGTGAAGAGGTATGCGAAGGACGAAGCCAGGTTGTTGCGAATGACACGTGTGGGAGCGGGTGATGGAAGGTTGACGATTTGAAGGAGCTCCTTCTTGACCCAGACTTGTTGGGCCGAAGCTCCATCTTCGTCCAGAGAGATTACATAGCGAGAGAGGTCAGAGGTGAAGGTCAAGAGGTATAGGTCCTGTTGTTCCGAGGGGAGAGCATGAAGCTTGGCTACGTCGAGTTGCAGGGTCGAGTCGGCCACCGGAGGCGGGCCATTCTGATCCGTCGCCATTTGCGATTGTAATCAAGTGGTATACATTAGGATCCGAGCTAAGATTGTTGTTGTCCTGTACGAATGGTTTCAGGAGTCGAGCAACCCGCAACTGCCTTCGAGAACCCCCCGATGACATCTCCACGCCTTGGCAGCTCCATGTTGATCCAGAAGTTCGTGAATTTATGCTCCTTCCCTGTCGCATTCCATTTTGTCATTGTTTTGTTTGTCGCATTCTTATTTTGTTTGATTACTCGTGATGCAGTCTTATCAGTCCCTCGCTCGGCCTTGTCACCACACATACCGATGTCTTAGTCGACGCGCCACCGCCGTCCGGAGCTTTCACGAAGCCGCAGTTTACCAGTCTGGACACAGCAGATGGTCCAAGATCAAGCACGACAAGGCAAAGGTCGACAGCTCGAAGAACAAGGCACGCAGCATCTTTGCCCAGGAAATCGCCACCGCTTCCAAACTTTTCGGCGGCGACCCCAATTTCAATCCTAGACTGGCCGATTTGATCGTCAAGGCAAATAGAAGCGGATTCGCCAAAGCGTCAATTGAGGCAGCTATAGCTCGTGGACAAGGAAGATCAGTCAATGGCGCTGCTCTGGAGACGGTCACGCTCGAGGCCATGCTGCCCAACAACGTCGGCGTCGTAATCGATTGCGAAACCGACAGTAGGCTACGAACGCTGGCCGATCTAAGACTCATAATCAAACAGCATGGTGGAAATGCAACGCCGACGGGCTATCTCTTTACCAAGAAGGGCAGGATAATTTTTGCGAACAAGGACAATGTCGGTGTGGACGAGGTGTTTGAGCCAGCTCTGGAAGCAGGTGCACTAGACGTCGAAGAAGACGCCGAAGGGCGAGTGGTTGTCTACACTGAGACGACGGACACAAAGTCTACTGGAGAGACCTTGTCAACAGCATTGGGACTAGACATTGCCAGCTCAGAGATCATATCGGATGCCAATGAGGATACCAAGGTGGCTCTGACTGATGCCGAAGCGACGCAAGAGCTGGTCAAGTTTGCAGATGCAATTCAGGACAAGGAGAGCGGAGTGCAGGGCATCTACATGAACGTCACCCAAGGCACGCTTGATGAAGGCGCGTGGGCAGAATTGGCAAGCAGAATTACGGCTTGATTGTAATGTACATATAGCAGCAATATACCCAAATGTCGATGTTTCCCCTCTCTTTACGCCTAATTTCGCCAGTCCGGACCCATGTTGTACAGTGCAGTGTTTTTTATGTCGTAATGCAAAGATGCGTGGGTGGCTACTTGAGCCATGAGAACCAGCCCTGTGACTGAGAGTTGTTTGATGATTGCTCAGGCTGATGTTGAGCCATGGTCTCAGACTGGGCAGTCTTCAGCGACTCGAGGATAGGGCTGGGTTGTGGGTCGATGTGCTGCTCGACAGGAGCGTTGTTGCCCTCCAACTCCAGTCTCCTCTGGCGGGCGGCCAGACGGCGGGCGCGTAGTCTTGTGAGTTCGGACTGGATCTCGTCCTTTTCAAAGGGAATGTGATGGGTTTCGTTCTCCTTGGGCCAGAAGTCGGGAATGGAAAAGCGTTCGTCCAGATTTGTGCCAAAATAGTACATCCAGCCGATGGGGAACATGATGTACATGCCAAACTGGTGGCGCATTAGTTGAGGGACTGTTGGACTGTTGGACTGTTGGACTGATGGCGCCAGACATACCTTGAAGACTTCGAGATTAGGGCCTCCCATGATTGCGATGGTGAGAAAATATTATGTTTCTTGCAGTGAGAGAGAGTGACAGAGACGCCTACTTGAAATAGACTCTTGTTCAAGATCGGAGGCTGACCACTGACCACTGACCACTGACCAGACGCTTGTGCCTGATCAGATCTGATCAGATGCCGAGACGCCGATGAAGATTTGATCTATTCGTGATAAGATTGCGGCCTCGACGCGACACCCCCGAGATCAATCTATCCATTTACTCTGATTCTATCACTTGACCAGCCCGAAGATACAAACACAGTGGCTTCATTCATCCAAGCGACTTCCTCCTGCGCTCGCGCAATCCGGCTGCAGCCTGCGCCGTCTCGATCCTTTCCCTGCCCGACAAACCACAATCATTTATCGACCCACGCCGCGGCTATGCAAACTGAGGACGTTGCAATACACTTCAACACCCTGTCTATGCAAGATAACAAGAAGAAGCGGAAGCCCCGTAAACCAAAGGACAAGACACAACTCAACGCGCAAAGCACAAGCTTCCAACCAGACCAGGACCACCACGCTACCTTTCCCGACCCCGTCGACATGGCTCCGAAGCAACCTCGACGGCGACAACAAGACCCTAATCTGGTCCGCTATGTGCCATACGACGACTATGCCCCTTCTTCATATCGCTCTCTGGCCTTTCACTCCATCAATTCCGCTACACAACACTATCCGCACCCAGTTGCTCCTCCTCCTCCTACTTTCCGCCCAATAAACCGCCATCCCTCGTCCTTCTTCGTGCCTTCTTACGCCGCAGACCCCCATCCTCCGACCCGTGTCCATTCGAACCGCTCTCATATCTTCTTTGATGATCCTGTTCCCTACGCTTCTCAGCCATTCATACAACCAGAGCTGCCTATCCCAGAATACAACCAACCGCGTCGCTCGGCCCGCCAAGCTGTCCGTCAGTCACACTCTCAACAACCCGTACAACTCCCTCCTGCCAGTCAGCCCATCCAAGGACAGCGATTCCGCTCCCCTAAACCGGACAAGCGTCCCCGTGCTGTCGGCAAACTACTTCGCCCAACTCCTTCACTCCCATATCTTGTCAACTCCCTGGTCACATCTCCGACACTTGATCGCCCGAAATCTCTGCTTGTTGTCTTGGATCTGAATGGTGTTCTGGCTTTCCGCAAAAAGAGGACAAAGGGCTACAAACCTAGACCGAACCTCGACACCTTCCTCAATTATTTGTTCGACAACCACCATGTCATGATCTGGTCGAGTGGTATGCCCGAGAACGTTGAGCGCATCATCGAGAGAATGCTGTCGACGAAACAACGCAAGCAACTGGTTGCCATCTGGTCCCGCGACAAGCTCCGCATCCCGGACAATCTGTTTGGTGAGAAAGTCCAGGTCTACAAACAACTCAGTTGGATCTGGGAGGATCCGACACTACAAACGAATGCACCTCTTGGAGGTTGGAGTCAGAGAGATACCGTATTGGTTGATGATTCCATCGACAAAGCAGCTGCGGAACCTCACAATCTGATTGAAGTCGACGAATTTACAGGTGAGCCCGAGCAGAGCGGAAACACCACGCTGCTGCATGTCATTGCCTATCTAGAGCGTATCCGCTGGTATGAGAATGTCAGTGCAGAGATGCGCGCCACTCCCTTTGTCGTGTCAAAGGCTTAAAAGATCAAGTCTACTACAGATCAGGTCATGTTCCCTATATTGCACGATAAGATGGCCCTTTTTTTTCCCTTGCTGTTCAATGACTGCCTTTCTTTTTTCTTCCGGAGATACCCCTTTTTTGCTTTGCAGTGCATATACACAAGATCGAGATACAATGGTTTTTCCTGTCTTCCAAGTGCAGAAGCTCTCTGTTCGTGCTCGTGTCCGAATGCACAGTGACTTTCAACATTGGTGCAACGTTCGCTAGGAGACAATCGAAGCGTTGTTCTCTATAGACAATGATGATTATCTTGAATTGCATCCTGCCTTTTTACAGCCCTTGTTAGGAGTAAGAGACGAGATCTGGAAAGGCGTTGCGTCAGTAAGGCAACCATCAAGGTCGAATATACGGATCAGGGTGTCCCTCAAGACACGGCTCTCAGATCATGCCAAACCGCTCTATTCCTGCTCCTTGCGCCCCGGCCTTATCTCCCCGCCATGCGCCTTGCGTCTACTCCACAATCACGGCTTTGAGCATTTTCAGTATGCTTCAAGACTTATCGCCATACTTTGACCTCCTCACCGACACCGGGGTGTCTCAGCTGTCATTGAATCGATATGGATGAGGCGCAATCAAATCAGCCGGGTAGAGCCCTGGCTGAAAATGACGATCGTAGCAACCAAGTGGGAAGCCACGCCGAACAAAACCTACCATCATATCCGATGTTCGGAGATGTAAATGAGACCCCAGGAGGACTTGATCAGAACCTGACCTTGGATGATTTCTCTAATGCTCCCTTCGACTATACGAGCATCAGTAATCTATACATACCTAACTCGGATCTAACAGCGGACTTTACTTCGATGATGCCTTCCCTGGACAGTCCGGCCTTGTTTGAGCCGCCATCTTATGATCTTCTTGGAACTGCTGAGGGTAGAGGTTTGGAGATGCCTCATAGCTGGAATACTGGATACATTGATGGCATGCCTGAAATCGCACCGTTGGCCTCATCTTTGGCTAGTAGGGAGATCCGGCGATCTGGCAGATCTTGGAGCCAGCTGCTGGCCGATATGAGGAAAGAGACTCACAGTGGTCTACCACGTCGTCGAAGTCGCTATCGTCTGAACCGCATGAGCAGCAACAGTACGACACCAAGCATACCTATACCAGAGTCGCCATCTCTCGAACAATATGATCCGCTGCAGAGGTATCAAAACTCGCCGCCAGAGGATGATTATGTGTCCATGACAGCAGTACAGCAAGCACTACAAAGTACTGAGTTTGAACCGCTGGACCCGAATCACGTTAGTCAACCGGCCGAGGTCTACTACCCTGGTAGAGGGCGCCGGAGTCGACCCGGTTCTGTGGCAAGTGTAGAGAGTGCCGCAAGTTCTCCATCAATGCGTTCTTCGAATTCAGCAGCCTCGAGTATTTCTGCTAGATCACGATCGGCGCGCAGACGACCACAGAGAGCTCGCAAACCAAAGACACAATCCGATAAAGCACATATTTTCAAATGCACATTCTGCTGTGACACATTTTACAAGCGGTATGACTGGTGTCGCCACGAAAGGAGTCTGCACCTGAACCTCGAAGTCTGGATTTGCTGTCCACAAGGCGGCTCTGTGTTCTCAGAAGCGACTGGCAGAAACCACTGTAGCTATTGCAATGCTCTCGACCCCACACTGGAACATCTCGACAGCCACGATCACAGTAATTGTGTAAGAAGCTCACGCCGACAGTTCAATCGCAAAGATCATCTGGTGCAGCATCTTCGACTGTTCCATCGCTTACAAACCATGCCGCTCATCGAAGACTGGAAGACTCAAGGTCCTAATATTACCTCTCGCTGTGGGTTCTGTGATCGCCGAATGACAAACTGGGATGAAAGAACAGAACACATCGCCGCTCACTTCCGCGCCGGACGTACAATGAAGGACTGGCGAGGCGATCACGAATTTGAACCCGAGATTGCTGCAAAGGTCACCAATGCCATCCCACCATATCTCATTGGCGACGAAACAGAGACGATCGTGCCATTTTCTTCAACCAGTCATGCTGTCAAAGACCATGTTGCGCAGATATCCTCGCGACTTACAGCAATGCCTTCCGAACCTTCAGAGCCAACATCGCCTTTGCCACTGACCCCTGAGATGGAGGCACCGTCAACACAGAGCAACAATCTGACACTCAACGAGATGGTGATATTCCATCTTGGCCGATATGGTCGACAACAGCTCGGCATGGGCATCACACCTACGGACGAGATGTTTCAAAGTGAGGCTCGAAGACTGCTGTATGATTCGGATGACCCATGGAACCAATCGCTTGTTGATAATCCTGAGTAAGTGATGCCAGATCTTCTTCCTATCATGGGTGTACTAATCATCTGTAGATGGCTGGCAGCCTTCCGCTTGTTGCATGGTTGGACGAATACAGGAGCGTGATGGATGGGTTAAATCAGCGGCATGAGGGTGAGCCTTCTGGTTTGAGGGCAATATGATACTGGCACCTACATACGCTGTGCATTCCCATTAGGTCGAACATTAGGATGGCAAAAGAAGCTTTACTGAAGCAGAGCACTTGGATGCTTGCATACCGTGGACCGAGACCTGATCGACCCTGCCAAGAAAACGTGATTACTTTCATTCTCGTCCATCTCACTTTCATGCTCTCCTGCATTTCGAGCCCCCCTCACCGCCAAACAGCTAGTGGCGTGGGTATACTCGAAACATATCTTCGAACGCCGACCAACCCGATCTAGTAGGGTCTCATAGGGGGCGAACGCTGCAGAGGGAGGGTTTCGACTACCAACGCTCTTACTATTGCCGAAGATCTCAACGGTCCTCTACGACACCCACACCGAATCTACGCATACCGGTTTGTTTGCCTCTCCAACGGCCACGGCATATTCAACGTAGTGACGTGACGATATATCGTGAAAGACATGATGCTCGGGTCTTCACAACCTGCAAGCGTTGTGAGCCGGCGATTTGACAGCGACTTTGAAACGCTCGGATTCTGTCAGATGTCACTCTGCCTCGACTCAGTGTAATGGGAGGTTATATGCATAGAGGGGAAAAACGCCATGTCAGCCGCGTGGTGGCCCCTTGCAGACTGCATTAGACGCCCCATCAGCCGTGTTTCAGAACATTCAAGTAACTCTGTACCCAAAAAACTTCAAAAGGCATTCCGCTTTTGCAATGAAGTGGTCTAATCTGTTTAAGAGGTAGGACGATCCATAACGGTAATTGACGACCATTCATTCTTTTGTCGTTCTGGACCTTGTCAGGTCAAGAATATATATACACGCTCATTACATCCACCCCCCATCACTCACTTTTTCGTAAAGCAACTCATAAGACATTTTCATCATGTTGTTTAGTCTTCTTTCTTCATCTTTGCTGCTGGCAGCGACTGCTTCTGCTCTTCCCGCTGAGCTAGAATCTCGAGCTACCAACCAATATCTCACCAACTCGCACGTGGCCATTACTGAACTCCAAACTTTTTACAAGCAACCATCACCGGCTCCTTGGGCGGGTGGCTGGTGGAACAGTGCCAATTGCTTGACTCTGCTCGCCGATCTGCGTGCAAAGGACAGCTCGTCATTTCTCACTTCCATCACGGATGGTGCAAATGGTGTTTTCAAGACTACCCTCAATAACCAGGCCAGAGACAGCACGAATGCACTTTCGTACACGGATTTCTTTGACGATCAATTATGGTCAGTGGCCCTTTCTTATTTCCGCAAACATAATGTAGTGTACTAATGTTTTTGAACAGGTGGATTCTTGCTTTGATCAAAACCTCCGACGTAACCAAGGATACCAGCTTCCTTCAGGCCGCAAACCTCACATTCGCGGCTGTAACTCTGAACAACAAAGCCTCCAACAACCCCTGTGGTGGTCTCGCAAATGCCTATCCTTCAGAAAAGTACTTGGTGAAGAGCAGCACAATCGCGACAGTCCTTTACGTAGCAGCAGCCGCTCAACTAGCAACCCGCTACCCAGCTCAGAAGACCTATTTCCTCAACAAAGCAACCACACAATGGTCGTGGATCACCAAAAACATCTTGATCGATGGCATAATGCAAGGAGATGCACTAACAGGCTCTCCACCCTCTTGCTCCAACAACCACGCCTTCTTGACCTACATCGAAGGCGTAGCCCTCCAAGCCCTCGTCGCTCTATACCACGCCACAAACGATGCCTCCTACCTCACCACCGCCGACACCTTGGCCACAAAGCTGCTGTCCGGAAAATACGGCATGATGGACTCCAACAAAATCGCCCTTGAATTCTGCGACAATGAAAACAGTTGCAATCCCGATCTTGCACAATTCAAAGGTATCATGATGAGAGGATTGCGTACGTTGAGGGATGCCAAACCTGATGTTGCTGGAGGGCAGATCAAGGGCTTCTTGACAAAGAATGCGGATAGTATTTGGAACAACGATAGACAGAGTGGGACGAACTTGCTGGGGGAAAAGTGGGCTGGTCCTTTTGTGTTGGAGAGTGGGAGTGCTATGCAGTTGAGTAGTCATAGTTCTGCTACCATGGCGCTTGTGCAGGCTGCGTTGGCGAATATGTAGATGTTTGGAGATTTGGGGAGTTTTGCGTGGAGAGAGAGAGAGATTCATGGGAGATAACTTTGGGTTTTAAGTCGGCTGGTTCGACATGTACTCGTGGTTGATGCGTTATAGAAGAATTTCGCATTCCAAAATCGCAGTACTGCCACCACATCGCCTTCTTAGCGGCTCTCTCCACTCCTGATCTCCTATGGCGAGCATGGGCCGTAAAAAGGCATGATGCAATTCAAGATCATTCATCATTGGCCAGGGAGAACAATGCCGTGGCTGTACCTCAGCGAAAGCCGCATCGATGATGAAAGTCACTGTGCGGTTCTACAGCGACATTCTTCAGACGGCAGCTTTCACTGGGATCATACAACTTCTGATCTGGTGGGTGTTGCTTGTAAAGGATCGCAAATCAGTAACTACTGGACCCAAGATCACAAATAGCATAACTACAGCACGTATAGAAGAAGAGCTGGACCGAAAGTGGTTTGGAAGTCTGGCTAGGGTCTGGATGAACGAATCTCTCGATGCAACATCTACAGATAACTCTTCGTCTTTGCCATATGCACACCATGAGCCCAATGGAAGAGTTTGGCAGACACCATATACCCCTCCATCTTGCTATACTCGACCAACTTTTCATAAAGCTCAGCCAAGGGAACAACAACCCTTTCAATATGTTCCCCGTCATCAAGCTGCTGCTCAGGCTCCTTGTCCCCATCCTTGAGATGCACCTCCATCATAGCCAACTGCATATTCGCACTAGTCATACCCGGATCCGCCGAAACAATCGGACTGACCGAAGTAACTTTGCCTTCATAGCCAGTCTCTTCTCTCAACTCCCGAACTGCGGCTTCCTCCACCGTCTCATTCGCATCTACCAAACCAGCAGGCCATTCCACAGAGATAGCGTCGATTGGAGGTCGGTATTGAAGCACCAGTATTGTGGTGGGGGCTTTTGTAGGGTGGAGGATTATGTTGCCCATGGCTACTGCATCGACACCTGCCGAGCCGCGGGTTTTGCGGGACGCGACTTCCCAGGTTCGTGTCTTGTTGCTTTGGTCTGTCCAGTTGATTTTGCGGAGGGCGACCCATTTTGTGTCTGCCGTCGAGACGTCTTCGATGCTGTGGATGGTGCCCTTTTGTGCCTTCATGCTTGTCGATGTCTGGGAGAAGAAGCGTGTTGCGTAGATGATGCGAGAAGGTGTGGTGGAGGGGGAGACAGTAATTGCGCGAATGGAGCGGAGCGCTGTACGGTTCAGCATTGGTTCGCAGGGGACTGTCAGTCGATGATTGAGTGAGTGTTGTACATACGTTTCTCTTTTACTGGCGTAATGTGTTTACTGAGGCTGATGTAGAGTTGGTTGATGATGCCTTCTGTTGTCCCACAAACGTCATTGTGCCAGCCACCCTTCCCCACATCTGCTTCAAGCCTTCACTTCGACATATATTCACTGAAGGGTCTTCTTGGAGTACAGTACTTTTGTTGCTATGCAAAGTGATCATGAACACCTTATGAACAAGGTAAACCACCCTGCCTCTGTTCGGCCGTGTTGTATGCATGCTATGTGCAATCGTAGCTCATCATGAACAAAGTCCCCTTATTAACCTCTCGTGATGCCCTTTCCAACCCCACCTTCCCAAACTTTTATACATGAGTGCCCTTGAGCAATTCCTGAAGCTCGGCTGCCTTGATCAACTTGCAGCTCGTACCCTCGCACACCTGAACCATATCTCTGTCTTGCTCAATTGAGCCAAGGACTTCGTTGCGCTGTCTAAGCCAGTCGCTCTTGCTGTCACCGCCTAGTCTGACCACCGTTGAGCCAGGACGAACCATCTGGTGTAGTTGGCTCAGCGCACTCTTCACCTCTGAGCTTGCATCAGTTCCGGAGATGACAATAGGCTTGACATCCAGTCTTGAGTTGACAACTGCCGACATGAGACCGGTAAAGAGACCAGGGTGCTGAACCATCTCCACCTCGAATGCCTTGGCAGTGCGTGTAGCAAGAGCAGAGTAATTAGAATCATCAAGCAATGATGAGAGCCTGAATAAGTTTGTAGCGCTCACACCGTTGGCACTGGGCTCTGCGTTATCCATGGCGTCCTTGCTGCGAATCAGAATGTCAGGAGCAAGTGCTGGTGTGCCGAAGAAGCCACCCTTGGTCTCGCTCTCATTGTCTGCAAAATGTTGGATTTGCGATTGCTGTAGCTCGTCTGCCCACTGCAGGTACGAGTCGTCGAAGGTCGCCTCATAGAGATCAATGAGACCGCTGATGAGGAATGCGTAATCGTCAGCAAAGCCGGCTGTGGCGCCAGGACCCTCACGGTATACACGTCGTAGAGTCTTGGTTTGCGAGTCATAGAGCTCTCTTCTGATGAATTGAGATGCTGAGACGGCGGCCTCGAGATATCTTCTAGAGGCTGCTGGTTCAGACTCCTTCAGGGCAGCACTCGTACGAGCGAGGCCACCAATTGCAAGACCGTTCCAGGAGACAACAATCTTGTCGTCAAGCAGAGGTCGAGGACGATGTTGGTCACGCCAATCCGACAATCTTTGACGGCCGATTTGGATAGCTTGTACTGTGTCCTGTTCAGAAAGCCCGAATTGCTGACTGAGATCAGTGATGGACAAAGTCACACAGAGCGTGTTGAGTCCCTTCAGCTCGCCCTGGATGTCATGCTTCGGGCTGACATTACCGTTAGGCTTCACGTTCCAGTGCTTTGCGAGAATGCTGGCCAGCTTCTCGTCAGTCAGAGCTTTGTAGAACTCCGAGTGAGACCAGACGTAAAAGGCACCCTCTTTGTGCTCTTTCTCCGAGGCACTTGGTGCACTATCTGCATCCTCGGAAGCGTGGAAGCCACCAGCAGGCGACTGTATGGGCGATGAGGTCAGGTAGGTAGCGATGTCGTGGGCCGTCTCGAGGAAGAGAGGGTTCTTTGTGATGAGCCAGGCGTCGAGATAGAGAGGAAGCAGTTGGGCGTTGTCGTAAAGCCTATGAGACATGTCAGTGGTAAACAGTACAAGTGAAGAGTTCAGGCACATACATCTTCTCAAAATGCGGCAGACTCCAGTCCTTGGTCACGGAGTATCTGGCGAATCCATGACCAACCTGGTCCTTGATTCCACCCTTGGCCATGTTGTCGAGCGTCTTTACGACCATCTTCTGTGAGTTCTGTACGGCGTCATCGCCGACAATGTCCTTGACGATACCGTCCCACTCGCCGAGTCTCAGCAAGAAGGACAGGTGCGAGGGAGTAGGGAACTTTGGAGCACCGCCAAAGCCGCCATTTTGCTCATCATATCTGGACTTGTAGTGGTCGTATGCCTCTTCCAACAATTCCAGCTCTAGGCCGTCGTCGCTTCCATCGATGCCTTCGCCCGATCTCCTGCCAGACAGGGTGCCTTCTTGGGCGAATTGTCTGAGCTGGTCGGTGATGTTCGAAGCGCTTTCTCTGCATCGTGCCTCCTGCTCTTTCCATGCGCTGGCCACCTTTGTCAGGATAGTCTCGAAGCCTCCGCCATGGTGCGCACGCTCGCTCTTCGGACCCGGCCAGTATGTTCCACCGAACAGCGGTTGCAAGTCTGGAGTGACAAAGACGTTGAGAGGCCAGCCTCCACCACCGGTCGTGGCTTGTAGGAAATCCATGTAGACCTTGTCAACGTCAGGGCGTTCTTCGCGGTCGACCTTGACAGGGATGAAGTGTTCGTTCAACAGCTGGGCAATGCGATCGTCCATGAAGCTCTCGTGAGCCATGACATGGCACCAATGGCATGCCGAATAGCCAATCGAAACAAAGAGTAGGCGATTGGTGCGTTTGGACAGCTCGAGTGTCTCCGGACTCCAGAGCTGCCATGCTGTAGGGTTGTTGGAGTGCGATCGGACGTATGGCGACTTGCTCTCGTTGCAGCGGTTGCTCAGCGACACGAAGCCGCCTTTGGACGCGGAGGCACTCATCGTTCGGATGGGGGAGAGATGATGGGTAGGACGATGGCGGGAGAACGACGTGGCCAGAGAGGATGTGGACAATCCGAGACGCGACGACAATGGCATGTGCTTGTTGCTGTCGACTGTCGCGGCCAGAGTCGATAAAGCGTAATCGCGACGATAGAGAGCCTCCACCATTGGACCCGTTTGACCCCACCATTTCCTCTAGAAAGCCATCGGACTTGCGTCATTTTGGATGCTCCAGCTATATTGAATTGGGTACCTCCACACCAAACACCATCCCCTGCCACTCGTACTCGCATCTGGCCGAATACATCCTCTAGACTTTCTCCCCTCTCACTTTCTTGCCTTGCAAACAAGAATATGAGACGCCGCTTCCTCTCTGCGAAATCCTGTCACTCCCACTCTCTTCCAACCATCCAAGCAAACCAACGACGAGCTGTAGCAAGCCACACTCACGTATCATATCGATAGACTTACGCCGGAAGTCGACGAAAACCCACGTCTCCTGCTGGCATCGCTGCGAATTCTAAAAAGCATTGTGCCTTGAGACAGCTCAGATTATCCTCGACACAGCTTGCGTGGAGGGCACCATGTTGCCGCGTCGCTGCAAACTATGTACTTGTTCACATGGGAAGTCAAAGAGGCGAATAAGGTTAAAGTCATTGCTCGTTTCATCGGCGAATTTCATTTTCGAAGAAGCGAAAGCTACAAAAAGGGGGTGACCACAAGCCGTGCGATCCATAACATCCGTGGAAGAAAATATACACTGAAGGCGAGTAGTAAAAAGTCGTGAACATAACACCAGCCAGTGTTATCATTCTCGTTCTTTTATGGAGGGCGAGGAAGAATCCAGTCCCACTGCCCACAAACTCCCCACATGCAATCAACAAAGTAAAGAACAAAAGATAAAAATGCGACTTTCCGCTGTCATCAAGACAACCTCTGTAAGTCCTGCTGCACTGGTAGAAGAGAAGAGTTTGCCGTCAAGAGTCGTCAGGCAACTTTTAGAGCTGCTCCGCCTGCACCCACCCCTTACAGGTTGTAGGACCAGTCCTGAGTAGGCTTGTTGAGCGAAGCGCCGATGTTTGCAGCGTATTCACCAGCGTAGTTACCTATGTGTTTGTTAGCATCTTCTCGTCAAGTCAAATGCTGTAGTAACCTACCAGGAGAGCCGTAGTTGCAGACAGTGAAGTGAGGAGAAACGTATTGACCAACGTTGGCAAGACCGCCAGAGCAGTACTGAGTAGCGCAGCCGACCTTGGTGGTACCCTTCCAGACAAGCTGAGAGAAGTGACCCCACTTCTCGAAGTTGCTCATGTCAGGGTTGGCCTGGCCATAGAGGTTGGTGTAGTAGCCTACTTCACCGTTGTAGAAGAGCTCAGTGATGACAGCAGAAACGTTGTTAGCCTCGACACCAGCAGCGATGTTCTGGCCGTAGCCACCGCCGTCAACATTCATGCTGTGAGCGTAAACGCAAGTGGCAGCAATCTTGGCGGCAGTGGAGGCGAGTGCCGCGTCCCATGCAAGGGCAGGAGCGGAGTGGTTGGAACGGTGGACGTTGTGGTGGTCGACAACGCGCTGTTGGTAGGTGGTAGCCTTACCAGCGGGTGCGGCGACGGTGCTGCTAGCCTGTAGTGTTGTCTTAGCATTGCTGATCACAGGGGATGATGAAGACTTTGTCGAAGATGAGATCGATGATGACTTGGAAGAACTCTCGGGCGGAATAGATGAGGACTTGGATGTGGAGAAGATGGTGGAGGAGGAGCGGGATGAGGTAGAGGTGGTCTTGACGGATGGAGAGGATGATGACGCAGGTCTAGGAGGAAAGATGGAGGAACTGAAGGGGGGAGCAACGGATGACTCGCGCTTGCAAGCTTTGCGCGAGGTAGAAACGGATGCAACTCTTTCAACAGTGGAGAGGGAGAGAAGAGAGACCTTTTTGGTACTCGATGTTGGTTTGGAGGTCGTGGAAACCTTCTTCGTGGAGACAGGAGTTCCCTTCTGGGTTGTCGACACCTTCTTCGACGAAGAAGACACCTTGCTCGTTGAAGTTGCCTTCTTGGAGGTAACGGTCGTCTTCTTCGTCGTAGTAACTGCCTTGACCGTTGAGGTTCTCACAATCGTGGAAGTGGCACGCTTGACGGGAGAGGAGGGGGAGGAAGGACGGAACATCTGGGCCATGAGGCTTTCAAAGTTCACACGAGGGTGAAGAGAATCACGAGAAAGAAGATAATGGAACGATTCAAGTAAGCTCACCTCGGTGGTGGCTGCAGGAGCAGCAGAAGTAGCAACAGCAGTGGTAGATTCAGCAGAAGGAGTCACGACCCAGGTAGAAGCCCACGAGCTGGTCCAGGCGCTGGTGTAGCCTTGAGCAGGAATGGCGGCCTTAGGGTCGGCAGAAGACGAGGCAGCAACGGGTGCTGTGGTGGCCGAGGAAGCGACAGTGACAGCGGGAACCTCGGTGGTAACTACCACGATGGAAGCAGTCGACGACTCAGCAGCCTTGGACCACGAATGGCGGTGTCCATGATACTGAGAGGTAACGGCAGCCTCAGTCGTGGCAGCAGGGGCTGGCTGCTCGACGGCCGAAGTTGCGGCGGTGGAAGAGACAGTAACGGGGATAGTCACACCCTCAGTCTCGGTAACATAGACTGTCTCGTAGGCGACATCATACACAGTGTCGATCTCCAGATCGCGCTTGATAGGGCTGGCAATAGCGCTGGCAACCAGAGCGACTCCAGTAAACAAAGTGGCAGTACGCATATTGTTTTCTTATGGGTTGTTGATTGTTGTTGATGGTGAGTGTTGTGTTGTAAAAGGGATACCAGATCCGGATAGAATGGAAGACTTGAAAGACTGATGGGCCAGAATGTTAGTGACCACTGCTACTGCTGTTGCGCTCTTCTGCTACTGCTTTGATCTTTCCAGAAGATAGCAGAGGCAGGCAGTTTTTATGTATAATGACAATAGAGAGCGACAGCAAAGGAAGTGGTGAATTCGGTGAACAGATAGAGGTTGACTGGCCAGAGTGTTCGAGTTGCAATAATACCGTTCGTTGTCTCTGAGAAGAACGGCAACGGTGTGCTCACCAGGGAACGAGTGTGGGTGTAAGGTAGCGGGCTGGATCTTATCGATCTTCGAGGGCGAACGGTATTGTTTATATAACGGGCAGGGTGATGGATAGAACTCGAAAAATGTGCACTTACGTGAAAGTCCTCGCGGAGGGGTTGGCTTGCAGAGAGTGTGGTGGGACGAAAAAGAGTGAAATGCAACCGTTAAGGCGCGTGAACGAGTGACAAGAAAGAAGCGGTGGTGGACAACGAGGAGGGAAGTTGATGTGGCAGCGTGATGGACGACTTTTGAATGGGCGTGGTTGACGGGGGCTAAAACGCTAGTGGCCGCACTAGTAGGTAGGACTCCTGTGACCGGGATGTGAGTGAAGATGAACCTTGATGAAACACTCTCCGCAAATGCAGGTGCTTGTCGATTGCGTACGAGCGCCGTTGGAACGCCTTCCTAAGTAGACGGCTCCTTTGTATAAGGTTCGATGCAGCAGCGACTGAAGAATTAGCTGGTCCGGGGCTCAGGGGACTGGGTCGTTCTTCAACCATTCCGAAATCTAGACAAAGTTCAGGAGACTAGCATTGACATGTGGTTCAACTGCCACTCCTTGCGTATGCCAGGCGTGGAATGTGTTTCCTGGATTCAGACCTTCAGAACCCCAACATCCATCACCGCCGCAACCTGGCAACCACCTCATCACTGGAAATCGTAGCAATGTAAACCATGGAACAAAGGACTCGAGAGCCGTGATTGCCTAACACTCAAGCCGCGTCACTACAGCTATCCCAGGTCCAAACGCGGCCCGGCACGAAAATCAAGGTACCATCGAAGTTTCATTCGTTGTCGCAAGAAAAGTTCCTGCGTTAGCCACACATAAATACTGTGGGGTACAAGCCCCTGTCTATTCTCGCTTCCGGACTCCCGAGTCCCAAACATGCTTCTTCACTGCTCGTATGACAGGGCCTCGCCTCGAATAATGCTATTCCATCATGCGGTCTCATCTTCTCGCCGTCTCACCTCGTAGCGACAAGCGCTCCCCTGAGTCTCGAGCGTTTGGCTGCCAGGGGAAAAACGTGGTACGACAAGGTTAAGCGCCGCCGAGCCCTCTACAACGATTAGGTAGCTGACAAGGTTTTGTGGCCATGTACGAGTAGCGTGGGAAAAGGAGGGGCCGTTCAGCGCAGTCGAAAGTCTCAACCAAAATACCTTGAACTTGCGACTGTGCAAGTATTACTCGCGTTCGAGCGAGGCAATGCCCGAGTCCGTCACATCCTCAGTCCTTCCATTGTTCGAAGGTGAACAAATCAACCGAAGTCTCGATCAGTGTAAGAATTAACCGCTCAAGTATCGTCAATGCAGATCGGGACGAAAGACCGTCTCTTGTGTGGTGCCCTTGTGCAACCTCGGTGCATGAAGTGCCATGGAATGTCGTTGTTCTCGTAACCGTCTTGAGCTCACGTTCCGCAACGTCTGGTTTGAAGTTTCGACAGCTGGCTCGACAACCGACAACCTCAACCCCCAACAACGTTGGAGCTGACCCGTTAACAAAGAAAAATGTACCTATCGCCAAGTCCATCGCTTACAACGTCAACAAGCACATCTGGTTCAGTTTGCATCATAATGTGAGCACGAATGCCAGCATACAACACCCCGGTCGATCTCGAAACGTTCTGCTATGGTCGAGCTGGAATAGAGGATCCGCAACACCCGACGTGCTTTTTTGCGGATTTGTTCTTCTCCATGGTTGTGAACATCCGTCTCGCTGAGACTCTCAAGTAGTCTCATCTTCCAATGCATCCAGATTTTGTTGTAGGAGCTGACTCCAAGACATGGTACCACCTGTTGAAGCTGTCGGATGGTCCACTTCCCCTCTATGGTCCGTTTCTAGTCAAAGATGACGATAAAACCTTTCGCTTTTGCTTCAGCAACAGACTGTCAGTCTCATCTCGATGCTTCACTTGATTCAGGAGCACCCGTGTTTGGAAGCAACGTCTGCATCATTGCTATGTATCGACACAAGGTCCAGCTCTGACATCTCTATCAAGAGTCACTGTTCGACTCTCCTGCGGCCTTCCCAACGCTTTGGTTGAGGGTCCAGAGGTACGTACCTGAAAATTTCCTCACTTTGTTATCAGAGTAATGTAATGCCGGAAAATGCATGGACGGTAATGTCCCAGCCCGATGCATCCTGGTCTCTGATAAATTGCAGCGCGGTCTTGGTACAGATGACATTGTGCACTTATCGTGCAATTCGAAGCCTTCGCGGTGGCCAATCTAGCCAAGAGCCTTGCTATACTCATCAATGGCATTTGCACCTTTTTCCTGCCGATGATATCCAACCTCTACGGTGTTTCTGGTTGGGAATAGAGAAAGTCAACCTCTAGCGGAGGCGGAGTAGGCTTGGATGCGATGGTGCCTTTACGCAGCTGGGTTATTATGCTGCGCTGTGATGAGAGGAGGGGTTATACTGAGGTCTCACAACAGGTTAGCAAGAAGCATCGTGCTTAGTTGGCTATACCAAGGACTTCTTATGTATACCTCATCCAAAGCAACATGGTTTGGAGGGTCACGCAGTAATTTAACTTAGCTTCTGAAACTAAGAGCTAAAGCACATCGTCTTCCTGTGCTATTCGGTCGAAACATTTGCGGCAAGCAAAATGGCATATAATGCTACTAACTGCAATGCACGATTTGGTTCTAGCAGATAGCTGTCGGACGATCGCTTCTGTCATGATATTCAAGCTCGTGATTATTTACAGTGCGATCGGGACAGCACGAGACACGAATAACGCCTGAGCGAGTTGTTTTGTTCGACGATGTTCAGTCCCGTAAACACCAGTTTGACAGTGCTGAGTGGACATGACTTGGCTTTGTTTGTACACAGCTTGATCTATGACGACCATCGACCACGACGATCTGGGAGGAAGCATGTCTGTTTCAAGATCACCAGGCTGTCACAGAAGCTTCATAGTTATCCGAGTCCGAAACCTGGTGCAAATCATGATGAGGATTGTAAAATTGAACCCGTTTCATGGAGCGGTGACAGGCGCAAGGACATCTTGATGTTGGCCGTCTGTTGGCCGTCAAAGCGGGGAAGCGAAATGACGAACGCCAGAGCGTTCGCAGATCTCAGACCTGTTCACTTTCATCACAGTCAAGGCCGCCCAAAACACAGAGCAATCTCAAGGATCGACGCAAATCTCGTCTTTGCATCGGATGCAGTGTCAAAGCTTCAGGGCTTGCCAGCCGTCGTCTGTATATCTCTGACGTCCAGCGTCGACCGCCAAATTCTAGACTCATTTTCGCAATGAAGAGCGAGGCTGCCAGTATGTGACTCTAGATGGGTGCAATCTCAAGCGAACGATTCACATGGCGTGTAGCCACGAGAAACCGTCGGCATATCAACAACTGTCAAGGACGACGTTGACCGGATACCATCGTTGGTATCAGATGACCGTTTGAAGAACGGATCGTACTTAGCAGATGAGGACAAGATGCAATAGTCGTCGTGAGGTACGACTACACTTATAGCTTTTGGAACACAGCCATTACACACCTCTAACAGCGCCGTCTGGTGGACAGACAACTGTGTTGCTTCCCTTTATACACTCACAGCGTCGAACTTTCACGGTTTCGACCAACCTTGTAGAAAGGTTGCCATGCTCGCATATGGCCCAGGATAGAGTTATTCCAGACACCTTTGGTAAGAGAGCACAATAGTGCTGCTGTTAGTAGATAGCAGCATGGTGAGGGATACGCAAGTACATCTCAGCACTCTTGCGTAATGCGTTGTACAGAAGATCGGATCCCTCCGGTCAGACCCAACTGAAGCGAGCATCCATAAACTCTGCATACTTCAAAGATGCGAGTCACAAGTAAGAGCAGCATTCTGATGATGGACACACTGTCCCAATAGTCTCACGACCCACCGTCAAGCCGAAGATCACCGCTCAACTGAGTGAATTTGCTCAGCAACCCACGCGGTCTCCCCACCTCTCAGGAAGTCATTCTACGCCCATAAGTTCGCTCAGGAAACACATTGTCTCCTCTCCTCCTTCCTCCCATCCTCCATTCCGATATACACCATCATCCTCTCATCATGACGTCGAACGCGCTACCACCAAGCTATTATGGCACAACGACTGTCATTCCCGAGAAACCTGCCCAATCGACCGCTTACCACATCACACTCCAAAGATGCAAGAGGCTCGTCGAGCTCGAAAGCGGTCGTTCAGCCACATGCGGTTTACTCGAGGACACCAATGTCGCAATCGTCCTCTCGCACACAGACACATGGGACGAAGTCCAGGACAAGATCTGGCTGCTGTATCAAAAGGCTTGGCCGGCTATTCTAGGAGACAAGGAGAGAAAGGACTACGCCTCTGGCGGTCTTGATGTGCAGTATTCTGCTCTGGACGGAACGGTTATGGGGAGGATCCAATTGCTCTATTCCAAAGGAGATGCTTTCTGGGACCTCGTCCACAATGGGGATATCAAGATTGTCAGGTTCATCGCGCATTATGCACCTCTTGTCGGAGAGGCTGCTGGGGAAGTCAGGTGCAGCCATGATCATTTCCGTGGGTTGACCTTCACCGAGAAGAAGAAGAACAAGGATTACGTCAAGGAGTTGGTCAAGGAGATCAAGATTGAAAAGAAGGCCCAGAGGAAGCACCACTGCATCATTCAATGAGTCGTTGAGATAGCCGGCGAGCTTCCAGTCAGAGTGATTGATTGGTAGTCCGACCCTGACCAGGTGATCCTGTTCCTCGACTTCCTGCCGTCAACCAAAAAGTATTTCTTTTCCCTCCATTCTTTGCAAGAGGGTAGTGTTTACTACACATAGCCACTCTCGTGGCTCCGTGAGACGCCAATTCTGATTACTACTACACAATGCTTAAACACAATCCAATCAACCCAGTGTTATTTTCCAGAGTTCTTCCATCCTGTAGCCAAACGTTCACAGCATGGTGCGCTAGATGTCGTGTTTCAAGGTCAAAGCGAATATAATGTGGTAATCATGTACGGAACAAGCAGATCTATAGCCCAAGCGCTTTCTATGTTGTTGCGCCAGCCCGATGCTATGCGCGGTCTAAGATTACATGGATGACAAAGGAAATAGAATGCATCAATGCCCTGCTACGCAACGCTCCCGAAATGCATGGCAACGCGACCGGTTCTACTGCTTGATGTAAACCAAGATGTATGGGTCGAATCCTGACGTTGGTCTTCTCCACTCTTTGGCACTGCTGCTCTGGACGGATGAATCGCTGATCTCTTTGATGCCATCGGCACTGCGGACGTATGCGATGTAATGGCCGAACTTAAGCGATCCAGAATGTGCGACTATAGCCTGGAGGCGGTACTTGGATGGCCTTGATCTGTCGACTGCCCAGGGAGATAGATCGAGTTCGTCGGGGTAATCAACATGCTGCTTGTTTTTGGTAGAACCACGCGGACCATAGCCGAACCGCATGAGCTGGATAGGCAGGACATCGGGTGCATTGTCGAGTTGGAAGATGCGAGTGCGCTTAACATTCTTCTTGCATTTGTCGCAGCGGATGATGACATTGGGTTCGCGGTGGTAAGTGTCGAGACAGTTGGTGAGGTTGACCGTACCTGATAGTTTGGGGATGGGCAGACTGAGACTAAAGCCGGGTGGATCGCTGTGGGTGTGCACCTTCTTGCAACCATCGCAAGTCCAGGATATTTTGTGCTTGATACGGAAGAGCGAGGCAAACTGATCCTTGTGGATCCCCTTGGCCTTCTCGAATGTGCCAAGCAGATACTGGAGGAAATCGTGGCTATCTTCTTGGGTATGGCCTACAGCACTCCAACGTGGATCGCTTGACTTTCCGGTTGCTCTGATGGCACCGTCAAGAGCACCCAGCTGAGCACCAACGTTGCCGGGAGATGTGTGATAACTGATGAGCAACTGTCGCATGGCGCATGTGACGCATTTGCCTTGCTTGGGGCAAGATCTGTGCGATTCATCTAGGACATTGAAAAGTTGAGGAACTGCGATGAGACTCTGTAGTACACTGCGGCGATAGCACCACTGGCTTGGATTACTCAAGCCTTTGACCTTTTGCTTTCCGATACTTGCGGGCCAGGATTGGGAGACTTTGGCGGTAGGCACTAGAGATGATCTGGAAGCCTTGTGTGAGGATGGTTCTTCCTTGCGGACTTTGGTCGGTTTGGACTCCGGTTTTGGGTCCTTCTGCTGTGTGACTACCGGCGTAGACTTCTTTTCGGTAGCAGACTGGCGGTTGGCATCCTTTGGAGAGTGCGCTCCTGGCTTTCCTGATTGCGGATCCTCCTTGCGAGACTTTTTCGTCTGTTTCTCAACCTTGGCGTCCGCGGGTTCGGTCTCGGAGATCGATCTTTTCTTGCTTAGCTTGAATGACTCCGAAGCGGCCTTCGCAGGTGTCTTCTGCGGAGGTGATTGAGGAATGGATCGCGTAACGGTCGGCGTTTCTGTGACCTGAGGCGATTTTGTGAATTTGGGCGTGTCTGTAACCTTAGATGTTGATGTGCTAGGAGGTGGAAGGCTTTTTGAGCGTACTTGAGTAGTGTTCTCCATCTTGCGTAGACGTCGTTTCAGATCCATGAATTTTCGAAGGGCGTCTTGTCGGCAGTGGGCGCAATGCGCAGTGCTCAGATCACGAAATGCTTGAATAGTTCGGTGTTTGAGAGCATTCTCGACATAAGAGGCAGCAACTTTTTCGTTGCGCCTTTTCAATCTTTTTTGAACCACCATGCTGAATAGGAAATGACAATGTGAGGAAAGCGCTATTGTGGTGATGACGAACGATGTGTTCAGCAACAATAGAAAAGAACAATACAACCAAGATTATGAATAGTCCAACTTGCGACTTCTATGCTCTTTCCACTTGATGTTAGAGTGAGAGAACCAGAATAACAGTGAATCACGAAAGACTACTGTTTATGCTCAAAGTCGCGACGCAAGACCCTGGCCAGAAGAAGATCAGTCCGGTGAGTGACAAAAATGCGCGGAGTCCAAGTCCAGTTCCAGGATCAAAAAAATAGGTGCCGCGCTCCCTTCCAACTCGCAAGTCCCAGTCGAGGTCGACGCGATGGTATAAAAGTTTGCGATTCTGAAACCAAAAATTCGAGGGACATTCAAAAATCCGAAAACGGAAAGACGTCCTCGACGGACTTGGCGTCGTCACAGCATACAAAGAAATACAGCAATCAGCTAGCTCACAAACAAGATCGAGCTTGTCGCCAGACCCTCAACGACATGGCTTCAGAACAGGCTGGTGCCGCGTACGAGGCTCAGCATGTGCATGATGTGTACGAGCAGATCGCTTCACACTTCTCGGCCACTCGCTACAAGGTGTGACTCCACGGTCTGTGGTTTACCATGACTCTTCTGACCTTGTCCTCTCTTAGCCGTGGCCTGTTATCGAGAAGTTTCTCAAAGGCCTGAGAGCTGGATCAGTAGGACTGGATATTGGGTGCGGTAACGGCAAATACCTCACAGTCAACCCTGATGTCTTTATCGTCGGCAGTGATCGCTCGCCGTCGCTCACCAAGATCGCATCGTCGCATCAGCCACACGCAGCTGTCGTCTCGGATATCCTATCGCTGCCTCACCAGAACCATGCCTTCGACTTCGCAATCAGTATCGCCGTACTCCACCACCTGTCCACCCCGGAACGCCGCGTCGAGGCCGTCCAAACCATCCTCGACACCCTCAATGCCGATGGACAAGCATTGCTATATGTATGGGCTTTGGAACAGAAAGACAGCAGACGAGGATGGGACGAGGGGAATCAGCAAGACACTATGGTGCCCTGGGTTATGCGTGAGAAGAAGGAGAAGCAGAAGAAAGACAAGAAGCTGCAAAACAAAGGAGATGCTGCCCAGCCAGAACCCTCGCCCGAACAGGCTCAGACAACGACTGGCACGAGCCTCGAGCCCGCTGGTGACAAGACATTTTATCGCTACTATCATCTGTATCGAAAGGGAGAATTGGAAGAAAACATCGAGCTTGCTGGTGGCACAATCGTTGAAGCGGGCTACGACAGAGACAACTGGTGGGCCATTTGCCAGCGGAAACAGACTTGATTGGGATACCTATCGCTTGAAGAACCTGTAGTCGATCTGTGCAGCTGACAGACTGACGTCCCTCAGCGACGTGACGACCTTGTACTGGGACTTGTCCTCGTCACTCAGAGGAGCATTGCCCGGTCTGTCAACAACAATGGCTTGCATACCTGCCTCAATGGCAGCCTTGACCTCCTTGACGTTGTCACTGAAGAACAAAACGCTGTCAGCAGACTTGCCCAACTCCTCGGCGATCTTGGTGTAACTGCTAGCATCATGCTTCAGACCAGCGTTTGTCGTATCGAACCAGCCGTCGATCAACCCCTGAAGGTTTTGTGTACGCTTCTCATCCGCTCCACCGAGCGGATCTTGAACGTGCCCGAACAGGAGCTTCTGAGCGAAGATACTGCCTGAGGAGTAAATGACTAGCTGCTTGGATGAGTCGTGCCAGTGCTCAAGCTGAGGAACCACATCCTCGAACAATGGAGTAGAATAGGCGCCGTTCTCGTAACCGGCCTGCCATAGATAGCCTTACAAAACAAAAGTCCGAGTCAGATAACTTTCACCTCTGTGGGCCTGAGATAAGACGGGCCGAGGATACGTGCTTGACTCACCTTGCAAATTCTTGAGATAGGCGATCTTCACGTCGCGTGCTGTGAGGTCCTTGACGTGAGTTTCAAAGGCTTCGGGAGATGCTTGTGCCTCGGCCGGGAAGGCATCACGGTAGGGCTTGAAGTCTGCAGAGTCCCATCGTTCGTAGATGACGCTTGAAAGTGCTTTCAAGGCGTAAGGGAACTTGACAAAGAGTCAGTCTCGGCGTGATACTGTCGAAATAGCACGCATATCTCGCGAAGCAACAAGGTTTTGCAGATCAAATGAGATGGTGATAAGAACAAAAGAACATAATGTAGGAATATTGTGGGTCAGATAGTCTGAGATAGGGCGTCTCTCTTGACAACAATACAATGCTATTCGACGTGATATGATCAGGTGCTCAGGACGTTGCGACGAGACAAAAGGAAAAATTCTTCGGCCTACCAGAGTGTCCTTGACGAACGAGATAGGGCAGACAGTTCCTTCTGTCCACAGAATCAATCAGCTATCGTTATCACAATAAAACACTTCGACCCAACATCGTTGAGGGTGCGGTGTGCAAACGCCCAAGTATTTTGAGTTATGGCTGCCCAAGGCCAGCCAATGGAGTCAGTCACTTACCGATGTCAAGCAGCACAGTGCCCACGTTTTCGTGCTCTGGAAGCATTGTGTTCTGTTGGTTCGATGGCTGGCTCTTTTCAATGCAATGTTGCACAATGTGCGGTGTAGAAGACTAGACGCTGCACTCTCGCATGTCGGAAGGCTTCGTCGGGTCCAGAGTTGAGCGAACTTTGGAAAGTCCGCACCTTGATGTCAACCAAGCAACGACTCAGCGTTTCACTGTCTCATAAAAGTCACTACGATTGCGCGATGTTGCGAGCGCCATTCGCTGCAGATAGCAAGCAGTGCTTTTTTCATGCCTTTGCATTTTCGATGCCATCGTCCATTCTCACGTTCTTATTGTCAGACCCTCTTATTGTCAGACCACAGGCACAGCCAGTCGCGGATCGAGTGTTGCTGGTCACCTCATGGATAAGGACTCCTCCGAGTGGATAGTAGACTTTATTCGAGCTCGATGAGCGGTGTACACAATACATAAGTTATCGCCTCACTGCATATTGGCGTATGCTGGCGTCCGGTCTTGTCGAAGTATTCATGCGGGGCAATTTGCGTAGCTTCGACACCCTCGAGGCAGTTGCATCCGTTTCATGACTACCGTTTCCTGCCCATGGGCGGCTAGGCGCAGACCGCAGGCGCTTCTTTTGAGTAGACGCCGGCTAGATTACACTGAGTTCCATCACGAACGACGCCAATGTTGGACGGCGTGGTACCTGGAAGCATGTCTCTTGTTGGCCAAGTGCTATGTACAGTAACGAGAAGGCTGGGCTCTACAGCCACCAAAGGCAGCATAAACCCAGCATAAAAGCTGGGAGACAAGCATGTTGCGATACTTCTCCGACACGTGGAAGTTTGAGAAGCCAAATATGGTGGCGAGCGTGACGCTCGAGCAAAAGACAAGGCATGACTAGCCGTTCTTGATTTGCATGTTGACCTGCGTGTGACCTGTCCTCGATGCATACGAGTCCTCTCCAGCTGGCGGATCGAGCTTGCAGAACAGGCTGCAGACAGAGAACTATCCTGCTTGCCTGGCAGAGAGTCGATTACAACAAGCACGCTCCAAGGGCAAAGAACAACTTGAGTTTCTTTGATAAAGCACACCGACATTATCTTCATGCAGGCACTCGCACTCCACTGCGGCCCACATCCGCGTGCCGAAGCATCATGCAGCATCGTTGACGCTCGAGCTCGATACGTTGGTACCTGAGGATCGTCTGCTTTGATAAATTGAGCATACCTATTTGTGCGCAGCACTGCGAATGTTGCTCGTCAACTGTAGTGTTTCAAGGCAACATCACCTGCTCGTTTGTTGTGTACGATCGCAAGCATGCCGTGACTCAACTAAACGTCTCCGTCTGGGCCGGTCTCGCAGATGTGACTCTGAGACAGGCTGAGCGAAGGAAGCACTAGTTTCTGAGGTGTGCAAGAGATGAGAGAAGGTAACACGACGCTGCGAGTGTACTCGAGAACAGTATAAATCTTTCATAACATAACAAGACATCGTGCTTCCCGCAGCAACCCCATGGGAAGATTGATTGGCCGAAGCCGGGGGATGGCAGGGGTGGTGAGATGTCTGTGGCCGCGTCAAGCCACGTCCCTGAACAAAGGACCGCGGGGCTCTGATACGGCGATCTAAACAGGTGATAAGGATAGACGTGTGCCTAGAGTCGACGCGAAGGAGTTCTAAGCGATTGGAAGAAAGAAAACAAGCGCTGGGCTGGGCTGATACGGCAACAAAACAGCTGGCCCGACGCAGCAATGTTTGTTGACAGGCGGTGCATATGAGTTTAATCAGACCGAGCGACAGGCACGTACGATGATGCGCACGTAGGGAGACAGTTTCAGGCTTCATCACCGAGAGAGATTACGAAGCCGGACAGCACAGGGGGGTTTCTTCGCAAGAAGGAGACGCAATTGCGTAGCAGGAAAATGACGCTGGGCAATTCCCGAACATTCTCTTACAAGATCCAAGACAGAGAATGACGAAGGAAGACGTGCCTGGCAGACAGAGTTGGCCAAGATGATGGTCAGGTGGGCCTCGGGAGCACGTCTTCCTGTGGCGGCTTCTATTGATCGGCATCGGACCATTTACGGATCTGTGCGTCTGGGTGTGACTGGTCGGGACTTGTCGCCGATGGGGTTCCACCTCTTTCGAGAGTCCGTCCTGCCCTCTCTATCTTTCGAGTCACACCGCTAGCCTCAGTCTTGTTTCCCGTCATCCCACCTCAATTGTCGTTTCCTAAGCCAGCTCAATTCTCCCTCCGTACCTACTGCCTCAGCCCGAGTGTTTCGCCCATCGTTGCTGCCAATCTAGTCGCCGTTGCATTCCAGGTACTCGCGTTACCCTGACGAAAGCGGTAGTCGAGAGCAAGCGCCGATAGCCGATTACCACACCTCCTCAGCTCTCTCTCCTGGACCCTACGACACTTCCTTCTTCCGCTTCATTGTTCGTCGGAGCTTTGAAATTTCACCTGCCTGAGTGCTGCCTGTTCCCTCAGCGAGCTCCAATCACCAGATAGTCAGCTTCCGCCGCCTCCGTCTTATCAGCTCGTCGCTCGTCCTTCGTCCGACAACGGCTTCCCTCGGCTTCTCGCCTGTCAACATCCCTCTGAAGCCTCCGATTCCCAAGTCCACCACAACCCGACGACCTCCATCTCAACCACCGTCGACCAGCTTCGAGCACTTCCCGTCAACTGCACTGATCCATCCGTCGACCCCGTCGTCTGCTGCTGCATTGGGAACTAGCTTCTCCACCCAGCACAGCTCCCCTCCTGCCTGCCTATATCAACAACAAAGACTACAACAGCCACAGCTTCCAGAGAGCATAACCCTACCTTTTGGTACATCACACGCACCTCACTACGTCCTCGGGTCCGCCCGTCAACCTCCCAGCTTGTCGACCCTTGCTGCCGGACTCTATTTTCAATACCCCATTTATTCGATGCTCACATTAACGACCTTTACTATTTCTTATTCATAGTGCGTTCGGGGTTTTGATCCCTTCTCTCTCTGGCTCGTTGCGTCCATCTTGTCCATCCTCGCCCCATCATTTACCCATCCTCACCTCTGGCGGACTTGTTTGTTGCTGTCTCTTTCACGCCATCCGTGGTCGGCTCAATTGCTTAGATCGTCAGCTTCGATTGACACCAAGGTCATCATATCCGATTGGCTTGTATAGCTGTTCGCTGTCATCCTACTTCTCCAAGCTGGTTTTCGGAGTCTCACAACCTTTTACGTTGTTCTAATTCTTTCCAACACATCATCGCTCAAATGGACTGCATCCGGAAACAATTCGACCAGGACCTCCTTCTGGACGGTCGCTATCAGACTCTGTCTCCCCTCAACCATGGCTCCTTTGGTATGGTCTTCTTGGCCAAGAACGTCAAGACCAACGCTACAGTTGCCATCAAATGCATCGCCAAGGCTTCGGGCTCTGACACTTGCCCTGCTGCCATCGCTGTCGACGAGCGTTCCGAGGAGTTGGATATTCATTCCCATCTGGGCTCGCATCCCAACATCGTCAGTCTTCTTGATACCTTCGAGACTGAGCACCACACGTATCTGGTAATTGAGTTTTGCCCCAACGGAGATCTCTACGAGGCCATTCGTCTCAACAGAGGTCCTCTCGAAACCGAGCACGTTCGCGACTTCATGATGCAGTTGATCTCTGCTGTGGAGTTCATGCACGCCAAGGGTGTCTACCATCGCGACATCAAGCCTGAGAACATCTTTTTGACTCAGTCGGGCTCGATGAAGCTTGGTGACTTTGGCCTCGCTACCAGGGACCAGTGGTCCACAGAATACGCCGTTGGTAGTGACCGCTACATGGCTCCTGAGCAGTTCTCAGAGACAAGCTATACCACTGGTTATTCCCCAGCTGCTGCTGATGTCTGGGCTATTGGTATCTGCTTGTTGAATGTTCTATTCTCTCGCAACCCGTTTGCTACTCCTACCCAGTCGGACCCTATCTTTGACGACTTCGTCAGAGACCGGTATTCTCTCTTCGATGTCTTCCCAACCATGTCTCAGGACACGTTCACCGTTTTGATGCAATGCCTTGCTATCGATCCTGCCAAGCGCTCGCTGGCTGCTGTCCGCGCCGCCCTCGAATCAGTCCTCAGCTTCACCACCGATGATGATGCCATGGATGACTTCTGTATCGAGGAGCGCGATCCCATCCGTGCTACTCTCAACCGCGAGCCTCTACGTACCCCTTCAATCACAAGCCCTACTATCGACAATGGTGGTTGCTTCCCTTGGGCAAAGGCTCTGCGCGAGACTTCGCAGAAGCATGGTCGTCAGCTCTCGGTCATCCTTGACAATGAGAGCTACACTGAGGATCTCTTCCCCGAGGAGAAGGAGACTACTGGTAAGAGCTGGTTTACTTCCACGGATCCCGATTCGACGTCCCTGAACTCGACTATTGAGTCTTCGTTGGGCATGTCGTACAAATCTGCCAACAACTCTGCCGAGCTCATCAACCATGCTTCTTCCAGACCAGTGCCCATCTCTGCATCCGTCCCTATCAAGAGCTCCAGAGCTTTGGCTTCAGTCTATGGCAACATGGACGCAAACTTTTCAAAGAGCTGGAGCGACCTCTGGGAGGAAGATGAAGAAGAAGAGTTGCAACATCCTGCCTTCAACTCTGCCGCCAGCCTCGAACGCTGCACCACTGCCAAGCCCTTTGAGCCTAGTCCTCTTTCAGCCGTCACCGCTGCTATGGATATTCACAATGCTTCTGGTCGTTCTTCAACCCCTCGTGGCTTGAGCGAGCTTAAAATTGCTGACGAGGCTCGCGACGTATCTGGTGCTCCCCGCCCGCAGCTGACCGCTGGTGTTGCTTCATCAGCACCTGCCCTGCAGAAGTACTCACCGCCCTCTAAGCGATCCATCGTCGACAGATGGTCAGCTCTTGGTAATCTCAGACGTGGAAACAAGAATGAAGCAGGCTCTTCAACTAAGCCTGCTCCCGTCACTGCACAGAAGAAGATTGAAAAGCTTGAAAGGCCTGAGAAGTACAGCTTCCCCTCCTTTGGTACCAGCACCAAGACTTCAAAGCCTCGCGGTCGCGCTGCCAGCTGGCGCAAGGATAGTCCGATGGCCGCAAACACCCCTGCTCACACTGGTAGTCCCGCTGCTTGGGAACGCAAACCTCAGAGCAACTCGCATGTCTTGCCACCTCATGATATATGGCAAAGCACCCGCGACTGGCGTCAACACCCAGAGCCTCAACATTTCTTCAACTCGCCTCTCAGCAAGCCTCGCACTCAACCCGCTACTTGCGGACAACAGCTGTTGAAGTCTAGCAAACCTTATGTTGATACTCTGGACGACGACGACATTGGCGACCTTGAGTGGGTTGGAGGCTGGCATGACCTCCACTTGTAGTCTCAACGCTACCACAACGCTGGCCTGCTTTTGTGCATTCCCCTTCTCTCACATATTCCTCCCTCGATTCTTCCCACTGTATATTTTCCGGTTTCAGTGTTCTTCTTGCAGCCCCAGTTTCATAATCTCCTTTGTTCATCAACTCTACTCAATCGAACGAAAAGAAGCAAATCCCCTGGCGCACAATTGATCAACACGTTACCGCTGGGCGGGCGATGGTATCTCCTTCTGTATCTTTTTCTTCTGTTTCATTTTTCAACAACACATTGAGCGACAACATGGTATGGCCTGGGTTTGGCCGGTTCAGGGCGTTTTTTTCTGTTACGATTTTCCCATCACCACTTCATCAAACCACTGCGGGCTGCAGTAAGGAAAAGGCAAACGAAAAGTTGGGTCTTCTTGGAGGATCAAAAAGAGGATATAGGTTTTCTGAAAAGGGGCGTTTTTTCGAGAACGACTGACGATGTGCAAAACACAAGCGAGGGCGAGCGCTTTCCTGGTAGTCCGGTTTGGACTCGCTGTCTGTAGATACATTTTCTCCTCGCAGAAAATAACAGATTCTCCCACTCAATGATTATTACGGTTTTACGATTTACTCTGTTTTTGTCTCTGCCAGTCTTATTATTGTTGTCTTCGTCTCTGTTGTACTGGAATATTGTTGCGTGAGTTTGACGTTGACCAATTCACGCAGTGACAAGCCACCACAGCTACGACGCTTTCAAAAATTCAAACCCGATGCTTCAGTATGGTTACCTCAGCAGCCACCAGACTGCCAAATCCATCCTACACTATGAACTGGTCGATGAGATATGTATAGTGCACCATATTGGGTACCCACCAGCGAATCTTCGATTTAGGTGTTGAACAATCGACCTTGATGGTGACCGGCACTCATGCTTAGGGGATGACCTTGTCTGCGTCGCTCGATTCAGTATGTCGATGCGAGACGGCAAGAAGACCCGAAAGACGCGAGAGCCAAGATTCTATGACTCCATATCTGCGGTACAGCTGTGGCAGTATTTATTTATATTCATTCTATTCACTACGACCCTGTAATCTTCGTCTTGAGTCCGAAATCTTCATCGTACCAGTACTCAAAATCGTCTCTGGATTCTGCACGCCTGTTGATCTCGACTTCGCCACGGGAAAATCTCAACACTGCTTTGAACAACAGGATAAGCCATGCCCATCCGATCAGCAAGTTTCGCAGATCTGCTGCCAGCAGCACACGTGTGTGCAGAAGCCTTCTTCGACGAGGATCTGTTCGGCCAAAGAATTCACCCAAACCGATCAGCGTTCCCTGGAGACGTCTACCTCTTCTTCCTGCGACAGTTACGAAAAGACTTTTTCGACGGCCACAACACAGTCATGGTTTCCCATCCCGAGAATCAACTAGCCTGTGTGACTGGAGTGGCTGTCTGGACGCGTAAAGGACGCGGTGGAGACCGTATGGCTGCTTCTCAATCATGGTCTGCTTGGTTCACTGGGCGCTTCTTACTCCCAGCATACAATTGGCTGGGTTCGCTTATTTGGCCCAATCGTGCTGCAGATCCAGCTATGCTCGATGTACTGGATCGCGCAATGCCATTCACGGAACACTACTGGAAAACTCCAGAACGTCTCGAGAATTGGTACTTGGCTTTGTTGGGAACAGGACCTGAATACCAAGGCCATGGCTATGGCAAGGAATTGCTCAAATGGGGTATTGAGCGTGCCACTGAAGAGGGCATATGTGTCAGTTTGGTTAGCGCGAATGGTAAGGATTTATTCTATAAGAGGTACGGCGTTGATAAAGAGGCTGGGTGGGCTAGTGAGGGTGGTGAGCAGAACCCTATACATGATATCGCTGGCGGCATGATTTTGTTCTCAAAGAAGTTGGAGAAGAAGATGCAGTAAGGAAGGGGGTTTCTGAGAAAAGTCAGACGACACGAGATTAGATAGTCATTAAAGCGTAGCGGTCGAGAATAATGAGAGTGTTCATTGCAGCGTCAACTACCAGGTGTGGTCTGTCATAAGCCTTTTCCGGATGATGCCCCGTTGCATGAACCATTGCGATCTGAGAGGCTCAACTCGAGATTTGCCTGTGACCGCCAAGCTTGTTGCTCGATGCGAACGACATCTATTGTTCGCAGTATCAGTCTTGGCTGCTTTCTGTCTGGATCCACGACACGGTATTCCGACAGTACCATGATGGAGAGCGAAAGTATAACAACCAGCAATTCATGACAGCAAGTGGAGCTTACCGTTGGCTGGCTGCAGGATTGCCTTTCTGTATGCCAAAGTTGCGCTAACGACCGTGCTTCATTTGAAGCAGAACATCAGCATGGAATCATCAAATGACTACGCCTTGCCATTGATGCTTCAAGAGCTATAAGTTGTGTATATCACTCCGTAATAATCACGATGATTGCTATGTAGCGTTCTCGATTGCAATCGCGTCTATGCATAAAAATCGGCTCGAGACGCGAAGCCGCGGACCTGGCGTCGAGGGTTGGGCAGGCATCGACCGATCTATGGGAGATTTTAGCACATCGTGTTTTGGGTCGAACTTTCCCCTTCTCACACCAGAAACCCATGCCTCCCGGATTTAATCACTACACGGCTGGCTCATCATTCCTACGGACAAGAACTGGCCGAATTACCATAATCAATCCGCATATGAACTTGCGACTAGATCTGGAGTTCTAACGGTGAAGCCTGAATCCCACACCGATCGCGCGTCCATGCTGCTCCATGCCTGCACTGACGATACTGATCACGTCGCACCCTCCAAGATGGATGGGTTCTACGCAAATTCATCCCCAATGCATGCAGTCTTGGATAGGCTTCGAGGTCCAGACATAGACGATCATCTACAGCTATTTGAAACGATTGACTGGACCGGAACATCTCTCGGCCCAATCGATGGCTGGTCACAGGAGCTTGCGACTCAGATATTTTTGACTATGCTGGTTCCGAATCCGCAATCTCTTGTTCTCGGAGAAGACAAAGTCGTCATTTACAATCAAGCCTATGGACGTCTGATCCGAGATCATAATCCGCAATACTTCGGAACACCAATAGCGACCTGGATAGAATGGGCCCCATATTTCGAAAGCATGGGAGCTATTTACAAGCAAGTAGAAACGACAGGAAGAGCCTATGTTCTATCAACATTCCCCATGGTCATGGCGAGTGCAGGTTTCAGAGAGAACGTTGACTTCAGCGGCGCAGTGATCTGTCTGCCTCCACCTCTTGATGGATATCTTGGAACCTTCACGGAGATCACAGATATTGTCGCATCTGAGAAAAGGGCTTCCGTCTTGCAGATTCTGGTGTCTATATGGAAATCCTCTCCCGATCTGAAGTCACTCTGGGCCAACATTTTAGAGAGTGTCGATCAACACCCAGAGTTGTTTCCGTTCTTCGCCCTCTACTCTAGCACTCTTGCCCCGGGAAGCGAAATTTTGTCAGAATACAGCGAGAACGATTCTGAAGACTTCGCTTACTCGCTCGAGGGTAGCGGCGGAACACCAGACTCTGAGTGTCCAAGGATACCACAGTATTACGACCTGGGTCCGGAAATAGATGGACAGACACCAGACTCAATGACACAGCATCTGCGTAAAGCCCAGAATGAAAGAGCTTCTGTGCTGATTACCGCGGCAGACATACCAGCGGCATGGCAGAGTCTTGCGCAGCATCGGGGTGTTGGAGAAGCGTGCAGAGGCGCTGTGGTCTGTCCAAGCAGCTCCAACCGTCTTAGCCGCGTGCAAGCTTTCCTCTTGCTTGGACTTTCTACGCGTGATGCGTACAATGAATCATACCAGAACTTCGTGTTCAAGTTGCAGGGAGAGTTTGCTAATATCGTAGCCTCGATAATGTCCGCAGAAGAGGCCGCGCGCAAGAAGGCCGAAACAGCTAAACGATTGCAGCTCGCCACTGAGCTTGTCAACAAAGAGCTTGCACTCAGAAGGAGAGAAACCGAGCTAGCTACAGTTAGGGTGGAACGAATCACCAAGATCGTTGACTTGGCTAACGTTGCAATTTTCGAGCGTGACCTCAAGGGTCGGCTGGTGTTTGCCAATGAGGCTTTCTACAAGTTAATGAACACATCTCAGGATGTTTCTCTGCATGAAGACATTGCGGCATCAAATCTTCCAGAGGAGCACTGGATGGCATTGCTTAGTGGTGACTCGAGGACGTTTGAGATGAGGTGCCGCAACGAGAACTGGGGTCTTTGTAGTGCGTTGCCTACGCGAGACGAACACGGCAATATCGATGCTGTGATAGGAGTCATTACTGATATTGAATCACAAAAACGAGCGGAAGAGGAGGCTTTCGCAAAAGTGGAGGCTCTCGAACGTGTTGCGGCGGCCGAACGGCGTTTTTTCAAGTTCCTGGAAATCCTCCCGGCTGGTGTTGCTATTCTCGAGACAGATGGTAGTATATCCTTCGCGACAGACGAGTGGTTCAGATTGAGTGGACACGAGCATTGCGCATTCGACCAGATCAACTGGACTCATTGTATTCACGAAGAGGACCGCCAGATCACTCAGGACGCATGGTCAACTCTGAGCGTCGATGCTCAACCAGTCAACTTTCAGTTCCGAGTCCGCAGACCGTATATCAACCCCGCGGGCGAAGCATGTGGTAGTAAGTACACCAGACATACCGGCTCCCATCATTCCTGGTATTACATGACACTAACAACGCTCGACCTAGACTCATGGATGCTATGTAACGGACTCCCCGAATGGGCCGAAGATGGCTCCGTGGCAAGAGTGGTTACTGTTATAACAGATATCAGCCACCTCAAGTTCGCTGAGACCGTCCAAATGACTCGTGTTGAAGAAGCTGTTGAGAGCAAGAAACACATGCTATCCTTCATCGACATGACTAGTCACGAGGTAATTGCTGTCCACAGAGAGGAAAGAATCACAACTAATTGTGCTAGATTCGTAACCCACTCGGTGCAGTCATACATTGTGCAGACAGTGCACTGGAATCATTGACCGAGTTAAGGAAACTAGCACCAGACCAATGGAGTCAGAATCTGAGGGTGCCTGCGAATACAGCGAATCACTCTCAACGAATAACACAATCAATCGACTCTGGCCTCGATGCAGTCGACACAATACTGTCCTGCTCTGCTCATCTCAAGCGAATCGTGGATGACACGTTGACATTGAGCAAACTTGATGCTAATCTCCTTCGAATCAGCCCTTCTGCCGTCCGAACAGTTTCAATATTGCAAGATCTCCAGAAGATGTCGGAGGTCGAGGCTTCAAGACTAGGGGTCAATCTGAGGACAGTAACAGATTCATCACTCGACACTCTACACGCAGAATGGATGCTGATCGACCCTGGTCGGGTCATGCAGGTCTTGATCAATCTTACGAGCAACGCAGTCAAGTTCACGAAAACCAAAGGTGGAGCAAGAGACGTCACAGTTCGCATGGGTGCTTCGCTGGAACGTCCATCAGACTTGCATATCGAGTTTTCCCATCTCGATTTCTCTATCGCCAGCGCCCTTCAAGACAGTATCTACGACACGGCCGAGTTCTCCGAGCACACATGCTACCTCTGGTTCACTGTCGAAGACACTGGCATCGGAATGACGCCGGAGGAGAAGAGTAGAATATTTTCACGCTTTGCACAGGGCTCCATCAAGACATACAACACTTATGGAGGCTCAGGACTTGGTCTGTTCATCAGCAGAAAATTAGTCGAGCTCCAAGGTGGAGAAGTTGGAGTAGCTTCCGAGGCTGGTGTCGGTAGCACATTCGCTTTCTATGTCAAGGCACATACGACGACCCCGCCGAAGGAGGATGGAACAGGTACAGCTCGGGCTAAGAGCCCGGCAGCACATGCCTCGAGGCCTGGCAAGATCCCTGTTAGCGTGTTGATCGTTGAAGGTAAGATAAGCACATCTCGCAATGTGCAACACTCAAGCTAACCACACATATCCAGACAATGCAGTAAACCAACGTGTGCTAGAAAAACAACTGACCCGAAAAGGCTACATCTGCCATGTCGCAAACCACGGCCTCGAAGCCATTGAATTCCTAAAACAAACAAAACTCTGGAGAAGCAACGGAAACAACCCCTCTGCACCGAACATAGATGTCGTCCTCATGGTAAGCCACCAGGTCTCCAAAAACCTCTATAGCCCAACACTGACAAACTCTCCAGGACGTAGAAATGCCTGTAATGAACGGTCTTGACTGCGCAAAACGTATTCGCGAATACCAACAGACGGGCGAGATGAGATCGAATCTTCCTATTATAGCCGCGTCGGCCAATGCTCGTGCTGAACAGGTGGGATTGGCAATCGCTGCGGGCATGGACGACTCCATCACGAAACCATTCAGGATACCGGATTTGACACCGCTGATTGATTCTTATGCGGGCTGGGCGAGAGCACAGGGGTGATGAGTGCGACCACAGACACAAGACAGAGATGTAGGAGTTCTACAACCGGAGAGAAGGGGGTAGAGGACACTTTGTTTTCTTTGGTTTGTCTTCTGTTGAGTCCTTTTTTTTATTAGATACCCTATTATGCATTCCAAGAGAGGCAAGAGCGATGAGGTCGGAGTCTTTCCGAATCAAGCAATAATCAGTGTTATTGTCATGTCTTATCATATACACAGAGTTGGTCTGCTATGCCCAAAACTCATGCAGAATCATCAAAAACGGCTTCTAGTCTATTTCATGCAGCAGAGAGAGAGAGAGAGAGAGAGAGAGAGAGAGAGACAGAGAAAGAAAGAAAGAAAGAAAACGAACTCCGGGTCCGCGTGCGACACCTCTAGCAATGCTCATCAAGGTTGGTGTTCTCTGGGCGACTTCTCGATCAACAATGGGTCGCCAGTAGACTCGTTCGCATAAGGTAGGAGCGACTGCTCGAACCATCTTGTGAACCTCACGATAGGCAGGTCGACAAATCTCCAGAAGACGTCGGCGGCCCAAATAGTAAGGGGGATCACCACCAAGCCCCCTAGCACAAATCCGGATTCGTACTGGAAGGGTGTCTCCTTGCCTGTGAATTGCCAGAATCCGTACACAGAGACGTAACCGATGGTTTTCAACGTGAAGCCATGCATCAAGTAGAGAGCGAAAGATATGTTTCCCAAATATCTGCTCAAGCTATTGTTGAACAGAGACTGAAGCAGGCCATCGAGACTAGTGGTGTAAATCATGATCATGGCGCCAATACAATGCCAGAAGCGGTAGCCTTCTTCGTTACGCAAGCCAGGCGGTATGAGTTTGGCCAGCGTCGAGTAGCCGGGAGCAGACTTTGCTTCTTGGAATGGGTACGAGAGCAAGAAGAGACTCAACGAAAAGCCGCAGTATATGGCGAGGGCACTCCATGGACTACGTGGCTCTTCAACCTCGTCGGAGAAAGGGTCGACCTTAACACGACTGTCCTTCTCTTCCTGACGAACGAGGTTGGCCTCAGCGATCAAAGCGCCGCTCCAGAAAGCGCTCAATTCCCACGCGTCCGCTTGGAAGCCGCAGGCAATGAAAAGAGCCAAAGCGATCATTCGTACCCTGGTTCGTACGAGAGCCAGTCCTGCGATGGTAAGAAATAGGACCATGGAGCATCGGAACTCTTGAGGAATGGTCCACAGATGTACGTCGTATCTGGTATCAGGCCAGTGTTTGTGTGTGAAGATGTCGAAGAGTCGCACGGTCTGGTATACCCAATCCTTTGCTTGCTCCCAGAACGAAGGCAATATCAGAGGCTGTGGATCATGGGCCCAACCCAGGAAGATCTTGCGGAATGTGTCTTCGGGACCTGCGATGGAGTTTGGCCCGTCGTAGATGCCTATGCGGAGTGCGAAGAAAACGATAAGTGTCGAGACAAGGCAAGGAAGGTATAGTCGAAATGGGCGTCTCAAGATTGACGAGGCAAGGGTCCGCATCAGCTGCTCGTGGGATGATTTTCTGGTCAATTTCAGAGCCTTGAGAGACAAGGCGTAGCCTGAGATGACGAAGAAGATGGTCACCATGGCCTCTCCGCTATACAGAAGTCGAATTATCGGTAATTGGAGCAAGTGATGATTCTCGTTTGGGTGTTTCGGGTCCTTGACCGTGCCGTATGCAATGGCACCCTTTCTGTGGTAGGCGAATTCGAAGTGTCGAAGAAAAACGAAGAAAGCTGCCCATCCGCGTGCGCCGTCTAGCCATGCGGTAGGAGAGATGCGAGTTGATTTGTATGGCAGGTCAACGACATAATGGTGGAAGAAGCTGGGCAGAAGCGCCAGCAAGAAATCCGACAACTTCTCACCCAATGTCATGTTGGCGATGATGACAAGGGAAAGCTGAAATCAAGAGTCAACATTGAATACAAGGGAAGGCTTGACTTACATAGCCTCAATGACAAGATTGAGTTGCGCCTTCTTGAAACACGCATCCATGATTTAGGCACGCGTAGTTCCCGAGGTAGCGTAAACAGCGAGACATTCCGCAGGACTGTCAGTCGCGACCAATACAAGCCACCGAGACTGTTTGCACTATTTAAATCCTTTCTTTCTCACTCCCAAAAGTCGCATTCGGCACTATTAGGCGTCGCGCATACCTGTGCGACGTACTCGAATACATTCAGGCGACATGCTCTTGGGTACAGAGACGCAGAGTCATGGCCGAAGCTTCTGATCGTCTAGTTGTGATCATCATCCATTCGTAAGAGCTTCTGAGCCGCGGACCTAATTCGTCGCCCGTGCAGCGCAGTAAGCATATCGCTGATACCGCGTGCGATTTTGTGATTGATGACCCAATTATTGTAGATGAACGCGTCTATATTGTCACCGACTCACAAGTCAGCTTTCGTGGAGACGACTCGCCAGGTCTGGGGCTGAAACAAGCAAAATGTGGCCAGGCTGAGGCTGCGCTAGGGGTGCTGAGCGTAAGTAACCAGTAAGTAAGTTTACGTAACTAACTTACCCGTGTAAGTTGCTTACGGTAAACTAACCGTCGGAAGTCGCCGAATATGACGTTTTATGCTTCAGAAATGACGTCCCCGTAGGAGCACGGTAAATCGGTCGATTTCTTATATAAAATTAGCATTTAGGCGTATATTAATAGGTAAAATCGTTAAAATAATTTACTTCTAAAAATCGATTATTTTAATATACTTTACTTAGAGGGAGTCGTTTATTTACGTTAGGTTACTATTATATACCTCTCTAACGTCGACCGAGTATTCCGCCTTAACGTATCTCTAGCTCTCGATAAAGTAGATAGGAGGGTAGTACCCTCCTACTAGATTAATATAGAGAGGTTATTAGTACGACTCTCCCTATATTAAAAGTTACGAGCTATAAACGTACGGTTATAGCTCTATAGTAGTAAGAAGAGGAGGAAAGCTATAAAGAGGGGTATACTACTAAGAGGGTTAAAAGGATTAAGAGGGTTAACTAGATCTCTCGTCGAATTCGTCCTTTTAGATAACGGCCGATATAGCCTCTTACTATACGACGGTAGCTTTAGTAGTTATATTCTACTTAGCGAAAGGTACCTCTTATTAAAAGGTTAAGAAAGTAAGGTATTCTATACGTAACTTCTTATACTTCTAACCCTTAGATTTAGCGATTTCTAGTCTCTTCCTCTTAAGTTCGCGCTTCTAACCCTCGAGCTAGAGTTAACGTATAACTACCCGCGAATTTAAGTAGACGTAGTACTATTAGTCTATTTTAACTATCCCTATCTTAGTATAGAAGGAGTTCTAGATAAAACTAAAGGTCGAGAAGGCTCGTTTAGTAGGGACTAAATTCGTAGGGGTTTAGAAGAAACGTAAGGCGATTTTAGTAATTATAGGAGTAAGAGGGAAGTATTACGAGCTAAGTTAAGCGTAATAGGATTTATAACGATTATTACTAGATATAGGATCCTACTCTAAGGATTCCGCTAAGAACCTAGATTTCTATAAAGTATACTATATAAGGCTACTACCTCCTATACCTTACTTTATACGATCTCTTATTCTCTCTACTTCTTCTAGATTATATAGAATAATAGAATATATAGAGTAACGTATATATACTTATTATCTATTAAGTATATAGGTAGGTAGGACGACCTTAGATAGTCCTACGTTTAACTTAATTAGTTATTCTAATAGTCCCTTTAATATATACTACTTTATATACTACCTACTTTATTTCGCTTAATACTCCGCTTTACGAGTCTAACCTTATAACCTATTATCTTATCCTAGATAGTTAGCTATAATAGGGAGATATAGTCTTAAAATACCTTTAGTTTCTCTAATTTTAACTAAAGGTACGCGTCTAAGAAGTGCTCTCGTCGTCGCCGGAAGTACGAGAGGTCGTCGAAGAAGGTATCTTAATTATCGGTTAGTATATACTTCCTAAAGAATCTCTTTACGCGTAGATAATCGTTAGGTAGTATATTAATAACTTATAGATTAGAGCAGTCGAGCGCTCTCGTAGCGTAGTAAATGTCGTAAGTTTAAGTCTCTAATCGCGTATCTAACCTCGTTAAAATCTCGTCTAAGTAAGGTAGAGGAGAGTCGGTTTTATATAGATTAGCGCGTAGATCTCTCTATCTCGGTAGTACTATTACGACCGTCGATCTATCGCTCTTAGAGGTAACTTACGTATAATAGAAAGGTAATAGTAGTTAATAGAGTTACTCGATTTAGAGCTAGAAATACGCGCTCTTAATTAATACTAAGGCTACTACGCTAGCGTTAGTACCTCCGAATACATTACTATATCGACGAGCTAATATTTCGAGTAACTACTTATTCTCTACTAGCGTATTAACGATATAGAACTAAGTACCCTATTAAGTTATTACTAATAGAGCGAACGCGCGTAGTTTTAAACTATACTTAGTAGCGATATTAATAAGTAAACTATATAGTCTATTAGCTCCTTAGAATACCTTACTTA